CGATAGGTCTGATTGCATAGCTCATAGTAGAGATGTTTTTATTCAGATACGATATGCATCCAGATATATCGCATCTGAATAAGCCATCAAAATTGAAAAATCCTAGATGCTATATAAATAATCGTATCTGAATTGGAATCCGACCCACCGAGATACGATACTATCGGAATAACTTTTGCATATCGGATTAAGGGAAATTAGGGCGCTCGGTAGGCGATAAAATGGATGCAAATCGAATGATCTAGTCTCGGAAACGCCTAACCTTATGCATTTTTATGCAGACAGACCGTACGGAGTAAGTATTCACGGGAATGACGGATTTTCTGCTTATTCCGATAAGCAAATGTTATTTCGATATATCGTATCTGGGATTGAGCCTCGCCGATCCTAGATGCGATAATCGTATCTCGATTGACCCGGCTTGAATCTAGATACGATATGCAAATTGCCTTAAATGCAAAATTTCCCATATCGTATCTGAATAAAAACATCTCTAGCTCATACAGGGTGTCCCAAACCCCCCCCCCCCCCCTCTAGCGGCGCCCAAACGTGTCCGATTCTCGCCGTTTAGGTATCTATCGAAAGCTCTCGAAAAGGCGAGAAAGCATGGAGGGTTCATTTTCTTTATTATGTATTTTTATTGGCGAATTTTACCTCCAAAATCCATGAAAACGGCTGATTTACGCGAGATCCGCATGCTAATTGCGAAATTCCTATTGAAAAGATACCTGTTTTTTAGAAAAACGCTGAATATCGGACGAATCAGAATAAATCTTAGAAAATGAAGCCCGCTTGTTTTCTCGCCTTTTCGCGGGCGTTCGAATGATATAAAAATCATCCTGATCTGAGCTTCCCACGGACCGCTAGAGGGGGGGGGGGGGGTTTGGGACACCCTGTAGTAAGTCAGCTTATATGTAATTGCGCAAAAATCTTTCGCTAATTTCAAATTATTGTTTTTATTTTCGTTATTTTTAATTTTTAGTTCTTTAGTTTCGTTTTTTAGGATTCCGGGGGGGGGACCAACTTTTTTCGGCCAGGCCTAAATTGTTTTCTAAGAATAGCGGATTCGTTTCTACATTGTTTCTAGCTACTTCTAAGCATAAAAACTTTACAAAGTTTAGTAAAATGGATATTTAGATAGAAAAAAAAATTAATTTTTTCGATCCAAAATGACCTCAGTTTCGACTTTTCCAAACATTTTTCAAAGTCTATCCGAAAGTTTTTTTACTGAAAAATTGCTAAAACGTACAAAACACCAGAACCAGAAAAAAGTTGGTTCCCCTCCCCCCGGAAATCTTAAAGACCCTAATTTTGTTTCGTGTTAGTTTATTGTGATTGCAGATGGCGGTGCTTTTCTTTTATCGGGGGCTGAGCTCGTCGGGTTACGATAAGAAATAAAAACTAGTTATAGATTTGCTCTTTTAGTCAGCTTCTAGCTCTTTTGAAATAAGCCCCGTCTAGGGTAAGAGCAGGCGAATAGTCCCCCCCCCGCTAACGAACCAGAACTCATTTGATTTTAGGCGGACAAGTTTACGGGCGAGCGGCGCGAGCGGCTCATCCGGCTTGGCGCGACGGTCCGCGCGCCCGCCGCGCTCTTTCAGCGGTAAATCTTTTTGCTTTTATTTTTAGACAAGTAAAAGCTTTTCTTTTTGCGCTGCGATGTTTGTTTTCAAAACTTTAATACTCTAACTATCTGGATTAAGATTGATATTTTAGCTTGAACTGCCAGCCGGCGCCCGCCGCCCACCGCAAGAGCTCAAGCACGAGAACAAAGAACAAGGAGCTGCGCGCCCGCCGCGCTTCTTAGCGGTAAATATCTTAACTCTTCTCCCTTTAAACTTGAAGTATTTAAAATCACAATTTTTCATTCTAAGTTTTTGCATTAAACGTATATTTTAGCTTAAACTGCCACCCGGCCCCACCGCCGGCCGCAAGACCTCAAGCACAAGAACAAAGAACTGCGCGAGCGCCTCATTCGGCTCGGCGCGAGGGTTCGCGCCCCCCCGCGCTCACTCAACGGTAAATATCTTAACTTTTTTACATTTAAACATATCTTTTTAGCTTAAACTGCCACCCGGCGCCACGATCTTCAAGAATTGTTGGACTACGCGGAGTCCCTCCAAAATGATGATCGCAAGAGATGCCACCCCACCCCCACAACTTGAAGAAAAAAATAAATAAAGTTTTCTACGAGTGTGAACTTTGTATTTTACACAATGTTTTGAAAAGCACACCTGAGAATTTGGTAACAAAAACAGAGGCTTCACGGGAGGGTGTAAGGAAAGAGATACAAATACTTTGAAGGGATGAGGAAAGTTTGGCTTCGGCTTTGGGTTGGTTTGGCTTGGGGTTTGGCTTGGCTTGAGATTGGGCTGTGGATTGGCTTGGGCTTGGGATTTGGCTTGGCTTGGGTTTAGCTTTGGTTTGACTTGGGTTTGGGCTTTGGGTTCGCTTGGGTTCTGGCTTGGGCTTGGCATGGGTTTTGGGCTTTGGCTTGGTTTGGGTATGGGCCTAGGCTTGGTTTGGGTCTGGGCTTTGGCCTGGCTTGGGTTTGGGTTTTCGCTTGGCTTGGGTCTGGGCTTTGGCTTGACTTGGGTTTGGGATTTGGCTTGGCTTGGGTATGGGCTTAGGCATGGTTAGGGTTTGGGTTTCGCTTGGCTTGGGTCTCGTGCCGGGATCACAGGTTACCGCCTCTGCCACCCAGTGCCGCACTATCTCAGTTGGTAGAGAGTCAGACTTTTAATCTGAATGTCAGGGGTTCGAGCCCCCTATGCGGCTAATCATTTTTGTTTCGTTGCTAATTTTTCGACATTTCAGCTCTCCCACACTTTCAAGCTTCCCCCTTTTCATCTTCACATTGTCGACGACACCCATTTCACAGGATTTAGGACGAAAATCGTGCGTTATCTAGGCAAGAATATCTTTGCCGAAAGGCACCGAGGTCATTGTAGACAAAACATAGCCGGGTCAAATGACCCGATATTTTTTGAATACTTGTTTTTGATGAGTCAGTAAGGTGATGGTGAAAGATTGACCAACGGGTGATCAACCGGTGAGCATAAGGTAAGGTTCTGGAACGCGTGGGGGGCTGGTAAAGGTGGATAATTGCACACAGTTAATATACAACGAAGGTTCAAGTTCATACACAGATGCGCGCGAGTATGGATCCATTCTTTTGCTTTCCTGGACGCAGCCAGGATGGGTGGACCAGTTGCGTCGGTTGATTACTTGTCAATTTTTTTTTAATTTCGATGATTCAGATCAGTCCCCGGTCCGATCCCCTTTAAAGGGACGAAGAGGGCCCGCGTAGATCAGCAGAAAACCGCAGAGGCTGGTCAAGGGGCGTCTGTGCTCACTCCCCTAGGCGCCTTCTCTCGCTCACTCTGACCTAGCTGGATACTTGTCAATTATAGCTGAGACCTTTTCGCCTTATCCATTTAACCACTGTAAACCTTCGAAACAGTCGCGCTGGCAGCCGCCGCAACCGTCCCTTTGTTTCATCATGAGATCGGAGGAGCCTCGTACCCAACGATTATCGTCTCTTAAATCAGGACCCCGAATGCTTGCGGCCCGGTAAAATTCCGGGACAAGCGTTAAACATAGCGATGACAGCCATCGGTTTTCGCAACCAGTTGTTTGTCTCATAATTCAGTTAAGCTAAATTTAGCGGCGAGCCGGCGGAGAGGGAGAGGTCGGTAGAAAGGCGGGGCCTATGCGGTAGGCCCGTGGATGTTCGAGAAACGGTTGGCTAGTTTCGTAACTCATGATAAATACGCGAGCTTCGCTCTCTGCAGGGAGTAGGAGCGAGTCCCGGAACACCTGGAGGCTAGGCGTCGAGAACTACCTGTTGCATAAGGGCGGGGGGGGGAGGGGGTGGCGAATCCGGCCGAGCCCGAGGACCGTTGGAACAAGTATGTGATGATGAACCGATGCTTTTGATTTGTATTCATTTAAAGACCCAGACCAGGCGCCTGATATCTAGCAGACCTTCGAATTTCTCGGGAACTATGGAAATTATGAGACACAGCTGCCCGGCTCCTAATAAAAATTCCGGTAGATTTTGAAACGAGGGAAGACAGGAACGCGTGCGATAGACGCGTCACGCAATTACGAAGGCAGCCTAACGACTGTTGCGCCTTTTCTACGCGCCCAACGCGCCAAAAAAAAGCATGCAGTACGTCTTTCCCCGGTGACCAGCTGGGCTGGCCAGAATTGGGCGGTTGTGGGAGTCAATTCGTTGCGAAATCATACTGCCACGCCTTTGATGGGTTGCTGTCGCAACCCCTTTAATAGAGACGGTTTAAAATGCCAAACTAGACCGCCTCTAGTACCCTGGTTCCATTTTTAGCCTTTTTTCTACATAGTCAACGCCGCCGGTGCCCGTAGTCAAATTTCAACGAAATTTCTTCGTTGTCAAGGGGGGTCGGGCGGTCATATCGGGATTCAAATCACTACCTCATTGGTACCCGTCCCTGGGCTAGACAAAACAATCGGGTGCAGCGCGTAGCTGGCGGGCCACTTGATTTCGAAACCCATTCAATGCCGTCTTAAAAAACGATAGTGATGCATACGATCGGGGTGAAATGGTGAGGAAATTTCTGAATGTACGGTGGATAGGTTAACGCCGGGCCAAAATCTGGCTGTATTTGCTCGTTCTGACAGCCTCACAGGATAAAAACCATGGGCATCGTTCCGATCAAGAAAAGGGCCTCCAGCTGCCTTTTCCGCGGAAAGGAAAACGGGTAGCTTTTTAGGATCTGGCTAGCTAGCCAGGCCCCAGACGAGCGAGGCGCTGCTTATCTACCAACTACGCACAGCTTGCCATACTCCATTCATGGAAAAGTGGATGAAATTACTACTGCTTTTTGGATCAGCTATCGGATTATTTGCGTTGTTTGTCTGGTAAGCTAGAGCTATTGGCGGCTTTCAGCGGTGGCTTTGCATGGATCCGGATGAATTGAACCTCGAGAAAGGATTGGTCCATATTTTCCAGTTGCTACATGGTGTTTCGAGCTCCAATGGTTGCCGATCAGCGTCACGGCTTGGATGCGAGGTCCGAATATGGCCGTGCCGGACGCGGCGGCAACAGCACCAAGTACTTCGGGTGGTAAGGCCTACAGCAATTTTGCTTAAATGACTGGCAAAATCCTCACACTACTCTGAATTTTAAAGCAAATTTTAATGGGCCAGATAACTTTTAAGCTGGCTCATGCCACGCGCCGGTCTAATAACCGACAGGAAGGAATGCGATATATTGGAGGATGGCAATAGCAAAACACATCTCGCAGCCCTTGAATGAGTGCCCTGTTGACGAATAAATTCTACTGTCTGAATTTAACGAAGACCAGTAATACAATGTACAAAAAACTTAGCGCAGCTGCTGAAACCCGCAGGAGAGAATTCCTTCCCTAACCAAAACGCGCAGCTGGCGGTTCCCGCTGGCTTTAAAGGGAACGGGACAGCTAGGACCCGATGCGGTTTGAGTAAAGAAAGTAAAGAAAGTGCCATTTTCTAAATTTAATGTCTCGCCAAAAGGAATTGGAATCCTAAATATCCTCGGAGGCGGACCGGCACGCATCTTTGACTTTTAATATTTTTCCATAGAGAAACGATCACCTTCTTCCGGCGTCCGGTCTCTATCTAGAATAACATTGATCCGCCAGCCCTGATTATTTCTATTGCTGCGTCTGTCCCCTTTAAAATTTCTGTCATGATCTGCCCAAAAAGATTCAAAAAAATTGCCTTTTGGTTAAATCATTTGGTTCCCACCTGGAGTTTGATTAATTCAAATTTTTGAGGATCATACTAGACGGATTTCGAATCCAGACAGTCCATAAGCTCCGCCCAGGGCCGTCGGCCGTCACAGCATTTTCGACACGCCCCGATAATATCAGCTATAAAAAGATGAATTTCACGGCGGTTAGTTCAGTATCATCAAACGACTTTCCCTCCTCCGTCTCTCAATCTCTACCGGTCCCTATCTCGGTCTTTGTGTTCTTTTAATTTAAAAAATTAGCTCTTTTTCTTAAAATTCTCTCGATGGTTTAGTGCGTTTTTCAAAAAGCCATTCTCTCCTCCCCTCCTCCCTCTACCTATCTCTACTCTCTCTCGCTCCCTCTCTCTCTCTCGTTCTCTCTATGTCGCTCTCTCGTTATCTATATTTTTCTGCAACATGGGTCATGAAATTTTATCTGGCCTTTTAGAAGATGATCTGTAACTCACAGTACCGTGTCACCCTCTTGGTCTACACCATTCTGCTGATCGCGTGCATCATCGCGTTCATCTGGATGATGTTAGTAGCACGCCAAGCATAGCAGAATATTCAAAATCTTGTACTGGAACCTATTCACAGCTGATTTGTAGGTGGCCCGAGGAGCCGGCGCCTGTCGCTGTCATCGAGGTCGACATCAGCGACTTCCCCGAGGAGCCCAAGAAGCTCTTCCGTTGGTAAGCTCATACACTCTCTTACTCTCGAGACTTCTCCCGGTCCAAAGAAATCCCACCCTAAAAACGTCAAAATTTCGATACTTGCAGCTGGCCGAACGAGTGCTAGAGGGAGGCATCACAGCTGATCGACCCCGCCGCGCTGATGGCTTCAAAAAATCCACAACTATCCCCCTTCACTACAATACTCCAACCAATACAACGATATCAACCAATATTTCAACCTTCCCACCTCCAACTGACCGCAAAAATGAACGCCCATTAGCCAAACCACCCCATTTTTTATATCCCCTACCCCCGAAGGCGCGCACCAGGCTTCAGAAAAATGCTGTCATTTTTTACCCTTAAAAAATTACAAATATTTTTTCAGCGGCAAAATCTTACTGTAAATCGTCTTTGAATTTTTTTGCTCTAGTGTCAGGTCTTGTCACCCCGGTCTGGTGCTCCCCTTTCGCCATTCCCGAATTGTCGTTCAGTGGATAATAATTCCCAGTGTCATCCCAAAAATTCCTGCGATGAAACGGACTCTACAATAAATAGTCAGGACCCCACCCTAGAAAAAACACACAATAGACTTTTGAAAAATGCAAACACGGCAAATCCTACCTGACAACAGTCATTTAAAATCTAATATATATATCTGAGTCTGTAAACAAACCAATGTAGAAATTAGAATCGTCAGCAAGATCCGTTAGTCATGTGTTTGCCAAAGCTAATGTAGCTAGACTCAACGATTAATGGGACCCTCAACATACACATTTGCGAGCGCTCGTATTTTGGGGGTAAAGGGCAGCTGAAACACGTGTTTGATTTCTGTTTTTGCATCGACTAAATGTAACCATTTTTGTTTTTCTAACCTCTGCTGCTCCAACTCTAGGTTACGTTCAGTTCAATCCACCAGTTTTTTCCAGCTTTTACAACGTCGAGGGCCAATTTTTCGTTGACACTTTCGGACATTCAAATGAGGAGGGACCGTCCCAGACTCCGCCCAGCCGAGCCAAAACATTTCGGGGACCGAATCGGCACCCCGGCACAAACCATCCACCACATTATCGGGCCCTCCGCAATCGGCTCGCTTTCCCCTCCCTTCTCCCCCTTCTGGCAATCTTCGCGCCACTCTTAATTCTTTTCAAACCGTTCCATTCAATAGGTCCTGTCTATAGGGTCTTCCGATCAACTTTTTTTTGCTTTAGTTACAAAATGGCTCGTATCAGCGTGTTCGGGGTGTGCCTGTTCGTTGCTGTGATCTTCGCCATCCTTTGTGTGCTGTGAGTTTTAGCAAACTTTGTACCCATCTTCATCGTATGACATGCCGTTTTGATGAACCATTCAGGGAATCCACCGGTGCCAACGCTCGGCCCCATGCGATCCCTGAAAATGCGTACGTCTACCACGAAGACGAGAACCAGATCTGCTACATGGAGTATGTTTTTTTATTAATTTATAGATTAGTAAGAACCTGAAATCAGTCAAAAAAGAAGATTAGAATCAGCCAAAGGACCGAACTAATATTTTCTTGAGGATGCGCAAAGGCGGCTGTGGACCATAGACGTTCCCGATCGTTGACACGACTACGATGTAATCTATACCACATTGTAAAACCACAATCTTAGCCACGCGACCAACCATCTACCATTTCTGACCCGAAATCAAGCTTTTGCTTTCGTTTACAATTTACATCTCCACTACTGTGCCTTCATATTCATCCCGCTGCCTTATTAGTTAGCACAAAACTCCCGCTCACCGACAATGAATAAAGATGTAGTCTAAGGAGTGTGAAATGCAATCCGAAAACTTCACATATTATCGACACAGGCACTGCGCTAGTGGGACCGAAAGAAAGCAAGAGAGCGAGAAAGAAAGGACCAGAGACCAGAGAGTGCGAATGAGAGAGAGCGGGAGAGAGCGAGAGAGAGTGAGTGAGAGAAAAAGAGAGAGAAAGAGAAAGAAAAGAGAGAGAGAGAACGAGAGAGAAAGAGAGGGAGAGAGAGAGTGCGTGTGTGTGCGAGGGTGAGAGAAAGAAAGAAAGAAAGAAAGAAAGAAAGAAAGAAAGAGAGATGGTGTCCTGATATACCGATAGACTCAGAACCCTAGCACGCAAACCGAATTCGTCGTTATTTTTTCAATAATCTAAAAAATTTCAGATGTTAAAATCTGAAAATGAATACAAAACATGCAGGCACCGAGACTGACGTTTTGTAAAGAGTTTTTTTACGTCTCTGACAGCATAATGTTGTATGACGATAGGCACAGCTGCACCGAAGTTGGTAGACACACAGACTTTTTGGAATTTCGGCGGTTTTTGTCTGAGCATGTTTCTGAGACAAGAATCTTGTAATGGTTGGAGCATATCGGGAAACCAAAGATCAAGTTTGTATAAAGCCACGCTAAAAAGCCCCCTAGTTCTATAAATCCCTTATCCCTCGGTTTCGGAATTCGAAGCGATTCCAGAAATTCAATTGGCTGATGGAGCCACAAGGTCAGTCACCAACGAACCGAAATTTACGGCCTTCTTTATGTCGGCCACTGAGGTAATGCCAGGGGTTGGGAATTTACCCTCTTCACTTCACTTTTCGACTCCAGGCATGGAGCATCTATGCCTATTCAGTTTAATATTGTTTGTGGGCAGTTTAACCTGTTGGATCGTCATCTGGTAGGTGTAGTTTTTGGCCCGCTAATTTTTAGCATAATTAGGTGGCATTTGGATACAGCCCGAAAAGATGCGAAGGAGTTGATTATCCTTTGCGTCAATTATTGGAATCGAAGCTGGTAGAAACATGTGTAGTGAAAAGAAAGGTATTTTAGTGCGGCTGTGCTGATGAAATGTTGATGGTGATCTGCAGACGTTGTGAAGTCTAGAGGGCTAAAGATGCTATGCAATAAAATTTAAAGTTGTCCCTTTTTTCGTACAACCATTTGAACCCGAAGATCCTCCCCAGTCTACACCCATGTGAATTGAGGGTCCCTCTCAATAAATGGCAAATCTGCTATCCATTCCCCTCTAAAAGAGGGCAATCGGCTTCTCCTTCTCTTTTCCCCCAAAAGGGTATTGCAGAGACCCCCAAGTTGCCCGGTGGGGTAATGGGATTTGAGGCGTTTTGGGGGGACGAATGGGCCACAAATGGTCAGAACGATTTCGTGGGGGGATACCCACGGCTTCGGCCAAGCTTTTCCACCCCCACCCCCACTCCAAATACTCATCATCAATGGTGCTCGACAAGGATAAGCTCGACTATTTGCCAATACCGCAGGAGGCTGAGCCATGGGAATTTGCGTTGCTTGGGGAGCAGCAGGTTGGTTTGTATTGCTTAGATTGATCGTTGTTTCGTTTATTTCTGTGTTTTTATGTTAAATTAGGCTGTCACGAGCCGGGGACGATAAACCCGTCAGAAACTCGAAAATCTGAATCTTGTGCTTTCAGAATTTCGAATTTACCTGCCCCAGGCCATATAGGGAGGGTCCAGACGTCAAGTTCCCCAAATCTCGTAAAGTTACTTAGGTTTGTAAATTCCAATGGATTCTAATAATTCGGCATTATTAAAATCAGAGATTCTAATTGTCAAGATTTCCATCGGCAATCCTTTTTATTCAACAGGATCCTTTTTTCGCGATACGTTTCTTAATACGTCAGTAAATTTGAATCCCATCTGAACAGAAACTGAACAAAAATCTCCTAAAAACTCGGTTCAATTTGTTGCGTTCCACCCGAAACCTCCTCAGTTGCCCTCGGCCATATGTTTGCCCAATGATCCCCCAAATCCCCTCCTTTCGCAGCCTCCTTTTTTAGCGCCCAACCCTCCCGCCCTGGCCTGAAACCTCGGGGGTACTAAGAGTGCGGCACCGCCGAAAAGGGTTGTGGAGAAGGTAGAAATTGGAGTTTTGCCGCTTCTTTTTTCCGGGAGCAATGGAAACGGACTACGTAGTCGAGAGAAGGGCATACACACAAAAAAAGGAAGGCTCATAGAAGGCCATCAGAATTATGGGCGGCCGTTTCGGGCGATGATCCCCGACGCGTCTGGGCGGAGGAGGACGATTGTCCTTTCGATTCGGGAGTATGCAAGCTTTTCGTGTCGCCACTCAGGTTTTCGATTCGGTCGATCTTCAGGTCGAGTTTAATTTTGAGCCTTTTACTTTTCTCATCGAAAGGTTAAATAAAACTTAGAGCAATTATTGGCGATAAATTCTTGGCCCTAGTTGTCAACCAATTCTTATCTCGATATTGGTCGTTCGTTCCGCCGGCCCCGACATTTTCATCGCCTTTTTCCCTTTCTAGATCTTAGGGCGTGATAGTGATGTGTTTGTTGGACGTCGTGATATTGGAGACGGAATTGCCCTGAACGGGGTAGTGAAATATGCATCATCGTGTGACTTGAAAATATTGAATTTAAGAGACGAATAATGGAATGTAAACTTTTCCTCTAAGCCAGCCAGGTCTGCGTTTTGTATATCGGTCTTAACTATGGCGCGTGGCCGATGATCTCTTTCTCACTCTTTCTCTCTCTCCCTCTCTCTCTCTCTCTCTCTCTCGCTCTCATTCACTGACCATTTCTCTCTATCGCTCACGCTCTCTCTCCCCATATCGCACTCACGCTCTAGCCCTTTCTCTCTCTCTCTCTCTCTCTCTCTCTCTCTCGCTTTCTCTGCCTTTCTCTTCCTCACCTCCAACTATGCCGCTTTCCGTCCCCGCCGCTTTAAAATTACAATGAAGTCAAAACCCAACCTCCTTTGAACAGCCCAAAAACGACCTACCACATGATGTCCAACCCTCTTTCCCCCAAAAACCGCTGCCAAAGTGGACATCCGTGTGTCTGGGTATTTGGGAGTGCAGATAGGAGAAGATAGACTCACTCAGAGGGCCGGTGGGGTGTGTGTTGGGACTCATTTTTTCATTGCTCCTCATTACCGGGAGTGGATTCCACAGATTGAATTTCCGGCCTTTTCCCTCTCACTCCAAACACACCCGTCGACACCATCCCCACTTTGGCCCTGCTCACCCAACCCGACACATTTTGCACATCACACAAAAGATAGAAGGGAGAACTCACCCCGGGGGCGGCAGCTCTGTTCTGTTTTTAGCTATCACTTCAACTCACATGCTTCAGGATTTTCAGGTGAGAGCCGCTATATTTTCGCCGGACTTTTTGAAGGGTACTGTAGGCGGTTTGGTCGGGATAATTAGGACCCAACGTTTAAACTTCCAGACCTTTCTTTGTCTCTCCAGCCACGCTAGGGAGTATGCGTAATACCCTTGCTTTGCTTGCTTGCTTCGGGTTTTCTTATTAATATATTCTAATCACTTAAACTTTTCGGAGTACAATATAAACCTTGGCTTTAAGATTAGAATTTTGACACGTAACCTAATTGGATTGATCAAACCAGCTGTTCTGATTTGCATTTTGAAAATAAGCAACTTCAATCCGGACCCGCTGCACTAACATTATTTACTTTAACATACTAAAGGGGGGATCATTTACAGGCTAGATTTTCATTTAAAAATATTAAAGAGGCGCGCGAGGTTAGGCTTCCTATGGATCCAGTATTGAATTCAGCATCCAGAAAAACTTGCAGTTAACATCTTAAATTGACGCAAGAGCAAAAATTGCCACACCCTCCCAAAAAAGTTTTGATAGCCAGGCGAGGAATCCCGGGGCTGCGGAAGCTGCGGGGATTCACAGCTGCCATCAATTCCGGCTGTCAAATGGCTAACAACATGTTGCACCGGCCACAAGAAGAGAAAGAGCCTGCCGCTATAGAGCCCCCAGGGCACGTCAAAAGGTCTTCTCAGCAACACACTTTTTCCGTGTCTTCGCTCCAAAAAGAGCAGATTTTTTGTTGAAGAGACGGTTAGGAGGGGGTGTAGCTGGGAGGGAGGGGTGCGCGAACGGCTCCCCGGGGGATCCGTTGATCCCCACCCACCCTCGTTGGCTTCTATTTCCCCTTCCATCCACACCAATAGCCTCTCCTTTCTTGTGAGTGCCCTGGCATCGCTTCGTTGAGGGCTATTTGCCGGTGGTTTGGTCCATCGGATGGATGCCCCCATCCAACGGCACCCACCCCTAAATGGCATTCATCTCAACCCATTTGCCCTTTATTGGCCCAAACCCGTATCGACACCGCACGTTACCGCATGCTAATCGATTGTTGGAAAAGAACAATAACCTAGAGAATAATAATCAAGGAGACGGTGATGAAGAGGTACTCTTCATTATTAAAAGCCAACTGTAGGTCAGGTTTTTACCCTAAATCGTACGTTCAGGGGGTTGAACGTCTTGCTCGCTCCCTTGCTTTGCCCTAGTCTCTCTGCGTCAATAGGTGGATACGTTCAAGCTCCCTGAATATGTGATTCAAAGCCCAATTTGCCTGTTCTCTTTAGCTGCCAGGTTTACCGGGGTGTCGTTGTTTTTATTACATTAGTTGGCTCTCAACAAGAATATCGAAAAATTATCGGGATGTTCGCACCGAGCCGCTCCTAAAAATACCGTACCAGGCTAAGGCCAATTCAGCAAAAGATATAAATGTATTAATTTTATTTTAGTTCCCCGAAACAGAGGTCCCAGCATGGCGGACCTATGCAAAGATGATCCTGCCGCACGTCGGTCTGATCCTACTCTCCTTCTTCTACATTGTTGGCGGTGCATTAGCTTTTTATCACCTGGAACGACCAAACGAGGTTTGTTGCTTTTTTCTTTCAATGGAAAGGGCACAAAGCTATCCCGTACCTAAGAAGCTTTACGATTCATAAATACACGATCGAGTAACTCTATTAATGCAAAAAATTATCCAATTCCAATTTTTCGGTGTCGGTCCGTAACTCCAATCTTCGCCAAATTGCAATATACCGTGAACATATGCTCAATGACATGTGGCATCTAGTGAATAGTGATCTGTCGAAAGGTGCGTTATGTAGTTCTCATAGAACCCATTCTTATTCGCTAATTCTTATTCTTGACTGTATTCTAGAAGCCGTTGAAGCGGCTGCGGTTGCTCATGTCGATAATGTGACTAAGATGCTGTTTGATGCTTTTGATACTCATTTTATCACGGCTCGTCATTTGGAAACTGTAACGTTAATAATTAAATTTCGAACGTGATGTCGATACAGGATGAGGCAGTCTATGGGGAAGAGGAGCATAGTTGGACTTATACCACAGCACTTTTCTTCACCGCCACTTTATTGACTACGATTGGTGGGTCTAAGCCTAAGCCTAAGCCTAAACCTAAGCCTAAGCCTAAGCCTAAGCCTAAGCATAAGCCTAAGCCTAAGCCTAAGCCTAAGCCTAAGCCTAAGCGTAACCACTGACCTTTAAACAATTTCCATAACATTTTCAGGTTACGGTAACCTAGTCCCTGTCACGCTATGGGGCCGTATGTTTTGTGTCCTCTATGCCCTCTTCGGCGTCCCACTAATCCTCATTACAGTGGCCGATATTGGAAAAGTAAGCTGAACATATAAAACTTCTTATCTACTTTTTTAGTTCATGTCGGAACAGATCTCCAACCTCTATGCTAAATACAAAAAGGCTAGAACGAGGTGGCTGGACCATGGCGGAACGTTATTCCATGATGATGCTAACAAGGAAGATGCTAATCTGGTACTGAAAAAACCTACTGCTTAAAGCGTTTAATTTAGATTGATGGCCTCGATGAACAATCTGGGATACCAATGTCCCTAATTACAATTATTTTGTTGGGTTATATCGCGTTGGGTAAGGACCACCGTACCTTATTTTTCAATGTTTATCTTTAGGTGCTGTTTTATTGGGTCTCTGGGAGAATTGGGATTTCTTTAAAGGATTTTACTTTACGTTTATAACAATGACTACGGTAATCCAGGATTTATTTGACATCAGAAATCTTGTGTTTTAGGTTGGTTTTGGTGACATCGTGCCGTTAAATAAGAGCTTCTTTGTCGTTGATCTGTTGTATATTATAATAGGATTGGCAATAACGTAAGTTTCAGCAAAAAATTACGTCATATTTTTAGTACAATGTGCATCGATTTGGTCGGTATACAATATATACACAAAATTCATTATGTGGGACGAGCGATGAAGGTTTTTATTTCAGCTGAGGTATGTAAATTGCCATTTAAGGATGCTCGATTTGCAATTGTCAATGTTGGCGGAAAAATGGTTCATGTGCCGGATATTATGAGATATGCTAGCGTATTACAACAGGTAAACAAGGCTTCATTAGCAACAAAGCTTCGAACATTTTTTAGAAGTACGGCAAGAAAACAGCCGACCCAAACGACGAGTTGGTAAAGGGCAGCTTCATACCGCAGGATATACATTTGATCAAATATATCGATTACTCGTAGGAGAATCAATTTGGATTAATAATTTTTCTAGGTCGCTATGTAGCGCGTTGACATCAGTGGAGAGTATCCACACCCTCCTCAGCAACGTATTTGCCTCTCGGGGTATTCCGCCAGCTGCTCAAGTCTGATTGGATGGGGCGGAGCCGGAAATCTTTTATGCAGGCTTTGGAATAAAAAGATGGATTATTCAGATTCTAAATAAATTTGTCTTACGGTTACATGCAAGAAAATAATATCAGAAAAACAACAGAGCGTGAAAATTGTAGTGATTAACTGAACTTTTTAGGTTTTAAGTTATGTATTTAGTGCAAGCTAAATATGCGCTATAATGTGCGGGTTCAAGCTAATATTTATAAGCTTACATGCCGTAACAGCCTAAAAACGACTTAAGTCTCTACTTACGCAACACACCCCTTTCCGTAGTCAGCACCCCCTAGTTAGACCGTCGTGATTTCCCGCCGTTTCATGAATTTCCGAGCAGCCATCTCGACCCTCCCCACCGAAGGACGGAGCCATCGACTTCCGTTTCAACACATTCTAATAGTTGACGAGGCTTAGACGTCTTTTCGCACTTGGCGTTAATTTTTCCAAAATGACATCAAGTTTTGTCCTTTGACAACGGTTTGGTAAAAATTTTCATTGTATTTCGTTGCAACATTTCTTTAAGTTACACCTGCCACCGCGGCGCCTTAAAATCACGTTTATTGACAACTCGGATCCATGGTATCTAGAAAAAAATAACTATAGCTGAGAAAGAGGTGTGCGCAGCAGATTGGCAGGGTCTGTTTGCAATTATTTTCCATATTTAACCGTTGTTCTGACCTTAGAATCTTTGAATCTCAGTAAACCGTGTCTTTTTTTGGCCTGGTTTCTGATTTACGCTTGGATTTTCTAGTGTGTAAGCAACAGAATCTGCTTTTCCGAAAATGCCGGGGGAACGGGCGCTAATTACGGTAACCCTAGCCTTAGGGTTACGCTTTTTTTGTCATTCTACGCTAAAGGACGCACCGATGGTTCACTAGATCTAAAATTCATCTAAAGATAAAATTCTCAATTGAAGGTTTTATATGGTTCTTTTAATTGGATCATTGATGTTAACTTGTCTATATCACAGTTTTTTACTATTTCCACCCACCAATCACTCAGCCAATTAAATTCTGGAGGCTATAGGTGGTTGTCACCTCAGGTGTGTGTATGTATTTGTGTGCCCTTTCTGTCCCTCTTCAATGTGCTTGTCCTACTCCCCTTTAACGCCTTTTTTTCGGGACAGCTTTCCGTGTAATTGCCGTCGCACCCGCCGAGCGGCTGGGCCTCTAGCTTGAAGGCCCGGCCCTCACGCTCCCCGGTGAAGTCAGGCGAAAATTGCCCCCGCCAAAAACCGAAATGCCCCCAAACAAAAAAAACGCTCCGGTAAAAGCTTCAGGAAAGTGCCCGGGAGTGCTGCGAGGCGAGTGGCCAAGCGGGGCCCTTCTAGGGTGGTGTTGGCCATTTTTCATTGGGCCAAAGTAGGAGCGGCACATGTTGTCATAGTGCAAGCGTTGATGGCTGCCGTGTGCGGCTGGTTTTTTTAGATTTTGTGGCGTTGGTAGTAAAACTGAATTGTACTACGGTATTCTCAAGTTCATCTATAAAAATCTCTGAAGAGGAATCTTAGAGCTATCGCCTGGCGAAGCTACAGTACCCCCTTTAAGCTAAACGCAGCGTCTTCGTGCTAATTTATCCAATAATCCGATTTTGTTCACCGTAACGCCTACTTTACCAAATAAAATACATCTAAGCTCAAGTTTTCATGATACTACCCTATGCAATACCGTAATTATAAAACGTAATAAAGTTTATATAATTATAAAAGACAAAATTCCTTAGTCCCCATTCTTTCAACCAAAAATTCCCTTCCATCACCACGGCCACCAATACCTATTTTCCGATCCCGGCCAAAACCGACAAATCCAATTCACACCCCGCCTAACTTCGTTGCAGAACCATTATCTTGCGGCAACTAAAAACATTACCGTGGTGTCTGACGCTTTTTCGATCCCCAAAAAAAGTCCATTTATTGCTTTTTCTGTTAATGATACTCGCGTGTCTGAGTGTGGGCGGTAAAATTCGCAGGTTGAGTTGGAAGTCGAAGAATTCGTGGGCTGGTGGGGCGACATCCGGGCCGAAAACCTCCATTTTGGCGGCTATTAATTCTCAGCGGGGTTTCCAACACGTTTCTCGTTGGACCCAGAGACGATTAATTTTGAAGGGCCAAAGAAATACTAGGTTTCTGCTTTAGGATTGTTTAGGAATTTTCGAAACCAGGTTTTTATTCGCTGAACGGATGAATTGACGTCAGAAATTTTTTCCTTCGTCATTAGTCGAAATTCGAATAGATCTTCTTTAGATGACTTGCTATTTTTATCCTTACTACAAAGTATAGCATATCTTCATAGCAATTAGTTGCAAGGCATTTGCCACTGCGAGGTTCTGATGCCCTACTTCACTGCCCCTTTAATAATAAATATTCGTTAGCGTAACCCTAACAAAGTTGTTTTTATCCTTTTCATCAGCCAACCCATCCGACCCTATATGTCGTTGGTTTGGCGGCGGAATAGAGCAGAAGCCGTGTGAAGCAGAAGAGGTGGTGGGGGGGCACCTGTCGCTTGGCATGTCTCACATTCGATTAGGCCCCGGGAAAGGGGGGGGGGGGCAATTCGCCCTTCTCTCCTTCCGACCCCTCGACTTCTAATCAAACGTCGTCTCAGCCAACCTAGTCTACTACCTGTCAATAGTTTGCTAAAAAAGAGACGGAGAAATCTGGGGGTCCAGCGGATAGTTGGGTTGATTGGGAGGATATGGGGGTTGAAGCCGAGGGCGTTGTTTTTTGGGGTTTGCACCTGTCAGTTTTCGCATGTTTTCTAAGACTCGCACATTGCAATTCTTGCTTTTTATCTCCAGAAAATGAAATTTGGCTAACTAGCGTTCTATAATAATTCGACATCTAGGTAGAATTAGACTTAAGGCCTGGCTCATAAAGTCTACCGTAATCAAAATTCCATCAAATTCAATTTAAATAAGGAAATCCGAAAAACACTGCCTTTATCTATTCATACTTGCCTGATAAATTGGGTTCTCTCATTGCTTCCTCGCCCATAAATTCATTACCTATACTTCTCATCGTATAAACATCCCCCGCACTCCTTTCCTATCGCGGCTTTGTCTCGCAATAAATACCACCAAAACCTTGCGCCCTTCCCAAAACCTTGATATTCTGCCAGACATCAAAAAGCTGATTATTATTGGCCAACGTCCACGGCGCGTGATAATCAGAAGCCCCACTCTAAGCCGTTATGGCAGCCACAGCCTCCATTCCCTCCCGGAGGCCCCCTGTAATTCGAATCCCGACATCCGGAGCCACCAGTCCGCCCTGGCCCTCCGCCGCAATCCAAATTTCCGGTGCCCTATATGCTGCCAAAAATACAGACATTTTTTAGGAATGCTGAGAATGACTTGAGGCACCGATTTATATGTTTTTTTCGTCATAGCCTGGCGCTGGGAGGCTTCTGTGATCAATAAGCGTCTTGGTTGAGTATATTAAAAATAAAAAAAGCTTAATTAACATCTATCTCGTTCCAGCTTACGATTTTTGAACGGACGCTGTCTAGTCTATCTTTCGCCCCAAGGGATGCATCCCCACGCGTTACTGTGCAATATTTCATCTCCCGTTCGAGGCTCTTACTGCCTAGATACAAGTCTAACTTCAGAGAAATAGTGAAGCACTCAACACCCGCATTCTATGATTTAATATAAAAAAACTGACATTTTGAAATCCTAAACGTTCTACTTTGGGCAACAACCGAATCGATACTTCACAACAGCCTTGCCCCTGATCTACTGACAATTTTCACGAGATGCAAATCTTCAGAATGGCCCAATTACCAAAACGAGGTGGGCCCTAATCTGGCTGATATCCGGGGATGAGCCAGTGAAAAAAATGTCTCGCTGGCCCGCCGGATATCCCGGATTAGTGAGCCCCAATGGCTGAAATCGGGGTGGAATTCTGTCGATAAGCTTCCGCGTCAGAGCTTACCTATCCAATATCTGTTTCGCCTTTTAAATATTGGTCATTGATTTTTTCCACAAATTCATGTTATTTTAGAATTTATCTGAAAAGTTTAAGCTAGTTTATAGATCTCAAATTTTGCATTCACCATTATGACCTCAATAACCACGAATCGGCAACTCCCTCCACGATTTCATTACGCGCCCCCATTTTATGGTGGGCCCACGGCCGGAAGCGGTGTGCCTCCTGGAGTAAAAAGTCAAACAATAGCTCGGAGGCCCCTCACCAATGCCGCTGCCCGCATCTCCATTTGAAAGCTCATTTTTCCACCCCTCATATTTACGTATCTCAGTGCCCATTGATTAGATTTCGGATTTTTGATGACGCCTGGAAAAGGGGGCGTGAATAATAGAGCAGACAAAAGAGGAAATAACATATTAGAGGGGTAGAAGGGTAGGCGGGGAAACGAAGCTTGAGGTTCCGGTCGTTGGCCGGAAAAATGAAAGCTAGTGTTCGTTTATGATGGGAATGATCAGGCGTTTCGCTCTCGTGTATTGATTTTTGGAAGAAGTTTGACACCTTGCTTTGTTTTTAAAAGTACCGGACTCTTCAAACTTGCCACAGCTACCCTGTTAACGGATTGTACAACGTATAATGCGAATCTCTTTGACATTAGCTACCTCTTCAGCTAGACTCCCAAAAGGCTCCCGTCGTAGGCTTCTTGTCGACCAATTTGCATGCGTAATTCGTGACCCTAATTCACCTCGTCGCATCGCCATTGCCTCTTTTTTTGGTTTCCATCTCTGCCACCCGAAGAAATGACCTCAAGATTTTGTGCTTTTCATTTTCTATCCAGGCCTTTTCATTGGTTTGCTAGAGCTGGAGGGCAATGGGTGGAGAATGCCCCTAAACCTTACTGCCCCACCCCGGCTTCTGGTCGGCACTCTCCCCCAATTTGAGTGGTTGCTCCCATTTTATGTCTGGGAATTTCGTCTGGCCAATAGATCCTAACCGTCAAAACATTCAGATGGCCGGCAACCTGCCGCGTTCATTCAATGACGTTTGGGAACCGGGAAAGAAGGCTTTCAATGAGTATAAACAGCCGATATCCAAGTAGGTTTTTGGTTGCAACTTCCGGGCGATTGAGAAATCGACGATAATACAATTATATTTTAGTCTCTTTACAAAAGAAGCCAAACAGCAACGCTTCGAAAATGAGGGTGAAGGTGTGCTGGACAGCTATCAAGCTCAAGGGTATAAGGTCTCTATAAATTTGATTTGTTATTATTTGTAGAAACGAAACTTCTACCCACAAGGTCAGCACGACGGCCGAGAATTTTAGCTATGAAGATGATCGCCGAGACACGGCACGACCAAATAAAATTCTAATGGTAGGCGCATTTCATTCAGCATAGATACGAAAAAATCAGAGAAGGTCAATTCAAATAATCTGTTTAAGCTAGTCGAACAATATCAATGTATGAACTGTCGGAAACGGTGGCAGCTTGCACTGCTCGCCAACATCGGTAAGTTCTGAATTAAGTGAAACTAGGCATTTTCTGTCGAAAATCAACAATCAGTTGGAATTTAGGATTCTTGATCATCTTCGGTATCCGCTGCAACTTTGGAGCCGCCAAAAATCATATGTTCCGAAACTATACGGATCCGTGGGGTCATAAACATGTAAGTGATTTTTAAGATTATTTTCTACAAATAACCACTGTAGTGTACTATGTCGAAAATAATTCTATTATTTCATTCCAGATGCACGATTTTAACTGGACGATCACTGAGCTAGGTGTAATGGAATCTTCATTTTTCTATGGCTACCTTGTCACACAAATCCCAGCTGGATTCCTCGCCGCGAAATATCCACCAAATAGGTTTGACCCTTGGACAAAAGCATATAATAACATCATTCAGATTATTTGGGCTTGGCATCGGCATGGTGGCAGTTTTAAATCTCTGCCTCCCTTACGCCTTCCGGAGTAAATCGGATTTTATGGTGGCGATGATACAGATATTTCAGGGATTGTTTCAGGTATGTAATTTTTTTTGAAATTCTGCAATTAAAATAAATTTTTGTATTTTAAGGGAGGGTATTTAGTGGAGATTGAAAATTCGTGAATTTCTAGGGAATAGCTTATCCTTCTATGCATGGCGTCTGGCGATACTGGGCTCCACCTTTAGAGCGTTCTAAATTGGCAACGACAGCTTTTACAGGTATCTAAAAATTGCTTATTTTAGACAGCCAAAATTTATAGGTTCCTACGCCGGAGCTGTTCTTGGCTTACCCGTCAGTGCTTTTCTTGTCGCCTATGTCAGTTGGGCGGCACCATTTTATTTGTATGGTAAGTACCAAAATTCATATTTTTCATCTTTTTTGTCAAGTTGTCAACATAGGTTTTATTTCAGGTGTTCTCGGAGTACTTTGGACAATCCTCTGGTTTGCTATGACCTTCGAAAAGCCAGCCAACCACCCAACGATTTCACTGGAAGAAAAGAAATATATCGAAGAGGCAATCGGCCATGTATCATACACGCATCCAACGGTAGATTTTATTCGTATATCATACATTTAATGACCCTAGTTGGCCTCAATCCCATGGAAAGCTATGTTGACTTCAAAACCCGTATGGGCAATCATTGTGGCCAATTTTGCGCGTTCCTGGACGTTCTATCTATTGCTACAAAATCAGCTATCTTATATGAGAGATGTATTTGGGTTGATGATGAATGATGTGGGTTTAAAAGATTTTTTTATACAGCGAGTGTCAAGTTAGCCACATTCATAGACCGCTTTTAGTCCGGTATCATCGCTGCCCTTCCCCACCTTGTCATGGGTATTGTCGTCTTGTTGGGAGGCCAGCTAGCTGATTATCTACGCTCTAACAAAATCCTGTCAACCACTGCTGTTCGGAAGATCTTCAACTGTGGAGGTAAGGCGTCCAAAAAATCCAAAAACATTTTGACAGGCTTTGGTGGCGAGGCGTTTTTTATGCTATTTGTCGCCTATACCCAGAAAGAATCCGTTGCTGTACTCTGCCTTATTTTGGCGGTCGGATGCTCTGGATTCGCGATTTCAGGTTTGGGTCTAGAATTTGAAAATGCCTTGATCTTAGGGTACAATGTGAATCATCTCGACATCGCTCCTCGATATGCGGCCATTTTGATGGGTTAGTTTAAATTGAAGGGTCACGTCTTGATAATCTCCAGGTTTTTCCAATGGTGTCGGTACGCTAGCTGGTCTAATGTGCCCGCTGATTACGGAGAGCTTTACGGCTCATGGTGCTCATGGGTGGACCAAAGTTAGTTTTCGCACTATGTAGTAGGCCAAGCAATGCAACTTATAACTATAGATTTAACTTAGCAGCTTATATGCAATACTTTCGTGGTTTAGGTCTTTCTACTCGCTTCATTGATCCATTTCACCGGAATCACTTTTTACGCAGTATTTGCAAGCGGTGAACTCCAGGTGAATCAAAATATAGACTGAATCTTAAACCCGATATTTTAGGATTGGGCCGAGCCGAAAGAAGAAGAAACCAGTTGGAATGCTTCTTACCTTGGGAAGCAAGCGGTCGGAAACCCGAACTATGGTACCTCCACCACTGCCATTCCGACTGGTCAGCTTCCCGGGTTCTGCCAATCAAAAATTATTATAATGCATCTCCTTCTTGAAAATTTTCTAGGAAAGCCAGCTGCACCACCTGCACGCCCACAACCACCACCTCAGCCGGAACAAAAACCCTATGATCCTTTGAATCCAGATTGGTAATTCACCCCACATAGCCCTGTCCTTTTATGCAAGCAATATCAATTTATTTATTCTATCAAATTATATGATTTTCACATAGTTGAAGGGAAGTGCGCGCTATTTATTTATTGTCCAAGTATTGGTTTAAGTAGTGACCATGAATAGATGAGGTTATTTTTGGAATAAAGATCATTTATAAATCTCGTGGAGCAATGCACGAATGAAGGCAGGATAACGTCACAGTAACTGAAATTACCACAACGCTTTTAAGAGATAGACAATGGAAGCCATTTTTCGGGACAATTGTTGCTTTTTTGGCACACCGGTATTGTATGGACGAATGATCGGAAGTGAATTAACTGGTTGTAAAAAGGGCGTAGCTAGAGATTGTAGAATTATTTTACGACTTTCCTAAAGAAAATGGTATTGAGATATGTAAATTCGAATTTTGTGCAGGACTAGATTTCAAAAAGCATTAACCATAAAGCGATGCATAGGCGCGTGAACTTAGTCGTGTTCCTTCGCGCATTCGGAAACCTTAAAAGCACCATTACATCCCATAAAAAATATTAAATTTACCTTGTCGAGTAAGGTCTTGCCTTCAGCTAGTGCCGCCAACTCTGTATAGCCACCAATCAATTTTCCACAAATAAAGATCTTAAAAATTTACAAAAATGAGCTGTTTGAAATTGCCAACCTGCGGTACTCCAGTGATCCGCGTCGTATAGACAAGCCCATTGACAAAGGATTGATGCTCCTTGGGACTTTCAGCTTTCATCGCGTCCAGATCTCGCTCTTTGAACTAAGAATAAAGTCATCACTCTATAACATTTGCATACCTCGATTTTCTCATTTGCCAGCAAGTCTTTTGCTTTTACACAATAGCCACAATGGCTTTTAGAGAACATCACGACGGGGTGTGAATTGACCTAAGAATCTTCATGATACGCAGATGTTTTTAACCTACCTCTTTCCTTACCGCTTCCACATCCACTTTTGACTCTACGCCACCCATTTTGGCGAGCTAAAAACACATTGATCAGGAACATCGATACTGGCATAGATAGCCGCTGGCCCGGTTTTTTAGGCATCAAAATTTTTCGAAAACAAAAAACCAGAACATCAGATTTTATTAACCGCACTAAATATCACTATTTTCGATTGGAATGAGAATATGACACCGCAAAGCAGCAAAAAAACGCATCACAAATACCGAATAAACCCGGGAGCGGGGGGGAATGGAATACGAAAGGGATTATGCCCGAAAATTGAAAGAGATGTGACGACGGGATATGGAAAATGAGTAACGCAACGGAATGTAGAAAGTCCCGAAAAATATTTACATAACGTGAAAGTTATTGGGGTTTCACGAAAAAGATTTATGTAAAACTTTAGGAAAACGAAACCCGGTCCCAAATTGATGCCATATGGCAGGAGTCATGGTTGATTTCTTTAGGCAACAAGCTCCAAAGAAATGCTTCACATAATTCACAAAACAAATGGGTTCTTTTTCGGGCGTTTCTCAGGCTTACGTGGAGTCGATTGAAGAGGGCCCATATTCGAAGTATGGTCATAAGCATCACCATACCATACCAGCAGTTCTTCTTTCGTTTTCACCGGCCGAAATATGTAATAGTAAATACGGCCGCAATAAGTTATTGCTTTCATATTTTGCAGTGTTTCGTTTGGCGCGCAGTTGATGTATCTGGTAATGAAATTACTATTGAGTCTCTTATTTTATAAAGATCCATTAAATAACCAACCTCAACCAGTTTGATTTCTTTGGATCAGAAGCATCAATATACATAGTTCCCTCCTCTGTAGCAATTTCCCATGCATAACCGGACCGATCTGCTTTTTCTTTTGTTGTCTTCAATCCTTCGTATGGACCAAAGAATAGCCCAGCGGGGAGATCATAGCTAGCGAATATCCCAAGTCCATGTAATGGCGATGGCCTAATTTTGAAAAATAACGGGCAGGTATAATAAGATCGAGGTTCATCTGGGCGAGTATCACTTCTGACCCGATCTCCAATATGGTAGAATGGATGCTCTTTGCAGAAGGGATGCTAAAAGGTTACTTCAATGTAGTGTAAGGGGTCTATTACCTTGAATTTCTCGCACATCAGGCAATAGATATCCTGGTCGGTTGCTTCTTCATCTGGAACCACCCTCAGTTTTTGCAGGTTCGTGGCAACATCTTCAGGGACCTCTTCAAGCCGAACGTGCCATTCATCGTTGTATTTATCTTTGGCAACAATTTGTATCGACTGTAGTCTTGTGTCGATTACGAAAATGTCTGCCATACCCCGATCTGAAAATGGAATCGATTCAAATAATTTGCTAACTGTTGCGTAGTATATTGATTATCATAATTAATCACGGCAATCGCATACAAATCGTCTGTATTCTGGTTAGTGGTAACAGTAATTTCAGCCAAATGACAGCTTTTCAGTTCCAACACACAAATCGTCAACTGAAATTGTTTATTCGATAAAGCTAAGCCAAGGGAAAATATCACTTTGTCCACTAGGATGGCGGGGCAGGGTTGGGACTAGTATACAAATTGTAACACCTGAAATATCTATAGCAAACCATTTGGATGAGCAATTAGATGGTTTTAATGACACCGGCGCAACGCATAAGCTCTAGCGAGAAAAGGCCTATCGTGATGGAAAGCGAATCTGGGTGAGTGGCTGGGTGTTGAGAGTGTTGGGAACATTTGAGCGAATCGCATAAAACGGCTAGAATCAAGAGAAAACATAACAACAGGGAAAGATCGTTTAGTTTGCGGTAGCAGCCGTGGCGTGGAGAGGATTTACATGATCGGACATGCTTGAGCGGCTAATTTCGGATCATCCATCTAAAAAAGGTTATTTTTCTAATAATTATTGTTTGTTTTTTATAGTTTCAGCTTTTTCGATACATACCTTGGGTAATCCTTGTTCATCCGTCTGCCAGCCAGGTGGTAGTGGTCCAACGAGCTCGGCAGGTGGGTAGCCAAGGGTTTGCAACTCGACCTACAAGAAACTTCCTTAAAAGTATGTCTTTTCCTTACCAAGCATTTGGCAATAGTTGACATCCCTTCAGGAAGCTGCGGCTCTCCTTCTGCTTTTGGGACAACGTCTGTCACGTCTGTGACTTGAATGGCGTCCGAAGCTTCATCGGCCTCATAAGCCGCGCACAGTTTGCCAATCACCTGAAAATACGATGAATATGCTGATTTCCTCTTAATCTCTAATTTCTAGAAATTTATCTACCTCTTGTTGCTTCTCATAACGAGCTTTCGTCTCGGCATCCAGTTCAGCAGCGTGCTTCTCAAAATATTCCGGGAATTTGTCGTGGATATCTTTCAAAGCTGGGTACATCATTTCCTTAGAGACGAGACTCTAGAATCATTATTTCCGTGTCTTGTTATTTTTTCCTACCTCCATCAACATTCCCATAAAAGGCTCTAGAGGTGAGTTCGGGTCCTTCAGCATATCGAGGTTCTGAAGAAACATTTAATTCATCAAATGTGTATACCTGCTGCATTTCTTCTGGTGATTGGGCATTGGCGATGTTACCGCTGGTGTGCATCAATTTTTCAATAGCTTCAAACATCGATTTCATGTCCTCGGGAATCTGAATTTTGTGTGTTTTTCCGGAAATCGTCCTTTACCTCTTGTGGTGGACCTCCTTCTGCTTCACCTTGTTTAAACACCTCGTCCTTCATTTGCACCATATTCTTCAGCATTTCCTAAAAATCCGACGAATTTTTCACGAGAAAAATAAATATTACGTTGAAGTCAGCTGCGGCTTTTCTGGCTGCTTCTTGATCATGAGCTGCCATAATGTCGTCAAGGTCATCGTCGGTGTTCTTTTGTCTGGAAATATTTTAATGTAAATATTTACAAAATTTAAAAAAGATCTTGACAGTCAACTTACTTTCCAAAATCCTTTAATGAACTATCGAGCAGATTGGCCAATTCATCATCCTTCGAACCGCTAGGGATCTCCTCCTTCTTGTCATCAGCCATCTCAGCCTACCTATAAATTCTTTTATTTCTACTGGCTCCACAATCCACTAAAACGAAAAAGCTAAGAAAACACTTGAACACAGGCAGTAAAACAGAAACAAAAAGGATGGGGATGTGAGGCAAATACGGTGGAGCGAATTACCGACTGCAGAAATGATAACAGAATCCGAAAAGCGAATAGATAAATGAACCGGAGAGAGGAGCCAGAGTGGTGGCTTTTGTTAGAAGGATAATTGGCGATATCCCCTGATGATATTGTAAAGAAATTATCCTAGGCACGTTGCACGGACGTTTGGCGGAAGAAGGTGGGGTCGAGCTGAAAAAAATGGAGATAGAAGGTCGGATTTTGGACCAAATCCGGTCGTTCGGTAATTAGCTAATGTCGCACGGCTTGCAGGTTTTTTATTGATAAACATAACTATAAGTGTTTTGACATTTAGATACATTTAGATAGCCAATTATACCCATAAAGAAAGCCCTGATACCTTCAGTTGAGGATTGGGGGCCTAGTTTAATCTAATGACTAGTTTTATTATATATAGTATTATCTCATGCGCCATTTGCTAATTACCCCCGTAATAATGTAATGGTTTTAAATACCATACCTGAACAACGAGCATTTTTTTTTAAATAAGTAACCGCAGGCACTTTAGAAGTACTTCTTCTGAAGGGCGTGCTGGATGGTGATTCCGAGCTGAGCCGGGGATTCAGTCACATTGACACCAGCAGCGCGAAGGGCATCGATTTTATCGGTAGCCGTGCCCTTGCCGCCGGCGATGATAGCTCCGGCGTGACCCATTCGTCGGCCTGAAAACATTTCAAATATACTGCGAATTTTTCTGATACCTGGTGGGGCCGTGAGACCAGCAATGAACGAGGCAACCGGCTTCGCGTTCTCTCCACGGTTATGCAGCTTCAAGTATTCGGCGGCCTGCTCTTCGGCCGTTCCTCCAATCTCGCCAATCAGAATGATGCCCTTGGTTTCTGGGTCCTCGAGGAATACCTGTAAATTTTTCGGTGATTGATAGGCTATTTTCAGAAAGCATGCTACGAAAAAAACATTAGTGGTTAGAATTGATAAAGTTCATTAAAATCGGCTCGAAAGCTGGTACTCACTTCGAGGCAATCAATGAAGTTCGTTCCGTTGAAGGGATCTCCTCCAATTCCGACACACAGTGTTTGTCCTAGTCCGACCATGGATGTCTGGTGCACTGCCTCATAGGTCAGGGTTCCGGACCTTAAATCAAGCGGCTAATTTGTGAAATTTTGAACCAGGGTGGGAGTCGCTAAAATTTGTGTGCGCTTGATCGATTCACCTAGGTCTAAGCCTGACCTTAAGCGTCAAGAGTAAACCCAAGCTACCCGGTTTTAACGTGGTTTTTTGGGTAGAGCCTGTTTTGTTTTTAGTTTCGAATCAAGAGTCTTATAAACAGCTACCAAGGAAAGACCTGGAAATAGAGCGATCCGTGAATTTGTCAGATTTGCACCTACCTGGACACGATACCAATGCATCCCTTCTTGTGGATGTGGCCGGGCATGATGCCAATCTTGCACTGCTCAGCGGCGATGATTCCCGGGCAGTTGGGACCGATGAGACGCGAGGCAGACTGCTTGAGGAGCTTGGCCTTGACTCGGACCATGTCCTGTTGAGGTACGCCTTCGGTGATGCATACGATCAGCGGGACCTGAAAAGGGAAACTTGTCGCGAGTAGGGAATTTTATGGTTTTCAGTAATACCCCGATTACAAATTTTGCAGAGGTACTTGCTTGACGAGGGGCGGGGCGTAATACTCAAAAACACAATTTGGTAATAAAATGAGTTAGAGGTGGGGGATTTTGTGAAAAATAAAGAGCCTCTGAAGCAAGTGGTACAGAAATGAACCAGATGTTATCAATGAAAATTGATATCAGAATGATACGAGGCGGAAAACTTGATATGGAGAACTGATCTCTGCACTAATAAGCACTAATGACTGCATGGTACTGAAATTTAAATTGCGAACCTCGGCATCAATAGCCTCCTCAATAGCCGAAGCACATCCACTTGGTGGAACGTAGATGACAGTCGCGTCACATCCGGTCTTATTGCGAGCCTCTTGCACCGAACTACAATGTTTTTTTTTACTTTTTTTTCGAGGGCAAACTTACGCAAAAACTGGGAGTCCAAGGTGGGTCTCGCCGGCCTTCTTCGGGTTGGTACCGCCAACAACACGGGTGTTGTACTCGATCATCTGTTTGCCGTGGAAAGTGCCCTGCTTTCCGGTGAACCCTTGGACCAGCACCTGAATTATGAATTTATTTAATGAATATTTGTAGACGTTTGTGATTCACGTCTAGTTGTAGATAAAAAAATAGCTGATGACTTGTTTTTATACCTGGCTTAAAAATGAGCAATTTTTTAGGATTTGAATTCGAGAGCGTATATTACCGCATTCTTCCCGGATTTGTACGCAAATAACCCTTCTACGTTATTTAAGATTTTTAAAACATATGTCGATAGCCGAGGCTTCCGAGACTGATTCTTCCCTTTTCAGAGGTACAATCAAATTGGCGAACCCCATAACTATTCCCAAAATTATTATATTGCCTCCTAATATCTATGATTTAAACAAACCTTGGTGTCACGGTTGATCATCAGGTTACGGCGAGTCGCGTCGTAGCTGCCGGCCCGGGTGGCAGAAGAGCCCAACCCCTTCAAGCTTCGGAGCGTCTTCGCGGCGGGCAGTGACATCTCCTGCAATTTCCAAAATGTTCTTATACTTGCAATTTATATATCAAATAGGAATACAAATTGAAAGCTGCGTTTTATCGGTGCTGAACGCGAGAGCAAACCCCAAAACCACCCAAGAAACGATCCCATTCCCCAGCGGACCAATCGATAATCCAAGTGCTGAAAAGTGCGCAAATAGCCGAGTCGATATTTTCAAGGTCAATGTGATCTTTGGATGATAGGATCTGCTACATACACGGCTCAAAATACAGACCACTAATGGCCATGTAGTCTCGCACAAACGAGGGGAGTTTGTAAACGACGTGAGGCGACATTGAACGCCTGTCGAAAGGGGTGCATTGGACTTTGGGCTGGTGAGAAGAACAAATAGGCAGCTGACGATTAAACGGGTTTAGCGTTGTAAAACAAAAAAAGAAGTAACACGCGCCAATCAAGATAGTTAAAGTTATAAAAACTAATTTGAAATAAAAATTAAAAAAATACTAATAAAATAGAAATCTTCCTTCGGCCATGATTACTATATTTTTTTGCGCACTTGGAAATTGTTTTATAATATATTAGTTTATTTTTGATGGTGCTCTTCCGGCTTGAAGATTTTAGATATTCAAATGTTTATTGACGTAAAAACCGGTGGCAGATTAAAGAGTGTTTATTCACAGCACCTAATAAATCGTCATTTCATCACAAAACAAAATTAGGCTCTACTTTCTAACGACAGTCTCTTTAATAGAAGTATCCACAGTTAGCGTGAATACATCTGGCCTGGAATAGTGGCCGACGACGTCCAGATCAAACTTTCCGCGTATGCACTAAAATCGTAAAGATTTTACTGTGTTAGAAAGTACCTCTTCGGTATTCACGTCAGCATATAGTAGTTTTTCTCCTTCATAATTTGGTTCCATCAACACTTTTCCGAATGGGTCAATTACACACGAGCCACCACGGATCAGCACCTGAATATTGTGGGTGCACTGAATTTCGAAGGACATACGTTCTTCCCGTGTTTTTCCCTCATCGGATGTCCTTCAGGAAAATTCTCTCCTGTTATGTATTGGCAGGCGGAAATGACAAAACATCTATAAACCGCTGGTTCTTTACAAACTGTGTAATTTCAATCAAGTTAAGTTTCCCGCACCTGCCCTCAACAGCAATATGCTTCATTGTGGATATCCAAGCATCCCTATCATCAACGGTAGGTGCAAGATACAGTTGTATTCCCTGGGAATAGAGATGGGTACGGTAGAGTGGCATGTAGTTTTCCCAACAAATCGCTGCTCCAATTGTTCCGAGCTCCGAAGTTTCGAACGTCTAAACTGGAATAGGTTAACTGCATTTTTTTATGGAGTTTCCAGCCAAGTTACTTACAGCCATCGTTGATCCATCGCCATTTCCCCAAACACAGCGTTCAAGGGCTGTTGGCAATAGTTTTCGATGCTTTCCCATATAGCCACTCGGACCAAAGAAAAATACAGAACAATACAGAGTCTTTCCGGATTTCTCCACGACTCCGGTCACCAAATGAATGTTCAGTTCTTGAGCAAGTTTCTCCAAGGCTTGGTGCTCCTCCCCATATTCGGCGATAGCCGTGGAATAATACCTAAAAAATCTTTCTACACAGGAACGCTAAATTTACCTTGAGAATTCATTCCTCCCTTCTTCTGACCGAGAACCAAGTGATATCCCAAAATCACTAAATTTGGGATAGCCACCGAGGAACGCTTCTAAACTAGGCATATACAAGGACTAACACAAGCACCTGGAAATACCACCAATTTCGCTCCATTTTCCGCGGCTTCCTTAGCATAGGCTTGAATTTTAGCCAAAGATTCTTCAGGCTGGAAAAGCAAGGATCCAATTTGCGCGATAGCAACTTTGTTCTTGATGGTTAGCATGCTTGTTGCTGGGTGTGAGGAATGGGTGTTGATATAGACAAGAAGTTGGGCAAATGGGGGATTGGGGGGAAGGTCGTGCAAAATGTAGTGATTGGGGGAGAGAGAGGTTCCTAGTTTGTGCATCGCAACGAAAGACACAATTCGAACATATAATCGTTACAGCCGGATGTTGTGTGGACTGTGTGTTCTTAAGGTAATTAATATATAGTAGATGTTATTAAAACCTTGGTGTCATTAAGTCAGGCATTCCTCTACAAATTAGGATTTTGCTGTAACTGTGCTTATGGCTTCTTTTTTTTTTATTTTTTTTGTGGTTGCAACGTGCAATAACTTTTAGAGAGCTTAGGAGGTCAAGAGACAAGCTGACATGAAAAATGACGAGGCGTCTATTTTGGGTTAAAGAAGAGCCGGAACCGGCGGGGGTGGAGTCTGGGGCCCCATTTAGGGTTAGCTTCCATGATATGTGGCTCTGAGACAAAGCAACTTTCCGCCCCATTCTTTCCACCCGCCTTTCCAATGAAGTAGAAAAAAATTTAATAACTTTGTCAAAAACTGGATATATCGGCTTCCCTAAGTTTTTAACCTGCATACCTTATTACCCGGAAGTCTGGTAATATAATCTCTATTTCCGGAAGATATAGCTAGCCCCCGCCCAAGACTTTTGTTTGGATTCCTGCGCCGATTTCATCGTCCGATAATCCTTAAGAGATCCCTTCCGGAGTTCTGGACCAGAAGATATCCCGAAAATTCTATCCCTCGAACTCATTCTTCTGCCCCAAAGGCATCGGTTTCCATTTTCCCACCTCTTCGCCCACATCGTCGTGACAATTTATAGCCTTGCCGAGCCGTTGAAAGGTTTTTTGAGCTCAAATTTCAAAGGACCCTTTTCTGAAAGTGTCGTGTATATAATGCTGATTCGCGTGAGCATCCAGAGCTCATTTTTTTCTAGAATTAGGTTAAGCAGTTCCGATGTTGCTTGTTTTCTTTTGTGTATGCGAATAATGCATCTTTGTTGCCTTTCTAGCCCTCAATGTCGATGTCTGTTCCCGATGACAAGCCATGTATCACGTTTCACATTTTTTGATTTGGGCTTCTAATACAGGGTGGTCCATAAGTATTGTCGCGCTTTTTGGCCGGGTGTATCAAACCGGGGCCGTGTGCGATTGGCCAGTTGAGCGTATGCCTTATGCAGTTTTTTATCCTCTATCCGATGGTAAGATAAGTTGCACGATCGTATTGAGTTTTGGACCTTATAGCACATAGTTTCTAATGAACCTCCAAATTTCAGCTTAAAAATGGCTTTTGAGAGGCTCCGCTGGCGACAAAACAATGATGTATTCACTAAATTTGCCTCTATAATTAAAAGAACCAGTAAAACTCTGCTAGCAGAACCTCCTAACAAAAAATTTCGCACCTCCGTTTTTGAGCAAGCGCTATTCAAAGTTTCGGGGAACCCGGTGCGCCGCCCTCGGCCTACCCCGTATGTAAAACTGAGATCGTGGCTGCCAGAAAGCTGAGAAAACTGTGACAATTTTTTTGGGGACTACTAAGGCTTCTTTTCAACTATTCCCAAATTTTAAGCGCGGAATTCCACATCATGTTCAAGAAAATCGAGATTTTTGTCTAATGGCATGCGCAACCCAAATTTAGTTCAAATCAAATTCTGAAAAGTGACCGGAGCCTAGCCCAATATGCCATTGGAAAGAAGACGTCAGTTAGCATAGTAATAGCATATTGAATTGCCCCCGGGTAGCCCTAGGAAGAAATAAAACTTCGAAAACTAAAAAATGACGGGATGGCCTGAATTTGCGGATTTTCGTGCGAACATTGCGGAGGCCATAGCTCCTTCAAGCGACAAGCTGATTAAATTTCCATTTGGGAAGATGCAGAACAATGCTAGAGCTACCATAAACACGCTCGAAAAAACATCCTGACTCTCAATCGCCGGATTTAGAGCCCTTCTTCCCGAAATTCTGGCGCGGCGCACCCCAACCTTTTGTCGCCCACTTTAAGCAAATTATCTCACTTGGAAACCATTATTCCAAAAAACTTTCTAAAGCAAAGTGGTTTCTAAGGCTTGTCTGAAGCTAACCTAATTGGCTAAATGGCTCAAATCGCTCAGTGGGAAAAGATATGCCGCCTTGAGAAACGACAATACTGATGGACCACCCTGTATATGCGCAGCACTGATTCATTGTGTTAGTTAACACCAGTTTTCTGAGATTTTGCATGGTTGTTGCTGTTTCTCAATTCACATCGGGGGTGAGGGCTATTTTCGAAATGGACGCGGGGATGTCTGTCATTTTATGAGATTCCCGACAACTTGACTTTTTGCTTTTTTGCATGGGGGAGTCTCGGGGCTCGTCAGACAGCCAACTAGCAAAAAAGAGCCGTTTCGACACAGGATTTGGGAATTTAGATCCGCATCAAATGGGGGTGGGTCGTGGGAAAGTGAAGCTATGAAATAACGGTGGAAACATGATTTTCTATTTTTGAACTTGGGACATGTCAGCTTCTTATCAGGGCTTTTTTCGAAATTTTTGTTGACTTCACCTTTAAGCGACGCCATTATTAGTTTTTAAAAAGTCTTCAAATTTGAAAGAAGCTCACATTATCTTTTCAAAATTCCAGTAGGGGTTGAAAGCTTTTAGCAGACGTTTGCATTTCTCCTACGTGCGATTTTACGAGTTAGCCTATGACAATTTCCAAAACCCAAATGATGGCCAAAATTCCTCTTGCACTTCCTGTATCAAAGAAAATACCAAAAACAATGTCCATTCACCCTTGCCCTCACACTAGCATTGTTCCCCATTTCCCTCCACTTTCACACAAAACTTTGCCCCCGGCATGTACCCGATTCGGCGGCCCGCGTTTCTCCCGGCATTTCCTGTTTCTTTTCAAACCATTTCAACAGCTACCCCCGATTCTGGCGGGGAGGAGCGAGTTTTTTGGAAGAAGGGCAAGATTCTCCGGGTTGTTCGTGTCTCTTTTCCCTTGACATGGACCCTCGGTTGGTTTGGCCTTTTGGCGCGATAAATAAGGCAAGTGGCCCTTCCGCGTCGTGTCTCTTCTCGAAATGGCTCTTCTGGGTATTCCCCGCATTTGGCACCGGCGATTTTCGGGCATTTGTCAAAGTATGGGTTGCCTGGGTCGGAAGTTGCGTTTTTTGCGAATTTTTAAGACTACTGTAATCAGCTATCCGCTTTAGTATCAATTAAATATTTAAATCCTGGTACAAATTGAATTTTATTTAACTTTCGATATAACCAAGTTCAGACAAAGTTGCCCATCACAAAAAAGAATAAGATATTTTTTCCGCAACTATACTAGTCATGGATTACACCTACACCGGAATTTTCAAACCGCGCTCGCTTTTTTTGCGGAAGTTGCGGGTGGCCAGCTTCGTCTATTGTTCCTGTTTTCCGCGTTCATACCTCGCTCTGCCGTTCCTCTTTTCTATTTTGGCATTTCGGAGGGAAGAACCCCCCTCGGGGCACCTAGACATAAACACTCTGTCACTTTGCCCATCATTGCCAGGCCCCACCCACCCCCGGCGAGTTGCTTTTTTATTTTTTGACGCCTCGGGTCCCTTATGATTTTTTTTTGAGACGATTGCGGTGTTCATTTCCTTGAAGTAGGATCGGATTACAGAAGTAGGAGCGGAAAGTTTGCCACGACCTGGTAATTTGAAATGAGGTCACACTTTTAGTCTCAGCGCGGGTCTAATGAAATCGTTAGCTATTTTTTTGCAATTTCGCTCGAGAAAGGTGTACTAAAAACTTTTCGCAAGCAAAATCCTGCAAGGTTTTTTGCAATTCTGCCGCGCCACCCCCACCCCCGGCCTCCACCCCCCCTTTTGGCCGAAAACTTTTTCCAAAACGTTGCTCCACTCCCCGCAAACCCCTTCACTTCCGCCGTCCCCGCAAAAAATTATGAGCTTTCAGCATATTTTCCAGGCGAGGTGTTCCTTTTCCGGGGTGGCGGGATTTCTGTCCTTAAAAAAGCCTTAAAATGCCTTAAAAAAAGTTGCTTTTGTCGTTATAGGTGTACAAATATTTCTCCATCAAAGTGCTTTTTAAAATGTTCTCAAACACCTTAAACTTTTCACGCAACACAACATTTTAGCCTATTTTATAAGAAATTTGCAAAATCCCTTGACACCACAAACTCCCCAAACCAAAAACCACCAAATCGTAAAATCCGTCCATTTTGTGCGCAAAAGTCGTAAGCGGAGTAGGCGCCTCGTTTTTTTGGGGGTAGCCCCCAAAATCTTATTCGCTGGAGGCCATTGCCAGGGGGGCCCCTAGTGTGGTCCAAATATAAAGGCTTGGCCCCGGGTGTCGTTTGGCCACAAATCGCCTCGCTGTCCACCACATACACAAATGACCGCCCTCGCCCCCGGGCGGATCTATACATAGTGTTCAGCTACGGGCTGGAAACGGGGCTTGACGACAATTTATTCTGGCGCTTCAATTTATCAATCCACTGGGCCCCTTTTGTTTTCTCCGGGTGACCATGCCATTTTTCCAAAAAAAAATGCGAATGCCGAGCGGCGGTTCCCATAAAAACAGCACAACAAAAAGTCAAATTTTCCGGAATTTCTCTAACAAAACTTTTGGTTCAAAACTTCGTGCTTCGTTTTATGGGTCTTCTCCGCAGATCCAAATTTAGAAAAAGTTCGTGGAAGACGGCAATAAATTGTCCTCCCGAATTGCTGTTTACGACGCTATTTTCCCTTACTTGTTGCTCGGCTGTCCAATCAGCCATCATTTCGTGGGCCCCAAGCTCGAAGCCCCCCCCCCCCTGGAATCGTGGGCGCACAAAACATTTCCGAACTTTCCGCCTCAATGCCCTAATATGCATACGGTATCGCTAAGGGGCATAGCTGACCGTTTATCCTGCACAAACACCCGCATTTTTGTTATGAAATTTTTTTGGATGCCTTTATTTCTTATTTTCAGCCATGCTATCGGCCCAAGAAGCCCAAGAAGCTACAAAGCTACTCTCTGGAGTACTTCTAAATAAAGTAAGAAATTCTATAAAGTTTAGGAATAAAGAAACTTGTACCAATAAAAAAAGCAAAAAAATAGTGAGTTTCGAAAAACTTTTTTTAGCTAAAATTCACCGGCGAGAATCTGCATGATGAAAAGATTGGCGAGGAATACCGTCGTTTGGTAGAGCTCGACTACAAGGTAAATGTTTTCCAAATTTGCACAGGTTTTTAAGGTGGTTGAAAAATACAGTGAGATTCTGGTGGGATTCAAGGCGCACACCGAGGCTCTTTTAAAAGCGGAGCAGGCGGTTGGACAATTTTTGGCAGGCATCTAAACCAGTTTAGGTAAATGATACCCGCCTTGCGATGAGGGCATTTGTGGAAAAGTCTTCTGGAGAACTACATGGATTGCAGGCTGAATGTGACAGTAAGGGACAACGAATGGCATTGTAATCGCTAAATTACAGGCATTCGGAAACAAATCACCAGCCCGACCAAGATTGAATTCTCAGATACCTCCAAGCCAGGGATGAAGGGTGTTGTGTAAGTGGCGAATTAAGCGGTTTTTGAGTGATTTTAGAACTCACAAATCTGGGGTGCCTCCACCAAAAGCGTTTGCCGCTGTATTCGATCAAAAGGCGTTGTCGGATTTTGTGAGGTCCATGATGGCTGCGCATAAGCTTGAACCGGCGCAGGAAGGGTATGATCTTTGACGATGACCTCATAAGCTTTCTGAAATCCCATCAACATATTTTTATCCCCTTTACGACTCAGCAATTTTTGAACTCTTCCGGCCTCCCGAAAATTGCTCTCCGTAAATCCTCGTCCCCCCAAAATGGGTCCTTTGGGACAATGTTCGTCATATTATCTCGCGACCAACAGGCGATTTTCAGAGAAGCGACCATCGAGGAGCTTTGCAGAAGGATCTTGGACAATGGCCTGAAGAGTGGGAAAGATATAAGTTACAAAAATGATGTTCTAGATGATCCATTAACGCTTGCTACCGAAGCCCGGGAGAAGGAGCGTGTTCGCGAAGCACTTGCCGCAAAGTTGGTTTTGACTGGTTTTGACAAATCGGCCTAACTAACTGGCAACTGAGAGATAAATTCTAGCAAGAAAATTTTTCTAGCTACATCAACATTGTTCTTGGGTATTAAAAGCTTACAGATTTCAGTTTTGAGTTTACATGGACCACAATTTTAACCCAATTTCAGGAACGACCCGAATCAGAACATGAGTGTCAAGCGCTTTCCATCCTTCAAACACGATATTCTGCGCCCACAAAAGGACAAATAAGCATCCCGCCATGAAACTAATTTTTACTTATTTTTCAGTACAAATCAAGCTTTTTTGAGCTGAGTATTCTGTGCAATTTCCGCCTCTATTTGCCATTTTCTGATTAAAATGGATTGGTCTTGTCGATCTCGCATAGTATAGTGAAGCACTTTGCATTCTAATATGGCTTTTGGTTCGGACGGTTAGAAGAATAAAGCTACTTACCGGTTTGGGAATTTGAATTTACATTGTAACCCGCTAAGCTTTAAAAAGCAAGGAAAGAAAAATATTTTTTACATTAAGACGCAATTCAGTATCACACCAAATTATATGGTGTCACAAGTACATACGTATCAAAGCGTATAAAGCGTCAAATACGCGCAATATTCTAAAGCAAAACACAACGACTTCGTTCAACTTTATGACTTTCAAAGTCCAGTTCTCCCCGTCATACTTGACTTTCAATACACATCAAACAAGTGCCGGAATGTTTCGACAAAGACCACTATTTCAAAAGAGCCCTCCTTTCATACCCCTAATTGTCCATTGTAGAGCACGCTGTCTTTTTTCGGCAACCAAGGTGGTTAGGGATTTGTCCCCCCGTCGGGTATGGAAGCGGTCTCCCTTTTCCAACACACAACATAAACACTTCCCGTCTCAACTTCCCCTCCACCGACACGGAAGCCGTTATAGCAACCACAGGTGGGCCATTTTCACTTTTTGCGTGCCCGCTAGCTGCCTGCTATCCAGGATGCCGCCGAAAAAAGTAAGGCTTTCGTTTTACAGTTGATCGTACGAAAAGGCCTCGGGTTACTGTAGGTTTGGGAGGGAGAGATTTTGGATTCGAATAAGATCACGAGAACCATATGTTCAAAAACATATTACTGATAGGCTTAGGGAAGAAGGCAGAATCGTAAAAAGCACAGGAACAGTTTGCAAAGCAAAAAGGATTGGCAAACCGATTCCTTTTTTAAACAATGAACTAGGCCTTTAGACCAGGATTTTGTTGTATTTGGCTTCCTATCATGTCAGGCTATGTACAACAAAATCGCAAAGCAAATAATAAATGAACAATCTTTTCTGCCGACATACGGCCGGAATAATAGCGTGCATACCTAGGTTGAGAGATGCAACTTTGAAATAATGTTAAAAGGCTTGCTGTAGGCTAAATTAAGACGATCATGGAAGAGAGCGAGAGTGAGAGTAAGGGAGAGTGAGAGAAAGAGAGAGAGAGAAAGAAAGATAGGCACCTCCGATACCAAATTGCTAAACCTTAATTCGAGAGAACAATTAGCTATAATTTTTTGGCGTTTGAAAACTCCAACAATTCTTCGTATTTTTCACACGCGAATTAAAACTTAGTTTGAGCTTTGGATCGCAAACAGCACATTCCCTCCCCCAGCTATTTTGTATTATTGTGCGGTGTTGGTAATTTTCATTGTGCTTTTCCAGTTTCAATACCACCCAATGCCTCATCATTACAAACCGAAGAAACAGAAGGAAAAGCCGACACCCGGGGTCGAGAGTACGGCCGAGCTCATCCGACGCTATTGTACCGTTGATGCCCACGCCTTTTTAGGATTGACCAAGTAAGATTTTGCATGATTGAATATAATTAGAGGCTAACACGTGTGGATGTTTGTTGACACCTGATGATGCAACTGCATTCTAGAACGCACGCCGTTCGAGAAATTCATAGACTTGAGATGCTGCTTTTCCATATTTTTTATATTTTTTTATAGTGCTTGAAAACTCGAGATATACAGGCTAAACGCCGGCCAAGCGCTGCCATGAAAATGAGTATCACCAAAGTTCAGTTTGCTTAAGTTTCGACCAACCCTACATTTTTTAAAACATTCGTTTTGGCTTTTATGTTTTCGTACCCGGTAAGACTATTATAATTCAGCTTCAATCAGTCTGCTCCCACTTCCATGACCCCAAATTTTGCTGTCATCGTTTTTTAATCCAACCATCTCCTCCCCCCCCCCCCCATCATTTCCAACAACTCCCTCGGCTGGTAGTTATAGCAGAAAAGGGGGTATGTGGTCGAGATGGAGGCTCCTGACACGTGTGTTGGCCGTCAGAATGGATGGGGAAAATAATAAGGGTTGTGAAGCGGGGTGGGGAAGGCTGAGAAGCGGCGAGGGAAGGTTTTGGAAGGCCGGCACGGCTCCCGGGAGACCTTCTTCCTCGGCTCGGGGAGCAAGAAGGGAGGTCTCTTTCTTCTTCTTTTGCATTGCTTTTTCTTTTTCTTTTTTTTATGCTGCTCAACCCGGTTGGCTTCCTCATCTTGTGGTTGGTTCTTGGCTTGTCAGCACCTCCGAAGAGGTCTATATCGAGTTGGGAGAGCTTTTTTAGCTTTTAAAAGTTTATGTATGATTTCTGAACGGCGTGCGACGCGGTTTATGATCGATAAATGCGTTTTCGCATAGCTTTTCTTTTTAATGAGCTATATCATAGCTTGATATCTTGCAATCTTCACCCATTCACAAGCCACTTAGAAATGTTTATCTCCCGAGAGCCATCAGTCCTCAAGCCGACGTCATTGACTCGGCTAGTTTCTCTGCCCAGAAGTGATCTTCGGTTCAGCTTCGCGATCTACTACAAAGACCATAAGGACATTCCTTGGTTTTTCTTTTTACTTCCCCGCTCTTCTTCTCCTTCTTCTTCTGGCGTATGTGAGTCGTTCTCGTGGTGGATGTCCCGAGATTCGTGAGCCAGCATCCCCCAGCCAGCCGCTTCCCATCGATCCCTCTCCCTTCGAAAAACCTCAGCCTCGCCCACAGCTCCGAAGACATGCTTAGGGCCTTTTCACCGTTCTGGATGCTTAGGCTTAGGCTTAGCTTAGGCTTAGGCTTAGGTCTGCAGTGTCTGCAACAAGAGAAAGACCTGCATCGGCCGCCAGGTAACAAATAAGAATCAAGTCTTGCCTAGCCCTAAGCCTAAGCCTAAGCCTAAGCCTAAGCCTAAGCCTAAGCCTAAGCCTAAGCCTAAGCCTAAGCCTAAGCCTAAGCCTAAGCCTAAGCCTAAGCCTAAGCCTAAGCCTAAGCCTAAGCCTAAGCCTAAGCCTAAGCTAAGCCTAAGCCTAAGCCTAAGCCTAAGCCTAAGCCTAAGCCTAAGCTCGTGCTCATCATCGTTGTTGATTCACACGAGTTATCAGTTTCAAGTTAATGACACCCCGAGGCTTTTCCAATGTTCTTAGATCTTCTGGGTCATCTTTTCCGGTATTGCTTTATTAAATCTTCCCTAATTTACCTGAAATCTCAACTTCTATCTCTCGCTCTGCCGTTGAAGTAAACTAAAAATCTGCTCTTTTTTTGGGGGCGCAAATCCTGCGTATGCTAACTGTTATGCATGACTGCTCATTACGTAGGGCGGAAATCGGCTGTGAATCCTAAAATTTCCGGTTCCCCTCTTTTTGCCAAGCCCCCCTTAGACCATCAACGCCAAAATTTAGCGTTATTATCTATGAAACTATGAAAATGGCCTGCTGCTCCCATACTATTACAACACTTCTCCCCCTTTCCGGCCACCACTCGTTTGCATTTTGTCCGGAAGTGCCGGCCAAACTTTTTCACCCGGGGCAGCCGTTCGATTTCCATTGCAATCTCCATGGCATTCTCCAGCTAGCTGGGCGCTTTTTTTGAAAAGCCGAATGGAGAGTGGGGGACGGCGTTGGTTTTGCTTGCGGGTTGCGGGGTACATGCCCAAAATAACTCAATTCGAAAGGGCTTGTGGCTGCAACTCTTGGGTTTGTACGGTTGTCTGAGGGGCTTAAATCGAGACGAGATTTTCCGGAAGTTCTAAGTTGTAAATAATCAATAGTATCCGTTAAAAAATATTTATTAGATTTGTTCGGCTATTTGTAAAGCAGACATACCAGTATTTTGTTTTCCGAATAATTACGAAAGCTGTCTATTTTGTCATAATTCTGGTATGTTTTTGTATAGAAAGCACCTGTTCCGTATGGTTATTTTTGCAGTTGACATGCTGGAACATTTCATTTAAGTGTGCGATTGCTTATCCAATATCTTATTGCTGATCCAAACTCCATTAGAAAATATGGTTAGCATTTTGATATATCTGTTTTCTATGTCGCATTTCTAATATCCGACCATCCAATTACTTCCACCTACTATAAATTGCCCCAATTACAGTAAGCGCGAGACTTATCCGCGGACGTTCGCCCCGGGCTATCCCCCCGTTTTGGCGGCTGGCGGCTGTGGTGACGGCTGAAGAATGGCTGGGCGGGGGCCAGGGTTATATTGATCCCGATCACGGTGGAGTTGGATGTTGTGGCGGGGGTCGGGCTCCTCGATGAGCTCCTCCCAACCTTCATCATCATCTCCAGGCAGTCTACTGCCCCTCCCGCCCGGTCTGCCACGTAACGATCCACCGCCACCACCAAATAATGGACATGCGCCCAGGTAATAAGATATACAGGGCGTCGAAGAAAGCACGACTTTGACAATTTGGTTATCTATCGAAAGCTCTCTAAAACGCAAAAGAACTAGTAGTGATTGTTTTCTTAATCAACCATTTTAATTTTTGCAGTTTAACACCGAAAACTACGAATATAGCATCATCATGCATAATTTGCATATTGGGTGGAAAGTCTCTGTTTTAGAAAAATAGTTTAATATCGGGCGCGCATAAAAAACATAGAAAATAAAAACAGCTTGTTTGCTCGCTTTTTCGCGATTTCAAATGTTGTAAAAAAATTTTCCGATCCGAATTTTTTCCGGACCGCTAAAAGGGAGTATTTTTCCGGATGCACAATGGTTATATTGGACTAAAAATGTCGTTTTTTTTAGTATTTATTTGGTAAAGCACTACACATTTATTCACCCCGGCATTTACGCACCATCCGCAATGAGCCGCGTGCGGGAGAAACCAACCCTTGAAAATAAATAAAATAATGAATAACCAGGGTTGAAAAGCCGCTTCGCGACTTTTCAACCCTGGCCCCCGTCTTACCCCCATACTTCATCACTGCATAAACCCCTGAATTCCTGTGCAGGAAAATGAAAAGGGCGTCCTCTCGCCCCTTTATAGGCTTCCCCCGCTTCCGGTGCATGCTAATTGATTTCTAACAAAGAGGCTGAGCGAGATTTTCACAAAAACTGAATTTTAATATCGAAAACAGCTGATTTTTAAAAATCTCAGATGTGTGCAGTCGTGTCATGAACATTACGCACCTAATGACGTATCATACGTACCTTTAACTTCCTCCCCTATTGAGATACGACTGGAACATACGGACGGAAGTTGCATGCAAATGCACACACACACACACACACACAAACACTATTTTTTTATATATAGTAGGATCTGTTTTCTTTCAGAGAACCATCGGCTCAACTATCGGCCCTCGAGCTCAAGCTATATCCACCACTCGCCGAGTTCATCGGCTTCGGTGGTGCATCGAAGCATGTTGTGACAAATTGCGGCTCGCATCGATTAGTGTTCAAGGTAATTTGAATATAGAATCATCGAGATCCGCAATTTGAGGTGAAATGCAGCAACAATGCCTTGTTCAAGGTGGCGCCAGTATTTGCTTTTTTGGATCCAGGGATGAGCGTCGATCTTCAGGTAATATTAAAAATGACGCATCTAGTTTTCTAATTTTAAGGTTGTACGATTGGAAGGACCAATTCGTAAAGACAAACTTTTAATTATGTTTAAAGAGGCTAAGGTAAGTAGTACGGCTTTCAGCATCACATTTTTTTATTCTAGCCCGGTGAACGCGATGCAAAACGCGCTTTTGAAGCTGAAGGCGTCACAGGGAAAACTATCCTACCATTAATTACGGTAAGAGACTATGCAATGACTATTCATATATTATTCCAGAGAGAAATCGATGAATATTAGAAGAACATGGGCTCAGAATCCGCTGCCAACAATCTACTCATTTTTGCTCGATCTATCACTGATAGCTGTTAGACTTTGACCAAATTTAAAGGAAGAATAGCTCATGGAAATTTATGTGCGATTTGCCGCTGCGGGTATTTGAATACAGGGTGGGGCAAAAAAAAGTGCCGTAGTTTGTCCCCAATTATCTCGAGAAGGAAAGATATTTCACCGTGCGATACCATGCCAGAATGCTTAAATATGTCAGGAATAGGGAAATAACTCAACTTGATTTTTTCGATTTTTGAGTACGCAACTGTACTATTGACGCTGGTTACGACCGAAAATTGTGCGTTCTGGAATGGGTGGTGGGAAAATTCTGATTTTTGGCTTAAAAATCGTATAAATTTGTAGAAAGGTAATGCCCAAATCTTAGAATTTATCGAGGTCAGTTTCATTTTTAAAAAGCAAAACAATTTTCGCAATTTTGCGTTATTTTTGTTCTTTGAGTCATAACTCGCTTATAACTCGCTGTCTATGGCTGATATTTTGTCAATGACCTATCCAAATATTAATCTCGGATTCCACAGCAAATTCCACCACAATCTATGGTATTTTTGTATTGCTTGCTAAAACGTGCCCCAGTGGGGTACTGTAGGTTTCGTTTTTCCCGCTTTTCTCGGCTCCCCTAGATTCGATCCGGCTCAAATTTTCTGGGTTGTTAGGCAATAAGTAGGGGCACCTTACTGCCAAATACGAGAGCGTACTATCCACAAACTTTCATGAAAATGACTAAAAACTGATTTTGTAATTCTGCCACAGAATCTTGTAAATTTTTTGGTCAGTTGTACCAAAAACCGCTACTATTAGTTTTACGAAAAGATCGAAGCGATTCCATGGCAAAAACACCACGAAACTCGCTAATTTCGGTTTTCTACAGTAACCCACGTGGAGCGCGTTTTAGCATGCCATCACAAAATTCCATAAAGTGACGCTTTTTCTGTTCGAGGGCCTTCTAGAGGCGATTGTAAGACAGCCTGTTAAAAATTACTGATTTTGGGTGGTAAATAACAAAGTTACGAGGCCAAGTGCAAAATAAGCCAGAGAGCCGATTTTTGGTCCGAGTAGCCGGGGTCAATTTTCGAATTATTAAAAACAAAAAAACCACCTAAGTCTTTTGGATACGATTATAGCTTTGATGTTATTATTTACTCCTGTCAAATTCCGGAGCAATCTGATTCAAACGTTTGGTGACTTTCAGCTCAAATTCGAAGATCACCCTATTCCAAAATCGAAGTTTAAAATTCTTTAAAAAAAATTTCGACGGAAAATTGTCTTAGTCTTTGCATAGTTTTATTCAACTGATAGCACAGACTTATTGCTCAAAATATCCCTACGACTCCACCTTCCAAAATTTTTTGACGCAACCTCCAATTCGGTTTTTTTCGGGTTTTGATGAATTTTCCTGGCGCCAACCGCTGGTTAAAAAAATTCATGAATAAGGCTTTAGGAGGCGCTATTCACCAGGTATCAGATAAAAATAAAACAATAATTTTCACAGCGCCACTAAATTTTATAAAATGGTGACAAGATTCGGAAAAATGCGCGAGCCAACCGTTTTGGAAGCCCTAAAAGACGCCCTTCCAAAGGGATACGGTAGATCGAAATTTTGTGGATGATAGATCAACCCCAGTACTACATAGATAAGCAAAGAAAACAGCTGAGTCCCCTTTGGCAATTTAGAAATATTTTTCCAAAGTTCGATTTCGAGACCTCGAAAAATCCATGACCAGGGGGTCGATGAAAAACTCGAAAATTCATCGATCTCAAAAATTTTTTTAAGATTTTTATGCGATTGTAACGGGCTCGTAGATATTCCACAACAACTGATTTTGAGGTTTTCGCCAGAGGTTTTTTTAATAATAAAAATTTACGAAATTTCTCCATACAAAATTTCATTCCTCTCTAACTTTTCAACCAGACCCTCAAAAATTCTTAAATTTTTTAGGTACATATCTGCTGCTTATATTAACTTACGTAATAAAAATTAGATGCCAGCCACCACAGGAAATTTAGAAAAAGGCAAAGTAAGATTTCCCCGAGCGCACAGTTTTCGGGTGTCATTTGTATTGATACGTCGCCAAAAATCGAAAAAATCAAGTTGAGTTATTTCCCTATTCCTGACATATTTAAGCATTCTGGCATGGTAACGCACGGTGAAATATCTTTCCTTCTCGAGATAATTGGGGACAAACTACGGCACTTTTTTTTGCCCCACCCTGTATTGATGAACGATCTTCTATATAATTCTAAATAAAATTTATTTTCCGCTTCCGAAGAAGAGTGCAATTCATGCATAAAATCATAATGGCAAGGTTATCACAAATTGCAATAGCAACCGGTTAAAATCACGGACTCGTACAAATTTAAAAATCTTGGGTAATGCAAAAAGCACCCGTGGGATGTTGAAAATTTGGTCGAAATTATGCAAACTGAAAGCTTTGAAAAACGTACGATATTAACTTTCAAACCGAAGGCGATCTAAGCGCCAAGGATTTCATCATACTGGGCAATTGCCGCTTTCAAGCGCTGGCGGACGACAGAATTATTATCCTCAATCGGCAACTCTGGACTAGGCTTTTTTAGCTTTTCGGTACGTTCAGCCTTCTCATTTTCAGCCTTCTCCCAGTCCTCTTCTGCTTTGGCCTTTCTTGCGTCTTTCTCGGGCTTTAGGTATGCTTGGAATTCAGGATAGGTCTTCCCTTTTAATTCAGCAACATACTGGAACACGTGGAGGTGTTTCTTTCGAAATTAATTTACCTTTTCGGAAGATCCTGGATTGATATAAAGTTCGTAAAGTGATTGTACAGCAGCACTTGTCCTCCAGCTATCAATCTTTTGGTCAATTAAATGTAGGGCCATTAGTCCATCTTTAAATTTCGATAATCACTACACGAGAGACTAGTAAGCTGTACCTTTTCCTAAAAACTCGAGAAATCCTGTCAGTTTTTGGTCGGAGACCTCAATTGACGTCGCTTCAGTCCATATGTCAATGCCTGAGTAGAATAGGGCATATTCGCTAAGAAATCTAAAAAAATCGTAACGATATTTGGTTTACAGCGTACTCTTTGATGTAGCGCTTTCCGGCCGACGGGACGAAGATTCTATATGTTGTTTTAACGAGGCTATGCAGCGTCGTAAAAAAAGAGATGAAGTAAACGAGCCTAAACATTTTCGTTACTGAATGGAGGAGATTACTTGCCATAGTATAAGGAAAATTTTTTCATAAAGCATTTGTCCAGATAATATGCATTGTGGGCGATGTTGTTGTGGGATATGATACCATTGAACCTAAATAAAAGGGGATATACAACGTCAAAGTTGAAGCAAAATCACCGCTGAGAAATAACAAAAAGCGACTCTCGGAAAGTATCCATGATCTTCCCAGCGACCATTATTGGCAAAGGTATGGAGGATCTAATCTAAGGATTAAGTAGAACTTTACTAGTCATACCTCGAACGCCCACGTTGGTTTATGTCCCAGAAATCGATTTGTAAGCACCATTTGTAAAGTCACGTTAACGCAATACCACAGTTTTGTGAATAATAGAAAGTATACAGGGCTGGAAATGTTTTGGATAGGCAGGTATTATTAAGGTCACCTGAAGAACGATCGTTTTATTTCCTGGCCTGTTTTCAACGTCTCATAAAAATGTACAACGTGGTATTTGAACTATATTTTGGATGTTTCGATACAGGATGGACAGTTTCTTACTCGTAGCTTGTACCAATCCAGCTCCTCCTTGTTTGGAGGATTCCATTCTCGAAGAGCTGTAGAAAAATGAGCAACTCTTGTTTCGAGATCAAACGAGCCTGCAAGGATAACGGTAAAGATAAAGTATATATTAGCATTATTGAGTAGAAAAAATTGCATACCTAGGAAAACGCGGGGGGGGGGGATAAATAACGGGGGGCACTCAGTTTTTTATGATAAAAATATTTTAAAATATTCTTTTTTCGGGCTATAAAAAAGCTATTAGTATTGTTTTTTGGTTTAGTTTTTAGCCTATGAAACTTTTATAATACATTTTTTCGGTGTAAAAACCCTCTTAGTATATTTTTTGACGTTGGCGTTTTCAAAATATGGAAAATCTCCAAAATTTGGCTCCCCCCCGTTATCCTAAGTGCTGCCCATCGATTTTGGTAGATTTTTGTTTATTCGATAAAAATTTTCATTTACATTATCTTGGGCTGAAATTAATTCTCTTAATATGTTTTTCGACGCCCTATCGAATGGCACTCGCCAAATCCCCCAATAATGGCAAATGTCATAATGATGACTGCCCCCATTATTTTATCCCCCCCCCCCCCCCCGCTTTCCTATGAGTATCGAAAAAATTGTACCTACCAGCTCTAAGAGTAAAATAACGTATAATTCTCCATGGTATTACGAAAGCAGCCGTCAATGCCAAAATAAATAATGGGGCACTCCAGTAATAGGCGATCGTGGACTAAATAGCACTTTTTGATATATCGAACCTCACGGTACCTGCGTATGAAATATAACGTTCATCTCATCGATCGCGATTGTTTTTGGAAATGGCTTGTAGTGCAGCTCTTCAATGAAGCAATAATTTCGGAGCCAGTCGTCCCACTTATTTCCGAGGTCATCCGGCTGGTAACAACGAAACCACCCCAAAAATTGGCTGAACAAAGGATGAGAGATTGAATCAGAGTAACAAACCTCTGTGCACCAACAAATACCACCATCCAAAGATGAATAAAGGGCACCCAGTAGTGATTCAATTTATCCGTCCAATCATCTAGTGCAGTCGGTTGGAAGAATTTGCTGACACTTTCCAGCAAGAAAGGAAAGAATATGGACAGCGCCATGCCTGAATTAGTGCTCTTAAAATTTCGAGTAATCATCAAAAAATTTCTTAATGAAAATGATAACGATAAACTAGCAGCGCGGAGAGAATTTACTATCGCAATAGCCAAAGCCCAAGAGATGTGGTGAATTTTTGTTCATCGCGATGGTTCAGATAAAGCGACCCGTGGGGCCTCGACTGTTATTGGAACGTCTGGCAAGGACATCGTCAAAATCGGTGGTAAACAACGTTTGGTTCTAGAGCTCAAAAAAATGCACCGTTAGCAAAAAATCGAGGACAACACTATTAGCATACAGCAAAAAATTATTTCAATTTTGAAAAGAAAGTTTAATTTTTTCTTGAACAGGTTTCGTTTGTGAATTATTTGAAGGTAGAAGTAAAAGTTTCAGCTGACATTTTACGCGTTAAAAGCATAATCAGGGATGATAACTTTAGGTTTGGAATGGGTAGTAATAACCACCTTAAACCCTGTGAAAATGTAATAGGATGGATGGGTTTGCTTTGAATAAACGTCGACTGAATGCTCTCGAGAAATGACTGCCTCTATTTCCGTCGATAATATGCGAGACCATACGTCTCAATAATATTATTGTGCAACGAAAGGGCAAATTTAGGGGTGAATCATATCCTTTTCTACAAACACAAAGATGTTATGGGAACGTCGTAGGTGAATAGGAACAATCTCTGGGCTTGTTGTTATGAAATCGAAGCACACAAATAAAATTATTGAAAAGTCGTTAAACTACATTCCTGTTTGTAAGGTTTGTAAATAAACATGAGCGCATAAATAAGCCGCGCGCCTCGGGCTGGTTGGCGGAGGACTCATTGGAGGTGCCCTTTCAATCGCAAAATGTCGATCGAAAAAGAGGGTAGAGCTGTCTAGGGCTATCCACATGTTGACATGACTCTACAAATAGCGTCTGCCCCCTAATTCGAATGGCATGAGCACGAACTTTTGCCCTAACATTGATGTACTCTTTTTACAACCTAATTTTTGACCCCCCCCCCGCGTGCGGTTACACCAAACCATCATATTTTATCTTGACAACCGGCTGACCCATATCTCCCTGTACTCAATGATGATATTTGCCCCGAATTATGCGAATACGTCTGGAATGACGTTTTAATTGGGAGTGGCAGCATGAGAAGATAAGGGCCACCGCCCTAAAGCTTTTTCGTGACGGCCTAGATAAATAGCAGATTGGCTTTGAGGGCACCCACTGTGGCCGCATACTGTTATCTAGTTTCCGTTTGTGCTTTCAATTGCCTACAAAAATGACTGTGTTTAGACATGCTTCGGGTATTGGCATTGGCATTATTATGCGGGGTGGCGAGTGCTCATATTGCTGGGATCAGATCTGAAGCTCTGAAGGGACAGGAGCCGACAAAGGAGAAAATTGTTGCGGCGAACGGGTGCCCTGATGGCTGGGATGCATATTTCGATACGGATACCTGCGTCCAGGTATGAAGAATATCGCCAAAGGCAAAATAACTAGGTGTACGTCAATAACTAGAAAAACATCTCGTTTGTTTCAGGCCTTCACCGCCAAACTCGACTATTTCAATGCCGAGATGTCGTGCAATCAGGAAAATGGTCATTTGGTGTCGATCCACAACGGCTTCCAAAATGCCCAAGTGCTAGGTGGTGGTTGACCCTCTGAATATGATTTCTGAATTTTAGCCGCTGCCCAGACCTCGTTCACCCAGTGCCGATATTGGGTTGGTGCCAACCGCTTCGGATCCACAAAGTAGGCTTTTTTTTTGGTTGCATCTGGGAATAGCGAGCTAAACTGAGGCGTCATGGGATTAAGGCTTATGGTGGTTGGAAACCTCTTAAAAATATTGATAACAGTTTCTGGTCTTTGTGATGGTTTCGGAGCTTATTAATCCAGTCTATCAACAAAGAGTAGAAAAATTTCGAGATTAGCAGATTGAACGATGTTGTTAATTGTTAAATAGCTGAGAAACTGAGGAAGTAACGTATTTTAAGTTCCCTGGCCGGACGTGCCGATCAATGGACGAGCTGGTCATGGGTGGATAAGACCGAATGGAACTATGCTAGTTGGAAACCTGGTACGTTAGGGATTCAAAACTATTAGCTATATTTTAGGCTTCCCCGACAATGGTACCAGCGCTCCGGATTGCGCGTTTATGGATGTTGAGTCCGGTAACGCTCGCTGGGCCAACAACGGCTCGTGTGCCGAGAAAAACTGCTATGTCTGTCAGAAGCCGAAGAATGGAATGACGACCATGGCACCGATGACGACGGGAACCTGGATGCCCACAGTACGTTTGCGCCACCATGCTTTACGAATACCTTCAGATGACTCCTCCACCGTACACTAACCCTACGACACCATATTGGTGTAAGCTATTTCCAAATAACCGTCATGGAAAGCTTTAGACACAACCCAGTATCCATGGAATACCACTCCGAATGGACGGACAACCTGGGCACCCTGGGGCACGACGCCTAATCCATGGATGACGACGTCGTACGTTCCATGGTTCTCGACGAACAACCCGTGGGCCTACACTACTTCCACGGCAGGTTTGTGATTGCTTTGAATGAGGAATTGATATTTCGAGTCCTTATTGATAATACCTATTTTATTTTTAGCACCCCAGACTGGCGATACTGGCTATTGGGACTGGACGACTCTACCACCTTGCCCCACTACTACTACTGACTGTAAGTATTTTAATGCCGACATATTATAGCTTCATCTGTGGGTATATACACTCTTTTGGGTATTCAAGAAATCTGCTCACTTTAGATCCATGGTGGACGACGCCCTTCCCCAAGAACTCAAAACAAGCTGAGCAAATGAACACGCCAATGCCCTGCAATCCGGTATCAACAAAACCTTTTCAAATATATTGGCTTAGGCGATTCCCAATTCAAATCGACAGAAATCCCTCAAAAGGTAAGCTTCAAAAAGCGGGCTTGAAACGCTGTTCTAGGCTGAGCCAACTGCTTCGTGGGAGAAAACACTGATGATGCATTGTCATAATAAATCGAGGAGCTTTAATTGGATTTATACATCGTACCAAGATATCTCAATACAGTCCGTTTGAGTATGCTTTTTCGGTCGCTGAAAACCTGGGTACATTGCGCAACTGAACTTTTCGAAGGTGGGGGCGCATGCACCTGCTCGCAAGAGAGAAGGTTTTTATCTAGCCAGCTGCAAGGCCAGAACAGTTTGAATCTTTGAATCTTTGAGCCGACAAAATATTCCATCCTTGGGGCTCTAAGAATAACTTCTCGAGGTGTCGCCCCGTTCTGTTCATGACCTTGCAAGGGTGTTGCGCATTTGAGCGATTGATGGGCATAACATGATCCATGCCCCCTCTCGGGCAATCCAGTAAAAGATGGACAATTCCTGATACGGTAGCCTCTAACGCCTATGCACTATGACAGCGATGACCATCAACGATAGGCTGTGAGGAATCGTTTGGTCGATTTATCAAATGAGGTGGATATGCGATAAAGCGGGATGGAAATATGGCTAGACGAAAACTGCGGTAGTTACGACTTTTTTGGTCAATTTGTTTTGTTTCAAGGTGATTTCTGGCTTAGTAAGACACCTATAGTGCCGTCGAAAACTCAGGGATAATCTAAAAGTTGCATTTATTTGGTCAAAAATTTCGTGCTGTGCTTGGTGTGAGAGCAAACAAGTACTTTCGGATGCCCGATTCGCCAACTTCTTGGCGACAATTTGATTTATATACTCTTTAGGTGTTTGCGATACCGCAAAATCATAATGCCCTTTTACATACACTAACCACCAATCCAGCTACATCAAGAAAGCCTAATTGGATGGGTAATGATGGTGGTGGAGGTGGGAGTATGTGTATGTATATATCTGTGTGGGGTGGGAGCTAAAATGCGGCCCCTTTGGTGGATGTGAAGAGGGCCCTCCCTCACTCCTTATCCGCTCACTTATCGGTGTCCGGATCGAGTAATGAGCGTGACTCGTCCACTAATTAGACCGGCTGCGCGACCAAGGGGAGCGAGAGGGGTGGAGAGGGAGCTAGCGATACCGATTGCGCGACCCATTCCTCCCATCCCTGCCCGGCCCCTAACCCGGCGCATCCACCGTATAACCTATAATTTGTTGCAAGAGGTGACAAGCAAACCACCGATTGCGGCTGGGATGCAAATCAGTAATGTTGTAGATAGCATCAGGGCTGGGATGCTCTGAAAATTTCGAATAGAAAGGCGGAACCTTTCGGTCTTAATTAAAGGAGAATGTGGTCCAAGTTTTATACAAACACTATTGGTTTTAGCATCGTATTCAATTCGAATATTTCTTCGAAAATTCAGAACCCTCGCGTTGGTATGCACCAAAAACTCCCCATTTGCGAAAAGTTATTTACCTTGTACACAAATCTATTAAAGTACATTCAAAAATTAGCGTGAATCCTCTGAGGATACGGCTGGTACAAAGACACCATGATTCCAAACTTGCGTCAGAATTAAAGAACCTGGAGCCGAACTTCCCTCAATCGTTTTTAGCCCTAGACGCTACCGTAGCCTGGCCGGTCAACTCATACTGATCGGTTCCGTCTCTGAAAATAGGTGCCGTATTGTTCAACTAATCCGTCTGCCTACTTCTGGAAATGCTATTCATCGGTGGGCCGGGGTAATAATACTCTGGTCAGAGAGATTATGACCAAAAAACTATGGGGTATTCAGGGGATCCGAGCCAAATAGGTTTTGTCTAACTGTATACCTAGGAATTACAAATTACTAATTCTGGATGATATGATCCGGGGATGATTTTTGAATTGCCATGCTTCTGGGAAACTTTTTCGTGGGAATCGATGTTATAAGCAGGGAGGGATTTGGATCGGTGGCCAGAAGTTCCATAGATACAGCAGCGGTGTTATTCGCTTTTTCTAAGTAATTTTAACTTTTGTTTATTATTATTTTAGAGTTGAAGAAGTCCGATTTAGCCCAACGAATTCTCAAGAAGTCAGCACTCCTAGCGGTTTGGAGAAGTGACTGGTTAGCAGAATTTAGCAATCTATCAAGGCTATAAAACGACAACCTGAATTAATAAGTTTAATTCGTTGCCTTTAAATAACAAAAATCATGAAAATCGAAAGTTTATGAAAATTGCAAATAACCAAATCCCCGCTTGTTGATCAAAAATTGACCGTGTTTGAAAATGCGTAGCATCGCGCGAATGACATATTATTTTAGAAAGAAAGAAACGCTTTTTTCTGTTTTATTTCTGTCTTTTCCGTATCTTGGGCGAATATGTTTATACAAACACCTTAACGTAAGGTTTATGGTGCAAACCCAGTGCTTTCTTTGCACTTCTCCCCTTTTCGGTGGTTGGGTGTCTATGTGGGTAATCGGAGTGGAGAGGCCTTCTCCTTTAGGCCCTCAATTGGCAGTCACTTTGATGCAATTAGGGTCGGCCCTTGGATGGGTGTCAGCCCTGAAAATGGGCCCTAACGCCCATCTTTCCTCCATCCACCGACCCGCATACCCTCCATCGCACGATGCTCCCCATTTCTTTGGCTTAAAAGTATAGAGTTCGGTAAAAAAGTTCTTTGTTTTTAAAGATGGTACCTCGAAATTCTATTTTTATTACACCGCCTATTGGAAAGTTCGGGAACTTTGAAACTGAACCTGAACTAGAAACTCTGCCCTAGGAATCAGCTGACCGGCTACCGTATCCGCTAAAGTAATTGGTTTGACCGGAAACAAACAGGTGAAACGCTATATTTGTGTCTGCTTTTTTAACGACCCATCCTTTTCACCTGCTGATCTGGGATTCAGGTAGGTTTGCCCGATTTTTCTAAGAACACTCTTCAAATAGCACGGGTAAAAAATGAGTTGAGGGTTTGTAACTGGAAGCCTGTTCGAATTCAAGTTTTTTTTCGGCACCCACGGCAATTATTATTTAGCTGTGGCCGATATTTTGAGCACCAACTTACAAAGCTAACCCAAAATACCCGATGAACTTACCCCTTTAATTATCATGACCGATACTTAAATGGGTTATGCCTCTCAATGCTCTAAACCTCAAAATGAGCCTAATTCCCGGAAGCCGTCATTAGGGCGATGATTGGGTGTTGAGGAGGTTGAGGGAGGTGCGAGAGGGGGTGGAGAGGGATGGTGGTAGTAAGGGGCGGAGCCATGACCACCATCTTCTCCTCATCGTCGGGAAATGAGTCGCTTTCCCTCCGATCCTCCGCCCTTAATCCAACCCTCAATTTGTTCATTTATGCCGTGTTCACACTTCCTGATTCCAAAAAATATTTTTCGGGAGTTCAAATAGTCACGCGTTTGTCTGGGACGGCTAATTTTTCTTCCCTTGGGAGCTTTGGCTCTCTTCTTCGATTCTCGATCTCAACTTTTCCAGACTTTAGTTTTCAATCCTCCAGGGGCATCGGTTGGTTCGTACAAATTGTCGAATTATCATCCCCATCCATTTCTATATTAGTACTTGAACAAATCCGTGCTTGCCAAAATTAGCTTTGTTTGTGGCTCACGACCTGGATAAAGCTACTTTGGCTGCATCTGCAAGCGGGCAGGCGCTAGTGGATTCAAATTAGACTGAACCTTGGTTTCTGGGTCATGCTCGACTAGTAAGACCGCTGCAAATTTAAAAAAGAGCTAAACTCCAGCGCCCTTTACAACTCACGTTCAATTTTTGGCGTTTTCTTTCACAACCCAATAAAAAACTGAATAACCCTTGTTATTGTTATTTACACTGCGCTTCGAAAAGCGAGCTCGTTTTTTTTTACCGGAAGCCTCCATTTTTAGCAGCATTGAGACGATGAGCGAAGGCGAATCCGAATTATCGTCGCCAGGCTGCAGCCCTAACAGCATTAAGGGCGCCCCGAGTAAGAGATCCCCCGGCTATCCCATTTATCCCTAAAATGCCTTCAGAAACCCGTCTGCCGTTTTCGATCGAGAATTTGTTGAGTCGAGACCCGATTGGGCTGCAGCGCCAGGAGATGTCAATTCCAAGTCCGCTTGCGTACTATCAACAACAATTGGCCATTGGTAACTTCCTTTTATTTCTATATGTTTGCCAAATTTCAGGTTGTGCCCTGAACGCCTTCAACCATCCAAGTTCCTCCGGTGTCCCGTTGCCCTTAATGAGCCCTCCCGATTTACGGAATAGTTATCCAGCATGGATCTACTGTACTCGATATTCCGATCGTCCCTCTGCCGGTAGGCTCCATAATTCTTTGTCGATGTGCTTGCTGTGTGAATAGATGTTACCGGTCTGGCACTAGACCTAAAACAGTTCGCTCTTGACCGAATTTCTGTACGTCGCAGCCAAATTGACTCAACAGATACGAAAAAAGATGCCGCAGCAGCTCATTAATTTCTCGGCGATCTACCCTACCCCCTTGTAGAGTCTTTGCGGGGTCTAAATTTTCCACGCAATTTCACTGGAACTGAGATCGGAGTGCGGTAGGGGCTGACGAAGGAAGGTGAGGGATTATCGCCGGCGACGATCTTCCTCGGGCCCATTTCTATTTTCTCGTTCTCTAGCTCTCTTTGGGGCTTTCTATCTGCCTCACTCTCGTCTCGCTTGGTATTTTGTCAGCCCAAACAATAATTGGTGCCGACATATGGATTGGGGAAATCATTAGGGGGGGCGGGGGGGTGGTGGTACGGCGAATGACATGTGAAGGCAGAGTATAAAAATAGTATATACCTATAGACACTTCAGTAATCCCATCCTTCCCAATGTCTATAGCACCTACATATCCTAACATTATTCTTGGTGAGTCAACACTTCAGGCTGCTTGATAATCCAGCAACCATTTACACCAGATTTTTACTTTCCAGCTCCGCCTCATCCACTAAAAAGTAATGATTATTCGTTATCTCCACCTACGATATCCGATATTCCACCAGACTCCCCAAAAATTAGCGAAGAAAAGGAGCCACCACTTCCTGGCTAGACGAATCCTCATCCAAAACGGCCTGTTCCGCCCGGGTTCAGGGCAATATCCGTCAATTCGCTCGAATTTCGTCTTAGCTGTTTGAAAGAGGTACTGGAAACTACACCTTCAAAATGGTGGTCCTTCTAAAATCACTCTGTATTTTGATCTTTTTATACGCTTTAATTTTCCATTCCTCTTCTTCTACTCCCACTTCTCTAGGCACAAACAAATTTCCAAGAAATGTAGTAATGTACCCTGTGCTGTGGCGTCAAATTAAAATGCTAAATGAGTTTACCAGAAAAAATCTGCTTTCGCTGCTAAACCATCACTTGGTATTTGCAATTCCCTGATTTATAAGGTACTATGAAGCTTACAAGATTCAGGACCACGCTCAAAAAGGCCGAGGAAGCGTGATTCGCCATCCGAAGAGGAGAAACGGCCACGGACCTCGTTCACACCTGAACAGTTGCTACGCTTGCGGCAACAGTTTATGAACAACCGGTAGGTCACTGCAGAAAAAGGTATTATCTGCTTTTCAGGTACCTCACTGAAAAGCGCCGCCAAGAATTAGCGCACGAACTAGGCCTCAACGAGTCACAGATCAAAATTTGGTTCCAGGTGAGGATTTTCGGGCCGTTAAAGATTCTATGTTTATTGATAGTGGGGTTTTGTTATCGGATTCGACCAAGCTTAAAATTCGTAACAGGCCCTATTTTACAACCACTGCAAAAAGATAACGGTGTTTGCAAAACTCGCTTTGAAAAGTGTTTCTGCCCATTAACCCCGTTTGAGCTTATTTAGCATAATTTGTTGGAATATGGTACTTGGCAAATAATTTTGAATTGCTTTGCATTTAAAGCTCTATCAAATGAACTATGTAGCATCCGAGTCTCAAACCAAAATCCGTGCTAAAACTGTACAAATTCCTTTCCCTCTACGCCTCCCAAGCTTCACCCTGTGAAGATTACGCGCATTAGGGGAAGGGAAGTGCATTTTGAGGGTGAGACAGAAGCTCCCCAATGAGCCGATCGTGTAAATGGATGACCGGGGGGTTAGAGGAGGAGCAGTGTATTCTCGGAGATGGACCGATAGCCTTCTCAGTCTCGCCGAGCGCCGAAGAAACGGCCGGGCGCCGAGCAAAGAATCGACGGCTTTCTAATTTCGGTCGTACCTCGGCGCATTTTTGTCGAACCGGAGTGAGGTGGAAAGGCTTGTCTCAATTTTTTGATCGCCGGTTAGATATAGGGATTTGGATGGGAATTCCGGGGAAGAATAGCTCAACAAGGTGGACTAAGACGAGAATTAGTCGGTAGGCTAGATTTTTGGCTGTCAGAAGCCGATTTGCAAGATTAGTGGATTTTTTAAGGGAGAGGGTCGGCTAGGATCCCCCATCAGATTTTTTTTGTCAGAACGGCGATTAAAATGTTCTTGAGGTATCCGAGATATTAAGCGAGGTTTAAGGCCATTCCCCGTGGCCATTTTTTACTCTTATAATTCAGATTGAAAAATTCGAATCACCACCATTAAGACCATTACCTCCTAGACCTCACAACTCGCCAATTTCCAGACAAAAACAGTTTCAAACAGTCCGCCAAACCCCCCTTCTCCCCGTTCCCTGAACCTTATCCGTCCCCCTTCTTGACTCTGTCTCTAATCTAGACGAACATCTTACCTATTCGGCCCGTTCCCTTTGAAAAAAGTGGCGTCGCTTTCGAAAAACTCTTTTTCGGGTACTGATATTTTGTGCCGGCCCACTACTCCGCACTATCGTCTCATCTAAACGACGGGTGGAAGGCGCGAAACCTAAACCCATGCCGACGGCTTTTATGCCCTCCGAATTCACACACCTGCTGCTATTAATCGGGGGTGTTGTTGGGGGTCTAGGAGGTGGGGGATTCGGATTGTTTGGAGGTACAGTAGGGGAAGGCAGAGCAAACCTAATACTGTACAAAGTCTTTCGAAGCGTCGGAGCAATTCGGCATTTGGCATCGTGTGACAGTTAAACGAGGACCAACACACCGAGCTTTAGTGTTCTTTGAAACAAAGTGCAGTTTTACGTTAAAGCTATGGAATACCGCCGGTTGAGAATTAAACCAAATCCTATATATTAATTCTTAATACTCTTACAAGGAGTAATTTTTTGATAAGGCATGAAATATCGTTGTTGAAAAACTGAGGTGATCCCTATCAATTTTGTCATTCAAAATAGAAATCATTAAAATTTTGCCAAGTTTCGTAGCTATTGAAAGTAGTTTTACATTAAAAACACGTTATTAATACTAAGATGTCAAAGTCCTTTAATTAATATTAATTAAACAAGTAGCATACGGTATTCTATATTAGACGATCCGTGGGTCAAGCAGCACAACCCAAGAATACTTCGAAAAACCTATTACAGCAACGTTTACGCTCTAAACGTACCTTACTAACTTTCCATAGAACCAATTCCATAAAGCCTTTCGGCAACGCTTTTTTGAGTGTTAAGAGGGCAGCTGGCGGCACGTGTCTTCCTTCATAGATACCCATCTTTGCGATGCTGCCCTTTGTAGCCAATTTCGCACACACCGATCCCCTCTAGACCGTCAGCGCAATCCATTTGAATGCCGTACCTGTCTTTCGTTGGTCTCAGCAAGCCTTGGGTGGCAGGTTGTCCTTCGCAAATCACCTCGGAACAACACAACGACACGGGGGGACCACTGTGTTCATTGGGGGAAGGGTTGAAAAGCGTATCATCGCGGAATCAAAAAAATTCAATAAAGAACTTCTCTCCGCCAGTAAAAAGTCAAAACTGTGTATATATTCAAACCTAGATATTTATTTTTCAGAACAAGCGGGCAAAACTCAAGAAAGCGTCAGCTACTGGTGTACCGCTCCAACAGCAGCTCCTCACCGCACTAAACTCCTAACTTCGAAAACTTACCTACAGTCTCGTTAATTTTCCGTTCCCCCAGATTCTCAGAATTGCATCTCAATTTTCCTGTCCTGTCAACTACCTCTAGAAAAATATTTTGCTTTGTTTATAAGACTTTTCTCTTTATCTGAAACCGGCCCAAGTTGAGCTTCCGCAATGCACCACAGATTCGATTGTATCCAACAACGCCTTTACAAAACATACCCCGCTATTTCGATTTTCCTATCGCGAGGACGTCCCTTTTTTATTTGAGATAAGTATCAATAACTCAAATGTGATCATCGCTTTCATGACGTCGAGCCGTTCATATCCCCCATCAGCTATGTGACTGTAATTTCTCGTATAGTCATTACTGCAACCTTCTTGTCAATAAATATTTTGTGCAAGGATTAACGGTCCCTAAAATGAAGCGCGTAGGAAAAAGGCAAAAAAGCATTAATGTGCAAATACAGATTTTTAAAATAAGCCGTCTTTTTCCGATACTGGTTTGTCGTTATCGGTAAATTGGCTTGGGGAGTTACCAACAGCTCACCGCTTCTTAAAAATGTTTTTTTTTTTGCAGAGTAACAAAGGGGCTACAGTCACTATGTGATGCCAATATCTTGAAGCTCTGCTGTCGGGTCCAACGCGGCGTGCAATATGACTTCAAACGTAGCTTCTGATGTCTGGCGTGCATCAGGGGCTGTTCCTCGCCACCCTCCCTTCTCTTCCAAATCCCCTTTAAAGGAGCGTAAAACCATAATTACAAAATAAAAAGCGGTTTTCCCTACTACTTCAGCACATATGCCGGACATATACAAACACCCTGTTTTTCTCGCAAAAGAAAGTCGGAAGGTACCCATATGTTTTTTTGCAGAGTGGCTCTTTGGGAAGGGCATTTGCCCCTAATGCGCTCCTCCAACGACCCCGCACGGTATCGTGCCGTAGTAAAACCTCTTTTAAAACTCTATCGATCCTGCCAGATTCCCCAACCATGGGCCCCGTGGGCCCTATGCAAATTTGTGATAGGGCACCGGGTGGTGAGGGTAGCGGTCTTTGCCTCAGGGGGGTAAGGTGACCCTGTGTCAACGTAAAGAAGGCTCTTTTAGGGTGGGCGAGACATTGCCATGTGTGGGCTGTCAAAAGAAGGGAGGTCAGGATGGAGCCACAGCCTGTGGGCGCCGTCAACCGGGGTTATCGATTGTATAGGTGGAAGGGGTCGGAGCAGGGGGCTGGAGAGCCTGTAAGGGTAGGGTAAGGGAGAGGAGATGCCCTGGCCAAGAATGGGTCCCCATGGAACGTTTTTAGACATGCTTAACTATCAACTACAAGATCGTCCCCTGTCACACCCCATCTTCGCTTGTACCCCATAAAAGGAAATTTTATTCTCTATTTTAGATTTTCAAAGCTTTAATATCGCCATTCATGCAAAAATGCTGAATTTTCTTGTTGTTTTTTCTACAAGATCATTTCTTGCGCAGTTTTCAAAGTTTTATCCATTTTAGCGGATGTTCATGCAAATCCATAAAAAAGCCGATTGTGGTTCAATCGATTGGATTTTCAATTTTTGATTTTTGAAGCTTGAATATATTTAGTTTTTCGAAATCGCGAGCGGTTCTTTATTTCTTTTGGGACTGATTAATTTCTAGAGCAATTTTCCTGTAGATTTATTGTTTTGCCATTCTACTGCATTGATCTAGGCTTATTCCGATTATTGGGCTACAGTATTTTTGCGACCGACAAGTTTTTATTTTGCTTCAACCATATTGAGACGGATTGCTCATTATTACCATTATTATTATTAATCGGTTTCTCCGTGTTTTGAAACCGACATTTTTATGTCTAATGCAACCATAATGGTTGAAATTACCTTTGAATGATTATAGAAACATTTTCTATCTCTTAGAGCAATTATACTTTTTATTTTTTCTGTGCGTTTGCGATTTGAAGTTTTGAGACTTTCAGCGGAGGACATCCCCTTTTGGGTCTGGTGCTAGTTACACCAACCTTCCAGTCAGACGAGGCCAGGCACCCTTCCCGGAGACTGGCCACATCCCACACCATATAACGTGTACAAATACGGGACAACCCGGGGGTACACATAGCCTCAGGGCTCTCCTAACCGTCCTCTAACCCCTCGGCTTCCCCGTTCACTTGCACGCCACAAACCTCTCATATTGATACACCGGCTTCTGACCGGGGGTCCTCCGCGCAAACCGGTGGCCTCGATTGATTTTGAGCTTTTAGGGTCTTTTTTTACTTAGTGATCATTTTTTTCTGACATTGCTTTGTTTATTCGCAATTATTTTTACATCATTTGAAGCGTTGCTCGTTTCGCGCCAAAGCACTTTTTCGACTCTCATTTATTACTGAACCTTGTCCAATCGCCTATCAGCCTTTTTGCTCCTTAATTTTTACGGATACTGTTATCGCCAGTTTTAGCTCATCAAAAACATTTTCCTCAATGGTTTTGCTATGCATCATCGGCCGTGCCATTTTTTCTTATCTCCGCCCCTCACCATTATTATCATTCGCCCCCCTTCTAACGCGACAGGTCGATGTTTACAGCCCTACACCTCTTGGAGTCGGCTTTTGCCTAGCTAGAAATTTCTGATCTTACAGGGATAGGCCCCAGTCGCGCGGTGGCCCAACTGCTATGCATATAAATTGGCAACATTTCGGTTTGGCCTTGGCGGGCCCACTTGGGGCCGCTCTAATTTTATGGGGGGTCAATTTCCTTGGGGTCGCAAAATTGCGGATACGATGTTTTAGCGAAAATTAGGCTAATTTGCATACGTAAATTTTAGAAATTTGTTTGTTTTAAAGGGAGCGTGCGAGCAGTGGATGACGGTGGTTTTTACCATTAACAAGTTAGTTTTGCTGGAATTTCTAAAAATTCTGAGTTTTTGATTGTTGATCGGTAATCAAAAGTATTTACAGGAAATCTAATATTTCTATTTTTTCCAAAAGCAAAATAGCTGGCACCTTCCCTTTAAATTAAGTTTCAACTATAAGGTTTTAAAATTATGACGATTTTCAATTAGTATATCATCAGCTGATGATTCCCCTTACCCGCTATTCGCAAGACCACTAGATAGGCATCTCCCATCGGCTCGCCCCCGATTTACGGGCGTCATCGGCCCGTTGGTTGCCCAGCCGTCCCTCCCCGCAATAGTACCTTTTGGGACTGGCCGGGGGGGAAGATTACTGGCTACAGACTACAGAACTGTACGCACCAGTCCCCTGCCACACCCCATCCTCCCCTCGTATCCCACAAAAGGAATTGTGACTTTCTCGAGTGGGCGCGCCCATTTTTGGGAGTTTGAGTTTGAATATGTTAATTTATGCAAAAATTACGAGCTGTTTTTCATTTTTTGGATGTTATTCTTTGGTGATCGGATGAATTTGTCGCATAATTTTCGTTTTTAGCAATCTTACGGCAGGAAATATTATTCAATAGATTTGTTGGTATATTCAAATTATTGGGACAACACGTTTTTCAAAGCGCCGGTTTTAGTTGTTTTTAAACACATCGAGACAGTTGCAAACGGATAGTTTTATCTTATTTTAAATATTAATTTATTACTCTAAAAACTAAAAATTTTCGTTGTTATAGAATATTGTTTATAGCGCCTGGAACAATTGATTTTGTTTTCTTTGGTTCTGCTATTCGAACTTTGGAGAATTTTAAAGGAAAAATCAACTTTAAGGCCACCAGCAAATCTCACCCTATAAAAGCCATCAATTCTCGCATACTAAAATCCCGGTCATAATTCCCCCAGGGCCCCACATCAAGCCATGTGGACAACTGAGCGATGGTAGTGGTCATCAGCATCCCCTCCCCCCAGCCGTAGTGTCGTATTTTTCGGGAATCCCCAGTGGGTCGACGCCTAGAAAACCCCGAAAGATCGGAGAAAAAAAGATAGGGAGACAAGGGCCCGAGCGCTAGTCCGAGGAGATTTCGAGGGCTTTGTGCGCAGAGAGGCGACAAATTACACGCATTCAGCCGAGGGTCCCCCCTCACCCAAAAGCCTGGACTGGGGGGCAGAAGCCGTCGACATGGCCCTCATGAAGCATCCCTCTGGCCCCCATTGCCACCCGTCAGCCCTCCCCAAAAACCCGTATACCAAAAATGGCCCCCGTGCTATAGCATCGTGGTGATAGAGGGTGGATGGGTGTGGGTGCATTCAAGCATGTAAATTGCCGTTTTGATTCCGAAAAATCGGGTCGACCACCTTGCTGGGTTCTCTTGACCCTTCTTTTTTGCGCTTTCTACAAGCTCTTTTCTATGATGTGCCTCGGCATGTTTGAAATCAAATAAAAACTTCCTAGGTTAATTTTAAAAAAAGATATTTTTGACTTAAATCCAAAGCTTTCATTAATTTTCTATCGTTGTTTGAACTTGGATTGCCGATGCGTCGACGTTTTTACATTTTCCAACAAATCCTAAATTTTGTTTCTATTTCGGATCACAATATTATGCTTCGAAACCTCTTTAATAAGGCCCAGCCTCTCCTGATTACTATTTAAAAATAAATAGAATTACCCCAACCCTAAACGCCTTTTGACATCCCGATTTCTAAAGAACTCCAGGTGGCCAATTTCATGTTCTGATCCCCAAACCATGTACTTCATTTAGGGGTTGGGTTGAAGGGGGGACTAGGATAAAAAACGAGCTATGGGAATGGGTCAGGGTCCCAGATGGCTGTCCACCAAGTGGCCCAGCTGCGCCCACGCTCCCCAACGGCCCATTCCCGACAAATCTCCACTAATCATACGTTAGGAGTTTCCATGCTGTACCATTTTTCTGGATTTGATGTATAAATTCTGGAGCTTTGTCAAGCCACGAATTAGCATAGCAGAAGTTTATACCTTTTAAGATTAATTAATGCCTTAAAGCGCTTATTCGAATCTGAACAGTGACATTTTTCCTTTTTGTGTGGAAGAAAACAGCCTTTTTCAAATTCTATAAAAATAAATCGGGTTTTTCCCCTCGAAAACCTCAACCTTATAAAATATCCGAGCCCATCTGCCCATTTCAATCTCCATCCCTCCAGATGAGCAATCGGCATCTATCCATACATCCCGAAAATCGCCTGTTCCCAATTCCACGATTCATCCATCCCCCAAGACAAATCCCAAATCTAGACCCTACTCCCTGAATCACCAGGATTTCTGTTTTGGATGAGACTTCCTGGATTTTTGTGAAAGCCGCTCAAAACAATTTCTCGACAAGCCCCGTCTGAATCATTTCGGCATGCCGCCGAAAGCTAAAACGGTTCGATAAGAAGTGAGTCATTTCATTCGCCGATGGCTTTAGTCCGCCGGCCCCCGCCGTTGCTTTCTAATCGTCCGCACGGCCTCAATTTTCCCGGCGTTCCCCCCGAGGGCGCGTATTTTAGGGTGTAATTTCAGAATTTATTCCTGTGCTGGGGCTGGGGTGATTTTGTAGCTCTTGCTTCCTGTTTCGTAAAATTATACTTATTATGACCCATCGTAATATATAATCCCTTGTCGTTTGTTTGTGCATTTTAAGAGATAATCTCTAGATTTATTTCTAGGCTCGGGCTGGGAGCAATTCTGACTCTCACTCGTTCGCTATTACTCTGTGGCTAGCTATCACTATCTCTCAATCTCTCGCCCTCTCTCTAGCCCTCTCTCTATCTCTTTGTATTTTTACCAAGTTTACTAAAATTAAATTTATCATCTTGAATCAAAAAAATCTCCGCTAATTCCGTACACAATATATAATCTAGCCGGACCCCATTTATTTGTTCATGTAAACGTAGTCGGTGGCTTTGTGTACTTGGTTTGAGAGAAAAGAGGCCAAGTTGGTGGTCAGCCCCAGTGACCATGGCCCACAGCGGATCGGGTTTCAATTTCTCTGCTCTCACTAGCACCCCCCTTCAACCAACATCATAATATAGAGGGCTCATATCTCACACTCCCCCAACGTTTTTCTTTAGACAGGAAGGGCATAGTGGTGATTTATTAAATTTCTCTCAGCTGCTTTCTTTTCTTACATTATTTACAGATTTTTAGTGCCTTTTTTACTATTTGCTTTCCAGGTGATGCGGAGGCGCCGCACCGCATGGCTAGCGGCCATAGCGGCAATATTTAGCGCGGCCACCGCCTTCAACCTCGACGACGCGGCCCCGATCTACAAATTCGGGCCCGACGAGACGAATTTTGGCTTTTCCGTAGCTGAGCATATCCGAGGAAAAGAACCTGTAATTATTGTCGGCGCTCCACACGATGAAAACGGGCAAATGGGAACGAAACAGGTAAATGTTAGGATAAACTATACTATACAGGACATAGCTCCCTCTCTCCCTCTCTCTCTCTCTCTCTCTCCCTCTTGCTCTCCCTCTTTCCCGCTCTTTCTCTCGCCCTCTAGAAACGCTCGTTGGCTCCATCTATTTAAATTATTTTAGGCTGGTGCAACCTATGCCTGCCCATTGAATACGGAATACCTCGGAAACAGCCACGGCAAAGATTCGAAGTGGTGCCAGAAGATGTTTGTAGAATATGAAGATCGACTGGTAAGCGTAAAATTCAGGACGTTTAAGCAAATCTTAGAACTACAACAAAGCCCCGGATATGACGACCATTGTTGGAACCGATACGCTGGATAGGATGGGTAAAAATGGACAACTGCTGGGAAGCGCTGTGTATTCTGCTGGTGTGCCAGGAGGAAATGCTGTGGTAAGTCTCGACTCTATCAGTTGATTTTAAAAATTAAGTAACTGCCGAGAAAAATTTCTAAAATTCTATGTTTAGGTCTGCGCCCCACTTCTTCGATATCGTAACGAGTCGGCAAGAGCGCAGGGGGCCTGCTATCTACTTCATAATAACTTGGAGGTATGTTGGAATTTAAGCTTCTTGAATTTACAATTTTATAGCTGATGAGCACGTTAATCACCTGTGAACAAAAGAATCTCGACCATCGAGAACGGCATAATACCTATGGTGCTTGTATGCAAGGACAATCAGCATATATCGATGAGGTAAATGCTTTGATAGTTTTTGGCGAACCTCAAAATCAACAATAGACGTACTTTGATGTGTATATTTCATTCAGAATATGCTAATTACTGGCGTAATTGGTGCCCGTATGTGGACCGGCGGTGTCTATGCCCGATCTATCACCAAAAGTGATTTCGACACCGTTTTGGAAAAATACACGATGAGTCAAGGTAAGCCTTTGATCATCCGAAAGCCAATTCAATGCTCCCAAAAAATTTTTGTTTCCATAATTATCCCCTTACTCATAATCAGGTGGCCAGGAGGATGCGGAAGGTAGAGGTTTTCTTTGAGTGCACATGTATTTGATGCAGCTCGCCCCTCTAAAAATGTGATGACCCCCTCTTACTAGTTTCTAATACTACTGCCTTGGAATGTCACTTATCATTTCTCAAACCCTTTAAAACCCCTAAATGATACTCTATTCACTTGCTAAACCCCCGACTTAGCCCTGACTCATTAGTTTTTCGAAGCCATAAGCTACGCAACCGTGTGTGCCAAATAATTTGCATAGTTTGGATTATGAAAAATATTTGCTACTTTTAGAAAATGCCATCCGACCAACGCTGCAATCACATGCTTATCTTGGATATTCGGTGAATGTAGGACGATTTGGATTTTCGTAAGTTGAAAAAATACAGTTTGAAAATTTTTATTTTAGCCATGAAAACGGGAAGCGATTGACAGTCGTTTCCGGAGCCACAAGGCACAATCAGGTAAATTAAAATTCAGAGCGAGGTTTCAAACAAATATACTTTTTAGTTTGGTGCTGTCCAGTTTATGCCCTTCGATCTGGAGCATCAAAATGAGAATGACCTAAAGCTGAACGCCGACAAATTCAGTCTCGAGGGCAAAACCTTTGGATCAAACTTTGGCTACGCGATTGCGGTACTTGATTTGAATGCCGACGGGTGCGTTTCTTGGTTTTTTTGGCATCTGGCCTTTAGATTTGACGATCTGGTTGTCAGTGCCCCGATGGAACAACGAAACGATAAGGATGGGCAATTCGGAGGTAGATTGATGGTGTAGGATCTGTAAGAGGTCGATTTTGAAGGCATCGTGTACGTCTACTTCTCTCAAGGAAAAGAAAGACCAGCCGGAGAGTCGAAATTCGTTTTTGAGAAACCTGTTGTCTTGAAGGTGGGCCTTGGAAGAAAATTTTGGATGGCCTAATAATTTAGCATTCCGGTTATGGGTCGCAGTTCGGTTTGGCGTTGACACGACTTGGAAATGTGCATGGCTCGAAGAGATCGACATCTGGTAAGCTTAAGGCTATGCAACACATTGTTTAATTATACAGAAGCTCCTCGCTTTTTTGTATGCTGATCGCTTTCAGACTTCGCCGTTGGTGCTCCATTCGCAAACGACGGTGCTGGTGCCGTTTACATCTACCATGGCAACCCTGATCGAAAGAATTTCCGCCAGAAACCAGCCCAGATCATTATTGGATCTGCACTCCCACCCTCCCCGCTTGGCAAGCCGATCAAAACCTTTGGCTTCTCACTCTCTGGTGGAACCGATCTTGACGCCAATGGGTATCCGGACCTTGTCGTTGGCGCATACAAAAGCAACCTGGTCACGGTGTTAAGGTGAGTATAAGTAGAAAACAAAACAGCCTCCATTTGGTTTAGAGCCCGCCCAGTAATCTCCGTTCAAGCTGGCCAGACAACAACAAAAGAGTACATCGACATCGATTCAAAGGGACGATGCCCATCTGGAGTGGCCACTTGCTTTGACCTAACGCTATCCCTCATTGTGGAAGGTGGAGCCGCAAAGAAGCACCTTGTCGACTATAAGAATGACGTTTTCATTTGCAACCTTGAAGTATGGAAATCCACACATCAGATTCATATGCGCAACATTTCCAGGTTCTACCTTTTGCGCCCGGTATTGCCCCACGGGCCACTATTCGGTCATCCCATTCCCCGCATAACCATACTTGGCCTTGCGGGAAGAATGCTCACACACATACTCAGGATTATGTCAAACAAATCGACATTCCGGTATTTTTTCATGAATTATCATATTGAATATATCCTAGGATACGGCGAGCACACATGACTGGATCAATCCGCTAAAGTTCCGGTTTACCGTCCGCATCAAGGTAAATAGTAGTTCCTAGCTTAGGCTTCACGCTTCAATTTTCAGGATGAGAAAAAGCCCGTCTTCCCACGGCAAGGCGGCCCCCTCGCTGACCTCAACCAATACCCAATCTTAAACAAATTTGGCAGCACCTATGAATTTCAAGTATGTTACCAACACGCCTCAAACCCTCAGATTTCAGAAAAATTTCGACACCCGCTGCGGAATGGACCATGTTTGCCAAACCGATCTCTCACTTGGCGCAGAATTTGACAACGTTCATTTGTATGTTTTGGAATGGACTTCTGAAAATCGGTGTTTAGCGAAAACGGCCAATACATCTCGAAAGTCGGAGAAAAAGATCACTTGGATATTAAGTTCGAGGTGCTGAACAAGGGCGAGAAGGCCTATCAAGCCCATTTGAACTTGACCTACGACACCGAAGAGTTAGAGTTGCCAAGGCTTCAAGTATGGCTTTGATCGGTACCTAAAATTGCTTTCAGTCTATTGCCAACCTTCGTGGAATTACTGCTGAAACCGGAAAGAACTTCTATCTAGTTCAGCTCGGCAATCCACTGGATGGAGGCGCTGGGGTAATAAAAACTTATTTTTTCATTATAATTCTTTCAGGGAAACTTCGTGGTTCGATTTAAAATTATGCGAGGTCGAACTGAAGGCATCGGACGGCCGCTACAGTTTAAGGCCTATTTAAACAGTACCAGCAAAGAGACCAATCCACATGTAAGTTCAAGGATTCCATATTTGTTATCGATTTTAGGATAACAAATGGGAAGGTGAGGTGCGGCTTTTCAAGGAGGCGGAGCTGGAATTAATCGGAATGAGTGATCCAAATATTGTTCGATTTGGTGGCGTGCCAATTGGTTGGTGAAAAAATGCTTCAATTTAAACAAAAAACATTACTTCAGGAACAGCAGCTATGCAAATGGAGGAAGATATTGGTGTAATGCTACGACACAATTATACCCTTCATAACAAAGGACCCTGGACAGTACGAAATGTTACTGTGGAGGTAGTAACAGCGATTAATACCTATAACTGTATGCATTTTAGTTCCAATGGCCATATCAGGTCCAATCGACATTCCGACGTGGAAAATACGCTCTTTACTTACTCGATGTACCGACCGTTGTCAATTATAACGTACTAACGGGCACCACTGATGTCAAACAGTGAGAAATGAACTATAGTTTTTAATATGTGTTCCTAGGTGTATTGTGGAACGTGCGTTAGAACATGTGAACCCGGAGGAGATTCCTTTGAACACCCGTTACTCAGTCGAAGTGAATCAACCCAGGAAACATCACGTCATCAAGGTTAACCTCGATAATTTAACATATAAGTTTGAAATTTAGCGATCAGTCGAAGGGGATGGAACTCCGACCGAAGGTAGACCAATCACAGCCGGCCTATGGAGGATTTCACCGGAAAAGCGAATGGAAGGTGATGTCGAGGTTGACGTGGTCTCAATTGTAAGTAGAATTGTATTAACGACATAAAAAATCAAAACAATTTTAGGACTGCAAAAAAGGCACTGCGAAGTGCTTTACCGTCCAGTGCCATTTCGACTTCCTGGACGCTGGATCGGCGCCAGTGATCGATTTCCGAGCCCGTCTATGGAATGCCACATTCATTGAAGACTACAGTGATGTGGAGTACGTCGAGCTACTATCGACAGGACGGATTTTGGTGGATCACAATCAAGGGATTCTTGATGATCATGCGAACAATGAGGTCTCAGTAGCAACCTTGGCATATCCGGATCGGCCAGCACTTGGTTGGTTTTTGGAGTCTTTTTTTGTCCACTCCGAATCAACATAATTTTCTGTTTTTTTTAGATGAGACTGGGCCAATCCCATGGTCGATCATTCTGTGGTCAATTCTTGCTGGTTTGATCATCCTCGCATTGATCGTGTTCTGCTTCTGGCGCTGCGGCTTCTTCAAGCGGAAACGACACAACGAACCCTCGCTACATCGGGTAAGTGAAAGAAATAGCAGATCGATATTTCAAGTTGCTATGCAATAATATATACCATCAATTTTAAGGCTGAACTTACTCACGAGCGAGAACAATGGAGCGAAATGTAGATCAACCCCTCAGCATTACTGCCAACTGTTTTTTATTTTGTTTCTCTCCCTAAAACGGGCCAGTCAAACGATCACTTCAAACATGACCAACACTTATTTCCGTCATATAACTAATTTAATTATTATTCCTCAGTTTTCATTTCACCTCATGCCTTTCTCCAGCCCCGGTTTTCAAAGAGATAGATTTTATGTAACAATTTGTGTCACTCCAGCCTGATCCAGATTTCAGTTACAAATCAGGTCGCCACAAAACTGCCCCCAGTTGAATTCAAAATACCCTTTCCACTACGCCTGCCGAAATTTCGCGGACCAACTCATTTGCTGTGCCAACTCCCCGTTATAAGTCTCACTTTCACTTCTGTGATTTCTCCTCAGCCACGCAAATTCTTGTTCCCCTTCCTTTTTTAATCTGGCCTTCCCAGGCAGCCAAAGTGTGCATTATCAAATCACCCCATTACGGTTCAACCTAATAACTTATTTGCTCTGAGCTGTTTTTGTTTATGCTTATTTTTTGTTTTCTCTTGCAGACTCTAACATATCGCTAGTTGTGAAATAATCTTCCAGCGGAAGTGTTGTGTCAATGAGATTTTTTTGGTGTCTTTGATAAAGAATTTCTATAGTTTTCGATGAAGCATGCCTGAGTGGAAATGGGGGCGGGTGGCAAAAAATGATCAAGGATGAAACACGGTCACAGAAAAAGCAGAGGTTGAATGGGAATGATTTCATAAAATCGGTAGAAACGGTGCGTGCAAATATGCCGGAAACGTCGGGATGGCTGTGCCTTTTTTATTTTTCGTTTCTCACATTTTATAACCTCATTTCCATGGACCATTTGCAATTGGGAAAGGAGGAAAGGTGGCGGTGTGAGGCTTTTATCGCCTTATGTCTCTCGGCAATTCGTTTTTTTGTTTGCACTTCGGAGAGGTCAAGAGAAAAAGATGGGCAGCGCCCCGGGGGCCCAGGATCCCCTCACAATGGAGCGTCAGCATACCGACGTTGCATAGTGGTTTTTCGGGGCAAGCTTATCGTTTTTGCCGTTATCTAAATACGATTCTTGTACTTAAAGGATTAAACTGCCGTTCACCGAAATTTTAAGGCCATAATTAGTTAGGAGGTTTGGGCCAAAAATCGTACCGCACTCTTCACAGTGTCAGTTTAAGGTCTTGCTTTTTGGAATTTGTTGCTGTTGGATGTGTCATGTTCAAATATTGGCCTTGCAAAGACTTGACAGAGAGAAGCTGTCTCTATTTTTATAGCAACATTTCCATCATTATTTCCCGCCCGACACCGCTTCTACCTCCCCATTACCGGTCCCAATACTAGAGCACAAACTCTAAAAATAATCCGCGACCGCGAAGTCGGGAATGATCAAAATTGAGCGGGGCGTCCTCCTCTTATTTCCGCCACCCCGCGCCTCTGATAAGCCAGCTGGTGTGAATATGCCGACTATTGGTGTTCTTCCATGTAATTCCGGGAATTTCTAGTCCACCTGCTGCTTCTAGGGTATGAAAAATGTCGCAAATATTGCTACACGGGGCTGTATTAATATTTGCCATGTCGTCGTGGCTGAGCATTAACGCATTCTTCACCCAGCTGCCGATTTTGGCAAATGTGGTAAGGATCAGCAGGCCAGGAACGATAAATAAATTTTCTAGGTACCTGAATCCTGGAATATTGCCTCGTATTTGGTGCTGATCATCCAGATATCATGCATAATCCCATTTTTGTATGGCGTTATGAAGCATCGGTTGCCGAAATTTGTGAGCACAGTTTATAAGTTAAGATTTACTTGTTTTTAGGTGAAAGCCTATGAGAATTATTTTATTTTGGTGATGCTCGTTCTTACATGTGTCGGGCTATTCTTATCGACATTTGCATTCAAGGATCGGTGGCATGTTTTTGGAGCCGAGGTAGGCTTTTTGATCAGCAAAAAATCTAAAACTTTTAGCACAGTGTTCCATTACTGCTAGTTCTCCTAATCTGCTCAGCCCCATGCACAACATCCGATGTTCTATTTTTGCCGTATATGAACCATTTCCACGATCCACACCTATTAACGACCTTTTTTGTTGGAATGGGATTAGGGGCTCTTATTCCAAGCGCCCTCTCCTTCGTCCAAGGTATAATTTGTCGCTCTTACCCAAATCCTTTTAGGTTCCCCAAACGTTACCCAGACGATCAATAACGTCACTGGTCATATCGATTTTATAATTGATGCTCGGCTCTCATTCGAACACTTTATGTATATTGTCGCGTCATGTGGAATTCTGTCTATCTTTGGTAAAAGCGAAAATTCAAAAGCTAATCCTTTGACTACAGCCTTTTTCTATTTGATCCATTGGGTGCGTTACAATTCCGGTGATCATACACCGGCACAATTTGAAGCTGTGGAGACGGTCGATGTTGAGAAGGTGCTAGAAACATTAAATGTCTAACAAATAACGTTTCAGAAGCCAGTACTCTTCGGTACCCGCATGGCTTGGCTACTTACACTCAGCTTTTGCGTTGGCGCCTTGCAAAACTCGGTGGTGCCTGTGCTTCTACAGTATGCCGCTCAAGCATACGGTCAGGAGGTATGCAAAGTGGAAGCTATCAAGTATTGAAATTTAGACCTACCACCTTGCCAATACATTATTCGTAATGACGAATCCGTTGTTTTGTCTGCTACAACTGTTTATACTTATCGAAAAAATTCGGTATTTCGTGATCCTGTTTGTCGGTGGGTTCATTTTGAGACAATTGATAATCGTGGTCCATAGGTAGTATGCTTCCGACAATATTCATTGCCGTACTATCGTGTTTGACAACAAAAGTCCAATGGGCTGGCATTGAAGCGATACTTTGTGTAGGTTCTTTAATTCGTCTATAGTTTCGACTATACAAAAGCATCTTGATGAGGCCAAACGCCAATTTCAGATCTGTGCGGGTCTCTCTGCCGGTCTTCTCTCATGGTCAAAAACGGCGCTGGCTCAATCTCTCCGCGCCAGTGAGCATCCGAGAGCTTTATTTTGGTGTGGAGCGGCAATCCAAGTACAATTTTATTGAATTTAAGTTTTTCTAAGACTCAGCGCCTTTCAACTCCCGAAATATGTTTTTTTTCAGACCGGTTCCTGCGTCGGTGCTCTTGTTATGTTCTGCATGGCCAATCTGCTACACCTTTTCCCTGGATCATAACAACCTGCCCCAACTTCAAACGACAGCGGGTGCAGCCAATGCATTTCGACGAACTACCTGATTTCTAATAAAGTTCCTTTTTCTGATTCTTTCGCTCCGATAACATTGAATTTTTCACGTTTCGATGGTTATAAAAGGTGATGCAGAAGACTAAAAATGGCCTGATAAAGACTAAAAATCTTTTAGTCCTTTAAGTCTTATAAATTTTTCTGAGGACCCATAGTGGGCATCACCCACTATGATTTTCCGAATCTGCTTAAATCAAGACCCGCTTACTGTTCCGAGATAGTGAATCCGCAAACTGAGCTAAAGATATGCTCTCAAAGCCCATTCCGCTGTCTCGTCGGCCATCTCTGAGTGGCTTCTAATTGTCCCAATTTTTTCCGGATCTTAATGGCTTAATTGAAGATATTTATTTTGTCTGGCTTGATTGGTTCGGCCGAAGATCGCACATAAAAGATGTGGGCACCCAAGTCGCTACTTCATTTCTGCGATGAAGGGCTTCGGGATTTTGCTGTTGGCGAGCGTTGCGGCATCACAAAGTAAACCTCTGGTGTTAAAATTATGGGCCCCCTTGCTTAGCATTCCAACTGCCACGTGCACCAGTCAACAATCCGATAGTCTTCAAGTTGCCACATGCGCCAGTCAATGGCTCAACTGTGGTGGAACCCGAACCTGGCGCCACCGATTTCATCGATGTGAGTTAATTAAACATTAATCAACAAATATGATAATTTAGCGTTTCTTCGGCTTTGAACGTCTGCACCTGATTTGCAAGTGAGGATATTATGTTGGGTCAGGTCTTCTTTAGGGGAGCCAACCAGGCAGCTGAAAATGCTTCGACCCCGGCTGAGAAGGTTCTGATCCACGACTTCATGTACCTGTACTGCGAAGGGGAAGGCTGGAAGCCTCAGTGTAAGTTCAGGCTAGGAAAAATGGGAGATAAATAATTATACAGTTAGCTTTTTGACAAGCAAGAAGAAGCTAGGGATCGGAAACCTCGATAAGACTAAATTTAATTTCAGACAATGAATACGTCCAATGCGCCGACAAACTGGGCAACAAGACGTTGCGACATTGCAAAAAGCCAGTGGCCGCCGCCCTGGAATTGAAAGCCGATAACGGATCCCCTGAATGCATGTGAGTTAACACTTTTCTGGATAGTTTTAAATGTTTTTCAAGGGCCCAGGCGAACCATGCTGAATGCGTCCTCACCGACTTCGGGATGAGCTGCGGCGGGCGCCCGGCCACGAAATTCTTCTCGCAAGTCGTCATCTTTTTCCTGGAGGTATGGAAGCAGCCATACCTACGCTCGGTCATTATCTTTCTAATATAAGCTGCTCTTCTCTCAAATTTCGGTATTTCTTTATTTTTGTCGCTGAAAACTAAGAATAAGAAGCCCTTCCTTAGAAGACACATTTAGACCCAATGTCTTAAGAATCCTTTTCTCGCCTTACTTTGACTCAAAAATCAAACTTTGGGCTTAAGTACAGTATCATCTATCCTTTCAGCGCCTCGTCAACAAGGCCGATCAGAATATCTGCGAAGACACGATCGCCCGTATCAAGACCCTCATCATCTATCAACAGAAAATGATGTGGCTCGCCGGACAGCTATAAATTCATGAATTCCTCACATATTTCGTGATAAATTTTGATGAAAGCTGTCCATTTAGTGACTGAGACTTCCTTTGATGTTTATTGTTTTGTCTGATGTTGTCGGGGAACGGTTTTAATTAGTGCCGTCGGGAATGATGGGGGAATTTTGGCTGGCCGTCCGACAATGAGTGGGTGTATAAAAGAATAGGGGGCGAGGGTAAACAGCATACTTCACAATGGCTGAAAAAGTTTTGTTTCTAACTAATGTATTTTTCCTAGCAGTCCTTACCGCCGGGGAATTTCCGAGTTTAGAAGCTATCCAGAATTCGGGAAAGTCTGTTCAGCATCTACCCTTCAATGTTAGTGATAATAAGCTTGAAGATAAAACAATTGTGATTGCAGGCAAGGCCATATTATATGAATTTGCTCTGCCGGTAAGAATTTTATTATTGCGTTTCACTTTATCTAGGGAAGAAACCGGAAGAATGAACCAAACGACTAGAAATGCGGAGAGATTTTTGAGCCAGTTCTGTGCCGGGTATCAATGGAAGCCAGAGTGTTGGAAAAAAGCATATTAAGTGGATATAATTTGTTCAGACCAAGAGATCATGCCATGCGTTGATCAATTCTCTGATATTACTTACAAATACTGTTATGAGAAAAAGGACTGGTCAGCAGATGATGTGAGGAATATGACTTGTGGGTACGTAGTTTAGGACTAGTCGAAAGTCTCTCTGCACATTTTAGAGAACAAAAAGAAATGTTTGAATGTGTTTTGGTGGATCTTGGGATGAGCTGTGGAGGACGGAAGACCACATACCTTTTAGCCGATCTGGCCCTAACCTTTTTCACGGTCAATTCTTCCTGTAACACCTAAAACGAGTGAATTTTAGCCCCAAGAAAGAATCCAGTACTGCAGAGACGCTATCCTCCAGCTGCGCCCGCTCGCCGACTACTATTGGAACCAGCTTGCGCTCCCAAAAGAATTCAATCGCTGATAACATTTTTTGTTTTGCTTTAAATTTTTATCCGATCACCCTTGAATTTGTGAAATACATTTGATATGAATGCAATACTAGCTCTTTGAATATGCGGTGAAAAATGCTAAAATATCGGCGGGAATTATGGCTATACAGAATAGAGATCATAGAATCAAAAAAGTAAGTGAGCGAAAAATAAGTAAGGAGGAGAATATAGAAACAAAGCTGAATAAATATAAAAAAATTAGCTTTAGAATTCAATAAATAAAAGGTAAATACAATCTAGTTATAGATCTAGAGCGCTAGCGATGCGTTGGCGCGCTTTTTTGCTGACGTGTGAGGCGGTATTTAGCAGTGAGACTAGCTGACGTTGTGAATATTCAGAATGTTGGCACATCCATTGTTCCAGTGAGGCTTCGGGAAGGTAATAAGCCTAAAAAGAGAATTGCGGTACTTGCTTATGCCTACAAAAATCTCTTAAGAAAACTATTGAAAATACCTTGATATAAGCATCGACAAATGCCGTGTGGGGCACCGGCTTTAACCCAGAAATATGCTCCAGTTTCCCAAGTAAATGTTGAAAATCTAACTGCATGAGGGCACGACCTTCAGAAGTACATTTACCACCAGATTCACAGTACCTAAAATGCATTTTTCGGATGGCAAACTTCCAACTAACCCTTGCACAAGAGCCCGGAACGTATAATAAATCAATCGATCCCAGAATAACCTTCTAGTTTCCACCGTAACATTCACGCACATTGCCACGGCCTCCAAGCGACGAACAAATATGTCAATATCCTGAAAGATGATCACAGCATTAAAGGAATTTCAGGGTCCAACCTGTAATAAGAAGTCTACATAGGCGCTGTGCTGGCTCTTCAAGTCCGAAATGTCCCATCTGGTTTGCGAAATCTAAAAGACAGTTGCATAAGTTTTTCGGATGTTCTACCTGCTGTACAAATACCGGAAATTTCAATGCTTTGCTCGAGATGCAGGAGAGAACCAGTGTTCGAACCTCGGGGACTACAGAGAGGGTCTAAAGGGATGGAAATGAGCTAGATAGGCCTTGAATACCTGAGAATGGAATTGCTCTAGATAATCGAGTAACGAATCTTCTGGGGTCATTGTTTCGATAACTGGACGCATCAGATCGAGTTGCCGCGCGACAAATTCCCTAAAAATCGGGTATTAGAGTAGTTTTCCCTAAAACGTTTTTGGAAACATTTTGATCTATTACTTACAGCGACTCAAATGCCATGATTCTCTCAGATGCTGCAAAGAGCTGGTCAGGGTACTGTAGCTGGATCGCGCATGATAGAGAAGCCAGGTTTATATGCTAAAAAGCGTAACCATGTTTGCCTTAAAAGTCCCTACCGTTCCGTCAGCGTGTAATTGAATCGAACCCTTCACCGCTTCCAATACTTTCTTGAGAGTTGGACTAACCTCCCCGACATCCACACCATCTCTCCCGAAAAATGAATAGATCTAAATAACCATAACATTGCCTGTAATTTTTACCTACCGAATACAAGAAGAAATTGAAAAGTTGTGTAATTGCTGGAACTGAACGGGCCGCGATGGTCGGCACCAGCGTTGTCATTTTCATATATCGGCCTGGATGACATATATTTTGTTAATTAGCTTTTCTATACCAAAGAAGCGCAATAAGTTTAGAGCGGTGTTGCAAAGATTTGGTGGTACGTGATCGGCCGGCTCGGAGTAACTGAAATCAAATAGTTTGAAAGTCAGGTTTGCGGTTCCGACTTCGACAGCAAATCCCGGTGTGTTGTTGGTGTGGGAAGTTCGGCTTCTTTACCATTGATGGAGCTAACCGAATTTAGCTGGAAAAAATCTTTAAAAATAATGATTTTAAATACCTGGCTTCTCGAATGTTTTTGTGAAAATGGGTTCGGGCTATCGGGCCTCATCACCATATACCCAAAATCCGAGGAATCCGAGCTTCGATCATTCATTTCTTCTGGACGTACTTCCTTTAGAAAGGAAAATTCCTAAAATAAGAATTTTATACCGATAATTAAAAAATATGATAGGAAATACATTACATCCATATAATATATGCGAACCTGCAGATCAAAGATGGTAAATTGATATGGTACTGGGCAAAGGGCAAAGACCTCATTTTCCAGAAACATACACAGTTCGCCCAGTCGTTCTGCGTGGAAGCGCTCAAAAAATGTCAACTAAATAGATTAGAATAATTGTTTATAATTTATTTTACCGCCTGGGCTTCCAGTAACCTTAAAAGTGAATCCGGATCCGCACCGAAATGAGCAATCCCAAAACGACGAAATCTACATTTTTAGAGTACAGTGGATCTTCTTTTAATTTGTACTTGTTAGCTTGATCGACGATAAGTAGTAATTCATCGAAGGAAGCATGAGAAAGATCGTGAGGTGACAAAAGCGAAGCCAGAATTTCGGCCGCGGTATTGAAGGCTTGGGGTAGATGTGCACGAAGGGCTAGTTGAAACGGGCCTTTTTCTGCTGTAAAATTACTTTGTTAGGTTTAACCTGCACAACCCGTACTTGATGTTTCGCCTCTCAACAAATCGGCCCGTTCATCTTCTTCTATGTGATGTCTCAGCATGGCTTGGTAATTTGAGAGAATCTAAAATATTTCAATCCGGGGTTACGTTGAATTTATACCTTGCATAGCATCATCCCCATTTGATGAAAAACAAGTGGAACATTTTCGGGTTTTAGTCTCTGGAAAAAATTATACCTAATCTTCTTCGTCCAATACCTTTGCCAATTCATTAATTTCCAATTGCTCAGCCATCGATGGCAATTGTGCGGATATATTATCGATTAGTAGCGTCCTCGCGGTACCTTCCAGAGCTATCGACACTTTTCCCACAAAATCTTCGGCTCCTTCCTAAACTGATCGTTCTATCAAATTATTATTCCCATACTTGTTGCTTTTCCAAAATATTATAGGCCGTCGAGACAAATGCATATCGATCGGCATCAAATCGAACCAATAACTGAGGTATTGTGGCTGATAATTCGCGTTCTATCAATTGTGTCGTGTTGTCTAATTTGTCCATAAGATCCCTAAAATCGTGGAAAAATCAGAAAATTCTTAAAAAACCAACGTGACAGCATCGAATTCGAGGTATTCAGAGGCGGCCTCCTTGACGGATGCACAGAGCTCAATGGCTTGTGGGAATTGACAATCCTAAAAACTCATCCAAATTCAAATTGAAATAGTACTTCTATTAATTCTCGCAATTTAAATTCAGTCGCATGAAGAGTCTTTACCACATATAATGTTTCCTGGAAAACAGATTAATTACGTTAATACACTAAAGTTACCTTCAACTTTAACAACCTATCCTTCTCTTCTTCATTTTCCAAAATTTTAAGGGCATTACCGGTACGCCGTTTTGCTTCCCCAAGAATACTAAAAAAAGTTTCATCAATAAATACAGTACCCACCTTCGTATTCCAGTCACCCGCACATTCAACTCATGCAAATATTTTCGAATCTCCGAAAAAGTCTCCAATTGTGTGGAATAATCCGGGCTCTGTGGAAACATCATTTATTATCGGGAATATCCAGTTTATACCTTTTCCAAAATTAATTTAGCGATTCGTTTGCTAACCACACCCAGCTGCGTCTTTAATTTCAACTTTTCACGTTCAATGTCTTCCAATAACTCATTGCTTGTTGATAATTTCTAAAAACCATATTATTTAGCTTGTTGATACAGTTTTTAAATAGGTACCTTTAGTTCATAAGTTATCGCGTCAAATTCCTCATCATCGATGAAATATTTGGCATTGATTGAGTCGACAATTTCATCTTCATTTAGGGCATCAGTACGAGGGATCATTCTCGGTTGCTAGGCTGCGATTAGGGGGAGTGGAGTGGATATGGCATACCTTTTTCAGGATTCTTGTTGTTTCGACTTCGGCCGAGGTAGAAGGGCCCTCGTAGGGGGATGGTACGTAATCCACCATGTCATCCATCTGCAAAATGATGTATCACATCGATCGAATATGCAAATTGTTATTTTCATCCTTAAGCCCCATTATAGCCGCCGAATAAAATATTTTTCGACAGAAAAAAGTAGTTGGCCATGGCGTCGTCCTACGCCCAAAATAAACAAATACCTACTGCTTACAGAATCCAAACCTTGAAAAACAAAACTTATTGCTATTAATCAGTCATTCAACGTCAATTTTGCGTATAAAACCTTTCGCCCATCAATGGAGAATCTATATGAAATATAAAATGCGTCTGACTGTTATCTGAAGATAATCACAACCTTAATATCGTTTTTCTGCCTTCTATCCACAGATTTTCGCAATAATATCACTTACGATGGCATCTTCGTTCGATGAAGCTAGCGACGAACCGAGCTGGGCCAACCTGGAGCTAAGTTCTTCCCTTAGCTTCTCCATCCCTGAAATATTCAATGGAATTGCTGCAAATATCCTATTTTACAAAATCCGGTAACTGATTACACCCTGATATCCGGGGCGCCCCGTTGCCCTCGGGCCGATTAGGTTTTCCTATCGTAAGCGGACGGGGGCAGCGCTGCGGGACCGACAGCTTATGGGGAGGGCGGACTGGCAACGACTATTGACAGGGCTACCGTAGGACTAGGTACAGTATGTTGACAAAATCGAGATCGTAAGAATAAGAAAAGTTCTGAAATCGTGTACGCAAGATAAAACCTGAAGATTTTTAGGTGCAAAAATGGAACTTTCAAGGGCATCTTCTTTCTTCCTTTCAAGTCAAACCTTTCATGGGCAGGTCTTGAGCAGAAAGGCAAGTACGGAATCCTTCGTTTTAACGGGATTATGGTATACGTACAGCTTTTTTTTACAGCAAAATTTGTCAGTTTCATAATGAGGTTTTATTTTTAGTCTAAGGCTATCCGTTTGCTGAAATGTCCGCTTGGAAGCTGCACAAAACTTCAAAAAACCCTCTGTTACGTAACTCAAGGCACCCAAATCACCTTTCAGCACGGTTTGATCAGTGCTGTTTGTCTAGAACAGTTCCCGTTCTATCCTTCTAACGCCAGTCTTCTCACCATCCTCCAACCAAGCATTCAAACGCGTTGGGTGGTCGCAAAGTGTCCATTCTGATTGGGTAGTGGGCGCCGTTGGCTGTATTCCAGAAGCTTCTCGTATTTCGCCGCAGGTGCCTCGGGACCGTCGTCTTGTCCCGTTCCCTTCCGGATCCGTACCGGGCAGACAGTGTCTTTTAGAAAAGAGTGGAAGAGGCATGGTAATACGATTCCTTACGGGCCTTTCCTCCCAGCTTCATTCCACCTGGAGCCACCTCCAGTCTGAACATCACCTGATGCCGTCGACACGTCTAGCTAATCGAATATTCGGATTTGCGATACTAATAATAGGCGTCAATGCTCAAAAGCTAGGTAAGATTTGTAAACATTTTTAACGAGACTATTAAGGTACGTTATTCGAAAGATGTTCGACTACCTTGCCCTGCGAATTACCATTGCTATGTCAACGGTCAATTTGCATGCCGAGAGAACGGCCTACACCGTAACCTAATGAAAATTTCTAAAGAGTATTCAGGTTAAGTGTTTTCGATGTGGGCGCACTTCCAAAGGGCGATCCCGTTAAAGCTCTAAAAATGATTGAAGAGATGACAAGGGCTGCTGAAGAGCAATTGGTAGTTATTTATCAATTCCTCCCATATGTTTCAAATTTCTAGAAACCATTTCCAAAACCGCCCGCACTGGTTCAACTTACCGAAAATCAAAGCCTCCGACTGAAGTTTTCTCAACTTGCAGCAAATCTAACAAAGGTGATTGTGCTCAAGCATGATTCTTAAGGTTCCTTTAGGGTGATCTGAGCCAATCGCAAATTGCCAAAGCGCTCGAAGACGTCCTCAATCAAATAAATTCCACAAATTCCAATTCGAGCCCAGCTACATCCGCGCCATTGCAAGGTATCTTTGTAAGTAGAAAAATAATTTTTAAGCCCCGACTTTATTACCAAGCACCACCACGCAAGCCACGCCAAAGACCGTTGCAACCACCAAAGGTTTGTTTTCATCGGGAGTCAAGTAATGTTTTAGTCGCGTTGAATTCTGGGACCACGGTGGTGACAACGATGAAGCCTACGATAGGTATCATATTTCTTACTGTATCTACAAATCCTCCTTAGCGCCTCCTGCCGTGAGTATTCCGGGCGCCCCTGTGGGTCAATGCCAACCAAATTGTGTTGGGATGTCGACGTAAGTCCAAAAACAAAAAAAAACAAAGCACTCGAAAACTGATTCAGATGCGTATCAAAACAATGCGTATGCCTATCTTCTGTGGCTACCTACATTCCAGTAGTTGGTTGTGTTGTTCTCGGAAAGCCGCCGCTACATTCTGCTGGTATTTTAGAGCTTATGGAGCCGATAGTGCCATATTTAGTTCCTCTCTTCTCATCTGGCGCTCAAGTCACACCGACTGGCCCAATAGCCGCAGTCGCTCCGGTCGCAGCTGTAGCTCCCATGCCCAGTCCGGTACTTTCCGTTGCGACAGCCCTCCCCCAAATGCTTGCGCTGCCCTCGGAAGCCCAGATGAATGGACAGCGTACTAATATTGTAAGAATTTGGATAAGTGATCTGATCACGGGCGTTTCAGAATCTGCAAGCATTCCATCTTTGTAAAGTTACGAAGCTTTAGAGTATAAAAAATCCCAAAAATAGCCTATTTTGGACGTTTTTTCTTTAATGCTACATAATTTTTTAGTTGTGGATTGTGAAATTGTGTTGCAGATTATGAAACCTTCGTTTTAATCAGCGAAAAATTCTGCACTAAATTGGCTTGGCCCGGTTTCGAAAAACGTCTCGCTGTACGTAACGTTTAACGAAGGTAACGTTTTTTCTTTCAGATGCTCCTCCCAAACCCTGGTCTACCCAACTATCAAATGGCGCGATTTATGGCTCCTCTTCCTCCACCAACGGTTCCAATTCCGACCGTCGTCATGCCACAGGTACGATGAAAAGTTTCAGTCGTCACTGGCAACCTTTTTTCCAGGCATATCCCCGTCAACCATGCCATCTAGCAGGTACCGAATGCACTGGCGGCTCTCAATGCAGTGAAGGTGTCTGTATGTGCCCTCCACATTTGGTTCGCGCCGATCACCCTGCAAGAAACCGATCTTTTTCTAGGTGTTGGAAGGGCAAGTATGCGTCATCCCTGTTGCTCCAGGTGGCCTCGCCCCAGCTACACATTTCTACAGTCCTTACGCGAATTTCTTTGAACTGCTGAATTGATGCTCATACCTTGACTAATTTATTCCGAGTTTTAACCATGTGATAAAGCTTAATTTATGGCGGTTTTTGTTTAGCGGCATTGTGTTTTTGAAATAAAATATATGACGTCTTTGTTTCCGCAAAGGCGCACAGAGCCCCTTTTTGGCATCGAGGTCTCCCACGTAATTCCATGCTGCTGCTGAATATGATTTTCCACAACCGCGACGCCCGTTTCCTCTGATACAACAGACCCGATCGATGCTCCAGATCGGGTAGCTTCACCTCACCTCCTTCCCAGTTAGGGTCCCATGTCCTTTTTCTTAAACAAGAGAAAGAAAAGGCCTTGTCCCGCTCTTTCCCATCAACCGATCGGAATCGGGGCTGATCGCGGCGGCCGTGTAACGGCCTGGCAAAACCATCGATGGCCCGCCTCCGGACCATTCGCGGAGTCTATCCACCCTCGTTCGTCGCACATCCAAATGCCCTTCTCGCTATTGCTCTCATTTTACCCCTTCGTCAGATTTCTCCGGTTTTTCAATCAATCTAAAAGGAGCCATGTATGTATGTAGCTCATAATTGATATAAAAAATTCATCAGTTTGCCAAACCCCAATGGGATTTTTGGCACTTGGAATTGCTTAAACTAGGCATCAATTTTTTTAGATTTTTCGGAGGGGATTGGACGGTAGTCCTAAGAAAGAGTAAGATTAAGCCTAAGCCTAAGCATAAGCCTATGCCAAGGCCAAAGCCAATACCTAAACCCATGCCTAAACCCATACCTAAGACAACGCCTAAATCTAGCCTAAGTTAGCAGGCCATTTCGGTCGGTTTTCCACCGTTTTAGTCGAATTATTTTTTTCAGCTGTTCGCTGATATCATTCTATTACCACCAACGAATATTGTGGTATGAATGATTATTCTTAAATGATGACCAACTCCTTTCTTTGGATTGCTTTCAGAAAAGTGAATATTCAAATCGGCCAATGACTCATTGTCAGACCTTGTGGCTGTTTTCTGGGTACGAACCTCCCCGCGCCCGAGGGCGTATGCTAGATTGATATCAACGCGTCAAAACAAAATCCGGCGCCGCGTTTCGGTTGGTCATTTGGGAACGCCATTCATTTCATTTTGTCAAAGGTTGGGTAATACGCACCGTTCTTGGTTAAATTTTTATGTTTTAGTTGCTATTTTACTTTGGCTACCCTTGCCAGAAAAACGTCTGGAAAAGCTCCATTTCAAGGTTACCTCGTGATTTTAATAGTCCATTTATCGCTTTGTCATTTATCTTTAATTTTTATCCTAAAAGCTAGTAGAATTTCGGAATTTTTCAGAACGTTGACCACAATGGCTCCGAGCACTGACGAGAACAACGCTTGGGGTGGTAGCGACGTGGTACGTTTTTTAAAAATCAAACAAGCACTCATTGAGGCAGTTTTAAAGATACGTCTGGTGCCCTTAATCCTCCATTTACATTTACAGTACCGTTTCGAGCGTGGACAGCTGCCGGCGAGGGTTACCAGCATGCGGGACGGCCAGGACGGGATGCAGGTGGATTTCAATAACAGCTTTTTAGTGACCTGCTCCGTTATTTTTTACCGTCTTCCTTCTACTGTGTGCACCGAAACTCTGAATTTAAGCGCCTTTCTAGGTGGAGCTCCACTACGTCAGCTCCAACAATTACCATCACTGGGAATGGACCCCACTTGCTTCGCTTGGTCAGTTTCCGGATATCAACGAGGTGGGTCCGCACCGCTTGTAAAGAGCCCTTTAATTCATGATTGCTTTTAAATTATTCGCTTAATTTCTTGTCCGGCTTTAGGTGGTGATTCGACTGCTCAAAGAATATATGGACCGCCGTGACGGCACTGCCTAGAACATACCTCGAAACGAATGCTTCTCCTCTCGAAATCTGCGTAAAGTTGTATATATTACCTGGCATCCTAATGACAATCTCCCCACCTGGCAGATCTTTACGGTGCCAAGGGGTCGAATCGCGAAGGTGTTCGATCAGGCTCACAACTGCTTGCCTCCGTTTTGCTATGTATAAAAGCTTTGCTGTTTTTGAGGTTGTGCTTACAAAAGATCCGATAATTTCGCGATCCGATCTAACAAAAGTTGCCACGCAGCTTTTTCTTCCAGGTTGGGTTGTTTTCTTTGGATGCTAGGTATGTTGAATAAATTCTGATTTTGCTTGTCGGAAACAGAACCGAAGAGAAATTTTTTTTGGGATTCTGACAATGAATCAACGCATACATAACAGAGACAACATTTCCAAGACCGTTCGCGAAGTAGGGTTTCCCAAGACTCGAATAAATTCGAATTTAAACATTACATCGCCGTCCCTAAATTCCTAATTGTTGGGATGTCTTCAAATTTCACATGGGTGTGTTTTTCCGCCAATACGATCCCGTCGATCTTCTGGGGATGGCAGGGCCCGCCTCCTCCAGGGCCTCTTGGGCGCCTTCAAAATCGAGAAATGTCCTCCCCCCCATACCCCCATCCTTTTTCCATTCATCCACACCACTTGACTGGCTGAGACCTCATCATAAGCAAGCTTTACCCACCCCTCAAGAATTCATTTCCCCGTTCGCTTTCTAGATCCCAACAACAACTGGGGTCAATGGAAAAAGCCGAAGCTTTTGGAAATGAGCTATTTTTTACGCGCAATTTCCTAAGATTTTCCATGTAGCCTCTCAGACTTCATTCTCATTTGTCTCTCCAAAATTCCTGTCTTTAGTGCTTCTTTTTGCGATTAATCGGGTGAAAGATGTCAGCTCTATCCATCTCCTTCTTATTTATTGGAGCGCTCCTTCTCGTGGCGGAAGCACGCAAATGTCCTCCCGGACAGGAAGGTAACAATTATTTTAAATCCAAAATTTTAATTTTCCTGGGGTTTATAATCATGTCTCCTCACATGAATATTAAGACCTACAAAATCTAAGCTACAACCCTGACGTTTGCAGAGTAAGAGCCTTTACTTTTCCAAACTTTAGGAGCTTCGGGACCCAACACCTGAATTCCTTTTTTTTGTATAAGCCATGAATGAGTCAACAAAGGATGCATGGCATGCGGCCCAAATTGAATTTTGAGACGACGGGGGTTGACTTCTCAACCACACCACACACACAGCCCGACAGCCACTCCTTTTTAGCCCTCCAACAAATCCCCCCCTTTTTAGCTGGGCCGGGGTCCGAATGGCAGCCACGCCCGGGGGGTCTCCAAGCGGAAATATTTCAGGATTTTTGGTGGCATGCGGAACTGGGCTTGAGAATATATCTACCTACTGGGAATGTTTAGGGGAGAAGCATCCGACTCCCGCTCGAATTAAAGAGATGACGGTGACGACGAGTGGGTTGGGTTTGCGTCCGAGGAGAATATTTGGTAAGGGAATATTTTAATAGGTATGGTGGATATTGGTGGGCAGCTGTCACTTTTATTTTAAATAAAAGCAAAAATTATAAAGCTCAGTAAGCTCCGTACTAAAGTCCCAATACCAGACGAGTACACATTTATACAAACTTCTTTCCTATCCAAAAAAAAAATTATTTTTGGTTTGTTAAACCATGGATAAACCGAAGTTGCGATTAGAAGTTCATTTTAAAGACCCTCCCCACATCTCCTCACTTTTCATAGCGTTGCATTTCCTTTCCCCAAACAAAAACAAACCCATGAGAGATGGCCCTTGTCAACCCAGTAGAGCACATCCATCAAGACGCCTCAGTTGCTCCTTTCTCCCGAGCACATCTCCAGTTTCATTTTCACACGAACATCACCCAACCACATTAGTCGGGGCCGCCCTGGGCCCCTCATGGTCGCTACTGCTTTTTTGGGGTGGAAGAATTCGTGAGAACCGCCGCTGGGGTGGTACCAGAATCTTCTAAAAAAATTGTAGTGGAGGGGGGTGGAAATCGGAGAAATCGTCGGGCGGGTTTGGTCATAAAAAATTTGATTTGCAGTTCATGCGCAAAAGCCGAGGGCCGGAATGGATGCGTTACCGGTTGCACATCCGGTGTTGCATGAGAAGTGGGTTATTTTTCGACGCTTTCTACCTCTGTATGCCAATAATGCTCTACCTGGTCGAAGAACTTTCTCTTTAAAATTCTCTGCAGAAACCACAAACCATGAATTCAGAAAAAAACCAGACCGTGGGTAAACAATTAGCCTGTTGTGAGGGTGGGCCACCCAAAATTGCCAGTTTTCTGAAATGATCAGTTCTCACAATTAACGGCAGTTACTTTAGTCAATTTAGGCCATTAACGGTATCTGCCGCAGACCACCGAAATTCAGAACGCACTTTCAGGGCATGCATAACTCATTGTTTTTGGGCGGAGGCGATCTCGAGGGGGCTAGTGTCAATAAAAATAGAGTTGGTTAGGGCCACAAATTGCAGTAGGAAGAAGCCGACGGAGGAGGGTCGGGTGCTCCCTGGGGATGAAGCTTCGACTGGGAAGAGGCGGAAAATCCGAGTCACCAAGCATCGCCATCATCATCATTCGCGGGGCCATCAGGTGAGGAAGAAAAATAGCCTTACTCAACATATTACAAGTTAATTATAATATTCTTAAATCCTTTAGAAACGTTCCCCACACCCATCACCAAACGTCGCATATGCCCACAATGGCCCACTCACTACTCATGGTCATGGACCTCATGGAGGAAACTACAAAATATAAAACCACCACCCTCCGGTTTTCATTGTTTTCCATCTCGATCCCCCATATCCGGTGTCCACCTCTTTTCCTTAAACGCCCTCAATAAATTTGTAGCTTTATTTCGTGGAACGCTGGGCACGAGGGCACACTTTTGAGCGACAGCCAAAAAGCAGGGAGAGGCGAAGACAGAACGGATCACAATTTGATGTCAGCGAATACGGTATGTGTTGGGTAGCAGAGCGGAGAAAACGACTAGAAGTCATTTGAATAACATCGACAATTTGAAAGCACTGAGCAACATTTTAAAATAAATGGAAATTTTTTTACTTCAAATTTATAGTTCGTTTTCCAATTATTTTAAACAATAGAATATAAATATACCGGTGCTAGGGTGTGGTGAGAGGGCGCTCCCAACATGGAAAGTAGAAAATTTCAGTTTAACAAAAGTGTCAAGAAGACAGTCAAGACTTTTGGCTAGATATAGCCTACACGTGAGTTAGGAAAATTCAAATCATTTTTGCAACTTCTCTTGGTTCAAAATACTGAATTAAATCACCGTGGAATGAATAACCTACATTTAACGGGGCCAGCTATAGATTTTTAAAGGGTAAATTCGTTTTTTAGTCCACAAGACTAACATGTGAAATTTAAAAAAAATATTGAACTATTAGAGGATCAGGTTAGGCGTTTGCGTCAAGAATGAAACCGGCATTGTGTATAGGGTATTTTGGCGTAGCTCAGAATGGTCATTGGTGGTGAGATGAGTGATAATGGTCATAATGGAGGTTGTCGCGGGATCTTAATTCGAATTGAAAACTTGTTAAATAAATTATATACTACCTTGCATGTCGCGGGGCTAGTTTTGCCCGTGGGAAAAGATTGTTGCGCAGCGGGTTTTCTAGAGAAGCTAACATCGGCAAGTCGCCTAAAATTGTTATGTTGTAAAACTATCTTTCTTGCCTATAGGTTTCGGATCTGAGCCCAGTTGCCTCATTTCGGGCACTACAATGTCAGTTTCAGCATATTCCGACGGAGCCGAATAGATATCGGCCATTGACTGTAAGTGATTTTTATAGAATACCAAATTCAAATTTTGAAATTACCTGATGGAACAGATCGGGGTTACTGAGATATTTCACTTGAATATCTTTCGCTTGGCTCGAATATTGGGCATTCAGTCGGGCTTCAGCTATCTGAACATTTCGGTTTATTTGTTATTTATAGCGTCCAGAAGCTAGCCACTTAAAATCTCGACTGACTTGATGAGAATCACGGCGTTCCCGATACGATGGTGGCTTATCATATTCACTAGCAGCCCCCTCCGATTTCTCCTCGGCCGAGGGGCCACAAGAAAATAGAGTGAGTAGTACCGGAAGTATGACAAGTCCGTGAAGAGCCCCAAGTGTTATCACCAGAATTATTGTCTAAGAAAAATAAATTAGGGAGAAAATCCTGCCCACCTTGAGGAAGGAACGGAATACATAAGATTCAGCGGTCGCCATGAAAGAGACGCCAAGGATTGTCGACGTGGCTGACTGTAAAATCGGCCACCCAACAGCATACAGAGCGTTGCGCATTCGATCATCTGCGCTTATGCCTTCTCCCTAAGGAAATAGTTATTAAAATTTAAAAATATTTTATACTTTTGCGAAATTATAGGCCAAATGGGCGGCAAAATCGACGCAAAAGCCGATGCTCATAACAATAGTGACCATCGAGATGAAGTCGAGTCTGACAGACCAGAAGGTCATAAAGCCCAAGATGCCGATGTTGATGGATACGATGGAGAAGCACACCTGAAAAAAATAGATATAAACCTGCTAAGGCTGGTGGTTGCACGCGTCTTTAAAAAATCACTTACCCAAAGACTGGCAATCGGCTCAGGAATTAGCAACAACGAAACAACAATAACAGCTACGCCGGCGTATCCGATCGAAGACAAAGTTCCGGGTAGTACCGCATTGTATTGTTCAGCGAACTGAAAATGTATATTATTCTTTTAAGTTTTATCTTACCTGGAAAAAGTCGGCATAAACGCCTGTCTGGAGCTGAGAGCCGGCTGCTAGTTTTCGGAATAGATCCATCGCTCGCGATTGATTTGCAGCTCCGACCTAGAATTTTTTTTTAGTAAATGATCGTAACCCACCTGTCTCAAATGTACTGGAACTCTTGAAGCATCCAATGCTGTGCCACTCAAATCAAAGACAACATCTCTGAAAATTCCACAGGTTTTAATATTGTCTTGTTTTTCACTCACCGATTGTACTTTGCGAATTGTGGTTGGGACAGGAAAACGTTCTTCAGAATATACACAAAGTTTTCTCCAGTAATTAACAATCCGGCCTGCTTCACAAAGGCGAAGAAAGTTCGAAGCCTAAAAAATGCGCATATCAAGAATACCCTTCAGTTCCCACCAGGAATCGCTAGACCCGGTAAATTCTGTATGTTCGTAGTATCCAATTTCCTCATCAAGCAGCACCCAAATCTTCTTGCCTCCAGTATCGGCCCGCGAGAGATTGTACATCCAGACATGGAGACTACTACCGTAGTCTAAAATGGAAATTGCATCTTTAGTAATTAGGGATTGGTATACCCGAAAAGTATTTTTCAGCAACTTGTAGGGTTCGTTTTCCATAAGAGTTGTCAGGTAGTAGATCGTTAGGTTCAAGCCCAAGCTTGACATTAGTGCATCCATAAGTGGCAATACCCAGATAGGCGAAGAAAGAGCAGAGGATGACGATCCGAACAACTGGGTTTAAGAGGAAATCTATAAAAATTTATCTAGAAGACACCAGACATTTACCGGAATAATGTGTCTTGAAAAACCTCGCCATCACATGGTTCTTCTCAAAAGATCGATCAGAGGCTGGCGGTGGATGCCAGTGTGGATTTCCTGAAATTTTAGCTTCCAGAAGCCACTTTCCTACTAACCGCCCATCTGTTGAAGCTTTCGGCTTAACTTCACTTCATCATTTTCTTTTCCTTTCAAGAAGGTAACACAGTTTCGATTGGAGATCTCGCGCCGGCAGGTAAATACCATGATTCCTAAAAAAAAGGTTTGCTACTTTCGTTTCGGGGCTCACCCGCAAAGAACGTCAGTTGATAGACGTAGGTGAAGACAACGGCAGCGACCGCATACATGCAAAACATCTGAATTCTTGAATGAAGGCGATCAAATGATGTTTGTTACCTTAACACTAGGGAATTCGGTAGCACACCCAACAGCAAATGAGATCAGATCGGTCAATGAGGTCACTAGAAATTAATGACAAGTTCTTTCGAGGATGGGTTGATACCAGTGATGGAGACCGCGGCTTCAGCAAAGGTTTCTCGTAATCGGTGTTCTAAGGTATCATGCGTAGCCGTGGCTCTCCAGGCTGAGAGTAGTATGAATACGTTGTCGACGCCGACAGCTAGAATTCGCAGTTTTTATAATTTATTCATCTTTGTCTCAGCGTTATATAGGGACTAGTTGCGGCTTTATTCCACAATCTATGCATTACTGATATTTCGAAGGTGTCTATCAAAAAGAACGGCTCTGTCAAAATTTACATCCAAAATTTTTCCCTCCCCATTTCCTCGTACAGAACCGTTTCCCTATCGAGAATACACACGAACAGGGTCGTAGCCCCGTGACGCGTATTTGGAATTAGCTCCGTGCGCCCACCCCGAGCAAGGACCCCCTGGCCCCCCGAGCACATTTGCATACCATGGAGGGCATTCTGTTTGGGCCCCGGATCAGAATATTCTTCCCCCCTAGAGACGCCTTAGGACCTTGGAAGGAAACACACGCATCACCACTACAACGTCTTTGGCTGGCTGGCCGATGCTCGAAGCTGGCCGTGGTTTGGAAGGTCCGAACAAACTTTAGGGATTCCAAAAACCTACAGAATACAATGAACGGCATACTGTAAGCAACACTGGTCATTCCAAAACCAAGGAGAAGCATCAGCCCAACCCCGGAAGCAATGGCCATGGCCGCGGAGAAGACACCTCCAATCTAAATAATAAAAATAGAAATTTGACTCAAATAAGACCTAAAAAATATAAAACTTACAGCCAACCAGGGACGACTTCTCCTCCATGAAAACACACAACAGGTAAGGATGGTGTAGAGGGAAACAGCTAAAAAGCAGGGCAGAAGCATGCTACAAAGATTAAACATTTAAAAACCGTTTCAAAATATGTCTACTTGATCAATTGATGTCGATCCCTTGCACTCTCACTGGCCAATGTCTCATACGTCCACCAAGCTGTTCGTATAATTGGAGAATCGTAGTTCTAATTCACGATTGCTTTTATGATAAATGATACGAACCGCTAGAAATTCGGCTAGCTGCAACTCCCATTGCTCGGCAACTCGATCTTCGGCTAGTGAGGAATGTCGAAGAGCATATGGTAGCATCATGGCTTTCGCGCCTGAATTGAGGCTAAAATTTCACAGGAGAAAGTGTTGTACCTGCTATCCGCCGTTGGCTATCCAAAGTGACGCCTCCAAGTAGATGGGTCATGCCAGCGGCATCGAGCTGAACGGCATCCCCAATTTGCCCGAGGGTGATCTCATCGATTGAACGGTTTAGGAACGATCGATCGGATACAAGGATCAATTTGAAGACTTCTACCAGTGGGTTGGATACGCAGATTTCGTCGGGTCTGAAAATTTGAACCTAGGGTTAGATTTCTTTGAAATAGAATTCAAGGTTCGTTTAAGGAACGGTTCCGTCAGAAATGTCAAATCCAAAATTTGCAATTAATGTTGACAATTGTACTTCTTACACATCGCCCTGCTCACTTTTCAACCCAAAAACCTTTCGTTCCCGTTCACCTCATTGGCCTTCGAACCCTACATCGTCCCAAATATCTCGCGCGGCACTTTTTTGTTGTTTACGCCCCACGGCTATTCGAAATCGTTCGGATTAGCGGGTAATGAAACCCCTTTTCTTTCGATCGAGAGGAAGTATCGATATCCATTCGCGTGGAATCCCATTCCCGCTAGACCCCCCCCGGCTTCTCTCGTCTTCTTGTAATGTCTACCCGAAGAGTTCTTCTTCTTCTGCGGTCTCCGTATCCACCTGACACAATGGGTGAGAGCCCAGCCCTTCTAGCGTGAATCCCCGTGGATTCGCCTCTTTTTTGAGCCCTAGGGGCCCGTCGAGGGTCTTGTTTATTCAAGATTTGCTGAAGGCACAGCCTGTCCCCCCATGGGTTCGACACTTCGCGCACAGTCTCGCGCACCAAAAGCCTTCTTCTTGCGCTTTTTTTCGTGCACATCACCCCCACAAATCACGCCGGCTCATCAAGGCTTTGAAAGGATGTGTGGAGAGAGAGGTCGTTCGGATCGATGAAAACACTTCAGATGCATTCCACGCCCCGATGGTTTGTGGGGAACTTTTTGCTATAGTAGAAGGAGCTATAGCGCATGGTTTCCGGGGAAAAAGTGGCTTATACGGTCACCTAGTAGCAAAAACTTTTGGTATACATGTTAATTTGCTGAAACCGGGTGTTAAGAGTACTGTTAAGACTATATGAAACCGTTATCAATCTCGCAGAGCATCAAAACTCGATTTCACACGACATAATGCGTCGGCCTTCTTTAACTGCAAAAAGTCGCTTCTAATCAAATCGACGTCTCTTGGGCATTTAACGGTGCAACATGGAAATCCGAGCCGCCCCCGCCCTCTACAGGTCGCCCCCGTAAAGCACGCAACAACGGAGCAAATGCATACAACACACAACCGTCCGTTTAGAAGCGAGCGAACGGCCCGAACGGGTTGCGTTTATTTTTCGGAAGCCAGTTTTAGAGAGGCTAGAATTTTCGGAAAGCTTTTTCAATAATTTTGGTGCTTATGACAAGTGATATGAATGCTAGGTGTATGCCAGCGCGCAAAAATTCACGAAATGTTTTCCTTACAAAAATAGTTGCGAGCTATAAGAGTAAATAGAAGAGTTAACCGATAATAGTTTCGTATAGGTCTTAAAGCATAGGCTTAGGTGTCTTCTTAGCGGAAGCCAGGGAAAAATATAAGACCCGACAAGATAGACAGTGTTATTCAATTGTCTTTATTTTAGAATTTGCATAGACCAACCCAAAGAGACGGAGGCCGAACATGGCAATGTGCCAATATTCAAAACTCGATCTCCTACTTGCCCCAAACCCTTTATTTACCATCTAGCCCCCGAGGTGTGTTGTGACAATCCGGACTTCCGGTTGACCGGAACATCACCAACCCTTCCCTCCGTCAGCTAGAAGCAATGCTTGTCCTACCTTCTCTTTCCCCTTTCCCCCAAGCGGCGCAAATCGGCTCACAAATTCGACGCTCATCTGCCCTGTTCCCGGTTGAGCAAATGTGTCGCCCCACTAGGGCCCGGCCACCGGGTTGGCTTCTTCATGCGTCCGCACACAAAACCCCCCGCCTCTAGGCGCTCGACCGGAGAACAACAAAAGACAAAAGGGCCGTCAACGGCTTTTCGTTCAAATCAGATATTGATTAGGGGAAGGGTTTAAGGAAGAAGAGACGACAAGAATTTCGGAGGCGAAAAACAACGGCTACTAACAAAACTATAAGACAAAGTAAGCAAATAAAACTCACGTCGTGACGTTTGGCGAAAACAACGCATGGATGGCTCGACCAAATTCTGGAGGCATCGGAAATTTAACGCATATTGACGGGTAGTTAATCCTCCTCAAGGGGCCGCCAGTCGGGTCATCCTCCACTGTCATCGCTTGTACGATCGACCTAATTTTTGAGTTCCAAAATTTTGTTGTAATTTGCATACCATAATTGCATGGCCGCATGCATAGCAAGTGGGTTTAGAATGTCTCGTTCTTCTTCTCGATGCGTGACAATGATGTAACCAGCTCGTTTGATGTCATATCTAAAACTATTTTTATTGAATTTTTGCATTTTTTCAGCGCAATATTCAACGTTTAGCGTAGTTTCTGGACGGTCTGGTGGAAAAGTATCGTATTACGGGGGCAAGGGATAGAAAAACACGGGTTGCTTTGATGTGATAGAAAGGGAGAGTTCAGGATCGCGTGCAGACGCGTGAGAACAATTCGTTCTGGTAGTGGTCGTGTTCAAATGATGGTGTGAAGAGTATTCAGACGGAAAAGGTAGCGTTAGGCGTCTGCTAATTGTAAAGGCTCCAATTTGTGGGTGAATGCTTTCGGACAAATGCCTATACGAGGAAAGCGCGCTTTTTGCATGATTTTCATGCCAAAATTTGGAGCTTTAATAATAACTGTAAGCTCCCAAAAAACCGTCAGGTTTATTGTCGGATTTTCTTGGATAAAACTAGATCTAGTATGTAGTGGCGATTGTAGATAGGCTACGCGTCCTTAAAAATTTTTGAAAAAAGTATCCTTTACTTGAAACCCCCAGCACCATTCTTCAAGTTTCCCTTTCCGTTCCCAAGAGGGACCCGGTATGCCGGACATTCCTAATACCCCCACTAGGGGTCCATGCTACCGGGTTCGGTGTGCGCCGCCGGGGAAATATTTGCGCAATGGGTGTTCTGGCCTTTTTTGGTGGAGGGACTAGGACCTCGGCCGGTGGCCCTTCCTCCAAGGACGACACCTTTTTGGCCTTTTTGGGGGCCCTTTTAGGCGCTACAAGGGATGCCATCTGAGAGATCGGGTACAGGGGTGGCTGTCCAAGTAAACAGTATTCAGCGTACTAGCTTAGGACATCTCGTAATAGAATTAAGCTGAGGTACGATATTTTCGCCAAGATATATGCCACTCTCCATTAGATGCCGCTGCCAGCCAAATTCTGTTAAAACGGGCCCCATCCACCCCCCCCCATCAGATTTTGAGTAGCAATGATCACCCTAAATTAGTAAGAGCTGATGGACGTGGTCTCAATCGTCTAGTTTTAAGCCCCAATTTTGGTATTTTACCCGATCTAAAAAATATCAGACGTTTTTACGCCCAGACAAGAGCATTGTTCACATACCCCCGCAGCTTCAACCGTCAGAACAGGTCAGCGGACCAAAATCCGTAAATAATGCGCGTCCAGTCCTCCCTCTACCTTTTTTTTTACTCTCTCCCCCTTGTTGCGGGTGTCCAATCCGCCCCGCTAAGCCCGTCGACCAACTGGTTCTCTGCCCGCAAAAAGAGAAGCACAAGCGCTAATTGGAATGGGAACGGTGTGGCCGATAAGTTCAGTGAATATTGCCTAGAGTACTGGGTGATTCAACAGATTATCGGTCTGTAAAGTGGATCAAATACAGCAAGGGAATACGGTATAATTGGTCATAACTGATCTTTGTTCAACAAGTAAAATGCCCACCTTCGAGTCGCGTAAAACGGATCGGAGTCGTTGATGTGAAAAAGTTGATCTAATTGTGCCAATTCATCCCTGGCTTTGGCATCTGTAGGCGTGTACAGCTCGAGCTCATCTTTCATGAACGCCTAAGAAACGGTTATGAGGCCTTCGGGGGCTTTTACCTGCTTGTGCCGCAAAAGGCCCGTACTCAATGATATTGTAATAATGACCGGGATGATGACAAAGGGCCATGGGCATTTTACAACGATACCTAGGCGGGTTAATTTTTCTTAATAAAGCAATTGCATACTGGCATAATCGGCAAATACGGCGGCAAAGCGCCGCTCCACACAATCGATGCGCATCCACCGTGGCGAAGTTTAGGGTTTCGCTTTCGAGCTGCTTCGGGAGGAGGGTTGGGGCGAAGACGTTTGAAGGGAAAGCTCGGAATACCGGCTTAAGGCTGGTTCGTGTCGAATGGGTGCTAAACGTATGTAAAATTTCTAAATAGCCATTGAACGAAAGAATCAGAGCATCAAAGGACGTTAAAAATCATCAAAGGCTGATTGAATGTGTATTAGATAGATATGTATATTTACAGTACTAAATCCGCTGTATACTGAAGTACTCTTAGTTAAGACATTAATTAAATACTGCTTCAACCACAATAGGGCACAACACATCTTTTCTAAAGTCATCTTAGGTCATCTCACTCCTAAAAGTAGTTTTTACTAAAAGAAATAGTTTTCCAAAAATTCTTAGAAGTTGAAATACGATGACGACTACGCTACGTTACAAATGGCACGAAGCCTTTCAAAAAGACCGCCCATCATCGGTCAACCCCCTATCCCCCATCATTAATTCACAATTAGTACAATTCCGGCGTCAATAATTACACATCCGGATCAAATTTCGTACAAAAAAGCGCGGGCTTGCCCCCGGAAATGGGAGAAAAACTATGGTTGGTGTGGGAATGTTTGCCGTTATTGGGGGGAGGGGGTCTTCCGCAGTGGATGGGGTATGGGGTGCGGCGGATTCAGTGAGTGCGGGAGGTCATTGTATCGAAACGGGTAAAAACTGACGAGGACCTTTGTCGGAACCCGTAGATACTCTAGTGGTTTGCAGCGAGCATGGGGGCCAAGGGTTCATACGGGGCTTGCGTTTTTTTCGGCAGGAAGAGTGAAATCGCGGGGATCGCGAAGGTGAACTGTTGACATATAATTTTCATGACACTTCCATCAAAAAATAATATGCTTACATTCATAAAAAATGATCGGTAAAAAGTACTGCTGTAATTTTTGAGGGTTTTAAATTTCAAGCGTTACCGTCTTTGACAACGCCTAAAATATAATGATCGTTGCTTTTAAGTTCAACTTTGAAGATTGTCCGGTTCTTAGGGTTACAAATTACTTCAGGTATCAGGAAGGATGATGTTAATTAGCACGAAACCTTAATGTTAAAATTAGCATAAAACTGCCGCCCTCAGGCCGGAGGCAACCTTCTCGTCCATTGCACAGCGTTTCCGCTTGGCTTTTTGCTTATTGCCATGAGACATGATCGACACGGGTTCTCCTTATCCCTTTAACTACGTAACGTTAAAAGGCCTAGAACTCCAGGCTACCGTACAACCAGCTAGCCAGTAAAAGATGAAACGTGTGAAAGTGAGTCTTCGCATTTTCCGAGTATCGAGTACAATACAACCTCTAGCAGTAAGACTAGAGGGGGAGCTTCAGACCGCAAGCTAGAAGAATGGGGGGCGCGCAGGATGATGGTATGCAAAAAATGACTGTTGGAGAAGGGGGGTGAGAATGGGCCGGCCAGCGGGAAGGGGTGGAAAGGGTTGGCTGTTGTTTTGTGTAGCAAGAAGGTGTATTGGACAAGGTCCCGGGAGAAGAAGAAGACACAACGGTTCCGACCAGGGGCTCAGCAAGGAGGGCGGGGAAAGAAGGGGTGTAGAGACCCTACCGGGACGATGGTTCTTCCCCTCCCATGCACCGCTTCACCCCCCGAATCGTTGCCCCGCCCTCCGTCCATGTGTCACTTTCGGACATTCCCCATTCCCATAGTTCGAGGCCAGACCATTCATGGGCCCGGGGACGGTAGGTAGATGAGTTCCATTAAAAACGTGTTGATTTACCGGTAAAAAGCGATTATTGGCGTTCAAAGACTGATAATACGGAATATAGCATACCAAAAAAAATTATAATACGAACCTCAGTTATGTACAGCTCCGAAATGCACGAAAAATAATGATTAGAATTATTTTAAACTCCAACGATATCTAATGCAAACTTTTCTAAAATTTGCTAGGAAAGCTGTTTTGTTAAACATAAATGCAGATCATACAATGTAAATCTCTTAGAGTAATGCGATAATTTATTAAAATTCTCTCATTCTACCGCAATTTTGCCGCCTATTCATAGTTTTCAATTTCTCATGGGAAAGCCCACCACAGATTGCTCCCGCATCGGTTACACAACCCTTTAAACCCCCAAACCAAACTCTATGAAATTCCAAAACTACAAAATCCACTTACCAATAATCACTCGACTCGAATGCAATTGAGAATGTGGATAAGGTGGGTGCGAAGAGCCCTCAAAGTCCACGTATCCCTTCTCCGTTTCGGGCCCTCAAAGGGGGCCCAGATCCCGTATTTGCGCAATCAGATAGCCCCTCAGGCGGCTGTTATTCCACCACTTTCGAAACGATGATGAGCGAGCGGGATCTCCCACTGTATGACCCGTACTGTCTCGGGAACCGAGCAAAAAAAAAAACGTTTTCTCGCCTCTGTTTGGGTGGATATCATTTGACGTGAGTGCTCGCACGAGCTGTTAGCCCGGGTAGCTTTCGGCCCACCCCTCCATCGCTGCTGTATCTGGGGGCTGAAGATTAGGCGTAACAAGCTTCCTCGTAAAAAAAACTATCGAAACAAGCCATACTCGAAGCGAGCAGCCCCAAGTAGGCAACAGGCCATCATCACTAGATTAACTCAAAAGCAAAGCCGAAAATCTCTTTGAGAATGTTGGAGAAAGTGTTTATTGCTCAGTTTCTTCAATATGACAATCGATGCAGCTTCAAAAACAAAAGACCAGAATCACAAGCAAGATGATAATACGACACGGTTAACGAAAGAAAAATGTAAAATGGCGCATAGCTAGTGAAAATACATCAAGGACCGGCATCTTACTAGGAATGAGAAGAAGATTGGAGAACCAAGACCCGCCACGAATATTCGGTCATGGCAACTTTCCACCAGTCTGTGCATATATGCAGTGGCTTGATTCGCAATGAAAAGCCCTAGTGGCTTGATTCAGAGCCCGTCGATGCATTCAAATTCTAAGAACGAAATAATGGGGAAAATGATGGCTCTGTTACCAGAATCACGGACGTGTCGAGCTCTTCATCGAATGGTGCTCCGTTTTTCGGGATTATGATCTTGCCCGCTAATTGACCGGCTTCTACCGCTTCTTCCAGCTGCGATTCGAGCGCCGACAATTCCTGAAAATTCCATTTTGGCAAAAGCTAGACTCGTTTAGATCTGGCGTCAAAATTAAATGTTTTACCTGGAATTCCGTTACTTTCGCCATAAACAATTTCTTAGCCACATCGCTAATCTTGTCGAAATATAATCGTTGATTGCCCGAAATCGACTCCCTAAATCGAAATTTAAACCGTTCGCTATATTCTTACTTCAACCCGTCGATAATAGCGTTATTTTCTCCCAATGTTTCCAGATAAGTTCTTTTCATCCCGTCGCCAGCATCCATGATCTCTTGGAACATTTCCGCAGCCTCGCTGAAATTTGAACATAAACCCCGGCAACAACAAAAACAAAAATTTAATCATTAGCAGAAAATAAGCAAGAACATACCGATACTTTTGCACAGATTGTCTTTGTTCCACCACTTCGTTATAATCGGTTTTGACGGGCTGTTGGGAGACAATCTTCTTTAAATCTTCAGTCGATTTTCTAAATAAAGAATGGGTATTGATGGAAAAAGCGTACCGTGAGCGAACTGCCAGCTTTTTGAATTCTTCGAGGTCCGCGAGTAGAACCGTGCGAAGCGCTTCGTTGCTTTTCTAAACGGGGTTTTCTATAACAAGCTTGAAGCTCACCAAACAACGTTCGCTGGCCATAAACTCCTGCTGCAGTTCACTGAGGAACTTTTTGATTTTAATGCCTTGCTCAGGGTCGACGGCTGTGTAGTATTCCTCCAGGTACTCGCGGTAACCCCTAAAAACAGCTGTAGAGCGAAAATGTTCTCTTACCTGATCTTTCTGTAGGTGGCAGTAACCCTGTTGATAAGCTTTAAAGCTTCATTGATCAACTCGTCTTGGTATATTAACTAAAATCGAATAATTAGATGGGTATTAAAAGTACCTGTTGAACAATCTGCGTCGCAGAACTCGACAATTGATTCATCTTCGGGATCGCACTGAGCTGGCCGCCCACAGCATCATCCTCGTTGAAAAAACGCTTGATGGGACTTGAGGATGAGCATCCCTCAGTGTCTTCGTTTATTGTACCCTCTAAAAGTGAAAAGGTTAACCAATCCAAAAAGAGTGAAAGTTTAAAAAAACCAACCACTAGTTGCAGAAGCATCCGACTCGTAGCCTTCGCCGCCATAAGCATCGGCTCGCCGCGGGACGGTAGGCTTGTTTCGTCTTCCATATGCTGGTGAGGAGTTATTCGAACGTGGTGACGCGAGCGGTTTATCAAAAACACCGCCGGAGAACAACGCATTGAATTCGTCAATGTCTGAAAAAAACCATCATAACTAAAAATGCTTATTTCCAAAAACTAAACGGTCTAGCTAATTTTCTTTCGAAATTTTCGAAAATCCGGACCCGTGCTCAGAACAAAATTGCACGCCAGAAGTTTTGCGAACGACTCAAATTTGTGCAAAAGTCTAAAAAGGGATTACACGCATGTAAATTGCAGGATTTTTGGTCGTGTTGAGGCGTGAAATTTTGTTCAGGGCACCAGTCACGCTGACAAAAGAAAAAAGCAACAAAACCCACCCTCTTGTTCTGAAGTCATTGCCGGTCAAGCGACCTGAATTGAGAAGCCATAGATTCATTTGAAAGAAGCCAAGAAGAGATAGAACCGGGCCAAAACCGTTTTTCAGTAAGGATGCTTAAATCAAAAACTTTTATACAGCGTTACCAGTAAGAAAAACACGAGTAATGATGAGGTACATTTCAGGACACATAATGTAAGGAGGGGATGAGCAGCACGTTGAAAACATGAGGGTTCATAAGTTTGAAAGCACACATCTACAAGTAAAATACACGCAAAATGGAGATTTTGGCACCAGGAGAGATTACCCGTAAGCGTAGTTGAAGAAAAGGCCGGCGGGAAGGGGCTACGCGAGGATCCAATCCACCCCATGATTGCACCCGCTTTGAGCTACATTCTAGTTTTAAAAGTCCAAAATACTTAAAATTTTACCGTCTTTTCAAATTAAACCCCGAATTAAAGTAAAATAAAACTTGAAATATTGTTCCCCGTGGATTTTTTAGTTTTCTTGCTTGTTTGGAACTTGACGCAAGCCTCGCTACTCGGTTTGCGTTGCGAGGACCGGATCTTTGCGGCCCCCAGCTGATAGGCGTATTTCCCGCACCGGCCCTCACAAAACGAATTTAGTAACAAAACAAAAAGGCATTTCATAGAAAAAAATTCGAATCGTGACCGCGGGATAAAGAGAGCAAAAAAAATCGGACCGGGAGTTAACATGGATCTTCGATATAATCCATGGCGTCGGTGGGAGCGACAAAATGGGGAACAGTTTCTTCGGGTACCGGCCCTGGGTCTTCGACCATCTCCTCATCGCTGAGCGAAGAGGTTTCCTCGTCATTTTCCTCATCCTCGTCTTCATCCTCTTCAGACCCTGATTGCCTTTGTTGCACCATGAAGTGGCGATCGGGACGTCGACGGGCTATTGGGCGCCGATAGCCAACATACTAAAAGGATAATAGTCGTTATAGTAAAATAAATCTAGCGTATTTTTGGGCATATGCAGTTAAAGGGATCAGGAAGGCCTGGATAAATTCAGCGTAAATCCGGGTTTTGACTTCAAAATTAGCATAAATTTTCTCTGCTCCCTCTTACATGGGCGCACTCTCTACTCCGTATTTTGCATTAGCTTTCCGTTTGAAAACTTGCCAACTATAAATGAGCCCTACGTAAAACCCTACGTGGGCCTGATCTGATCCCTTTAATCTTGCGAAAGCTTGTCTAGATCAATATTAAAACTCACAGTTGGAACATATTGGACGGTTGCCTTCCGGCGCGGATCTTCTTCCTCCTCTTCGTCAGTCTCCTCCTCACTAGGAGGGCCAGGGTATCCATCATCTGGATCATGGTCAACGCCATTGACTTTCGGCACTCCATTGATATGGATTGCCGGTCTCGTTATTGGCTCTTCGACTAAGGTACTGGAAGAGCTGCTGCCGTTCCCATGTGCGGTCCGTTCAATTTGCAAATGAAGCTTCAGCTCTGCTTCAAAGTTATCAACAAAGGCCTGATGCAAATTTTCGTCAAAATCGGCTTTGACGAGTTGCGGATGCTGGTCAACAAAAAGGCCCAGAACCTCGTCGAACTCGCTTCGGACGCTCCATGGTGAAGCCAAGCTGAAAAACAAAGGCGTTTTCAAACGATGATTGTGTTGTTACAATTGCAAATACAATTCTTACCCTATCGAAAACCGCCATTCCTTGAGCATCTCTAGTGGGTCATCAAGGTGGTGTTCCTAGATTTTTCTTTTGTGGATTATGGGAGATTGCCTTACCTGACAAAGACGTAAACGAATCAGTTCCCGGATTCGGGGGAAGAATGTTCTGGTATTCGTTAGCTCATTGCGGATCATTTGAATGACGCGCTCTCGGTCTCCTGAACAAAAGAATACAATAATACGTGATATACTTACTCGAGGAATGCCAGGCCCGCTCCACCTGCGTAAACTTGATCGCCGGAAATTCGAGTTCTGAAAAATAAAAAATAAAAATCGAGTTTGAGGATGAAAAAGCACCTTTTTGCCTTAGTAAACCAATATTGGATTTACATACCTTCTTGAATACCAGGTCCAGGCGGGCTACTCGGGGCGGAATTGGTCTCGTCAAAGTGGACTGCAGCAAATGAAGCATTCAGTTCGGCATCACTGTCTAGCTCGACAGAAGAAGGCGCTGCCGATGTAGATGAGGATGAAGTTGTAGAAGAAGAGGAAGATGAGTCAGAGTCGGAACCCGATGAGGTATCATCGTCATCCTCATCATCATCGTCGTCCGACGATGATACGTCTGATGACATTGCGGAAGAACATGAAGAGGAGGACGAGGAAGACGAGGATGACGAAGACCCAGAAGATGATGACAAGGATGAGCAAGAGGAAGATAAGGAGGACGAAGACGGTGATGAACATGATGATGAAGGTGCTGATCCGGATGACGAAGAGGAGGAGCTCGAGCCTACATCGCCCTCAACGTCTCTCATCCTTTGCTCATGCTCTCTCAGAAGCTCAGCACGACTCAGGTTCAAAAACCCGTCGATAGAGCGAGGCCGTCCTGGGATCTGGAATTTTTCAATATGTGGTGACCTTGTTAAAATAGAGCCCTCAATCCTCATCTGAAGGTATTTGGCGTTCAGAAACTAACCTTAAATAAACCAGGCGGTGGTGTTTTATGCCTTGGTGGAGTTTTTGAGCGCCCCGGAGATCGTGCCGGTGAACGTGCCGACTTGGGAGTGCCACGGGCACTGGCACTTGGAGTTCTTGCTCGGGATGATTTCGGCGTCGGCGATTTTCGATGATGGGGAGAGGCTCCAGCAGACTAAAAAATTTACATTACCTTACTTACAAACAAACTATCGCCTCAAAATCAGGTGGGAGCACGCAAATAAATTAATCATTGATTGATGCTTATTGAAGCGACTGGAGTCAAATTACTTTATACTGATTTGAGAATTTTTGGTGTAAATCAACTCTTAAGTCAATTCATTTAATTTTTTTAACTGAGACTTACCCTCGAACCACGTCCTGTCTTCTTTAACGGTCGACTGCCATGCAAATTCGCGTCGTGCAATTGTTGCGATAATTCTCGTATATTGCTGTCTCTGATAAATTCCTCTAAAAAGAGCTTCAATTTCCGTATGAAGGCTTACCGGCAGCACTCCCTGATGGTAATCGTGACCGGCTTGACGGCCGCGACATTTTACGCCTGAAATCTCGAAAATACAGCCAAATAAAATTCAGTTTCCAGAAAAGAAATGAAAAATAAGGGCCACGATGTCTGTCATAGAAACTATGGCAAGAAAAAATATACGAAAATAATATGATTTTGAAGAGACTAGACGGAAGGTCAACTGAACTGATCCATTTGCATCTGCCCATATGGCCATCTGTCAGAAAAAACCCCACATCAAAGCTCAATGATAAGGTGTGCCACACTAATCACCTAGTCAGCATCTGACCTACAAGGGATAAAAGGCAGGGAAGTGCAAGTAAATAATTTTAAATAACGGAACGAGACACCAGGTTGTTTGTGATATAATACAACGATGTCTGTAATAAGAACATAACCTATATACCTTGATTGAAGTCATCCGTCAGAGGCAATAGCCTAGATTTTGATAGCAAGACCTTAAGGAAAGCTGTTATCGGCGTTTATTTGCAAACAAAGCCTCGCCTTGCAAGCCAAATTTATTGGGCGCCAGCGGACTAGTGGGCTACGTAAGGCACCAATGCACGAGCGGTAGTTTGAAAGGAGCAAATAATAGATTTACAATGATAATCGGGATGGGGTGTAAAAGGTAGTTGGAAAGGGCGGTATTGAGTAAAATGTGCTAATAAAATAAAAGATTAGATGAAGGTAAAGGGACTCCGGATTGGAAAAGACAGCATGGCGCTAGATACCAAACCAAAAAAATGTAAATACTAGTCGTATAAAAAGGGCTCTTTTCCTGTGCAACTGATGTTTGCCTATCCAAATGGATTTAGGATAATGTCCAAAATTCAGCTTGGAAGCTTGGATAGGACTTTTAAAATCTAATTACACTGTTTTAACATGAAACCCGGCCTCGCATACGGTATGATTTTTCGTACCATTGGTTCTCGATTTCGAACCAGTCAACTCTGCCAAGCCCAAATCCAGTTTGCACCATTACTTCAAAATCCGGGTTACGCGCTGCTTGGAAGGGGTATTGTGTCCCTCAATTAGAGGGTGCCTCGGCGAGAGGAAGGGAGTGACTGTTTGTCTGTCTCTCTCTACCCCTGTATTCCTCTCTCCTGTCTATATTTCTATGGTGGTAGAAGGGACTGTGACGGGCTATTCTGTGCAGTTATTAGAGTGGTCACGCGCCCAGTAATTGCAGTCTCGCCGTAGGCCGCACGGGCTCGCTCAGCCCTTCACTGCCCTTTCAATCGAAATCCCATCTCATCCTCCTCGCCGTTGGCTCGCCCCTTTCCACGAATCTATTGGATTATTTTATGGCCTATGCAAATATCCGGGATGATGCGGAGAGCACAGAATATTTTGAGATTACCCACAGAACGGTTTGTTATATAGTTGTCACTGTTTAACGGCTATTTTTAGGTTGATATCATCATTATTTAAAAATAATAATTTTTGAAACACTTCTTGAAGTAGAGATATTTTACGTAATTACCCCTTCAAAATCCCTTCAAATTAATTACCCTTCAACATCCAAAAAAGGAAAATTAACTTTTCTAGCGAAATCGTCTTACCCGAGGCGCACGTGTTGAAGCGGAAGAAACGCCGGATGGAACGCTTCGGGCACTTCTTCCACATGGAGAAAGGGCCGTCAACCTCCCAATTACCTATGAAACCACGGCCGCTCAAGTATCACTTTTTGATTAGCCAATCAATGACTTGTTTTTAGCTAGCATCTCGCTATCGTGTCGATACTATTTATATTCAAATCGGAAATTTGCATATCAAGTTGGTCCTGCTTAAATTTGGGTTTCAATGCTTTAGGCCCTTACCGCCAGAATGTTGTCCTCTCGCTGTACAGCGGGATATTTTGAATACATTGGGGTAAGAAGACCCATTTGACAAGATATCAGCCCTGATTAAGCTTCGACGCTTCGGATGTTCATCTCTCCGTTTCGCAACCTGACTTCCGGCATATATTTGCCTTCTTTCTTGGTAGGGGTGTACGACGGCTCTCACAATGCCCTTTTTCCGGTCGACCTGAGCTCCAATCGACGATTCGATTCAATGAGATTCTGGTGGCGGAATGTCTAGTAAGAGCCACCTTTCACGTGTAGAACTAGCCCCATTTAGATGAGGGTCGGTCGGGTAATGCATAGATGGGTGACTAAGAAGTGTATATTGTATAATGGTACATTGAGAATTGAGCACGGTGTGTATTAAATAAGTGAACGAGTGGAAGTGATTTGCTGCGATGGTTCTGATAACATCATGTATTATTTCTATTTCAGAAATGGAAGAAGATGAAGTTCTCATTGTTGCCAGATATCGTATCGAAGTTTTGGAGACCAGAAGAGGCAAAGTCTTACGGCTTTCGAATGAAAATTCATCGACATGGCTACTATTCGAGAATCTTGAAACGTTGAACTTGTGGTTGGCGCGATGTCAGCAAGTTCGTTCCACAAGAATGCTGCATGCAAAAAAAAATATTTTCAGTGGGAAGTATCTCCGACATGTGATCTCTCTGATCAGCGACTTGTTCTGATTCCGGATGCCGTCTTTTCCGCAGCACACGTGGCCCAAATTACGTCGCTCAACTTACGCAAAAATTCGTTGCAATTTAGGAGTATTCACCAGGTATGTAAAAGCGTGCTAAATAAAAAAAGAATCAATTAAAAAGCCACGAAAAACCTCGAATACCTGATCGTTTAGGAACAATTAGGCATTTCCGGAGCCTGGTCTCGACCGCCATTGGGCTGGATTGAAGACTTGGCGAGACTCACAGCCCTGACCCATTTGGATCTCTCATCGAATCGGTATGAAAGATTAAAATACTTCCCAAGTCCTCTAGGTTGTGTCTCTTCCCACTTCCGTTGATTCAATTGCCCAATCTATCACGTCTCTCATTATCCGGAAATCAAATCGAAGTTGTACCGGTGGAGATTCGGGCCCTTTCCGGGTAAATGTTAAACAAATTATTCTCATCAATGCATTATAGGCTGACCGAATTGGATTTGTCCAATAACTGGCTCGAAACGCTGCCATCACAGATTGGTGAATGCTTGAGACTAGGACAGCTAAACCTTGCTTTTAATCGGTTTTCAAGGGTACTGTGCAAGCTGCCACACTCCCGTTAACACATATCATCTTAGATACCTACTATTCTACGTCTATTACGTGCCGTTACGCATTGGAAATTGGCTGGCAACTCAATTACAGATCTTTCAAATGAGGAAATTGATAATTGTACTCGGGTTGGTTGGGTGTTCAATTCAAAAAATTGACGATTCTAGCTGGATCTGCGCCGAAACAAGTTAACGGGTTCAATACGGGTGCCGCAGTCGACCGAGTCGCTACGGTCGATTGATCTTCGGGATAATGCAATTAAAAGTTTGCACATCACGAATTGTTCGAATTTACAGGTATGCCAATTACTAGAGTGTTCAAGACGGATTTTTAGACTCTCCATTGCGGGCGGAACCATTTGAGCGAGCTACACATAAATGGAACGAGTCTTACCTATTTGAATGCTGCCAAAAATCGTAAGGGCTTTCATCTCTTCATTTTTTTGGGACATTACAGATTTATCAACCGTAATTATAATGCCGATCCCGATTCGTTTGGCGTATTTTTCCGTTGCGGACAATCGCTTTGCCCATTTACCCAATTGGGTGTCCGATTTGCCACATATCGATACAATAGATGTGCATAAAAACCAATTGATTCAACTACCGGAAAAGTAATTTATCAAAACGAATAATTAATTATGTTTTTTTTTTCAGAATTTTTCGAATACCGTCACTTCGGCATCTGTTGGCGCATACGAATCGTTTGACATATTTACCGGAAGAGGTGGAAAATTGTCAGGTATCGTTGTCATTAGAAACTATAAAAAATATATTAGCTCAATCGACCAATCTTTTATTTTACGTCTAGAACGAACCATCTTTTTAGATCGAAAATCTTGACCTTCATCACAATGCTTTGGAGGGTTTACCCAAGCTGCTTTTTCGTTCTAGCCACAGGTATGAACATAAAATGGCTCGAAAATTCGTTTCTATAATATTATATTTTAGGCTACGTACTGTAAATTTGAGCGCAAATATTCTAAGGGAACTACCTTCACCGAATCCATTGCCGGATTTGAATAGAATACAGGTCTACAACGTCTAAAATGAGAACCTCAGCCGATTAATTCTAGATTCTAAAAGCTGCTATGAATGAGTTGGATGATAGAGTGATTTCGACAATTTCGTCTATGCGAAGGTTGGATGAAAACAACTTACTTGTAACTTTTCCAGATTGAAAACTTTGGATCTTTCTGACAACCACATACGGGTTTTTGACGATAGGTTACGTGTCATTTAAACCCTTTTCGAGATATATTTTTAGTGCATTGTGTACATTAACAGCTCTAGAAGAATTAAATTTATCGACAAATCGCCTTACCAGCCTTTCATCTTTAATTACCGCCCTGCCTGCCTTACAGGTATATATGAAATTTTGGATAGGCCCTGTTTTTTTTTAGATTTTACGGGTCCATTCAAATCATTTGACACATCTTCCTGATCTCACGCATTCTAGTAACTTGAAGGTTCGTTTAAAGCTTCTTTGGATTTAATATTGGGAATTATTATTTAGATTCTTGATGTTTGTTCGAATCGTCTTTCACATGCGCAACTTTCCAATTGTATGGCTGAGCGGTTAAAGCAATTAGATTTATCTTGTAACCCGGCTCTACCATCTCATTTGATAACCCCTTCAAGGTAATATTCTATCATTTATCGTATTATCCTTGAGCCTAAACTATCGTTTTCATTTTTAGTCATGAAACAAAGAGCCCACGTCCGATGGCGCTACTAGATGTCGGCGGTTTTGCTGAACAAGGTTTAGTTGTCGGCTTTAGTCAATCTAGTGGGCAAAGAAATCGGTAATTTTAATTCATCAAATTCTTGTCACGAACAGCTTCAGACTCTCGGTCCGTCAAATTTTACCCCTCAAACGGCATGTATCACCAATTTTTGCCATTGTGGACGCTGCGGGCAGCTCTGAAATGGCAATCGAGATTTTGGATCATTTGCATAGGGTCGCCGAGACGCAGGTTAATTTCAAACAATAATTTCTCAATTTCGGAGAGTTTTTAGGAAGTAGTTGATGAAGGCACTCTAAAAAATTGGATCCTCAGTGCACACGAGTGGATTGGCGATTCTGGGGAGCGTGTAGGAGCAAGTAAGTCTTAAATACAAACGAACTAAATATAAATAGCTTTATGAAAAGATTAAAGGTCAGCTATCTAATGAAAATTTATTTTGAAGGTTTGTTGCTGGTATCGCTGATCGGACAGCAAGTTTACTGTGCGGGAGTTGGCGGCTCGAGGGCATGGCTTGTATCAGGTGTGCACGATCTCTATAAGATATTTGTGGTCCAAGTGCCAGCATCAATTCATCGCACAATGGTTCCGAATATAGATATATATTTACGGATTTAGACGGAAAAATACATCCGTTAGTGTCTCCCCAACCCGTCAATCAACAAGTTTACGAACAGCTCCGCGCAGCAAATGCGATTTTGGATGAGGTAGAAGCTTCCTGACCTCGTCAAAAAAAAAAACTCGAAACATCTTAAAGTTGTTGTTTCTCAGGAAAATCTTGTAAATGGCGTGTCACGCTACGATCGGCAAGTCGGATTCACTGCCTTCTTTCCGGCAATCCTGCCCAGGGCGAATACGGTAGGAGAACATGATCGATTAATGTTTTGGCAAAATTTTAGGCAAGTTGTACGTTGACTACACCGGAAGATTTTATTGTGATTGGATCGAGAGCATTGGGAGAGACACTGTCTGAACCGTTCATAGAAAATATCATTTCTGGATCGTCAAATCCACAAGTTACCGCGAAGAGGCTTCAGGTAGGAAAAAACCCAAACCTCTTTGAAGACCATAACAAAACATTTACAATGCATCATTTACCCCTCATTGATTACCCTTTTTAGGACGCAATACAAGCCTTTGAATGGAATGACAATGTCAGCATTATTGTTGCCAAGCCAGCCAGAGAAACTGGGGAGGTCACTTTTAGAAGGTACTGTTTTGAGTTCGATCTGATTGCCTATCCAGAGGCAATGAATACGGTACCATCCGACGGCCAGAAATCTCTGAACTCACCCTCCAAAAAATTGAAGAGCGAATTGAACAGATTAGCAAGGTTTTTTTCTAATTTTAGCTGCATTATCTTCTAGGTCATCGCAAAAATTGAGGATGAAAATGATGAGACGAAGCCAACACCAGTTAGTGGCATCCGCAAAACCCATGGTTAGCCACGGCTTAAATACATAGATGATTTTAGAAAAATCGGGAGATAGTCGCCTAAATACTGGTCCACCACCTGATCCAGCTATCTTCCATCGCACACGTCGTGAGGAAAATGGTAAGATTTTATTTTAAGTTTAAATTGTGATTAAGCATAACAAAATTTAGATGATTCTCGAAATCGTTGGTTGCTGCTCGGAAGTTCAACCTCAAAAACGATCGGCCGAGGCTCGATACGCGATAAACCGGGAGCAAAAGCATTCGATATCGCCTAAGATTGGCACTTGGATAAAGGCTATTTTTTAAACAATTGTTTTACAGTACACGCCAAAAATAGCAAGAAACTACTAAATGAATCGAGAAATTCTAGACAGTGTTATGATTCACAAAGTTATCAAACTTGATGCCGCGCCTTCAAAACCAATAATCATCTCTCCGAGCGGCATCAAAATTCCACGAAAGAAACGCCCACACACACATCTGACATCACTTTGTACGTGGACTGTTTCGTGATAATCCCCGGTTACCCTAACGGAAACAGGGCGGCTCCTAATTAACATGCGTCGGCCCCATTCTCAAGCTGATATCGAGCTTTTACGAGTCTCTTCTCCAGCTGCAGTCACCGATTTGCGATAAGGCCCTCTTTTTCAGCTTACCCAACGGACGTGCTTTTCGAAGGCGTCGCAAAGGGATCGGCTATCTGATCCTCTAAAAAACCATGCGACTTCTGTTTACCGGTAGGGATTTTTTGAAAATGTACTTATTGATTTTCCTTTTATTGATCCTATATATATATTTTTAGCAATCGCTGCAACTACGGTGGCCGTTATTGCAGATACCACCACGAATCGTAAGTGAACCATGTATTCTGAGTAAGTAAGAAATGTTTTAAGGGCCATGGAACTACGCCAGTACAACACCCTCAAATTTCGTTTCGCCTTGCGCCTGCTCGAGTCAGTTGGAATGTAAATTTCGGCGATTTCGGCGTTTAGATTACAGCAATATTTGGCTGGACGTAATGTTGGTGATTGACAGTAGTACGGCTATGACTTCACACGGAATCGAGGAGGTATGCTTAGTTTAATAACCTTGAAAGGTAATGAATTGATACCTTACAAACATGTTTTCTATATAAATGTACTTTCAGTTGACCAATTATCTCGAGACGGCCTTTTTGCGCATGAGTGTTGGCCAAACAAAGGGACATGTAAGTTCACGGACATTTAATAAATTGCTTAATTTAGTTCACTCGTATTGGCGCGGTGGGCTATGGTGACAATGCCACCCTCCTTCATCCGCTCACCGACTTCCAAAGTGTTGATGACCTCCTCAGCAGATTCTCCCCCAAAATGGATGGCAGTGGTGGTTCGAACATTGAAAGGTAACGAAAATTACTAAAAGCTTGTTGAGTTCTAATCATATCCAACACAGGGGTTTTTCTTTTAGCGCAATTCGTCTCGCCCAAGTCCAATTCGAATCGGGCGGACATCGTGCCAACGTGAAGAAGGTTCTCGTGATCGCTGCTTCCCATTACGAGTTGGTTGAATGTGCAATATTTCCCCTTTTAATTTAATTTAACAAGATAAATTTATTCTAAGCTTAATCTGAGGGCTCCATTCAAGACCAACAGCTTTTTTTTAGACCGGGTGCTTCTGAAGATCCGGTCCAGGTTGCACAACAATTCCGTGAGGATGGTGGCGTCATTATCACCCTAGGCAAGCTGCGATTATGCAAGCCTAATTTTCCCCTCGGTTTTTAGAATACGTCCAGACACACGGCGCATCTGTTCCGGTTTTGAAATCACTGGCTACGCCCTGCTACAGCCTGTCAAATTCCAATGAAGACTTGAGGGTGAATGATCTACTAAACATGTTCTGCAATGGTGCGTCAAAAAATTTGTTCGTAAACATAGGTCCGCCTTTAGCAAACTGCTTCTGCTACACAAATTGGAATCCCTATGCCACGGATCCGGTGTGTCCATTCCCAGATGGTGGATGTTATTATCCAGTAACGATTCCAGCAGCTGAAGTTCTGGCCAAGCGGTGAGTATCAAGCAGCATTTTGACTTCCATTCAGTTACTGCGAAAACCACAATGGGGGAATGCTAGTCAAGATTGAAGACGCGGCTAAGGGAGTGTTCGTCAACAGCTGTAAGCCTTTTCTAGGTTTTTAACCTCCCATTAAAGTGTTCAACAACAAAAACGAGAAAACCTGGATTGGACTCGAGCTCAGCCGCTCCTTATTTGCCTATCTATGGGAGGACGGATCCCAGGTAAGCACAATTGCAAAAAAGTGAGCGGCCAAATTCTTAGGTCGGTAGCTACCAGCCATTTGCGACCCACAATATGAGCATTGCTTGCGTCTCGCAAGGACAGGGTACCGGCTTTAACAGCAATTGGTAATATTCGGGATAGTGCGTGTTTTATGAAATTGTTCAGGTATCCCGAGGATTGTTACGCAGATTATATGTACACTTGCCAGGCGACACCATGCAGTGCCGATAAATTATGTCCATAACAAAAAGGGTGTGGTTAATAAAGTTATACAAATGCAAATCAACTTTAAATAATAGGTTGACTCGACAAAGCCATGAGCTAATCGTAATCTGAAACTATGTATTGATTTCGGAACCTTAAATGAGCATGCCAAGCACTTTTCTGGAGGGGTTTTGATTTTGATTTTTTAGGCCACCTAGAAAAGAGGGATTGTATTGGGGGGTGTATAATAAAAAAATGCAAAAGAATAATGTCATAAAAATAATAAATAAATAATGGTTATCATAAATGGTTATATAAGAATGGATAGAGACCCTATCAGAAAAATACAGTATTTTGAAGATGAAGCCTCGGTTGTGCATGAAGTATCTCTAGAGTAATACCCTTCAACCCCAATGCGTATAATCGGGTATGAAGCGAAGGGTTTAAGAATTGCAGGTAGGATAGAAGAAAGTACCGGTTAGTCTAAATGCGATGGACCCGTCTAAGCGAGTCATGGCTGAGTGAGTGACTGTTGAGGATCTTCCTCCTTCCCGTTCAGTGGCTTATTATCCTCCCCCAAACCCCTTGAAACTCCGCTTCTAAAGGGAGGGGGAAGTCCAATGCCCTCTTCACAATCCGCTATGTCAACCGTTTCATATTGATCATTTGGATATTTCGGCTGTCTATGGGACAGTTGCGGCATTTTTCAACGAGCCAGGCTTTTAATTTACGAAACAGATTACCAATTTTTATCCATTCTGTGGTTGCATTCTCCTGATGTTATTATGCGCTTTAAGCAGCTTAAAGTATTTAAAATTGATGGATTCGGTCTAAACCGATCGGTTTTGCATTTTATTGTCGGTATTTTTATAAATTAATAGATGAAAAAGACCCCCCCCCAAATTGGCGGCTCTGTAAGAAAATCCCCGCTTCATAGGGATTGAAAAATAAATAGAAGACCTGAGTTTATGTTGAATCAATACATTATTTGGTCTTGTTTGTTTTGCTTGATCAAGGACTTTGCACATTCCTACCCTCTATCAGAGTGTGTCCAGGCGTGATGCTGTAAAAAAGTACTTACACTTTTATGGGACCTTTGAATTCAAAATTTCATAACCTCTTCCCGACAGCCTGACCCCTTTCCATCCCCCCCACAGGTTAATGACCTTACAGAGCCTGAGAAAAAGAGTACACAAACTGACCGATGCCATAAGGAGACAACGGCACGAGGCGATGGGGAGCGAGGCTCCTTGGAAATGGAGAAGGTCGATGTGGTGTCACCTTTGAAGGCGCCAAAGTTGACCCTTTTTGAACTGGTCATCTAAGGGTACATTGGAGAGCTTCTAAAGGGGGTGGAACCGAGAATCGGACTCGAAGTATCTCCCCTACCACCACCACCCCATCCACTATTCCCCCTCCCCCCTTCCCATCCACCTCAACATCCCATCCACCTCCACCTTCTTCTCCGTATGCCCTTCTCGAGTCTCCCCCCACTGCGATTGGCATCTTCCCCTCCAAGTAGACGCCATTCATTGACGCCTTGCTTCCTAATGCCTCATTGATTTCTCCTGCCACTGGTGGCTGGCGAGCCTCGCTCCATCTTTGAAAGTCTCCTTGCCGTCTCAAGGTTTTTGATTTTATCCGCTACTATATTTCTTGGTGATTTTTGCTTTTCAGGCCAAGGGCGCGATTATTACAATTTTTGACAGTTTATTGTACCTCATCTCAAAATAAATGCTTCTGTTGGCTATTCGGAACTTTTTTTTTGCAACAAGTTTCGCTCAGCGTTAGGGCTCTCCTGTAAGCCTTACTGTAACTACCACCAACTCTATTGTCTTTTATATGTGTTCTGTTGCAGCTTTGCTAACAAAAGAACGATTCAACGTTTTAAACCGATAAGTAAGCCCCGGATAGATCAGAAATCGGCAAAAAGCCACCCGGAAGCATTAAGCAGAAAACGGTTGAGAGAGCGGGCTCCACCACGAAGGAGCACAACAGCTGTATCCAATTCTAAAGCTAGACCCGACTTTATGTAATTGAAACGGCTCCTATACTGCTTAATTAAAAGACTTTAAATGGGAATTAGCATCTACTGATCAAACCACGCATTAATTCCTGAACACCTCTTTGCAAATCTTTCATAAACTTTCCACAAAACCACGATCTGTTTTTTTGGCCTGAAGGCATTTCATTAAAGGGGGCAGGCATTTTTTTGAAGACATTCAATCAAAAACATTCTCATATCTAAGAGACCTACCCGGCCTAAGCATCTTTAAAAATTTACCCTCATTCAGTCTCAACACAATCACTCAAAGAAAACCTAAAATTCCAGGTAAATGACTCCCGGGCACTGCCCAAGGATGGCCCCTTTTATTGACCTACCCAAGCCGATTGCTTTCAAGCCAAGAAGGTAAGTCGTCTGCTTCATTTTTATTTTCTCTCTAATAGCCGAATTTTCCCTTTCAATTTAACCATATATTGAATGCCATTACATGCCAGCTTCCGATCCCTTAAAAGTGCAGACCCTTCCTATTTTCCACCCAATTGCACCGCGACAAATTTTATTTACCCGCCACGCCCGGCCATAGGCGCTCCAGTTTCTGCTGATGCTGCTCCTCCTTTTTCTTCTGATCCTCCGTCTGCTCCGGCCCGGGGGATCGAGCTGGGTTCCGGATTTATCACGCGGAACTTGGAGAATTTTCGGACATCTATACCCGGCGGCCTTGCCCAGGGAGTCTGTGTGAGGAGGAGGAGGATGAGGAGGACTGGGAGATGGTGTGGTGCCCCTCTTGATTCCGGTCCGACGGATAAGCCACTGCTGACCTGCTCAAAATTCCCCACCTCACCCCCCAATCGACACCCGCTCAGATAGAGTGTCGTCTTTTTTGGTTCAATTGTTGGATTATTGTCTTTGGATAGGTTTCGGTTAATTTTTTCGCGACGTTTAGGTTAGTGGTGCGGTACTGTACTGTTAGCAGGGGGGATGGGATAGCCCAAGTTCAGCGCATCGCCTGTAATCCCGATAATGAAAAAAAAACACTATTTATAAAGTTTTATGCCGGTTTTAATTGTTCGGGGTTCATAAAAAAGTCCGAACATTTTTGAACAATTTTTTTGAAAATCTTGTGATGATTCTACATAATAAACCCCACTAACAAGATTTTGAGGCATGCTAAAATCGTAAAAATTCTACTAATTGTGCATAGGTCATATAGAGCCCTCCCCTTCCCCCCGCTATCAGTCCAGTACCGATGTTATCAGATATGGAGAGTAGAAAAATTTGCAACTGAATTTCTGAGCCTCCAATACACCCATTATCCTTTCTCTATCCTTTTACTTACACACCCGCGATTTTCTACCGAAGCAAGCTTCAATTTCCCTGACTCATCACGTCCAGCCCCGAACTCACCCCACAAAAGGACAACACTGTTTTGGCAAGCCACCCCTCTCCCCGCGGCACAATTTGGGGAAGACAGGAGATGGAGCTGTCATAAAGGTTGAGAACGAGCCGTAGCAGGACGAGACAGCCTGAGATGCAAGCCAGTGGGGATCAAGCTGCCCGGCTTGGGGGGTTGGTTGAGTGAGGAGAACGACCGGATCACGAATCGGAAGCCCTCGGCATATCAAGTGGCACTCTTCCACTCGACTACCCGTTTGATTGGGGGGAGGCTGTCGTTTAGGAGACATCTCGTCGGATATGGCACTTGTAGGGGGGGGGGGGGCAATGGAATGTTTTGAGTGTGGGGGTTCGTCTTCACTTTTCTTTGTATAAGATATGAGATTGAGCGTGGTTGGAGAACCATAGTCTATGCCTCCGTTCTTTGAAAATAATTTTTACTAAAAATGTCTTAATAAAGTTTTTAGCAATAATTAACTCTTTAAAGCGGGAGAACCATCTGAAAATTACGGTAAACGTTAAAACTTGGCATTTCGATCCAAAAATCCATTTTCTTGCATTTTCGCAAAAAAATTCCACAGTTTTCACGTCTAGGAATCCTTGTTCAGCATTTACTTTTTTAAAATAAAGATAAACCTTAAAGGGATCAGGAAGGCCCAGTTGATTAGCATAAACCAGAGTTTAGTTCTAAAATTAGCATAAATCTCCTCTGCTCCGTCCTCCTCTCCCCACTCTCTGCGCATTCATAGATGAGTCCTGACCTGCTCAGCCTTCCTTATTCACTTAAAACAACAAATGCTTAAATCTCTAGTTCCAAGTTTTTTTACTTTCACTCCGTTTTGACGGACCGTTACGCAGATGAGCTCTCATTTTCTGCCAGACAGGCCTGTGGATGGATGGGAAGGCACTCCGGAGAGAGCGCTTCGTTTAGCTTCGCTGCCCCTTTTTATGCTGTCTTACCTGGGCTTTCACTCACCGTATCCCGATCTTCCTCTCTCTCTCTCTCTCTCTCTCTCTCTCTCTCTCTCTCTCTCTTTCCTTTCAAATATGCTCGAACTGCTGGAAATGCCACAGGCCATCCGCTGACTGATTCACGGTTCGCACCGCTTTTAGCACGCATCACGGGTTCGGAGAGATATCAACCGTGTTTCATCTCTTTTCATAAAGCTTCACCGTGAAATCGGGGAGCCTGGCTGCTAGGCACGATAGAACTAAATCTTTGAAACTTTCCTATTTCCTCCTGCTTGAAAGTATGTAAAATTTTAATACGAAAAACATCTGTCACTACCAGCTAAGTGCCACGTCAGTTTTATCCATCCCTCACCGTTCGAAATCGACGCTCAATAAATCTGCTCCCGGAATGGGGGGTTTCCGTCACGAACCGGGTTGGCTGGGTACGCTGCTTGCCACACGTTACTAATAGGAGATACGATTTTCCTTTTCCCTATCATTCCTTAGGACATCGGAAGCACCGAAAACAATTTTGAGATTTAAATGGAGCTTATCAGCTGGATTGGTTTCTACGTTAGCAGTAGTAGGTTGTAAAACAACAACAAAAATATAGAACAGCACCAGTATTCGGTTTTAAAGCCACTTTTTGCTGTTCTGATTTAGATAGTTTTTCAAGAAAATCTAAAAGTTGGAAAGGTAATGTAACTTGCGTTTTGAAGAGTTTTCTATGCTGACAAGAAACATTTTATTTTTCCTTTACAAAGCAAAAACCACAAAGAATTCCTAATAATAAAATTAATAGTAACAGCAATGCCTCTCCCCCTTTTCATACTTTCATCTTAAGACTGCCTTGTCTCCCGAAATAACCTATTAAAAATCTTGTCCATGTCCATTTTCTTGGAAACTCCCTGCATCCACCGGCTGCTTGCCACTCGTTGAAACGAGAAAATTTTGCGCCCCTCCCGCCGAGGGCGCTGATGCCCGAGGATATGGCGCGGATTGCGGTGTGGGGGGCTGCCAACGGGCAGCCGGAGGGGGATATGAAGGAATGAAGCTAGAGAGAGGGAGAGAGCGGGTGATAGAGACAGACAGCAACAGTCTGTGTGAAAGGGAAAGACAGTGTCACACAGCTCCCATGCAATGTGTCTTTCTCCTTCCTTCCCTTCATTCTCATTAGGAGTGCCGTTGGGTAGCCCGTTTCAGAGGCATCTTCACCTTCTGCTTCTCTTTGGCAAGTCTGTGTCTTTGGTCTGCCTGTCTCTCGATTGATTGCCATAGCCTCCGGGCATCGTCCGGTGCCGTTGCCTATTCCAACCTATCCCCCTGCTTTCTTTCAAACAGCATTCTCACTTTTGAACGGAAAAAATTGAAGGGTTTCTCTGAACAGATTGGTGTTCGGTTGAGGCTTTTACCTAGTAAGCTGTCGAATTCCTATTCAATCGATATTGGATTTTCTCCCGTTTTAAGCGCGCGTTTAGGCCTACGTATGCACCTATTTACGCAAAGGGAGTGAGGCAAACTGAGAAATGCAGCTGTTTAGAGGTGTATACGTCCAAGTCACCGAACGTGCGCAGCATTTCCGGCGGTGCTTAAAGAGTTCTGTTTTATGGCTGATGATGAACAACCAGCACCTTGAATATCCGAAAAATTTGTGTACGTACGGTCTAAACATGTTCAGTTCTTGTGAAGCTAGGGGCGGCAATCATTTATCAATTTGGTGCTCTTAACACGAGATAATAGCAAGTTTGGTTGCTGAAACCTGACCCCAGAGCCTCGAAAACAATATATGTTAGCGCTTGGTAGAACCACTCAACAGCTGATGCCCTTATTTAAATTAACTTACCTTCAAACACTCTCTCTCCCTCTCTCTCTCTCTCTCTCTCTCTCTCTCTCTTTAATTCCTAGACTGAAAAACCCGTTTGATTGCCCTCCATAAACATAACCTCCCATAAATGACCTCAAACGCTAATTCCCGTGTAAATTGCATCTACGGCTCGATCTAGGAAAAGCACCATTTTCCCGTGGTTGGCTAGTCGCTTCTGGGTGTAGGGTCTGGCTCTCGAGACAATGGCGGCCAATCAGATGTCCTTGCCCGAGACCTGCCTATATCCAGAAGTAGGAGGAGGGGGAAGAGCAACGTTTGGGGTGAAAGTGACGGGGGCATGCTAATTTTTACACCACACCACAACAACCCTCCGCCCCCATACAAGCACCGTTTCCCTCCATCTGGTCGTCATTCATTTTTGATACTTCTGGATTTCTATTTATTCACTCTGAATTCAAATCAATGGATGCTTATAGTCTAATGGGACGGATCGATGATGAGGAGAAGAAAAGTGAAAAGCGAATACCACCGGATCGGTAAGTCTTTCATTTCAATTTACACTCAAGAGTAGGCTGATCTCTGTATAATTATGATTAATTTAGCCTCTCCACAATAACAAAGCCACCGCCTCGGGTTATCCCACCTCGTGACGCCGATGAAGAACGACGAATGAAAGAGGGTCACATCGAGGACAACAATGAAGACATTTCCTATTTTAATTTCCCGCTCCTCTATTGGTCCGGAACTTTCGGCATGATCTCACTGATTTGCATGTGCATCGGTAAGTTATTTAAATTGCTTTCTGCGCTCCTTTAAAACGAAAAACACGGCAACCCTGATCTGCCATGGACTATTCGGGAACTGGCCAGAATTTTCATAAAATTTAAGCTGCGAATTTAACTTTCAATTTCTGCAAAAATTAAGTTTCAAGAAAACCAAAATCTTAGTGCCGTTAACTTTAAAGCAAACAATTTTATTTTATGTAGTGCGTCAGATTTACTGAGACATCAAAACTTTTCTGCCTGGTTATAAAATTAGTTAACAATAATAATTGCTCGTAATAGCAAAAATTTTAATTAATGTGTATTGTGGAAATCTTTGTCTAGCCTTCAGAACCTCATTGTCATTTTTCCTCATTTTCACCTTGAAGTCTTTAAGAAGGACCCTTAAAGAATGGCACTGGGAGGAGAAACCCGCAAGTTCGCGGCTTTTCCTTGCACCTTGAGGGGGACTTCTTGCAAAGTGGAGAACTTTGTATCCCCGTTGATCAGTGGTGATTTCAGCCATTGGTGGAAGTCTCTACACGGACTATGTACCAACGCCACGACAGCTCAAGCGGGGTTTTATTGCTCGATACGGAACATCCGTCTATCTATGCAACGTGAGGGGTTTTGTGAATAGTTGGCTTAGAAAATACAAGAAACGACCTTTGAAAATGCATTTTAGAGCACCGTAAACTTTGCTGCCGATGGACTTCCATCATTACTCAATTTGTTTGAGCTGAACGTTTCCGGAAACGTGTTTTTCCGTGTTGCGGTTGTTCTGCCGATGACTGTCCGAATTTTCCAGGCCTACGTCGTCAGGTTGGTCATCTAAACTCGAAAAAATAGTTTTTGTGAATTATTGGCCAGCTCCCACATTTTTGTATATGCAAAATCCATAAATCCTGGCAAACTTTCCCGTTGACCCAGTATGCAAATTGCCGGGATCAGCAGCTAGAACGGTGCGCTGCCAGAAACAACCTGGGGGATAGAGAACTGGTTCACCCGGTAGACCGGGGGGATCCTTTGGCTCGACCGGAAGTGGGAGACGAGGGGATTTTACGAAATTGCAGGCATTCGACGGTAAATTGGTGATTTGCAGGAACTTGGTGTTACTCTCATCTACCGACAATGTCTCAATGGCCATCCGGCTGCTCGCAGATTTGATGCCAACTTTGATGATTCTTGAAACGGCTTCATTGGCATTATTCTCAATTATTACAACGCATTTTGATTATGAGGGCAAGTGGAAGGGCCTTTATTTTACAGCCTCAAAATAATTTTTATTAGAGAAACCTTTATTTAGACGTGAACCGCTACTGCAAGTTGGTCTTCTGCATCTCGGCCTGTGTCAACATGTTGGCCACGTCAATTGTTACGTTTGGACATTTGAAAGAGTCGGCCAAGGTATATTAACCACCAGAAATTTCTATTAAAAATGCAGCAAATTGACGCGATCTCGTTGTTGATCAAGCTGTTTTCGGCGGCCATATTTTGTTACGTGGCTCCACAATATTTCCATCGTCACCAGGTTGCAATTCGGTTCCCTGTGTGCCATTCTCATCGTGAGTTTTTGACGTACATTTTTGATAAAGCAATTTAGTACCTCGGACCGTGGCTTATATGGAATACGCATGCGTAGCGTCTTACCTATTTTTCCATTTGTCACAGGTAAGCTTTTAAGGGCAGTAATTGTCAGATTACAAACCTATATACCTATTATATATTAAAGAGGCAACCTTATTGAAAAAAATCCAAATTTAGTGGCTTGACATCCGGCACATGAATTTCTTGGTCTATCCGAGAACATGCAGTGGTGAATGCGAACCACTCGATCCCAAGAACTTCGAGAAAGGAGCGAAATATGAGTATTGCAGGTTAGTGACCACATCTATCATTAATATAAAAATTTTCACGATTGCAAACAACTATATTGTCAATTTCACGTTTAGATCCTGGGAATACCGACAACGACAGCTCCTCGGCCTTCCGGTTCTCACATTGTGATGTCGATAGGAATATGTTGTACATATTAGTGATATCCCGTTTCCCTATTCATTCCCGATACGTGTATCCGATCCCATCGAGCCGCCCCCCTTCCATAGCCAATGCTAATCATCTAGTTCGCGTTCGAAGCTTGCATTTTCAATCGTTTATCTATGATCCCCAAAGCAACCTCATGGCTTTTTTAGCCGGCTGTTTATCGATTCACTTTCAATAAGGATTTGCTCAAGTCAATTTATTCCTTGGATGTAAACAAAGTACTTTGATGGTGCTGTCGATATAAATTAATTTTTGACGATTTAGGATTTATATGAACTCTACTCACGAAATATTGATAACTGCAATCGAAATTGATGCAACTTGACTGGAGTTTTTAACAACCTGCGAAATATCTAAAAGGTTTTTTCAAATACTGAAATTCTCTAGAGAGTACCAACTTTTTTTTAAGATTTTTTGGAGTCTGTAAATAGTCGTGATCAATATTGGCGTTAAGCGTAATCAAACTTGCAATTTGCTGTCAATTTACTGACAATTTCCTATACTTTTTACAACAATTCAATATTAATTTAATTTAATGGTTGGGAAATAAAGACCGTAGCCCCCAAGAGCCCTTGCCCCCCAAAGCCACCCACCTCGAAAATGGCCACCCGGCTAGACCACCCAGAAAGAGACCACCCCAATTTGCATCTGGCATACAGGGCTAGCGCGAATTATGTCTAGCAACGGTAAATACGCCAAACCGAAATTACGTGCGAAAAAAAACTTTATTGGCTTATATAAATTTTTAATATAAAATATAAACTTTTCTAGGCAATTATTTCTGAGATGTTGGCGATTTACCGGCAAGGACACCCAAAAGCAAAGACGTTTGAAGATTCTCGTCATAGGCCGCACCGGTTATCGCAGGGCAGAGTGTGCCGGGAGCAAAAAAAATCCGGCTGTTTGAGAGGATAAATTGCGACTGTATGCACAAGCATAAACTAGCACAAATGTTGCGGCGCTAAAGAATAAGACCCGTTTTAATGGGAAATTCTACTCCAGAGAGTGAATATTAGAAAGGTCTTCAAAAACAAAGAAGCTGTTGTTCACGGTATCGTTCTCAGCTGACTTGCAAGTCGCTGTGATTTTACTATCAACCAAATTCAAATTCAAAATTCAAACCGGCTAAATTCCAGAGCTGCACCCAAACTTCCTCGTTGTCTAAAAACACCCATTTGTCCCGTAACGAGATGCGCATCGGAAGTCCAGACTAGACCGAAATTTTTTTGCGCCTACGGGGAACACCGGTTCGCGGCGGCTCCAAAAAAGCGGTGCGAGGTGTTGCGCAGTGTCAAGTGCACCCGGGTACTGGCCAGGAACAATTTTTTTGGGTTGTGGACCCTTGTCGCAACAAGAAAAGTGGCTCGCTCCCTTCCCGGTCCAACCGTTCTCTAAACCCTGCTGCGATGGTCAATGTGGTGCTGTGTGTGTGTGCTTGGGGTGGTGGCTGGGAGAATGGGTCTCTGCAAATCCTGAGTCCTTAGGGCCCACCACGTGTGTGTGCGCGCGGAATGCGTGGCCAACGCGCTGGGTGGGGGACGCGCGCGCGGAAAGTCGAAGAATCAACACAGTGGCTTTGGTCAGAAGTCGCAGTGGCTTCCGCTTTTGGATGCCAGACAGTGGGACGAACTAGAAAAACACGGCAAGGGACATGGACCGAGTCCCTCCCGCACCTTCCGCCCGCCCCAATCGCTGACGTTTTCGCATATAAAGGGGCCACGCGGTGATACTCATCTTCTCCGCCACCCATCTGGTCCATCCATTACACTACAGTAAACCACGAGAAGCAACAGGTGGCTTTTTAAAAAATATACATATGTGTTCCTGAGGTTTCTTCAGAAGTGTCAGATAACTTTCTATGATTTGTTCATGTACAACTCTATTTAACTCAGCATCTATGCGTTTAATCTATCGATACTTTATATTTAAGCCAGACATATCGAGGACAGACTTCTTCAGATGATCTAACTTCTACAGTTTCGTGTTTGGTTTATTCTCTTGAAATCCAATTAATAAATTATGAATACCAAAGGGTCAAAAATGATTCTTATAAATAATAATATAATTAATTTTGAACTCGGGTGTTTTGTATGCTTCATGAATCGTATTATAATCGTATTTAAAGCCCAGAAACAGCTGATTGGAATTTGCGCCTTTTATAATTATTAGAGTATGACTGTCGAGCACCGGCAAATCCTGCAACGATTTTACAACTATTCCTAAGAAAGATACAACGAAGATTGCATCTTTTCACTACAACTTTTCTTGAAATAATTTTTATAAAATTTATTTTAGATAATGTACAAACTACTGACGTTCGCGAGCTTCGTGGCAGTGGTGGTTGGCCAGTACGGGCCTCCGGGAGGATGCGCCGGTGGCTGCGTCGGCGAGTCGGCGTCAGTTTTTGTCTTAGGTTGCGGATACTCTTTTTAACGTTGTAAAAATATGCTCAAAGTTCGAACCAGGTAATCTATGAATTGATTTAGTTGCGTCAGCGGAGCGTGCCAGTGTTACCAGCCGGCATTGGTGTACCAGCCGGCTGTCGGTTGCGTCGCCTACCCGCCGATTCCAATGGGGCCAGCCCCGGTTGTCGTGCCCAGGTTGATCCCACAGGTATGTGAAAAATAACCGTTACGGTATTCTCTCTACTGTAAGCGCAAGGATTCTATTTTTTTCAATTACCCCCATTGACCAAAAGATCCGGATTGGGAGGTATAATTTGATCAATTTTGACCAATTTCTCCGGTTTATACCACTTGAAATTGCCTAAAACTCCTAATGATACCAGAAAATTCTTTGATTTACGTACTCAGTTGTAATCTTGCTAAAAACCTAGCCCATCTCACCAATAAGTTTTAAGGCTCTCCCTGGTGCCCCATGTGAGCCAGGAGTCGAGTGCACCGGAGGATCGGTGTGCTCCCTCGGAATTTGTGTCTGCCCGCCAGAGCTCGTTCAGGTAAATTCTTCTTGGATTCAAATTTACCTTACGTAATACCCACAGTTAACAAGCAATAACCAAAACTATCCAAATTCCAGGAAGGAACCGTTTGCGTTGCGCGAACAGTGTATGGCATCGTGCCGCCACCAGTCATCCCGGTCCCAGTTCTGCCACCACCAATGGCGGTACGTTATAATTTTTAGTAATAACTCAAAGTATCGCGGAACTTTCGATATCTTTAACAATGGAGAATTAAACAAAGTAAAAAAGTATTTAACTGAAAAGGCGAAAGTATTTAGTTTCATTTATTTTATTTCCAGATTAACGCCAAGCAAAAAGTTCAGATCCGCCTAACTTCTCCAAAAACAGCTTAAGATTTCAAGCTTAGTATCACAGAGCGTATAATGGAATTTTGCTGTTCGAATTAGTCCTTTGCAATATTACTTTTTACAAAGTAGCGAAAAATACATTCGTTTTGATAAGCTTAAAATTTCAATAGACCCGTCTCGATTCTCTCTACCACCCTGGATTAACTAGCTGGCCAAGCTCATGTAAGCGATGAGAGTTTAAAACATACGAACCTTGGACATTTTGGTCCTAATACATTCTTGCGTAGATGGAATCTGTACGTTAGCAGCCTTAAAAAATAATCATCTCGCCGCTTCCATTCCTCAAGGTTGACCCCCAAAAACCAGCGGTCTCAGGAATTTCTTAGGCGGCATCATTCGGGGGGTGGCACAAATCCAGATTCCCGGGGCAATAATCCACCGTCGATGGCTCCTCCCTCATGCAGATTATCGGATTGCAGCTGATTCCTGTTGGAGCTGCATGCGCCCCGTCTCGACCGGCCTGTGTCCGTGGGGCCGCTTGTGGACCGGCCGGTATCTGCCAATGCGCTCAAGGATACTTCCCTACACCAGCTGGTGCTTGCCTGGGACGGAGTCAGTTGCTTTTTAAAAATCTAGAATTAAAATTCGATGTTATATCTTACCTCCCTCAATTTTTCAGGACGCACCCGTGTCTCCGGCTTCGAGTACAAACACTAAATGATCTTCATCATCCCTTAGAGAACATTAATAAATTATTTATTAAAGTACGCGTTACTTACTCTGAACAATAAAGAGCACACTATGAAAAAACAGCTGCACTTACCGTAGAGAACACACGCGCTTTAAACTTGAGCCTTCCCGCCGGAATGTACGATGTGCTTCTTTGTGTTGCCTGCCATCTAGAGATTTGTATCTAACTGGTGGAGCGAAAGAGTCATTAACCGTGCTGCTGCGGTCGTTGGCATGGTACGGTAGGGGGTAGTCGTGACAATGGGATATGTGGGTTGAGCAAGGCGCGGTTGATGTTATCTAGACACTAAGGAGAAAACGCGGGATGATTTACACAATAACTATATTGCAAGGTTAATTACATAAATAGATTTTAAAGTGGGTGACAAGTAATGCTTCAGAACCGGCTGGATTCGAGCAACAAAAAGCTCGCATTTACACACCGGCGCACTACTGAGAGTCGATAAGGCGGGCGGAAAACAGCACAACCTTTTTTTTTGTTTTTGGTGTGAGTTCTGCCCCCTCGAAGCTTTCTAACTCCGATTTTTGCTAAAGAACAATGTACTCCAAACCCTTACACCTTCTTCAACATTCCCCGGGGGCAAAGGCTATCGCCCGTTGAGATCTGGGCTCGAGAACCCAATCCAAAAACGCCCTCCGTACAGATGTACTGTAGCGCGGCTTAAAGGTACACTAAAATCTCGTTCAAAAAGTTCGGTCGCGGTAGGAAATTTGGGCTCTCTGCCGCAGCCGACCCAGCCCCTTCGTATCGCCTCTCCCCTTCTTTCCTTGATAATTGAGCTATCGATCATGCTTAAAGGGGATATGAAATAAAAAGTTAGCATGTGCGCACGTCACAAGTTGGTAGAATTCACTTGGGACTTTCGGGACAAACCATTTTTGGGCATCGATAATGCCCTGTAAGCGTGCACAATTTATGCATTTGGTGATTTCCAGGCTGCTTTCAATACTTACGAAAGTTTTCATAATCGCAATCTTTTTGGATCCCATAAATTGCGTGAGAAGGATCGTCAGATCAGTCAGATTTCCTGGCGCCTTTTATTAACTTCTTTTTAAGAATACGTTCACGGTCCCGATGATTCACACATCCAGCCACAACCATTTTCTCCAGCAGCGCATACCCCGGACACCTTTCCATGTATAATCCCCGTTAACGATATCCCTTTATGCCAGTTGCAGACGCGTTCTGCCGTGCAAACCCTGCTTCGTGTTGCCTTCCCATAGCCGGTGCGTCGGTTAGCGGTCAGCCATATTCGAGCGTCCGGTTTTGATTGCACCTAGGCCATCCGGAGGCTCGACGGCTTACGGGGTGGGTGGCCTTTGAACCGGGCGCGTTCGAGCTGGGTGAGGGGAATAGAAGGATGAGGAAGGAGAGGAGGAGGAGCACGAGCTGGAGGAGGAGCAGGGGTTGGCTGTGGCATTGTGACGGAGACCGGTATCCTCATCGCCCTCCTCCTCCTCTCCGCTGCCCCTGAGGGGGAAGGCTTCTGCCTAGCCGTGTACATTCGATTGAGAGGTGTGTGCCACTAGCGACGATGGCGCATAGATCTTATTCGCCTCGCTTTTATTGATTTGTTTTGTTAGAGGTTTTTTCTTGTTTTTGTTCTGAAAGACTAAATTTATTTACGAGAGAATTTTATTATTTTTGTGCTCGTGAATTAAGGTTATGTTGCGAGATTTCCTTTAAAAATTATTCTCCTGGTGGTGCATTAATTTTATATATGCATTTCTTGCCGGAGTCGGACTGCCATGCTATACGTTAGACATTAATTGCTCCTTTATTTACTTAATTACCTCAAGTCAAAAATGTCTGCCTAAGCGACTTTTACGATTTGAATACCTTTTTTCCATATTTGCTACGCTTCATCTGCACATCCTCCTCTCCCACCCGCCACTCTGCCAATTCACTGCCGTTTTCACCCGATGAGGCATCGCATTAACCTTTTACGAGAGATCCAACTGCCCGGCAAGTCGCCAAATCAACCTCCCCCCCGGCGTTTCCCTTCAGCCTCCCAAAACCCGACACCCTTTTCTGAATTCAGATTTTGAAGCCAGACGATTTTCGGGCACCTGTCCCGTTATTTCTCACTATCTCAAAGATCTCGAAAAGGGCTACAAATGCCCCGGGGGTGCTTTCTTCGGCTTTCAGCGACGGGAGAGTTTGTTCTCACTTTTCAGTTTGTTCACAAAAACACTAGAGTCTCAATATCTCGTGCTGTTCGGTCTGGCGGTGGTTTGAGTTATCTTAGTAAATACATGGCCGGAAGGGGTTTTAATTAATCATAAAATTCAAATTTATGGAAAGATTTAATGTTCAAAAGTCGTGACAAAAACTCTAGAAAGTTCGCTTTTTGCAAGCGTTTGGAGAGTTGCTGTTTAAGGGAGATAATGCTACCTTTGTCGTAGAAGCTCGTAAATTACCCTCTTAACGGTATAAAAAACCGTTTTGCTACAATATAAGATGCATTCGATTTTATTTCCATTTACATATCTTAGATCACGTTTCTGATATTTCAAAAAAGGAGAAGCTGGTGGTAGCCCTCTGCCCCGTTATATCACTTTGAAGAAACCGCTTCCGGTAAATTGTTATACACGTCGGTCATAATTTTGGCGCCTCCCCAATTTCACGGTTTTCTAGCAGAACAGCGGAGCAGGCTCGAAGACGCTCAAGAATACTGTATGTCCGATTCGCACAAAAATTCATTACTCCCAAATTCTCTTTAAAAATAGGGGTTTTTGAATACTGGCCTCTCAGCAATAATCTCGAGGATACTCCGTACCTGTTGCTCATCAAACGCTGTTTTTTACTCCCGATTCGCATGGTTTGTGGTTTCTAAAACCCCTTCGCCTCTTGCAACGCACCGTTTTGAAAATCCAGACTAGCCGTTCCTGGAAACTGGCCTCCCCCCTCACCCCTTTAAACCTGAACTCCCCCCTTGGACAGTTCCGTTTGGATAATTGTTGGGGGGGAGAGTCAATCGGCGACTCTTCATGCAAGAATGGATGTGTGAGGGCGTTGGTTTGGTTGTTGGGGGAAGAAGAGCCTTTAGAACTATCAGCCCTCCTCAGCTGCTCCTTCCACCGTGAGCAGCCAGTTCCTCAAGCCACGCTCAAGTGCGCCTCCCCCCTCCGATTGGCGGATATTGGCGGAAAAACGGCTTTCACGCTTTTTCTTTCGTCACGTACATTTGTTGAATGGGGGAGTGGTAGGGGAGGGGGGGGGGGGTGTTGATCAGAGAACCGTATATGGGAAGACTAGCGAAATAAGTCAATGCCAAAAGCTTAGCTTCTCGACTTCTGAAAGCTTGACCCGTCTGGGACCTACGAAAGGCTACGCTTTGATCCGTCTTTACCGTATCCCAAAGTAAAAATATCAAATATACGTATGCTGATTTTTCCTACCAAACAGGAGTGGCCGCCATTCCTACAAAAGATTAGATTTTATATCGAAAACCCGTTTTCAGTATCTAACATTTGGCTAATACACTCCTAATGCCGTATCATCCGAGCGTAAAAACTCTTTCCTAATTGGTAGCGCTAGAACATGCATCTTCACGCAGTGATTGGTTTCTGAGGTAATGGGTTTCGAAAACACAAACCATTTTTATGAAAAACCACTAAATAATGTAACCGATTTTATGATCTCCGCTCCAGCGAAAGCACCCCTTAGTGTACCTTCAAAGCCCCCAGATGTTATTTTCCCAGGTAGATGCCACATCTCGTTTTCATAGATGCCCTTCCCTCTAGTCTCGAGGTCAGATGGGCGATGCATGGCGATACCGCTTCTTTCGTTATTTAGCGCCATTCCACCTTCTCCTCCTTCTCCCTGCGGGCATCCTCCGAACCGGCTCAAGAATTCCTATGCGCGCGCCACCAGGGGGGAGCTGTGGCTGCGGCGTGTGCGGGGGGTTGCGCAAGCCGCCGTTTTCCTCCTCCTCCTTCTCCCGCCCTGGAGTGTTTTGTGGCATCGTGATAAAGAAGTGTCTGGGAATCGGAAAAAGTGTTCATACTTCGTTCTGGTGCGGTGATAGCGTAAATAAGGTTTTGTTCGTGGCTCGAGTCGACCCGCAGTAATTATTGCGGGCAAGGCTTTATTTTAGAATTCCTGTAAGTATTTAGTGTATTTTATTGTGTTATCGGGTATTGAGAAAACGATCAGAACATAATGAATTGGACGTAGAAGACGATTCTGAACAGCACATAGCGCCTCAGTCTTGCAAAATGCTATTCCTCATTTTTTAAAATTTACGAGCTAAAAGCTGTTTTGCTGCGCCGCCCGAAACAATCTCTTAGCTAGGTTTTTGAATTTTATAAAAGCTTGGATAATCCGAAATTTTGTAAAAAATATTAAAAACAGGCCGTCCCTCTAAACCGCTCATTTCTAAAAAAAATACCCAGTTCTACCTCCTAACTACAAAATAAATTAACTCTAACCCAATCCCCCAAAACCAGCCCCTTCTACCACCTGTACGTACAAATCCAGACAACACCTCTCTCCCACCCATCCACAGTTCCTAATTTCCTAACAGGTACCAGCCGCGCATTACGCAACAGACGTTCGCTCGCTTGTCTCATAAAAGGGATGAGGGGTGGGTGGGTGACAGTGTGTTGCGTGACAAAAGCCGTAGACAGGAACCACTACCCCTACCCTAACCCCACTGCTACCTCATCCTCACTCTTTCTTTTAGGGGGTGACACCACGAAAACAAACCATTGGCTTTGCCTAGTCGCTTTTGATACTTGAAGGGGTGACGCTGCAAGGGGAGGGTGGGTGTTGAAAACGAAATATCAGTTTTTTGCGGCGTTTTTCATTGATCAGCTTCCTCCAACGTACCAACTCATCCGCATCTATAAATAATCCTACTATATATAAAAAAATAGTGTCTGTATGTGTGTGTGCATTTGCATGCAACTTCCGTGAGGATGCTCGGCACCTACAGCCTCAGGGAAGAATTTTTTCGATTGGGCAAAAACGTCATTAGGTAACGAAGGGTCCGGAATCGACTGCACGCACACAAAATCTTTGAAAAATTGCTATTTTCGCTATTAAAAAATTTTTTTTTTGTAAAATTCTCGCCCACCCTCTTCGTCAGGGATCAATTAGCATAAGCAGGAAGTGGGATAGCCTATATAAAGCGACAGAGGAGCCGTTTTTCACTTTTTTTCCTCATAGATTTCGGGGAAGAAGCATGCAAATTGAAGACTTTCATCGGTCCTAGACGGGGCAAGGGTTGAAAAGCCGCTTCGCGGCTTTTCAACCCTGGTTTTTACAATAAAATATTCTGAAGAGTATTCCTGCGTAGTTTTGCGCGTAGTGAAAAAAATTCTATTAGGAAAAGCCCCACCTCAATAGAGACCGTATATTCCTTCCTCTTTTGCGGCGGTCTCTCGGTTCTCCATTGTTCATCCGAGCTGCCCGACGATTCCTCACTGGGCCCTTTTTGTTTCTCGCAAACCCGGGCGACCTGCAGCTCCACGAAACTTGTAGGCATCTGAAAAATCTGTATAAAAATTCTTAATAAACACCCGAAAAATAAAAAAACACGTTTTTTGGCCTCATTACTACACCGAAGCTCGGATTTTGATTAAAAGAGCGCAGAAAACTATCCCGGAAGCCACCATAAGCATAAAAAAACTTTTAAAAAATCAAAATTTGGCTTTAGCCTATCGATATGGCCGATTTCCATGGGCGACCTCTAGAAGCCTAAGCCTAAGCCTAAGCCTAAGCCTAAGCCTAAGCCTAAGCCTAAGCCTAAGCCTAAGCCTAAGCCTAAGCCTAAGCCTAAGCCTAAGCCTAAGCCTAGCCTAAGCCCAAGCCTAAGCCTAAGCCTAAGCCCTAAGCCTAAGCCTAAGCCTAAGCCTAAGCCTAAGCCTAAGCCTAAGCCTAAGCCTAAGCCTAAGCCTAAGCCTAAGCCTAAGCCTAAGCCTAAGCCTAAGCCTAAGCCTAAGCCTAAGCTCCGGGGGAATCGTTGACCAACTTCAGGGAAAACCTCTAGGACCCCCTCCACACTAGTGGGCCAGGTGGTGGGCGAGTGGGGAGCATGGAAAGACCAGTTATTTAGACAATTTTTTGGCTCTATATTTTTCTTTTGAGTTAAGTAGAGGAAAAGTTTTAAACGGGAAAGAGGATCCGCTTTTCATTTTTTACTTATCGGAATCCAGTAAAATCATGCAAAGTAGAGCATATTCTAGGGTCAGACGGGGCGAGAGAGAGGTTGAACAGAGAAGTTGAAAAGTCGCGAAGCGGCTTTTCAACCCTGGTTCATTAATTAATCATACGTTGTACGTGCCTCAAAACCTATCCAAGCTCCAAGAAATCGAAATCAACTCATCTAATTCCATCGTTTTACCCACTATGAATTTCTTAAAACTTTTGGTAATACCAGGACAAACCATAAAAACGACTATAATTTGTTTTTTGTACATTTTCCTCAATTTAATCACCAAAACCCATTGTGTTTGTTCAGATGCGCTTGAGAAATCGGTACGATGAATTCGTCAGATTGGCTTGATGCAGCTTCAAACACCTCCGCTGATGGGTTTATTGCCCGCCACTTCACCAACACCTCCCTGGGCTATCGGTACGTTAGATTCAAAACAAAAAATTATTCGAATTCCTTCAGATTACTCGAGCGCCTGACCCTTACAAACCTCCGGCATGCTTTCTATTTAATATCGCCTTATGAGACTACTGTGTCGACCATCGATGAGGTCCCAAATTATAATATACAGGTACGTGATAAAACACAATTTTTCATACCTTTTTTTAAGGTATCTGCCTGGTGGTTCATCTTCATTATCGTGGAACTGGCGCTCCTAAAATTCACAGATCATGAAGATCGATTTGCGCTCAACGACTCAATCACGTCGATCTGTGCAGGAATGCTGTCACAATGCTTCAAGTCAGCATAAAATTATATTTAGGTTTTACGGCCAAAAGTTTTGAGCGATTTGATTAAATTATTTTTCAGATTTTCTGGACGGGCCGTGGCGATCTTTGGCTACTTATTTATTTGGGAGAATTGTGCCTTGCTGCGACTACCATTAGAAAGCCCCTGGACTTGGATTCTATGCCTGTTCTTCCAAGATTTCATGTATTACTTGGGTCATCGAGCAGTGCATGGTAGGTAAAGCGTTTCTAAAACTATGATACGGACAAGAGTTCCACATTACTAAGGTTGCAGAGACCATTAACTGTTCATTTCTAGAATTCGGCTTCTTCTGGGGCCTGCATACAATCCACCATAGCAGTGAATACTACAACTACACGACAGCACTCCGCCAAGCGGCTATTCAAGACGCTGGGCTGGCGCTGTATGATTGTTTGCAGGTATCCAAAGCCACATTAAAACATGGCATTCGGTTTAGGCCTTCTTCATCCCACCCCCAATCTTCCTCGTCCATCGATATTTCTCCGAAATTTTCCAATTCATCATGCATACCAGCGTTTGTATTTTGGCATGGACCTCAGGATATTTTTAGATTCTCGATGATTTTGGGCCTTTGGGGTTGGTGTTTAATACGCCATCACACCATCGTGTTCATCATGGAAGAAATCCTTATTGCATTGATAAGGTATTCCACTGGTTTTGAGTTATTAATGTATGCCCCGGATAAGAAATTGCTTCGCGACGTCTTAGCCCAGACCCGTTGGAATACCGATCTATCGTTTTTCCATAACCAATTCATATACAAATATCATTGTTAACAAAAAGAAAAGATGTCCGACAGGCCTCTCATATGGCCCAGTCCAAATCCGATGAATAACTCCGTTAATAATTTTTTAATTTAATACATCGAAGACAGCATTTCTCAAAATTTCCGAACCCGTAAGGTCATCTCTGATCCAACACGCACCTAATGACGTATATACTTTACCTTAGGAGTATCAAAGTTACACAAAAATCCCATTTTTTCAGAACTTCGGAGGCGTGTTCATCATTTGGGATAGGCTTTTCGGTTCTTTCGAAGCAGAAAGGAAAGATGACCCTCCGGTCTATGGTCTTATCCATCAAGAAAAGAACTTCAACCAATTCTGGCTCCAGGTATCGTACCCTACCCCAACCCTCCAATTCTTTAGTTCCACACCCTCTGGGAAATGCTCTTTTGCAAAGCGCACATGAAAGATACAGATGGGAAGCCAGTTTTCCCGGGATGTTTAAATAAGGTAATACTACTTTCAAAAAATATACTGTTTTCCTAGTTCAAAGCAGCGCTATATCCGCCTGGCTGGTTCCCGGGAGTGAAAACTGTTACATTTTTCCACTGGAAAACATTGGTCGATCCAGCACATGGAGTTCCTGAGGTTAAAAAAAAATCTATGCGCAATAAATTATAAAATTCTAGCCCGAACGCCCGGTCGTAAAATACAATCCACCACTAGAACTTTGGATTAAGCTGTATTTAATGGCTTATTTCGGAATTTTCGTAAGTTGAAAACCGTCGGACTTGAAGGTTTTTAAGCTTTCTATCTTCTTCCACTTTGAATACGATCGGCCGCATTTATCGTATGCCGATTTTTCTGCAAAAATCGCCTTCTTTCTGCTAACAATGCAGTGCTACGGCGGGTTCTTTGATAAACGGTAGGCTATAGTTTGGGTTTAACTTTTTTTCAATCTTTGTTTTGTCGATTTTGAACTAATTATACCTTTGAATTTTTCTAGATCCTGGGCCCCAATAGCCGAAAGCCTACGGTGCCTTGGCGTGGTCGGGTATTACGGTGTACTGCTATGGACGGACGGTGGAACCGGAACGCATCGGATATCAATCATGACTATCCACGCGACGGCAGCCGCTGTTTGGGCAGGATATGTTGCACAAAAAGTAGTTATTAAGAAAATATGTCCATTAACTAAAAGTAGCTACTTTATGGCTACCAAAAATATATTTTTTTAGTGCGTGCAAAAGAAGAAAACGGCTCCGGCAAAGACTGAACCAACCGTAGCTACCATCCAGGTTCACATTGAGGTAAGGGAATTTATTAATATTAAAACTTAGCTATTAGTCCATGTATATTTTATTCCTATTATCCAAATTTTCAGACAATACCAACAAATACTCCACCACCACCGTACACAAAAGAACCATAGCCGTTGTCAGCTATTTCGAAGCTACGCGCCACTACCCTGTCCAGATTATTTATGCTCATTTCTTTGGCTTTCAATCATTCCATTAGATCCTCACCGTGCCTCGCATTTTGTATTAAATGTATTCATTTTTGTAACTGCCCGTGACGAGTAACCGTACGACGTGCGACTGCCCCCCAACGATACTGATGCAGCCATTATGATTGTTTGGGTCTATTTATTTAATTTATGCTATTTACTTTTGTGTGTTAATTTATTTAGCTTTGAGATTAGTAAAGGATTTTGCAGGAGGTCAAATGTTAATTTATGCACAATTATTTGAACTACAGACACATGGAAATACCAGGCATTTTGATCGGCCAATCCGAGAACGAGAAAAATTCTTTTCAGTCAATAAATTCTTAAAATGAAAATTTGAATAATGAGTCATCAATCCCTCATTTCAATGGCAGACCTCTTAGTCATACAAAAACAATATCAACCACCTCGATTTTACCCGCAAATGCCCTTTATGTTGTGGAAAAAGAGTGACCGCGGCATCGTCTCGCAAGCGGGTCAGGGGTGAAGCTCATTCCAAATTCAGTACGCTTTCTCCCGCGCCGATTGATCGTATTCATTGGATGATCGGTGCCCCAGGCCACTTACCCTTTCATTTTTTATATAGCAGCTTATCTCCGTTTGGAGTTACTTTCAAGTCTTTCAAGTCAAACCCTCGAATGCAAGAGAAACGAATTCTTAGGAAATGCCCGTGATGACGGAAGACATCTCATGTGGCGTGGAGCCGTTTGACCTTCCAGTAGTCAATGATGTTGACGATACATTCTTGGATCCGTTCGTCTACTCGAACGAGGTGCGGTTTCTTGTCGACCGCATCGAAGAAACTGGCATTGAATGCAAAGATTGTGTCTGCCCGCAAGGATATAATGAATGCGGCTTCGTTGAATGTGGCCCAGCTTGTCCGTGCCCTACCGATCGGGTCGAATGTCGTCGTACTCAACAAGGATTGTCGTGGCGTCTGGAGGTTGTTTATTCTTAAAGGGGCGGCTCTGTCAGCAGGGTCTCTCTTGTTTCCATCTTGGAAAGATTGGAATGCGAGTACGTTTAGAGAACACGGTGGACGGAGATAGGTAGGATGTAAATTTTTTCCCGGATTCATCGAAAGCCGGCGCTGCTGACATAGCCCCTTAAGAATGCTACTACCCATAAAAATATTGTTTATCACTTTGCCTACAAAAGTAATCCTTCTTTTACAGGTATTCAAGACCAACGATGACCGTGGCTGGGGCATCCGCACCACACAACCAATCCCCGCTGAATCGTTCATCTCCGAATACACTGGCGATGTTTTCATGGATCTCCGAAACCAGAGCGAATACATCTTTGCTACCACCTATGCCGGGCAACAAATGGATATCGATGCGCAGAATTGGGGAAATGTGACTCGTCTCTTCAACCATTCCTGCGAACCGAACGTGGAGACGTGTCTGATCAAGAGGAACGGAGACCCACTGTGCCGACATGCCTTCTTCACCATGCGTGATATTGAAGTCGGAGAGGAGCTGACCATTGACTATACGGGTACGTGGTGGAGGGCCAAATGGACAGAGACGTTTTATTGTAAGTGTGGTGCAGACAAATGTCGTTACCCAGCCCCCCGTGGGCCATTTGATATCGTTGATGTGATTTGAAATTAATGAATGAATTTAAAATTGTATCGGATTTGTGCATCAAGCCTTTCACCGCTTTTTCGCATAGCTTTACTTTCCTGGTGTCAAACTCCCATTTGCAAGCAGCATTTCGACCTTATATTCTGCTTAATTAAATATTGGGTCCTTTTAAATATAGTTGCTTGCCATAAATTTATTAGACCGTTAGGTGATGGATACAATACAAACAAACACATGGTTACAGCACGTCAGAGCCTTGCATCCAGTCTAGAAAAAAATTCTAGATTTGGAAATTCGGAATTTGATTTCGCAGGTTTCATCAGGTTCTTTTTTTATGTACATTTGCCTATAGCCCACTTTCAAAATAACAGATCTTCATTCGAGACTAATCTCTCGGAAAAGCGCGACGGAAATTGGGCGCGGGATTTGGGGGGCAAATGGGCGTGTCCTTCTCCTTGTTCGTCTGGCCATCAAGGGTCCCACTGGGGAGTGTGGGCCAAAGTGCTTCGGACGGAAGGGGGATTTCATACCCTCTTTTTTGTTGGTTTCCCGCCTGACGACCGGTATGCGTGTGAAAAGTATCCCCCGACGGATCCCCGGTGGCGTATTCTCTAAGGAATATGAAGCTAAAATGGCGGCGCTTCGGAAGGAGGCGGAAATGAGAATGTTGAAGAACGCTGGGGCGAGAAGGACGGTTGTTGTGAAAGTGAAGCAAGGTCAGTTTTGGAATTTTTTTACTTCTTGGTTGGCCTTACTTTTATTTCAAATTCCTGACATACCAGAGAAGCTCAAAATACAATTTTTGCCAACCTTTTCCAGACGTCGCCCACAAGCAGGCCCAAATTATAATTACCCGTCTACGCCCCTAGAAAGCATTTCCTAATTGGACTCTCCAAAAAACTTCACTCCATCCCCCTACACCAAAACTTTCAGTAGAATTGCCACCGCCACCACATTACTCCCGAAAAGGACGACTCTGCAAACCGGTAAAATTCCACGGCTCTGTCGTCACCAAAACCGTGCGAAGGATGAAGAAGAACCCCGCTACGGATGTATGAATACCAGAATTCCCACTTCAAACTATACCAGTTGCATTTTCATAGACTGCTCATCGCGAGTGTATACAGTTCCTAATAAATATATACCATCACGTCCCTGCAGCTTCCAAAAAAATGCAGCTCCCCAGGGCTCCGACTACAATCCTCTTGCGAACGACGGCATGCGAATTTCCCCCGGATCAACTTTACAGTTTGAGGCCCCAAGAAAAATTTGCCTCCGCGAGGGATTAGGGACTAGGAGGATAATCCGACCCAAAAATAAATGATCTGAGCGCTAGAAATGGGAACAAGGTCACCTTCACGACATGTTGCGAAGGGTTTCTAAGTTCACAGGTTTGCGAATCCCTACAAAGGTCGGAATCCGCTTTTTGGACAAGAATATCCCGCGCGATGGTCAGAAACTATAAATATTTTTATTCCCTGGCATCAAAGAACTAAATGAGAATTGAAAAACAAACTCAACAATGGAATGGATAAGATAGAATAAGATCACAATCGCTTTTTCGTTTGCACCGAAGGACTGGCAGACGATTGTCGAACACGTTTGAGCAACTCGAGCACCTACAAGGGCCTTCGATGAATTAACTACTTTTGAGCTACCTTCTCCGGATTTAGAATAGCGAGAAGCAGGACCGCGAAGAACGGGATAGCAAGGATTTGGCTGTATGGGATTGATAATGTCTAAAAAAGATTTTTAAATGGTTGAATCTTGTCTTACCTCTGACGATTTTTTGGCATCAGATAGTTGCATTTTCACGACTTTTAAAGACCCTTCAGCTTGGAATGAAAACTAAAAATTTTTGTTATTTAGCGTTTTACCTGGGTTATTACTTACCTCTTTGGTTGTGAAAAGTCTGGGCGGTTGCTCGGCTTCGACCCGAATGGCGAATGTAGATGCGGAACTATAGGTTAGGTTTGACATGGCCCACACCATATCGTAGAGGACGCTTTTGTGAACCACCTTAATTATTAATTTTTGAAAGAGAATATAAATATACCTCCTGATTATGCAACAGGGACATCTTGACAGTCTTTGGTGGAGTTGGTAATCCGGAAGTATCAAACTCACCAATGATCTCATACCCGACAGGGAGTGGACCTTCCGAGAACTAAAATGGTTGTAGTATAATAATTAAAACGATCGGATTTACCTTAATATTGTGAATATGCTCTTCCTTCATTTTGACCACATATGATTCTGGGAATGAATGCTCAACGGTCCCCCAGTTTGGTGTTGTCTTTAGAGTAATCTTGTACTCACACTGCGGTTTGAGCCCACGAATACGGTAGCTGCCTTCCTAAATTCAATTTCATATTTTGACCACAAGCTTTTGATTTACCAGTTCTACAGTGGCATCAGCTTGGTGTTGATCACAGTCAGCAGCGACGGCTTGTACAACGGCATCTGTAGCCGGGCGGCCGTTCATGTCCAAAACTTGCCCAAAGCAGCTAAACAACCTTATATTCAATCGTTCTCTGTACTTTACCTCCATTCGACTCGTTTGCCCTTCAGCTCAATGTTCACATGTTCACCTTCAGCCACTTTAACCGTAATTTGTGAAGGTTCGAATTTGAATTCTTGAAGGATTGGGCGGACGTAATAGTCGCCAGGGGCCTATAAAATGGTTAGATAAAGAATAAAGATAAGCTTTGAATTTTAAAATAATACCTACCAGCCCGACAAAGCTGAGCTCTCCGGTTTTGTCGATCATATTATTGCTACGGTAGTCACTGCCGACAACGCTCAACAGCACGCCCTCCAGACGAGAATCTGAAGGTAAGATTTATGATGGAGTTACTTTATTTTTTTATTTATATAGGTTTTAAAGCTCTACCAGGTTGTCCCAACTCCGTCACTACCACAGAGAGACGGCTCAATCGCAAACTCGTGAAATGGCCGTGTTTTCCGGATACGGCAGTCAGAATGTAGCCATCCAACTGCGCCGTAATGTCCAATTCGTCTTCACTGATTACAGGGCCAATCCTAAAACCGATTATTATTAATTTGTAAAATTGTTTCAAAAGACAGTTTATTCAATGAAGATAAAATTTGAATTAGAAAAGAAATAAAATTTACCTGTAGGCGCCAGACTTGTCGGTCTTTGCTTGGAATTTCACAGCCCTATCCTTGGTGTGTTGGCCAACAATCTCGACGCCTTCCACGGCTGGGGTAATCTTTCCTTCGACGTATATTCCTAAAAATATAATTGAAATAGATTCACGCATAAAAAAACAAGATTCAAAAATAGTTGAAAATGTGATTCCGGTTTACCTTTGTTGGCCTTAAAATTGGCAACATTTTCCAGGCATTCCCCGTTGAATCGGAATGAGCCAGAGGTTGGTTGGAAGAGATGAGTCGGAGATTGAGGAACGAGCAAAACATCTCCTGAATTTGGATTTTGAGGTCGTTAGATCCTATCTGACCTTTTTGTGCGATTGGCAGGCGGAAGCTGAAGACACCATTGACCACTTTCACGTCTTGATGGCCAGAGGGGGCTCTATATAAAAAATTATTGAGTTTTGGCAACATTGCCTACTCGACGCGAATCTTGATATCAGCAGATCCGGAACCGGCAACGTTCCCTTTAACGCTAGCGTCAATGGCGCGGGCTTCATAGACTTGGTCACTCGGTACCTTAAAGTTAAATTGAGTGAGTTAGAGGTTTGGAACCAAAATCTACCTCAATTTCGAACGTCGGACGATCGTAGGTTCTGCAGGAATAAAGCGAAATACGGTAGGTCCCTTGTAGTGGCACACAGAATTCGTTGGGCCCGGAAACACCAGCATGTTCGCCGTGCAAATCTTTACGGGTGGTGTGCACCCATTTCTGAAAAGAGCCGTGATTTTCTTATATTCTACTCATACCAATGGTGTAGGATGGCTGAGCTTGACGTTCGTGCGGAAGCCTTGCTGCTCGAATTTGATGGGAGCCGGTTCGGCGAAATCCACCTAAAGGTAGGCTTAAAACTCAGAGGATTAGCAAAATACCTGTAGTTGCAGGAGTGTAGATGACCAGCAAATTTTTCCGTTGGCAACAACTTTCACTAAATCCCATATTAAATCCGAATTTTGAACTCAAAACAAACCATCATATGTGCCGGGAGCGATGTCGGTGAACACAGCGACATCTTTGCCATGAGCCGTCTGGATGAGGGTGGATCCATAAATCAATTGGACCGTATTCTCTTCGCATGGTCCTAAAATCATAGTCTACATTTGCTTCGATTTATATTACCCAGACATTCAAACGCCACTTTAGCATTTGTCTTGAAGTGAGAAAAGGTCAAGTCGAGTCTGGGGCCATTCGTCAGATCGATGGAAACCTCGCGCGGGGTCAGACCGGATTCTTGCGATTTGGGCTGAAATACCGAAATTAATATTATATTAGAATTATCGACGTTAATAGCTATGAGGAAGTAAACATTTTAATAACTCTACCTTGACAATATATTCTCCCGGTGGCAGCGTTTTGCAGAATTTGCCATCACTTTTTGGTGTAATAACCTCCTCGACGGATTTGCCTTTCACAAGGATCTGCTCAGACTTGCCATCACCGGATTTGACTGTTCCGCATAGGTCATATCTAGGAGCACATCAGCTCAAGCTCACGAGAAATTACCCAATAAGCTGAATATCCGGAATTTTCGGGTTTCCAAAGGTGACATCAGCGTTTACCACCGAGAATGTGGAGTGGTCAGCCTAAATTTCCCGATAGAATCTGAATAATAATATCGACCTTGGCAGTGAGCTTTAGCCTTCCTTCCGGAATCTTTTCCAGCGCAAAGTAGCCTTCCGAATCAGAAGATCCGATCTGAAAACCGATGACGCAATCAGATTTTAGCTTTACCAATTTGTCGTTCGCATGAATTTCGATTTTTGACAATCCTTGAGATCCACGCAGGACACGGCCTTTAGCGGATAGGCCGACAGCTTTGATTGTTACCTAAAAATTCATTTGATATTTTTTGTAAGTTTCATACGGATAATTTCTGGTCGACCACATCCAGTTTCAATGCCTCCGGTTCGAAGTAAATTTTCGTGGTGGGAGTTTCGTATTTTGCGACGATGTAGTGGGTTCCGGGAGGCGCGCAATCGACCATAGTCTAATTTAACCAATATATTCATTTCACGCTAAAACACACCTTTCCCTCCGAATCCGTCGCCCTAATTGGACACACGAACTTTGTGGCCAATCCTTTAGGGGCCTTATCGACAGGTTTGCATCCAGGCAGCTAAACATGTCTTGTAAGTAATTTGTTTAAGCCAACCTCCAATTTCTCAGCGGTATGCAACTCAATTGTAACATCTTTCATTGCCCTTCCGCTTTGCTCCAGGTTCACCTTAAATCAAAAATGTACTCCTGTTACTGAGTTATTTTTTTAAACCAGTGGAAAAAGCCCGCTTCGCGGCCCTTTTCCACTGGACCCCGTCCAGGAACGATGAATTGGAATACTTTTTTTTAGTTTGAGGCGCAAGAACCTGCGTCAAGGAGCCATTATTTGGCCTGCGGCGCCAGAGCCTGGGCCAAAGACCTTTTCGTTGGCCTGCGGCGCGAGAGCCTGGGCCAAGGGTCTTTTCTTTGGCCTGCGGCGCTAGAGCGAGAGCCAGGCCTAAACCTCGCGCTAGAATTTTTTTGCCTGCAGCGCTAGTTACTGCTTTTTCTCCCGGATTTGGCCTGCGGCGCAAGAGCCTAGATCAAAGACCCATCATTAGCCTGCGGCGCAAAAGCCTGGGCCAAGGACCTTCTCTTTAGCCTGCGGCGCTAGAGCGAGAGAGAGCCAGGCTTAAACCATGCACACCGAGAGCCTAGAAATATGTTTTGTTGCTGAACTACCAAAAAGCAAAAAATTAAATTCTCCTAGGATCCGAAACCACGACCATGCACATGGTAGACCGGGCGCAAATCCACTACACTATGGGATAGTTGGGAAGCGGCAGCGGGAAAGCCCTCATCTGTCCTGGGGAAGGGGGGCGGGGAAGGCAAAGAAAAGGGCGACCCAATGATCCCGGAGGGGGGCCTACTGGTCACTTGACAAAATTCGGTTTTTGACCCTGAATCAGCTGAAAACTCGCAAAGATAATAAGAGGCGCTTGATCCCCACCATCGAATACATAAGTGGTCCAAATTCCAGCCCGAAATTCCATCGGAGCTTCGAGTTATGGCCCGGACACCACGGCTTTTGGCCCACCTTATTAAGGACATTTTATAAAAATGTTCATAAAAACTTTATTTTACAAAATCTGACAAAACGCAGAATTATATATCGGGAGAATTCAATTTTCAATCTATATTCCAAAAATTAGCGCCCAATTCCATTTAGATCGCGAGATATCCTCTGTACAAACCTTTTTTTGGCCAAAATGTTAAGGGTTTTCCACTATTTTTCTTGTAAAATCGCTAAATTAAAGAATTTCGAAAAACAAAAAAATGCCTATAAAGAGGATGTGTTTCTCCACCTCCATGCCAAAAATTAACCGGAAATTCGGCCTGACGGCCGAGAAATCGTCTGCACAGAAAACAAACATACTTTTCTCGCTTATAGGATAGGATCTAAACTTACTTGAATTGGGTATCCATAAACTTTCAACGGTTCTGATAGTTGTACTGGAGCGTTTTTAACCTAGAATTACGGAGGGTTTTTTAATTTTAGCTTCCCAATTTACCGTAATTTTCGCTCGGCCCTTGGCGACACAGACAGAACTTTCAGACGCTGTAGATACCTCATATTCGCCTAAAATTTAATTGTCGATGTTTAATTTTTATAGGGTATCTTTTCTTTTTATGTGCATAGAATTTTTCAGACTCACCTGGTAGGGCAACGAAGGTGTACTTTCCGCCCTCCTTGGTTAGAGTCTTCGCAACTTGTTGATTGTCCTTGATCAATGCCATTGCCAAGCCAGTAGGCCCTTGGCCATTTTGGCTTTGAACGGACCCTGAAACGCCAATTAGACAACGCCTTGCGTAGACTTACCAGTAATCTCAAAGCCTTGAATTTTAAAGTTGATATCCTGATTCTTCGTGCAAGGATCATCAACCCCATTCAACACCAGTTCAAATGCCGAGGGAGCTAGAATTCAAATTTTTTGTAGGAATTTGCAGCTGCCATTACCGAAATGATAACCTTCTTTGGTGGATACCCGGAGCGAATAGGTGCCTTTTTGGTATACGGGCAGCATGTAATATCCGTTCTGTGCATTTACTTCTTCTTCTTGCTTCAAGTGATTGTCAGTGGTGTAGAGTTGAATCTTAAAAATGTTGGATACTAATTTTGCTCGCTTGGGTTAATAGTTTTTCAGAATATTTGTATCTAAGCAAATGCTTCAAAATATCAGTTATGGTTTTCGTTTGACTTTAGAATAACCCACTTTAATTTTTGAAAAGTCGATCGGTTCCGGGCTTTGAATATAACCTCCACAGCTAAAAATATCGGCCAATGCCCATCCTGCTAAATTTATTAACAGGACGAGGACCCGCATCGTCGCTCCAAAATTACCCAGTTGATCTGAAATGCTTGGTTTTTCACGGTCAGTGTATAATTTTAGAGAAATTGTTGGTGATTGGGGAATAATCTCGAGCTGGGGTAAGGGATTTGAACGATAATGATAGGGAAACGGGAGAGTACTATGGGCGAGGGATAAGGAGGCGCTCGTTCGAATATGTGGGAGATCGTGGTAAAGAAATAGCCCGGGGCTACGATCTGCAGATGTGAGAAAATCAAGCCCAAAAGATAGAGGTATGCCAGAGAGATATTGGGTGACCGTACACGGCTTTTCCGGTTGCCAGGGGTAAAGCATTAAGGATTTATAGGCGACCGTTCAGCCGTGTACAGACACCCAAAAAATAAAATGCACAAGAATCCACCCACAGATTTATATTATTACGTATGATGTTCGAAAAACTTCGATTTTCAACAAACTGACGTTTCAAAGCTGAAATCGTGATTACGGTTTCCAACACTAGAAATTAAACCGCAGCGTGAGGTACATAGACTGCCACATCCCGGTTTCAACACCCGATATGTTTCACGCGTTGTCAACCTCTGAAATCACGCGTTATCTTTGTAATGCGCCAGAGATGCTCGATATCTTTGAAGGCGTGTATCCGGCCGACGCGCAAATATCTATCCCCCTGAAGAGACCCCTCGTCTATGTTTTTAACACTGAACCATCATATGAATCCGGGGAACACTGGGTTAGTGTCCTCGTAGATCGTCGTGACAAGGCTTTTTACTTCTGTTCAATGGGCGAACCACCCAACCGTCACTTACTAAAATTTCTCCGAAGGTTTCGCAGTTTCATTTTCGCCCCAAATCGGATCCAGCACCCGCTAAGTGTTCTCTGTGGTCACTATTGTATATATGTAGCTATCCAGTGGGTAAAACATCGCAGCTTGAAAAATGCTATCCAAATATTCAACCAGCGGAATTTGGTAAGAAATGAACGTTACCTACAAATATGGTTTGCTAAGCGCCAAATGCAAGCGTACCCTAAATCGCTCTTCTAGTCAAACCTTTAAAACAGCTCAGTCGTTCTCGCATTATCCGACATGTCACAACTTTCGTCTCCTATATTGTTCACCCCAAACGTGTTAGAAACAACATCTTTAACCAGTGAGGTGGATCTAATAGCACCTAAGGACGATCCAAAAATATTAGTTGCCAACCTCAAGGCTAAGAACTATGAATGCGACATATGTCTGACGTCTTTTTCAACTCGTTTCAACATGCGGAGACATAAAGAGAAAATACATCGGATGAAGCTTTCAACCGTCACGGATGTGCCTCAAAAATTCATTACGGAAGTCGGATGTGTGACAGTTTATATTGATCGGGAAGATAATCGAGTGTTTCTACAGCTAAAATAAAGATTTATTCCCTAACTTTTTTGCGACACAAAAAAAAAAAACACACAACCTTTAAAATACATTACATCACGCAAACGTGGGAAATCCTATTAACAGTAAACCCCTATTAACAGTAAAAGCCCTATTTTCATTTTTTAAAAAGCCCTATGAAGATATGCGTGATTATTAGGCTCTAGCTTCCGACTGATCCTTACGTTTGGAGTCAAAATCTACCCTGTTCTTGATAACGCACTGGAAAAAGGCGTTCAACGAATTGAGTCGATTCAGCTTTACACAGCATCGGCGGAGGGCTATCTTAAATTCGAATACTCCTGTATCCGACACGGGCGAAGCCAAGGGGGGTGCGAGAGAGCTACAGTCATTGCACAGCAGCACGGTTATGCATTTTTGTGGACGAGGCATATACCGAGGAACGAGGACGGCGTAGGGGTCGTCCGGTGCCACGGGCTTGTACGCAGCCGCATATGAGTCCATCTTAACAGGCATAGTGTGAATAGAAGCTATAGGTTGCGTAAGCAAGTTAACCATGAAAGAACATACCGTCTTGGTCTTTTTTTCTAGAACTTCCTCGTCAAGCTGTAGATCAGTGGGGGCTTGCCCTACGACTACGCCTTCCTAGAAAGAAAATATATTTAAACACAGGGAACCTCCTACGTTTCGGGACTTCTTGGTGAAGACAGGGTTCGGCGTTTTCTCTACCGCATCCTCCACCGATATCTTCTCACTTCTATCATCTTGATCGATTTCCTTCAAAGATTTATGTAAGCACACAGTTATTAATCCTACCCTTTTAGCCCGCTTCGCCACGATGGCCGGTTTCTTGGCGTCAGTGGGATGCTTTGAAGAAGATTGACCTCGTGCTCGGTTCTATTAAACGATTTATAAAAAGGGATAGTTCTATTAAACGGTTCTATTAAACGCTTTATAAAAGCAGGCTTAGGCTAAACGAAGAGGCACCTATCAAACATCGCGTAAGCGAACCAGCGCGAGATAGCATCGATCTCTGGAGAGTACCCGACGCTCGATTTCTCTTTTTGATATACAGCCTCCGTATGGATACCATGTTAAAACGCTCAATTTATAAAAAGCTCACTTTTACAACCACCGCTCTATCGGAGTCATCACTTTCGGATTCCTCGATGCACACGTAACGCTGAATCCAAATGTTATAGAGAGATTAATACTTTTTCACCTTGTTGGATTTTTTCCTCGCCTTATCCTTGGAGCTCACTTCGACGTCACTATCGCTTTCTACAGTCTCAACGTGGCTACGTGCCTAACATATGAGGAAGAGCGTTTTATTGGAGTACCGCGGAGTTACCTTTTTGTTCTTCCGAGCTCTTTCTTTGGTGATCATCTCGGTGGTGTCGCTATCGTCAGTTTCAACAGTCTCAGGCCGACTTTGGTTCTATAATAGGGCGGGGCTATTTTTGAGAGTTAGAAAGTTTACCTTGCTGGCTTTTTTCTTTGGGGTCCTGACGATGATGACCTCTCCATCACTAAGGTCGCTTTCTTCAGGTTCCGGGCGGCTGCGTTTCTATAATAGAGGGAGTTTGTTGAAACCGTATTATGCCTATGTTACTTTTTGCGCGGATTGGACGATCGGCTTTTCATCTTCCGACTGGTCTGTAGACATGTGCACTTCATCCGCGGAATCTATGCTCTACACAGATATTTAGCATAGATTATTTAAAACATACGACATTTTTGCGCGAGGTTTTGCGCTTCAGACCGGCACCATCATAAATCAAAGGGTTTTTCTGAAACATTTTAAAAATCATCCAGTCTCTAGCAACTCACAGTTTTCGGCGCCATTGGAGGTTGAGCAACAGATCGGCGTGTTCCGGTGTTCTTTGTAGATATTATCTCTGAAAAAGTCATATTCAACACTTAACGGATTCGTTTGGTTGTACAAAAAAAAAAAAGAAAACACATGTGAAGTGAAAATTTAAAAAGGTTCTGTGAGAACTAGCAGCCATATACGAGAGAGCCCTGTAAATATCCAAGAATTCTCTGAAGCCGGGTTAAACGTACAAAAATGCCTTGTGAGCTGGGAGAACACTGTATGGATGTGTATACCCGACCGTTTTCTGCTTATCTGATCTCGCCACGGGCGCCGGCCCCCTGAAATGCCATGGCTCTGTTGAGTGCATGCCAGGGCACTTAGCGGCCGGCTGGGCATTTAACATTTATATCAGCCAAGGGACTTTTTATATTATTTGACCCTGTTATTTAGCAGCTCTGTATACCTATCATAGATTTTTATATTATTTATCGTTTGTGCATTTTTCTCATATATTCAATGACAAATGTGGCTTAAGGTGCAAGATGAGTGGGACAGGGCGTAAGCAGATTCAACCGGATGGTACTGGTTACGTTTATTCAAATGGAAAGCAGGTACACATATATGTACCTATAGATTCATTCTCTTTAGACGATATACCCAACACACCCCAACACTGAGACTGGGAATATGTCTGAATTTTTCTATGAACCACAAACTTCCACTTCCATCCCAACTTTAGCTGAAGTCAAGAGTTCTGACAACATCTCTAAGCCACTGCCTCCCAAATCTGCAGATCTGACATTTAATTTCAATATATCTAAGGGTTCTTCTCCTGTTTTCTACTTATATCGTTGATTTCCATTGACTGATGCTTAACGATAAAAATATGAATTTCAGCTTGTCAGATGGATTTCCCGGCCAATCAAGAGGAGTACTTCAGGCGTATTGAAGAATTCGCCGTTGAAACGCCGGATGGAATACATTATCCATACGAGCAGTATCTATATCCAGATGAAAGACCGATCGGAGCCGGGAAGGTATCGCAGACTATTTGAGGCGATATATAGTTATTTTAGATGAAAAATACTCGACCACAAACCGCAAAAACTAGACATGTCTCGGCGCCTGTTCGCAAGGTATAAACTGAACTCAAATCCCACACTTGTTTGCAGGGCTTTACAGTGAACGGTGAAGCCCGACGGCTAAAAGATCTTATTTCCATAGAATTTATCGAAGAGGAGAGACCAGACAATACTTTCAATTTTTATACCCGTAAGGCTAAAGTGCTGCTGAATTCTACGATGGCCACGGCTACTAATGATGAACTGTTGAACGTTTTAGATCGTCTATTTTCGATACTAGCGCCTGGTATCAAATTGCACACCTTACTATATACATATATATCCATTAGGCGTTGAAAAAGCTACTATCAACATCACGCCGCTCGACGAGACTCCCCTATCATTAGACGTTCCATATGGCGTGATTAAGAGGCGTGCTGCGAATTGGGTGCTCAACGAGATTGATCGATCGATGCAGAGCTCTAAACCCGTCCTAAACTTAGTGGGTGAATGGGTACGTTGTTTTAAATCTGTATAGTAGCTACAGTCTTTTCACAAATGAATACATATAAAAGTTTTAAGTTGGAAGTGACAGCGCAGATCGTAGAACCGTGTGTTCCGGTAGCTTCTGGACGTCCGAAGACTCGAATTGAATTAATGTCTGGCAAGAATTCCCGAGTGTTGACAGACCCCAAAGGTTTGACTAATTTTAACAGTTAATAAATATCTATGTGAACTAATAGCTGATACGTAAAAATATTTGACTGAAATTATATAGATATATACGAAACTAAAAAATCTGCGTTCGATCCAACTAGCGGGACTTACCGTCCCATCTACTTACCTTTAAGCTAGCCGCAGACATGTAAATACATACATTAACATCTATACATAGCTTTCATAGGTACATCGCTGTGTCTTCCAAAGGCTTTTGCATTGGGACTCGCGTACTCAAAACTCGAGCGATCTCGGGGCACGGCTGTACACACGCTTTCTAAAAGTCGATGGGACAATTTACTGAAGAAGCCGAAACTCCTCGAAGCGGCAGCTAGAAAAGTGATGATTAAGGTTGGAATTGTAAAGGAGCGGAACTACGTTTACGGCGATTTGGTGAAGCTACAAGAAGGCTATTCCTGTCACCGGCTAATGGTTTTCAACACAGGTTCAGATTCCAGCCTTTATATATAAAGTAGACATTCAGGAGGTATACCGTTTTTCAATTCGCCGCGAACCGAAGGAATGTCTACAAAGCGAACAATATCTCTATGCCTTGATGATAGGATCACAGGACGCGGACATTATATGCACATTAAGAGGCTCAACAGATTCCTCGGCAGTGGGTACCACTGCAGTGTATGCAATGTTAAATACAACGAACAGGCATCACACTATCGGTGCCCTTTGAAATGCACAATGTGTGGACTTCAAACATCTGACGGGAACTTGTCAGGGTGTGTTGGGGACGGCGATATGGTCCCGATCCATAACTGCCGAAAATGTCTGCGCAGTTTTTATACCATCACCTGCTACGACAGACATGTGAAGCCTGCGAGTGGTGGTGTTTCATGGTGTGATCGAGCTGAGAAGTGTTCTAAATGCCACACGACCCTCCGAATGGGCAGAGCGTCCGGAGAGCTACACGAATGTGGAACCACTTTTTGCAAAACGTGTCACCAGAAACATACTGAAGCGAAGGCGCACTTCTGCGCAATTACGTGCTCCGACCGCTTTGGAATTCATCAGATGACTGACTCCGAGCGTCAAAAGCATGATAATAAGTTGAGAGCTTCTGAAGAATACCGTCGATCGTTGATGACCGATGAACAGAGGTTGAAACGTGATGCACGGCAGGCTTACCAAGATGCAGAAAACGCCGAAAAAAATCTAAAGAAGAAAGTATGCTTTGACATAGAGGTAACTAATTTTCGAGAACGACGCTAAATTTATTCAGACAGCTCTAAAAAGTGAATGGTGTGAGGCCAAGTCTAACTCACCTGGTCACTGGAAGAAATTTCATGTTCCTGTGCTTTTAATAGCCCTGAGATCATGTATAAACTGCCAGTCAACCATGCCGCAATCCGTTGATGACCTGGCAACTTGCGATTCGTGCGGAGGACTAAAATTACATATATTCCGAAACTACACGGATGATAAACCTCTAGCGGCTATCGACGCTTTTGTGGACTGGATTACAAAGCTCACACATACTACAGTGATCGCACACAATCTGAAATCGTATGTTTTTATTTTACACCATATTCTTTAGTTTTGACGGCCAATTCATCCGAAGATCCATATTCGAAAGCGGGGATTATCCTGTGAAGGAAATACGCGTGGGAAGAAAAGTTCTCTCTATGACCTTGAAAAAAGGCGTCAGGTTCATTGATAGCCTGAGCTTCCTTCCGATGTCTCTGAGTTCCTTTAGCAAAGCTTTCGATTTGAAGCAGTCAAAGGGTAGGTTAACGATTATTGGACTGTTAATTTCTTCAGGCTATTTCCCTCATGGCCTAACATCTGTTAAAAACTTGAAGCGAAAATTTGCGTCGCTACCGCCTTCAAAATACTACTATCCTGCATCTATGACATCTAGTGACCGGGAGGCTTTTTTCAGATGGTACAACATGAAAGTGGCTGCCGGCTCTAGTTTCAATATGAAAGCGATGCTGGAGAAGTATTGTTTGCAAGGTTTATAATTGATAATGACCCTAATAAATTACAGATGTGACACTGCTCGCTGAAGGTGTATGGAAATTTTCCACATCTTTCTCGGCTTATTTGAAGGTTGACCCGCTATCAGAAGCCACTACTATAGCATCAGCCGCTATGCTGGTTTTTCGTCGTTTATTCGTCAACCCGAACTTGCCGCCAGTGATTGCGTTGTCAATAGAGTCCATTGTTTCGAAAACCGGAACGCAGTCCAAACTTGGACTAGCTTACCTAGAATATCTACGTTTAACCGTGGAACCTGATATGAGACATGCGGGAACAAGCGGTGGAGAGTTCACGGTAGTTCTATATATACAGAATTATATTACAACCCCTTTCATAGGTGCCCGGAACTATGTATAAAGTGGACGGTTATGTACCCGCAACGTCAACTCGTAAATCTAAAGTGTTCGAAGTCTATGGGTGTGTCAATTTATCATATACAAATTTTAAAGGTGCTACCATCATATGCACGACTGCCGATATACAGAGAGGGACTCGGTCTGTGGAGAAAGCTGGAGCCACATAAAGACTAGAGACAGAATCAAAGTCGAGAGGCTGAAAGCTATAGGCTACGAGTTGTCGATTACATGGGAATGCGAGGTTCTTTAACTAAGCAGGAAAAAATGTATTAGATCTGGAAATTACGTGAAAAGGATATGGATGTTGACACTTTTTTCCTGACCTGCGATTTTTCGGTAAGGGTGAAGCGTGATGAAGGCTGTTGATCAAATAAAATCTTATAGGAACCTCTATCGCCCCGTGAATGGTTTTATGGCGGACGTGTGGAGGTTTTCCGGACCCGGGCTATAGCGGACAAAAGAACTGTGCTGGAATATTTCGACTATTGCAGCCTGTACCCTTATGTGAATAAATATTCTGCGTAGGCTATCCCTATAAAATATATATTTTTTCAGATATCCTATCGGTCCTCCTCAAACCGTCGATCCGGGCGAGATCATGTTGCCGATATTACCCGGAGAGTTGATACCTTTGAAGGGAGCCATGCGGTGTAAGGTGCTACCACCTGTCGATCTCCATGTGCCTGTATTGCCCTACCGCTCGAAGAGAGGAGCTCTGGTTTTCGGTTTATGTCGGACCTGTATGGAAGAGATATACGCCGATAAATGCCCCCATAACAACCACGAGCGTGCGATCATCGGGGCATGGGCAACAGTCGAGCTACAAAAAGCTCTTGAAAAAGGCTACACGATCGTCGAAATTTATCAGGTTTAAAGGCACATCTATGCTAAAGTTTTTAATTTAGGCTGTCAGCTGGGACAAATGGAGTCGGTGGGAGCGCCACGTGGATGGTACTATAACACAGGGACCATTCTCGGGATATATTGATCGAATGTTAAAATTAAAGACGGTGGGTTATGCTACGTATCGTTAAAACCTAATGTATAGGAAGCGTCAGGATACCCCGGTTGGGTGTTTGAAGCTGAGACCACGGATAAGGTCGAATCCAATAAGGAACTATATGTGGAGAATTACTTCGAAAATGAAGGAATCAGGCTTGAACATTCGGCGATTCGGCGAAACCCTGAATTACGCCAAGTAGCTAAACTTTTGGCCAACTCACTATGGGGAAAGGTAAGCCAACGGCACGTATTGGAACCTCTGTATTTTAGACAGGCCAGCGGACCAATATGCCGAAATCTGAGTTTATATCTGATCCTTCAAAGCTCTGGAGGATGCTTGACAACCCTGGTCTGGAGATACTGGATCTTGAACTTGTCAACCCCATGCTGATGCACCTAAAATACGTCGAAATCGTCGAAGCGTGTAAGAGGGTGCTGCCGTACGTGGCCGTGCACTACGCGGCTCTGACGACGGCCTATGCGCGCTTAAGACTCTATGAAGCACTCGAAAGAGTGAATTCGGAGGATCTGATTTACACAGGTTGACTGACCCCTCTCTCTCTCTTTTGAAACCTATGGGACTTCAGATACCGATAGCATAGTGATCAAGCGCCATGTCAATGCCACGGATACTAAACATCCGCTTGCACCGCTCATTGGGGACTTCTTAGGCCAACTGGTCAACGAGATTCCAATAGGTGTGAGAATGATGGAATTCGTCGCCCAGGGCCCTAAGTGCTATGCCTACCAAACATTGGGTGATGACGCCGCGACCGGCACGGTTGTAAAATGCCGAGGTTTTAAACAAACTTCAGAAGCTTCCAGTCTCGTAAATTTTTCCTCTATTTCAAAACACGTTCAATCTATTGAAAACTCGACATCCGTAGAAATTTTCGAGGTACCTTATACTGTAATACAAAATGACGGTTCGTCGCGACTTTTCAATCATTCTTTAATGAGACGCTTTGGAGCTAAATTCGATAAACGATGTCTTGTGGGTAAATATGGTACAATACCTTTCGGCCATATTTGAACTTGTGAATAAATTTTCCCATTGTTTTTAGTACTGCACCTGAATATGCAACTGGCTTGGCCTTCATGTATGCTGCTATGCGGCCCTAGTTCTTGCGGGAAAACGACGCTGTTAAGAGAAATCATTGACCGTTGCGATACGCTCTATTGCGAGCGTCCTAGAATTATCATCTTTGCATACAATGAGTATCAACCGGGCTATGACGCTTTTGCATCTAGGCAGAATATTAAGATGATTGAAGGTGTGCCAAGTATCGATGAATTACGGAAATACAAAGACCTAAATCCGCTGCTAATTCTGGACGATCTAATGTCTAAGCTGGATAAAGATCCTGAATCCGAAAAACTTTTCTCAGTTGCCTCTCATCATTTCAACATGTCTATAATAGCTGTCCTACACTCTCTTTTCTATTCGAAGACTATACGAAATCTACGTTTGAACTCACAGTATATAGTGCTTTTTAAAAACAACCCTGATCGCTTAACTGTCCGTAACCTAGCATCTCAAGTATTTCCGTCAAATAGGCTTTTTTTGATTAGCGTATATGAAGACGCTACAAAACTTCCACACAGTTACCTACTATTGGATTTAGACAAAAATACGCCCGAAGAGTTTCGGCTTAGAACGAGTATATTTAAAGAAGACACAGTTTACAGTTACACCCCCAAGTTATCTTCTAGACGACAATGAAAACCCGATCGAAGCCTTCATGGTCCCCAAATGCCTTCAAAAATCTATGTAGCGCATATACGAAAAAATCTAACAAAGTTTTAACTGGAAACGAGATTATGTGCATTGTCGAAACGGCTTGTAACGTCCTGGGAGGTAAGGTGGCGTTAAAACATAGACATAAAGCTTCTTTGAAACCGTATGTAAAAGATTTGCGTCTACTCTCCCAGGCACGTAGGATTAACCAAGCCCGTCTAATCGTAGACCAGCAAGGCTCTGGTCTAGTAGGCATCCTACTACCTATCATTCTTACAGTTGCAGGTGATTTATTGTCACGATATGTCTTTCAATAAATATCTAATTGTTCCAGAAAAAGATTTACAATGTATGGAACGACCAGATCAGTGTAAGCCTTTCGCACCTGGAGACTTTTCAAGCCTCGCAAATTCAGCTATACCAGGTGTAATCCCTAGAGGTAAAAATCCACTTGAGGTGCTCGAGAATGATCTTCGTGATGTTTTTTTCAATGAGAGTATAAGTATTGACGGCAGAATTGCTAAATATAGACATATAATGCAGAAAATAGTGGATATACGCCATGGCAAGGCGTCTGACACCTTGCCTGTTAATATTTCCCCACAGGTCCACACAGGGACGACTGTAAATGACATCTTGGACCTGCCTGACACATCTCTACGATTTGCTAAGAGCAAAGAGAGCTATAATGAAATGCGAGAACATGTATTGCGAAACCCTGAAACGTTTGTTTTAAGTGATAATGGTGATATACAGATCGGCGACCGTGTAATCGAAAAAACTACCCTTCTGAATCTTTTAGAAGATGCAGCGAATGCTCATGCAACCCGTAAGCCTCAACCCCCAAGTCAGGAAATTTTTCTTAAAGCCTTGGTCGATACCGGATTTGACATGGAAAAGCTAGGAAATGGTGCCAGACGACGTTTTATCCGGAAAGCTTCTACGACTGAAACATCTGGGGCCAAAGGCAGCACATCTCAAGGGGGTGTGTCTGGAAAACATATTCCTACGTCCGAGTCCGAAGACGACAATTACTTTGACGTGAATTCATGGCACTAAACGGACTGCTGGGTTCCATCTATAACGATTTGTCTAGTGAGGGCGGTTTCTCAGGGAAACGGAACCTATATCTAGCCGCTAAACGTCAGTATGCACATGTCACAATGAAAGATGTGGAAGCTTTTTTACTTCAGAGCAACACATATACTCGCCATGCCGCGAGTACACATAATTTTCGAAAAGGCAAAACACCTTCGTCGTGGTTAGATTCCGACCATCAAGCAGACTTAGCCGTACTCTCGAATATCAAACGACAAAATAAAGGGTTTTCATACATTTTAATAGTTGTCGATGTACTTTCAAGGTTCGTCTGGGCGGAGAAATTGAAACGTAAAACAGGGAAGGAGGTTTGTGAAGCGTACTTGAAAATATTAACTCAAAACGCCGAGAGTCGTACCCCCTTCAGGCTCTACACTGACGAAGGCAAAGAATTCTTGAACAGGTCGTTTCAACATTTACTCCGAACCAGAAAAATCCAACATCGGGTACCCCAAAATCATGATATCAAATGTGGACTGGCCGAAAATGCCGTGAAACGTATCAAATCTAGACTTTTCAAATATTTTACTTCAAAAGGAAAAAGTTACTATAGATGGATCGACGTATTGCAACACGCCGTGGACGGTCTTAACAGCACACCTTTGAAGAGTTTGGCTGGTTTGAGACCTCGAGAAGTCACGAATTTAAATGCTGAACGTGTATGGAAAGCCCTGTACGGCGGAAAAGAAAAGTTACGTTGGCGTCCCCATAGATATGAAATCGGGGATAGTGTAAGATTGTCGAAGGGTAAACAACTTTTTCGAAAAACTTACGAAGGTACTTATACAGATGAAATATTTGTAGTTGCCAAGAAAATTTACGGTAATCCTCCAGCGTATATAATCGCCGATTTACAGGGAGATGAGATTTCAACATTCATTTACGAACATGAACTGATCCGCTATGATCATTAAGACTTTTTTTCTGTGCTATTGATTTAGTGTCTATTTCCGATATAGTCAACAGGTATGAGCTCTCCGCGTGCATGCCCTTCCACGCCCACAATCGAAACATCTCAGACTGCGGATGTGGACCAATGGTTTCTAGGACGCCGAAAATTATCAAAATCGCTAATTGTATTCATATGCCAAGTTTTCTTGATTTATTTGGTGGTGTTCGTTGCAATTTATAATCTGACATTCACGCCGTGTCACGAACACAAGATCTGGACGGTCATTCTAGCATCCGGCATCGGTTACCTACTTCCAAACCCCTCCATCAAGGCCACCGTAAACTGTCAATCATGTCAGACTTCTACGTAACCGTTCTAAGTAATGTCGAAAGTACCAATAAAATAGGGGAATTTAAGTGTCGTCTACCTGCACCTATATGTCCTACCGGACACCCATTCGAAGTGGCCCTCACTAATTTGATATACCCTACGACATTTGACACTTTCCACTCGAGAGATGAGGGTGATGGATTTCCTGCTAATTGTATACAAATTTTTATCAAAGACAATCCGGAGCCCTTCCATATTACAGTTCGTCCTTGTAATTATACATTGCCTGAACATCTAATAGATATAATAAACGACGCCATAGATAAACACTATCACCAGTCAACTAATATGACAGCGGCAGAAACCACCTCTAAGGTCCGTTTGACTTATAACAGCGTTACAAGGCATTGTATGTTAAGCTTAAGCTTTAATGTGGAAAAAGTTCGCTTATCTCAGCAGTTTGCATATCTATTAGGTTTGAATCCGAAGCTGGAAGGCTCTCGTTTAATAGAATCGAACTATCCGGTACACACGCCGTCTGAATTCATGTATATATACTGTAATTTGATCGATTACCAAGTGGTGGGGAACACCATGGCTAAGCTACTCAAGATTGTGAATGTTAGAGGTGAAACTGGCAAGGCAGAGGAAGTTACTTATAGTAGGCCACAATATTTATCTGTTTTGGGTAGCAATTTTGAGTATATTACTATTGAGATTCGTGATGATTCTGATCATATTATTGACTTCCACTCGGGTAAAGTTGCCTTGATTCTTCATTTTAGAGAAAAACGTACCCGGAGCGACGTATGAGAAGCGACGAGTTGGCACGTAAAATCTTAATATGTATTACAACTCTTTTGATCCTGATCGTGCTATTGACTGGTCTCTTGTATTTCTCGATCAAGCCGAGCAACAGGGTTCTGGTGGATTTCGAGGTTTTCAATATCAGCGCGGAAGCTCAGGGTTAGGTGGTCTACTAGGAAAATTCTTTAAAGCTATTTTACCGATTGCCCGAAATATGTCGAGACATATAGCTACTGAAGCTTTATCGACAAGTGGCCATATTGTTAACGATATCGCTGAAGGAAGGGGCTTTGTGGATTCCTTGAAGGAACACGGGCGAAAGGGTTACTCAAACCTCGTCGATCGAGCTATAAATAAGTTAGGTCAGGCAGGCAAAGGCACTAGGACTAAACGTTCACGCCCGCGCCACCCGCCTGTCAAGCAAGCTCAACGTCCTCGGAAAAAAACTACCAGAAGCTCTAACGTTCCGAAAAAACGTAAATCAGTAAGTGCTAAAAAATCTCGACCCCGTAAAAAGAAAGCGGTAGATATTTTCGGCTCATGGGGAAATTGATAGATCCTCGCTCTTGTCCTGCCACACGTAGCGAATTAGCCTTATTCGATGTTCCAGCAACCCAAGTAATTTTTGACTCAAGCCATTGGCTTACTATTCCTACTGCGACACCCCTGAACGACTCGGGGCCTTACACCTTTGCCATTAATGATTCTCGCCATTATCTACAATTTTCGAGAGCTTATATATCGTTCCGATTACAAATTCACCCGGCGCCTAAGAAAAAAGACACTGACCCTGTACAGCCTATAGCCTTAGTTAATTATATCGGTGCCACTTTTTTTAACCAGGTCAAAATGGAGATAAATAACAACCTCGTTTTCGAGTCCCAGCACTACATGTACAAAGCGTATTTGGAAACCTTGTTGAATCATGCCACAGATTATAAACAGGGGTTTCTATCCGCAGCCGGATATTATGAAGATGATGACTCTGGTAATAACCAGAAAGCCAATACAGGTTATCTGTCTCGTGTTAAAATGTGCAAAGGTGGCATAGTCGATATATGCGCACCCCTGCACATTGATCACTTTAACTCTGATAGGCTTTTCCTACCACACCTCAACATTCAACTCCATATGTACCGGAACAAAGACACGTTTGTACTAGAAAGTTATGAGACTACCAGTGCCGATTACCTCGCCCATGTCAGCGTTCTTGACATGAAGTTACATGTGAAAGCTATCGATATTGTAAGCTCGGCAAACCTAGCCTTGGAAAAAACGCTAATGTCGCACACCGCTAAGTACCCTTATAAGAAAACCAGGGTTAAGGTTTTGGGTATTCCGGGAGGTCGGTTCGACTTCCCTAGCGCTACACTATTCACGGACGTGATACCAAGGCGTCTAGTCGTGGGATTTGTAGACCCTGAAGCCTTTGAAGGTAACACAGGTAACCCTTTCAATTTCATGCACGCAAATGTCTCTAGCATATGCATTGACGCCGCGGGAGTACGATACCCCTCTTTGCCTCTTGAGTGCGATTTTGTACATAAGAATTATGCCGAGGCCTTCGTAAACTTTCATGAAAACATGAGTGGATGCTGCGATCCGTATTTGAATCTCTCGATTAACTATGCTCGGTATTTAAACGGGAACACCCTTTTTGCATTCTCGCTATCACCTTCCGATGACAGCGGTGATTATGAACTACTGCGAAATGGGGCGACGCAGATTCATGTAAAATTCGATTCTAAAACCCCTGCCACAGGTCTACAGATGATTGTCTACGCTGAATATGACGGACTTTTTCAGATCGACCATTATCGCAACATTTTCCACGAGTCATCTTAGTTAAGTACAATTATATAAAACACCTATTTAGTCGATGTGGGACATCGACATGTGGGACGGCGTCGAGGAATCTCGACACACATTTAAACTGCTTCCAGGTACCGTTCACATAACATACGTTATGTAAATTTCTAGGTACACGAAGGTCTGCACCCTATCAAACACCCCACGAAGCTCCACATGGATTCACTATACCACTGGATGGCTTTGTAAAAACAGTAATCGGAGCGCGCCGATTGTGCTGGTATCCCGAGGACTACAAATCTTACATGCACCTTGAAAAACCCGATATAGATCTGCTGCGTGAGCTGATCGTCGGACGCGCGATTTTTCTGAAAACTGTTCCGGGAAAGACAGGTCATCTACAGACTGACGAGTGGCAGCGGGTTGTCAATCCTATGTTAAAATGTCTGGCAACGGATGCTCTTTACATTGACGATGGTGTAAAAACAACGGATGTCGCCTCATATGCGCTACTCAATTACGGGGTAACGGTGGAAAAAACTAGGGATAGTAACCTGTATCTAACGGGTTGTCTATCCTTTCATCCTATATGGTATATGCCTCCACTTCCCATTTCACAATTTGTGGTGGAATGCACTTTTGAGACATTTGTATTGTACAAGTCTCTTTGCGGGGGTGCAAATTCCGCAGGGGTTATGGAATAGTACAACAAGTTTGTGATATATCATTTGTGTGAAAGCGAATAAATAGTTTATCGGCTGTTACGATATATTTGACCCTTGAAATACATGTCACCCCCTTAAAACATCTATGCATGCCGCGCCGAGGCACCCAGCGCTCTGTCTTATCAGTCTAGCCGCGTGGGGGCACCCAAGCCGCACCAGGACACCCAATCCTCTCTTGCCTTAAAAGCCCTGTATCATAGGTTCTCGTCACGGTCTCCGTTAGTTTTTAACGGTGTTTGTTAGCCTGGAGCCCCCCTACCCCCACATATTCTGAGGGCTCAAGGGCTTCATATGGTTTGAGACAAATCGCGAAACATTGATCCGCGTGGGGTCACCCAATGGTGTAAACTTCATCGTCTGTAAATTTTTATAAGCTCGCGTTTTTTTTTGTCAGTAATAGTGTTTTTCGAACATCATACGTAATAATATAGATTTGTGGGTGGATTCTTGTGCATTTTATTTTTTGGGTGTCTGTACACGGCTGAACGGTCGCCTATAAATCCTTAATGTTCTACCCCTGGCAACCGGAAAAGCCGTGTACGGTCACCCAATATCTCTCTTATGCCAATGCTGATTAGAGGTTTTGTAAAATGGCATGAAAAAAGACATGAATTTTAACGCCTTTCATGGTTAATCATTTGTTTTCACATTTATGATGTATAATAGTAGAGATAAGCATGTGGGTTCACAGGGTTTTTGGGAAAATCTATTCTTCGAGTAGAAAAACTATCCAAAGAATTTAAAAATGTGGAAAATTTCGAAATTTTATCAAAAAATCGAGGTGTTTTGCGTTTTTAAGAACAATTTGTATAGGCATGGTTATGATTAAAAACCTATTTAGAAACACTTCCTCATTAAAAAAATTGGATTCTAAGGAAAAATTGGGCCCCCAGCCCGATATTGCTGAAGCACCGACACTTCTTTCCCGTCCGGCGCATCTATGTAAAAACTTGATATGTGATTATGTGACTTGATATGATTCCAGCGCTAAAACGGTTGTATTTATTTATTTATGCACAAAAAATCAATAAGCATGCGGGAGAGAATCACTGGATGGAGGGGGTGGAATGGGTGGTGAGCGAATTTCGGGTGCATGAATCACGGGAAATGATGATCGACACCATCGGGCCCACCTAAAATTAGCCTCATTTCATCAAAGTTAACTCAGACACTTCAAGAAAGGGGTTTAAGGGATATATTTCTCATTTAATCGAGTCTCTTCCATCGGTTCGTTTTCGTCAGAAATCTATCGAATTTGAGGGGTTGGGTTTGGTGAACTTACATTGGCTGGTTCATTTTCATCCCGATCCCGAACACAATAGGTGACGATGAAAAATGCTGCCAACAAATAGAACAGCCCGCAGAGTAGCGCTAGCAGGCCAAGCATCGGGGGTGGGGGGAAGCGACTGACTAAAAATTAGTGAATTATCGTTAGCGTATAATGAATCTATACCTTTTTAATATGTGGTGCGATGAAGGAGAAATGCCATAAAAATCGCGTATGCGACGATCGTGATCACCAGAGCGGTCGAGCCCATCCGAGGGTTTGAGCCCGGATTTTAGAGTTGAGGTTTTTGAGTATCGCCTAAAATTATATTGTATTTAAGGTTTAAGAAGTAAACCGTATCAAAATAACACAAAAATATGAATTTTAAAAATAGGATGGCTTAATGGCAGTGTGATAGAAAATTCTGACCCCTGAGCCTCCATCTCCCACGCCCCAAGGCAACGTACTACGCGGCGCTTCATCAAGATTTCAATATTTTCCTGAGAACAAATGAAGAGAAAGGGGAAAGGATGGGGAGGATGAAGGGCTAACAAATGGATTTGGATCAAATAGATTCTATTAATTATTTGGCACCTTGGTCTAGAATTACCACCGCCAAGAAGTTCTTTTGAGGGTCTGAACTCGCTTAGGGGATGGATTGTCACGAGGTTGGTTATCAAGATTCTGGGAACAGTGTGGGCGAGTATTGCAACAATTCTAACCACCAGAACACGTGGGAAGACTACTCTTATTTTCAATTTCAACCATCTGATTAAAAAAGTTATAAAAAAGACGTTCCTTTCTTAACCAAAATTCTTGCTGTTAAATGCAATAGTGGCGCTGATATCTAAAAAATAACAATAACAAAACGAGGCACCGATATAAAGTCTCACGGAGAGAGCTAGTCCATTTACGATAGCTTTATAAAAAATCGCTTAAAAATAAAGACTCCTGATCAAAATACGCCGAGAACCCTCTGCCCAGTAAGAGAGAATGAATTCATGAAATCCCCTTTTTTCCAGAACCTATTCTTAGAATATTCGACCGCTTACTAGCAGCGCTCATTGGCAGTGGGGTGGTTGGGAAAGGACAGATTTAAAATGAAATCCGCTAATGGCCTCAATCCAATGTGGTTGTCGTGTTGAATGGGAAACGGGCGGGGGGGCATTGGATGGTGGGTGACGAGGAATTGTGATAATTAGATTATGGCCCAAGAGGGAAAGAAGGCATGGGTACGCGGGGGAATATGAAGAGGAGGACGAGGACGAGCAGGAGGACCATAGTCAAGAAGGCTTCTCGCGCTTCCATTGCTTTTCTATGGACAGCCCCCTCACGCTTCTCACAAAATAAGATTACCACCCCAGTGCCAATGGACTGCTCGAGAAGGTGGCTGGTCTCAATGGAATCGCTATTCCAACGAATTTCGGTATTTTTGAGGAGCGTCTTGGGCGGTCGTCACCTGATTTGGACTTTAGGAGGTCTAGGGAAAACATGGGTGGGGGGAGAAAATATCTCCCTCTACCTAAAGCGTAAAACAAACCATAAAATACTAAAGCCAGCAAGCGACTATGCACGAACGGATAGATGTCTAAATGCATTCCACGCAACCCAAGGTGCTTTACCAAGTTTATGTATCAGGTTGGAAAGAAAGTAATGGCACAAAATCTTTGAACTGCTGTAAAAACCCGCAGGAACCTCCGATTTGAAAGTTTGATATATGGTTTGGTAGATCCCCGGATGCTCTATCACAAGACAACCCCGAAAAGACCCGAAAACTGACGTACGCTAAAATACAGGCCTCAGAAGTTTCGCAGAAAGTTAGGTGAAAGCTTCCAAGCGAGATAACTCTGCATACAGGCATTTGCATGCAATATCATTGATACCAATCGATAGCCCTCGAGGAGTAGATATCGATAGATGTTGAGATCATCGGAATCGGACATCAGATGGCCGAGATATGGGCTCTTCAAAATCAATGCATTTTCTGGATTTTGGTTCGGGAGCTGAAGCAAACGCAGCAGTTTTTGGCTCGCGCAGGCCAAAATATATGGGATTTCGAAAAAAGTTTTAAGAAGTGGACCAAATTTCTAGGACCCATATCTCGGTCATCCAGTGTCCGATTTTGATGATCTCAACATTTATCGATATCTACTCCTTGAGGGCTATCGATTGGTGTTAAAAGGATCGTATGCAAATGCCTGTATGCAAAGATATCTTGCTTGGAAGCTTTCACCGAATTTTCTGCGAAACTTCTGAGGCCTTTATTTTCGCGTACATTAGTTTTTGGGTGTTTTGAAGGTCGTCTCGTGATAGAGCATCCGAAGATCTACCAAAACATATATCAAACTTTCCAATCGGGCGTTCCTGCGGGTTTTTTCAGCGGTTCAAAGATTTTGTGCCATTACTTTCTTTCCAACCTGATATCTCCCCTTTACACGTTTGGACTTGGATTATACTCCATGTGCGGCCAGTGCTCACATCATAAAACACCCTAGGGGAGACTAGCCACAAGCTGCCTACTTCCGCATAACGAAGTATTTCTGGGACACCTTCTCTTCTCCTAACACAATTCCAGGCGAATGGAACCGGGAAGAGAACAGACGGGTTCCCTATTTAAAAACCACCTATAGCTTCTGTCGTATTGGTAAGGAATGATAGAAAGCTTATAAAAACACTGGAAAATAAAATTTTCACCAACCGGCATCTTATACGAAGGTTTGCGGAAGTGACCTCGATGCAATCTATGAATGGCTTCAGGACGGCCAAACCCAAGGTCTTCAGATTAAAAGCAAAAATGCAAAACGTACTCGAGATGGAATTTGACAATATATTGCCCAGACGCCAGATCCTTCGACCCTTCCCTGCTTCTCGAAAACTCTCCATTTATCCCAAAAACATGTTTTCTAATTACCCTGACCTGTTTCTCCTCTTGTGCTCGGCTAATTACATAGCCAATGGACTTGCGAGAAAAAATTTACTCAAAGAGCAGCCTGAAAGTTCCACCAAATTAGCATGGAAACGGATGGAATACACAACCAGACAGTATACAAATGAACACAAGGTTTTTTAGGGGTAGTAGGGGTAGGTGAACCGGTATTTGGACACTAGTATCTGCATCGGGAGATTTCGATTAGAGGCTTGGGTTACCAGGGGATAAGCGATATTCGTAGCTGAGAAATTTCATTATAGGGTAGAAGGGGGGGAACGGTCGTCACAAATGGAAAGTAATTAATACATGAAAATAGATTCCAAATTTCGTACAGGTTAAAATGTCATTTGGTGGCATTTTAACCCAAATTTCAAGTTAATAGACGCAATCTACAAATAACAAAAACATAAAGCAGAATTTAACATAGAAAAATTGGCCAAAAATTAATAAAGTCATGGAAAGCAAGTTCGGGAGAATCGCCGGACGGTAATGAGACAGCCGAATTTTGGGTATGGGAACGGCCTGTCCCGTAATGAGGAGTATTTTAAAGGGAACCTGCCAAGAGGCACTATCCCTTTCAAGCAACAATCTATACACAACCATCAATCACAGAAAGTGGCGGTAAGAAATCAGATGGCAACGTCATACAAACATTAAATATGGGTTGGAACGTACAAAAATTAATAGCAAGAATCGCAAAACTGGACCAGCATCGACTTGGGTGGTTTTATTATTTAAAATGGGTTAGGAAATGGGTGATCATTCGGTGGAGGAATGTCAATGCAATGACTGAACTGACGGTTAGTCATAAGATGGTGCAGCATCTGAAAATGTTCGAATTTAGAATTGCACTGGTAAGAGTGGAGCTAGCTTTTTCTGGGTTGTTCAATGCTCACCTGCAAATGTTGTTACGCGGTGGATTCGATGTTACGGGTGGAGTTGGGGGCGCAAAATAGGCGTGCACCGATATGACTGGGCGTTGTTGCTAAAAAAAATTACGTATGTTTTTGCTATATTATTAAAAAAAACGGAATCTATGAATTTCATACCTTCAGCCGATTAATCGCTTCCTTCGAAACACTTTGACAATCATACAAATCGACGCGCTTTAAATTTTTCACATTTTTCATGTGCAACAATGCAGCATCAGTCACCATGGGGCAATTGTCAAGTTCTAACACCTAGATCTCAAAACTTATCAAATAGCTAGCTACCGTACCTCAAGCGTATCCTTATGAGCCTGACAAAGCGCAATCACTCCATCATCCGTCACTTGTTCACAATGAGAAAGGGTCTGGAATTTCGTTAACTTAAATTGCCTATTTGAACTGACCATGCCAACAATCTGTGGGCAATGATTGGCAAAAGCATGGAGAGCTTGATCAGTGATCAAAGAACAATCTTCCAGGTCGAGACGCATGAGACCCTGACATCAAAATATAAGTTTTACTTGATAAGCTTACCTTGCAATTCTTTGCCAAGTTCCCGAAACCCACATCACTCAACAGGTTGCAATTTGCAAGCTCGAGATCCCTATAAAAGAATGCATTTCGCATTGCAATGTAATCCCTACGTTAGCCGCTTGCAGCCCTGCGCCAACGAATTTAGCGATCGGTCTGTGATTTGGGGGCACTGGGACAAGCAGAGGTATTCCAAGCGAGCTGCTCCGTTTGCGATAGCTTGTACCGTATCGTCAGTTACCTAAATTTACATAAGGGGGGTTTGGTATTATCCTTACGAAGCAGCGATTCATGTCGAGTTCGATGATGGAATCCATGCTGTCGGCTAGGTTGTTAAACACGGAATCGGTTACCTATAAAAATTTAGCAATATTCTGGTTTCTAAGGAACTCACCCCCTCACAGCCCTTCATAATCAGTGCCTGGAGCTCAGGACACCCCTTCAGCAAGAAGCTGATACCCCGATTCGTAATCGCATCGCACCAGCTGATATTGATGTATTCCAGCTTTTTGCAGCCGTCACTAAATTAATTTTATTCAATATTTTGGAATTTTTTCTTACGCGATAAAGCGCAATGCTCGGTCGGTGATGGCTCCACAATTCTCCAGGTTCAGCACTTGTAGGCGATGACAATTTTTTCCAAGGTTTTCGCAGGTCCTGAAAAGCACCATTAAAAAATTGGCTTGTTCTTGCACTTACATATCCGTGACTCGTTTGCATTTGTACAACGACAATCTCTCGATATTTGGGCATTGTCTTGTGAAGGAACGCAACGCCGAATCCTGCACCCAAAAGGTATCAGAATATACATTAAAGTTACCTGAATATTTTCGCAACCACGCAAAGATAAATCTTTCAAAAATCCACCACATCTTTTGGCAAGATTTTCGACAACCGGTCCCTAAAAGAGTGAATCTGCGATGACAGAACCTTCGCAACCAACCTTGATAAACTTCTGGAAATCAAAAAAGTCAACAGTCATCCAATTCGAACCGTCCAAGGCCAGCAAATTCCAATAGCGGCAAGTTTGAGCACATCGGCAGAGAGATACCATATCAAGAAGTGAAAATATTCTGGAATCATGAAGATATTATATAGATCCATTAGGATCTACCTTAACAACAATTCTCTAGGCAATGCCTGATTGATCAATGCCCCATCCATTGGTGGTTTTTGTGCGAGCGACGTGATGAGATACATCTAAAACCATGAGTTCTAGGCGTCTGAGCGTGAAAGTGGCCCCATCGGTCAGCATACTAATCCCTCCTTGTAATGTTTTTTTCTGGGGGCCGCCACCCGTAAATAGTATCCCTTCGTGCGGAGGTAATTGCTATCCCAGCTACACCGCCTATTATCGGATATTTTTTGATGCTTCATCCCGGAACTATGTCATGGAAAGCAAATTTTAAGGGGGTTTAGGGAACCATTTTCGTGGAAAATTAGACGGCTGAGAGCTCACACCGCCATTTTTTTGAAGGTCCCCTTCCAATTTATGGGCTGCCAACAGGATGCAGGCCTTCTGAGTTTTGGTGAAGCCTTCGTCGACACCGTTGAACGCATCTTGTACTCGCATCAGAATACTATCCAAAATGCGAATTAGGAGCGACGAAAAAGTACCAACTAGCGTTGTAAAATTGACAAAAGATAGATTGAAACAAAAAGGCTAAAGACAAGAGTATAAAATTCTTTGTTCTATATAAACAAAATAAAATTCCCGCGCAAAAAAAAGGCTTGAGCGCGGCTAAAATTGTAGGGAATGGGCGAGCCCCTCCCTGTGCGGCAGATGTATGCCTCGAGCAATTTACGAGCCATGAAATTCAATGGGAACGCTGCGCCGAATGCTTTGAAATTTAGAATACGATCTGCCAATTTTTTTTTCTCGGGATCCGAATGGCTTTTTGGTTGATATATCATCCTAAATAGGGCCTAGGGTCAATAAAGCTTAAACGCACGCTAAAAAACCTGTCGAATCCAAGGGCCAGCCGATTTTATAAGATTTATGAAAATCGAAAATAGCGTTGATTGAATAATCGAAAACGCGTAAAATGTCACAAAATTTTTAAATCATTACAAAAACCGCGTCCTATCTGGAAAAGAATCTCGGTCCAGCTGTTCGTCACGCGCCCGTCCAGCTGATCGAGCAAAGCCATAAATGGTGGGGGACAAGCAGAAGGAGGACACGACCGAGAAGATCCGGTTTGACAGCCGGCTAACTCATCTGACTGCATTTAGGGAGATCTCTTTTAAAGGTGGGGGGACAACTGCCGGGACAGGCCAGCTGGTGCAGCAAGTTCGGCCCATCGAATGCGGTCACCGTCTCAAGGTTGACTTTGTCTGCCGATTTTTTGCTCGTCCCTCAACCCGAGAGGGGAGCTGGTCCCCGGGAAGGGTCGAATAAGGGTGCTCGGGGGGCTGGATAAAGGAATTCCGAGTGCAGCTGGCGTTAATGAGCCTTTTTAGGGGAGTTTTTGGGTTTAGGTACTTTGGCTTGCAGTACTTTAGCGGGTACTTTTAAAAAAATTCTCTATTTTCTGGGGTGGGGAATTTTTGTTCGCGATGTATGCCTGGTGGCACAGTTCCTTGAAACTGGCAAAAATAACCGGTGTTTGAAAAATTCCGTTTTCAAAAAGATTCCGAAAGTTGCAGCGGTTTTTATCAAAGTAACGCCAAGTCGCTGAATTGCGGTTCTTTTAAAGCTACCTTGGGGTAGAAAAGACGTTTTTCGAATGAATCATACAAATACTTATCTCAAGTGCTTGAAAAAATTGTTTGCGAGTTCACCGGTTCAAATCCGAAAACTATCCGAATTGAAAAGGTCACAAAAAGCGCCATAACTTTAGAAATCGAGCCTCTCTGAATTTTCTTCAAAAACAAACTGAGAATCAGAGGAAAATTCTGTACAAGATCGGTTTGCCGCCCAAAATTATAGAAAACCAGGGTTGAAAAACCGCTTCGCGGCTTTTCAACCCTGGCCCCGGCTAAGATCTATGAAAATTTGCATAATTCTTGCCGAAAAGCGATGACCAAAAAATGAAAATCACGCCCTCCCTTCCTTTTTATAAACCACTTCCACTTCCGGCGTATGCTAATTTTCCCTAACAAAGAGGGAAGCCAAGATTTTTACAAAAACCTAATTTTAATATCGAAAATAGCAGTTTTTCATAGATTTTATGTGTGTGCAGTCGATGCCAGTCCCTTCTTTACCCTATGACGTTTCTTCCCTACCGAAAAACTGCTTCCCTGAGGCTGTAGGTGCGGAACATCCAAACGGGAGTGCATGCAAATATACACACACACACAAACACTATTTTTTTATATATAGTAAGATATAGAAATACATTACTGCTGGATTCCGGACCGACCTGATTGTGCTTGGCCTGTATGGTGGGATGAGTTTTGCCCTTGTCCTTCAGTCCACGCGACCGGAAGCGGCCATGGCCGGAGCTGGCTCGTTCGCCTCCACCGCTCATCTAAAATTGTAGATTTAGGTATACTTTGAAAACGCGTAGGCTAAGTTTTAAATATAGCGATGATTTATTTCTCGAAGTTATGATCAACATCCAGTTGTGTCTCCTCCCTCTTTTTTAAGGCTTTTGGTAAAACCCTACAATTAAAAAAAACCCAAAGCAATAAACGCTCTTATGTACGAGTATGACACGAGTCACAACATCAAGGTATCATTAATCCTACTACTCACATTTTGATGCCTACTCCTTCCACTACTGCTCTCCCTCCCAACCGCGTTCAACGGGTCACGCTCTTCAGCCGCACCGTTTTCCTCGCGGCTGAATGCATTTAATTAGATTTGTGGATGGTGGGTGGTTGGGGAAAGAACTCGTTTCCGCCAAATGGTCAGGGCCAGAAAACAACTTCTTTTGGGGTGAACTGTTTACTCACCGGTTATCACGTACGCGCCGCATGCGGCCCCGGGATGGAGCTGGGGTATCGTCGCAGTCAGCTTCTGCCAAAAAAAATTGTTTAAAAATGGAAGAAAAATATAAGAGTAGAGCATTAAATAAAAGTATGAAAACGAGATTGGAGGTTGGGCAAAGTCTTTTTAGAGGTGCAGGCAAAGAATGACTATAATTTTGATGGATTTCGATGGCATCGCGACACGCAAGGTAATGATAGATCGGCTGCTAAAAAATGGCGTATTTGATTATGCAATGGAAGGGCAAGTGGGCGTATTCCAGCCTTTCCGCAACGCTTAAACAAAATTCGAATTTTGAAGCGCTTTTTCTCGCAAACCGTAACCATTCAGTAGACTTCAAAATTCGGCTTTCTTCACAATTTTAACCTCTATACAATTAAATATATATCTATAATATTTAATCATGTCATTATCAGGGAAAATGACTCCTTGCTAGCTAAAAACCATGACAGTTCTGTCAGTATCCTTTCATACGCCCAGAAACCAACCCCGCAAACGCCATAGTTTTTCCAAAAACCCAATTTTCATATCGGTAGCTGGCAGAAAATATGGGTCTCGCCCCCAGTAATGGCAGTAGCGCCAACGGCTGGCTCCGGAAATTTGAGGTGTCGGCCCATGGAAATGGGCCCTTTGGCCCGAGAGAACAAAATGAACGGCCGAACCGGTGGCACGCGAATAAAGAGGAAGGGGGGGGGGGGGGGGGCACGGGCAACACACAACCCCCATCCAACCCCTTTGACTTACCCTACACCCCCCCTTGTTTTCCACAACCAACCACCTCATGGCATTGAATGCAAAGCCAACCATCGGATAAGAGAATACGCCACTCTGGTCGACTGCTAATGATCGTTAATTGTTTTTCGAGAGGGCGCGGGAATGGTTGTCAAAGGGCTCACGGAAGTGAGCGTTTTTTATGGTTAATTCTGACAAACGCTCTAGGCATTTATTTAATGCGAAGTAACAATATACTATAAAATCTCTTAAATATCTGAATAAATAAATAAAATTTTAAATTAAAGTTGATGGCTATAGAATCCTCTATAGCCTTTATATGAACTTCTGCAAACCACTATTAAAAAAAATTCAAAACATCACAGTAAAAATTTTTACACAAAATGTCAAATTATGCAAATCAAGATGTTTTAGAGAAGAGTTTAGGGATCTCCATGCTAAAGGGCATTTAACTGTATAGTTGCTTGACATGACTTGGCATTTCTTCGTTTTAGTTGGCTAGCGTCCAGCTTAAAGCTCACAAACTACTACCTAAAACTCAATCCTTAAGTCCTAAAAAAAATTCCCCATTTCAACGAATTCCTCCAGCCATCTGACCTAGTATTGACCATTGAGCGATGGTCATGTGACTATTAAAAAATTCCAAATTGACCGGAATTTAGGGATCGTCATGTTTAAGGGCAGTTAACTGTCTAGTTGCTTGACATTTCTTAGCTAGCTTCTAGCTTAAAGTTTACAAACTGCTAACTAAAGCTCAATATTTAAGTCCTAAAAACATTCCCCATTTTTGAACGAATTCCGCCAGCCATCTGACCTAGTATTGACCATTCAGCGGTGGTCATGTGACTGCCCGAAGGACGACACGAGTTCTACGTCCATATTTCGCACAAAAAGGGCATTCCCCGCAGCATGCGTCTATGCTTTGATCTTCGTGCCCACATCCCCGGAATTGGAAATCTTAATTTACTTCCTCGCACCATACAAAATCATAAAGCCAGGGCGCCGTCGTAATGTAGTACATTTCTAGCCGTTTACAGCAAATCAATCCATTAGCCCGATGGAAAAATCACCAATATAACTACGAGATCAATAAAAAACCTGCCTTTCCACCCACCCAAAAAAGTTTCGGGTCAGCTGGCCGATCCCGAAAACAGGAAGCTTAATATCAGCTGTTTACATAGAACGGTCCCGCATTGCCTGGGCTGATAAACAATTTCACAGACCGGGTATCGATTCCAAACTGTGTAGCAAAATACGGCGATGCTTATGTACGAGTCGCTACTAGTAACCAGCCGGAAATCCTCACTTTGAGGACTTCCTTCAAGGGTGGTTTTTTTGTGGCACCTGCTAAATCGAGTCCAGCCGTATCCATATCGGGGGTGTGGTCTTAATTGGAAAGAAGCTCCAGCCCACGGGGACCCCGTGGCTCATTTTTTGCACTTTCGCGCAGCTGGATCAATGCGGTCAGTGGGCAGAAGATGACTTCGAGGATGAAAGGGGGACGGCGCAACAAAGGGTTCGAACTCGTCCTTTCTAAGAGTTCAAAGCACACAAAAAAAACTAGGCGAATGACAAAATTTTAAATACACGACGTAAATGGTCATGAGGAGTATTTTCGCAACCACTCAGAGTCGACCAATTTTCTTGGGAAAATAGAAATGTCAAGAAATGTGCATACCAAAAAGGTTTAATGTTCCAAAAAAGGCCTTGATGCATTATCCGACGTCCAATACTGACCGCCCAGTGTCCACTTCGGATATCGCATAAATAATTAACGGAGGGTTATGTATTGCTCTGATATTTCTCAATTTTAACAAAACATCTTGGCTCAATATTGTGCTAAAATTTAGTTAATTCGCAAAATTGCTAAATTTAACCCGGGTTAAGCTATTCCTAGTAATTACTCTATGGAAAAGACGTCATCTGACCATTAAAATGGATCACACGTTTCAAAAATGGTGTTGTTTCCCGTACCAAAGTGGAGGCGGTAAGATGCTCAGGTTGGATCTATGGATTTTTCACTCTAAAAGCTCTGTTTAAATCGAAAAATCATTGTATTTGTACATGGCAATAATTGCTCGGCAAACAAAGGGTCGTATGCCTTTCCAAGTGTATTCCGGGCTACAAAATCTGTGTATTTTCCCGTGCCAAAGCGGAACTGGCAAGATTCTAAAGTGGGCCCTCTCGGGAGTGTGGGTTCCCGTAACAAATCGGAGGTAAATGCCCTGAGGGAATGTGGTGGGATGTTCGCTGAAGGGAGGAGGAGGGCCCTGAGAACGAATAGGAAGGAAAATGAGGAAAAGGGATGGAAGGAGGGGAGAATGGAGGAGAAGGGGAGGAAGGGAGGGCCGAACAGCTGAGAGCCACGGGTCGGGAGCCTCTATGGCCATGTCTCGACTCTCTAGGTGTGCCCAATCTATCCGCTTTTTCTTTTCTCTTTTCCTATCGTGGGGAGTCGCCCCCCAAAAAGGCAGCTGACCAGTTCGATTACCCAAGTCCAATGTTGGTTTTCGGGTTTTTAAGGGTATGGGAAAGTTTTTGAAGGTCGGGGATTTATTGGCAAGCGAAAAGCATGGTTTAAAGGACAGACAAGATTTTGCTGATAATATGGTACGTGTCGGCTAAATAATACCTAATTGTAAGACCGAAGAGCAATTTTTTATTTTACTCGGTCCCTTTATAAAAGAACCAACCTTCTAACCGTTAGGCTAAAGATACCCCTACTTTACTCAGAACGGACGGACGGGGGCCGATGTGGGCAACAAACACAAATCCCTGCGACGTCCCGCACTACCCATTCGCCGGTCCCTTCACCCAACCCCCCTCCGTTCTTCCCCCTCTAACCCCCCACGTGCCCGGCTCGTATCACGCACCTGATAGCCACTTTCAACCCCGGCCAGCACTCCCGGCCCGTTCGCCCCGTTCCACTAATAAAATAAGCATAAAATCGGTCAAGTGTGGTGAAAATGAGAGGAAATTTTTTTTAGCTCGTGTGGTCGTCAGCACTAATCGACAAATTCAAAAATCGCCGACTTCTGATAGTAATTTTCTATGCAAATTCAAGATTACCAACTTCAAAAGAAATAATCCATAGTTTATGAACTTCATACCTGAAGACACTTTCATCTCTGACCCCAGCATCGGCTTCATACCCCTAAGCCTTGACTTTGAACGCTTCCACTAAAAAACCCCCGAATTTCCCGTGAAAAGCAATAGCGTAAACCAGGAAATTGGTCATGACATACCGGGATAGCCAATTAGTCATTCCAGATGCTTGCCCGCATCGTGACGCCGATGCCACGCTGCTGCAAATATTATCGGGATGCCGCCCCTCTTAAGGGCAAACACCTCATTTACAATTTAGAAAAACCACGCAGCCAGCAGACCGGATTGCCGCCTTGCAGATTGGGCCATTTTTGGTGGCTAGAACATCCAAAAATCGCATCTCCCGATCCCAAAGCATAAACCACGCCCAAGAATAGGTGGCATTGCCGGCGGCGCCGCTTAATTTTCGTGCAATAAAAAATTGGCGACGGAGGCCGCCAGAATTAAGGCCCCCTTTGCACGCACCTGGTTGTGTTAATTATCTGTGAACATCAGCACCCGGAAAAACCGAGATGCAGACGCTAAAGGGATCACAAGAATAAGACGGAAAGTATTTTTCTGAAGAGTCGGGGGACGAGTGGGGATTGATCGCCGGCGCAAGTCGCTAAAAGAAAACTCTTGGAAGCTAGAAGTTAGCCTGAGTAATGTGCCGATTCTATGATAAAGGATGATACCTTTAAAAGCAATTACGGTATCAAAGTCGTTAATCCTCTTTAACTGTTTTTTCAATCCAAAAAACCTCTATAATTGTTAAAAACCGGTAGACCTTATTTTCCTGGAAAATTCAACATCTTAATTCGTATCCACGATATGTAAATAGTGTCTCTATATTAATTTGCATGGGAATTTGCATGCATGGGAAAAATTTTTACGGTGTGAATGATGCGTCAATGGATGCGTTATGAACACGAGACTACAGTACACTTAACACTTCTCAAAAATTGATATTTTCGAAATAAAACTAATTTTTCTGAAAGTCCAATACTCCGGCGCTCATTAAAATATTCCTCTTACCATCTTCCAATCCCATTTCCATAGATATTTCACCCAATAATGCACCTCTGATCGGCGACCACTCGAAACAACCTGCCAAACGGCTCTATAGGTGCGAATTTCTGAACCGTAAAGCTCCCCCGGTCGGGATTATGACCGGCGCATCGTCCAATTACAACAGGACATACCGGCATAATTGGGCGCCAAACAAAAACCGATCGACCGCTTGTATATAAGCTACGCATCCAAGACCAACGCTGGAAGCTTTAGGTTTCAAAGTACAGTGGTTCTAGTCGTTTTTTATCGTGTTGAGGTTGATTTTTAGGAAATGCGTTGTCTGATCGTCTCCTGCATCCTCATTTCTTGGGCCCTGGCTGATGATGTCACTTCCGCTGCTCCGGCGGCCGCTTCGGGAGCTCCTGAGGTAAGTAATTTTTCGTGTTGGGCGGTTTGTGAATTGCGATTTATTCGTGATTTTCTTCATTTGCCGTCGTTCCTCACTGCAAATAAAGGTAGAATTATGATTGTATGTCTAAGAAAACAGCCAGCGCCGTTTTTTTGAAGAGCCTTCGAACTTTTGGGCAGTTCTATCAGAGATTCTTTTTTTTTGCAAACCTTGTATCAATTCCTTTAAATGTCATAAATTCATTATTACGTTCGCATCCCTTGCCAGACCTTGAAAGATTCAAGCCAGCGTAATAGAAAAATCCTCATACCGCTGGTATGACCACTTCTTATTACTCATTTTTAGTGTCACGCAGCTGTGCCCTGCTTGGACACCTGCACCAGCGGAATCCCATGCACAGGTGCCATGCTCCAGAAGGGAATGGCCGGTATTGAGAAGGCTCATGGTTAGTTGATACTCTAAAGTACATCCATGTACCGTACCCTAACTTAAAGGGATGCCCAACCTTTTCGGGGCTAAAAAAGCAAAAACCATGCCGCGGGCGGGGGTCGAACCCGGGACCCCCGTTTTGTAGGCCTAGATGCTATCCATTAGGCCATAGTGGTAAGTCATTGGGTGGGATGGGGACGCCACAAGAGGGAAAGGTGGCCGAATTTTGTGCGGCACTGGCGCCTCTTTTCCAAACAAAATTCCCGCGTCATTTGTACTGCCCGGAATACATAACTATATATTTGCCACCAAAACCTTGGGTATCCCTTTAAGGGGACTCAACATAGTGATTTTTCGAAAAACCCATCAATCAATCGACGAAAATCTCCCTTTTAGAGAAGAAAATGATGGAAGACGATGTCTACGAGTTCTTCAAAAACGTAACGAAACAAACCGAGGCTAAAAATAGTTTTAGATGACCGAATCGGACCTCGACTGTGCCGCCACCATCATCAACAACTATTGCAAGACCGGTGAACACGCAACTGACCGCCAAGTAGGTGTATTTTAAACATCCCATACATAAACCCTTTAGTCATTTGTTACCTTGATCAAAGAGCTGTGCCCCAGCTCCAACCTCTCCGACTATGTCAACTCCTTCTACCAGACCCAGGTCGATAAGGTTAACCGCATCAAGGAGCAGAATGCTCAATGCGGAGAGCTCCTTATTGGAGTAGGTTTTCTTTTTCTAAAATTATGAGAGTTTAAGCTCCACCCGTTTATAAGCTGATTTGAATTTTGTTTTCAACTTTAGTGGGAGAAGAGCGTCTACAAGGTGTTCGACCTTACCAGCGGAGACAAGCCGGATATGACCGCTGTTTTCACCCAGGTAATATTTCCATTCCGCGCTATTTATTTTTAGAGCATGCAAAACTGCGTTGACTTCATCACGCAAGCCGAAGAAAACCGTGATACCTGCGAGCCGCTCTGGATCCAGGAATTCCCGAATGTCGTTGCATACTACCAGGCTAACCGTAAGTATCCTACCTTATATAATTTGGTCGCGTATCTTTGTGTGTGTGTGTGTGTGTGTCCGGCGCCAGGGAGGGCTACTTTGCATAATTCCAAAAAATACAAATTTCCTCATTCTTGCAAGTTGCACGCGCGGGTGTGGTCGGATGAGGGGAGGGCACCGCAGGACCCAAGCTATCGGAAAGTCAAATTTCTCATGCAAGGGCCGCATTCCAGCGCCCAAGGCCCGCGAAGCGGGTTTTGGGCGCTGGTAGGCTATAAAAGCGACATATTTACCCTAAATCCAGACGACATCATCATCGCCATGGTCAAGCCGATGTGCGAGAGTGGAGTGAAAAACTCGGCCAAGATCCCGGAGCTGGTAATTATTAGTTGTCAGACTTCTCAAAATTTATTTTAGATTAACAAGGCCATGCAAATGTTCATGTGCAAGAAGGGCGCCCCACCCGCCACCACCCCGGCCAACTAGACAGACTTTTTGAGAGGGAAAATACAATAAAGCTTTGAATTTGGTTTTTTGTGGAAAATGACCTGCAAATTTGTACAAACTATAAACTATAGGCTAATGTAAACAGCTATGGACTCCCAGGATAGGGAATAACCAAAAAAATTCAGTAAAATTTAATTTGTGTGTTGTACGCACAAAATACGTGTGATCCGATTATTTCATTGATGTTCTGTGGTTAATAATTTATCTACTCGCGAAGTAGTAAATCCCTGTAATTTCAACGTAAATTTTCAAGGTAAATTAAAAGTTGCACCTGACTCTCTTGCATCCTGATCGAAATCCCCCGCCCCTAACTCTCTCTAAATCCCATTTCACTTTTATTTCAAATATGCCCACATTCATCGAGGCGTCACTCAACGCATCCATTTTCTCTTTTTGATGCGCTATGTAGATACGGTGGTCGAGAGGGGCGAGGAGAACGGTTTATGCAACGTTTCCCAATGTGGGAGCCGAACGGGGGGCTGCTATGAACGGGCGTATCCCATGCCCCTTCGGAAAGGGTAGGAATCTAGGCCGGCCCTTGAAGCCTTGCCCTCTCCCTCTTCAGCTCCCTCTCGCTTCTCCTGCTATTCCTGTTATTCATATTTTTCTGTGAGTCTTAGGCATTGTTATCAGGTTTTCGAAAAACAAAGGCAGATCGCTTGGGGTGAACCATGAAGCTGTAAAATTTAGAAAAGATTTCCTTTACTTTTAATTATTCTCAATTTGCATAGCTACTTTGATTGAGCGAAATTTTGCGTTATAGTTGTTAACGGAAATTTCTGGTAATTCTATTTTTAACTGATTGTTCAGTTGCTACCTTGAATACCCCATGGGAAATTTATTTGAGAAATACATCGTTATATTGTTTCATTAGTGCATACAATGTCATCTGGAAAATATTCCTCAAATTTGGGCAATTATCAGTGCCCGAGGGCACATGCGACATAGTTCTGTTATGAAAATCGATAGCTTGCAGCCACTCTCCCCTATTCTATCCCGAGGATGCGTACTAATTACGGGTAAATTGCCATCAGCCAGTTGCAACATCCGATGGCATTCACGACAGCAGTCAGGTGAGATATCTACAAAATCTGAACTGCTAACCCTTTTCAAATGCTACTTAAACTTCATTTATTTCAAATCCACATTACCCCCAAACTTTTCAGCCTTTTTCTCCTCACCTGGAGCGGCCTGTTTCTGCTCGATTTTGTTTTACGGGCCCTGGCTGTAAGGCGGTACATCGATTTTGCCGAGAAGCACCACATCCAGATATCACCCTTCCAGGTATCGACCACCCATATTTATTTTTATGGATATCGTAAGAACGGGGGGGAGCGCATTTTGGGGGGGGGGGGCGACGCCGACAAGGAGATGGAATTTGAAATGAGGGGCTTGCTCGGGGAACGGGGGGGAAAAGATGAATGGCCGGGGCAGACTGGCGGGGTGAAGAACGCGATTCTTTTGTTTAATGGTGATGACGAGTATTTGTAAGGAGTATTGATAGGAAAAATGGATTATGAGTACGGTACATTTCTAGCTTCGTTTCTACACCCATCGATATGATGCCCGACTAATGCCCCAGGGTATCGGCGATGGCGAAAAATCCCTATCACGGAGAATGGGCAGAAAATTGTTGACCCTATGGTTCGATCTCGGTGTCATCGTCGTTCTCGCCTGTACGGTAAGTGCCTTTCAATCTCTTAATAAGTGTCCCTCTACATTGAACCATCATATATTTTAGGTATTCGTCACGTGGTATCTAACTTCTCATATCTGGCATGCATTGCCTTCTTCGTCATCGTTTAATGAGCGCACCCGGGATATGCCAAGACCGATTCCAGCCCGATTTCATACACCAGCACCATTACCAGCTAATGATAATACAGCAGAACCGGTGTTTCAAGGAGACGATCCTATTGACCATCCACATCGAGATGAAGGTATGTATTAAATATGCCGGAATCGTCACACCTTTCAAAAGTAAAAGATAATTATTGCCCCTCCTAGGCTTAACACCAATCATCCCTGGCGTCAACATGCCATGGGCTCACATCCCGATGTTCATGATCGTCCTCGTCATGGCCGCCGTCTTGCACGAGGTCAGTTTTAGCTCGTGCTCTAAAACTCTTGATTCAGCTTGGACATGCCTGGGCGGCGCGGCTGGAGAGCGTGCGGGTATCTGGGTTTGGCGTCTTTGTGCTTGGGATTTATCCTGGAGCCTTTACTGAAATTGACGACTTGGGATTGAGTAAGTTTTTTTCGGAGAAAAATGTTTTTGCACGATTTTAATCCCTGCCTTAAAATGAATAGCATTTATTTTTTTCATCCTTTTATTTGTCACTTTTTCGACAACGGTTATATATAGTTTTTAATGCAATTAATTCACAGCTCATAAGCCTTGCATTTTTTCAAACTTCACAAAAACACTACCTTGTCATTACAGATCAACGCCCTACCTGGTCAAAGCTTCGGGTCTACTGCGGTGGAGTCTGGCATAATTTGGTTCTGGCGGCCGTCGGGTGCCTTGTCGTGTATTCAACGCCATATCTTCTATCTCCATTCTTCACAACGGGTTCCGGTGTTACGGTGGAAGGTAGAATACCAAAGAATTCTTAAAATTTTTCCGTAGAAGTCAGTCAACAATCTGGGTTGTACGGTGGTCTGAAGCCTGGGCAGGTGGTGACAAAAATCGATCATTGTGAGGTGAGAAATTAGCTTATCAGGAAAGGAAAATTTTATGCGTTTTTTAGGTTTATCATCCACTATCTTGGGTTGAATGCGTAAAAGCTTTGCAAAAAGAGAGATATGGGCGTTGCGTGGATTCTGATGCGGTTTTGGCAGCTAAAAGTTCAAAGGTTGGTATTGTCGTTATAAGCTTCTCACTTGTTCTCTCTCACTCTCTCTCACTCTCTCTCTCACATTCTCTATCTATCTCAGACGGCCCAATTCCAGGTGACCATCTTTGACAATGAGCTCCATTGTTGTGACGAGCAGAAGAACGCGACCCCAGCCCATATTTGTTTTGAGAGCGGAGTGGTCAGCAGCCTTTCTAAACTTTGATTTTTGAGTTTAGGTCACTAAAAGAAACCATCCGGAAACAAGAGCCCCAAATCTTGCTGATGCTTTGCGGTTAGGCGGTCCCGAAGTAAGTTTAGCACTGCTAAAAGGGGATTTTCGTTAACACATTTAATTTTTCAAATGTATAGAAACCTCGCGAAGTCGTTCGCGTCGAAACAAAACTAAAACGACAGCTCTCCTGCCTGGACGCTCGGAGCGTCACTTCACAGCCATCCTGTAACGAAACAACACCCTGTGAAGCGTCGGATCAGGTAGTTTAAACATATCCTTTTATTTAACATAAAACATCCACATTACAAAATCAAAATATAAATTTAAGACGCGCCCAAAACCCACCTGTATTTACCCAGCGCTTTACAATGGGACGCGGTTGGTTCGGCTGGAAGTGGGAGAAGCGGACAAACCGGTGTTGTTCGTTGGGAGGATGGAAGAGGTAAGACCACTGCAAATAAGTATAATTATAAATGATATTTGTAGTTCCTTTACTTGGTTGAAGTATCTCCGCTGATATCAAGATGGTCTTGGGTCCCAAAAGTGTTACCACGTGAGTCCTTGGAACTTGAAAAGTTTCAATTTATGAAATTTGTTATCAATTATCATTTTAATGTTTAGATACTGTGGAGCTGTTCGGTAAATACGTGGTAACGCTATCGGTAGCACTCGGTGTTCTAAATGCCGTGCCGTGTTTCGCCCTCGATGGTCAACATATCATCGTTGCTCTTTTACAGGCCTGGAAAATCCCTAGAAAGTGAGTCTCTTAAATCACGAATGTACATAAAAATAGGATAACAATAAATTAGCCGTGATTTTACTAAAATAAATTTGTAGACGCCGCCACCGTCTCACCCAATTCTCGCTCGCTTACGGCACATTCCTCCTGGGCGCAAATATCCTGATCGGCTTTACCAAATTCTTCTATTCATATAAGTTAATGTGAGCCTCTTCATAACGGTTTCCCATTTCGGTCTCTGTACTGTTCGTCTTACCAATTTTCCACTATTCATATCACTTCTTGACGTACACATTGCCACCCAACACTAGAATTCACTTCTCATCTTTTTTTTGTAGTGCCTGGGATTCAAGGTTTGGAGGTTTAAAGGGATTGTGACAAGGACGCAATCGCAATGAACGGCTGTCATGCTCCCTTTCACTCCCATCCCCTACTTTGATTGCCGCCCAAAATGCCTTTGTCCCCAATCCCCCAGCCAAATGTAGCAATACACTGTGATGCATGCCTGTTCTGTGGTGCTTTTCCTCGCCGGCTGCTTCTACATTAATTTATTAGAATTCCATTACAATGCGTTAAAGGTATCTGAAGGTGATAGAAACTCCTCATTAATGCGTAATCTACTTACCCTATCATTTTCAAACGCCTTTAACATATTTGGTATTGGTATTTATCACATAATCTACACCCTCCCCAGTGGAATGCGTTCTTTCGCGGTACGCAATACGGTTCCCCCTCAACAATCCCTGACTGCAATGGTTATTTACAACATTTTTGCCCAATTCTCCCGCTGGCCCTAGGTATTATCTTGCATATTTCCCTAAAATATATTCTCTTCAGTATTGTATATAGAAATGGCCTGCTGACAAATCTAGTGATGAATTTCGGACTGTGCATTATCTTTAAACCATTACAATACCGTTTTCTTGGTTGTCGTACCGAATTTTAGTCATTTTTATATTCTCCCCCAATTCTCAGAGAAAAACCCCCCACACCACACCTATCCACCATACCTTTCATTGTGATCATTTTTCGATGCGGGATCTAATTTTTTTGTCTTCGATTTTCCTCTTTCCGAACTATCCGTAGATATAATAAATTCAATTGCTTATATCAAGGATTTGCAAATGCTAATGATGCCACTTTTGCCGTTGTCGGACACATTCCAAATTATAGAAATTTTATTAAAAAAAAAGCAAAAAGTGTAAGGCACAGTAGGCGTGGCAAGTCAAGTGAAATAGTGATTTCCCGTATAGAAGTGACTTGTAAGAGGAAAATACATAATTAACAGTATACAATCGATATAGGAAAAGAAGAAATCAATAAAAACAAGTGGGATTCTCTGCTAGCTTACAAAACTATCTGCCCTAATTATCCCTCCTGGCGCTCGCCAATGCTTCTTCACGTTCTACATGCCGACTGTATTCCTTGTCCAAATATTCTTCTCGCCATTCCCGTTGTGCCATCTGATATACAGAATGACTAAAATAATCTGGCTCCTCCATGACAATTTCCTCCTTTTCCTTGTCTACAGCCACAACGGGCTTAACTTCGTCTTGAGACTCGTCTGTCTCGGCTTCAATCTCGTGCAACAACTTGAAATAATCTGGTTCCTCCACTTGTCTAATCAATGCCCATTCATCTGTGACACCATCTTCTTCGGAACTCGTCTCATCATCGAATATCCATCCACCCGCTCTCACCACATCTTCATCTTCTCCTTCACTACGTGTATTCTCCGACGCCTCCGAGCCGTTCTCAGCATCGCCGTCATTTGATCCTTCACCATCATCACCATCCTCTTCCTCATCTTCAAGAACATCATCTTCATCATCGTCATCGTCATCATCATCCTCCATTCCATAGCTACTTTCTGAGCTCGGTGTAGCCAGATCTAATTCCAAGGCTAATCCTCGATCCTCAATTTCTGCAGGCCCATCCAATTGACCATCTTCGGAGTCTTCTCTTTCCAAATAGGTCGTGAATTCCTCTAATTGTTCTTTTTGATTTTTGGTCATTGGATCTTGCTGTCGTCCACTTGTGATGCTCGTTTCGGCTTCTTCGTCCTTTTGATCGCTCTCACTATCTAATGAAAGCTTTGCGAATTGACGTCCAAGCAATGAAAGGTGTTTTCGGTCAGTCTGGGGATGATTTTCTTCTTCTTCGCGTTCGAGTTTCTTCTCCTGAAATTTTAATCATTTTCCTACATTTTCTTGCGTACAGCTAAGAAAACAAAAATAGCTTTTCTGTACCCACCAATTCTTTGATATGCTCGATACCAATTGATATCGAGACGTCGGACCTTGCTGAATCGTGCGTAGCCAATGACCAAGCAGCCTCGCTCAGCGCCTGTAATTTTTTTGTGTTTTTCGCTTCTCTTCAAGTGGCTTACGAGGCTACACAAAAATTAACTCTTACCGAGGTCACTTGCCGCTTATATTTGTAGCTAACAACATGCAGCTTCCTTCGCCTCACTGCCTAAGACACTAGAATAAAGCAAAGCAAGCGCCAACTTACTTTCCTCAAATTCGTGAAGAACAACGGGCCTCTAGGGCCTTGATGAGTATCCGGAACGTCAGAGATCTAAATAAATAAATATATTTTTCTTTTCGGGACTTACTTTGCATTGACACATGCAACCGCTGACTGGGCACATCGACGAGACGTCAAACCTAGAAAAAAACCAATATTTGTTTAATTCTTTCCACTTACCATTCGACGGCTTCATCCAAATGCATAGGGTGCCGGCATTTCCCGCACATCCAATGCATCCCGAAAATCATCAGATCGCTAGAAATCGATTATGAGGCTATTTGGAGTGATTTTACCAAATCGCTGATGGATACGACGTGTTCGAATACTTAATTGCGAAGTACATACCAAACGACACATTCCGTCAGCCACTTATCACACCGTTGACAGGTCGCCTCGACGATACGCTTCCGGCATTGAAGGCACGATATGGTGAGGTGGGTACCCTGAAATTCAAAACTAGTCTGAACGTTTTACTACCCTACCGTCAGTGACATATTGTTGATACGCTTCACCCATGCGAATTTCCGGATCGCAGCGGATGGGACGAAAAGCTCGAGACTATCCAGCATTTCTAAACGTAATTTTTCATATTGCAGCTATTTTGATTTTTGCATGGCCTTTTACAACCTACCATGATAATTCGACAGCCATGTCCCAGCCGCTCGTTCTGCTACCACTTCACCCAAAATTGCACCAACAACCAGGCATACGCATGCGCAAGTTTGATAGTCGCCCTAGAAACTCACTGAAATTAACTATTTTCCTTTTCTAACTCACCAAATCCGCATGGTACTGCAAAACCTCAGCAATCTTCTTTAGCGGATCTGCAGTTTGATGCTTTTCGAAGAATTCAACTCGCTGTCTTCTAATAAAAGCTTCATCCTTCAACGAACGCCAATCCGAGCGGAAAGGCACTACGTCCGGGAATCGGGCAACGCTAAAACAAACTAAATTTTAAGCAATAAAACCACACCACAAATGATCGTAGTTCCTATTATAGTGCAGGTCGTGGACGAGCTCTTCTTGTCCAAAGTAGAAATCTGCGCTCCTTGAGTACGGTATCACAGAAAACATTTGAGGTGGAGCAAGCACGCGATTCCGTGAGGGGCAGTCTTGACGCCATAGTTCTGCTACCTTAATAAGCAGACGAGAACCTGCTTTTTAAGCTTGTCAGCATACCTGCTTGTCTTTTTCCATAATCCAGCCGGACAATCTGGACTTGATGTGTGACTGCGGGATCGGTTGTACGCAACGATACGTCCCTCCCTTCAGGGCGGTCAGTATTCTAAAAATCCACTTGCAATCCTTTTTCGAGCTTGGCAGAGCCATCATTGGACCTACGTATTTCTCGTCACATGGATGACTTCCTTCTTTGCAATATCCTCTTTAGCTGCGTTTCTTTTGCCAACTTGCGCTTGCTCGGCCATAGCCTCGACCAGTCTCCATGTTTGCGCAGCCTGAAGGTCGTGAAAATTGGAAAGGTTTTTTAAGACGACTTACATCCGAGTATCCGACTTCCTCAGCGATTTGTGCATTCATGTCGCAAAGTTCAGAAATTGGTGCCCCGCCCACACGATACCTGAAAATTTCTCTATTTTATTTGCTGTGTAAATCTTACGCATTGGCACAGCGATAAAATTTTCGGACTTTATTCTGCGGATATGGTTCTGGGACGCCAACTGCCATTTGCGAAGGAAAAGTCTTGGATACGGGACAGAAGCTTTCGTGTTTGTTCTGAAATTGATGACATTTTTATTAGTAATTCTATTGTTGAAACAACACTGGCCCATACTCACCTCTACCGCGTTAATTTGCGAATCTGTGCGTTTGAAGATGTGATGACCCATTTGAAATCGTCTAAAAAACAGTATAACTTGGCACATTTTAAGCGAATTTAAATCGCGTTTTACAATAACAAACTTGTCAGTAATGTCGAAAACAGCATCAGACGGAGATCCTTCTTCGGTTTCCTCGACAGTCCTCGCACTCAGCTTTTTCTTCCTTGCAGCATCCTTCTTATACCAATTGTTGACTTGTGTGGTACGCATTCCAATCAGATTTGTGCTGACTAAATTTCCGCATAACGTCAAAGCAAAAGAAAATTTTACCGGCAACCGCGAATAACCCATCCGGCGCGAGGTCAACCGCACAATCATTGGCAAACTGATGTGGCTTTATCGCATCGTCAATCGTGTGCACAAACTATAAAAATTAAGTAGCGTCGAAATATTCTAAATTTGCTTACAACTCTGCCATCTTTGCCACAAGTAACGAGCATATTTTGATCGTCGTAACTCCGCCAAGTCATATCTGAAGAATACATTTCAAAAACTGAGGTTTCTGTTACCTGTACAACTTTCCATATGGCCTTCGAAAGAATAAAGCGGTAGATAAGGGCGACGAACATCCCAGCAATGCACTCCGGTGTCATTCACCAATGAACAAGAAGATATCTAAAAAAAGGGGTGACATTCAAATTCGTCCAAATACCTGGTAGTCGCATCCTGGCCTCCAATAAACTCTTCCTAACCCAGCCATCGTCTCAATCTTGAAGACCTCACGGCGAGATTCCCGTTCGTCAGATTTCCGATTGGTCATCAAGCGCCAATCCCAAATCTAACCTCAGCGATTAATTTGTTCGGATTTATTTTAATAAAAACGATACAACAAAGAAAACAGCTCTTACATTGATCATCATATCCCGGCCGCCCGCTGTCGCTATGAGACTTGGGTTTTCGGTGTTGAATGCAATACTCGACGTGTAATCCCGGTGAGCAAGAAAATGGAGGTAGACTTCTTTTGGGTTTCTGACCACAAGTATTCGATTGGAAGAAAATAAAACCTCATATCCCAGAATCTGACATTGCCTGTGTCATCAGCCGATACAAAGTAAGATGCGTAGTTGAGAGCTTCGTGAAAAGCCACATCGCGTACTCCATCCGAGGATCTATAAAAATAGACGTTCTATACTTCCTAGTCCCTTTACTCTACTTACAGAAACTTGTGGCGTGTTCCTTCTTCCCGCGTATCATAAATCATAATACTAGAATCCTTCGACCCAGAAATTATGAGATTCGGATCTGTGGGATGAAACCGGACGACAGTCGCCGATCGCTTATGTGCATCATATGAATAACCTGAAAGGACGGTTTTCTCATGGTGACTGTAGACCTACTTTCTTGCTTGCTAACCACATCCCACACGACGACTGCACCGGAAGTGGATGCTGTAGCGAATAATTGATCTAAGCACATTTGCTTATATGAATTTGATAAAAACCATGTAGCTTGCTCCAAGAGACGTGATTCGGCGACACGTTTTTGCCTTTGAAACTCCATACGGTGGGCGGCTGGTCCGGTTCCAGCAATGGTGCAAGGACTTTCACACCTAGAATGAGAACTTCTTACATTAGACTATATAGAAATGCAATTCGAAGGATTTATTTAATAGCTATGTGTAAACCGACCAGCTCGGACGCCGCAGCACACGACGCATGAGAATTCCCGATTTGAACTGATCGCATCGAGTGGGTCGCCTTGAATCAGCAAACGAGACTAAAGGCGTCCGATTTTTTTAGTCTGCTTTCATTCACCCTCACCCGTGTCTTTTGCGGTTCGTCATGGCTCTTTCTACTACTGATCATATTTCATGCCTAAAAACTTGTATAGTAATGGGTGGTCAGAAGCTCCCAAACCATTCTTTTACCGAGCGCTTTTTAATAAATTATCATGGCGATATCTTAACGATCGCAATCTCCCAATATTGTCGTTTTCGGTAGCAACCCGATTGGCCTAATTCAACGATATATTCAAATATTTATGAAAACCCGTCACTCAGATGCAGATCACAAATACAAGTTTCATTGGCGTTACAAGCAATAAGAATCACAGGAAAAATTACACGTAAAGTTAGCTGCCGTTTTAAACTTCTAAAAGATATGCAAAGACACAAAAAATCACAAAAATCATCACTTTTTGATTGCGAATTTAAGCAAAGTTATAGAACTTTGGTGTCGGTTTTGTACAGCGATTTTTCGAATGTGTGCAGAGGGGAGGTGATAGTCCCCTTCAGGGTTTTTGTGCAAGATGAAGCCATTCACGTAGACTGTGATGTCACCATCAGCATCGAGCTCCACTTGATTTCCGCGGGATACGAAGTCAAGTCGGAAGAGCCTAAAAATAAAACGGAAATTGGAGAAAAGCTGCCGCAAGCTTATTTTAAAAACTCACTCGTAAGTGATGCCGCGTCGAAGCACGAGCCCTACATCACCAAATCTTGGAAGAAGGTTCGGGTTCAGCACTGCCCAGTTCGGCTGTACCGCAATTTGGCTCAGACAAAATGCCTAAAGCAGATATCCACGGTTACGAAAAAAAGTACCCTGGCTCCAGCACCGGCCTCATGAAACCCGGTTGCGAAGTCAGTTCTGAACGGCCCCAGGATAGCGCGATGCGGTGTAGTGCACTTTCCCAGGGACTGCCAAAATCTGAAAAAAGAATACGAGGTCACAGGACACAGTTTTCTATCCTGGAATCATAATTTTGACAAACCGGATCGACTCAGCTCTAGGATCGATTGCGCCACATTTATTCGCTTCCACCAACCATCCTGGCGCGAAGAAGGCCAACGAAAAGCCGAACCGTGTTGCGATCTCAGCAAGCCGCCAAGCATCCTTGCCACCTTTAAATGTTTGATTATAAAAGTTGATAATGAAGATGAGATTAAGATGTGATTCCATGCTTAACGCTTTACATTTCTCGTAACGTTTTTCTTGCCTGACAACTGAGAAATTACACTTTACTAACAAGGAGACGTTTTTTGGTGTGAATGGAGTTCTGAGTGGAAACCAGGCCTATTTTGTGCAGAATTTTGCGCTGATTCCGAATATGTTTTCCATTTCTGCTAAATAGCTCGATTTAAAAAGTTATAGCAATTTTAAGATCATTTTAGCCCAAATTTTCCCCTCTTTAGGGACCATTATATTGCTTTTCCCGGCTGTTTTTCCAAAAATAAATATCGTCACCGTAGTCAGAAAAATTTTCTCTATCGAATGAGCTATTTAACTCAAAATTGTTGAAAATCGAAAAAATCGACGATACTCTTGGTATGGGCTGCGATTTTTGTATGGGAAATGGTGAAAAACAGCCTATTTCTCACCCCTGTAAGCCATCGTCGATCGGCAGTAGCGCACTAATCAAATATACCATTCGAATCAGAAAAAAATTCTCTACAAGATAGGCTACTTAAACAAAATTAAAACGTTACCAGGGTTGAAAAGCCGCGACGCGGCTTTTCACCCCTGGCCTTTGCGCGGAGATCTTTCGAGGCTGGGCACTTTCCATAATTCTAGCGAGTTAGCGCAAACCTCTCCACCCTAATAATCACAAAAGCGACCGACTGAGAGCGTGACAAAATCCGAAATGAGCTTCCTAACCCCTCGTATGCAAATGAGGTTATTTCCATATGTTTTTAAATCGCTAAGATAAGGTATAAATCATCATTTTATTAAAAATCTGATCAGCTTGCAGTAATCTACGCCCTCGACTACCCCTAAATACCTTTCGACCTGGTCCTAAAATTCTTCCCCCTTCCCGATATCTTGGTAACCCGGTTTTTTTCGAGCGATTTATGCAAAGTGTCCACACACAAACACACAAACACTATTTTTTTATATATAGTAGGATAACAAAAAAGTAGCACAGCATAGCATATGGCTACTCTGGGCCTAAAAATTATCTTAAAATAGCTGTAACTTTTTAAATCGAGCTATTTAGCAAAATTGGAAAACAGCATTGGAATCAGCGCAAAATTCTGCGCAGAATAGACCTGGTTTCAACTTAAAACTCCATTCACACTAAAAAAAGTCCCCTTGTAAGTGATTCACGACTTACGATAAATGATGTCGTTGGGTTTGTCTCCACGCTTGAAAAAGTCGACACCAGCATACACCGAGCCAGGACGCTCGCGGGCACGGTTCATCGTCTGGAGACGGGACCACAGTTTCTCCGAACCCGACCAGTTGTAGTTTAAATAGATGCCGTCGCAATTATCATAAAAACAGCTGAAGCGTTTTTTTACTATGCAAAAAAACATATACCTATTTTCATCGTTTAGCGCATCTTGCCACCTAAGCTTTCCACTTTTAGTCACGGAATCGTACCAGATAACCTAAAGTATATGGGTGTTAGTTAGTGGCTATTACCTGTGCGTAAGCTTTGGTAGCTTTGACGGTTGCGGTGAGATCATTCAGGAATTTACACATTAGTCCGATTTTCTCGCGCTGAAAGAGCCGGTCGAAATATCCAAAATTGGCTTACCGGAAGCTCATTCTCAATGTTAATGAGATATCCGTCAAAACCATAGAATACCATGACCGAGATCAGAGCATCGATCGTCTTTTTTACGGAAGTCTCGTCCTCTAAGATCTGAAAAATTGATTTTCACTCATAGTACGTTGTGTGGCATACCTTTTCACAAATCTTCGCTCCATCCGTCCACTCCGTTATTAAGGTTCCCAGAACTCGAACGCCATGTCTAAGAAGGATTACTTGATTGCACATGTCAAGCCTTACTTGTGTGCCAAATTCAGCCAACCGGCAGGGGGAAAGGTGACAAAGTGATGGCTGAAGTAGACAAAGATGTCAAACTAAATTTATTTATTAGTTGATATTTGCACAAAACCTGCCACCAGTTCAAGAGCACTAAGGGCTGCAATTGATCGTCCACTAACTGGCATCCGTCGTCTCTAAATGTAAAAATTATAATCGACGAGGGAAAAGCTTCGAATCAGGGTAAAACGGCTTTTACACATAATACGTTCCATGAAATTAACCTTTCAAAAGCGAGATAACCATTTGCCATATCATGGCAGACGAGTGTTAGAGGAGTCCCTTCCGCTGGCAACTTGAAGTGGTCAAGTGGAAGGATTTCAGGAGCAGCTGTTTGCGAAGCATTGAAGTCCAGCAACTGTTCAAATTCGTTGATCAGTTTCCACATCCCACTGAAATTTATTAGTGACTTTATTAAAAAGCATATCCAACGAACGGAGGCAGGAATAATTGGAAATCATGGCCTAACCGGCGACTAAGCAAAAAATACCTGTAAAAATGAGACATAAATTCCAGCAAATTACATAACATTCGTGAGAGTAATAGAAATAGGAAGAAAATTGCTTGCCAAATTGGAGAAAACGGAATATTATACTCCCGCGAGCAACAAGGGAGAAGCCAACAAAATGATAACAAAAAATTATTCTAAAACATTTGTCAACAACAAAGGTGAGAGCTAAGGGAGCATATCTATTCTCGTTTAGTTGGTACCGCTCTCGAGCCTGCATTCGGTTTAGATGTGGCGCGTAAAGCGAAGAACAATCCGAGTAGGACGAGGGGCAGCCAGAAATAGAGGCTTCCCCAGAATCGTACGGTGTCATGGAAGTTTTTCAGTAGGAACCCGGCAGCTAAGAAGTCGAATCCACGGGAACGTAGTGTTGGGATGTATAAATACTTGAAGTTGGGGATGGAATCCGTCCTCTTCCTGATCATCTCCTCGACGGCCAAGCAACACGGTACCAGAAGGAAGGACATGAAATATCCGGCGTAGGTTCCGTGCCACAGCGCCGATACGAACATCGTGATTGAAGTGCGTTGGGCTTTGTAGTTGTGTAGGCGCTGGTAGACGTATAGGGCGAGCCATTTTTGTACGGAACGATTCCATCCATGGATTCCGTATTTGAACGTCTCGGAAAACTCCACTTCCTTCATGTCGATGTTGACCATGGCCTCCGAATCATAAGATGTCGGGCTGTCTGCGTTGCCGTGTAGCTCCCTAAATTGAAAGTTGTGAAGAGAACCAGCTGAGTTTCGAACAGGGAGGGCTTTCTAGGCGATAATGGAGTTTTTCGATATGAACTAGCTCATTTGATAGCACTTAAAATTCTGCACCAATCCTATGTCTTGAATACTGCTCAACGATTAAGGTGTTGAAAAGTTGTCAAAATTTTTGCATTTTGTTAAGCAAGGGCTGAAAATGGGCGACATCAGCCCTTTCAGATCAAAATTCGTTTCAAGTCCTTCATCGTTCATCAATTTTTTTTCTAAGCTAGGATCTGTTCAGCATTTCAACCCCTGTCGAAAGAGCTATGACAAATCGGAAAAGGCCAATATCACCCAAAAACCACTCCTTATAAGTAAAACTCATTCAGTTTCTGAGTTACACCCGTGATAAAAACTCACTTGAATACTGCCAAATCCTTGGGCCCTGTGATGAGTTCCGCCTTGGAGGCTGTTGGATACATTCCGATGCCAACCATGAGACAAACGGACTCGGCTGCTGCCCAAGCGCTGTAGACGCGGAAACGGAAGACCGTGAAAATCGCAGCAGCGTAGAAGAAACGGTACACCAGCGACCAATCCCAAACCGCGTCTGTACGTAGGCCATCGAGAGGGAAATATGCATTCAGGATAGCGAAGGCCGGAACTGACCAAGCAAGAGTCAAGAATCGCTTTGTGATCTCCTGAAAAATCCGTCAATTAAGGATTGCACACGAAAAATTTCATGAAACAGATGTTAAAGCTTACCTGGGAAGGCGACCATCCCTGTAGATGGACGATTACATAGGAGTCTTCAAGCATCTGGTACGAGTAGTACGGACCAGTGAATAAACCACAGTAGTGGTAGAAAAAATTCAGGATCTCGATGACGGACTGTGGCTCTTCGATCACTCGCCTCGCCTTTTTCGGATCGTCGCTACGGAGGAAGCGGTGTTCGCTGGAAAAAAATGTATCCGGCGGTCACATGTGACTCGTAGATTCCTACTGCGTAACAGAAAGTGCTTACCGGGAATCGAAGACATCATAGGCGAATCCAATGACCCTGAGCGTCATTAAAAGCACAACGGCATTCGCATGGCTCGCCAACTCGTTGATCGGCAGAATGAAGTGAAGGCAACGACAGACTATCAGGTAGGTAAACGAAGAGATGAAGATCAGCATCGGCATCTGTTTTTGTTTCGTCTCGGCAGTCAAACGTATTACAACCGCCGTACCTAAATCCAGTTTCATTATAGAAGCAACAAAAAAGCAGAGTTTCCGACCGGAAAAACATGTAATCGAAACCTTACCAAATGCTAGTGGCACGGAATATAGCACCTTCCAGCCGATTATCAGTACAGCCATGCCAAAGCCGACGAGACCTCCGTTCTTCGCAACCCATGCCGGTAGATGGCCGGTGCGTACGAGGCTGCTGATCAGGAAACTAGCCACAAGGATCAAGCAGTAGACCTGATCATCGTGGGAAAGCCACCCCATCACCTGAAAAGTTACTAGTTAAAAAAATCAAAGGGCGGCAAAATACGACGAAAGAGATTTTAGACCAGAAATCCAGAATGGCAGACAATAAAGTAGACTCACGGAACAGAATTTGAGGGGCCCGAAAAGTTCATAAGGGGGGCTTATGATTTTTTTGTTTCTCAAAAAATGTTTGGCCTGCAGCGCTATTTATTACGCTTTTTAAGACTATTTTTAATGATTGTTACAAAAAATTTTCGTGGCCCCTTCTGTAATTTTTTCTGGCTACGCCCCTGTGCGCAAACCCGACGATTCGTACATAGTATTGCTTATCGTCCCAAAAACCGCCAATGGTTTGACATACAAAAAAAACTAGGAAAGGAACCAGGGACCAGTTGATGTTTTCAAAGGGTTGATAAGGGTTTTAAGTTTGAATGGCCAATCCTTTTGCGCGATGGGATGTACATAACGCGCACCATCCGCCCAAAACGTGGAGTCATTCGTACTGGATAGATTTCGACCGCAAGCTAAACGCGTCTTCCATTTACAGGCGCACATTCATTGAGCAAAAAAAGACAATAAAACTGCACGGTAATAAGTGACGGTTTTCGCGCAGCGTTCATGGGGTGTGCTTTAGATCTCTAAGACCGAATTTTGTATGAGCTCCTTGAGAGAAAAGAGGAGCATGGCTTATTATTAGGGCAAGCGGCTTTTCGAGTTGGGAATTTGAGCAAAATTGAGAAAACCTATTTTTTTTTATACGTCAAAGGTTTGGGTCAAAAATACAAAGCGTTTAGAATATTTAACATAGGCTAAAACTGGAAATTCGGAAGCTTTTGCAGGGGTTGGGGTTGAAGTGGCACTGACTCTGTATCGGCAGGGCCAGCATACATGACATCCAACACACTGCTTCCCCGGGCGTATGTCCTTGGTGCTATTCCCTTAGCGCAATAATCTGGCAATTTCTTAGATTTTTGAAGTCCGGTATCAGTCAAAGGTATCAATAGTATGGATTCGAGTAGCTTGTCTTGATAACAACGGATTCGGTCAAGCAACCATCCCATCTGGCATCAGGTGCCCCGTCCATCCGGGCATACTCTCTTTATCAAACCCACACATCTGCTATTTTCGATATTTAGGCGCGAAAAATATTTTACTATTTGAATCCTTGCCATTTTTAACCACGGGAAATGGGAATCTGTACTTCAAACGACGTTTTTATCTCGAAAACCAAAACCATTTTTTTCAAGCAAATGTAGTTTTTCATCTCGATCTGTCCTGCATTTCCCACATCGTGTTAGAAATCGGGGTCGAACCCGGAGCACGAGCTGTGCATTGTGGTGTTCGCATCCACTCACGTGGCCGCAACGCTGTGACAATCGCGTTGCGTCGACTGGGCATTTTAGTTGGCGTATAGATTCGGGCGCTTCCTCCCGGCTGATCTTATCTGCTAGTGTCAAGCCCGGGGCGCATTTCAATCTCACTAACCAGTTGTTTCCAAACGAAAATTAGGATTTGTTCAGGAAGCGGAATATAGACAAAATATGCCTGTTTCCATCGATCACCACCATAAACCGTAGAATTAATGCGCGTTACAGATTCATTCCTTTGTTTTTGTTTGAAATTTAGGTCCGCGCGACGTTATTTTAAAAAATTGGGCCCATTAGCTGAAGTGCTGAAAACGATAAAAGTGGATGCGTAGGGCTCTAATGGCACTTTGTTTTCTTTTTGATGTCGTAAGCCGCAACTTCCTCACAATAGCTCATACATGACCGTAGAGATTTTCTAGTTTGATTTTACGGTTGCCTTTTGAGCTTTTTCAAAGGCTTGTTGTTGAGTCGCACTTACCATTTGTTTTCAGAAGACCCGGATGTCGGTCCGCTGTTCCCAGGCGGTCCCGGGGGCATCCGGCAGCCAGCATGAGGCCGACTGGGATTTTGATCAGAAGGACTTACGCCTGCAACAAAAAGCACTCAATTCGGGCCAGATCAAGGATGAGATCAAACGATTTGAGAGCGTTCACCCATGCATATACCAAGTAAACTCTTATAATCATCTAATCAGTGGTGACAAACCGCTACGCGGCTTCTCACCCCTGGCTTGTTCTAGTACCTATGGCAGCCCGAACTTTGCATAATTCTTCCGGACCTGGAAGCAAAAAAATCAAAAACTGCGCGACGGCCCCTTTGTATAGTCTTCTCCCGGCTCCGGCATACGCCAATCGTTCCCTTGCAAAAAAAGGGACCCGGATTTTCGCAAAAACCTGATTTCGAAAATAGTTTTTCGACGATTTGACATGTGTGCAGTCTTCCCGAGATCATTAAGCGTCGGATGACGTATGAAACATATCCTAAAACCTTTTATCGATAGAGATCTTACTGGAACACACTGAAAGTTTCATGCAAAGTGGCACACACATACACATATACACTATTTTTTTATATATAGTGGTATAGAAATCTCGTGGCATCCATGTCAAGGCGAAATCTGTCAACTTTTTTCTTTGAATCGGAAGAGTGTGAATAATAGCGATATTTTCTCATATCGGGGTATTTTTCAGGTTTACGATATCCTCGATTACCTGAGCGAGGAAAAAGAAAAGCCCCATCGATTTCTTGAGATGATCCGGCAACAGGTGCTGCTGATCGAAGGTTTGTTTCCCGTTTTGTTAACGAGTTGAAAAACACAGATTCTCATCTAAAAGTTCGTGGTGTCAGGAAGGTAATCCACCAGCTTTTACTTTGGCTTCAAAGACCTTTTTGGATTTTTCGGAAAAATTGGTGGTTGGCTTCATAATTTGTGATTTTTAGATTCGTTTGTCAACTCCCATGAATGGACGTTGAGCAGGTCCGTGACAGAACTGAGAATCGTGAGTGATTGCCTTCCTGCACCGTATAATTATTCAGGGAGTCCTCGGCGCGAACAATTCCGGCAAGAGTGCGTTGATCCATCGATACCTCACCGGAAAGTATACGGCTGAAGAAACGCCTGAAGGTTGGTTATAAACATATCTTCCAACATCCTTTTCTAGGTGGTCGCTACAAGAAAGAAATCGTTGTGGACGGGCAAAGTTATTTGCTGCTCATCCGTGACGAGGGAAACTCACCACCAGATGCGGAGGTCTGTCACGGAAATGTTTGAAAGCTAATCCGATTTTCAGTTTTCCCTCTGGGCCGATGTTGTCCTGATGGCGTTTTCGGTTCACTCTGAAGAATCGTTCGATCAGATCGACCTCCTTTATAAAAATCTTGGCCAATTCCGGAAAATGCAGGATTTCCCTCTGATTCTAGTCGGAACCAAGGTATCAGTGCTATACATCTACGACTATCTTTTTAGGATACGATCGCACAAAACAATCCGAGACAAATCCTCGAGCAAGATGGACGTAAGAAAGCGATGAACCTAGGTAAAGCGATTCGGGAAGCATTTTAATTGAGGTTCTTTAGGTAGGAGTTGCACCTACATTGAGACTTCTGCACCCGCCGGGCACAACATCGAACGTGTATTTAAAGATAGTATGTCTTATACATCGTTAAAAATGTGTTATTCTGGAAACTGGAAACTGATCGGTATTTAAAAAAAAACTATTTAGCGGCAAGGCGAGCCATTGATCAGAGGAGACGTTCACTGTACCAGAGCTTCCCGGTGGAGCACAGTTTGGATTATCAGGTGAGACATTTTAAAATATTTTAAAGCTTAATAATTGGTTTTTAGGATCTGCGCACGACCAGTATGCAACCGCCTCTCCGCACCACATACAACGAAGGGTGAGGGTTTTCTTTACATTTTATTCTTTCTGTACAGAGTGTCCCACTAAATACCCTCTAATTCGATGCAGAAGTATCAGATCGAAACGGTAGTAACACCATGCGAAAGCCCTTGAAAACGCCAGTTTGCAACATTTTTGAAAAATGCGTTATAAAGTTGCTCATTGCAATAAAAACACAGGTTTTTCAAGATTGCTGTAAACTCACCATTTCAAGGGTTTTCGAATGGGTCTGCCTATAGTTCCGAATCGATACTTCTGCGACGAGTTAGAGGAGGTGTTTTTTTACTGGGACCTCCAGCATTTGGAAATTATGTCTGCCTAGTGTTGCGTATGAAGCCACCGAAGAGCAAACGTTCTCTTCAAATCGGGGTGCAAGGTTAACGTCTCTCTTTCAGCCACCTGCGCTCTAACTCGGCGATGCTGATCGACACGAAAATGTCAGTGGTGCCCCCAGGTAATTTGGCCGGCTGGTCTCGTTGATCATTGGAGTTTATAGAAAGACCTTCGTCGTCCATTCGCTCGGATTATCGCATTCGAGGCGGTAATGGCGTCACCAAAAACCCATCACTGAACTTTACCAATGGTATCTTCATCCCTGCACCACCAAGCAAGGCTTTTTTTAGGGTTTGGCACTAGATCCTCTGCGGCACTTCTCGACACCAATGAAATGTCTATTTCGCAAGCGACCAATTTTTCTGGCGTGAGTCTAATGATCTACTTGTTAGAATTATTATCATTTAGAATTTTTGCATAACATACGTAAGATCTTTAGGCAGACACGTTCTCGGCATCTACCTCGCACCTACATACGGTGATCACTCCGGGATCCACTCCCACAACCCAGCGCAAGAAAAGGATATCCAGTTTATTCTCGGTATGTATCTATTTAAATGCTTTTGGGTATGAAACTATTTTCTAAAGTAAATAAAAAATTATTTATTTCAATTTAGAAACGCGACAATGGTCCTGATGACAAACCACGGAACGTAGACCTTGGACAGGGTCGGGCGATTCCGTGCAAACAGGTTAGAAATTATTTAAACTTTGAGTTTAGCGGGTTATATATCACTTTTATCTTTTTTTTCTAGGGTCATTTGTATAAACGAACGAAAGCTACCCTCAACCGTGAGTGGAAAAAGAAGTATGTCTGCATATATTCCGATGGCCGCCTCGTTTATTATCCACATTTCAAGGTTGCTTTTATCTCTTTTTTTTATTAGTTTATCCTTGATTTAGGATTTTATGGAAAATAAGTCTACGGGAAAAGAAGTGTTCTTGGGCCTATGTACAGTGAGGGTAGCTGGACGGCAACAAACAAAGCCGTCGAAAGAAAAGCGCCCAAGTTCGATAGCAACGGCTGCTCCTGGGATCAAGACTCCGGAACAGCGCGGGGATGGTACGTTTGCATACGTGTCGTAAAGTGCTGATTTGCAGTGCTCTACATCAGTGACGTCAACTCGAAGGAGACAAATTCCCCGGGTGGAAGCGATGAGGGATCACCCTTTGCGATACCAGCAATCCCAACTTCATCACTTAAGAAATCGAAGAAGAAAGGATCCGGTTCAAGCAGAAGCGAGAAAGAAGAAGAACAAGCTGCAGAATGTTTTGAGGTAGATATTGAGTGCTTGGTGTGTTACTTGTATTTATGGGTAGCTATGGCTCAGAGATTGTTTTTTTCGACTTCTAGAAGATTGTCGCTACGTCTTTCAAATTATTTTTTTAGATTATCTCCCATGACTTGAAGCACTGGGAGTTTGCTGTCACGCCTGGTGAAGATCGCGATTCTTGGGTTTTGGAAGCAGAGCGACAAATCGGCAATGCTCTCGAGACCGTCATGGGCGAAGGTGGAAAGAAGGACACATCTAGCACCAATACCAATCCGTCACAGCCGGTTAAAGCAGAGGTAAATCGATACTGCTTACAAGGAGACGTCCATGAATGTCTGCGGAGTTTCGAAATGAGGTCAAGCCTGTTTTGTGCACAAATTGTTTTCTGATTAAAAAATTAATCTCATAATTTTCGAAACGGCCGCAATAAGAAAGTTATGAAGCTTTAGAGGGTTAAAAATGGTCGAAGTTGTCCAATCTGGGCATTTTCACACTTTATAGCTTGATAACTTTTCAAAACGTGTCGTTTCGCAGTTTTTGCACGTTTGGACCAGCAAAAATTCTACACAGATGGGGCCTGGTCCCATTTCGAAACGCCGTGGACACTCAAAAGCGTCTCCTTGTTAGATTGCTAAAAATTTTGTGGCAAGAAGACCTCGAATTATTTGCTAACATTGGTATCCTCTAGGTTGCAACTATCCTCAGGATACCGGGGAACGATCGATGTGCGGATTGTAACAGCACCAACCATATCAGCTGGGTAAGCAGTAATGCAAAGAAATCAACTGTGTTTTTTTAGATAAGTCTGAATTTGGGCATCGTCATCTGTATTGAATGCGCTGGGATACATCGCGAACTTGGAGTCCACATCTCTAGGGTTCGAAGTCTGACACTTGACAATACCCAGTAAGCGCTTTACTGACCTTGAAATTATGTTAGCAATTTTATGGATTAATAACAATTTATTCAACATTAAGCTTTAGAAAAGAAACCATAAAATTGAGGGAGATTAGATTTAACGCGATGCGTTTTAGAATCAGCCAGCTGGCCGTCGTTCTCGCGCTTGGAAACGAAACCGCGAACCAGCTTTGGGAGCACCATGCTCCTCGTGATGCCAAGCCAAAACCCGACTCGAGTCGAGAAGAGAAGGTAACCCTTAAGATTCCACCATGTCCATTTCGCGCGCATGCTTTTTTGTAACAAGGGTTTTTGCAGGAACTCTGGATCAAAACGAAGTACATCGAAAAGAAATTTTTGCCCTCGGTTCGTGTAGACGAGACTCTCGCGAACCAGGTCGTCCAAGCCGTCTTGAAAAAGTGAGCTGACTAGGCTTTTGGCTAATCTAATCTTATCTTTCTAGAGATGTGGCACAACTGTCGCTTCTGTTGACGCGTGCACAGCGAAGCGACATAAATGGTACTGTGTCGCCGGTTGATCTAAGGACCCCTCTTCATCTGGCCTGCTCTAATGGAAGTCTGGAGACGCTTCAACTACTGATATGGGTCAGTTTTTACGTTGAAATTTGCGTGTCAGGAGCACATTTTTAAAAATATATTTCCGAAAATAGCCTTTTTCCAAAAAGTTTTTACGAAAGCCAAATGTCGAAAAATTATCGACGTTATTTCTTACCACTGTGACCGCTTTCGATCGCTAGCTCAAGCGAACCTTTAAACATTCTAATTTTCTCAAAAAAAATCAACATTTTCAACAATATGTATGCAAATATTCACCTTAAAACTTGGTACTGCAAAATTTCCTTTTAGAACAACGCTGACCCGAAAGCGCTCGATGAAAATGGAAGGTCCGGCTTGTGGTACGCGCTCCAGGGCGGCAACGCGGAATGTGTTAACATACTGCATTCGGCCGGCCTTTCGGCTAATTACGGCGTGACGGATCCGAGGCTGACTGCGGCTCATCGCTAACCGACTTTGCCACCGCTTATTTGGCCCCACAAAACTGTGAATTATTTTGTATATGAGTACCGATAGGTCTGATTTTTGTCTCGCATAGTGGGAATTTTTTTCTAGTTTTGGACTGTGTGATTTTTTGACCAGATTGATTTGTAACCCCCTCCCACACTCCCAGAAATTTAACGCAATCTTCTTTTGCGTCTCAAGGGGGCCTGGAATAAGTTTTTCGCTTCGGATAGCAACCTTTCCAAATTATATATATTTACATATTGCTGACTCTTAGAGCTAAATGGTGCTGCTGATTTTGATGACCCCCTGCCTACCATCAAAATGTAAGAAATTGTCTCTTTCCCAAAATGCCGCCACGGCGCTGTTCTAGCTTCAGTTTGTAACGTTTGCGTCAAAATTGCTACCCCCGTTGGGCCTTCCGGCCACTTTCCTCCCCCCCCTCCCCACCCCCAAAGACCACGTTTTTCCGTGACGGAGATTTTCTTGACGAAATACTAACCAAATCTGTCTTTGTTGTTTTTAAAAATCTGTTTAGAGCGTACGCATTTTGATCTCTACCCATCTACGCACCCCACTAACTCTACTGGTGTTTGATTGTCCCCATTGTTTTTTTTTTGGTTTGAATGAATTGATGAAATTTTTGATGACGTGAATTTACCTCACAAGAATTTCGGTACAGATTGTAAGGCAACGCTGTTATAGTGGTGGTGTGTTGAGCGTGTTAAACGGCCCTTCTTGTGACCTTTCAAGCTCGGTTTCTGGCGGCTCCCGGGGTGGACACAAACATCTGGACGATACTTCATAAACATAAACTCGCTTTTGCGATGAGTGCCTCCCAGTGTTTCTTACCACTCATTTTTCCTGCGCAGAGCTATTTTTTCGGCGGTCTTTTTTGCATATCGATTATAGCAGTAACAAAAAAAATGCTGGTCAGGGTATCGTTAATGCCTCACCAGAACTGACAATGCCCAATTTCAAACCGTAGCTCACATTTCATCGTTAAAACCGTGAGTCCTTTAGCACTACAAGGACGGGTGCAAATCCTTGAGTAAACGAGACGGGATCTGCTGAAATGCGGGGGGAAATCCCGTTATCCCGAGGGTAGAGCAGCCCGTCCACCCTCGACAGCCTCGACGAAACGAGTAGAGCCCCCCCTCCCCAACATAAGGAGCAGGAGAAGACTTGAGGATGGCTGAGGACGAAAGAAGGGAGGAGGAGGAGAAGAAGATGCAGAAGCACTTCGGCACCCGGCTTCTCGACGCGCTGATTGAGTCATTCCGGGACCTCTCCCTCACCCATACTTCTACGCCCACCCAAACCAAATACCCTTTACATTCAACATTTCAATTGAAACTAGCACATGGATAGTGGTACAAGGGACATCAAGTGGTTGATTTTGTCTAAAGGACGGTTGCACCGGGCGCATTTAATTTTGCGGCGCTTCCCCTAACCCATATGGGCCCTTTGTTGACCGGGCTCCGATTTTGCAAGAGCGTCGATCAGAGAGCCAAATGCGTAGGCTTGGATGTACTTATTGACTATTTTGGGAGTCATTAGTGCGTCTGCAAGCTGAAGACCATGACTATAGACTTTTCGCCGGGGTTTTGTGTGCGTTCCTCTTTCAGCTCTACAGAATTCTCGTTTTTGGGAGCAGCCCATCCAATAAAAAATTTTATTTCAATGCGAAATTAGCATAATAAAGGGGCTCTTTCAAGCATGCGTGCGAGTTATCGTATCCTGCTGGTTCATTGAAGATTCCGACGTAAAAATTTTACTTACTGACTTACTTTACTGACGAATATTTGTTACAGATATCTTTTTATTGCAAGGATTCCCATTTACAACAAATCCTCCGGATACGAAACGAGGAAACCCGCCAGGTTACGGTATCAAAAGTTTTGAAAATTTGGTCATTTCCGATTTTAAGTGATACGCGTGCTCCAAAAACTTTCTTTGTTGCTCCGAAGTCTGCCTAATCCCTGTGGAAGCCATTGAATCTCAGAAAATTTAACCCCAGATTCAAGCAAATCTCGGCGACCCAAAATGTCAGCATCTCAGCGGTTGGGTGTGCCATTTTTCTCTCCGGGGAAACAACGGGGATTTGGGCTGGCTGGAGCTTGGATTTGGAGCGTATGGGGGCGTTTATTGGCTAATTAGTGTTGGGGAAGATGGGGGAGACCCATGTTAGGATGTGTGTGAATGGTGGCCTGGGGTAGGAGGAGCACATTCACAAAAAGCCTTGCTCATTTCGTTTCGGAGACCATTTTTTATTTTTGAAATAATGGCGGTGTCGTTCGTAGATAGCTGACTATATTTAGCACGTTTGGTTATAGAAACCAACGGGTTGTTTGTATAGTTTAGAAGTACCTTTGGAAGAATAGGAAGCCTTGATGATTGATTCAGATAAGGTTACGGTATCGATTAAATAAATTCCATAGCTAATTAAGCAAGTAGAGTAATACCGTTAATAATTTTATTATGATTCTGATTTGTAAAGAGTTTAATAGGGCAAGATAATCTGACGGATTACGTGAAAAACAAAATCCAGTGGGTGCCTCCATTGGCCGGGGTGTCCCGAAGGGATTATGCCCTTTTGGCTGATGTATCTTCCGGGGTGGAAGTCTCAGAGATGTGTATACACAGTGCAGACAGACCTTTCTAAAATACCGCAGTTATGGAATTATGTCCCCTATTTTCATCCTAGCTCCGCCAAAAAATCGTTGTTCTCGGTCGTTCTTGTCCAAATATTCGGTATTCAAGCTGATAAAAAATGGGCGTGGCCAGCCGAAGAATCTCTTGACACAGTCGCTGTCTCTCCAAATGAGATTCGGTCGGTGGGCCCTTCTCCCCCCTCAACCAACCAACTTGGGCCTCTTCTTCTCCTCCTCCTCGGCAAGTTGGCCGGAGGAGCAAGTGGGCCTCTGCTCTTCATGTCGCCCTCTTTTTTTCGCTGCCGTCGAAATCCCGCCCTCGTGGCCCTCTTGGCCCAGCCTCGACGACTGCCCTCTTCTGCCCTCCAGCCTTCCCCTAAAAAAAACCCGACACACACTCAAAGGCACGCCTTCACACTTGCGACTACGGGCTGTTCTTACCGATTCTGTAGATGGGAGATGCCTGGAAATTTTTGGATTCAATCTCGCTATTCAAATCGTACCTAGTGCCCGTGATTCCATTAAAAATGTGGTGTTTTAGGGAAAAATTTCGAAGATTCAAATTTTAGCCCTTAAAAATGAAAAGCTGTGGATTTTTCACGGTACTGGTAATTAGTTACTGAATCTGCAAAACCCCTCTCTCACACTCTCGCGCTCTCTCTCTCTCTCTCTCTCTCTCTCTCTCTCTCTCCCTTTCTCCGTCTCCGCCTCGACATTCTTCTCAAGCCCCCGGGTTTTTTCGGCAGCTCAAAAGACCAAGAATTCCAACCCAGCACCCGAAAAACCTTTTCTCTACCATATGACCGATTAAAAAGGTTTAAAAAACCTAATTCTTCAAAAATTACTATGAAAGGGAAGCCATCGACAATAACTTTAATTATCCTGAAATTCCGTGAAGGAATTCGAGCCCCTTCTGCAAGTCGTAATTCCAATTTACGGCACCAGCCCACGTGCCCATTTTTAAGATGTTCCTTTTGGCATATCGGTCAGTAATAATATGTAGTGTAGCTTGGTTTGATGGCTTCTATCAAACAATATCCTTAATAACTACTCGGTTTATATTGATTTTCTGGTGATTTTATTTCCCTAGTCTAGGCCGAAAATCGTTGAAAAAGACTCGGAATTTTTTATATTCCCTTTTTGGTTTTTTACTTCTGCTGAAGTCGTGGAGAATGATGAACGTAAAGTGCCTTCTTCCTCTGCGGTGAGAACCACGGGTCTCTTCCCTCCCATCCATGGCGGCCTTCCCCCCTTCCCACAGCCAAAATTCGGCCTGCTGCTGAATATTTATGAGCCATTTTCTGATTCGGAAAACATATTTCAAAAGTATTGACCAGGGGAAGGGAGATGTTCCTTTTTTCTGCTATTGTTTTTGGGGTAAGCTGGAAAAAAGCAGCTGCAATTATTTAGCTATTCGGTGATTGCTTGGGGGAGGGGTGCTTCCATATGTTAATGGTATTTTGGCTGCTATTTTAGGTCTAGAAATCTTATCAAGATAAAAATGGCATCAATTTTGAAATTCGGTAAAGGTTCCTAGACGGGGGTGGTAACTAATTCCGTATTTTTAAATGTTATCCGGGTGTTTTTTTGAAAAAAGATGCCATCGGAAAGAGTGTAGCAAATTATAATTAGAGATATCATTTCAGCGTTAAAAACCGAAGTTATAGGTATTTTTTAATTAATAAACTTTATCGGTAAAGTAAGTAGTAAATTAGAATTAAGGCATTTCGGGCTGAAATTCAGTATTTAGCACAATTTTTGGTGCTCTATCGGATGCCATTGCTGACAAGGAGGAAGATAAAATAAAAATAAGTTTTACCTAATCTTGAATTAAGTGATTTAAAATCGTAATCTTAATAGTCCTAATTTTAACTTTAGCTTTTTGAAGCCGATTCTCAAATTTGAGCGCATATCACCATTTTGTACTTGTTGCTCTTGTTTATCCGGCTGTGTAAACATAATGTTAGATGCCACTTTTGACTCGGTAGTTGTACCTCTTTTGTCCACCCATCCCAATATCCCGCAAATCATTTCAGGCCCCCCCCCAAAAAGGGATTCCCTGGGACTCAATTTTTGCGAGAGTCTGCCGTCCGGTGCGGGGGGGGAGGGGGTTCTCCCACAATGGAGGGTCTGTTTGCAATTTATTCCATTGAGAATTGCGGAATTGGAAATTCGATCCCGGGGAGGGGGGGGTCGCGTGCGCTTTTCGGGCGGGACCGGCCGTGGTGGTGGTGGGGTGGCGTATTTCTGTGGTACCTCCTCTCTACTGCTTGGCCTCTTCTTTAGAAACCCACACGTGGAACGAATTCCGCTTGACGGGACAGCAAACGTGACCCCCCAAGAATATTTATGGTCGACCGGGCGAGAAAACACACACATATCCTCCGGGTTTCGTACATAAGGAAACGTTTAACACAGTAATTTAAGCATGACGGTATTTCTATTTTTTTTTTTTTTGGGGGGGTAGAAACTTAATTGATGTTTAAAGGGATAGGGAAGGGCCAGAAACTCCTTGGAATTTTCTCGAATTTCCAGTCTGTAGCTATAGCTTATAATTTTGTATAGAAAGCAACGTTTTTCAAAATTTCGTGGAACGTATATTCCAATATAACATCAAGAGCTACTTTGAATAGCAAAATGCAGTTTATATAATCAAATACGTTCGCCTATCTCTTAGGACCGGAAATGGGCTAGATCATATCAAGGAAAGGCGTTTTTTAAAAAATATTTTTACCATCGGAATTTTTACACAATTTATCATCTCAGATCCCAGAGCTTGAATTCAAATTTTAGCACGGTTCTAAAATCCCTTAAAATCCATATAGCCCGGAAGCCCCGATTTGATAGAGTAAACTGCATCCGGCGAAGATCTGAGGAAGAAGGAATCTCGCTGAAGAGATGTTTTTCGTGTAAATTCGCTTTGCCCCCGGGGGGTTGGCCCTTTCCCCTTTTTTGGGGGCCCTTCCAAAGGGTCTTAATAGATTGGACAGACGGGTGTGTCCCTTCTCCCCAGGCCAGAGAAGGCCTGTCATCGCCATATTTCCACTGAATCGGCTTGACAAGTGAAGCTGCCGGGGCTAGCCGTTTTTTGGCCACGCTAATGCTGGCTTCTGCCCCTGAAAATCGACAAAATATCTGCAAGATTTTTGCGTATTAAATATTTCTTAGATCACCAAAAATCGCACTTTATTTATAGCCAACGTCAGACATCCTCCTCCCCAAATTAACATTTTAATTTTGATACCCGACGCCTGACACCCAAAATTATGCGGGGCAAATTCATGAATAATTTTTGTTAAGCGCGTCGACAGGCTCACGAGCGCATTAAAAAAGCAATCTACAGATTTTCGTAAGGAATAACAGGGGCTATTTTTGGCAAAGCTGTGAATATAAAGGGTTCAGCGATACGAAACTTCAACCTGCCGGCTTTTTCGGAATTTGATTTTTACGAGTAAGATAGCCAACAAAATATTTTGGAAAAAACCGATAATTTTTTTAATTGAATTTTTATGCCTATGATTGCTATTTAAATTGCTATGCATGCTATTTAAATTTCTGAAATGATAGACGTATACTTCACGTTCTTCAACGAAAAAAAATCTGATATGAGCGAAAAATAAGCCACATTTTTTAGATTTCTTGCTCTTTCTAGCTTTTTTGATTTCGTTATTTTGTATGAAAATCCCCTGCAAGGGGTTATAAAAATATAGATAGATTAATTATAGAATTATTAAATGCTTATAACTACAATTTGAAATCGTTCAACTTAAAACACTATTTTAACGGTTTTATCGCAAAAAATCGCTAGCTTTGTATGGGTGGGTGGTGGGTGCCGGGAGAGCGGTTTGTATGAATAATTCGTGGGATGGGTCGTGGTGGAAAAAAGGGGGGAGGACGCAGAGGAGGGCAGGCTTTTGCCCCGTCCACTTCCACCGCTTCTCCCGCCCTACAATGACTCTATTTTTTGCGAGCGCGCGGCTTCTGGTGACGTTTCAGCGTGTTTCAGTTGATAGTGAAGAAACGAGGATGGTGGGGGGTTTCATCGTGTACGTCTTCTTTTGGGGAGAAGGAGGGTGAGAATGGGCGGCTGGCAATAAGCGTTGGCAATTTGTCTCTTCTGGGGTCTGTGGTGGGCCCTTTTGGGGGGTGACATTGTCCCTGTTAGCTCATGATTTATCCTCGGAGGCAGACGAGAAACACTGAGAATAAATATCGTTCCCACGCTCTTGTTTTGGGTAGAACATTCTAAAAAAGCAGCCATTTTCTTCCTGATATCCCGGGATACCCTATGGTGCTTTATCGAGTTCACAGCTCTTTTTTTAATATCCGCGTTGACCCTTTTAATTGCCCTTTCAAGCTAAGCGCAAAAATATACGTTTCAATATCAGCTGCTCCCCGCCACCTCAATCCGGATTAACGGGCGGATTTTTGTCCCCCCGATTTTTTCGAGGGCTACAGACGCAGGCTGTCCGCCCTGACGTTTGGAAATTGTGGAACTACTCGTGCACTTAATAAAAACGTCTTTATTGATAGTAACGTCATGATGTTTACTGATAGTCAATAAGAATCTTTTTTTGCAAAAAAATGCTAAATTTGTTAAATCGGTCTTATCCAATAAAAGAGTTTATATATTGTTTTATGCTAAAAATCACCTGCTATTATTTTTTCTCATATTCTTGTATCCATTCATTGACGCGAAGCCTTTTTGGTGTGCGCTGTCACCAATATTCAAGAATCTCTATTTGCATAGCTGCCCTCACGGCAGCCACTAATCCGTCCGTTACCCGGAAAGATGATTCATTAGCCTGCTAACCTCCTCAATATTAAAGATAAGTGTAATTTGCATTGCAAAAAGTGTATTTTTCTAATCGATTTTCTATACCATACCGTCCCCTTAGATACTTCTCAATTGTCAACAATTAAGTCCAGTTTAATCTATATTTAGAATACCACCTGCTGAATTTAATTGAATGCTCAATCTAATTCCCTTGCAGAATTTCTGAGTCGTAGTACTTCTTTTTCTCATTAATCCCAAAAATCTGTTCCTATTCGGAAACCCTTCCTCCCAATATCCCCTTCCCCCATCTCTCCATCTCAAATTTCCATTTGTTATCCTTCTCCAACAATTCATGCCAGTCAATCGCACGGTTATACCTTATTTTGTTCGTTTTTATTCGTTCGCCTTTCATAAATTCCGCGGCTCTCTCGGTGGTGGGGGGCTGCCTAGCGAAAAGGGCTTCACGTTTTCCGTCGATGCCGCCATTCCCCCCCCCCCATTCTTTTGTTGCCATTCTCGAATCATATGTTGTGACCAATTATATTTTTTTTGGCAGAGAATCGCCGGCGTTCGATGGTTTTTTTTCTGGAAAATATGCTTTTAGTGGTGTTTCGAAATGTTTTACAAGAAGGGTGTGGCTTTTCTTGATGCAATGTTCTTTTTAAGGTCTAATCTTAGAATTTTTGTTTAAAAATTTCCATTAACTTTTAGCAGCGATCGCACGTGTGCCGGATGGGATGGCCGTGGAAACGGCCTCGTCCAGCCCGCCCGGCTCCGACGATCGAGACGACGACGGCAACGAGTCGGCATCCGCTAAGCTAACCCTACCTTTTGCTAATAGGTCAGTATACAAATTTCTATACATATTCCTTACTTTAAAGGGGCACTTTCAGCAGCGCCGGTTTTCCATGAAACGTGGAAAAATTTGCATGGACTTCCGGTTAGAGAACGCGCCCTGGTGATAGGCGCAGACGTTTCGCATGCAAATTTTTGCCGACTCGTGGAAAACGGAGCTGCTGAAAGTGCCCCTTTAAATCTAAGTCCCCATTTCTTTTATAACAACCCTTCTCAAGAAAAATGATTGCAAAAAATATAAACCCCAGCACGGTAAAATCTGTCAAAATTATATCGACAAAATTTGCATCGAAGTAATGTTTTTGCCTTAGCTTGGTATTATTAGGCCTCTTAGCCAGATTAAAATACTAAAAACCAAAAGAATTCCCCCCTAAAACGACCAATATCACATCCTATTTTAGGTATTTTGACCAATCGATAGACATGTAAAAGAATTAAAAAAATTCGTGGACTAATCATGGAGAAAATGCGGCACATATTATTACCCCAAATTACCGGCATGCCAAAAATTCAAACTATCAATTGAAAACGCCCCCTCATGAATAAGAAATTGCCCCTAAAATGCGTCCACCCCACCCAAAACGGGGCCATCCATTTGCGGGAATTCCGGAAAAAAAATGCGCTGGATATTTGGATGGATGATCATTTTTGATGAACTAGACGGGGGAATGCGTTCTTGGTCTATTAATCTTTGCCCAAGAAATGAGAAAATATGCTTTGATGCGTTAATTTAACCCTAAAAACTGACTTTTGGTTTAGACGCGAGCTCCGTTCATCACTGATCAAGCACGGAACGCGTGGAAAGAATTCGGCAAGCCGGAAGACGGTTAGCTTCTGTTCACAAAGGGATGAGAAACGAGTTAGTAATGGTGAGTAGTATAGATATTTAATGTAACTTGTATGTATGCTCAACTTCCGCGTTTCGGTTTCAAAAAACGTTGCAATCCGGTACCCTAAAAGTTGTATCGTTTTAGTGAACGACTGCTGGCAGATTATGCAAAACGGTACAGAGATGGTGAAGCTGAGAGGGAACGTCCGGCAATTCCGCCGCTTTTTTAGGTATGGAGGGCTCTTAATAAACTTGGGAATTTACACAAAATGATAAAGAAGTTAGAAATAATTCCATTTCAGTCTTGACGCTGACCTATCGCACATTAGATGGACCCCGACAAATAAAAAGCCGCATAAAGCAAGGAGTAAGTTTATAGCATAGATTTACGAAGTAAACATATCAAATATAGAAGATAAAAAATAAAATAACTTTTAGTATCCGTCGATGAAATCCGAGAAATACGCGTTGGTAGAAATACAGAACTTCTCCGTGCGTCTGAAACCGCTCTCGCCGATTTGCAGGTATCACTCCCGCAAGTTAAAACCAAATTTGAATATTAGGAAGAATGCGCATTTTCAATAATTTATGGCGAAGACTTCGCGACGCTGGACCTGGTGGCGACGAGTGCAGATCATGCAAACATATGGGTGACCGGATTGATCGCATTAACACAGGCGAGGCACAGTAAGGAATCTGATTTGGATCGAAAATCTGAAATCATAGCTGATAAACCGTCAAGTGCTTCAAATATGGCAACGCTGAGGGAAAGGTGAGTTTACAGATGTTCTTTCAATAGATAGTGTCTAAATTTAACGTAATTTTAAGTTCTGTTATTGTAGAACAAGTTAAATTTAGATGGTTGGAATCCCTATTCGATGAAGCGGATGTCGACAAAAAAGGCAAAGTCGACCACGAAGATCTTGTGCAGCTCATTATTAAAGTATATCTTTTGTTTATTTAATAATCCTTATTCACCTCAGGTTTGCCCTCGGATGCTCGTCGGACGGGTTCGGCACAAAATTAGGGTATGCTTTAACATCTCCACATATCCTTGATTGTTTCAGGAATTATTTGCTGGGGTAGAGCTGGCGGTCGCCGAACCGTGGCAGGTGGCACGCGAGGAATTTGTAGAGCTTTTTAAAGAAATGGCAACCAGGCCTGAGGTTAGAACTCTACAGCGAGATCTTCAATTTTGGTTTAGATTTACTTCTTGATGGTCCGATATGCAAATAAGGATTATTTATCGTGTCAAGATTTGAGGTTATTTTTGGAGACCGAACAAGGGGTGAGTGAATTAAAGGCATATTTGAATTACTTACTTTTTTAGATGATTGGGGTGACGACGGATTATTGCGAACGATTGATAGAGCAATTTGAGCCATCAACGGAGGGGCGGCAAAGAAGGCTGATGACCGTTGATGGTGGGTTTTTACGTTTTTCAGGAGCCGAATTCGAGGTACCATGATTATGGCCAATAAATTCCAATTCAGAAATATTTTTGCAGGATTCACCCGTTATCTACTTTCACCGGAATGTTCCGTATTCGACCCAGCGAGATCGCGTGTTTGGATGGATATGAAGCAACCGTTTGGTCGATATTTTATCGCAACCTCAAATCGCGCCTTTTTGGTTAGTGATATTCCAATTTGCTTTAGACATCCAAAACTAACATAAAGATGAACCGTGCTGGAAAAAAAACTAAAAAATACAGCATTAAAAATATAGTTTTAGGTCGAAGACCAAGCCGGCCCGGCGAGTGCTGATGGGATTGCAAGTGCATTGCGACGAGGATGTCGTGTTGTTGATAGTAGGTTTTCATAATAATAGGATGTTTCTAAATTAAAAGCAAATTAAGATACAATTTTTCAGTTGATTGTTGGGATCCGACAGACTCATGCGAAGAAGCCGAGCCTTATATAGCTGTTTCTGCCGTTAGTGCTCATCGATTTCCGCTTTCTGATGCGTTGAGAACAATTAGAGAATGTGCTTTTGAAAATACTAAGTAAGCGGAATTTCAAGAAAAGCAATATATAAATTTTCTAAAAAACCTTTTGTTTCAGATACCCACTTTTCATTCGCCTCGCGTTTCACTGCTCAATAGAATGGCAGAAAATAGCAGCTAATTTGTTTATTCAGGTGCTTTCATGGAGATCATCGCGATTTAAAGCATATTTTAGGTGCTTTCCCCATACTTGTACGAACAACGAGACGAGTTTGATTCTTTCCAAAAAACCGAGCCATCACCATGGGATTTTCTCAATAAAATTCTGATTACTGTAAGTTTCCTTCTGTCTTTTTTATTTTTGGATTTAGGGAAAACGATTAGCGAATAACGAAAATGAAGGGGAGGTGACGGATGATGACGAAAATCTGCCACCATTGCCGCGGGGACGGGTAAAAAAAGAAGAATATCTATATAGGAAATAATTTAGAAAAGAGTATCGCGGCTTTGCAAGGAAGCTTCCGATTTGGTAGCCCCATTTTGTCATCAGAAATTTATACAGGACCTGTTGTCAACAGCCCCGAATTCACATACCCGTAAGTTAATAATATAGCTTTTATGTTCCGATTATCATTAGTGAATCGTCGGGAGAACATCCCGTGTCTGAACGAGGCGACGGCGTTACGGTTGATGAACACCTATCAGCCGGAATTTATGCAGGCTACCAGGGATTTTGCGATGCGGTTGGTGATAAGAAAACCCTGGAAAGTCGTGAATTTCAGCGTAACGCCAAATTCAAATCGTGTCGACTCATCCAACCTAAACCCCCAAGAATTTTGGAATTGTGGTGTCCAAATGGTGGCTCTGAATTATCAAACCCCCGGATTAATGATGGACTTGCAGGTATTTAAGCTGCATAGCTTAACGATTCATTTCTAACCTAATTTAGGAAGGGAAATTCTCGGAAAACGGCGGCTGCGGGTATGTGTTGAAGCCGGCATGCATGTTGGACGAGCTGTTCGTGCCCGGAGACAAATTGCCCACGCAACCGCAAGTAAATTAGTCGTTCTATAGTCAGAAAAGGGTTCCGGAATTTTAATGACAATTTTATGATTAGGTTGTGCATCTCCGCATCGTTTCCGGCCAGCAACTACCAAGACCACGGGGCAGTACAGCGAAGGGGGATTCGGCTGATCCATTTGTGGTTGTTGAGGTGATTTTTCGAAGTTTCTTGTAGAAACTTCATTTTGTCGAAATTTCATTGCGCTGAAATTTTGCGAAACAGCATTGAAGTTTCGACACTGCGAAATGTCTCCAAATGAAATTTCGACAAAACGATTGTCGATTAAAAATTGAAAAACAAAACCGATTTTTGGCTTTTTCGTGCAATTATTTTTGTTTCCAGATCTTTGGAGTGCCGTCCGATTGTGCTGAAGAACGGACAAGAACAATCAAAAACGACAGTACGTAGTTCGACGCCGATTTTAAACAAATTCAGGCGTCAATCCATGCTGGGATGAATCTTTCCAATTCCAAGTCAGCGTGCCCGAGGTTGCGCTAGTACGGTGGGATCGATTTGTAAAGATTAATTAAGTTCTATTTTAGGTTTCTGGTGCTTGATGACGATTTTATTGGCGACGATTTTATTGGGCAGTATACTTTGCCGTTTGATTGTTTGCAGCCTGGTAAGTGCAAAATTATGCCAAGCTTTAGAGCTCACCAAGGTTTCATAAGTGCAATGCGTAACTCTTACCGGCCTTTCCCTGAATTATAAGCATTTTCAAACAATCTTAGGTGATCAAAATTGATATAATGGCACAAAAACCCGATCCATTACGCGGTAGCTACACATATTTGAAAAGTCTACTCGTCTACCCAACATTACATGTTGCGAATGTTGCATTAGCATCTTGAGACCTGACCCCTCTCCTGAAGCCTGGGTCCGGTTACTTCCCGAATGTACCCAGAATAACTTTTAAGGGGTCCGTGGGTGGGGTTCATTTTTCTAAGGGGCGACTGATTGGCCTAATTTGAGGGTACCGGCACATCCATCTCCGAAATAATGAGGGAGATCCGCTCGAGAGTGCGACCCTCTTCGTCCACATTGCCGTTACAAATCGCCGAGGAGGAGGGGTAAGCCTGGACCTTTAGCAAAAGTTTCTATCAAGGTGACCAGCAATTTAGCATTTATTTAGACCCAAAACTATTAAAATCCAAAACCCAACCCTTTCTCAGCCCCGACCAATTAACAAGGGAAGTTCAACAAGTTCATCTCGTAAAACTTTTTTCAAACTCTTTTATTTTACGACCCCAAAAATATTCTCCCTGCTTGTTGAATGCTTCTGCCATTGACATATTGCATTTTTGCGCGCACATCAATGCGTTCGACCCTGAGCTTGGCTTTTAGAAAGCGAAACGACGCGGTATGTCGGTGAAACGCAAGGCCCAACGTGCGCAGACCGGCATCAAGCTTGTCGGCATCAAGGTATTCTAAATATTGCCATTGGTATACGATACCCTAGTCGGTTGATGAGCAGTTCAAGGAGGCTGTCGCTCCATTGGCTGATAGTATCGATATGCGAACGAAGCTCGAGGAGGCTATGGTAAGGGAGAAATGGTTACATCGGTGTGCGGGCGTAGCCAGTGTAGAGGATGGGAGGTCTGATACCTTCGGACTAAAAAAAATTCCTTTTTTTTAAACATACTCCATTAGTCAAAGAAACGTTGTGTATTCTTTATTTAGGTGGAGTGGCAAGAGGAATGTGGACTTGGCCCTGCCGGAACCATTAGACAGGGGCTTCGCCTTCTCCACTCCAGAATTGCACCATTTGCTAACAGCAGTAAGCCAAGAACAATCTTATTTAAATCGTTTTCAGCTTCACCACCGTCATCTCCAAGTGACGAAGGAAAGGCTCCGGAGGTCGTGCCGTCCTTCTCGGTAGATGCCGATGAAAAAGGGGTATACCTTTTGCTCTAAATTCGTAAACTCAAGCCATCCAGCATCCGACCATCAACACCATCGGCCAGCTACCGGAACAGCTCACCAAAGCCATTGAGCGTCTGTGTGCGCTGCTCTCGGTTTGCGGAGAGATCTTGGCGAATGCTGACTCGCTTCTTCTCAAGGTAACTTTGAAAAATACCTTTTTTTATAAGTCCTTCTAGATCGAGGACTCGATCAAGCGCATCCAGGACAGCCATGATGATCTCGAGCGTCTGGCGGCCGAGACTGGCCTACGTGGCTTGAAGGTAGCCGCGGCCAAACAAATGTACAACATTTGATTATAGGCCACCCGGGCTCAAGAGAATTTCACTTGGAATTTACGTCTTCTAAAGGCGCAGCTTGGACTGATGGGCAAAAGTCAGGATGAAGCACGTGGCGTGGCCAGACAGGTGAATCCTAAGACACTTTTTCTCCAACGGCACTAGTGGTTTTACGACGATAGACACAATTTTTCAGGTCTTCGAAACGGCTGCGGTGCTCGGTGTACTAGCGCCGCGTCTCCAATCCGGCCGTCGCTTCTCGGCCTTGGTGCCCCATCCCCATGATGTATCCCTCTGATCCCTATAGACATCTATACTACCTAAAATAAAATACCGTTACGATAGGCTACCATCCACAACATTTAATGCAATTTACTACAAATATTTTGTAGCTCCGGTGATTTCGAATTCCTAGTTATACCTACTTTGGTTGCCCCACACAACTAACCCCCCCCCCCCCCCCTTTTTTTCTGGTTTCCCAATTAGAAAATGATTGTGACGACAGACACTTGGTTTTTATGGTGCTATGAATATTGTGTGAAATATGTTAATAAAGATTGAACTTTGAATGGCAGCTGTAAAATTACACGATATGGGAATGGCAAGAGCTTTGTCGACGCTACCGTAACCCCCAGGATAGACAACGGTTTACAACAGCTTTTTGGATTTTGTCGTTTCTACCAGGGGATGCGTATCCAAAAAAAACCCACTAATGGTGCAAGTGGTGCCCCAGGTGAGGGTATAGATGCAATGGGGTATCGATCGAACCGAGGGCTGTGGGGGCAGCGATTTGAATGAGTCTCTGTGCGCGGGCCAGGGTAGAGCGACGCGCCATGGTGCACCGTTCAAATCTACTAGCCCGTCAGGTGCTTTTAATTTTCGATAAGCTGTCCCCCAATCTGGTAATAATTTTCGTGAACTCCTTTAAATGATTTCAAGTCCTCTGTTCAACGCGATAGCCGCAATACCCCTGATCAAAGTTCTTATCTGAAAATGGGTACGTAATTTCTGGAATCCTATGCCGCAATCGGAGAGAAATAATAGCTAGACACTAGAAAACACTAGAGAAGAAAAGACACTAGACACTTGCCGGTGCGCCACTTCCGGATTCACGAGAATTATTTTGGATATTTGGACAACCAGCCAAAAGTCATACAATAGGCAAATTAAACCCTTGATCAGCTTCTGGCGTTAAAATCCATCTTTCAACGCGATAGCAAGGGTTTTGATTTAGCATGCAATATGCAACCATTTTTTACCAACCGACCTCTCCGATTCCGTTCATTTCCGTTCCGGTTCAGCTTCCGGTTCACCCCTAGACCCCCCAGCTATAAGCCTGCAGTTCTTCCTATCGCCGACCCAACCCCCATTTTACAAAGTGCTCTTATGTATTATAAGACCTAAAGTGCTCCCCCGTCTCAGCGGCGTCCATTTCGATTCAAAACAATTTTGTTATTGTCCCGGCCGAGGTGACATATTATTTATTACAAATGGCACTGTCTTCGGATGGCATTTTTATTAGCCTCGGGGTTCAGTTTCCGACCGAAAAATCAAATCGTGTGGCCAGACTATAGCTAAATCATTTGGCCTTGTTTTTTTATGTGTAAGTCATTTTCATAGTAATTTTAAATTTAATCTACATTTGAAGAGAAAATTGAAAATTAATGTGATAACTGAGCGGGTCGCGGCAAGGGAACGACCATTAGTGGTCTCCAAGGCTGAAGCTCGTTTGAAATAAGTAAAACATTGATAACAGCATCTGCTCTACTCACTAACTAAAACTGTAAATAATCAAAAATAATTTTAACAACAGGTGTCTATTTAATAGTTTCTTATTATTATATCGCTTATAGGATAGGATTAGTAGTTTTGAACCTCTGTTCATCTCATCTAAGTTGATCACCCCCTGGTTGGGTCACCGATTTGTAATTTGCGAAATTTTACGCTTTTCCGCGTCAAGAAATCGAGGTCGTCTCTCAGAACCAAAAATTTTTAAACCGGAAGTAGCCTTAACCTTTAAGCTTCTAAAAGTCACATTTGAAGGAGTTAGGGGTTTTATTTACATGCAAAAGCTTTCTTGATTACTCATTATCTACTCCTCGCAATGGTTGAATACCTAGAGATAGCTGGGAGGGGTTTTTCAAATTACCGTACCGCCCTGCCATCCCCAGTTAAAGTTTATCCTTTTAGTTAAATTTAAGTTAGACCAGCATCCGCATTAATTAATTTAAGTTTGAATTTTTAGGGCCACCACAATTTCGTGGGGGTCATATTTTTGCTGTTGATGCATGAAGACAGATTGGCAGATGGGAGGGGGAATGATTGTCGCGCCATGTCCCCTCGGGGTACAATGAATATCGTTGGTTCACCCTAATCAGGCCCCCAGGCGCAAACTGGACAGAAGTTACTCACCCCCCATTTTCGCACCACCGATTTTGTCACTTTTTTGGGACGCTCATCATTTATTAAAGATTCTATTTTTTCCTAGTTTCTGGAGGGATTTCTTAATTAGTAATCAGCTCTCACAAAGGCTTATTTTATATAGTTATAAAGCCACTTGCATTGTCCTTTCTCTTGGTCTTTACGGTCCTTTACACCCCTTCGCTTCTTGTTTTCAGCACCTTATAAATATTTTTATTAATGTTACTACAATTCCAGGAATGCGATGGACCCCCACGGCAATTATTCCGCTAATGGTTCTCTAATCATGGACTCGGCCATGCCAGCTTGCTCGCAACCTCTACAACAGGTATGTACCATCAAGAAACTAGAAACATAGAAACTTGGATCCCCTCATTTAAAATTCCGAATAGAAACACCTTACAATTAATAAAATAATAATTCTAGCAATCCGGCGGTTTCCACAACCGTCCTATTAACCAGCCCATGTACAGCAAATCGAGCGCCTCGAACCCAGCGGCTGTCATCAAAACGGTACCAAATAATATTGAGATCTCGAAGGCCATATTTTCAGCGACAAGCGATAAACCTTGGACAGGCAAGGATCGGCCAGTGGATCGGCCAATATGGGTTCACGCACCAACGCCCACCGGTAGGTTTTTAATAAAAATATGACAATTCGTTTTTTTAGAGCAATGCTCCCTCGGTAATCTCGGCCATCTCCAACAGCTCCGGCATGACGAATATGTCCAACGTAACGGCGCTTTCCGTCATGACCGATTTGGACGCCCAATTGAGTAGAATGGTACTGGCAGATCTATTATTGTAATATAATTAAATTATCTTTAGTTCATCAACGAGTCATCACAACAAGAAAACTATAGTCCGAGGTATTATGCGGAAGAGATTGCTCGGTTGCTGGTTGTGATCAGAGAGTCGGCGATGGCACGTCGTTGGGTATGGTTTAATATATGCTACAAGCTAGTGCCTCCTTGGAAAGAGGCTACATGGTTATAATGTTCTTAATTTTAGGATGATCTCACAAGGTTTTGCTCTGATCTTGTCGATCGTCTTCAATTCGGGCTGGCATCTCCAGAAGTCGTGCAACAATATCTGACGCACCTGGTAGTCCAGATGCACGGACTGGTTACTTGGCAGGATACGCCCCCAAAGGTAAGTCTGGACCGCTATGGCATACGGCATACTGTAGATGCCACTGATGAATCCTAATTTTATTTAATTCCTTTTCAATATGTAACGATTCTTTTTTAGGTAGTTGGAATGGCTTGCCGTGCTCTACTTCTAATTGTCAACCGGGTCAGCTTCGGAGCCTATGAAATCTGGCGCTTCGATGTTGGACTCAGATCCATGCTCCCCTTACGTCTTATTCAGCTGCTAATGCCAGGGTGAGGCTAAAAAGGCTAAAAATTTTACAAGCACAAATATTACATTCATTTCATTGATTATTTCAATCATTTAGGGCCCCAGGCATCGATGAATACGTTGGCCAGGTGGTGGCGCTGATCTCGGGCATCCTTCGCGTTGACCGGGAGACACCACATGCAAATCGAATCCTGAAATACTTTATGAACGCTTGGAGAAATAAGGAGACGGTCGCCTGGTTCGTTCCTATTGATCCTTCGTATAATAATTTTTTTTATAGTTTGCTCAACATTATCGCCAAATTAAAACAAGAAGTGTTGGTGCAACGAATCACGATTAGTGTGTTCAACCATATCATCACTCGTCAGGACGCGTTGCAGGTAAATTAAAAAATAAATTGAGTTATGCTCGAAAACAGCTCAATAACTACTAGCCATGTTTACAAATCCTCATTTCAGAGATTTGCTTTTGAGAAGGGAGCGCTACAAATCTTCCTGGAAATTTTGAAGAACCCGGAGGACGAGGAAGTGCTCTTTATTTGTGCGAGGGTAAGTTTTTCAGCTTCTGATTTAATTTTTTCTTCAGGCACTGCGCAAATTCATCCATGCATCCGAGGGCAGTGATGGATACGGTATCGCGATCTACAGGTTGCAGGGAGTGCGAATCTGCGCTAACCTATTGACGCACGGGTCCACGAGATTACTCCAAGAAATGCTAAAGGTTCGTTGTTTTAGGCTGTTTTTAGTATTTAACGGACAAGTAAAATACGGTAACTTGTATATCAAACCCATAATTAATTTTATAATTTCTAGCTAATCTGGAATCTCGCACCCTTGATCCCAGCCGACGAGCCAGCCGCTGAAGCAATTGTCCAACCTGTCCTACGGTAACTCGCCCCGGTTTTAACATCTAGAATCTGTTCAGGCTTCTTGGCACCTCTGATGCGGTTGTGGTCGATTTTGTCGCCAAAATCCTGGACGTCCTCTCAGAACATAAAAAATTTAAACAAATTATTCTCAAGTAAGACTACCGCCTGATACTTGTCGATGCAGAAATTTCAGCCACGGTGCCCCGAATCGACCAAAAGCTATAGACGAGCTGTTCTCAACCCTCCAAATGGTCCAGCCACCGATGACGCAAACAGTCGACTATCCGGAAGCCTTGAAAATATTTGACAGCCAAAGGGTACGTTTAGCGTCAGAGCAGGCAATATCTACGATCTTTTGCAGCTGGGGATCTGCGCAACGTTGTCCCACTTACTTCACGGAGACGACCCGGATTGCCAAGCCCAAGCCATCGCACTGGTATTGCTTTCAAGCAGCGACAATATATTTTTAAAAATTTAGATATGCGATGAAGATGATCATCAGCGATATGCTCTTCGCTATAACTGGATTCTGACTGGCCACCTACAATATGGAAAGCGCGACCTAAAAGCTTGCATAATGCTGGTCTCGGTAATCCTAATAATTCTACTGTTATTATTTTTTTTCAGGTCATTCACAGTATCATTGCCCAGAAGGGTGTTCCCTACCTGCTGAAATTCGCCTTCGGAGCCTCTCCTTTGCCTTCAATTGCCGTACTGCTCCTTGATATCTACCACTATTATACGTCACAATACATTCACGAGGTATTTGAAATCAACAAATTGAACCTGTGCTGGTTTAGAAACAAGAGCCCAGGCAGCCTAAGCAGGGTGAGCTACTCAGCCTGCTTACGATGCTCAACCATCTCGTCTGGCGATGTGCACAACATCCTAACTATGCGGCGGAGATGGCGCCAGGATTCAAGTACGATTTTTGCTCTTTCTATAGTTTGTAATATGGCTAGCCATTGCTTTACCCCCCAGCCTAAAGGTTCTAAAATTTTTCGATATGTTTGCCATTTTCTGGTATTCCTTAAAAGGCATTCGATAGGGCAACAAAAATATACGATAAGCTTTTATTGGCAGCTCAAAATATTGTAAGATAAAAAGTTATAGTGAAAACAAAAATGATTATGGCAAAAACCTAAAAAAAACGAAAAGTTGGCAAACCTGTTAAACACTAATTTAATTTTTAGAAATTTTATTATTTGTTTGCAATTTTCGACCGGAGAATGATAGCTGGGTCCCAGCGCAGTCTTCAAATTTTTTAGCACGTTCCGGCTGGGGGGGGGGGGTAAAGTCAAATCTTACGATTCAAGTACGCTTTTCGATCCTTCTATCGTTTCTAATCTTACTTCACAAGGAAAAACCATTTTTAAACATGTGATTTTAGCAGCGTCGAGCGCTCGCAAATCAATCCGCAGACTCAAATGAATTGGGATGAATTGTTGACATCAACGGGTGGTCGCCAGGTGCTGCTCGGATGGTTCAGACTGGCTGACAAACTGATTGAGACGACGAAATCGACAAAGTGCTGCAACCATACCCGGGTCTTCCTAAATACTGTCAGCAAGGCCCATGCAGCATACCCAGATTTGGGTAAGTTCTTTGTCATACAGCGCATCTCAAAACCATTTTTTAGCCGGAGCGGCGGAAGCACTGTTGCATCGGTACAGCGCGAACATCGGCCGATGATCCTGAATCAAATTGAATGAACTATCCCAATTTAGTCTAGTGTTGGGTTGTAGTCTGTGCTTAGTGATTCTACATGATTAACCCGCAATTGATTTTAAAATGTTGGCCGATTAATACTACCCCCTAGTCCTAGGCAATATCATGCCTCACCCTGCCTACAATCTTTGTACGAAATACTTTTGAGTTCCTTTCTTGATTGTTTGCCGTCGTTTGGGTTAATTTGATCATTGATCTCGTGTGTATACGCCTAGCCGCGCTTGACCCCTAGCGGCCTTTTCATCTGTGACGGGTTCTCGAGAAATTGGTATTTTCTTGTTCGATAAAGTATATCATACTATGCGGCTTTCACGAAAATGATTTATTATCGAGAAGATCAAATTGAACTATCCGTAACGTGAGTAATTAGTTGGTGGTGCCGATGAACTGCTTGGCGATGGCCTGGATCTTCTCGTCTGAAAAATATAAGGGTTATTTCAACACATCGGAGGAAGAATTGGATAATTAAAAAAACTGACTCTTGACGACGCTGGTAAGGATGGGGAATTTGTCCTCGAAGTCCTTCTTGGCATCGTCGGAGAGGGCCTTGAACTTGGTGATGAAATCCTTGGCCTTGCCCTAGAAAAATTGAATTTGAGTGTAAGTTCCGAGCTAGCAAACCTTTAGCTCCTCGATGCTGGGCTTGTTTCCGGAAAGGTAAGCGTTGTGAATCTTGCGGGTCTCAGCGATCACCTAAAATATAGAGTCTAAGCATTTTTTTTTGACAAAGATTCATAAGTATTATAATCTTTATTCGTCGACCTACATACCTCCTTGGCGAAACCCTTGGCCTCTTCGTTGAGCGAGTTGACCTTCTCCTTGACCATCTCGTGAAGCTTGTGCACCTTCTCCCAAGTGGCCGGGCTTTCGTTCTTCAGGGCGGCCAGAGCCTGGCAAAATTATTTGCTACAGTGTCTTTCTGGATGCTCTTTACCTCATCCTCATTCTTGAATTCACCGTGGCGAACGGCAATGGCCTTGAGGGCTTGACGGTCGGCGTCCGTCAAATCTTTTAGGATCTTCGCAACCTCCTCGGGAAGCAATTCTGAAATGTGAATAATAATATTCTAGCTTCAACGTGAGTTCCATAATGTCTAAATTAACTAACCCTTGTACTGATCGGGAATGTCATCATACGAGTTGATCGGGCTAGCCAGAGCAGCACCAACGCAGAGGAGGGCAACCAGAAGCACAGAGGACTGCATTTTCAACACCCGCTAAAATCAGTTATCTTCAAGAAATTAGATCCGGGAACCAAAAGAAAGAAAAGCCGGCCATACGAGTCCGTTACAATCATCAAGTGGACCAAGTTCACGCCGCTGACCACTAGGGTGGGCCCTTTATACGCAGTGGGCGGTGCTAAACATCCAACGGCCAGCGGACACACCCTTCACGCTCGCATTTTAAAATACACCCTGCTGGGTGGTCTGATTTGGAGCACGAATTGATCGGCACGTCGTTGATCTCGTTGAGAAATTGGAAAACCTGGCGTTTTTTTGGAATACTGTGACCCGGACAGCTGTGGAATTTGTTGTCATAGGGACATGAGCAACTGGCATTTATAAACATTAATCTTTGAGTGAGTCAGAAAATTCCTGGTGATTAATGGGTACCATGGGACTTGGTAAGGCAAGAAACAGCTTGAAACTTGACAAAAACGGGGAAATTTAGGCCCTATAGCTTGCCCACCGAATGCTAAAAAGTTTTACGTGCGTGGAAAAGCAGTTTCGCTGGTTTTAACGTTTGTCCCTGCCTGAATTAATAATTAATGAATTTACATAGTCAATTTGCACATAAAATTGACAAGAAAAATAGTAGTTCGGGTATCCCCTAACCATTATGTGTATTTTTTCATGCGTTAACCTAAATTTTCTGCCGATACGAGACTAGTGTGCAGGGCCGTACCTGGGCCGAAATTTCGGGGGCAGGACCGAAAAATTTTTTGACGACCTCCCCCCGTCGACGCTTTTGTAAAATGGCGGAGAAGTAAAAAGCAAAATTGGTTAAGAAACACCCTGGGATTGAGCCAAATCGCGGCAAAAATGCACTTTTGAACCGAAATTGCGATTCAATGAATGAAAAAATGAGCGCCGCAGGCAAAAATTTTCAAAAATGGTGTTTCTAACACCAAAAACCCACTTGCGAACAGCTATAAAAAGCGCCGCAGGCAGAAAAATTTTCCGGAAAAAGATCATAAGGGTCCCCTTATGAACTTTTCGGGCGATTGCGGGGCGGGGGGGGGCGGCTCGCCTGGGGCGTCCTGAGAGCGCCCCAGGCAGCAAACTTAGCGAAAATTGCGATAAATTTACTGAAAAAACAGCGCCGCAGGCTGAAATTTTTGAAAAACGGTGCCTATAGGATAAAAAAAATTGTGTTAAAGAGCGAAGAAAAAAGGCGCCGCAGGCAAAAATTTTTTGAAAAAACTGTCTATATTATAAAAATAAATAGCGTTTAAAAGGCCGTTTGCGAGTCACCCGAACAAGGCTTGGCACAGTTTTTTTCGAAATTTTTTGCGAAAAAACTCTAAAGGGCCTTATGCGCTTTCCGGACTCGGTCGATTTTGGGTGGAGGTCTATTTCTCCTCACTCTTTATTCTTGTCGAGGGTGCCGTGATCAGGCAAGCCCTCTGCCGCGCTAAGATACCGTTAGTAACCGGAATAAAGTGCTTTAGCAATACGGGTTTTCTGCTTTACCTCGCCCTGTATTCTCCCTACTCTGGGCTTTCTATCGCTATATCAATCATCCCGATCCGTTACTTCTCCATGGAGTTACCGCCGTATCATTATTGCCTATTTTGGGCTTTTTCTCCAAATATTAGCCCATTAATGGTGCCAAAATAATCTCCTAACAACACCCAACCCCATCTGCCACCCTAACATTAGTGCCAAAAAAATGCGGGAAAATTCAAACTTCTAGATTACCTGCCCCCTCCATGGGGGCAGCAAAAATGGCGAAAAAAAACATAAGGGTACTACCTTATGTACTTTTCGGCCCCCCGAGGATTTCGGGGGGGGCAGGCTGCCCCCTGCCCCCCCTCGTACGGGCCTGCTAGTGTGTCGGAAATTGCTATGCGCTCAATTTCAGAACCGCCTAATTCTCCCAATTTCAAGTGTGGCATCAAATTTCCAGACATCTAAACAATTCGGTGGTTTAGAAGCACCGTTCGCCGTAGTTTATGTTTAATCTCTGGGTCTGCAGGGGAAATTCGAGAACTCGCCCGGGATGAGCCCTTCATAAGCGTGCGGTTTTGGACTATTTGAGCACCCTCGTCGATCACTGTAATCGAAATCATACTTACCTAGATTTCTTCGATTCGATCTATCGATACAATTCCTATTTTAGGCTTATGGTTTGCAAAATTATGGTTGTGCTTGGTCGGACTGACCGGGGCTAAATGTAACATGTCAAGGGGCCATCCATCCGTTTTTTTTTGGGGCTGCTCCCTTTAATTACTGTGGTCGAGCATTTTACAGTGGCCAGATCTTTTTGTTGAGGAACAGCTGGGGACAGCAGCGCTCCTAAATCCTAAAGTTCACTCGAAAAACGCAAACAGCGATCAAAGTTTTCCAGGAAGGTATCTGGAATTTTCGAAAAAAAAGATTGGTACCGGCCTCTGATCAGTTAAAAGCCATAATTTCTATTAGTTGAAATTGTGTTATTCTATTGCACTGTATCATGATAGACCCGCGACCAAAAAGTAATAATTTTTGAACAAGCCGAGATCATCACAGAGCGGCTTCCCCTTTTCATCTTTTGTAAATCTTTGAAATGCTATACCTTTTCCTCGATGTCAGGCCATTTGCGCTGTTTTGTGTAAAAAGACCACATTTTTAGCCCCCGGGACCGTCGGAAAGTGCTATATAAACAGTGAACATCGGCCGATATCATTTTGTAAAAAACAGCCCTAGCTTTTCCCAATTTATGACTATCTAGAAACTTCGGACCCTGAGGGGCCTTTGCCGGTTGAGTCAGATTGACCTTTGGGAAATTTCGGCCAATGGGCCCTTTGGGCCCTAAGGATGAGACGGGCAACTGTTGCAATGTGGCCATGGCCATACATCTTTTCCGAATTATGCCCTGGCCGATCGTTTTTGCCCAGCCGAGTGGATGGTATTTAAGGGGAGCGCTGCTCACATGGCTCACGGCATTTCGGTTTCGAACTTTTGTTGTTTCTCGCGGCGTTGGTCTATTTTGTAGGCATACCATGGGTGCTTTATACCTTGAAAGTGATTTTCCGCCTTGTTTTAGGGGTACGGTGATGAAATAATTCTCTAATTTCTAGGTATGTACCGTCTTGTCGCCGTCGTCCTCCTGGCTGGAGTTGCGCTCTGCGCCCCCATCGAGAACTTCGATGATATCCCCAGCCAGTACAAGGGTAGGTGCAACTTTTCAGTTCTGTAAAATCTCAAGGTGATAAAAATAGGTTCCAATAGATTACTCTAGATCTGATCCCCCCGGAGGTTGCTGATCATCTGAAGTCTCTGACCGCCGACGACAAGAAGGCCATCAAGGCTGTTGCTCTTCGCTACTCCGAATTCAAGACCGAGGATGAGGTGTGCCTAATTGAATTGACGAATATCTAAACATATCCCTTAATTACTTCAGCTCTAAAAACTAAAAAATGACTATAAAAAGCTTTTAGGCCATGGAGGCTCTGAAGAAGGAGAACGAGGGCACCTGGGAGAAGGCCCAGAAGCTGCACAAGTTCGTCCAGGAGAAGGTTGACAAGCTCGCCCCGTCCGCCAAGGAATTCGTCACCGAGGTATGGTATTCGCTCCTATTATCTATAATTTATTAATAATCGATCCACAATTCCTAACAAAAAAAACGTATAGGTCCTTGCCGCCACCCGCAAGCTCCACAGCCAGGTCATCTCCGGAGTCAAGCCCAACCTTGAGGAGCTTAAGGTATGCAAGGTTAACGGCTATTAAACAGAAATCATAATTTAATTAATTTTTCAAAACCATTAATCCTTGTTTCTTTTCAGGGACAAGCCAAGTCTTTCATCGAGAAATACCAGGCCCTTCCCGAGGAGGCCAAGGCATCCTTCCGCGAGCACTTCCCCATCACCGCCGGACTTGTCAAGAGTAAGTATCCTACAAACACAGGAAATTCCTCTCATTTTCAGACGACAAGTTCAAGGCCATCGCCGAGGGGCTGCTCAAGGTCAACTAAGCCAAATACCATCGATTATGTATTTTTGCATTTCAATAAATTTATCGAATTGAGGAGAGGGAACACTTGAAGTAAGCAATCGATAAAATATAAAGATAAAGATGAATATAGCTTTCGTGATAGAAATTTTCAAACCTTGGAGGAAATTACTGTATAGCTTTTCCCGGTATCTCTCCCTCCGACTTTCTCTCTCCTTCTATCTCTTTCACTCACTCTCCCTCTCTCTTGGCTCTCTCTTTCACTCTCTCGTTTGTTGACCTCTCCACCCTCAGATCCAGACACAAATCAACCTCCCCACCGAACGCTGGATTCCAGCAATTTACACGGAGCTCCAACCTGGCGCTCCAATCACATTTGAGGGACACCCCGGGGATTGCAGGCGATCCGTTGTAACACAGGGGTCAGACAGGCAGTTGTAATCAAAATCAGTGTGGCGCTGGGGCCCAAAGGGATCGACCCAACCGGGGATTCTTGCTGATTTCTCGGCATTGCGCGAGTGTAACGCATTTCGGAGCAGACTATAGGCAAGGCGTTTCATTCGTTGGTCTTGAAAATTAAAAATAACAACTTAGTTAATTTGAATTTTTGGTTTTCACGGTTTGTAAGGAAAATATAAAATATAATAGATCCCTTCATCGGCGGTCCTGAAAAAAATCAAAAATTTCTATTGAAATTCAGGCGCAGTCATTCTGCATTATAATTTTGGGGGCATTTATAAGGAGACTATAAGCAAGTATGTCACGAACGCTGTTGAGCTTTAAAAGTTCCTATTAAATTTTTATGTTATGCATTTAGGTAACAATTGTAAGCTTTTACGAAAAAGCATTATTAACTTGATCACACGTCTCCAAATAATCACAGACATTCAAAACCAAAGCCCAAAACAACCAGGTCAAAAGGAAGCTAGCGTAGCGATCACGGTTCAAGAACCCATAAAAGCTGAGTATCACAGGGTCGAAATATGGATAGAAACGGTTGAAAGAACTTTATGATAAGTTATCACAAGTAGCGGACCCGTAAATTTATGCGGACAAACCCTAAATGATAGAAGCATTTTGGAAGGGCTGGCTAATAGTTGTAATATAAAATTAAATAATTTTATTTCCCGTTCCGTAGCACCCGTAGACGATGGCTCCAATGACAGCTTGGAGACCGGTTGTGACAAAGACGTACCTGAAAATGTATATTAAAGAGATTGAAAAAGCCAAAAAGGGTAATTTAAGGATAAGAGTTGGTTTGAAAGCCATACCCCCAATTATTATCTGTAGCCTCGAGAATATGGCCAGCGACGTAGACACCAACAAATCCAGTAACCGCCCCGAATGCGTTAAAAATACCTGTAAAATCGAAATTACCAGACATCTTTTTGAGTATTTTAAGGTAATATAACTGCCTACCGAATACTGCTCCCGTATGATGAGGAGCAAAATCGTGAGGATTCACCGAGACACCACCATGATGAAGCCCACGTGCGGCCATGGCTAATGTGAAAACGAAAAGGGCTGATGTGAAGGTGCTTGTCGATGGAACCATGAAGAAACATAGCGCACAACCGGACAGGGAAACTCCCTGGAATTTAAAAAACTTTCAAGTAGGCGTCTTTTGTGACACCGATCTATTAAAACGGAATCTTTGCTATCAGGTACGTTTTGGATGAGTAAAACCTATTTTGTAGATCTGTATAAGGGCAAGTTTAAAGATATTATGAAGCATTAAAGGCGAAAAATCCAAAATGGCTTATTAAGGTTATCTATCAGGTTTTTCGGAGTAATCTGTTGAGAAAATTAGTTGGCATACCTGACAATTAGTGAAAAAGATACTCCTTCGAATTTTCGACTTTTGGGGCGATTGTTTTAGTTTCCGGAATTTAGTTTATTTCTTTGTGAGTTTCAGCGAATAAACCCGCTTCGAACCATCGGAATTTAACAGCCAAAAATGATTCTGCAAAATTAGGAATTTTGCGATATATAGCTCATTTGAAGGAGCATTTTTCTTAAATAGGTTTTCAAGATTAACTATAAAGTGCTTTTTAATCGATAAGGGTTTCAACAGGTGATTGCTAGAACCGGTTTCAATACCCGGATGCCACCAAAAGTTGTCCTGTTTAATGCAGCAAAATAAATTTAAAGGACGTTTCATTTAGCGCAAACAAACTATCGACGCGGCCCTGATGCCTCTAACCCCCATCAATACCTACCTCCATAATCCTCCTTGTTGCTGTCATCGATTTCCCAGACGAGATCAATCTGGTGGCAATAAATGGCGCGATCATAGATGTGACGACAATGGCTGCTGATGGGACAACATTGTACACGACACCCTTTGCTGTCGGGAAATTCTCATGGAAATACGATGGAAGCCAATTGAACATGGTGAAGTAGGCATAGCCACCCGTGAACTGCGCGAAGACGGCTGCCCTGTAATGATCGTTTGCTTTTGGCGAGCCTTGGAAAACTCACCACCACGAAGGATGGCGAATTAAAGTACCCCACGGTACAGCCTGGGCCGCATTTTGAACGGCGATTAGACTTAGATTTAGTACAGGTTCTTCTTTCTAAAAAAACAGATGCTAATTAGCCACATTGATATGCACATTTTAAAGGGATGGTGCCTACAGGACCTACCTCTTTCAACGGTGTTGAATCGTCATCTGAATCATTCCCCGTGGCCCTTTGCTCCGAGCCTCTTGTTAGAAGTGTTCGAAACCACCAATACCACAAAAGCGAAATTATACCTGAATTTTTTAGAGTACTTTTAGAAAATATATAATCGCTTAGCCGGCTGGAAACCTTCCAAAAACCAACCCATCACTTGAAAGAGTGCTCGCCATCCAAGCCAATCTAACAATACAGACCCAACAGCACCAGCCAATACCGTACTGAAAATGAATTTTTAATGGCATCCAATTTGCCTTAGAAGTCGATTAACAAAGTTTTTTTCGCAAAAATTACCCAAAATGAGATCCAGCCAGACAAAATCCAAAAACCTTTCCCTTATCAACCGTTGTCAAATGTCGAGAAACTATCGAAGCCATTGATGGTATATGGAAACCTAGAAAATTAACAAAAATATTACATTTTAAACGCATGCCTTGTGCAATCCCGGTAAATATGCGAAATATCGTCAACACAATCATTGGAAACCCAGTCCAATAGGCAAAATCAAAGATTTGAGGTGTAAAAATAGTTAAGCAGATCCAGATAAATGATGAATGGGGCAGGATTTGTTCGCCACCATACCTAGAATAATTTCCATATTTACCGCCTGAAATTGAACTTACGCATCGGCAAATCCACCGGCAACTAACTGGGTAATGGCGTAGCCCCAGAAGAAACAGGAAAGGATTATCCCCTAAAAGTGGGATTCACATAAAGCTTCATTTTTTGAATTAAAGAGTTGAAAGTCTGCAAGCCTACCGAATCTGTTTTATTCCATCCATATTCGTGCGACATTGTCGCTGCACAAATTGGTAGTGCTATTCGAGACGCGTAGAGTACGCAAGTTCCAATAAACATTGTTGCTGTCCATATTCGGGTTTCGCTTCTAAAATTCAAAACCTACGGTATTACCGTCTTTACTATTTTTCAATATTATTCTCCAAGTGCCCAGACGATTTCTAATGGCTATTTATGAACTTTTTTTTAGAAGTCCTTGCAGAGACAACCTATTATTCTCCGCGATCAGAGGAAAGCCGTACTTTTTATGGCTTCACCAATTTCCGCGGCTAATACCCCCCGGGCGCCCATTCATTCACAAAATACGTATGACCCACTTGCTCCATAATTTTTTCGAATGAAATGGCTGGTCGTCGTAGTCGCATGGCCGCTTCAGCATGGGCGTTTTAAAGCCCATCGAGCGGCAGCCAGCTAAAGCGATGTGGAATAGTTTAAAAATCTAGTAAAAATGGAAAACTGAGCGGTAAAATATATTTTTTAAAGATAAAAAATCCGGTATAAAATAGCTTTTAGCGTAGTAGGATTATATTTATTAGAAAATTCCAGGCACCGTCTAATTCTTCAAAATTGCTGAATGGTGGTGAATTGCCGGTCGCTTTAAAGGGAGATACCGACTTTTTTCGAAAATAATTTGGGGCTAAAATTGCTTAATTTGGACCAGTTACCTCGCCGCCACATTAAATTGTTTATAGCTATTAATAATTCCCAAAAACAAAGCATAAGTCAAAAATATTTACATTACAAGGATCTAGATACAAATTTCAGGGTAAAACTATTGAAATAAAAAGTAAAAACCTTGAATTTCACAAACCAGATACTATATTTTACTGGGGGAGGGCTTATAGGAGAGGAAATGCTATATATAAGCGTTGTTTGAAGCCGCGCACATGAAAATCATCTCCAAAGGAATAATCGATCAAGAAACTACCATTTTAACGTGGAAAAACGTAAAAGCTGCACCACCAAAGTTCACACCAGCCAATCCCGCAACACCATTATTTGTTTCATATATTTCCGGTCGATTTACAATAAAAACCGTTGACATGTTGACACATTGGCCAGATGTGCAGAAGGAGCGCTGTGTGGCATATAGATTGTTTGTGCTGGGATTTCGGGGCCGTGAAACGTTTCGGGCGGGGGAGGGGGCCATAGATAGAACCCCGGACGATAGGAAAAAAAGCTACATAGAAACCGAAGAGAAAGTCGGGAAAACCAAAAAAGAAGGGGAATCAATGCTTAGTTGCGGTTTCTAAGGGACCAAAAATTTTGCGGTAGCCAGCGAGTTTCAATCGGTTAAATTTTGGTAAATTGCCGCCAAGCTTAATGTTTTTTTTATTCAAAATACTATCCGAAAAACCGATAAAATTTCTTTTAAGAAAATTCAAAATAATCTGTTTCCCGATTTTTATATGGACATATATAAAGTAACATACGCAATACAAAATTGATAAATGGACAACCTCAATTTCAAAAACATATACTTGATGGATCGCACAAAATCGCTAAAGAATTTATTGGATGCCATTTATGGGAGGGTATGACGAGAAGCTTGGGCTTTGAATTCATCTAACTGACGTAGGGAAAAGTTGGCAAATCACAGGGTCTCAAAACGAATAGATAAGGTCTAGGCGGCAGCGCCCTCCTGCCCCCCAGCGTACTTATCTGATCATAAATTGATGGGTGTCTTTTGACACCGATTCGGAATTGTTAGGTTAGCTTATTGACTCCGGAAGCAGATCTCGAAAACTCATTTTACGGCGATACTTATCACCTGACATATTTTTGGTCATGGAAATTTTAAAGGGTTGTTGAAGGCAAAATTTAAGGTTTCAAACCATAAGGGCTACCTGTGTGAATGCTATGAAAATATCAAAGGGAGAGGCCCATGGAAGGCAGCACAGAACCGATCTATGCTAATTTTTAGCTCCGATTGACATGGATTTTCCTGATCCTTTTAAAAAGAAAAACTTCAGAAAAGTCAAGGATTCCTTAAATTTGGTAAAATGTTGCTACAAGAAGCTATTTCCGATCGTCGAAAAGCCCGGCGGTGGCGGTAGTTGAGGAAAACGAGTGGGTGGTTGGGGGGTGAAGGCGACGTGGCGCCTATTGTATTCCCTTTCCCGTGTGCACCTATCTCTCGCTCCTCTCCATCATTACCCAGTCTCTCGCCAGATACCGAGCGCCGTCTATTAGTCAGTACCGACTTCATGCGGAAAACATTTAATTATTAAAAAGCGTTCAGGAAAAGAAACATAACAAGCAGAGGGTTTGTAACTTTAGCGGATGGCAAGCCAAGCAATAAAAAATCATGGAAAACTGCAAGGAAGATTGCCTTGCTGGTACCTTTAAAGCGGCCTTTTTCTGGGGATTCCTTTGACTTCCATCATTTTTAAAAATGGGATTATTGGCGTTGATCTTTCGCGTAGAAGCCTTTCAACGAACCAGTCTCCTACTTGCGGCTCCCTAATTACAGGTTCCATTCAACGCCAATTTGCGGGACATCCCCAAGAGACCGAACAATAATTTTTAGAAGCAACCCTGCAAAAACTTAGCCTATCATTTTTCAGCTTGAAAGTTTCCGAAGTCAAGGCAGCATGATCGAATGGATAATTCCAGCGCCCAGCAACGATAAGGGGTTCCGTCATATTTAAATTAAAATAAAATCTGGGGGCTGGGAAATGAGCCTCAAACAATTGTGAAGGGTTGCCACGCGTCGGCTTCTTGAAAGAAATTGACATGTCTCCCACATTATGATTCAACAGCACAATTTCGGCTGGCCCGTCGTACGGCCACGAGACGGTTTTTGTGCGAATGGATGTGAGAAGTTGCGAATCCGATTGCTGAAAAACCTGAAAATGAATGGAAAGGATTCAGAAACCTGAAGTCTGTCCATCAACTTTAGCCAAAAGTTGCATTAATAATTTCTGTCGTGAAAAAATTGACGGTAGTTTTTAGAAGGATGTCCCGGCAGCAGCGCCTGTGGTTTTACCCTTCTTGTTTTACGATTTCATGTTATTGCTTTATATATAATTTTTTATCAATATTGCTATTCTGGATGCTCTATAAATGAATTTGATTTATGTGGATTTTAATTAGTCCTCTCGAGATTAAGTCTCTTTTGCAACGACTTTTGGGTTACTTTTGATTGTAAATAAGACTGAAGTTCAATAAGATTCGATCAATAAGACCAATCAATAATCCACGTTTTCTTTGTACACACATGCAAATCATCGACAGATAGCGTTTTTCAAACAGACTACGTTCGACACACCTGCACACGCAATGCGCCAGCGCTAGCAGCCAAGGCGCCCGACGGGAACAACTATGGCGCGTTTTGTGCGACCTCCTCAAAATGTGTAGACCACCCTTGTGTTTCTTCAGAGACATCTTAAGACAGGCTTATTTTTCAGAAGTGTGTTATTATATTAAAGCTATATACATTGTGCTCTATAATTTGTAAATTTTCTGTTGTTTGGAACTAGGGTTTTGCGGTTACCCGGCAACTGCGGTCAGACATTTGAGGCCGTTTGGACACTTTTAAAACTTGATAAGCCGCTTCGCGGGAACAGGGTCGCAGTATTAGCTTTTATATAGACTTTTATATATGTCCTTACCAAACGTATTACCTCTAGAGATCCTACTATATATAAAAAAATAGTGTTTGTGTGTTTGTGTGTGTGTGTGTGCCACTTTGCATCCACTTCCGTCTGTCTGTCCGGAGGATATCTCGATAGGGGATGAAGTTACGGGTATGTTTGACACGTCATTAGGTGCGCAATCGTCTTGAGATGACTGCACACATATCAAATTTTACAAAATCAGCCATTTTCGACATTAAATTTAAGTTTTTGTGAAAGCTCCTTTGTTAGGAATAATTAGCATAGACCGGAAGTTGGGATTCGGCTATATATACGGTCAGAAGAGGTTGTTTTTCATTTTTGTCATTTGAATTCAGGACAATTATGCAAAGTGAACGATAAAATGGGGTTAGACGGGACCAGGGTTGAAAAGTTGCGAAGCGACTTTTCAACCCTGGTTTATCTTAGAAAATTATAACCGATAGTCAAAGTCCGGCGCTCACGTCACAAATGTCTCACTTTATTATCTTCATTAATGGGATTATTCGCATTAAATCAATTGTATTATTATTTGGCAGGATGTCGGGTAAGATTGACGTGCCACTGACGACCAGCGAGCGTCTCCAGCAGTACAAGGAGAAGTTCGGCGAGGCCCTGCGCCATCCGGATGCCCCGGAGTGGTACAGCCGCGAGCACAACGAGAAGCTCAAGGCTGACCTGCTCTGGTCGGCCCCGTACGACGCCCGCTTCCCCCAGGTACGCAAAGATACGCAAATCCCTGAAATCGTCGACCCATCTAGTTAGATCAGTATTGAATACAACTTTCTCAGATCCGCAAGCAGCGCCAGTGCTTCGCCTACTACGTCGACTTCCACCGCTGCAAGGAGCTGATGGGTGAGGACTACAAACCCTGCAAGTTCTTCCAGAATGTCTACAAGGTATGTGAGATTTATTGATATTAAATATACAAAATTCTAAATGCAAAACACGTAAAAAAGCTAATATTTGGCATAAAATATTTGCTAGGGGGAAGAGTTATCAAATACTCTTTAAGGTTCCATTATGATATTGTTTCTTTCGTTTGCGAGATAATCGCGCTTCTTTTATTAGTATTTTTATTAAGGGACGGCTCTACATACTTTTTCTTCAATAGTGATGTTAGCAAAGAATCTCTGCTAGCTTGTCTCATACCAGAGACTTTCCAAATTCTTTCTTTGACTTTTCCTAAAGAAAATTTGCTAGCATACCCTGCTATTCCAAGCCAACATCTCATTTTCAGGACTTCTGCCCGGGCTTCTGGGTTGAGAAGTGGAACGAGCTTGTTGACGAGGGCCGCTTCCCCGCCAAATTCGACCGCTAAACGACCATAGCTTGTAAATGCAGAGCCATTACCCGATCGTGTCAATGTAATAGTTATGCCGCCCTCTTTATATGTTTAGTGTTTTTAAGAAATAAATTCTTCGTTGTATATTGTCGGGTTTTATTCCATGGTCGTTCCATTGTGAAAGATTATCTGGACTGTTGAAGGTATTCATGATTTTTCTACAATCTAACAAGGTATCATGAATTTAAGTAATTTCACCAATGTGGTTTATGGCTATAGAAAAATTTCAGCCGCGATGGCGGACAGTACAAGGGTTGACGAAAAAGAAATCGCGAGACGTGAGAGCCACCTTCGAGCCTACCCCAACCCCCGTGAATCCATCAACCCTTTTACTTGGGCTTATCCTTACAAGGTGAACAAATTTTTAGGGATAGTTTAGTTTGTATTTTAGTCAGCAGCAACGATCGCTGGGCTCGGAATTGGTGCAGCACACGCGTATAACATTTGGACAAAGAAGCCCTGGTATTATGGTAAGTAATACATCTATAAAAACAACTAGAGACCGGAGATATAGGAGTAATGCGGGGTTTGGGTATTTATGATTCCCTTCCGGGGGTCCGTGAGATGAAGGCATTTAAACAGTATTTTCAAAATCCACGATTTTCAACTATAAATTTAATTTTTTGGTAAAAACCTCGATTTGCTAGGAAGCAGAAACAGACAGCCTATATGATCGGCGAATGAGGGACTGTTTTTTTTTTATTATATTTTTTTTTGTCATCAAGACTCGAAAAACGATATCAAAGTTGAAAAGCCAAGCACTATTTTTCAACCCTGGAAAGCCAGTAAAAAAGCTATGCTAATTCAGAACTAAAATGTAATATTACCTTTTCCAGCTGCCTTCCCTCGACTTGGTGCCATCGCAGCCCTAGGATACATTGGCTATTGTGCTGGTGTCCTCCGTGAACACCATAACAAAACCCGAGATGCCATCGTTGAACACTACCAACAACTCCATCCCGAAGACTTTGACCATTTCAAAGACCGTAAGCAATCGACACCTATAAAACCGCCTATTCTTCTACAATCAAAAACCCTATTGCTTTTTAGGAAGTGGCCGACCGTGGTCCGATGTGCTTCTCCCCTGGTATCCACACCGGTCCCAGTACACTAAATACGATGCTAACTAAAAATGTTTGTATGCTCGAAACAATGCGTGTATTAGATGTAAGATTTAGTTTATGAAGGATAAATGTATATTATTTTGGTGGAGAAGCATGAGAATTTCACAGTGCGTATCTGGGTTTTTTGGGTAATCTTGAAACGCTTTTCGTGGAAAAGAGAGACATTAGGGGGTAATTTTCTCACGGGGATCCCTGGTGCATCCAGTCATTTGATAAATAGGCCCGGGTCGCCTAATCCATCAATGACAAACCGGAAATATAAAAAGCTTAGAAAGGCAACATGGAATTGGAATAAAGCAGAGATCTTCCCCCTTCTGAGGGTGTTGGAGGTGTTACAGATTTATTGTGTAGCGGAAGGGGAAACGTCGAAATACCGACAGGAAAAATCCCAACATGCAATATGACTATTTGAAAGGAAAACTACAGTCCAATTAGCATCAGGGATATTTCTGGGTCTTAGCTGTCAATTTTCGACCTGGATTATGGCTGGAATTTGAGTTGCTCGATATATATTATAGCCCTTGTTAAGCTAACGGGCTCAAAAATCATGGTGTCTCCCTTTCTTTCGCGATTTCTTGTCACTATCAATACTTAAAATTCTTTCAAGCAAATTTCAAACATATTACACCTCACGTCACATTGTTCTTTCACCAATCTTTTTGCCTGAGGCACCGTCTACACCACGAAATGCGGAGACTATTGGGCAGCAGCAGTGCGTCGTTGCCAATTTGTATTCGCTTGATTGGTAACGGGGATTTCAAGGTCATCCCCCCAAGTTGCGGCTATCAGCTCGTCGCTTGTCCCCCTCGAAACCCACCGCAAAATCACACAACCGCCCGAAGCGCCGTTTATTTCGACAATTGTCTTGTCTGCCGCGCTGTTTCGTCATAACTTCATTTCCGGTTGGCTTCTGTCGCAAGTCCATCAATAACTTTGCTCCCTTGGGTTTAAGTCTCGGCGAATGAAATATTTTTCTCAAATTCCATGATGTTTCCTATCCCATCTTTTCAAACCTTCGTTCCCTTTGCCCTGTTCCGGTATTCCCACCTCCCCTTAAATTAGCAACCCAATTTTAGAAACTTTTTGTTAAAGCACAACAGAAATCACCCAGCGATCTCTAGAAAAACGTCGGCCCCTTCCCTGTCGTGTCTGCATGTTGTGTCTGGGTTGGAAATCGGTACGAAAACCGGAACCAATTAGACGAAAACGCCTCGGATGCTCCGGCCAGCGGCCGAGTCATGCAAATGATGGGTGTGGTTACGGCTTTGAGGGGGTGCAGGAATGTTTTGGTGCTCAGTGGCTTAGATGGTTTTTTTGGGGGATAGGTTTTAAGAAACGGCCTTAATAAAGAAGGTGCATTTAAAACTCTTATAAACGGCCGTTTTGTGGAGATGATGGAGTTTTGCGATGTGGCCTAGTTCATTTAATAGCGTTTCAAATTCGGAACAAATGCGACCTTTTAAAAACGGCTGAACGATAGGGGGTATTTAAGAGAATGTTACGCGTAGGCAAAAATTAAGCAAAATCTCCTCTTTTTAGCGATTGATACCCTAGATGTTATTTAAAACCCTACCGGATAACCACGACATCTTTATGAGCCAAAAACGCTCCTTGGAAAGAATATGACCATATAGTTAGCTTGGCGTGGTGGTCAATTAATGGTTTATCTTCATTCCCCCGTGCTACAAAACTAATGAGCCAGGCCATCATGCTCTATTTGTCACCAACCGCAACTCCAACCCTCTACAACCAAACAACCCATCCGGGGTGACGATTTGCCCCCATCAATTAAATGTCGGAGACGGGTGGCTGAGGAGAAGATGCATGTTTTGGGTGTGAGATTGATCGAAACGACGAGACGACTGATTGACATGGATGTGATCCCCCTACCGTTAGAGCTCTCATCCCCTCCTCCATCGAGACCAGGAAACCACGGTGGAGCACCCACTTTCCCACCCGACCAACAAGGAGCAGCAGCAGCAGCCATTCCTTCACCACCACAACCATCTCCCCCCCATCCGCCCCTAATAGGATCCCCCTCCTTCTTTCTCATACCTTTCTTCCATGTCTTCATTGACTTTTCCACAACTCCTATCTCAGCATATCCGTCTCTAACTGATCCGCTCCCACCCAACCAATAGTTAATTTGACAACTTCTCCCCTCCCCGTGCCCCCGGAAAGACCACCCCAGCCCTCGACCCCTCCCCCCTTTTCCGGAACTTGAACTCAAAATGTGCTTTCAGTCCGACGGTTGGAAAAAAAGTATAATTTTAAGAAAAATTCCTCGAATTCACGTTGAGATTACCACATCTCGATTTGTTTTGAATACCGCACTTCCCTGAAGATATTCCTGAAACTTTTTTGAAAAGAAGGCTTCTAATAATAGGTTCTGATATTTTTCAAGGGGGACCCTTATACCGGAATTCTGGAGGTGAAATAGATTGATTTTGCTAATCCAGCGGTTTTTATCGCCTTATACTGCACAAATTTTCTATTATGATTTTGATTTTTTAATATTATCTAGTAATCGTATAAACATTTTTATTTTTTAGATTAAAAAATACGTTATCTGTATCTTTTAGCTCATCTTTCACAGCTAGATCTTTTTGATCCTACACACAGCATTTTCCAATTTTAAAAACTTTTTTAGTTCTCTAAAACTTTAGTCACCCCTCTTCCGGTCAATTTTTGGAAGGTCGTTTACTTGCTGACTCACGAGGCAAAACCTCTTTTGGTCGCAAAAAATTCTTGCGTATTCAGTGGGTAATTTTTTTAGAGGAACACCTGATTCCCCAAAAATTAGCCACCAATTCCTTTAATATTTTCACTTTGATTTGTTGAGTGTTGCTGCATTTTTTGACTCACTTAACTTCGTGCCTAACCTTTTACCTAGTCAAAAGAAAAATTCTAGACTGTCTCAAGTGGGGCTAACAAGTGCAGCAAAGCTGCCTGGCGAAAGTTCCGATGGGGCTGGAGCCCGAGCCGGTGGGTGGATTAACTTCCGCTTGACAATGATTTTTGTAGTCGTCGGACAGCGGTAGCAACGACTGGAGTTTGTCGGATGCCGGGCCGCCAGAGTGCCGGATCCTCATCCCTGAGGAGGAAGACACGCCAGTTAAATCTGAGACTGCACCTTTTATTCCGTTAGAAGATATTGAAGAGGTTCCGCGAAAGGTAGAGTTTGAAAGAAAGAATCGAATGTTTTGTGCAAGATTTTGGAGAGTTGGATAAGACCATTGACTTCATTAAATCCTTAAATTGGAAGGCTTTTTTGATCATGTCTGAAAGTGAAGCTTACTATTTTTCGGTTTAAGAGCAGAGTAAAACATCAACCCCCAGCTGCCGAGTGATTCCAGAAGTCCCAAACTAGATTACTTCTCCCCCAACGAGATCTGACCTTGTTCCATGACTCAACACATCCTTTACAGTTCACCCTCTTCCCCAGTCCAATCCCCCAAAAATTGTCCACGCAGCGGAAGCGGAGTTCACGGGAAAGACGAAGAAGATCTAGTCACAGAGATCATATCGAATTTTCAAATGATGTGGAGGAGATTGAGGCACAGGTAGTTCAATTCCTCTGGAATACGATGAGCTTTAGGAGCCACAACCAAAGCTTACTTTAAAAGAAAGCCTAAAGTCGCAATGGAGAGAAGTGTGGGCAGATTTGAGCGATACCAAACGTGGGTGTTGACTAATTATTTATTCAAAGGTGATTTTAGAAATGGTTTTTCAATGGCCGGAAAACACGCCATTAGAAGTACACGAACTCGTCGGCCCAGAACGATTCGATCCAGGATTGCCAAAATACCAAATGCCATTTTTCTGGAGTAGTGAACGGATCCCAGCCACACCTTCTTGGTAAGAACGTGAATTTTCAAAACATAATCTTCTTATTGAAAAATGTGCGATTCCTCTTTAGGGCACTTATCGTATGCGCCATCGAAGTAACCTTTGGCCTGATATGCTGGTTCGGAAATATTATCCACTTTTCGCTTTATATTCCCTCCTATGAGGACAAAGGGACCCCATTATTTATCCTATTCTCTACACTGCTCCAATTGACGATATTTTTCTCTGCCAAGGTATTTTTTTTTGAAAAAAAAACACCATTTCTAAGGTGTTCTTTGTGATCTCAATATCAGAGCGTCGTGCCCGACTTCTTCGATTACAATTGCTTTTTCAAGTAAGCATTATATCCCACTGCAAGACTATTTTTTAGTACACAACTTGTGTCTTTCTACTCTTAGATGCATCATTTGCATTAGCTGCCGATTTTGGTGGTTATCTTGAAGAGGTTTGATTTGTGAATTATTACCTATGGAATTTCAGCAATTATACGGGCGCCGAAATCCCCCAATCATCCGGCTACTTGCCTTCCTCTCCTTATTATTTTTATTTGTACAACTATATTTGAGGATGATGACTGTCCAAGTTTATAATTTTATGAGTGACAATCGAAAATTTCAGTGGGTCCCACTGGCTTAGAATTTATTCTTTTAATTAGCTTAGCGTTGCACAACAGCTGGTGGCGATACAGGAAACGTGTTTACTTTTCATTTTGTTCGATTCGCAATGCGGAAATGAAGGATGAAGATACGGAGGTTTGTTTTTCTTAACAAGTTCAAGCAAACTTTTTAGAAGCGTAAGATGGATGCAGTCAAGCGTGAAGAAGTCAGAGACGCAGAGGTGTTCCGTATGATACAACAAGACAACCTTGTAACGAGGATAACGGTCGATCCGAATCGATATTCGCCACCTACAGTAAGCCATTCGCTTGTTCTTACTTTACATTAACAGTTCTCGCCCATTGTTCCACAACCAGGACAACCACCACCGTTCTCAATGGTGATCAACATGGAGGTTACTTTAAGAAATATGAAACTTTGAAAATATTGTAGAGCGACGCTGATTCAATCCTCGGAAGGCCGGTTAAAAGGTATTGCTCGATTTACACAGCATATGGTTTTTAGTTCAACATCCTTGGCTTCGGTGGCTTCGGGCGGTAATTCATTCCAACCTTTGAAGCGGAATCGACCGTCGAAAATGGCATCAAGCTCGGCCTCCTCTACACCACACCTCTCAAGACGCGTCAAAACGGTAGGACAGTGAATAATACTCCTTTAGCAGTCCACCAAATTTAATTCTCCAATTAATTGATAATTTTCAGCATCGTCCAAGGACTACAGTCATTCCAAATAAACGACAACGAATCGATAGCGAACAAAACGGTTTTCAAAAGAAAAAGGATCATGGCATTCGACTACAGCTTGAGGTACAAATTTGGAAATAATGACCGCCGACATATATCAGATTTTTGTAAACATTGGACAGGGTTGAAATTCGCAAGCATTTATTGCAAACGTTTTCAAACTGATCTTCGGAAATCCCATCTAAAAATAGCGAGCTCGAACTTCTTGTCGTAATTGAACAAGGAAGGTCAACCAGCTCCCATGTTTTTTTTTTTGGTTGCAGGTTGATGGCGATTCGGTACGACGGCTGCTGGATGGTCGAGCGGGTGATAAACTGCCGGCTACATTGGCGTTATCACCATAGAATACTGTAGACAGTATACATCGGTAGTTGTAGAAAGTAGGGGCTAGTCTCTGTCTATGTCGTATCGTACTATAGCTTCTGTCTCCCCCACACAAATCTGAATGATCTGTCGCCGAGCTTATTTTCCGGATTTTGGCTTTCGTTGCCGCCACCTTTTCGCCCAGTGTCGCCCATATCAAGTGCTTTACAAAATTTTGGTGCACGTCTGTGTTATTTATTTGTGATCATGATTGATGATAAAAACATGGTTTCATCTAAAAGTGCTAGGATATAAAAGCATTCAAATAGCCTGCAAAAAAATAGAAATGTTATTTATGAGCCTCAAAGGCCAGTTTTCCAAGTTTGAAAACATGTGTAATCGTGTTATCGTAGGGTGTTGTGGATCTAAAAATTCAAACATCAACGGATATAGAATTACCTATAAACCAAGTGCTCCCATTTTGGCACATTCAGAAGTAACAGATCGCCGACGCGACCTTTATGGAGTGCCCCATGGGTTTTACCTGAAAATAACAAGGGGTGGATGGGTGCAATAAGTACAAATACCTCGGCCGATGGAATGCGCCGAATTGATCGTCGCCGCGGCAAGCACTTCGGGAATTGACATTTTCATGACGATACAGGCCATGTGCATTATTTGTGGCATGACGGGGCACCAGGCATTTGGGTTGAAATCGGAGCCTTTAATGGATTTAGTAAATGTGAAATTTCTTTTTTTTAAGTTTTAACATACGGAATATTTATTAGCTTACCCAAAGCCACAATCACTCCAGCTTTCAACAACTCCCGAGCTGGTGGCGCCTCCAAACGCAAAATAAAAGCAGTTGAAGGAAGCAGCACAGCCACCGTACCTACAACAACAACTTACACCCAAGATCCGATCAATTTCCACCTGATGCCGCCATCATCTTAATCCCTTCTGGCGACACCTTTTCCAAATGGGACATTGCGCGCGCCTAAGGTATTTTAAAGCATTAATCGTTATACCTACCCCAATTCGCGCGCCCATCTCCGCGCTATTCAAGCAGTTCAGCTCCTCGGCATGGAAATTAGCGTGCAGTCCCGCCTTTTCGCCAGCTTTCAGAATTCTTTCGCTACAACCAGAGCTTGCTTTTAGCTAACTTACTTACGTATTTTCGACTCCAAAGTTTCCCTTCTCACAAAATACATCGATGTTTTCGACGCACTGGAGTTCACCATTGGATTTTGCTTTAATAATTGCATCTGGAAGAGTAAAATCAGGGTAGTTTATTTAAATTTAAAACATATCAGTGGGCTTACCTAACATTTCGCCGGCAACAGCTTTAGTTTGGTCATCTTCATTTGTCGTTCTCGGCACGGCGTGGGCCCCGCAGAATGTGGCCGAAATTTCCAATGGACTGTTTTTGCTTAGCTTATCCAAAACACGCAGCATCTACAAATAATTTGAGATTGCAGAGACCATTGAGCTAATTCTAAGTTTATCAACGTACCTTCATTTCAGTTTCGGTCTCAAGCCCATAACCACTTTTGGCTTCTAGAGTTGTCGTCCCAGCGGAAAGCATTTGACGCGACACTTTCTATAAAATTTAGTGCTATGTTTTGTACATTAATTACCTCGAAATCGCGGTAGAGCTCTTCTTCGCTAGCCTTCCGTGTAGCAGCCGTAGTAAAATGGATTCCACCCCCGGCTGCTTGCACCTAATCTTTTTGTTTTACGCGAAATTTTATCTCACCTCAGCATAAGTCGCACCAGCCAGCTTCATCGCAAACTCATGTACCCGATCACCGGCAAATACCGGATGGGAATGTCCATCAACCAGCCTAATTTTCGATCCACTATTTGCATACAAATTAAATACCCAGGTAATACGACGCCACCATTTGCATCCACAATCTTTTCGATATTTTCAAGCGAATTCCGGTTTGCGATCTAAAAAATTGACACAAACAGTACAGTTCTCGCCTCATCATACAATCCCAAATCAGCAATCATTCCATCAGCTCCAACTAGAATGGCCAGACGATTTTGATCGTCTTCCAATACCTAAGAAAAATCTCGGAAAACCTCGGAATTTGCCTGGATCTGAGAAGCCTCCTCGCCCCTGAGGAACATCTGATCGTTATTGGCAGTGACTTGGACCAATTGTCGGATATTTTTGATAAGTAGGCGATGCGACTCCATGTTGCTGAAATCGTTCGGGCCTCTTTAATATTAAACCCTATAAAAGTTATGAGAATTTGTGAAAAAAAATAGTAAAAGCATTCTTTATACGATTTGACGAAAATATCTATCAAAACTCGTCGCAATTTACTTTCAGCATCAACTAAAAACCAAATGCACGGCCAAAAATGTGCCGATCAATGATCCAGATTTCTCAAAGCCGTCGACTCCCGTCAAGGTTTACGAGCACTCCGCAGCCCTCCCCCGAACGGTGCGCATTTTAATGTTTGTATACGGCCAGCCTGTTTTGCCTGTTTTGCAAGTGATGGAATGTCAGGTAAAAAGGGTCTCATTCGAGGTCATCCGGTCTTATTTAATAAAAATTTACCTCCGTCAACGAATATCTCTCCGTATCACCTCCGGAAATGGGCAAAAGTGGCAAAAAGAAACAAAAGATGATTAGCCGCCTAGGGGGGCTCGAAGCCCTGATATTCAGATTAAAAGTCTGACGATCTACCAACTGAGCTAGTGCGGCACTGGGTGGTCAAGACGGAAAAGGAGTGATGCCTGTACGAGGGCTTTTCCACCCTCCCACCTCGATTCAACCAAGGAAAAAATAGGTGAGCTAGCCAGCTAAAAAAATAAGTGGGAGTTTGGCATATCTAAGTTATTTAAATTCGTCTTAATCAACAACATCGTATATATGTTAACCAAATATTTTCCAGGTTATTATGGTAATCAATAATTATTGACTATTTTATATGGAGTTCTGATAAGAGATTTCGAGAATATTCGTTGACAGATGTCTATTACCAGATAGTGAGAGGTCAGGCTTGCAGTGTGACCCCGGGAGCCACCCACTGTCACCACATCTGTCATCTTCTTATCATTTAATGATAACTCTTATCGCTTTTTAAAAACCTAATCATTTTAGTTACTCCACAGTTCCGCTCTAATATTCCATCTTCTATTAGAGAGTTTCCAAGTTACTAGGGATAGTTGCGTGTCTTTTGTCGTTCAGTACCAAAATTAATTTTATTAAATTCCACACCTGCTTACAATACCCTGAACGACTCATTTTTACGACAGTTTATCGAATCTTCAGTAGCTAGGACCCTTTCAGAGGCATTGTTCTTAACTTATGGGGATGGTTGGTTATGTTAACTGTATACGACAAGAGGGAATACGGTAGTTACAGTTAAAATAAATCAAGAATATCGATTGGCATTGATTACGAGTGGGCAGATGTTGAGTGAGGTTTTTGACCTGTGGCACACTTATCAATGTCATCTGGCTAATGACAGATGGACATTGGTAAAGTGTGCCGCTGTCAAAAGCTTGTCACTTCAATTGCTTATACCACCGCTTGTTGCTTATTCTCTTTCCGGACTTAATATTTTTCCTTCAATTATTTTACTTCTCGGGACCTATTTCTTATTTCTCTCTCTCTCTCTCTCTCTCTCTCTCTCTCTCTCTCTCTTCAGCTTATATTTCATTTCCTTTCCGGTTGCCCTTTGCAATATAATACTTACCCAAATCATTTCAGAAATCATGCCGGAACCGTGTGCCAAGAAACCGAAACTTTCTTTTGAGGTCGAACAAATTGCTGGACCCTCTACCACCAATTCTCGAATTTCAAAACGTAAGTCAATCACAGCAAATCCATTATTCTAATAATTCCAGAATTTGATTTGAATCAATTGCCAAGTGTGATGCTGGAAAAAGTGCTTACAAAGCTTGACCCTCTCTCCATTGATAAAGTGAAAGTTGTCAACAGGTAATCGATTATTTCCCGGATTCATCCTCTTTTTTTAGGAATCTAAACGCCCATCTTGAAGCGAATGCCTCGAAATTACAGAGACAATGGTCTGATCTCGAAATTGTTGCCCAGGTAATTATTATTCGAATTATTTTCCAATTTATTCTTAGGATGCTGGAGATATTGAAGTGCAAGTTGATTGGGGATGGCCGAAGAAGACGAGAAATTTCCTCTTTTCGATACATAGCCAGACAGTGGCCACAGCCAATGATATTGCCGAATATTTAAATGATGGTGGGTTGTATCTAATTGTAAATAATAATTTATACAATAATTTAGGCGGAAGCGGAAATGATGATTGGAAAATGGACATGTTCCCAATCCTATTGGAGATGATTTTGCGGAAATATTTCCTCCGAAATGTGACACTTGTAAGCATTAATATCATTGATTTTTGATATTTTAATTCAGGATGAGATGCCTGAATGGTATATGGACATTGTAACGAATGTATTGAAGGAAGCACCGGCTCAGAAGCAGCAAGGGCCCACCCGTCTTACGGTAAGTCATCAAAGATAGTGACTGCTATAGCCACAAACAACAATTTTCAATTATAAAAATCGAATAAAAATATATTTATTTATTTAGGTAGAAGCACGCAGCCTACCTGAAAAATCGCTTTTGGAACTGTATAAACAATTGAGGCCGAGCTCAATGGATGTTACGGTACGTATTCAGCGAACAATTATATCCATTGAGACATTTAATTTCATAAAATATCCTATGGATTATTCAATTAATTTATTAATTTTCTTTCCAGTTTGATGACTGTTTTTCGAGTGATTGGATGGATATTCGTGGATATTTGCAATTGGAAACCTGTCGAGATGCTGAAAGGATCGCCCTTCATGGGGTAAGAACATTTTGGCCAATTCTATTTATCTCTGTCTCTTTCAGAAAGTAAGACGGATGGAAGATGCGGACGAATTATTCCGAGAATTGGATGCGGCAAGGAACCAAGAGGGAAACAAATTGGTGTTGACGAACAGTGGAATGAATATTACTCCCCAGACGGCAACCCAATATATTCAAGTGAGTGAACTACTACATTGTATTTATTATATACTAAATGAACCAATTCTTGAAGGTGAAAACTACGAACTTAGAAACTTTATAATCAAGCATTTTCAGGAAACAATTGCGCTGAAGAACACCAAATTCTTCGGGACGTTCAAGGTTAACGGCGAACTCGACAGGGCCATTTTTAACGATCTTGGTAAGCAGCCTAAATCCAAAATTTTGTCTTTTGTTACTTAATTATTATTAATTGCGTTTTTAGGCATTTGGAAAAACAAAATCAGCTACAATGACGGTGAGCTGAAAGTGTACCCTTGAATAATGAAACGGAGGATCCGAATAATCATTGATATTGTTGGCCGTGTTTATTTTGCGCTGTCTCTCTTGACCAAATTCTTATTTTGTATTTCATGTGAATTATTTTTTAGCTATTCTATTATTTTTGGCGTGTTATTGGAACGTCCGTCGTTTTTTATATAGCCACTGTGATCACCATTCCTGTATCGGGTCGGTTGTGAATTTATCTTTATTTAGTTTGGCATTAATGTTTTTCCTTTTCTTGAATGTTTCATTATTCTATTTATAATATTCAGTACATATGTATAAATATATCCAATAATTGGGCCTAATTATTTGTTGGTTTTTCCTCAAATGGGTTAGAGTCTGGGGTGCCATGGTCGGGGATCCACACCGATTTTTGACGAGCGGTCTAAAAAGGGACGTTTAAATCAATTTTAACCCTGATAATCCTCCGTTTCAAAGAACTATTTAAATTAAATTAGATGAAAATTTGAGAATCCGAAACATACATATCCAGTAGGGGATGGAAATGTTCTACTGTAGATATCACCAGTTCTTTTCCAGCTGACTTCAACAAAGGTGGGCCGGCCTGAAAATTGATCGGTATTTGAGGTATTCTACACCAAAGGTACCTGTGTTTTGTTCATAATGCATTAATTTAAAAGTTGGCGGAGCATAGGGCTCAAGTGGTTGATGCGCTTCCAAAAGTTCGTGGAGTGCTTGAATGTAGGTGATGGCTTCTCGAAGTGTATCAACCTGTATATCGTCGTTTACTAAATTCAAAGCCGGAATAACCTTAGATAGCTTCTTCTCAAACGGCGTTTCCGGGAGATGATGTCGTAAATGTTCAAATCCACGATTGATACTAGAAATTATATAGGTAAAGAAGATTTAGGTATTTCCTTACCTCTTCATGCGTTTTCGCTCTCTGTCATTGGCAGCCATTCGTCGCTTCACTGATATTTTTTTTCTTGTCACTATTGGTTCCGATTCTAGAGATGAGGGTTTAAGAAAATTTTATACTCCACTAAGCTTACTGGCTGGTGAATGATGAAGCTTAACGGTTGGCTGCTGTAGGCACATAAATTGAGACGGTAATGCACAGCCTGGGACGGGTGAGATTTGACTTCAAAAGGAATCAAATTGTTTCAGATGAAGTTCCTACGGTAAATGTCCAATGGTATTATAGAAACTGCTCGGGCGCATCATCATTGGTGCATAGGATGGGCTTTCCATCTCTAAAATAATCGATAAATAGACAAGTTTAGCAAGAAGAAAAAGAAGACTATTACCCAATCGACCTATTGGAGTCTCTTAATGAATACAAAAGACAGAACTGATTGACTGAATGGGAGCTCCAAAATGGTGGGCGTGAATGTGGGAGGTGGGTGTTCAAGGGGTGTTCAAGTGGGCTATTGTTGGGTTCACCGTATTCGGAGGGCGGAGGGGCCCAATAAGGACCCGGAGATGTTCTTATCCGGTCTGTCAATAGGCACGGGGCATCCATTGCCCAATTGCGTAAGGAACCCTGGAGCTAGACAGCTGTTTCTTGTATGCGAACGGATTATAACACCCTGGTGTTATCGACCCCGGATCGGTTTCAAGGAGAGACTCGGTCATTTTGCCTCGTGGAGCTTTTGCGGGGTATAGAAAATAATGGGAAAGCTGTATACTTTAAAAACAGCGGCTTTTAACGACAGAAACAGGGGTTTACAAAAAAATTGAGCAAGACGCGGCAATTTCTCGAATTTTCTACTCGAAAATGCAATCGAAGTGTGAATTAACGAGGGCATAAAGTTTTTGAAACTAAAAACCAGCCGGTAGCACTCGGGCCCGCCATGCTGGGGCTGATAAGCCAGCTGATAAACGCATACTTCGGAGCAAGGCTTGCGTTCTAATTTATGGATATATCCGGTGAGGTGATGCTGATTTTATCAACTCTTAGCCTAACATGGAAAACGTGAACGCATTACTACTTGAAGCAAAATCTTGCTGTGATTTTTGTAAGTACAGCCACATCGAATAGATATTGTAATGCGTAACGATTTTTCTGTAATGTTCCATTGTCAGTTCTATCGTGCGAATTTACAAAACTTATTTCAGAAATTTTTATTCAGAAATCCTCAACTCGCAATGGGTCACCAGCATAGGGGTGACTACGTTGAGAGCCAGTCATCGCCTCCCGGCTTCTCCATGGGAAAATAATTCGGAGAACAACGTGAGACGAAACCAATAGGAAAGGGTGTAAATAGTTAGGGAAGGGAAGCATTTGCGGGGGAATATACTCGTCGTATAAAATGGGCTGGGCGCGGGTGGCTCACGAGTCTCTTTTTGGGGCTAGGAAAACAATTTTGCATAGAATCGCACCATATTTATGGATGGTAATATGGAAGGAGGGAATGACTAGAACAGTTTAAAGGGACGGGTTTAGCACCCGGGAGACTCGTTTTGTTGTTGGGTTTTTTGTGGAGCATTTGGGTAGTAATTTATGGGGGCACTTTTTGACCGTAATCATCATAGACCCTATGGTAATTAATAGCACCGCGTTGTAGGGGAAGGGTAATGGCGGGTTAAAGGTGGGTGGTTCTAAAGGGATGGGGACACCGGTTTTGTTAAATTTACAAAAAAAATTGCCGATTGTCACATTCTGTTTCAGAAGTTGGAACCTTTGGCTTGTTTCGTTTTTCACTAAAAACCTAAAATTTCAGCCCTATCTCTCTTAACATTTTCGACCCCGTTATCCAAAGATCCTTCCCTCAGAATAAACCATCACATATCCACAGAAGAAAAACAGCCCTGCGGACCGCATGAGCAAGAAAGGAAAGGCGGAAAATACAGAGACGGAATTATTTTTTCTGCAATTCAGCTCATTGATGGCGCTTCAGATGCAAAGACAAATGGTCACTTCTAGCAAAACTTCTGGCACAGTGCGGGCATTTGAACGGCTTGTCCCCGGTGTGTTTACTGGAATTTATCGTTTAGTTTCGTCTACACAGCTTCGATTAAAATGTGCAAAAACTAACCGATAATGCCTAGTCAATTCGTCACTTCTAGCAAATCTCCATTCGCATCCGGGCCATGTACACTCGTACGGTTTTTCGCCTAAAAATATAACGGTTATAACCAAGTTCTAATCTTTTAATGCTACTTTAAAGATATTTATAATTTTCACTTACCGGTGTGAGTACGATAGTGAGCCTTGAGATGCGAGCTTTTCGTGTAAACCTTTCCGCACTGTGGATACGAACAGATGTGACGACGTCCATCAGAATCGACGGATGAGGGGGAAGCCGCGGCCCCTTCACCAGCTAACCCTTCCTGAAAAGTGGATGGTAACGAAAGGCAAGAATTTTTGACCGTAATTCCTGAGTCAGGTCGTTCAGCATTTGCAGCTTCAGTTTCCCTAATCAAACAGCCAAGGTCTTCGCGGAACCTGGGAAATAAAATGAATCTTGGGAAATTCGTATTAAGCTCACTTTTGAAGCGCCTGTAGCTGCTCATGGATTTTGCCGACGTCAAGATTTCCGTTGCTTGTCGGCATGGCAGCGAGGCAGGCGGCTTGCTAGATAAAAGTCATTAAAATAATTTTGAATATTTACCGTTAATTGCTCAATTTTTTGTTCCAGCTCTCTGGGGTCGAGTGCGGAGCGGTAGACGAATGAACCAGCTGCTAAAAGAATGAATTAGATTTTTAGCTTAATATTGCTTTACCTGAGCTGATTGATGATGGAAGATCAGATGTTGTTGAGACAGGCGAAAGCGTTGGGGCAGAAGTTGTACCATCAACATTAACCGAAAGCGGGGCTCTTTGGCGGTCAACTTCGAAATGATTAATAAATATTCAGAGCTATAAGTAACTTACTAATCGGCTCATAGGTTGGTTCACTTTCTTTGGATGTTGAACGGTAGACTCGAATTGGTACTTCATGGTATGAAGAATTGGTTTGATAGCTGGATGGGATGGTTGATGGTATTGTAACCTAAACATTTCACTAATATCGATTTTTCCAAATATCTCGAGACTGAATTGACGCCAGGTTTGGCTATGGCGTCAATCGGCCATAGTACCTTCCCGGTTCAGTTCGAATTTCCCCCTTGTCCGTCCCGCTTTCGACCTCGTTTTCAACCCGCGCCCCGGCTACTTACATAAATTGATAAATCGGTCTGCGAAAAGGGAAGAAACGACATGGAAATGATAAGCCATCGACCCAACCACTCCCTTCCTCCTCATCAACCAACTACACGTGAGACCACTTTACCACTAATCACCCTGTCGCTGCCTTTTTTCAGGAAAGCGAAGCCAGGGGAATCCCCTGACTGTCTGGCGGATTCTCTGTTTTGATAGCTATAGGTCAGACAGGCTGAATGTTTCTGTATCGACCCGACCAACCTTATGTGGCACATTTGACGGGGATTCCTCGCTGTGTTTCCGTTTTTGAGAGAGGAAATCTTCCTGAAAGTGGTATTGATTGAACGGCAAAAACAGGTTATTTATTATTAGCAGCTACTCTATCTACTAATAGCTGGTTTTCAAAACTGTCCTCATGCCCGTTTTCCAAAATTCATCCCCACCCGCGCACCACCTGGCTAACTATTCCTCCAATCGCGTAAAAGCCGTTTTAACCCAAATTAAAAAATGGTCATTTCACTCCTTAAATGTAATTTTCGAGTCTGAATTCGATGTTTTGGACTCATTGTCAGCAAGAACGGACTGACATAAGCCGTTGCGCCCTGAATTCTACTCCATCTTCCATTCTAGACTAACTCCACAGAAAAATATTAACGTTTATTGATTGATGCGCACAAAACGTTAAATCCGCCTGGTTCTTTTACCCAATTTCCGGCGTTCCAGCCCCTATCATAGTGAAGCCTTAAAACCCGTGGATGGAGCAAAAGGGACCGGTTTCTCGAGGCATTGCTCCACATCGCAACTGTTTACAGGACAGCGGTCTCCCCCTCTCATAGCTCAACCCCTCCCCAACAAATGATATCAACCACCCGGCGCCCCTTCTAGGTCTAGGCGTTCGGATCAACTACCCCCTCCCCCCTCCAAAAGGCGCGCATTTTAGGGAGCACCTCCACCCCTGCCTCCAGGATGCTCCGGGGTGTGGCTCGATGTGGAGCCGGATTCCCCTCTCAGCTGGGATCCCAACATCATTGATTTGTAAAAAGAGGGGCAGGGTAAATTGCGAAATTCGGATTGTATTGCTAACTCCATTTTAATGAGCAAGGAAAATAAAGAGAAAAATATCTGCAAGAAAAGACTTACTGAAAGCAGCTCGGCTATCCGGAATCCGGATCTCGGCGTACTTCTCGATAAACTGTTGGTCACTTGGGGAGAAACAGGGGATCTGAAAATTCAGTTCTTCAACGTCAAATAGATTTATATACCTCATGCGCATTCCTTGGAAAGCGGCGCCCAATGCGGTCGTAGGTGTGTGTTGGTTTATTGTAGTTCCTGGAATTCATTTTTTTAGTACTATGGGTATGGCATACGACTCTCAAAATCTCGCTGCAACTGTTCCATTCGAGCCGCAAGGTTACTGTAGTCGCTGGAAAAGTCGCGTAGTGAAAAGCCGGATGGTGAACGGGCTCTCGCTTTGTAGGGCGAAAATGCTGATTTGCCGACTAAAATGGGGAGTAGGTTTTACAAGTTTTGCTACTACAATAATTAAATCAAAGTAGAAAATGCTTACCTGAGAAAAAGGAATCATTACTTTGCTTGTCGATAGGGCTAAAGTCGAATAAAGATTTGGTGTCTTGAGATTGGGAAGTAGACGGCCGTAGCAAATCGCTTTCAAACTAAATATAAATATTTAGACGCAAAGCTTTTTATTGGGTTACCAATGATGCCCGACTCGCGTGAAGCTCTCTCATACGTTCCCGAATGCTAAAAAAAGCGATTGGAAGCGTCGGAGGCCTTTTTTGGATACCTTTGTGTCGAATCTGGTCCATGGCTATAATTAAAGCGACTCGTGACTTCTAGAATTCTCCTTGAAATGTCGTCCTCCGTGTTTGGGACACTTGTTGAAGCAACTAAAATATATGTGTATTCTTTCAAGGGTAATTTTTGCGTTGACCTGGCAGAGCGCCTGGATACTCGTGTCTATTCCAGGGAAAAATATTCGCGCGCCTATTTTGGTAGGATCACGGGTGTAATCTCGGCGCATGCATGGGTGTCTGTGTCCTTGCTCACCTGGCCGATCGAGTGTACTGGAGGATGAGGAGTGAGACCGAGCGGCGTTCGTGTCAATCGAAAGTCGCGGCTTGTTTGCCATGCGAACCACGTTTTCAACGCGTACATTCTAAATGGGATGGTTGCTGAAATTATGAGCGTGGTTAGAGTTCAGTAAAGTTCATAGGGTCGGCTTACCTGGACATGAAAGGATGATGAGGATGAGGATTGTGAGGAGCTATGATGAAGGAACGAGGGTCGTCCGCTTCCGGAGCCACCACTCGTTCGCCAATCGTCCCCGAACATGCAGCTATAGGAAAATACTTTTCAGGCCAAAAATAAATAAAAATTGAATTACAATAGTATGATAGTCCTGGAAGACGACCATGAGAAACATGGAGGAAATGTTTGAAGCAATTCCCAGCTATAGATAAGGGGAAAGTTGGTAAATAGGAATACCGGAGATGAAACCTTTGCTTCACAAAATCTTGAGGAGTTAATCTGACGTTTCAATTGACACCATGGCCCAAACTTGGGCGGCAAAATTCCGATCGGACTCATCAAGGCCTGGAAAAGGTTCCGAGCCTTGACCTTCCGGAGGTTAATGACTTTTAGAGATAAATGAACTGAGTTGAGACTCAAAGTCAACACCGCAATCCCAGCCGCACAGTTTACCTACGGATGAATCGGAAGCCGATGAGGCTGGGGCGATAAAGAAAACGGTGGTGGCGGGGAAGGTGCGGTTGTTCAAAGCCACAACCAAAGAGGAGGAGGAGGGGGAGCCTCATACAAGGACAACGGGACGAGGTAGAAAAAGAGAACGAGGAGGAGAACGAGGAGGGCTGCTGGCTGGTTGCCGGCCCGACGATGGTCATGCGGTAAAGGAGGAATGAAAAATGACCTTCACTTTGCTGATCAATATCACAAAACTTGAAGGGGGGAGGTGGGTTGTGCGGACTGTTGAAGGGGAGGGTGGGGTCGGAGAAAAGAAAGGGAAATTGTGGAAGAAGAGTTGGAAGGAGGATGAGAGGGGGAGGAAGAGGGCGAGGTGGAGCAGGAGGATGTGGAGGAGGAGGGCGAGATGGCTGGCTGGGTGTGGCGGAGAAGGAGCGCGCCCCGGCGCCCCCGACACGGCGCGCAAAACGGCGAACGGACTATTCGAGAGACGACGCCCTTTGATATGATTATCTTTTTCTATGACAATTGGAAGCTCAGGTTATTTCATTGGAAACTGAAAACTGTATTTTTGTCCGAAAAGTTCGACCGGCCAATGAGCCTAGAACGACACCCTTAACCGTTTCTTACGATGTACAATCCAAGCTCAAAAAATCGTAATAAAACAGTAGAGCAGATACAGAGTGTATATCCCAGGCGGGATACTATTTTTTACATTTAAAACTTCCCATAAAATCTAGCAGCCTCTCGTACCCCTCCCTCTCGTTTGAACTTAATGTCAATGTTGTAACAGCCAGCAAACGCATTTAGGCACCCAGCGCCACCAGGGTGAATAATCCAAATGGAAGACCCGAGAGAAATGGGAGGCATTCAAATTTTCGAAACCGTCCAGAAAAAAATCCGGCCCACTACATCCGCCTACGCCAAATTCCAAGCGTCATTTCCCGCAAGCCATATTGTGTCTAGCGTGCAAAACGTTGGACGTCATCCACCCAGTGCAACGCCCATGCTTCACGTGGTGGGTGGGATGCATGGAGCCGACAGCCAGTCCGCCATGATCCAATTTACAGTGTCCCCGCCCTGCGCGCCGAATGGCTCATTTCCGTTTCATGACTTTTGTCGTACCGGGGGTAGCTGACTGCAACAGTCGGAAAGGATGAAGAAGCAGGGAGGGGGGAGAAGAACTAAACCTCTTCGAGATGGTGGTTGATTTGGGAGGTCGGATTGGATGAGGGAAACAACTAGAGAGGAGTGTATTGGTGAGGATGGCTGGATTGAAACTCGGTTGCTTTCACTGTCAAAAATAGGAGAGGAGGGTAGTGAGGGTTAAGATCTTTGGAATAGGTGGTGTTTTGTCGAGATCGCTTAAAAATGTTCGGATCTGTTTGGAGTGTAAGAATTAAGGGACGGATCGCAGTTATGTATAATTAACGGTAAAATAATTGAACGGGAGGGAGATCAAAGCTAAATCAGCCGGGGTAGGCATATTTAATGATATGTTGTTTTTTTGGCACTCCGATCGAGTGCGATCGTTGAAAATCTCAAGCTCGGAATGTCGAATAATCAGATTATTGAAAAGCACAATGGATATACATAGCAGACATTTACCGATTTCAACTCGAAACTTTTAAACCCAGTAAAAATATGATCAAACCCACCAAAATTCCACAAATAACCACTTCCCCCAAAACAGCCGCGCCTCCTTCGGATTTGAAAAGATCAAGAATCTTAGGTGAAGGGGAAACCCCGGCCAGGAACTCCACCTCCCTCCACAAAAATTCCCGGCAGCTCAGGGAGTTTTTTTCGACTGGGCGTTGAAAAGTGCTCTCGGCGGGTGGGCGCATTCCGGAGACCCCAGAGCGGTCGCTTCTTTGGGGCAAAATACAGCTAATTTGATTAAAGGGAGGGACGGGCCGGGGCCCTTTTCTTGTAGACGAACTGCCGAAATACAGACCGACCCATTGAAGGGATGGAGGGGGCAAGGGGAGGAGGAACGGTCTGACAAAATGCCAACGTTCCGTGGATGGCTATTCAATGGATGCATGAGTAATGTTTTCAAACTCGAATTTTTGCCATGGCATTGAAACATATTTCTTTTTGAATTGAACGTGAAACTACCTTAAGGAATAGTGCCAGAAACAAAAAGTAGGAAAGTCGATGCTCACTTAAGAAAGATATTTCGTACTTCCAAGTACCAAAATACCGAATTCTATAATCCCGAATTCCAAAACACCCTTCAAAAATTCAATTAAAATTAATTACGGTATCAATGGAGACCCCCGTTTTTCTTATTAATTGTCTTCGATATCGGCTTTCGCGGTCTCTCGTTAATCGAAGTTCTGACATTACGTGGCCACAGCGAAAATCAATGTAATAACAAATGGCAGATCAAAATTGGGAAAAAATGCTGTATTCTTTCCATAAGATAATTTCAATCTGCTGATTTTAATTTGGGACTTAGGTACCAAATCCCTTAAAGGTCACCCAAATTAGCGATTAAAAGCCCCCTTTTCGCAACCATTTCCGGTGAGTTGATTCCCATCAAAAAGTGTCACTCCAAATCATCCCTGGACGACGCAGACGCTCCGCCGCCCGATAGCACGTTGGGAACGACGGGGAGCGGGTAAGGGGCAACTTTTTATGAGTGAAGAGGTCTAGCTTTTGAAGGCGATGTTGAGCATTGAGACAGGAGGGCGGAATCGGGTGGGGTGCCTTCTTTCATATCAGCACGTTAATCGGGGGGTTAAGCTGTTCGAGGAGCTTGGAAAGAAGATACAGTGATTTCTAGCGGGTTTTGAGGGTCGAAGGCTAAAGGATAAGGAAGGCGTGGTTTTCAAAGAACAGTGACGCAAAAAAATATACTGGTAGATTGCCGTAGAAAGGTAGGAAAAGGAGTAAGTAACTGTCATCTTCAATATCGATCAATCCGCAGAGCAGTTCCAGCAAATTTCTCAAAGTTTGGCTTTTTGAAAAACCGATGTGCCCGAAAAGTTGCCAGAACTCGAGGGAACCATATCGGCTCAGGGAAAAGGTGAAATAAAAAGTATTGGTGGACGAATGGAAAAGAGCGGACCCCCGTTCGACGGGACGATCAGGGGGTAGGGGGCTGTGCCCTGGGATAGAAGCGGTCCCTGAGAGAAAATTGAGAGAATTTTTGAAAAGATAAGGACGATCTCCCCCTCAGCCAACGAACGGCCTGAAGATGGTCTCTGGTGTACCGACAATTGTCTCAAAAATATGTAAGCCAATTAGCATCTTGCGAAAGTTTGCTTGCAATTGATCCTTGACGCGTTGATGGGGTCAAAAAAATAGCTTTCAATTAATGTATAGGCATCTTTAAGAAAGCTTCTAAATTCTATTAAATCCAGTGCAACGCCCTTGTTAGCTCACTGAAAAAAAATAAAACGCGAGTTTTTCTGTAAATAGAACCCTTCAACTCCCTCACGACTCCCACATTAAAGCTCACAATGCAAAATCAATACCCCCGCTTCTTCATGCGATCAAACTTTCTCCAAATGCCAAACCACCATCCCCCATTCCATGAATAGCGTGGCTTCACGAAAAATGCAAAACGAAGAGTCCTGCCATAAAACGGTAGATAAGGGCAGAAAAATGGGCTGCTGCGGTACGCGAAACGGCTGATTGAACCGGTACTCGACCGTTTATGACCGGAACGCACCCAGAAATAAGAGCTGGTGCGCCGGCTAGAGGGGTGTAATTAATAAAGAATGACAATAAGATGGAAACGAGAGGTTTCCATATAGTTTGCAAAAAATGAGAGTGGCGATATATTTAAAGGGATTTTATAGCAGCCAAAAAGTTGTAAAGATGGGCTGACTAGATGGTGGTAATTAATAAAATGTGACTGTAAGTTGAAAAAGATTTCTCTAATGTTAATAAAATTCTAATGGTTTTTGAAGCGATTACCGGAAAAATTCAAACCCAATGAAAGCTTTAACCGGGAGAGGAGAAGCATAATAAATTTACAAAGATGCTATATTCGAGTTCAAGTACACTTGAATAAATCATGTAGTATCATGTAGTATAGAAGTATTCAGACCCTATAGCAAACACCCAGCATTTTTCACAAATTAAAGATCCCGAAAACCATGCATCAGAAATCGAACGGAATCATGAACACCTCAACCACAAGACAACGCCCACGTGCCCCTTTCACCCCCCGGGTTTTCTTCGGGGCAAATCAGATGGCGGTTATGATAAGACAAGGGCGCAAAGTCGCCAATCCGACTGTCTTTTCCGCTCCATTCAAGGGGGCAGAATGTTTTTGTCAGAAGATGCCGTCAGTTTGCCCCTCCCCCTAATGGGTCATGAAATTCTCGGGCCAGTATTCGAGGCTACATTGCAGAACAAAATGTTCTCATAAGGAAAGGAGGGCAATAGAGGGGTATCGGGGTAAAGGTTAGAGCAAGTCATGTTTTGTGCTTTAGCGGATTGGGTAAGGTACTCGATGATGAATCACTGTTCTAAGAAATGGTAAATACACGGAACTCGAGGGGGGAGGGAAGAAGGAGGGGGGAGGGGCAGTTATTTGACCGAAGGGGTTGGGCTCGTTTTTGGTTTTTTTATTTCGACATATTTGCTGAGTGGTAAAGATGAATAATCGTGATTTGAATTTATGGGTTTTCTGCGAATAGATAAGTGGTACTTGATAGTAAATCGACGCCATCTAGAAAAAATGTCGAAAATGATCATGCAAGTAAAGAAAGTAGACATTTTTCTAAGCAAATGACGTTATGCTATGGGGATTCCTGTGAAAATTGTAAAATGTATAGTGTAATAATGTAATGTATAGTTTTCCAGGAAAATAAGACAAATTCGAAAAAGGGCCGCTCACAACCCCAAAAATCCCGAATATCAAGACCAAAAACGAAATTCCGATCACACCGCTGATTGCGTAGTGGCGGACCTCTGTTGGCTGACCATTGCTCCATCGGTCGGGGAGACAGGCGTTAAAGGGTGGGAAGAGGTGTGTATGGGGATGTGGAAATGCAAATGGATCAGCTGATGATCGGGGGGCTGGGAAGGGGATGGAGGAGGAGGTGGAATGGATGGATGATGGGATGGATGGGCGTTGGCCGTTGAAAAGGGATGAACAAAAAAGAACCCGCTTTCGGGGTGGCTGGGGCGAGGATTGGGGCGGTACGGTATTTCGGGAAGACGACTTTGGCGGATGGATATTCGCGGGCGGGACGGCTCGGCTGGGTGTGGTCCGGCCAAAAAGTCTGATAGAAATGATGAGGGACTGGTAAGAGACGGGGGAAAGGGGCAGAGCTGTTCGACAGCTCAAACACACACATCGCCCCACCCCATTCTTCGTCTGCATAAAAAGTGAACGCAAAAACATGTACCGCTCGACCTACAAGTGGAGAGAGACGAAAATAACCTGGTTAATATGGGTACAATATCCAATCGCCAGGCGGAATTATAAGGGACATAACCAATTTTTCACAGGTGCCATTCGATATAGCGTCGAAAAATACACGAAACAAATCATTTCATCTCTAAAAAATGTAATTTAAAGCTGTCCGGGAAATATGTTTATGGTATCTTCAATACTATCGGTATTTTTAAAACGTCATCGATAGAGCGCCGAAAAATATACTAACAATAAGCGCTTTTTTCTAGCGGAAAAACCGATGCTTAAAACTATAGGTTATTTTTTATCTCGTGGAATGCGGTTTATGAATGCAAATTAGGACCGTTGTTTCACAGTGTTAGAAAACTAAATGCATTGGCAAGTAAGGATTAGAATTCATCTAGGTCTAAGAAATTCTGTAGCTAAAAAATTATAAGCACCTGACCAAAAAATAAACCGGGTTTTATAAACAGCAATCAGAAAAATGGAATCCGGTAAAATTTATAGCAGTCCAAAACCGCTTCTCGAATTCACGGACCGTTCCGTCCGATCGATCCTTGGCAAGGCTCGAAAGAACCTTATAAAAAATGAAAAGCAGAGAGAAGAAGCATCCTGTTCTTAACATGTGATAGCGACAAGCCGTCTTTCTGGGGGGCATCTCTTCACCGCATCGCGCCTCCCCACCAGTCAGCAAACAGAAAACAATTCGTAAAAAGAACACAAGCACTGACCCACCCACCCACTTCTCATCCTCCTCAACCTCTCCTCCCCCCTCACCGGCAGATCCATCAAATCCCCGATGGGAAACTGCTATTTTGGCATCATCTTCAATCACATCATATGATCGCCCTCCCAAACAGGGCGTGTCTGTTGTTCTCATTTCGAAGGTACTTTCATTGAGGTTGGGGCAGGTGGATACGGTATGTTTGTCTGCGTTCCCCGCCCTCCGTTCCGTCGACAAGTTGATAGACGGACTGAGATGCCAAGCATTTTCGAATTGGTGATCAAGGGCGGTGGTCATTGAGGGGGAATACGATGTGTAAATCATAATCTTTGACCAGGGTGGAAAATCAGCTTTATGGCGTTTTGACCCTGAGCTGTAGCCGATGGCAAAGCTACTAAAAGCACTATTACCTCCCTAAACATCTATGCTAGACGGACTTCCGGTGTATGCTAATTGGTTCCTAACTATGAAAAATCCGATAATTTCAAGCAAAACCTAAATGTCATATAAAAAATTATAAAGCGGACGTATCGGACGTCATTTCTATGCAAATTGGATCAGAGATCCAAATATTTTTTACCCCAAATTTCTCTTGACTAAGTCGCCTACAACTTTTGTCTGCGTCTCATTGCGTATGTTTCAATCGTTTATTTCTCTCTCTTGAGCGCTGTACCCATTGGCTCTCATTTCCAAACACGAAAGGCACATAAAACACCGACAACTGCCCAAAGAAAATAATAAACGGATTCATGGCACAAACGGTATTGATTAACATTTTGAGGTGATGGACGTAGAAATCTAACATTGAATTCTCATTTTCAAAAACCCGGGTCACTAATCCTGATCGACATCGGCTTGACTTATTGGTAAGGCACAAAGAAAAGTAAAGAGGAATATCCAGTATCTATGACGGGGCACATCGGCGAGGTACGGCTTTTAACAAGATCACGGGAAAATTAGCATTTAGACGTGACGGGCAACAATGTTCTTTTCGCTAGCGTAAAATCTTTTGAACTAAGAGAGGCAAGGAATAATTTTATAGGCGTACGGTATCATTTTTTTTACCGTGCGTTGAACGCCTTATTGCAAAATGCAGAGTTTTTGATGCACAATAAGCGAGAACAAACAATTACAACTAAGAGGTGAAAGGGCTATAACTTAGAGGAGAAGACTACTGTACAGTACTATCAACGGGATAGGTCAAGAGCATATGCACGGAGGGCGGTTGAATCGGCTGAATGCGATGTCTTGCCGCTCATTTCGACCAAGAATCTCGTTAGGAGTTGGCGCAACTTTTGCACCTTCCACTCCTCGTGAAACCAAATTGCGGCCGAGCGTGAGACCTATCGGGATTTGATAACAGTTTTCATGAACTTCTACCTCATTAAGGTTCTGAGGATCCGGATGTAAATACGAAGCCAGGGACTGGAGCATGGGTTCCAACATTTTTACCATCTGAAAAAATTTAGCGTTGATTTGGAAAATTAATTTACCAAGGCAAAATCCCAATTTTCACGGCTCCTTTCTCGGCTATAGCGGTTCACAAATTGCATTAACTAAATTAGAGGTTAGAGCTAAAATCCTTTTCACTACCTGTGGTGCCAATGCGCTTCCAGAATTTGTCGGAACCGAATTCGGCGTGGGAAGGCTTGATTGGAGGACTCTAAAACAGCTCTGATATATTGACAATTAAAATCTTTACGTGATTTTATTATTGAGCGCATCAGCTTTCGCGGCTACTGTCGCCTTCTTGGCCTGAACTTGGCGGGTGTTCTTTTGGAGATAGCGGATATAGTCTGCAGCTTTCGCTAGGATCACGGCATTTGTTGGCTTGTTGCCAGGCGCATAGAGATCGGGAATCTTAATAAGCTTTTTTGGGGGGTGAAAACTCCTTCAAACCAGGTCAGCTAGCTGGTCAAATCCGTCTTTCAAAGCACATCGTCTGCTCTGTTCTGCATGGAGATGGAGCAAACGTTTGCGCTCGGTCGGGGCCAAATTTGCTGTTGGTGGCTCCTGAAAATATTTCATGAAGTCTTGACGGACGCTGCTAATTGTTAAAGTGTATTAAAACCCTGCCTTCATTTTGTTTTTCTCCAACTCTGTGGCAATCGTCATTTCATATTTAGAGTCTTGCATGTCAAGCCCATCATCTTGTTCCGCCGAATCCGGTGCATCCATCTTAATTTTTAATTTTTATTTTATGGACCGAGAAACCCTACCAGCTGCTGCCAATCCACTTTTCCTTGAGGTGACTGTGGCATGGTTGGATGCCTAATAATAAAATAGGTTGACCTATGGGTATATACCAATCAGGTTCCTGCTTCGGAATTCCGTAAGGTGAAGTCGGAATTTCTTGTTTGTGCATGGGTGGCCGTGGTAAGCATTGTTGTTGCTGGGTGATTGGAGAAACAAGAAGCGATGGTTTAGAAGGTTCGGGCTAAAAAAGTGGAGATTTTAAAAATGGCACTCGTTACCTCAGCAAGGTCCATTCGATTCCTCTTCATTTGTTGATGTTGGTGATGTTGAGGGACAGACATTCTTGAAGCTGGAGGTGGTTGAAGGGCAGGGCCACGAAGAGGTCTAAAAGTCATTGGAAAAGCGAATTGAAAACCCATACCTAAGTCCACTTTGCATCGGCATATGCGGTGGGGGCATTGATTGAAGCGGGGATAGAACGGATGAAGATGTCATGGAGGGTGGAGGGGTCTAAGAAATCTATGAGCTTTGCCTGGAAGCCTTACCTGAAGTGGTATTGGTGATGGTAGTTGGGGCTCTAACCAGCCAGGAGCCGATGGGGTTTGACGCGACCAGGGCATACCGCCCTGAATTAGCAATTTTCGTATATACTGGTTAGAGCTCTACAACTCAAAAATTGAGCACCAACCATTGATTGGGATGGTGCTGGACCAGGCTGGTTTAGGCGGGAAGGACCAGCATGACCGGCGAATGGTGAAGAATAATCTACTTGGGCGACGTCACCTCCAGTAACCTGAAAAAATCTCGAGCTTAAAGAATAGCAGGCAAATCTGAAAAAAATTAAGTTTTATTGTGAAACCCACCAAAAAACCATTCGCAGAACATGAGGGCACAGGATTCCAGGGCATGGTTGTGTATTGAGCCTTTATTTGCATAATTATAAAATTATCTTTCTCAACCTGCGAATATTGGGGCTGGCCGGCGGACATCATCGGGGAATTAATTTGTGAAGACATTCGGGTCGGTTGGCTGGGCACATTTTGATTACTAGAGATTCTGATGTGTAAGTTTTTATATTTTAGCTACCTGTAATCGACCAACATCGAGGCCGCCGCGTAATCTTTGGTTGAATAGTCAGCAGGGGTCGAGAGTTGCCGATCCTATTTTGGTAAATATTATATTTTAGTGTAAACCCAGGGCTGCTATGTGTTTCAACTATCCTCAAGCCGCCGACTATCAGAAAAAAATTATAATAAAGGGGTCTTACAAAAAATATACATTTGTCTCTAAGTTACAAAATTTGTTAATAGCATTGGTCCCGGAAACTCGATTTCTGATCACGCCATCAGTTTAATGACACCCGGGAAGTGATAATGGTGAGACCGCTTACCATTGGGAGCTGAGGCGGGAGGAACTGGTTGAATTGCATATGGCCTTGGTGGATTTGCTAAAAATTGAACAATTGATGTCCATCATCCAAATTCTTTGCCGGAACGTGCCGCCAAAAAATTCAGTGCATATTTACCTTTCTATAACTTTCAAAACTTACATCCATCATCATCCCATCGTTGCCCATTGCACTTGGGGGTGCGCTACCTCCAGTCGGATTCAAAGGGCCCAGCAATTCACACCCGTCGGCTTAAGGAAAATTATTGTTTATGAAGATGCCATATTTCTTACTATTCATAATCTCCTCAATGCTCGGCTGCAGAGACAGCAGCCCGGGTTGCATGATGTCTGCTAGACCGCCTTGCACTGTAAATTGTTGTTTTAGGTTTTAAATGAAAGGTGAAGCCGGAATCAAGAGTGGGCCCAAAAACCCACTCATTTCACGGGGATTTGGGAAGATATATGGCTGATTCAGCGTGGCAAACAGCTCATCCGTGAAGATATTTTCAAACTCGTCGGCATCCCACTCGCTGATGCTGTTTGGTTTTGGAGTCTAAAGCTCAAATTGTTTTTTTTTGTATATTTTTAACTAAATCTTTAAGACCTTTGAAGGAATCAACCCACCAAAGACCGTTGCACCGGAGGCGATTTTTTGATGGCGGGCTGCGGAACCCCGGGCGCTTCAGCTGCCGTCTGTAATTTCATTGTACAGACGCATATATCTGTCGAAATCGACTTCCTGTAACCCTGGCTGCTCAAAAGTTGTTCTTACAAACCGACTAATCCCCACCCCCTTTTTGCCGTTTCACGCTGGTATTCACGCATTTCCGCTGCCTTTCTAATGGCCCCCTCTCAACAGCTATGATTATCTTGTGAACTAAGGCAAATAATAGCAACATTCAGGTTGCGATCGAACCGTGACGCAGTCATCCCTTAGTTGTAAAGCTGTGGTTTGGAGATCGTGGGGAATTTTTGAAAATGACAAGCGTCATACCCTTTTTCGACGTTGCCGAGGTGCCATCGTCTAGCGTTCCAATGAACAGCAAAATACTCAAAGGAATAGCGGGTGAATTTGCGTTGCGGTCTTTGGGGCGGATGGGGGGGGGGGGTGAATGCAGATGGGCACCGGGAGGATGGTCAATGACTTTTCGCGGGCCACGAAAAGCCATTAGCACGGCGGGCGGTGCGATACCATTTAGAGACAACCTATGCTGTTTTCAATTGCCATGAGAACGTTGATTGCAAGGAATAGAAGGTAGATGAAACCGGAAGTTAAGGAATTTCGAAGGAAAGCCTTGTATCAGGAAAAACAAGGAAAAACGCGTCTAAGATCATCTTTGAAAGTTGAAATTTGCCTTGGCGGGTATGCCTTTAAACAAACGTGAAACGTTGATGAGCGAGAACAACATGAAGGAGCTAGAGAGAAAAAGAAAGAAAGATATGAGATGCGATCAGACCCAGCGCCTACAAAGAAAAGCGGCAAAAGAGCCCATAAACACTGTTCGATTAACCTAGCCCTTCACCCCAGCAAAATCGCACCTGCCCAGTTCCTATCCACTTTTTGAGAAAATTCTCAGGTGCTAAAATATTTCCTGGTAATCGTTCCGCTAAATGTCTCTAGATCAGGCTAAATCTGAACTTTAAAAACCAAGAAAATTAAAGCAATGGCACCAGCTTTTTAGTAACCGCTAGACACAAACCGAGCGCGTATCGATTTAATTCGAATTTTGCGGAATTCAAATTGACATCGCACACGTCAGCCCCCTGGGTTATTGAAAACAAAAAAAAAACCAATCAAAAAAAATCGAACCCACCCTCTTGCGTCTTTGCTGCTGGCCAGGCTTCCTTTTTTGGAAGAAAAAGCGCCATCGTTTGTACTGTGCGCAAACAGCCTCCATCCGTCGTTTCCAATACATTCCTTCGATTAGGGTACCCTATTCATTAGAGAGTTCTTTTATTAAATAGCGACATACCACTTCAACTTTTGCATGTGTAGAGTCATCTTCTGGGACAGAAAAATAACAGTATTTTTGTTTATTTTGCTTCTTTCCCGGTTTTCCATCGGCTGAGTTTTTGACAACTAGAAAAACTAATTTTGTATTAGGAATAAGAACTAACATTCCATATGGTAGGCTCTCCAAATGACGTTGTTTAAGCGGATGCGTTGCTTCCAATGTAACCGCAGCCCTTTGAAATCTTTCCATTTTGGGGTCGTCATTTTACTTAATAAGAAGTTGTGGTATTTCCTTAATGATGAACTCACTTGTAGGCCACCTTGATACATTTGTTTAGTTTGTTTAGGGACACATCAATGGCAATCGATTGGGTTTTCCGAGGGCCAAATTTGTAGAAAGTAACTGGCTTGTCTGCGAACTGAATATAAGAAGATAACGTATGCATACCAGAAAAGGTCCATACCGAACTGATTTTCTTATAGCGACTGTCGATTGGTTTATCATCGTCAACCTGAAATTAATGTTAAGCCAAAAGTTACATTTATATGTTTTATTTGAGTATTACAAGTTTTTAAGTACACCTTTATTTAATGATACTTACATCAAGGGCCTCGACGTCCACCTCATTATCATCTTCTTCATCTGGGGTTGGGTCCGTATGCGGATTGGAGGTCATGAAATGGCCCGAGTGGATCGTCTCGTGAGTCCCCATCTCGGCCACCTCCACCACTACTCAGCCCGCACCGGAAGCCACCTAGACCATTAAAAATAGAAAATAAAAACGGGAGGAAAGTCTAGGATGAAAACAAGATCGAACTGTCAATGGAAAATGATCGACGGCTCTGTTTTTAAGTTAAGACCAGGATGGAAAAATAGATAAGCTCTGGGTAAGCTTAGAATTCTTGAATTGTCTTTACTTATCATATTAAAGCCACACCGAGAGAAATTCTAAAAAATGAAGAACATCCCGTATCCATTTAACATCAGCTATCTCCACTTCCGGTAGATTTTAATTTTTTGGTTTACGTAAAGCTTTTCAAAAGGTCAAAATGACTGGGACTGGACTGACATTGACTGCCGGACTGGGAAGCGAGTGTTCGAAAAATTTATGGATTCGGTGGAAGGAGTGTCTGCTTGTCTAGGGTTCACCAAAATAAGAAGATCAATCAGTGGATGAGAAAAAAAGGGGGGGGGGACGGCGAAGAGATGCTGATCATTGGCTATCGATCAGATAGATCTAATCATGGCTAGCCCCCAACGAATGCGCCGTATTATAATCACATGGCCCAGCTGGGATCGATGCCTGGGGGCAAAATTTGCACGTCATGGTCTTTGAGAACTTTTTCCGAAGTGCGTGAAGTGCTAGAGTTCTGGGAATCACATAGTACGGTAGTTTATGATCGAAGGTAGAGCTTAAGCAACACACGGGGTTCTCTATAGGTATTAACAAGGTTCAGATTAGAAGTCCAAATTAGCGATAGTGAATTGCATGGTAATTTTCAAATCTAAAAATACATTCTAATTTTGTCTTTAATTCCGAAATCACATCTAATCGATCAAGATCGAGCACAAAATGAGCAGACCCGCGATGTCTACTCATCGTTTGACACCCACCCCCTGACGTTGAAACGATACCACGTGCGTATTAGGGGGGTAGAGGAAGAAGAGGGGTTGAGCACCGGGTGTCAGTGGGGGGAGACTGACTGACTGTACGCTCTTTGCTCTAGACGATTTCCAGTTCCATCATCCTCCCCGATCCTATTCAACCATCACCCATCCCCTTATCGGCACTTTTCACAGGCGAGAGCATGTATAGACGCTGAAGATTAATATTCACGAATGATGACTGAAATTCCTTGATAAATTATGGTATATTCCAGCTATTCTTCATCAAACGGCCATTAGGCTTCCTAAAAATAATTTTTTTACTTATCGAACTGGGTTTAAAGCTTAACTATACAAATCTGAAGCAAATTAGTAATCGCAAATTAAATGCCTAATTAGCACGGGAATCCAGCATTTTAGCGTGTTCAAAAATCCATTATCCTTCAAACAATAGTTTTACACTTACTTAATCAGACTAACATTAACTTATCAGCCATTAAAAAGTACAAGAGCTACTCTAAAGCCCTATCCGCCAATCAACTACCTAATTAGCATAAAAAAATAAAAAAATTGCAGTCCAAATGGCTCCGAGTTTTCTCCATATCGGATAACAGTCGTCAGAGGAATAAAAACAACATGTGATCAGTCCCTTTTTTGGGGGCGAATAAGAAAGATGGCGGATTACGCGCTGTAAATCCCATTCCAATGCCGTAAACTAGTCACTCCCTTTTCGAGTCTTCCCATTTTCGTCGGTCACCTCCACAAAATTGACCTGTTGGGGGGGGGGGGGGGAATGGGGGCCCATCGATTGATCGCAAGGTGAAAAAGAGGTAGTGTGGTGTCGCAACATATTCAAACTATTTTTGTATCCATTCAATCATTGATAACGGTTCTTAAAAGAGAGCAATTGAGAAGTGAAAAGCAACAAATCAGGAATAATTAACCTAACAACCATTTAAACCGGCAAAAACCAAACAAGGGTGCAAAAATCTGTGGTAGAGTTATCGTAAAAACGTTGACAAGAATTTGTTGAAGAATAGAAAAAGCGGTCATTTGATAAAAATTTTTCCCGATCGACAGGAATTAGGCTATAATATAAAATAATAATATAAAGCATACTTCAAGCCCATATAGAAAAAGTAACATTATATATACAGCTATACAAATTGCAGAATGTAGATAATTGCTTAGATAAAAATTAGAACTGATCGCTGATCAGCTTCCCGCTTCTGCGTATCTACAGAATTAAGAAGGGTATAGTCGGGAAGCGTAGCGCTTCCAAAACATCACTTAACAACCAGTATCACTCTTATCGCCCGCCCAATCGAAATCAGGTGATCTTATCGAAAAAACGTTAGGAAATGGTCAAAATCCAGACATGTTATAGCTAACAAAAACTCAAAAACAGCACTTATACGGCCAATTTTTGTTGGAATGGAAGATGAACGAGGATATTTATCACTTGTGTGTATGTGTGCGTCTGTGTGTGCAGAAGTGCAGTTGGCAGCCTTTGGTTGGGTGCTCTGTGTGTCTGCCAACATAGCCAGAGTCTTGATATCTATTTTTCTCTCCGGCCTCCCCCTTTTCACTGTTGTCCTTTCACTTATGCCTCTGCCTCTAACCCCTCCTCGCCAGCCCCCGGAAACCCCCCCAGCAGGCACAGACACGCCAAAAATCTGAACAATAAACGCGATTGGGTCCTGTGCCCTGCCTCAACACACCACTCTCTCCGACAATAAGGGCGCAAAGTTGGCCGTCATTCGAAAACAGCTCGATTTATAGGGGAAATTCGTGAAGTGTCTATTTGTTAATCGGCAAATTGCGCAAAAATTCACATTTTAAAACAATTGTCGCTGTGTCACGAATGCCTCCTTTTTAATTTTGCTTTTGAACATATCAAAAATTCTGCTTTCCACACAAAACATGGGTTAATGCTGATGATCTCTCCGCGATAAGGCGCTGGAAATCTGCTTCTAAGGTAACTTTAGGACGCCATAGTTAACGACGTTTGGTGATCCTTTAAAGGAAGACAAATCTAACATTTAAAACAAAACAATTACCAATAGCAATAGAACAGCTTTTCCTGAAAAAAAAAACCGTCAGAACCCTGCAGGCTTTCCTCAACGAGCATGGCCCATCTGGCATTTAGAAGTCGTCTGATCCATTAGCAAATTCATTTCTCCCTGTAACATCATCTTTTTTTTGGAGAAAATGGCACAGGAGAGCGTCGAGAGTCCATTAAAGCGGACAACTCAGGGGCCAAGAGGGCAAAGTGCAATATTTCGATTGAGAATTAAGATTATAGTCAATTAAGCGGAAATACATTTGACTAGAAACCGGCAAGTAATTAAAATAGGGTAGTAGCGCCTTTATATTAACAAGGATCTATTACTAAAACTGTTTTTGATTTTTTAATTGACTTTTTCGTTTTCCGGAAAAGGAGGGCGGATAGGAAGATAATTCATCGCTAGTTTTCGCAGAGATTTTCCTCGGAAAGTATTCTAGCGTTAGCTGTAGCCGGGGTGAATTTTTGATATCCATTATCAATTAATTTATCTTAAAAACCAAATATAAATTAGAAAGGCAAGAATACATTGCATATTGAGCACCAGCATCGAATCGTTGAATTGGGGGCAATGGATAAGTACAAAAAACATAATGAGCAATGCAACTGAGTGTGGAGGAAAACGGGGAAAACGAGACTAGAATTGCAATACCGTTTGGAGTGATATAGAAATTTGGGTGAAAGAATGGAAAGAAATTAATAAGTAATGTTAAATATCGACAAAACGGGCCGTGGCTGCGGCCGGTCTGACCCGTTCTTCGTAGTAGTTTTCAGCTCTACGTTGTAGATTTGAAAGTGCATCACTGGTGGTTTGTTGCGGTGATGGAGTTAGATGAGAAGGTACCTAAAACGAAAAATATTAGGTTCATAAATTTTAGCGTTTTGTCTGACCATCGGGCAGATTGGCTGGAAGTGCTCAGATTTAACGGATGAAACCGCGATCCCTATCCTCAAAACAATACTTACGTGCTGATACTCATAGCTCGTATCCGGATCGTGACGAACAACATCCTCCAGTCGTGCATAAATTAAAGCATCCATCTCACGAGCGTTCCGCTGATTCTTCTTTGCGGGCAAACTAACCCCTAATGAGTGCAGGTACTCATTAACAGATGATGTCAACGACACCTGAACCCCGTTTTTTAAAGTCACTAAGGATTGTACCGTATCCTGGTCAATTCCAGAGTCGGGCTGTGATCTGTTAGATAAAAATTCACGAGACGAAAGGCCGGAATGTCGGAGATTTGGGTGTTCGGAAGCGGAGGAGCTTCTTGAAGAAGACTAAACACCAAAATCCCCAAAATTGTTTTTATTATAGACCTGTTTTATCGCCGGGAACCGTGGTGGTAGCCTGGGCTTGATAGGTGATGTTCTTCCAATGTCAGCCATCGAAGATATTTGGCCTTTCGAGATGGCATAAACCTGAAAAAGCCCGGATAGGATATAATTCACAGGAACTTTTGAAATAGCCTTTTTTCTTTTTCATACCTGCTTTCTTGGGCTATCAACCGTTTTGATCCTTGTCTTATGCCGATAGATGCAGAGTGCGAGTACACAAGTGAGTAACAAAAGTAGCACCAGAATGCCAGCAATTACACTCCACACCAATGGAGAGCCTATCCGCCCACTCGCTAGCGTTGCGGCAACCCCACCAATCTGAAAGTTTAAAATTTATGGACTTAGTAAAAATGAGATTAAAGGTTGCATTTAGTTTAATTTATTAGCATTTCGTTTACAAACCTCGACAAATACCGTTGCCCGGGATTGCTGAAGTGGCCCGCTTTCTGCCACAATCACCAACGTCTCGATCGTACCATTTTTTGAGGGCTCGATCTAAGGGAAGTTATAGTTCAAATTAAATCTGATACCGGATTTGCCAGTCGTAGCACTCCGGAAGTTGGATCAATGGCAAAGTATTTATTCACAGCCCCCTCTTGCCGATTCTCAATACGGTATTTAATCTGGAATCGAATTTTTCTAAAATGACTGTGGAACCTGCCATTCCATCCGGACCAGTATCACCGTCGACAGCCGAAATTTGACCGGCATCTTGCCCAATGTCAGCATCAAGCGGTATCTATTGAATTTTTGAGATGATAAATAAATACTGAGGTACCGAAAACGTGTAGGATAACTTTGAAAATAATGGCGGATATTCGTCGACTGGAAGAACTTCTATCTCGACCGTCGTCACGGCAGAGCGTCCTGAATTTTGATTTGAGTAAGACGTTGCAGAGGGATTTATGCACCTGCTCCATCCGTAGCTAGCACAGTCAGCGCGTGGTTTTTCTGTTTCTCATAGTCAAGATTTTCAAGGGAGGAAATCACCCCGGATGAAGGATCGATTGAAAAAATCTGTAACCCGCATAAACCTTACAGCTACGAATAGTACCGAGTCTCTGTCCTTGAAAGAATATCGTAAATTGTTGATACGGGCTCCCAATCGATTCACGGCTCGAACTCGCGTTACTTCAATAGGATCATGGCTTCTGATACTGGATAACCCTTCTCGAATATGTTTTCGGTATTCGGACATCACAAAGAATGGGGCGCTCTGACCCCACTTCGAGGTTTCAACGGCAAATGGGATTTCGATAAGAGCTGCTCTGTAATGAGGAGATTATTAAAAAACCGCGACAGTCAGTGGGGCTTGCAAAACCACATAAATTTTCGTACCTGGACGGAATCCCAAAATCATGTGCAAGCAGCACAATGCTTCCATTTGGTGCATCCTGACTGTCTCCTCCATTCCACGTTAGTATTCCGGAATCGTCAATTCGGACTCGATTTGAATCCTCTCCAGCAACGACCCGTATTTCCACACGTCCATTTTCTCCAAAATCTTCGTCAACAGCAGAAAATCTGGAATAGTCAAAAACATTTTCGTGTCAGTAGAAAATGGAGCACACCACTTTTCGTAAGTTTAATAGCAAACCTCGCCAAGCTCTGTCCATTTTGTGCTCCTTCCTGAACTGGAATCTTCATTTCAGCGACGGATTGGAATATGGGTGAATGGTCGTTCTCATCAATGATACGAATAGTGACAGGTACTGTAGCGTTTTTAACAGATCCGCGTCCGGTGCCCACATCGACCTGAAAAAGTCTACATTTAATTTTTAACTTTGCTAACCGTAAATTCGAACAATTGCTTGCGTGCGTAGGTCAATGACTTTCTTAGCCAAAGAACCCCAAATCTGTCGATAGCGAAATGTACGGCGGCCACAGGGTCGAGAATTCGGAAGTTTAGATGGTTCTCGTTTGAATCCGTGCCGCTCAACGTGAAATCACCAACCGGCATGTTGACCGAAAAGTGCTCGGATACGGTAAATCTGAACAGGTATACGGTATTCGTAATGTTGACTTACTCGTATAGATCAAGGTCGAATGCTGGCTGTGAAAGTGTGTTTTCTTCCTTAACGACGATTCGAACAGCAGCATATGCACTTTTGGCAGGTAAGCCATTATCGGTTGCAATTGCCGTCATGAGGAATGATGTGTACTTGGTCTTGTGATGTTCTTCTAGAGGTTTCGCTAGTGAAACAGTGCCTAAAATTTCTTATCCTTGGTATTTTTAACCAGACCTGTTAACGGATCCACTTTGAAATATCCACTTGGGTCATCGAGGGAATAATTTATTTGCGACGAAGCTTCTGACGCATCTTTGTCCGTAGCCCCAAAGACCACCACAATATCGCCAGCATTAACCGAGCGGGATACGGTAGCCTAAGTACATTTTAGGAAATTTAGTAGTTTTTTACCTCATAAACCAGTTGATTGTATGTTGGAGAATTATCGTTTTCGTCTAGAATCTCGATGAATAATTCAGTGTATGCTGGGTGACGGCCATCCCACACCTGAAAAATGATTTCAGAATTTCCATCCTAAGCTGAATTATAATGAAAAGTAGTTACCTTGACTTTTAAAGTGACATTTTCATACTCTTCACGGTCCAAAGCTTTGACAAGATGAATAGCCCCAGTGCGACTATCAATCGCAAAATTTGGTTCTAAAAGTGTTTATTGTAGTATTGAAATATTTCTACCTTTCGCCTCTTCACCGCCATTTAATTGGCTTTCGATGGTATATTCAGCCAAGCTATTTTCGTCCACATCATTTGCCAATAATGTTGTGATATACGAGCCAACGGTCGCCCCTGTACATAAATTTTTTTTGGGAAATTCCGGGGGTTCACTACCTTCTGACAATTTTCGTTTTCTGGTGATGGGAAACGATGGGGCATTGTCATTAACGTTGAGTACGGTAATAGAAGCTTTTGCAGCAGACTGCAACATTTTGCAACTATTTAGGAGATGGTTTGTAAAATTTACCTGGGCGGGTAGCGAACTCGTGGCAAGAATTTTTAATTCATAATATCCGCGGATTTCCCTATCCAATTCCAGCGCTGTGCGAATTACGCCTAAAACAAGGTTTGCCTGTCGTGGCTAATTAAGCAGTCCTACTTACAATGTGAAAAATAATGACCCTGAAATTGATTAACCTACCATTTTCATCAATCTCAAAAGCCGAGTCATGATTCCCATCGACAATGCTATAAGCGATCTTTTCATCTCGACGTGAATGCGTAGTAGATAGTCGCAAAACTTCTCGACCCATCGGTTCCCCTTCCTCAACACTTCCCACATATTTTGCATGTAAAAATTCCGGCACGTCTGGGGGATCTAAAAACCACCAATTCTCAACAGTGACACTTTGTGTTTGACCTTCATAATGAGTTCGATAATCTTTCAACGTTAACAGCTTCTCGGTGTAAAGCCGTTTTTCCATTCCTCGGTCTGTTGCACGGACACGAATTTTTGTTTCTTGTGCCAAAACCGGGAGTTCTCTAAAACGTGTGGTATGACTTGGATCCTGCAATTCCAAAGGAAAACTAAATATGGCTTACACTTACCTAGCATAGGAAATTTTTCCCGTATCAGGATCGATATCCAACAACGATGAAGGATCGTCGATGATCGAATAATCGATTTGCCCATTTGGACCCTTATCGGCATCGCTAGCAAGTAATGAGGCCAAAATTGTGCCTAATTTCGTGTCGTCCTCCACCTTCAGCTCAATCTCAGCATTTCTATTCCAAGTCGGAGGATTGTCATTCTCGTCCAGAACCGTGACAAGCACCGTGCAGTTGTCCTAAAAACAACCGTGGGCTATCTGTTGGCCGAACTAGATCGTACCTGGTCACTGCCTTCTGCGACGGCGATGAGTAGATTGTATTCATCTTTCAGCTCGCGATCCAAAGCTCGAGAAGAAAGCCACCCGGTTTGGGCATCAATCTCGAACAGATTCCCATCATTGCCACCTAAATTTCACATTTCCCAAATTTTTGCGAATATCCTGACCTTCGATTCGGTAAGTCGCATTTGTAGCACCACTTGATACGATCCTTTTAAAGTTTGTAGCTTGCAAATTTTCGATAAGGGAAGAAGAGCCGCAGGATGCCGGGCTGATCTGAAACAGATGATTTTACCTTGATTCCAATACAAAATGATACCTTTAAGTAGCTGGTGGTATTTTTGCCGGTGTTTATGATGATACCAGCATGATCGCTTTGACTTTCATTGTTCTCGACAAATACTAGAAAAATATTTATGCTTATTTCGGCATATGTTTATACCTGTGAAACTGTAGGTATCTGCGGACATTGTGTTTGCCACGATAATCCGGCCATTTGATTTATCGATCTTGAAGGGCAAATCGGAAGGGAGGAGATAGAAATGATTGGTCACTTGAAATAAAACAGTTCTGAAAAGAAAAAGTATTCTACCTGGCGAAGAAAATTCAAGGATTTGGGTTCCGATTGGAGTCTCTTTATTCAAATCCAGTTCAAAAACAGGCCGCGAAAAGAATGACCATCGATTTGCTGATTTGTGGAGGGTTATCTATAGATTTAATTTATTAAGTAAGGTCTGAGAGCTGGTAACATCACGATATCATGCTATACCTGAATTTTCTGTTCCACAAATCGAGCCGGATTCCCGTTGTCTGAGGCTCGAACCGTAATTTCCTGATCCATATCAACGTGTCGATTTACGGTCAACGCCCCTATTTTTACTACTTTTACCAAAATTTGGGCCCTACCACTTCTCGAGTCCAACGCAAAATTTGAGGTATCCCCATTGACCATAGTGTAGGTGATTTTAGCATTGTCACCACTGTCTTCATCTACAGCTACGACGTAGTGGAGTGGCCTTGGTGCAGGATGGGGTAACGAGACGCGTTGGGAGCTATAATAAAAATTATGACGTACAAGAGAGTAAGATATACCTAATGATTCTGGGAGTATGATTGTTGACATCCTCAATGTTGAAAAGCACAGCGCAGCTTGAAATTAGCCCTTCATTTTCCGATTGGATGACTGCAACAAGGCTTGGCGCCTGAAATGCAGATTGGTAAAAGTTATGCCATCCATGGTTGATTTAGCAGGCAAGAATATATAATTACTAAGCCGAATTAAGTTATTATTTTTTACCTCGCTCCAATCGATCGTCCTCGTAAGCGTCAATTCTCCTCGCGTCAAATCTATCGTAAAATATTCGTCGCCATCCATCAATTTAAAGCTGGTAGCCGAAGGAAAAACGGTCATCGCTGGAGTGAATACTATCGTTCCTAAACAACATTTGATTTTAAAAAAGCGTTATGTGCCTGGTATCGTCGCTTCAGAAAGATTTGTCAAGAACAAATTCTTCTCAAATCGCGGTTTCAGCGCTTTTTGCTCAATTTCCAGGCTCACCACATGCATATTCGTATCACATCCAGTTAATGAACCCTAGAAAATGTCTGGATTTTTAAAGAATGTCTACCTTTTCCATGTAGAGGTCAATCACTTGTCCAGAGTATAACGTTGGTTTTGAGGTCAAGAAAAGAGAACCAGTGGCTTCGTCAACCTCGACAAGTTCGGTCTAAATCTAGGTTAAGAGTAGGAACTATCATACCGTATTTAGTAGAGAGTAATATACTGAGGAATTCCGTTCATTTGCGTCAACTAGTTTTGTGCCGATTGGTGTATTGAGTGGAACAGAGACCAGCATTCGCTCTCCCTAAAGATTTTATGGGTTTGGAAGCACGGCGCAAATGAATAATCCGAAACAACTTTAATGATACCTTAAAATCCTTATACGGTATGATCCTCAACGGCAATAAAATTTGACGTCCTTCATCATCGGAGAGGACGAGCGTTAGACGGAATGGTTGAGTGGCGGATGGTGGTGAAGTCAATGACAGAATCCCTTGAGCAGAAATCGAAAATAGTGCCGAGAATTCTAAAGAAGAGAAAGACACTCGATTTTTTTAAATTTCGTACCACTGCTTTGAATTTGCCAAACTGCCACGTTCGTTGCATTTATTTTGATTAAACGGCAACCACGATCACATTCAGAGCGAATCCTAGGATCGGCATAAATCTATAGCTTGCCAGGCTTACCGTATTGTATTCAACACCGGTTGGATCAATTCGACTTTACTATTTCCATCCTCGACCCGAATTGTAAAGTGGCATACGGTCGACCTAAGAGGAATTTAGGTAATTCCTTTCGAATGTTTACTCACCGCGAAGGTACACCCCCATCGGAGACAATCACCGGAAGTTTTTGTTCTTTTTCACTGGATTTGCTGCTAATTAGGTTGGTCCTCAGGTATATTTCGCCTTAATACAGGGCTGAGTCTAAATTTAATGAGCCGTACCATTTCCCTTTACAATAAAATTAGGGTGTGCATGTTGGCTGCGGAATGTCAGCGTTCCATTTTCACCGGAATCTGGATCGATGGCAAGTAGAGTGCCAAACGGTTTCCTTCGAACGATTTTTAGTAATAATTTAAAAAGGGTACCTGGTATCGGCATCCGTATTCACTGTAATAGCTTGATCCACGCATTGTGGCGAGTGATCATTGATATCCTTTACATGAATTCGCACCACAGCACTGCCAGATTTTGACGGCTAAATTTTGACAAAGATATATTATTACTTTGGTAATAGCATACCGAGCCGGCATCATATGCATAGACAGTTAGATTATGTTCCATTTTGACTTCCCGATCGAGATCCTTTTTCGTGAATAGTGTCCCGCCCCTTGGATCAATCCCAAAAGCATCGACACTTTGATCCAGACGGTATTCGACACGTCCATTTTCTTCAGAGTCAAAATCGACCGCCTTCACTTGGATTAGATGGGTTTTGGCTGGAGCGTGTTCAAAGACCTGAATTGTTAAAGCTCGCCGCAAACTAGTATTTCCCACTTCTACTTCATAAGTTGCATTTTCAAAAATCGGCGCATTGTCGTTTACATCGGATACACGTAGGATTACGGTGGCATTAGTGGAACGAGGGGGGATACCGTTGTCCTAATATGATGACTTTTTCATTTCTGCAATTGTTGTGATCATACCTGAGCCTTGACCCGAATGCGATACTCACGAATCCTCTCGTAATCTAGGGGTGCTGTCAAAACCAAGTGACCAGTGACGGGCTGAATCATTACTGGAGCAATTGGGATTGAGGCCATCAACGAATAGGTCAGCTCGCCGTTCTAAAAACGTTTAGACGTGCTGATTCATCGATGATTTACCTTTTTCTTATCCTTGTCGATAGCTTGGACAATGAAGAAGGTTTGTTGAGGTTTTGCATCTTCGCGAACGATAACCTAAACAAACGAGGTGAAAAAATACGTTTGAGATGCTTTTTTAAGATTTTTAAGAGATAGCTAGCTAACCAATAAACCCCCTAAGCCTAAGCCTAAGTCTGGCTAGAATAACTAACCTCCATCACATTTTCAGTAAATTCCGGTGGATTATCATTATGGTCCTCGATATGGATTCTGACCTGAGTGTGATTGGAGAGACCGTCAATAAGATCAGCCTGAACAAAATTTAGGCAATCATATAAACCACAAGTTCTAGCCCACCCGTACGTTCAACAACACCGTATCCTGTTTGTCGGCATCCAAATACCTAGCCACAGTAATTTTTCCGGTTTCGGGATGAATTGTGAAGTGATGATCGGGGTCACCATTGTAGATGGAGTACCGTATCCCAGGCCCACCCGTCGCTTCTACACCACCGATTGAGATTCCAGGCAATATATCCTAAATTTGATTTGAATCTTTGTGTGAAGTGTCTGTACCTCGGTGGTATGGAATTCGTATTTGGCCTGTGAAAACTTCGGTGCAGCCGCCAAAATACCGATTACAGATACTTGAACCAGGGCCTGAAAGTAGGGTTAGAGCCTGGGTTTTGGAAGTTACATTGGTGTGTGCCGCCTGTCCCAGTCCGTCCGTAGCAGATATTTGAAGAGAGTATTCTCCTTTCGAAAGGCCTTCGCGCAGGGATATAGCACCACTACGTGGATCCACTCGGAATAAGCCAGCATCTCCAGCACGAAGGTTGTATTGGACCTAATTTAAGGAATTGCATTTAAAAATTTGTTACGAAGCATACCTCTCCACCAAGCCCACTATCCGCATCGCTGGCCTGCACCACTAACAATTCTCGATTCGAATCAGAATTGATCTCGCCCTCTCGAATCTAAAAAAATTGTTTCGGTAGCGGATCGGAGACTACGGTAATGTTATAATATTCGGGATAGAAGACCGGAACATTATCATTGACATCATCAATGTCGATGCTAACCGTGGTTGTGGCGGTTGAACCGACTAAAAGATATATTGTAATTTTTAGAAAGAGTTACGATGGTCAATGGCTTCGATGACTGCTTGGAGTGATTGTTCAACTTCGTAGTCAAGCGGTTTTGCAATGCAGACGGCCCCCGTAGTCGCGTCGACCGCAAGTTTCTGAGAATTTGATTTTGGCTTTAAAAAATTGTTTTAATACCTGTTCATCATCTTTATTTTTGCCCTTCCTAATTGCATATCGTAATCTTCTCGTAGAAGCGCAACTCCTTGACCGTGCATTTACCTGAAAATATTACTTATGATTCCGATATGTAATTTTTACTACTAATCTATTACTATAACAAATATTATGTACCTTCCTCCACAGACGTTCCTTTTTCCGGCATTTCTTCCCCGGCTCCTCAACCCCTTTATTAGTCTCCGACAGGTGAAAATCTTATAGGGGCGTTCCATAATTGCCACTGGAATAGTGATGGCGTTAATACAACGGCTAATATTGTCTACCGATTTGTATGCTTTGGTTCACCTACCGTACGACCTTTAGCTTTTATTTGTGTGTTAGCCTCCCGTAGTGAGTTAAGTGATTTGTGTATGGTGCAAGACGCTGGTTTAATAAGGCTATAGTAAAACGACCACTAATTGGGCTCAGCGCATTTGCCTTGGCTTTTTGTAATTATGGGGCCATCGGCGGGAACGGTGCAAAACGGCCCGTTCCCTCTGGCTCGTAATTGCGGGCCGCACTTCGCGGGACTTTCTTATTTCAAGGTTTAGACGGATCGATAGACGGATTGATTTTTACTGATCCTTTTTGGATATTAGAATTTTCGGTGTTACTTAAAATTACAGATGGATGAGCGAGCGGATCAGATTTGACGGTCGGCCGGAAAGCATTGAGGGGCTGGTTGCTAATGGGAGGCGCTCGAGATCCGGATCTTTCGGTATGAATTTCGTGATATTTTCCTATTATATGGCTACGAGTTAGTTGGGGGACATTTTTTGTACCGTCAGTGTGTGCCAATCTTTAGAAAAATTGCACAATTAACACAGATCATGTTTATCACAAAAGGAAATATCGTAAAACACTGTTTTTTTTGCTTTTTGTATTCATATACGGGTTTCCAAAGAAAATCGTGTTCGAATTTTAAGATTCAGGTATTGATCAAAAACTCCCGAAAAAAAAGAAAAACGAGAGCGGTGAATTTTCTTTATTATGTATTTTTATAAGCGAATTTTCCGTCCAAAAACCATGAAAACGGCAGATCTATGCGACATCTGCATGCTAATTGCGAAACCCTATAAAAAAAGCTGTAAAAATCTGAGCCTCCTCCGGAACGCTAGTGGGGGTACTTTTTTGGGACAGTAAATTTAACTGGATGATGTGTTAATTAAAACTGAGCCTCCTTGTATCTAGGAGTGAGAGAAACGCCCAGCAGAGAGAACCCAGAACAATTGACCAGTCATGCCTACCTCACCACCCTTTTACCGTAACCCAATCCCAGCTTTGTAAATTCGACACCACGCCTCGTTAGCCTTCAGCGCACCCGGGATGAGCTTCTAATCCCTGGCTCCTCCCACCTAAACCCTATCCATTCGAATATTAGCAACCTGCTGCCTCTGCGTATCCCCCAGGGTTTTATAAAACGCGCTACAATTCGACTGTCGGCGCTCCAATTAACGGTTGGCCCCGAGGATGGCTGTAATTGCTCGAAGAAGACTTTTCACCATTGGCAACACCATCGGCCTCCCTGGGGAGAATTATACTCCTTCTACCTCCCGGTGCTTTCCCTTCTCAATCTCCCTCCTATACCTCTACCATTCGAGAATCACGCTATATTCCTGAAGGCTCCTATACAAAACGCTTACAGTTATAGTCTTTTGCTACACTAGAATTCAAGCCGAGCCTCCTTTTTGCTTTAGCGATGCCCCATAAAGAAAAGCGCTGGGTTACGGTAACGATGCCCAAAGAACCCCCAAAGGATGAGAAACCGCCGGAAATTGACGCGCCACGACCCACTGTGATAAACATTGTCCCAGCGGACCCGATCACGCCAACCAGGAAAACATATTTGGTACCGGAAGCGCCGGAAGAATCAGATATTGGTGAGGAGAACGAGCTTAAGCGTAATTAATTGATTTAGATTATGGTAGGTGAAGGGTACATTGAGACTGATACAGTAATCCAGGCTACAGGTGAGTCGTTCCGTAATGTCAAGGTTTGTTTAGCAACTTGCGCCTTAAAGGGCTGATTGAATTTACAGTAAATTATTTTTTTCTCGGAAGTGAACGATCTCTAGAAACTCCCAAGGCTTTCTCAATTTTCTGATTCCTACGATTACGACGTATTCAGTATCTCCAAAACCCATTTTTACTAATGACAGAGTTTTGAGTCGGGAAGATTAGCACTTGGCTTTAACGTTCATTTCAATACTGTTTTCCAAATTTGCTAATTCACCATTTTCAAGAATACGGTTTTTAGTGTCGAAATTCGGACGACAAATTAGGGCTCACCATGTCATTAGCGTAAAAGTTTGCACAATACGCGTGGCACCAACGTAAAACTACCCTTTTTTCGGTTAACAACCAACAACAAATTCTTCAAATCGTTTTCGGCAGGAAATTCCTGGTTTCTTCCGAATACACGTCAAGAAAATTGGCAATAAATCTTGTTGTAAAACAATTATTCTCGCCACCCGTTGCCCAGCTAGCGCCGAAAACGAGCAATTTCCCAAAATTGAAAAATTCCTTCGCGTTCCCCTATGCATCCATTTCGAATAATGTTGACCCTCCGCCGATCTACCTTGAGTGTATGGTAACATAAAAGCTGAGCGCCCCGAAGATTGAAGCGACGTTTTTAGCTTTTGGGCCGAAATGGCTAAGTTTTCCCTGACTCTGACATAAATAGCACCTGCACGTTGCTTGCTGGGCCAGGTGTTTATCACCTGTCAGGCAATCGAAAAAACCCGTCACACAATTTCCACAACAATTCCGAATTGCTCGTAAAATGTAGAGCCTGGCGGTACGACTCGCAATCTACTTGCCGTGGCTTTTAGCTAGTGAGGTCGCAAGCAAATATCCCTTGCATTTTCCTTGACTCACTAAACTTTTGCTTCTTTTAATAGAAATACCTGAGAGCGAATTTTGTGCCTTTATTAAAAAACCTCCGTCATCGGTCACGCGAGCTGTTAGTTGGTTCAATCCACCAAAAAAAGCTGCTTTGATAAGTAACATTTTACTGTTTGCCCTTCACCACCTCGTGCTCACAAATCCCATGAGAAAGCGTTGGAGCAAACCAACAATTTGGGCCCTTCGCAATGCCCTATAAACAATGTTATCCGCACTACCATATTTCGGGGGGTTGTGGGTGTCAAAGCGGGCCCATATTTGTGGGGGTGAGGCTATCGGGCCCGGGCCCTTCTTCAAAGGGTCCCTATGACAACCGGGCGGCTTCGAATTTGGCAGCCGGGTTTTCCCCGTGGACAACTCCCTAGGGAACCGCTCTCATCTTCTATAGACATAATAAAAATTAGCCAAATTAATGCGCCATACCGTTCCATCACACAATTGGATACGCAATCGCTTGACTGCAAATTGAATCTAATCACTGGCGTAATTTTAGGAGTTATGAGCCAAAGATGTGTGCCGATACTCCTCCTCAACATGGGTTCGGAGATGATCTATATTCTGGAGCAACGATTGAAAGTAAGATTATAACTTAGCTCACGCATGGCTTGTTTAGTTTGGTTTTGTGTGTCACCTTGTGTATTGCTTTTGGCTTTATTTACATTTTGATAGAATTTAAGCTTGAAGATTTTTTATCGTTGGTCAATTCAAAAATCCAAGCATCACCCTTTCTCTGATTCCGGAAATCCCTACTCTGTTTTAATTTCGTTTTCCTTTTTTACCCGATATGTTTTTAAGCGTTCCCATTCTGTGGTATGTTTTGCTTGCTAACACGGCTTGAACCAAAACCCTAACGACTTCCGGATCGACATTTGAAATTATCCAAAAATTAAAGTTTGCCGTGCCGTCGCCGGGTGGTTTGATAGGCCAAATTAAAATCGCGCGCCCTTGTCTTAAAGTCCCAATTTAGACACTTCAGAATGTTGGAATGGAAAAGAGCAACAAGGTCCTCCAGGACATCACATTCACCATGCTGAACGCAAAATTTTTGGACGAACTTTTCAAGGCACAGGTATGGAGATATTACAGAGTTGAGGGGAATCTGAATTTCAGGATTTGCATTCACGGAAGACGATGCGGCATTTCTTTGAAAAATTGGCACATTCGAGCATAATGAGGCTTAACGAATCGAGGTAAGGATTTATTGAGTTTTTCATGGTTTTTGTAGTATGGATAAGCTGTATGATTTGATAACGATGACGGTGAAGTATCAAATACAAACGATCGCGATGCCAGAACAAGTACGAATGTTTTTTCGGAAATTAAGTGATTTTATCGATTTTAGGTCTTAACTGTCACTATAAACCATCTGGATGGTTTGCGTGATTTGATGCCAAACGATAAGGAATTGATGCCACTACTTGACAATGCGCACGCTATGGTAAGTTATGATTGTGTACAGCATTTTAAAGCGCTGTTTAAGCAAACTAAGGATTCTTTTTCATCCTACATTCAAAAAGTACAAATTCTGCATCCGACACATACTAGGAACCACCTAACAAAGGCTTTCATTCTTCTAATCCTTCTTTCCCCGAAACCCCACAATTAAATCCGGCACCTAATACGAAAAATAAATCCCTACAAAATCTGTCACCCGGTCTCATTAGCTAAATGTGTAGGGGTGTGTAAGGAACATTGCGTCATTAACATTTTCAACCCTTACAAAAATGCATTCAGCTGATGTCGACCTATCGAAACTGTCACCCATGGGAATTCCAGATGATCAGATGTTGTCTGCTTACGTTTTTCCAGGTGTTTTTGGCAGTTTCAATGTTTCAAACATCACAGGAAACACGCGTAAAAGTATCGATACTACTGCGCGAGAAGAAGCAGCTTGAATCGGGACATTTCGTGCTGAACACGAGTGGTGATGGTCAGATTGATATTGCAAAGGTATTGAATTGGAGCAGATTAGAAACGTAGTTTGAATTCAGGACACAGAGCCGCCTGGTACAATCAGATATTATGAAAACGGGGCAATGGTGCGTGTAACGAGGTTCCCGGCTCCAGACAATTACAATGTACTCCCAGAAAAGGTTTGAACCTAAAAATGGAAGTCATCCCCGGGTTTAGGAAAATTATACTTTGGGTGAGATGGCGTCCCGAAGCACATTACTTGGATTGAATATGTATCGAGGAGGAGGTAATGCTATTGAGGTAAGTTATAAAACTAATGTTTTTATACTTTGATTCTTAATACTTGCATATTTTATAAAAATGAATTGCTATGGTTGTTCAGGTAAAAGGTGGCGGCACATTGAGCAGCAAACAACCTGCCGCAAGTGAAGTTCTACCCGATGGAGGGGATTTGAAGTTACTTATGGATATGTTAGGGCCAAGGTAAACCTATATCTTAAAAACCGAACGATTTTGCAGAGATGGAAAGAAATCGAGCCCTGGAGATTTTGATCTTTCCCTATTCTCCGACCAAGCCGAAGAAAGTAAATTTATCAAAGAAAGCGAACAAAACGTCAAGCGAATAAATGCCGCCCTAGGCAGGAAGAGCTTGAAGCAAACGATGCAGGAGGTAAATTGGTGTTTTTACTTACTAAGTCATATTCCTATTATTCCCAATAAGTCATATTTCTGCAGATGGAAGTGAAAGATGCGCCCGCAGAAAACTCGAAGAAAAAGAAAACACGAGGGCAAGAGATGGCTGAGATGTTGGATGAAGTAAGACCACATAATCTGAATACATTTAGAGATTTTTTTAGGTGGCTAGCCGTCCAGAAACCGCTAAAAAACGTTCAAGCAGCACAAAGGCGCCCAAGGAAAGATCAGTGTCTGCAGCAAGAGAAAGACCTGCATCGGCCGCCAGGTAACAAATAAGAATCAAGTCTTGCCTAGCCCTAAGTCTAAGCCTAAGCCTAAGCCTAAGCCTAAGCCTAAGCCTAAGCCTAAGCCTTAGCCTAAGCCTAAGCAAGTTCAAATTTCTATATTCTAGAGCTTCGCGAGGAAATACAGCTGAAAATCCGGGATCTCGGCCAATAACTTCTTCGAAACCTGGCACTGCCTCTGGAAGGCCATCTTCAAAGGGTGGAACAGCTGATCGACCAGCATCAAAAGGTTGGTATTTTGATAATGGATCCGGGGCTCCTGTTTCTTTTATAATAAGGTTCTTCAGGAGCCGATCGCCCATCGTCGAAAGCTGGAACAACTGCAAAAAACGCAGGAGCCTCACGTCCTACAACTCCATCAAAGCCAACCCCTGCTTCTAGGGCAACAACACCAGCTAGGGGCCGTGAACCATCGACTAAAGGTGGCGCTAGGGAACGTAGTGTAAGCACAAAGCGACGCCCACCTTCCGCTAAGGAAGCTTAGAAAATTTATCTCTTTCCTCTAATTTTCGAGGTTTCTGCCCATTATTAAAATCCATATCCTTCTCATTCATACATATCCGACTTGCGTTAGGCGACTTTTCATAGAATTTCTATCTATAGGTCATCTAGCAATCACAATATATTCTTACTAAATAACGTTTCATTCCCCCGCGTGTCGTCTAGGCCCCAGCTACCACCGTTGCTGATTTGTGATCAGGTCCCGACAACTACCAGCAAACCCGTTGCTCCTGCCTAGACCTCAGGCGTCAGCTGTCCTGGATTCGCCGGCAGATATGAGTTTAGACTCATACTTTCGGAATATTTTTGGAAATAAATCCCTACTAGGTCCTCAGTAGCCCCTGAGGCCAGTTAGAAGCCCTAAGGAAGCCGCCAAGAGGCAAAAAGTGGGGGCTTAGGGGAGAGCGGCTGTCCAAATAGGGACAGTAACTATTGGGATGGTGGGTTTGTTTGGCAACGATTCGGCGGGGTAAGGAGGAAGACCGGTCATGCATCTGCAACTCTTGACCTTATCCCGGGTAAACTTTGAGGGTATCGTACTATAAAAATAGTGCATTTGTATGCAACTTTCGGCAGGGAATCTCGCCATAGAGGAAAAATCAAGGTATGTAAGAAATGTCACCAGTTCAGTAATGTGCTCGAAATGACTTTAAATATATCAGAATCCTCACAATCAGCTGTTCAAACAGATGTCAGGGTGTAAAGAAAGTAAATGGGTCTCCCCCACAAAGTTAAATGCTCCGGCCAATCACAGAATGCGCAAGCCTCTTGAAAATAGAAAGTGGTTAGTGATTCTGTGGTCAGCTGTGGCGGATCATAAATAATGACTTTATAATTAAACCCCTTCGAAACATAAAACCACCATCAAACCTCGATAAACAATCAAAGTAAAGACCAACCTTAAAAATACACGTCCCAACTTCGACGTTCTCCTGAATGCGCTCGGAATACAATGATCGATCGAACTGTGGCGGTTTTCCGGAAGAATCCACAATCTCGGCAGTCACCTAAGAATAATATAGAATTGCTGTAGCTTTTCGTGGTACCTGAACGTGAGACGTCAGTGGAGGTTGCCCCTTGTCAGTAGCATGGACTCGAAATCGAATTTCAGAACCAATTGAACAGTCGAGCTGGAAATAAAAACAATTAATACCGAATAAAACAAATAATACCTCGGTTGCATAGTGTAGACGACCGGTATCTTCATCAATTGCTATCACGTCAGTACCCTCGATCCAATACCGTAATCTTCCATTACTCCCTGCATCTCCGTCAACGGCTGATAGATCGAGCTGAGGATCTTCTGAAAATAACAGTGTTGCAACCGTGATTCCAATAGCCAACCTGGGTCGGAAATTGTTCGATTAAGCGCGAGATGATAATTCTTTTGATGCCATTCAGGAATATTATCGTTGATATCTTCAATAGTCAAAACCACAGGATGTTCCATGATTAGTTCTTCCTCCTAGAGAATTGATTTTGTTAATTCAATAACGGAAAATTCTTCTACCTTTTTTAGCAGAAATCTTAGATGATATTCTGAAGTCATCTCTCTATCTAATAACCCGCAAAGGATAACTAGATAAACGGATGGATGCTGGGCCTGTTGCAGACATAATGAAGGACAGCCGGTCAACTCGACTTTTCTAGAAATTTGTGCATGCTTTGGTCAAACGTTAATAGGTCTTACCCATGCTTTTCTGGATCGTAATTTGTTACATTAACGCGCGCCACGATTGAGCCGAGAGTTGAATTCTCAGGTAGTCGGGAATCCGTATCGTCAGTCAACCACAATACATCCAAAGTCGGGGCTTTTCCGACTTGGCCTTCGACAGTTACAGAGACCTGAAAGGTGCAGTAATAAAATTGACAAACGAGTCAAATAAGACAGCTGAAAAGCAGCACTCACCACGACACTTGATTCCTGTGGCGGTATTCCGTGATCAGCAGCTATTACAACAAATTCGAAGGTCCCGGGTGGAAGTTTGGAGATGGAGCGTTTCGTTATGCCACCAGTTGGGGCGATGGAAAAAAGGCGACCGACTGGCGATGATGGCTAAATAAAGGTCGTTACTTTGGGTTTCGAAAGTGCCGCTTTAAATAATACTTTTACCCATAGGCTTAAAATTTGAGTTTAAAAATAACCTGCGCAATCCGATATCCAAGCTGTCCATTATGTGCTGTGTCTTTGTCTGTCGCTTTGATGGTAATTATGGTTTTATCCATTGGATGATCAGGGGTAATTGTGGCGTGGTATACCTAAAATTGAGCGCGAATCATAAAACTGTAAATTCTCTATTACCTTCTCCGAAAATTCCGGTGCATTATCGTTGGCATCAAGGATTAATATAGAGACTTGAAGCTCACCACTTCTAGAAAATGATTGTTGGGTTGTTTAACTTTAATTCTCAGACCTCGGTGGATTACCCCCATCAACAGCTTCAATTATTAAATGGTAGGATTCACGGTATTCCCGATCCAGCCTTCCATTCACTACCAAATCTGCATATAAGATGTTGTTGATGCGCTTTGAAGCTAGCTTGAAGACGTTATTGACGTTACCCTAAAAGAGATAGAGGAGGGCTGAATGCGCGGTTCTTCATACCTGGACTATTCTATAACTCCTGACATCTAGTGGTGGCCCGTCATGGTCAATAGCAGAGGGCAAAGGAAATTCCGCCCCAATCCGCACGAATTCCGAGATGTCGATCCGAATATCAGGCTGTGTGAAGACAGGCTCATTATCATTTTCGTCTTCAACATTGATCGTCACCGGGATTCCGGCACCTAACAAATTCCAATATCAGGGGTCCATTTTTTCCTACCGCCTCCAATCGGGATTACAACAAATTCAAATCTTCGTTGCGTTTCATAATCGAGCAGCGCCTTTACGGTGATTTCCCCTGATTGTTCGCTGATGTGGATGTACTAAAACAGGGTCGACATTTTGTGTTTTTCATGAGTTTTCAGTAAGAGTGCTACTTTTTTCTGGGTCGAATCACTTTTTTGGCGTTTGTCCCAGATCCTTTCACTTGACCTTGGCCTTGTAAGGAGTAGCTGACAACCGAGGGAATCTTATCAATGTGGCGGGCATTGGAAGGGAAGAGGCGGTGTCGAATTGTTACGGATTTTTGTGGGAGTAATTGATGGCCTTACTACTATGGTTCTTTAAAGTACACCTTGTCTGGCAGTGATTGACACGACACATAAATGGACCCTATTAAATCCCTTGAGATTCAGAAGTGATAATAACAAACTCTTCTACAGGCTTTACAAGGCGGCGAGTTTTTATACCTTTAAATTAGCTCAGCATCATCTAAGTTTCAACCCTACTACACAACTAAATTCTCCCAATTTCACAACGCGTCACGGCTAGGTGGCCCATCCCCCCAAGGGAGCGCAAAAAGATGCTTTTAAGGGAAAAGACGAGCGCAGATTTGAATGAATGATCGGCGCCCGCTTTGCCCATTCACCACCAGCATAAAAGCCGTTACCCTGGTTGAGGAAAAGAAGGAGAAGGGGCACACTGCGGGGATAGAAGAGATGGAACAGGGGCAAGGACATCCATACCGCCCGCCTTTTGCTCCTTTGCACACGCGAAAAAAATGCGCTTTCTGGGTTTATTACGCTCGGAATTATGGCGCCTGCGTGGGAGATCCGGGCTTGAATTGGAAAGACGGTAAAATTTAAGTGAAGCTTTGGCAAAAGCATTGACCCAATGCCAGGCAAAAAGGAAAAAATCATACCTGAAATAATTTAATGTTTCTATCTATTTAGTATATGTTTATTTATTTAATAAAAAAATACGGAATAGCGGCGGGTAAAGTCAGACAAAAATCGACTTTTTGATCTGCCATGCGTATTAATATCCGGAAGGATAAATCTATTAAGAAATCTATAATATCGAAGAGCAAAAAAATCGGTTCCGAGATTAGGTGGGCAGATTAATCGGTATTTTCATAGTTTGGATCTAATTTTCATTAATTTAAATTAATAAATTTAAGTTCAACGACCCTTTAAAGTCTTTGAAAATCCATTTATTTTCATTCTTTTTGAACTCTTCAAAAAACTTCATCCCCGTCTTCAGCCGTTCAAAACAAAGGCTGGGCCTCTACGCGGCAGCCGGCTGGTCACTTTGGGTTTGTTTGGGGGGTCCCCGGGGGTACATAGCTCTTCTCCAAGGGCCAGCCCAAAGCATTCCCAAATCCAATTGGCACCCCCTTTCTTTTGTTTCCTCTTCCTCTCCTTTTCTGGTGCCCTCTATGCAACTCTGGAAGACATCTACTTATACATCCACTACGACTGGTTTGTAGTCGGATTTCAGCGTGGAATATCAGTCGTTAAAATGCTCGAGATTACTGGGGGCCGTTTGTTATACCGAGAGGGCGGTTATCTACTATATATAAATTTCTAATGTCCGTACGCCCGCCGACCGGGAATTCAGCCAAATTTCGCATTCAAATTCAAAATTCAAATTTCCGGGGGGAGGGCCAGCGCTGAACCCCCGCGCAGCGGGGGGTCAGTGCTGGTTACATTAAAAAAAACTTACTTTTAAGCTATATTACACTTCAAATCATCTACTATGCAGAGCCATTGCTCGTGGTTTTCAACATAATTTCTAAAGGGAATTTGAAGCACAGAGGTAAGAAACTTAACTAACAATTAGTATAATGCTCAAAATCTTCGTTTGACCTTTTTTAGCGGTCGATATTGCTTTTGATCTACTGTTTTTAGAAGAAACCGCCAGATTTCTAGGCACTAACCGGTTTTAAATCAAATTTCGAATTGGCACCATAGAATCAGTTTTAGTATGCAATCAGTTTTCAAAACTCGCGACTTTCTGATGCAATGGGTTGAAATATAGCCTTCTAGAATTACTGGCTATGACCCACCTTTTAGATGCATTTTTTACATGCGATGGTTTTTTCATAAAACATTCATTTCATAATACAAGCAGCCAATTGCGATTTAAAGGGTCTCACAGGTCAGATCCAACCACTTCCCTCCGCTAGATACCATTAATCCTCATTATCCTATCCTACATGATCCAACTTAGTGCCACCCCCCAACCCATCAATCATCTCAAATGAAGTTGTACCCTCCGTCCACCTCCCCTTCTTATTGCTCGAGCTGGGCTGTCCTTGAGAAGGAGTGGGAATAGGGAGTATTTGTGAGCCAATGGGTAAGAAGAGAGATGGGGTGCACATCTGAGACCTTGCCTCTTCTCTACCAAACCATCCTCCTAACACCCCATCCGGAGGAGGGGGGCACCCCCTCTACGCACCAACCGCATAAACAATTCGCACAGCACCACCCCACCTCCCCCATCCCACAAACTGTCCGAATTCACGCCTCAAGGTGAACCATTGCAGCGAATTAGACAAGGCCATCGGTCAGGTGGAAATTGGAAGAAATAGCGGATCTGGAATAGTGCTCCTCTAGGATGTAAGACTGCTCTACATCGCAAAAATAACACTAGGAAAATGACAAGCCATCCGATCTAATCTCAAATTTGTAAAATCGATGCGGATGATTAAAAATTGGAAAAAACTAGTTAAACCATTTTTCAAAACAATATTCCAGGATGAAAGGCATTGTTAAAAACTGGTTCAGGCAAAATGTTCATGTGCACTTTTCGCAATTAATAGCATATGGAATAAAATTAACTGAGATTTTGATGATTTTCTATTTAAGCGTAGTTTTACAGCCGGATTGACCAAAAAATTATAAAGATCAAAAAATAAACCATAATCATACTATAACTTTTTAATTTACAATACTTTGGACTAAGACGGCACACGAAAATCATTTTTATGACACCGTAGCGCTGGCGAAAATTCTAACCCGAGTGGACAAAAGATTCTTCAATGCTGACGCCGCTTTTTTGCGTGACGCATGTACGTCACGCATAAATCCTTCAAAATCGACAATGAAAAAAAGCATCGTAGTCATCCCTTACCCGTCCCTTAAATGGGATCCTTCTAAGAGTTTACATCAAAGAAAACCAATTTCCCCACAAACTACCAATTTCCATCACCTCTCCCAATACCAAATGTCCTTGGGTTAAGGTGCCAAGGAACGCGAAAATCTTTTGTTGTGTTGAAGGGGCGAGAGCCGAAAACGGTGGGGGGATGCTTAGGGACCGGGTGGTTGATAATTAGCAGCCTTTGAAGGGGGGACCAAGGCCATCGGCATGCCCAAACCGTTCCTTCCTTTTGGCTATCGACGGGCCAAGTGTACTAAAGAGGGGAAGTCAAGAGAGGATCAGCCGATAGTCTGAGACGGACCGATGGTCAGTAGCCCGTGAAATTGCGGAATACCGGAGGTGGGAAGGGAGGCAGAGGGGATCAACATGTTGCGATAGATATTAGCATATAGAAAACGGGGATGGGATCTGGATCAAAGGGACAAAAGTCGTTATATATGTCGGAATATAGTAATAGACGGCGATTCTATTAGATTCTATTATTCTATTAGAGGAATAAGCAGTTTTTAATTCATGTTTCACTAACCGAATCAGCCTTATCCGGATCTGTAGCCACCACGAAATATCGAGCATCAAGACTCGGCTGTGGTGCTCCCTCAACGAATCCAATGTGATACCCAATAGGGGCAGATTCGGCCACGGAAAATGCGACCGGAGGGAGTAAGCTTGGGTCTGGGGTTTCTTGAGCCTGAAAAAAATTCAATTTCTTTAAGAAAAACAAATTAGCATACCTGTATTAAGCGATGACCCGTTAAAAACGCGACGACCGCCGCCAGCAGCAAAATGGTCGGCGGTCGAGGCATTTTTTGTGTGTAGTTGCAAAGCTTCTGGACTAGGCTAAGGGCATCTAAAGCGAAAAATGAAAAATAGAAGGGAATTGCAATGAACTATGGAATGGAAAATATCATGAGTCGAAGAAATTAATGAAACTATTACAAAATTTTTCAAAAGTTGTTAAAATACAAATGAAAATATTGACAATGAATGGGTGAAAAACTGTTAAATGTGGAGGCTGAAACACATACACAAATTGTATTATCATATGCTTCAAAAATGTTTACAATATTTTGAACATAATAGCATACCAAAATTTACAGGATCAAAACTTTAAAATTAAGAATGAAGTTTTGTATCAGGGAATTTTACCCTGACTGAATCCAAATCGACTTCAGGGGAAGCACCTCTCATGACTAAATTAAACGGAATCTTGGAGATACCCTGAAATTCAGTGAACCCTCACGAACTAGGGTAACGTGCCAGGTTAATTAGTCCCGGCTGGCCCTAAAACCGTGAGTGTTCTGGATTGGGAAGATATAACTGGAGGACAGAGTAGAAAAGCAGGAGGAGGAGCAGGAGACGGATGTTGGATGGGAACGGACCATAGACACAACGGATAGCCAGCCCCCGCCCACCCACCCAGCCCCCCGACTGAATGACTGACTGACTGCTCCTCCTTTTCCATCTTATAGCTCACAGCTGATTATGGGATTGGGGGCGCTGTGGGAAGTCCCTTTACATCCATTCCCTTCTCATATCTAGATCCAATTATGTGACAGTTCCAGTGTAAATGGCTTAGGTATTTGACAGCTGGCTGGAGCTTGGGGATGGTGCCAGATGGTGGGGGGTCCAAGAAAAACGGCTGGAGGAGAACAAGACGCGGGAAGGGAATTCAGTTTCGAATGTGGAATAGAAGAATAAGGGACATCCTAAAAGCGCACAAAACGTGGAAAACTTTATTTTCAATATGCGAAATGATGGTTAAAAGCATTGGAAAAATGCCCCAGATTGCCAATTGGCGTATATGTAAAAAGTCAGATTTAAACAGATTTAAAAGAATTTCTAGTGCACAAAATCCTCTAATTCTACGTCACGCCAAAAAAACGGTCTTATGCATTTTCATGGGTTTGTGAATTTTGATAAAATCCAAGCTTAAAAGATACAGAATTTTCTACCCAAACCTGTGGTCCAGGAAGGGTTGTTTGCATGACGTCAAAAGTGTTTTTATTCTTACCAGTTACACGCTCAATGTGGCTCTAGACCGACTGGCAAAGCAAGGTTATCGACATTATATTTCACCGATTCACCGATTTTCCAGAATTCTCAAAAAAGCCAAATTATCCCGAAGACCTTGACGCGGCATACGGTCAACCTAACCCATGGGCCACTTAAAAACCAATCGAACAGGGCCTCATCAATCATTGGCCAGTAGAAAAGAAAGGGGCGGCTGATGGGGTGGCCGGGGTAGTGTGTCGTATTTGCAAGGATGGGATGGGCGGCCGCCCTAAACGGTGTGCCCTCCGGCTACGTGAAGGACCCTTCAACCCAGCCGACCACCCATTTTCTTCATAAATCTCCGCAAGAAATCGTGGGTTTTTGCAGTTGGTTTTGATGGGATAAGTGGGCCCGACGTTTAATTGGAGCGGGTGTTTTGAGAAAAACAACAATTGAGAATTTCTATGGAGTGCGTAGGAAGAAGGGAAATTTCTATCAAGCAGTTTGTTTTCAGGCACCAAATTTCTACCGATTTCTGCCATTAAGAGCATCTTTAATTTAGATACTTCCGCAAAGGAACTATACCTAGTTGAAGACGTCGTCTATGTGAATGGCTAGCTTTTCATGGGGGGTTCATTGCAAATTCAAATGACCCGTGCGACTTTTTTTCTGGGGTTGGAAGCCACTTTGAGGATTGAGGATTCGGCCACATTAATAGATTTCTTCAATTCTGTAAGTAATTTCTTTACAAACATGGTTTTATAAGATCTCGATCGTTTTGACGCTTGTAGTTTGCAACCCTGAATCCATTTAGGTGTATTATAACGCTCGATTGATCTGCACTGGGTATGTAGAATAACGATTTCAGGGTATATTTACAACGCTATATGACTTGAGAACACTTAGAATGGAGAACCAAACCTCGAAATTCTCTTCATTCTTCTACTTTGTATCCAAAATTGGTCATGCCATTGCGTGGCCCCACATTCATCCCTAAATTCATCTCTATTTGTGGGGGCGGGTTGGAGGTTGCCGCCTTGAAGTGGTGGGACCACACAATGGTGCGAGGTCCAATTTGTGGGAGCCGGCTGTCATTGAGTATGGTGGCGGAGACTAAAGGGGTAGGGAAGGGATGGGAGGGAATCGAGGGAGGCCATCTTCCCATCGATCGGCCAGTTTCTTTTAAAGGGGTTATGAAGGGAATTGAGGCGGTCTATATGAGAAAGAGCTCAGGTTCGCTGCTGTTTTTTTCGTGGATATTTGTTAAAAAACAGTTCTCCACTTTTGCTTCACCGGAATTCTCGTATTTTTGTAGTTTTGCTAATATTCTCATACTCTACTTTTTGCCAAATTAAATGGGGTGAATTTTGGGGGTCTAATCCAGAAGATGTAACATTATTGCTTCCCCCGAAATGCCAAAAATCGGGGCACAACCGGTCGGTTTTGACGAATTAAATAGGTTACCCTAATACAAACCATCTAAAAACAAAATTCTCGTCCTCAGATCCATAGAGGCTATACGAAAGCAATGGAAAATACTATAACTGAAAAATGTTGTCATGGAAGCAGTTGGAAATGGTGCCCCGAATGCGCGTAGTGTACCTACACCCGTAAGAACATTTAATATTCAGACCAGCTGTTAGCTCGGATCCCTACCCTCGTACTGCCACCACCATACCCAACCTATAGAGCGAGTCATGCAGAAGACTACAGGGGGATTTATTTGTCAAGCACGCCGAACGTGTGGTAAGGTCCCACGATCAGTCATCCGATCCTCCCATCCCCCATCCCATGGCCAAAACAACAATCTTCCAGATAATAGAATGTGCCGCGAGCGGTTGTGGAAAGAGAAGAAGAAGACGAGTGAAGGGATCCATCAGCCGGATAGCCGTGAGAGTGGTTGCCACCAAAAAAAAGAGTGTCCTCCAAAGGCATCGCGTTCAACCAGCCGTGGCCCCATAAATTTTCGGACGGCCACTTTTTCCGGTGCCGGTGTACCATTGACTGTTATTCTGAGGAAAGCGGTGGAACTTATGAATTGGGTTACTGTGATTTTTTGGGCTATGCGGGCCCTTGCCAAAAATTTAAATGAGACAGCCCAAAAATTCAAATTAGACATAGTACAGTTTTCTTGACTTAAGAGGGCTTTTTGTGATTTTTAGGGGATACTAGAGCTATGCGATTTGCCATAGTTTGTCGTTTAGAAATTAAATATATAAAAGCACTAATCGTTCAAAAATTGCTACAAACTAAACTATAAAAATAATGCAAAAACATGGGACTGAAACGGCTAGTTTCGCTTATTTTTTGTCCACCTAACAAAACTAGAATTTTTTCTCTAGTGTCTGCTTCTCCAGCAATTTTTGACAACTGAATTCCTTCAATTTTGCTTTATCGACTGGGTCATACATCATACAATATCGTAACAAGCCTTCCTCACCTAGACACGACTTTTCGATAGTGTATCTTTCACCCTATTATATTCTTCTGTGGAACATCTTTTATCAGCAAAGAAGTCTCTCCTGCTAGTTCTGAGGGTGTTGCTCTTTGAAGTGCGTGTCAGCAATCAACAAGGGGGGATGCTCAAAAAAGGGCTGCACCAACCCGACAAGAGCCCTCGACACATTCTCCCCCCTTTCCACCGTGAATCGCCCTCATGACAAAAACTAAACGATACGACAAGGGTGTTCACTGTAATGCTTTTGATCGAGATGAGTCTGTGAAGCTCTTCAACTTTGAAATACATACTTTTTCGTTTACAAAATTGCATAGGTTAGTCATTAGATTGGCTCTTGATATGTCGTGAAACATACACTTAACGTTGCAATTTATAACGGCTTAGACCTCATCGACAGATGAACATCTGGCAGCAGCAAGGAATTATGCTATCGCGCTAAATGCGCAAGCTGTTGACTCGAGGGTCGCAATTAGCATCTTACCCGGATGAATACCTCTCCTCGAAGTCCCAATCATCCAAATCAATTTCAGAACTTTTTTAAGGTCCAAGAACTTTGCTAACAATTACTGGTCCCGCACTTATAACGAAAACTCATCAGTTGCATTTCGAAGAACAATTTGATCAAATCTATATATTTTTATAACAATTTTGGCGGCTCTTCAAACTGCTCGATTCAGATTTAGGGACTTCCTTCAACGAATCGTGCCGAACGGATGCGCCCATAACCACACTCATTAGCCTCGGGCGACAAAGTGGATTTGCATATGACGGCGGCGGGGTGGAGGGGAAGAGCGGTGGTGCGCGCCGGTCGCCGAACGGAAATTCATCAAAGCCCACTGAATTGGGCTCCGCCAGAATAAGTCCGAGACGGCCAATTTGTCGAGTTTGTGCATGTGTAGCGGGAGGGATGGGGTGGATGGAATCGGGTAGAGCTCTGCTTTATTTTAAAGAGGTTATGAAGACTTGAAAATAAATTGGAGAAAAAACTGGATTACCTATCAGAATCTCCAAAAGATCCGGAGCTCGAATACCCAGATTTCGACCTCAAAGACGAGTTTTCGAAATCAACTTCAAATTCGAAATATGAAATTCCAAACCGAAAACTAACAACCCATGGCCACATTTAATGCGACAACATACAGCCAAACATTGCTTAGATTTATCAGGCGGATAAGATATCTAACTAGGCTTGGCACAATTGCATTTTCCGACAAATGGCATCCGGCGAGAAGCCTGACTTATGCAGCATGAACATCCGCTTTGCATTTTCTTCAATGAATGCGTCGCACACCGGTTCCATCAAGCCCATCTTGGCGCAACGCCTAAAAAATTAGTGCTGAGGTTATGGTAGGTAAGCTAGCTAGCTAGAATTTCTCGAATTCTTTTTTTTGTGACTCAACTAGTTATATTATCGACTTTTGATTAGTCTAAATGTTTTAGAAACGATGGAGAATGTCTAGTTTTTTAGCGGGAGCGAAGAGTATTCTCAGAAAACCGACCTGTACATGGTCTTGAAGGCGTGCGGGGGGCTGAGTTCTTGGGCGATGGATTCGGTGATGAGCTGGCAGAAGACACATCCCATGATGTTGTCAACTTCACACTGGCCCACGCTCGCAACTGGAAGTAAGATCTTTTGTTATTTGTGCCGGTTAAGTCTTTCGGTAACACTTGGACCTGGCTTTGAGGATTGGGATGGAAACACCAGGATCAAACAACTTTCAGAAAAAAAATTAGGCTTTAGATGTTTATATTTAAATATATTTTAATTGGGGATAGATACCTTAAAAATAGTCTAATCTGGTTTTCACAATAAGTTTTTTTGCGACATGTATTGTACAGTCAAATTTAACAAACATCGTGAATCGTATAAGCGCGGAAAACGCCCTACCAGCAATCAACACCGCAACAGCAAGCACAATCTTCATACCGCTAACCATATTGTCAATCTGAGAATGCTGGGGGGATATCTCCGAATATGGAATCCGAAGAATTAGGGTAAGAGCCGACTGGGGACAATCGGCTCCTTTTAATGCCAAGCCGACGACCGCCTTCCGCTCATACGGCATACGGTGTCATCGTCGGCGGCTCGGATGACACGACAAAATTTACCTAGCCGCCTCCAGAGATTCTCTTCTTCTGACCTTCTTCTCACATCTCAGGTGGGGGGGGGGGGGGGGGGGCTGTGACGATCGTGGGGAGGTGAAATTCGGGCGGGCGGGAGGACACGTATTTCCTATACCCCCCTAGCTATTTTCGCCGTCGGCTGAAGGGGGGTGAAGAATCGTAGTCGAAGATTGATTGCGGTGTGGTGAAAGAGCACTTGGGCTTTTTTAATTTTCTGGGACCAAAGAACCAAGCCAGAAAGTCTAGACAGATCATATTTAATGTTTCTTGGAGTTTTCGTAGGGTTTAAAAATTATCTTTTTTCGCAGATCACGGTGTTTTCGAATTTCCAAAGTTTCAGGTCATTTTTCTGGGAGCGAATCATCGTCCGTAAGTTTTTGAATGATCGGATTTTAATATCTTACTTCTTACGAAACAAAAACAAAACAAAAACGCCTTTATCGCCTAGAAAACAATTCTTTCTAAGTGGTAATTCCCTGCTTCATAAAGTTACGGACTTGAAAACAGCAATAGATAGAAAAACATTCCTCATTTATTCAAACCAACACCGAGAAATATAGATCTTCCGATTACATCCGATCCCACTCCTCGTAGTTGGAATTAGGTACGTAGTCGTCATCAATCACCGGCTTCTTTTTAAGGCTCATATGGTTCTAAAAAAGCGTAAAAAACATAGTGAACGTTAGTTACCTGTTCTCTCTCAAATTGCCATGATTCATAGTCTCGCACAGCATTTTGTACGTACGAAGTGACGTAATGTTGCTCCTCGGTTCGTTGGTACTTTTGGAGCATTTCGAGGGCCATTTCTTTCAGTTCACCGAGATTGAGGGCCTCACATTCCCCGACAAGTCTGAGGGATAATATCATAATATGAAAAACTACGGAAATTTATGAGTGAAGATATAAAAAAAATATTTTAAAGGGCACTTACTTGGCGAGGTCGTCGGGTTTGCTCGGTAGAGCTAGAGAGGGGACGAACTTTTCTTTTTTCAATCGTAGGTAAGCCAGGATGTGGCGAAATGTTTTTGCATCACGGTCTAGGTATAGGTTTCCCCCCTAAAAATCAAAATAGCGTTAGGGCAAGGAAAAATCATCTACCTTGTCGGTGGCAATTGTTTTTTGGGTTCCAGGCCGGAACCATTCAGCAAGCTTTGATCTTGGGTCGGCCAGAAGGGCTGTTCTACGAACCTAAAAAATATAAATTCAAGTTAAGATTGTATCTATCAATATTATTAGATAGGTCTTGCATGACTAAGTTTTTGGGTTATAATCAAAAATTCTAGTAAGTAAAAACATCATGCAGGTAAAGAAAATATTGCTAAAAGGCCAAACCTCACCGTATATTTCTTGCCGCCAACATTAATATTCAATATATCATCAGCATGGCGCCGTGTGGACATGCCGTAGTCGTACGTATAGATCTATAAGCTTCAGAATCCCACGCGTCGCCCTCGGACCAAAAGCCCGTGAAGGACAGCGCCCAGCCACCTTCTTCCGGCAATTATCGCCGAGCACCCAAGAATGGAGGCGATTTTTAGGGGGGAGAACTCCGAACAAATGCACGAACCATTCTCGAAAGAACGCCGACGAGCAGGAACCAGCAAATTTTATGATTTTATAGTATAGCAGATGCGTGAGCGCGGTGGCTGACAATTTGGAGGGCGGCCCTAGACCGGATATTTCATGGACCCCAGGTGCGATTCTTGGGCAATGGAGTGGAAGTGTGGGGTGGAGGGCCTTTGGCTTCAGCTCCTCAATAGAACGATGGTGGGTGGTCTTTAGGAAAGAGTCGAGTTTTTGGCAAACCCATATTTTCCAAAGCGTTGTAAGAGTGTTGTAAATGTTGTGAACAACTTTTTCTGCCTTTATCCGCTCTTTCTCGCTCACCCTCCCTCCCTCTCTCTCTCTCTCTCTCTCTCTCTCTCTCTCACTTCCTCTCTCTCTCTCTCTCTCTCTCTCTCTCTCTCTCTCTTTCTCTCTCGCTAGTTTAAGGACGTTCTAAAGGTATTTAGATTCGTCAACAGAGATTAAAAGGATTTTTATACACATAATTAAGTAGCAAATTTCGAGAGTATACTCTCTGAGATCCAGGCGTCGAATTGCTTTTTATATCTATACAGCTCTACTCCGAAGTGCCCGAGCGACGGGTGCGCGATCACGCTTCGACTTGGCAACGGCCACTGCGAAATCGTCCGTTTCCTCCTCGTCCACCAGCCCATCTGCGCCGAGCTTATCGATCTTTTGCAAAGTTTCTAGGGACAGGTCGTCGAGAGGGTCTTTCTGTAAAATAGTTGCTAATGGACACCGACACATTTGAGACCAGCTGTCTTCTAAAACTTGCCTTTTTGCTCAATTCAACCTCTCCACTGTCCAAGTTATCAGTCTCGATGCCGCCACCACCAAATCCTTGACCACCACCAGACGCTCCTAAAAAGTGTGAAAATTATACCTTTTCGCCACAGTTTTCAGAGTAAAGAAATTTTGTAGTTCAGCTTACCACCATAGCCTCCGGCGCCCCCATAGTAATGTTCTCGAGCGCGTTTTGTACTTTCGTAAATTGCGTATGGATCTAAAAAAACTGCTAAAAAAGCATAAAAGCATTACCATAGTACGATGGTAGGCGGCCGGGCCAGTAATATTTGGCTCTTTGGTACTGCGGTGGATAAACGTATCTATGATCGATAACTCAATATGAAGAAGTTGCCCTACCCGAAATCTTTCGACCTAAGTCTGTATTGTCTGGGGAGGAGCCACCATGGATAGTGTTGGAAATAAAAGCCTTTACGCGGAGGTGGTAACTAAAAGCATTCTTAAAAACTATAAAGACCAAAAGAAACCATAGGGTTTAAACAAACCTCATACAGCGGTGGCCTTTCGGTGGTTGACCCTTTTCCGGCCATTGGAGCTCCCATCTCCTCTGATGACCTATATTTTTTCTGAAGCAATTTTGAGATTTGTAAATTAGATTTTAACCTGCATCCCAACAGCCACTTCGCTCGAATCCAATGATGGCCGTGTATCTTCCGCTGAGGAAGGAGCAAATGTCACTGTGCTCAGCTCCTGAGATTCTGAAAGAAGTGGACGATCCCTGATTTTTTTCTAAACTACCTATTCGCCCCAGCTCCTTTTGCTCAAACTCAGAATAATCATCGTCGTCCTTACCATAATTTGGTTTGGCAAAATCGGCGTCTCGCACTTCATTTTCGAGGCGTCGGCCAGGGATGCCGCGCCGGTTCACCTGGAAGCTCTAATTAAGTGACCTGCATGAAATCCTACCTTTTTAGGGTGGCTGCTGACTTCTCGTTCCGCTTTAACTATATCATCCATCAATTCAGCATCAATATTATGGGATCGCTTGCTAAACATGGTTATAAAAACCGTCACATTGACCTGTAAACTCACCCCGCGTGGCAAACTAATAATAATGTTGTTAACAGGAGTAATTTCCGCATCCTAAAGAACTATTCAACTAAAACCTAATATATAAAAATATTCAAAAAAGTACGGAAACGCTTGGTGTTCTGAAAATAAAAATGAAAAAGTGAGAACGGTGATGGAGGGGCAGACTATATAAGAAGAACTGGAATGGTCAACCGGGTGGCAGCAAGGAAAGTGATGATTGCCAGAATGAGGCTGGCTGGTAGGGGGGTTCACATGGCACATATCCCCGCTCTTTTTAGCTGCTTTCAGTTGGAACCCGTCTTACGGCCTTGAGGGTAATCCCTCCCTTTTCGATCGTGATAAACAGTCAACCAATGAATATGGGGGAAGCCGAAGTGGATATATCATTCTTGTGCCGCTTAACACATTGAATTTTAATTACGCGAAGTGCTCTATTTTCCCATTCGAATTTTATAACCTGGCAGGTTTCCATTCTTGCGTTAATTTGGTGTAATCTGCCAATTATAGAGTTTTGTTACGCTGCTCAATAAAAGCTAACACTTTATCCGCACATTAGTAGGAAAACTACTTTGAAATATTCTTAATGCAGGTGTTCGAAAGGATACTTCTGGGGACTACGGTAGAGTGGGTTCCTGAAGCTGTTTGAGGTGTTACAAATGCAGGGTGGATCGGACAGCAAGTCTCTTCCGGATCCTCAGATCAGTTCGGCAGCGGTCGGTCCGGAAAGGCGCTGAAATCCGATCACTTAGAAATTTACACATTGTGCTTACTCGTTTGCCTCCTTGAGCGATGGCAAGACTGTCGCGCTTGACTTCGTTGAATTGTTTCCATTTGGTGGTCTGAGTGAGTCACGGTATGAACAAAATGACCTGATACCTCTTCATCTTCGATGCTTGCATAGCTAGTGGATGGAGCTTCGTACTTTGTTGGTTTTGCCTAAATTGCAGAAGGTCATCACAAAAATAAAACTGCCTTCTTTTGACAAGCGCCTTCATCATCAGCCTCGATTACCGTGATGATCGGTTGTACGTCCGTCTTGTTTTTGCGTAAAAGGGAACGCCACCGCCCAACGATACGTTGCTAAATCGCTATTCAAATTAACGTGTATTTGCACTACCCCATCCTCTAGCAGGTCACGAAACCGCTGGAACAGCTTGAACGTGGAATCCTTGAAAAATAATAATTATGTGGATTGTCATGATCTACCTTTGGAGAGGTTTGCTGCTCGATCTCGGCAACCGTCCTTTCCATATCATCCTGATAGTCTTGGTTTGACCAATTTCGATGGACCAACCAGATTTCGCATAATGCGATCGAGCTCCGGACCATCTGGCATCCGGTGGTTTCCGACCATTTTTCCCCGCCGGACAAAAGATCAGTCAAATCGAAAAATGTCCTAAGAACTCCCTACCCTAGCCCCCACCTTCCTGGGCGTGGCTTGTTGAATACTCATCATGCTGTATGCATATTTGGCCCTTCTTGGAACATTGAGGAAATTGGGCATTTTGTCCCACTTTTGCTTCCCATGTCCCGGAATGGCAGGATGCCAATCATTACGCACGTATTTTCAGTAATTACCCAGATTTCCGCTAGCTGGCATGGTGGGCCGATCCAACTGGGGTAGGGCTACAGGAAGAGCTTTTCCTGTTTTTACGCTGTTGCCACGGAAACTTTCGCTGGTATCGAAGATCAGGTACAAAAAAATTGGTGATGAAGGGGTGCAGGAGTTTTATAAAAACATGAGAGTTGACTAGGATGCTTCTCCATTGACTGACGTTGCGACTGGGTGTGCCGGGAAAAACGCAGGCATAAAAAACTTAAATCGAAATGTAATGTGCTTGATCCGGGTTTTTTAATTTTGCTGAACTCGGCAAAATATTATTAGGTTCGCAGAAAATCTCCGATCAAACTTCAACACCACCGCTGCAAGACTCTGTCGAAACCTATTCCTGGCTCCATTTTTACAGTTATTTTTTATCCGACCGTTCGTACTTCTCGACCAGACCTTTATTTCCGCCAATTTGCAACGAGGCGCCCGAAAACGGAAATTGATATGGTTTCCGGGCTGTTGCTGGGTGGCCCTGAAGGCGTTCTCAGAAAAAGGTAGAAATTGTCACAAAGTCCAACAAAGGGTTCAGATAATATAGGTTTGACCTTTAATTTAATATAGCAAAATTCGATAAATCGTATACCGGACGCTAGCAGCAGTACGTACGGTTTATGCAATTTTCAAGCCGTAGAAACTTATTGCCAGCCCAAAAATAGAAATATACGTTATTTTTCAATATTCATGATGGAATAGCTTTTATTGGCCGGATTGGAAACCGGCAAGCATTTCGAAAGCTCGCATTTTGAAACCCCCTTTTGAACAATTCTACAAAATGGCCGGGATGGAATCAAAACTGTTGGTAAGTGAATGTCTCTATCCTGCTTTATAACGCATTAAGGAGGAGCAAAAGCTTCGGGATGATAGAAGGAAACGATTGGTGGAGACGAGGGATAGTTTGATTGTAATTTTTAAATTCATTCGATTTACAAACAATTTTTAGCGTCAAGAATCTCGGAAGCGAGACCTCATCAATGAACTCGAGGTAGATTAGGAGAAAGATATAATTATTTTATTTTCTAGAGGCTGCAAGCTTTTCGACGGGAGGGCAATGGAGAGGTTTTACAAATTTAAATTATAATCTAAACATTAAATCGAAACTAAGTTAAGCCTTAGCAAAGGATTAAATTTTTAGAATCATCATCAACAGGTCAAAGAAAGATGGGATAGGGCAGAGCAGGTATTTTTAATAAGCGTGAATGAGAGGGGGTTTTCAGGAAATGGAAAATCGTCGCTCGCGTCCAAGCTTCTCGAAGGTTTGGCAATTTTTCTCTCTTTGCGGTAAATTCTTCAATAAATTGTTCAGAGAAGTCGTAGCCAAACGCCAGCTCCAGTCGAGACGGTCAGCAATAACCGAAACAGCATTGTTGGTTTCGTCAACCATTTTTCCAAATTCTTTAAATTAATTGAAATCTGTTACGCATTTTTAGGGAGGCGCTGTGCGTGGGATGACCTCAAACCTGATGGAATGTTTCCAGGTATACAGGATGAAAACCGAAGCTGTTAATAACTTTTTAGCAAATGCGCGTCCGCCAGGAAGAGCCAAGGGCCGTCGTCAGGGTAATTACAAAAATTGGGCCTTATTTAAGCCTTTTCCGCGCAACTCCAAAGAACGTGGCCGGAGTGTGGGCCCGCGCAAACGCCCGGCGCACTAGCGAGAGAATATGCAACTGTTAAATCGTTTTTTAGAATTTTTATTAGCACTCGAAACTTAAACGGACACCAAAAAGCACAAATAACTCAATTAACATTGTCTCCAATAGGGCGGGTAAAGCGGGTAAAGCGCTTGATGCGCGCACGCGTTTCATAAAGCCTGCGGTTGGATTGCATATAAATGGGAGGTGATTGGCAGATGGTGAGGAGATTGTTAGGATGTCAGGGGGTTCGAGGGCGGTCTTATTGCATACAAATTATGACACAGCGTTTTTTGGAGATTGATAAAGCCATTCTAGGTAATGGAGGTAATAATGATATTCCGATAAACGGGAGAAATTGAGAGAAAAAAGCTATGTAGGCCGACTGAAATGGGGCACGCATCAACGCGGTTGGAGAAATGGTAGATGAATTTCTGGGTTGAGGGTGTGAAAAATCGATTTTTAAACAGATGCCTCACGTCATCGCCGAATCCTCACCCCCAGAAATTACCAGAAATAAAATCGAATGTCAAACACCGGCTCCCAAAAAACTGCATCTTAACAAAAAATGCCAAAGGCGCTTGCACTTATCACAGAAGCTGTTGGTTCACATTTTCCAAAATATAGGAATCGTTAGCAGCAATCAGAAAAAAAACATGGTCGACATGGCATTCGGGGATGGGGGATGCTCAAAGGGAACACAAACACACATTTAGCGCTGATCCGTAGAAGATCCCCCCGAATAAATGAAACGATTGAACTGGAAACCGGAAGAGGATATGGGATGGCAAGTAGTGGATTAAAGTACTGTTGATTAATGGCAAGATTTGATAAAACTCGTGGGGGAGAAAGCTTTGGAAATTTTCGAGGTAAATGGGGTGTAGATAGAGGGTGGCAGATGTTTTTCGGGTTTTGCTTAATAATTTGAAGTCCAAGAAACTTCGTGGATTGCCCAATTCTGGAATGAGGAATTGAGATTCTCGCTATTTTCCTATTTTACCTGTGATTTAATAGGGCTCCATCGTGGACACGGCGTGACAATTGGTGGTGAAATTCCGTCCAGGTTTGAAAGGAAGGTGTCCTCTTCCGTTGCTTTTGGCATCGTCAAACAGTGTCCACTTTCGCGGTGCACAAATTGCCCATTCTAAATAAAAAGTTTTGATTGGATGGTTATTCTTACATCAGGATTATGGATCCAAACTTCTGTCGGATATCCGGCGCATTCTTTCAGCTCGACATTCCATTCTAGCGAGAGGTGGGTGCTCTGTAAGGAAATTAAATTCTATAAAACTATATTACCCGGACAGCTGACAGGCAAAGGTGCTCATCGGTTTTGATTCGACCTTCAGTTGTGTAGAGCCAAAGCTGAATGGGATGTAAAATTGAGGTATTTTGGTCTCATCGCAAAAAACTTGAAAATTAGAAGTTGTGTCAATTCTAGTTTGTCTTGCACAACCTGCCACAAATCGAATCCAAGCGTGCAGCGAGCAACCGATAAACGATGTCCCTTATGACCTTCTTCCCCTTGGGGTCGACTCAGTAGACAAACATCCGAAGAAGCAATCTTAAAAACAACACCTCTTCATGGTTCCAAGCAGTTGAATTGGTGGTGCCGTTCTTGATGCAGTGAGTATCAGCCTTGCGAAGACCCGTACTACGAGCCCTCGTCCAACGCAGACAACCACCGGCCCCGGCCAGTCGAACCTGCAAACTGGGCGTTTTTAAGGAAGAGTAAACCGGAATTGCCCCTTCCACAAGATCAAAACTGCCAAAAAGTTACACCTGTTGCTTAGAAATAAATCAGTGTGATTAAATTTTGTCAAGTTTTTCGCCCAGCTTGAAGTTTGACTGGCCACCACCAAACAAAAAAAAACAGTAAACTTGGGCAAGGGACTCACCCGTCCAAATTTATCGCCCTGCATCGGTAGAAAATGATCGGTGAAGATGCTTTTAAGATACCTAATTGGAATTTTCACTATTTTTTGTTAATTTCATACCATATGAATGGCTTGCACTGAAGTTTTTTGCGCAGTTCGATTCGCTGGGAGACATCTAGTTTTGAGCGAAGGGCGCCAGATCCTAGAATAATATGGTTTGCTTTTACTTAGCGATTACTTGGAGCTATTTTGTAGAACAAGTGCTTCCAGTCGTCCATCCAGACTTCGGCTACTCGGAAGAGGTTGCTGTTCAGGACCTGAAAAGTCAAGTTCTACCGTTATTCCAAAACCTACCTTTCCAGAACCAGCTCCACCCGGAAAATCGTGTGGCGAAGCTTTTCGAAAAATATGCCCAACGTGCGAACAGGGCAAAATCTCCACACGACCACCACATTGCCAAATCTTAATTGAAATTCAAGAACGCAAACGACAAACGGTTACCCGAAAAGACATCTCCAAATTTTCGCCACCCCAAATGTCCATTTCTTGATCGTATGTGCCAAGTTCTTCAAAATAGAGTCTATCGATGGAAAATAGTCCTCCAGCCATGGTTGGTGTTTCAATTGGCTTTGTCGGATCTTCGGCGCGGGCTTGCACGATTTGATGTGGCAGTGCGTACCAACGAAAAAAATTAGGTGATGTCTGATTTTAGCTGCTAACCGAAATTGTAGACTCCAGTTGAAGCCACCGCGGAAAATTTCGATTCCTTTTTGATATTGAAAAGTTCGATCATTAACGACATCGATTACAGGGCAAACCACTGCTTTTCTGGAAAGCTTTTTAACTTTTTGAGGTTTCAACTCACCGATCCTCTTTAATCCTGGCGAGCAACGGTTCCAACCATCCCTTGGTGCATTCACAATGGCTATCAAGGAATGTGAGAACTTGACCGACTGCCTCCTATAACAACAGACGCGAATTACGATACTGAATCTCCAAACCTGTGCACCCATCAAACGAGCCCGAATCAATCCAACCCTCAACTTTGATCGAATAATCTTAATTGTGACGGGAGCCATTTTAGCAAATTCGTTCAAGGGCTTTTTCAGAAATGCTAAAATCAATAGTTTAAAATGTTAAAGACGGTTACTTCTATTGCTGAAATCATCGACCAGAATAATTTCTTTCAAGGCTTCACGGGGCGATCGATTTATGACTGAGGAGACTGTTCGGAGGAGTGTTGAATATGCTTCATTGTGGTAGACAATAATTACCGAAGTGGTGGGCAGATTAGCTTAAATGTCGTTACAGGGTTTTGAAGGGATGATACTTGGGTATTCCTTCGATTTGCAGCCTTCCCGCCGAATATCAGGTAGTGATCGGTTGATTGAGATGCGATCACTGACGTAAAGATTGAATTGGTTGATTCCGAAGGTATCGTCGGCTGTTAGTTCATCTAGATAGACACATTAACATGATCATGCAAAAAAATACCTTTAAGGGATAGTCTTACAGGAGATCCTCCTTCGCCCCATCCTTCCACGGGTGCATATTCATTTGCATTTAGTTGTTCTAAAACAAATTAAAGCCATGTGTGAAAAAACAACCATCAGTCAGGTTATCTCGTTTCTCCTTCGCCAAATTCCCATTGTAATGTCCGACCACAATCTGCATCCCCTTTTTCTTGGCAACATTTTTAGAATTCACGTCACTTTCCATCGGTCCGAAGATCTGAAGCTGATGTTGACTGTTATGGGGAGTATGGCTTGTTCTACCTTTTCTTGGAGGACAAGGATGAGGAGTGTCATTAGGGCCCAGGTGGCTAGGAAGGCGAGGAGGCACAGGCATATTTCAACACCACGCCGGGATTTCCGATTTAGGCGGAATAGTCTCATTGATCTGCGAAACATCCTGTTGTTAGCTGCAGGATACAGCTTGTCGTTTATTAGGTCGATTACATCTAAAGAATTTACGTCGAAGCTGTGGGATTTTAAGAGGAATATTCGACAAAGCATGGAAATTAGCAGGACAAAAGCAATCAGAATTAAGAGGATCTTCTAGTTATTAATCAACAACTCCCTCAAGGTCACCTACATGACCAATACCAACAAGAACTTGGTGATACCAGAGAAACGGGGTATCCACAAGAAATCCCCAATGATATGCGACCCGAGCCACCGATCGCCAGCCATAAATATCGTCGGCCCTGACGCTGTGGATGTCAATTTGTTGGCGACCATTGGCGCGTTGAGGGGAGATCCGCGCTGGTCGAGATCGATTGTTCGGGGACGCTTCGCTTGTTCGGCCTCGATGCAGGGGAGAATGGAGACTATCCACTCGTTCTCCTTATGCTCATCCGCCTGCTCCAGTCGGGATTTCCTTGAAAGCGAGCTGTTGGAGCGCTTTTCCTGTCCCCTTCGATGCCTTCGGGGCTGAAGAACCAGATTAATCTTCATGCTCGAGACATTTCTAGAAGGGAGAGGATAGCAATTTGTTGGGGGTTGAGCTGCTACAGTAGGAGATTGGTTATGTGATGTAGCTTAGAAAAAGGGGGGAGAAAGCTGCTGTAAAAAAGCTGGAAGTAGAGTTATTGTTGAAGTGTTTTCTGTTTTCGTAGCATTTGCTCGATTTCAAGGCCGTGTGGATGCCGCTGAAAAATGAGGGCTAGCAAAATGATGGGTGGTGCTTGAAGATCAATCCAAAGGTGACAAATAGTAGCATGTAATTATATCAGTGAATTTAAAAAGCGGATGAATAGATCACTAAAAGCAGTGGTACACTATCTGGTAAAACCTTATATTAAATGAAAACCGACACTCCGAATGATGGGATCTTTAGGTCGCCCAGACATGGGTGCCCCGCTGGTAGATTGACGAAAGATTGTGACAACAAGGGCACGACCTCTCGTGCTTTGCCCAGCGCAATACCGTTCCAATTATTTAAAAAAACAGTGAAATTCTATGGCTATTGTGTCCCAATCAAAATGAATAGGCTTGGCTTGGGACTTGTAGAACTTAAGGTCGAGAAGCTATACATGCGAATACGACGTATTCGAATACAATGGAAATGATACAGATACCCGAATTTTTGCCCCTAGACTTATTGCATAAAATCCTAATCCCATGCAATCCTAATTTCGACGCGATCATCGCACCAGAAAAGACGATTTTTTCATTAGCACCAGTTACTTAAATGCAATATGCGGCGCTTAGCGTCCAATTGTATGCATAACATGCGAATTTTCATGAACACGAAAGCCACTACTTATGATTTTTGCTAAAAACAGCTAAAGAACGATCCTAAAAACAGTATAACCGCCATGATATCCGGCTAAGCGCTGCGACAGCTTTAAAGGTGATAAGTGCGGAAGCGTTAAAGAGCCACCACGGAAAAAGCACGACAAATGGGCTGGATACGTGTCTATGTGCGCGCGCGCGTGAAAACAGTTCGGTCCATGCTGGTCGCACTCGTTGGCTGGACCCCACCCATCCCGCCCAGTCTCCTTCCATTTTGTACTGGAAAAACTGTGATGGATTGAAGGGGGCAGAAGGATGCTACGGAGGAGGGCAGCAAGGTCGTTTGGGTGTTAGCACTGGATAAACGAATGGACGGTCCGAGATGAGGAATTGCTTTTTAGGGGGCAAGTGGGCTGGAAGGATATATGCAAGGTTGTGGAAAAGGAAACATATACGAAAAGGTATTTTCAATTTATCAAACTAATGATAAATCAATACTTCACGGTGGATCCTTTCGTAAAAACCGTACTAATAGACATACAACCTCCCGGAAAATTCAGAACTAACTCCCCTGGCATATTGTGTGAGATTGAGGCGCTGGGTTGAAGTACATAGTCTGGAAAGGCAGTATGGATGTATTGAGGGTGAGTGAAGGAAGGGCTCTAATGGGGTAAAGAAGTAGGGCTCTTCTCAAAGATGGAGGCCGCACCGATGGGGGGCCAGCCCCGACATCCCCCCAAGGTCGTCGCCCAATTCTATGCAGAAAGTGGGGGTAGGAGTGTACCTGGAAATAAAGTGGCAGTCCAAATAGATGTTTTTAGATACATAATATATCCGGGGTGTATTACTAAATCGTAATGATCGCAAGCAAGGTACTATGAATATACCACTGCCCGCGCCCAAAACCCCCCTTGGACATGGGCGCGCGTGCAACTGGCGAGAATGAGGACATTTCTATTCTTTTGGCTTTATGCAAGTTCCACTTCGATACCCAAAACTGCGTAAGACTGGCTTTAACTTTGCAAACTTGTAGTTATCGAAATTCTGAAAACGCCAGCGAAAACAGAATGTGACGGAGAATTAGACCGTTTTGGACACGAGAAGGCCCTCACATCGGGCCTCCCAACTGACAGCCACACATACACGCCAAAATTGTATAAGGTAAGATACATAACAAATAGTGTCTGTTGGTGTATTTGCCAGTACGCTTCCGTAAAGTCGAAGATGCGCCGGCATCCGCTGCCGGCATGCCACGGCTTCGAAAATTTTTCATTTTCGCTATTAAGTTTAGTTGTTTGTCAAAGTATCGGCCACCCGGCACAGGAGGTGATTAAAATCGGCATCATGTGGACTCCTAGAAACACAAAGGAGCGGAGGGCCCGCATTTGCCATTTCTGTGAGCAGGTTTGTAGGCTGCCACCTGGGTGTGTACCTGCTAAACTCAATATAATAAAATATTTATTGCATTTTATTTAGGCAGCACATCAGCTCAGACGTCGGAGCGATCCGGACGTCCAGCACTGCTTTAGTACTAAGGGCGAGTACGAAAGATAACGAGAGAGGACGAGCGGAGAGAAAGAGAGAGAGAGAGAGAGAGAGAGAGAGAGAGAGAAGGAGAGAGAGAGCGAGAGAGAGAGAGAGAGCGAGAGAGAGAGAAAGAGAGCGAGAGTGAGAGAGAGGAGAGAGTGTGAGAGGATTGAGCGAGAAAGAGAGAGAGTGAGTCAGGGAGGAGAGAGACAGATAGATGGAGAGAGGGTGAGAGAGAGAGAGAGAGAGAGAGAGAGAGAGAGAGAAAGAGAGCAAAGGAGAGAGTGAGCTCAGGCAAGCTCGACACCCCGTGAGATTTTCAGTGAGTGATCGGCACGATATTAGCGGTCACCCAATGAAAATCTGACGGTGGATCAGTTTGTGTGGGTATTGGCAGCAGCAGTGGCATTGGATACGGTGTGAAAGGGTTACCTTTGTAAAATGATTCCAATGAATAACCGATGAGAAGCTCGAACATTTTTGGGCAATGAGATGATAGACTACACCGCAAAATTTTCACACGATGAGGTAAGGATCTGCTATCAACTCGATGGAAGTGATGGCAGAATTCAATACCTCATCGCGGGGTGTTTCTGCTTCGTTAGAAGCTTTTCTTTCAAAACGGCACGGCAAGCAGCGAGGATAGCAAACCATCAGCCTGATTTCGAAATCAGAGTCAAAGGATTATTTTTGTTTTGATTCAGATTTCCATAGCTCTTAGCATATACAGGGTGTCCGAAAAAAGTACCCCCTCTAGCGGCGCGGAGGAAGCTCGGATCGGGCTGACTTTTACACCATTCGAAAGCTCTCGAAAAGGCGAGAAAACAAGCGGGTGTATATCACATGGTGGAATGGTTCGGGCCCCCTTATGCCACGAATGAATCAGGACCCGATAACATTAGTTCAAGACCCAGTCGATCCCAGTATTTTGCGCAAGTGCATCCCAAATTAGCGTTCGAACAAAAGGCAAGGGAAACCAACCTAATCCTGCAATCGCAGAGAGACAAGCACTTTTTGAAGATGTAAACGTTGCTGTTGCCTGACTATGCCACCGATTACCGTAGGGTCCCCGGCCCCTAAATGCCAAAAATGCCTTTAAAAAATTTGTTTAGAATTTGTGAAAGTGAATCGTAGTTCTACTTAGCCATGTTATGATCAGAAGTTTTAAGCAATATTAAGTGGTAAAATATACCCTGGTCGGCGGAAATATAAAAAGAAACATTCTAAAGGAAACTTGTCACCGAGAGTGGTCCAAACGCGCGCGATACCGATAGAGGTTCCTAGTGCATCCATTGTTGAGCGCTAGGAGCAGTCATGGGTACCGCGTGAGTCTGATCATTGCGGGGAATCTATCAAAAACACACGGCACCTGTAGGCGCAGCCAAGCTATCCTTATCAAGCCTTAGTTGGACCTACGGGTACCGTGTGAATTTGACCTAAATATGGCAAGGGGTATTTAAGCGAGAAGGGGACAGAAAGGAAAATGCTGTCTATATAGTAGTATCCAGAAAATACACAGTAGAGCGCGAAAAGCATGCAACACCCCGGAAGACGTTATTATGCATTTCGCTGGCTATATTTTTGTCCAGGTGCAATGTTTTTAGTATTTTCGAGGTCGTAGAAATTTATGGCAAGTTCGGGGTATTTCGACTCTCGAATTCGTCAATTTTAAGGTAACGCAGACCCAGATTTATGTCAAGCTATCGTAGCTTTCTAACCTGTTGCTGCTCTGATTTAATCATGACTATCGCGAAAAATCCGCTAGCATATATTTTTAGAAGCAGCAACCTGCACATCTGATACTATGACCGGGAAAATATCAGCAAACACGGCGTTTGGCCAAAAATATAGCCAGCGAAACGAATGATAACTGCTTATTCGGTGTTGCCTTTTTTGACACGCTACTGTATGGTCCGGCCAAGATCACGAAAACTAAGCCGTCCAAGATAGCCAATTACAAATGTTGCCAAGCCTTTGGCGTCAAAAAATTTTGCTCACTTACCCACCCAAGTTTGGTCATCTCGGACGGCTAGTATTCATGAACTGTCAAAATTTAGTTAACCCAAATGATATCTAAACGCCAACGTCCATCAATAAGGAACTAATTAGTACTAAGCTAATGGAGACCTAAATTTATGATCAGCTATCATAGCTTTCTAGCCTATTTCTGCTTTCTGCTCTTCATGGTTAATCTAACTACTCACTATTGTTGCTAAAAGATAGAACAGCATCCTAAGCCGATTGCCTACGATTCACTATCTATGATTCCTTTGACGGTTATTTGAAAAGAAACTTTTGGAGCTACAAAAAAATCGAAAAACAATAAACACTTAGAAATCAGAATACAGTAGGGAATGGCAGGAATCGTATACGATGGCCTACGAAGGGAGTCGTTTTATAAGGCCCAAGGGGCGGAGTCGTGGCCTCCACGAACACGCCCAACGAGAGAGCGGAAGCTTCAAGGGGGAAAATGAGAAGCCATACAGTTACAAACACTCAGAAGCCGATAGCCCCATCTTTCTTGCGACTAAAAAAGAATGGATTTTATCGTGTACGTTTCTTGAAGCTTCTAAGAACTGTTCCATCATGCTCCCCAGAGCGAAGCGGTTAGAATGAATGGTGACATGCCTATTTTATCGGCTAGTTTTGAGATAGAGAGTGAATTTTGTGAATCTTTTCTAAAAGTATTTTAATATTGCAACAGGCATTGTTGGGTTTGGACCTGGTAGCGTTGGAATTGCGTTTCTCTTCTTACCAGACAGTAAGTTTGTCTTCTTTCCTGCGCGGCCTGCGCCCAGGGCCTAAAAGTTAAATATTAACAGATTTTAGAAATGGCAAAAAGAAAAATGATTTTACGCAAAAGGCCCAAGAAATTTTCGAAATTGAACCCATAATAGCAATCAACCAGACCAGGATTTTTTATTTCCAACGTGTTTCCAAAGCCCAATCGGCTCGCCCAACAAATCGCAGAAAGCATTCGTCTGCTGCCGATTCGTAGACAGTAAAGTACAGGGAGCTTTTCCCTCCTATCTTTGGTTAGATCGGGACATCAAATGGCGGCATGTATCTTTTCGCCCGCAATGTGCGGGTGGCCAAATGGGGTCTTTGTCTGGAATGCCAACGGCTTGTGGTAATGGATACCGCGCCAATGGCCAGCGGATAGCTTGAAGCAGATGGTTCCGAAAACTGTAATGGCACGTTGTTGACAATACGGAGGCTGCGATTTCTGTAGGGTAATCAGATGCTTACTTGGGGAAGGCATTTCCACCTCAATCCCTTTCATAGTTTCGGAATTTTTATTCTTTTGAGCATTCCTTTAATGGGTTAACCAGAGATTCTGACTCATCCCTCACCGCCCTGGAAAAAACCAATCAGCCCGTCGCTTTGTTTTATCTGGTCCACATTTCTTGTAAACTGCAGATGTGATTGGTAAAGGAATGGCTTACGATCGACAGATTAGTCACTCTGTTTGTTCGATACGTTTCTGAAAGCTGTCGGTTGCACAATTGAAATCATGGTCTTAATTTGACGAAAATGGTAAAATATGGTAAAATTTAGGCCTCTAGCTAAATATAAGCTGATAAAGTCAGCGTAGTCTGCGTCGTTGCTACTGTCTGTTTGCACTGTAAGGATTACCGCCTCAAAAAGCCAGCTTAATCCGAACACCTTTGTCTGCCCCACGCGTTAGATGATTAGACTAGATAGTCGATACTACGACAATCCCTCATACCATTTGTCATTGATATCGGAGAGTGCGCAGGGTTCCTCGTCGATCGGCACTAGGCATTTTTCCGAGTGGTTTTGTAACTTTGTAAACTGGGACGAGGCCAGAAAAACAGGAAGACAGTTTTGGGGCTACCGAGAGATTACTGACCCTTCATTCCCACGTTCTCGTAAGATATTCAACCGGGCAACGAATGCCGGTGAGTCAGATCTGCAGACAGTTTTGAGTATTTATTCATTGCTAAGTCGGTAAAGGGAAGCTTGCCTTGGTAGTCTGGCGTGAATCCGCGTGGGAACTGTGGGGACCGGGTATCAACCCGAGTGGCGACAAAAACCGGGGCCCGGCTGCTTTCTGTTCTTATGGTTCTACCACACCAAGGCAAGCAACTTGACGCTCACCCCAATATTGCCAATCAACCACCCATCGTCTGTTAATTTTCTCTACGCAGCATATCGCTCGTTTTTGCTCCTACTAGATTTTCACAAATTTCCCCTCCACACGCTCCAGAACTTACGTCAATCTTTTCAGATGGATAACATGGCTCTGCAGCGTTTTGCCACCGCCGGTAAGTTATATATACCTTAGAGACCAAACATGATATAATAGTGCATAGTTTAAATTTAGCACTTGATCCAAGCATGGTCGAAGTGATTGGAATCCCGCTTTGGGACCCATGGGAGATCCTGCACCGTTTTGGGGTAGATCCGATGGATGTGCACTACGTCGTCGGCTACGATGATAGGAATATTCCCGAATATGTGTAAGTCATTCGAACACGCTGCCGTTTTAGGACCAGTCTGAACTAGCTTTCTTCTTACCGGGTCTCTAATAGTAAGAGTTAAGAGTTAAGGCTAATTTATCCGCATCCTGCAGAATGTAACCTATTAAATTCAGTCCACTTATCGACTTACACAGAATATGGTAAAATATGGTAAAATATGGTAAAATTTAGGCCTCTAGCTAAATATAAGCTGATAAAGTCAGCGTAGTCTGCGTCGTCCCTACTGTCTGTTTGCACTGTAAGGATTACCGCCGTAACGTAACGCGGCGTCTACGCCGCCACGATTCATTTTCGCGGTTATGGTCGCGCAGCTCGGGTAAATTTTCATGAAAATTTTGCACTTAAGCTCCAGCCTTATATGCAATGTCCCAACTATATTGAAATTTCAGTTCGTCGTCAACTGGGTTGGCAGCTACATTGGCGAGCGTCGCTTACGTCTGCACTACCGGGTGCGCGGTGATGTGCGTGCAGAGCTCAATTATCAGCGGGACTTACGCGCCCTGCGGATAAAGACGCTTTACCATTACGTGTATTATAGTCAGAATTAAATGGGGCGTCATGTCAGTTCTACGAATTTGTCTCTTTTGTTTCTAGAGCGAGTCTGCGTCGAAAACCTTGATTTCTCCCACGACTTGAAATGTTTTCCTACAATTCATTATCGAATTTACATAGTGTTTAAATTCTTTCTTATCATTTGATACTTAATATCACTATTACCCGTGCGTTTCAGTTCGCAAATATTTATGGTCATTTCTTTTGTAATAAATATAATTTATCTTTCTCCACACGCAAAAATTTCACCACAGAATCCATAAAAATTATTAAGTTGCCTCTAAAATCCAAGAATTAAAAAATAATCAATATCCTATCACAAAATCCTGATAATCGTGGCCGAGAGCTTTGCGCTGAATTATCATAGAAATCTGTTGAACATCCAAAAAGTGCATGGTAATTGAGTAATCATGTGTTTTGAAAGCCAATTGGTAAGCGGCAGTCATCATGAGAATAAGCGAGTTGTAGATTGGTTGAGAATTTTTGAGCTGGTAATATTCAATAAATAAATAAAATAAATATAAAATAATAATAAATTACTAGAAACAATGCTAGCGTCTAACAAATTGGATATATCACTTAGTAATGGGGACGGCGAGTACGTTTGGGCTCAATTTGGTAGCTGAGCTCGATAAGGCGCCGTTGGTTGTCGATGACCCGGAAGTTTCTGAAACGAGGTCATCATGACGGGTTGATCAGAAGATTTTTTGAATTTTAAGGTGGAGTTTCTTGCCTAATCAAATTCTGTGTGTCTCCGATCTTGCTTTCAGCATACACTTGGTGCGGAAAATGGGCTTTGCATTTTCGGAAAGAGCGCAAGACCCCAGCGATCATATGCTAAAAGTCGATTTGGAACTCCGAGGACGACTAGTAACTTACCATTTTCTCTTGATTAACTAGACCACTAAAGAATGTTTTGTTGGATTCGTGGATGAACGTCAGGTCTTTCAGGAGGAGTGGCACGAACGGAACCTAAATTACTTCATTTTCAAACGGAACGTATTTATAATTTTACAAGAGCTGATTAGTTTTGTGCGCCTGACAGCATTGCCACACACTAATGGGGGCCCGAGGGGCTCTGGTGGATCATGAAGCGTGCCCCCAGGCGTTGGTTTTGGCGGGAAAAAGTTTTTATTTCTTTTCACTAACCATGGGCGGATGAAGGCTTTCAACGAGAGCTCGATATGCACGATGATTTCGGCCTGGATCTAGCAGGGCTTCGAATTCTCCGAATTGTCGCCGCATCTTGGCTGGGAGCCGCTAAATCAAATAACTTTTCTAATTCCTTCCAAAACTCCGAGCAAAGCTCTTGAAAACATACACTCCAAAGCGAATCCAACCGGCTGACGGCTATATTAGATAGACCCAGCGTCAATGCAAAGAGCGAAAGTAGATCTCGGTTTTCCTTGGCACTAAAATACCGTACTTTTTTGAGTAATGGAACTTACAAAATGGCAATTTTGATGAATTTTCGGAGTGTGGCCAGGCGACGGTGTGGTGGTGATAAAAGTATCTAAAGCATACTCTTCCCTTTAAACTAGGATTTTCAAATATACCTCTGTTGTTGCCCAGTATTGCACTTCATTAAAGCGTCGGAGTAGTAGATCGAGATTTGATGGCACTTTTCCAGGGAATTGATCGCGACCGAATACCTAGAATTTTATAAAAATATTAATCCTCTTCAACATCCGCAAAATGTTTAATTTTTTCGTACCTGGGTTACCAATTCTGTCTCGTCCGTGGCTTCAAACATTTCCGAGTGCATCACGAATAGTTGTTGGGCAAGCTCTGTACTTGAGAGATATTCCATAACAGATGCGTGAACTGATTCAAGTGGCCCCGATTGATCTGGGGTGGCGACCTGAATTGCAATTATTTTTTTTTATTTACATTTCACTTACCAAAGTATGCACTTCTTCTCTGCTCACTGCATACAATTTTGAATTCAGGCCAACCATTGTGGAAATACTAATGTCAGTTGGCGAAAAGACAATCCGTTCTAGAAAACTGGCCTAGATAAATCTATAGAAATATTGTACCTCCATTGCTTTTCACTTCCACCAATCGCATACGATCCGGAGCTGGAGCGATGTTTCTCATTCTTTGTCGTGCCATCCTCACAATTTCTGCCGCAGTTCGATCTAATCTAACACTCATCGCGAATGATGTCGTGTCGGAGAAGTGAATGATTTGGTTAGCTAAAATGCAAAAAATAGGGAAATTTTCATTTACCAACCTGTATCACTTGGTAAAACCGGTGAGGGAGCTGGGCTCAGGCTCGAATAGACGCCACACTCCAGCACGACACTAGGTCTCCGCGCTAATACCCTCATCGCAGCCTAATATATTACGTTTTAAAGCATTTTTGTGGTGATTTTACCTCTCTGGTCACTCGAATCTGAGCCAATTGAGCAACAACATCTTCTAGACCGGCAATAAGGCGACAATCTTCGAGAAGCAGGCAATACAACTCCTGATACTGCATATTAAACTTCATAAACCCAAATACCTCTATGAATGCATTTGCCGCAGGGTCTAGAAAAAAGTGCAGACCAAGGGTGTCGACCCAAAACGCAAGAAATCGGACGACCCTTCTCTTTGCTACCAGTCGGCGATTCCAATCACCACCGTTTATCTTGATCTGTAAGAATTGTTACAGCTGCCCTCAAGCACCTACCTTCCCGATAAAATAGCTCCTCAAAAAATTGCACAGGATATTCGTCGGCATATAGATGGTGTGGGTCAGAACAAAGTCCTCTAACAGTGTATCGGTCGCATCATCGGCATCCACTCTCGTTTCCAGCACATATTCGATCATCTTTTCCGCAAGCCCGGCGAGTACGGAATAGCTAAAAAAAATTGATTCCAACAGTGTTTTCTCACCAGCACGGTGTTCCCGTGTCCAATTCCGATATTGCGGCTCCACGTGGAACATTCATTCGTTCGAGCACCAGCACGTCATCCCCTTAAAAATTTTGTAAAGAAAGATGCTTTTAACCTGCCTCTATCTTTCAATCTGACGGTATTGGCTTCAACTTCACGCAGGACCCTAAAAGCTGTGATTGTTTGGAAGTCTAGGGAGGTACGGATCTAGCACGTTGAAAAAAATGCTGCAAGCTACCTATTAAAATCCTGTTTATCCACCACCAGAAAATGGCAATCTTCCTCTCGCAAAATGATGGTCGCTGCTCTTGGAGCATCACTGACCAGGCACAATTTCCCGAAATCGTCTCCTTCGCGTAGGCACGTTACAATACCCTAAATTAATTTTGGCTCTAACAAGTCTGCGTCAAATTTCAATTTGCGAAGCGTGCTTACCTTTCCCCTAACGCTGACCTCCACGGCCCCCTTGAGCACAATATACCAACATTTTCCACGTTCGCCCTCGTGATACAACACGGTTCCTAAAGAACCTTATAAATAGGGTTGTCTATTAAGCTATTCGTACTGGAAGGATTTTTACAAACCTGGGTGCGTATGCGATTCGATCCCAATTACAGCAGCCATCTCTCGTTTGACCATTGTCGACAAATGAGATAAAGCCTAGATTTCCCATTATTAATGGGCCCCGGCCTATTACCTTGACATGCAGCAACTCGGTGTAGACGAGATCGAGCTCCTCAGGCGATCGATCATGAGGACTTAAGACGTGCGTTATGGGCGTACATAATTCGACTTACGCTTTTGTCAAGATCATTCGAAAGAGCGCATCTAGGCCGGCTGTATTTAAGAATAGGACGGCTGATATAAGTTCATCGGTGCTAACCGAGGCTTGTGTATGCATGGTGACTGGATCGAAGAAAGCCTAGAAAATAGAACGCAATAGAAGGTGAGAACCAATCACTATTCATTACTTAACACCCGATTAGATAAATCACAAACCTTATCCCCAGGTTGTGGAGTGCCAGGCTCTTCTTGCATGCTTTTCGGATCTTTCTCCTCTTCTTCTCTATCCAATGCCCTCTGCCATTCTTCAATATTCCATCGATAAAACGTCATCTGGTCCGTAAACCGGTGTTCACCGCTGACGTGCATTAAGATGTTGTGCTCCAATAGGGCCTGCCACATCCCCATCACCTAACATTTGTAAATTCAAAAGATATTTTCTAGAAACCTGAAATCTTGACATCGTTGACATATTTGTCCCAGAAGAAAGCGCCAGTTCCAACAACCAGTCGATCATTTCTGAGCCTACCATTGAAGAGGCAAATACCTAGGCCGAATGTCTTACAAGCTTACATTCCTCCCACCTTTCCTCGATGGGCATGGTCGCAAATTAGGTCCGGCCTTTGTAACCGCATCGCATGTCGCAGCATACATCCAATCTCTACAAGCCGTGCTTCGAATGTCTAAGAAAAATAATGGCCCAGGTTAGTCGGCCTACCACTTGATTGCCTAACCCGATCATATTGGCTTCATCCATCCGTCCATCTGGTGCAATATCATCAAATTTTCGCCGGTGTTCTCCTGAATTGTCGTTGCGCAAACGATTTTTTTTGACTTACGAAAAACTTTCTCTTTACGTTGGCGCGCAAACTCAGGATTTGGTGTTCGTTCATTTTCATATTGGCTATCATATCCGCTATATCCTGGGCCAGGAGGTGGAGGGGGAGGAGGATCTAGAATTTGGGTCTTGAAGTCAATTTTATAACCACTGTATGCTGTTGATGTTGACGGTTCGCATTGGAGAATCTGGTTGACATTTAATGGGAAAGGCGCTGGTTGGTTTCTAGAATTACTGAATGCGTTTGATTAGATTTCTAACTGATAATTCCATTCGGCTGGTTCCGTCCCATTCATCAGCGCCGGAGGCCAATCTCCCACTGGTTCGTATACTGTAAAGAAAATTGATTCTAGAAAGGTTATTAAGAACTTACTGGTTTGATCGGCTAACATATCCTGGATAACCTGGATAAACTGGTGGATTTGGTCTGCGTGTTTCTAAAGCTCGATTGGATGTTGTAAGCGGTTTTCTTACGTTGTAAATTGCGCAAAAGTGTTGCTGGGGGATGCGGACGAATTCTGATGGTTTTAGGACGCGTGCAGCGCAGTTGTGCTTCTGAAAATGAGGATAATACCCATAGAAAGAGTCAATTAACTTATGTGTTAGCTATGTCAGGGTTCAATTTCTTCGTATGTATTTAGATTTTGATAGATTTAGACAGAATTAAATATTTTATGTAATTTAGATTCGCCCAAATTTGATCATCGAACATCGCAACCAAAAATCATTCTTGGAAAAGTTGCAAACTAATTGTCCGTTTCGTCAGACCCGGTGATCAGAAGAGGAAATGCGCAGCAACCATCCAAAGGCATGCCCATCCCTAATTTGGGCCTTCCACGACTTGGCTGCCTCCAAAATTATTCATGGATGAGACGATGGGAAGGAGAAGGAGGAAACGCCATGAAATGTTCGTCCTCCCCAGCCCTTGGACTGACGATTCGTCTTCAGGGGAGACTTGCAGGGACAGAAGTTGGGTCGACGAAAAAGGATGAAATTGATTCTTGCTGCATTAGGGACGGGTTCTTGGTTTTCCTTTTTAGGAAGAGTGAGGACTAAAGGACGAGGCCCAGGGGGATGCAAGGGTGATAGGGGAAAGGATGAGTCCATTTAGATGGTTCCAGTCGCGAGTCTCTAATAATTTTAGAATTCTGCACTTCCCAGCATACCTAAATTCTTTTGAAAAAAGACGAAATAAAAAATGAGCAAGAAAAACGGATAATATCCTACTCCCTACCCGCAAATCCCCTTTATTTCATTACCGCCCCGGAACCAAAATAGTATTTCCTTTTTTTGTCGGGCCGCCGCCCAGGCTCAGAAATGAATTGGTTTGCGGCCCTGGATTCGGTTTCCGGACAACCCGATCTCCCCCTCCACAACCACCTATTGGCCCCCATACACAAATTCCCCGGGCGGCTCAGCAAACGATAAAATATGAACGCACCGGAAAGTTGAGCTCGCCGAAGATGGCGCCGGCTGAAAGGGAGCAAATGGGGTGCACGCTGCCGTCCTGGAAAATCGGATTTGTGGCTGTAAATTGAATAAAAAAGTAGAGACGGCCGGAAATGCCCGCCCCATGTTAGCGGAGCGCTTCGTTGTGTCTAATTGCGGGTGGCAGGGACAGGGCTGAATCCGGTTAGTTTTTTCGGGGAGTTTTTTTCTTGTTTGGCGATTCAGATGGAGGGCCACGATATTTTTGGGGGTTATCGGTCGCTTTTTCTCTAAATTTCACAACGTTTAACCTCGTTTCGAAGAACTCGAAAAATTAGGAATTGTAAAAGTTTTTTAGTTTTTGCAACGTGATTCACGGTTAACGTTTTTCGAAAAAAATTACTAAATTTGAGAATCGTAAAAAATCTTTGATTTTTGGATTATAAAGCTTTCAACGTCCTTCAAATAACTTAAAAAAAATTGAGGAATCAGTGACTAACCTGATGCGTTAGATATAGTTGAACCTGGCCGGAGAGTAGAAAATACCAGCAACTTGTCGGGTCCCCAATGCCGAATACTAAAAGTTTTGGATGTTTTTCTTCTGTATCCCCCCCCCCCCGCTTTTCCCTCCAGCCCGTTGGTTGTTTTGAAGCGAAATCGTTTGCGACAACCTTCCTCCTTTCCCCCATTCTACCTTAAATCCCTAATGAAGTCTGGCAGCAAAGTGGAGCGCAACTTAGCAACCAAAAAAAAAGTTTTAGGGGAATGCCAGAGACCAGAAATAATTGGGATTGCATCTGTCCCGGGGGATTAGCTGCTGGACGGCGTTTCCGTGGAGATCACGGATTTGGCCATTTTCGTGCTATCCTCATAGGTTTTTTGGATTTATTTGGAGGAAGGATGGGCTCAAATAATCTGAAAACTTACAGACGACACCATTCTGGACTCTGTCTGGGGTTGGGTCTGAGCCGGCGAGGATGGCCCTGAGCAGTGGATCGGACAAGCCACGCACCGGGCCGAGCACCCGGGCTCGGGCCACCAGAGCTTCCATCTAAATTTTCGTATTTTAATTTGTGAGGTCAATACCACCCATATGCATTAATTTTATTTAATGGACCAGTATGTTCATTTGCCTAACACTTTTATTTTCACGCTTTTATATTTTTCGGGTTTTATAGGGCATTTCGTTATGTTATTTGTCGCTTATTTTAATAGCCAATAACTCCCCCATCACATTCCCAGCCAATTCGCAACTAAAAACACACGCCATTTATCCAGTTATTTTGCTAATTGTGCAGCCGCAACCCCAAAGCGAGAACCGGATAAACAAATCGCTAAAGTTAGCGCCTTCTAATGGCCACGTTGGGGGGAGTAAGTCACAAAAAGAGGGCCCACGCTGCGTGCGCTTGAATAAAAAATGAGTCGACTGGCCCATTAGGGGGATCGAAAAACTGGGCTCCCATGGGGGGAGTGTCAATTTGTCAGAATTCCGAAAGTTAATAGGATTTCCGTTTCCGATGTTCTTGGAATTTTTAAATGGCTGGGTGTAAATTTTCAAAAGACTAGGTATATTGTATTTCTCGTTTATCAGCTTATATTTTCTCGATAAAAATCCATCTGTCGCAAGTCCTGGAAAAAAAAGAAACCCCTGGCCATTGTTAGCTGCGATATGATAATTCGCATCATCACGTAAATCTTAAAATCCCGACTCATCTCACCTCTCAATTGGTCGCCCCATTATATTGTAGTGTTTTCCTAGAAGGCTGAATTGTGAAAGGATCCATTCCGTGGCGAGGAAGCCAGTGCTAAAATATGGGAACTGCATTTTGTCTTCCCCCGCCGGCTTCACGCCATCATCTTCCCCGAATGGGTATCGACACACACACAGACAGGAGGCAGAGATGCATAATAAAGGTATCGATGCGCGTGAAAAATGAGAGAAATTGAAGGCGGGTATGGCCCCCGCGGCAGATATTGGCCTAATCTCCCTCCTCCCGTTCTGGTTCGATGCAAACAACTAAAACGGAAACGTACAAATTGGGCGTGAATGGGCAAAATAGAAGAACAAGAGGGCTATAGGGTTTTGTGGGAAGGATCAAGGTTTCTGGAAGGCGATTGCAGAAATTTCGGTGCCAAGAGTGAGGATTTGGCTTTTTTGCCTTTTCCTTGAGCTCTCTGCGCCGGAATGAGCGTGGGAAAAACGGGAATTGGCTGTTTATTTATTTACACTGGTGAGTAAATATTAATTCCATGGTAATAAAGGTTGAGTTCATCAAAATTTTGAAGAAAATCTTGTTTTTATGCATATTTTTGAATCTTCTGATATGTGGGGCTGAAAGGGTGAGTTTTAGTCAGAGATCGCCAAAAGCAATAACCATTTAGCTCGAGCCTGGCTTCCTGTATAGAAATTTCAGAATAAATATCTTCCAATCAAGAACAAAAATTAAATAACCATGAAAGAACAAGGGGAGTGGCTGGTTGAGTGTGAGGGTGGGGATGAGGGGGTGAGTCTGGAAGGGCGTCGGTTCCCGGAGGGGCTAAGGGCCACCCTGGTTGGGGCCCATGGAGGGCCCATAGAAGCGAAGGCCTTTCCCCCATAGGGGGTGTTGCCGCAAGCAGAAAACGATTGCGCCAAAGCAACTTTCCATCCCTCCCCTCCACACACACATACACACAGCCCTTCCAGCCACCCGCCAAAAAAGGGCAGAAGAAAGACAAAAAACCCGAGCCTTCTTCTCTCGGAAAGAGAAGGGCCCCTCCCTGAATACATGGGCCCTCGTCTGCATCGATCTGAGGGTCCTCCTTTTCCATTCCTTTCCGAGTTCCCACCTGCTCCCCGGGGCCCTCCCCCATGCAAATCTCCATCTCCTCCTCCTCCCCTGCCCTCTCCTAAACCTCCCGAAAAAACAATCAGCCGAAAGCCCCGTCCGGCCTCCTTTTTCGCCCAACCATGGGCACTCCTTATCCCCCACGCTCTCCGTCCGCCTCGCAAAGCTCATTTCTTCGCCCGATTAGCCGCCCGCGAGAAGTAAGGATTAGGGTGGTCGTATGGGGGCTCCCGTTGAGTAAGAGCCCCCGGCGGCATTGAGAGGTTGTAGGGGCCCCCCGATGATTGGGGCCATAAAGTATTTAATTTGGGTTCCGTTTGGCTGGGTGGGACACAGGGCAAAAAGTCATATGATTTAAGGGAAAGGTGCCAGCCTTAAATTGAAAACCGCCTGGCGCATCTACTTGATTACAAAGCCAGTCCGGAATATATTTGTTTCAATAATTTGCTTGCCTGTTCATAAAATTCAGGTCAGATAGTTTTATTGGTTTATGCCATCCGGAATTTAGGAGTTTGGATTCCTTATAGGCATTGGGGAAAGTTTGCTAGCATATATCTACGGTTCAAGAGCCTTACAGACGCGATCTTAAAATTCTTATCAAAAACTCTAAGTAAATTAAGCATCTAGATTTGAAATTCTTCAGAGATAGACGAGCACCATTCTAGATTCTTGTCTTGTTTCGATGACGTCCCCTCGCGCGACTCAAAAACCTCATTTCGCCCCCAATTAGCTAGGTGAGGAGGCGGAGGCAAGAGAGCCGGAGACACGCACAAAACAAGGGGAGTTGTTTTTCAAGCCGTTTTCCAGCGGAAACGTATGCCCCAAAAAGAGGTTTTTGACACCCAATTAACCAGTTGGGTTATTTCATAACTTGTTTGTTTTTAAATTATTGAGATTCTCCTAGGTATTAGGCGCCCGCTCTAAACAACAATTAACATGTGGATACCGCATAAATCAGCCCTTACATAATTTTTGATTATGATACAGGTTTAAAATACAAAAAATTCCCAGGTTTGCGAGCTAGAGCTTGAGCTTGATTATCTGGCTTATGAAAATCGGACACTCCAGCGCTCTGGGTATGTTTTTAAGAGGTATTAGTCAAAAATCAGAGAAATAACGATTCGAACAAGTGCATTTCAGAAGTGCTCTTCCAAGGAGCCACCCCATCCCCTGAAAATCCGTTTCCGCCCCTCTCTCCCAAGAGATTTCAATTGTTCGCATTTCCACTGACATTGAATGACTGACAACCCGTACCCGTCCCACTCTTTCCATGCATTTTATTTCAAAAAACGTGAGCATTTTTTTTATCGGACAAACAGAGAAGAGGAAAAGAAATATACAAACGGATACAAGACATTTTACCGTTCCTGATTCCACTGTAATACCATCTTTGAATCGTTAAGTATTGAGATAGGTGGACGATTGCTAATAACGGGGGGCGTGGTGATGGAATCGAGGGCGAACACCGTGTGAATGTTTAGAAATATAGGAAGATTTGAATGGGAGACCTGGCACCTGCAAGCTTCCGAGAAGCCCAAGCCATTCCACCAAATCTTCCCGAAAACCAACCCAAAAGAATCAGGCGAAAATTTTGCACTATTAACACTCGATACAAAATGAATACCCCACAAAGACGAGTTGCAAGAGTGCAAAAAAGGACAAGATGCTACGTTGGAAATACACAATGATCTTTAACAAAACCTTTTTTCAGAAATCCGGTACCAAAATTTCTCTAATCCTTTTGACAAAATTCCCAACGTACCTCCTGACGTTGAAACAATTCCCCAAACCGCCCTACAGCGGTGCAGCTATTTCCAGGGAAAAGCAATACCCAGCAGAATGGAGTGTTACAGAAGTTGCAGAATTCCGAGAATAGGATGGGTGCAGCAAATCAGAAAGGGAGGTGAAACGTGAAACATGGCCAAATACGAGAGACAAGGAAACGAGCAGTTGATGAGTAAAGCTAGAAAAGTCGGAATTCGCGAGCGTTTGGGTATGCCTAAAGCTTCTAGAAAGATAGAGGCCATATCCAAGCAAGATGTCAGTTAGCGGAGCAAAGCTTTCAGAAAACAACACGAAACACAAGTTTATTCTAGGGTGCTGGGGATTAGGGTGGTTCAATCGTGAAGGTTGGGGGCGGGAGCTTACAAAAATTGGTCGAGCAAAAAAATAGACCGTATATGTTGGGAGGGGGAGGGATAAAATGACAAAAAGCACTCAACGGGTGTAATGTATCAATATGTTGGTTATAGAATGGCTTGCGACACCGATTGCGCGGTTTGAGAATATATATATTTTATGTGACAAAACGAAAAAGAAAAATTTCCCCATCAAAATCAGAAAAATATTCGCTAGAGACCCCGTGAATTTCCGAACTAACTAATTCGCTTTTCATTTCTTTTTGCCGCCTTTGGTTGCCGGTGCTGGGAGAGCGGTACGGGTCGGGGTGAGAGGTCGGTTCGAGTTCGAGTTTGAGCGTGCGTCGTTGGAATAGGCCATGTACTTCTTTTTGTCGGCTGGTTTGAGGATCTGAAAAGTATGGATAAGTTCAATGATAAGGGAATATATATCATCTAGGTTACAAACATTAGCCTCCCTACAACCAAGTTTCAAACAATAGTTTCAAAACCTAACCAGTTTTCATTCCTTTAGAGACCTAGCTGCATCCGATTCCATATCGAGTCAACAACCAAGAAAGCCACTGTTTACCCCCCAACGGTGTCACCTTTTCAGCCCGTAAATGGGCTGGTCCTGTTTTCTAGGTCGACAAATAGACAGCTGGGCCCCACCCAAAAGAAGTCAATCAGGTGAAATCTACGTGGAGCTATCGCTTTCTCTCACCTGGAATGAGCACATCAATGTTTCATCAACGGTCATCATAGCTCCGGCGTTGTCGAATTCTCCACAATAATTCGGGGCTGAGAAGAGTGTCACCAGTTGGCGCTTGGCGAAAAATTCATAGCCGTCTTCAACGACCTAGAAGAAATAATAGGTTATGGGGGACTACCGCAAGAATTTAGGATGGCGGCGACAACTGCATCGCGTGTCGTCTGGTAAAAGCAAGAGTCCTACCTGATGTGCTCGACAGATCAGATCCAAGTCGTGCTTGTTCAGGAACTTTGAAACGACTTCCGGTCCGAATGTGAAGGAGACACCACGATCATTTTCGCCCCATCCGGTAACATCCTTCTCCGGGTCAGACCTGTAACAAGATTGATACTTGACATAAACACAGATGGTAGAAACATCTAGCTCGTGGTTATGAATAGACGCATACCAAAGCAGGTCGCATAGAAGTCCTTGGTCTGGGACATCGGTCGGCCGCATAATGCGCCGGATCTGTTCCATCGACTGAAAAACATTTTTTTGATATATCAACAGTTCTTTAAATAAAATTAGCGTGTTTGTTTGGAGTGTTTCACTTACCTGAAGGTCAGGAGAAAGGCCACCGTGGCAGCAGAAGATTTTCTCATCAATGATGGCGGCGACTGGCAGGCAGTTGAAGCAGTCGGTGAATGTCTTCCATAACTTGATGTTGTACCGGCGTTTGCCTAAAAATCAAGATATCCATTTGTTCTTAGCGCCCAGAATTGGTTTGCTAATTTTAGTGCTATAAACTCACATTCATCGTAGAAACCATAAATTCTGTTGATGCTTGCACACTCGTGATTTCCACGCAGAAGGAAGAAATTCTCCGGGTATTTGATCTTGTAAGCCAATAGCAGACAAATTGTCTCCAATGACTGCTTTCCTATAAAAACACGTTCCAATCCATGGCTAAGTTGACGAATTTCTCCACCCGCACGCTAGAATTCCCTTACCTCGATCAACATAATCTCCCAAGAAGAGATAGTTAGACTCTGGCGGGAAGCCTCCATATTCGAACAGACGCAGCAGATCGTAATACTGTCCGTGGACGTCGCCTAAATCCGGATTAGATTATTTCGCGAAAACAATTTAGCGAGTTTGCAAGGATAGTTCCGGAATCACAGCCCAATACTGACGAAGCCATCTAACGCCTGACCAGCATCGTCAGCAGGGGACGCGCGGCAATTGGGAGGGAAACCATAGATTGGTATCCGGGGGCGACTAAGTGGATAGGTGGAATAGTATTTACGGGAGAAGATTGATCACCGCGCAATTTGGATAAATCCAGTGTTCCCAGAATAGGTTGATCCTAGAAAGTGAGTCAGAAACGTAGGAGAGGCCCTCGTAGTTAGATGCAATTTTTCTGGGTAGTCTTTAGGTCAGTTGAGTTTTCGATGGTAAAAAAGCATTTCATTACCGCAAATCTTCAGAGGTGCCTCGAGCTCAAGAAGGATCGGTTGTGACAGGAAGATCTCTCGCGATTTGATGCACAACGACTTGATCTCGTTCTCCGTCAACTGAACGTTCTTCCCGGGCTTCGAACCTCGCACTAAATTCGACCATCAGTTCAAATTCGACAAAACGCGTTTATCTTATATTGTATTATATTATCAAAAAACTAAACATTCCTATTTTATTGTGTTTCTTACGAACCTTCGAGTAAACGTGCGATGATCGTGTCAAGGTTCATCTTATCGGGCTGTGGGTCCGCCATTGGGGCTACTGAAAATTCTCAATGAGTCAACGACGATCGCACAAAATTATTTGGTATACACAGAACAACACGAAGTCTTTGCTCTGGCATTAGGTTATTGCTATAAGATCTGTATCACGATCATCGAGGGTCAATGCCGGCGGCAATTTATGTCGGTGTTTGAAAGGGTGCCAAACAAACGTGACAGGACTAGACTGATTTTATTGATTGGAGCTTGATACCAGAAAATGCGGAAAAAGTAAAAAAATTGCACACTAATGGGATCGAGCGGAGATTCTAGCATCTGGCATAAGGTAGTATGATCAATTACCGGTTGATTATAAATTAAATAGTAGCAACCACGATACCTCGCGTGGATTCTAGCCTATTCAATCGGGTGATTCATCAATACCATAATTGTGAAATTTGAATTACATAACTAGCTGATGAAATCCGAAATCAAAATTATTTTTTGCCTCCGAAACGTGCCTACCGCTACGCGTCTGCTTTAAAGTTACATATAATTAAGCTAAAAGCTACGATCAATCCTTTACAAAATAAAAAATCCTAAAAGAAGAGAATCGCTAAGCGAAAAATCGGGCTTCCATTGGCGGGGCCATGGGAACTGTATAATCGGGAGTGTTATGGAGCAGCGGTGTTGTGTTGGGGGATAGAATGGAGAGGAGAAATGGGTCAGAATCGAGATCGAGATCGATAGGCCGATGCAAATTCTGCGGGGCGGTCGCCGGATTGGGGGGACGCCGCGATGGCTGGGGGGAGGTTCAGGAAGGGGGGTCTGATAGAAATGCTTTTGGACACGCGACGCGACTGGGCCGCAACGCCCCCACGCTTAGGCTGTCTCTCTCGCTCCCACCAACACCAGCCCGCCAAACTCCCCCCAAGCAAAGAGCAGGCCCACCGAAAGTTTGTTCGGGCATCAACCGGCAGTGCAAAAATTGGCTAGTTGCTGGTATTTGAGCGCGAAAAATTCCACGCAGCTTCTTGTTGACGCCCCGTAGGAAAAAACGCGGTGTTTCCAGCGTTTCATGGCTCCAGCCTCGTTTAGAAAGGATGGGCACATCCTAACGTTTTTTCGACTTCCGGCTGTTGAGCGCTGGTCAGCTTGCCTGATTGAATGGGCGAAATATAAAAAGAAGGAACGAATGTTCGACTTCCTACTTGGTCTAAGACCGAACTTTTGCCTTTTACTGGGAGAGAACCTTAAAATCAAATGGCAGAAAAGCTTCGAATATTGCATATACTTGAAGAATAAACTGCTTGAAATTTTAGGTGGTGAGTCAAAGGTCTTAAAGGGGCAGTGAATTAAAAATTTTTACATAGAGCGAACCAACAATCCATTGCAAAACTAGAGGCAACCAGACGTCTTTAGAACATTTTTTAAACCAACCCTCTAATTTGCAAAATTACCAGGCATGCCAATTAAGGTGTTGCAAAAGGCAAAATTCGTAATTTTCTGCACGGTAATTAGCTCCGCGTCTGCGCATAGTAATCAAAACTCCAAAAGTTTGGCAAAGCTTGCGAACGTACGGATGGATCATCGTCACACAAAAACTTACCGCAAATTTTTGGGCTAGCGAATTTGTAGCATCTAGCAAATTGAGGTGAGAGCATTTGGTGACACTTACCTGGACGCTTTGCTACGCATAACGTCTTTAAAATCCGAGCTGACACCTTGCGAGTAAGGCCCTTCACTTTCATTCCCATAAATCGACTAAAATTTAATGCTAAGGATCGGTATTAGGAAACACATTAATGACGAATTGGAACGTTGAGATATATAAAGGTGTTGCATGGCATTTCGACTTTGAACTATGAAACCAAACAGATACCTTGTTTGAACTGCACTTCAGAAGAGCCTGATTTTATTTGGGCGCTAGCAAGATAAGTTTGAACTTAGGTTTTTGAATTATGGGTGGAAAGGATTGGAATTACTTTTGGGAAATTGGACAAAGTAGTAGGATAGATTTGTTAGGGTTCACGTGGGGTTGTACCCCTTCAGGAACCCGGTGAATTACATTAGCGGGTTTACCATTCGGGGATAAGTCGAACAGCGCAACAGATCGATGTCAAAATGAAAAACGGAAGCTAGGGAGTGAGATTTTATGAGATTGATTGAAGGTAGCTAAAAATGGAAAAGTGAAAAACTTGGTAGAATCGATAATTTTTGGTCTAGTTTTGAAGGTTTTGTGAGCCGGCCTTTCTGGAAAACTGATTCCCCGATACTTCGCAAATGCATATTCCCCCGAGGGTAAGGCGGGGGATAATGCGGATACCGGCTGGGCACATTAGCTGATGAATAGATGCCCATCGTTGCACTTTCGGATTTACAACATAATACCTCGAGTTTACAGGTTATTGGTCAAAATGGGAAAGGATTTTTAAACCGTGAGCTCCCACGACCTTTAGATTTGATTTTTTAAAGCTATTTCAGCTTGTTAGCTCCACGTATAGCTTATTCAACCTTACCGACCAATCATCACCATTCCAACAGGCGAAAAATTCTAAAATGTGCCCTACCGTAGTTTGGATCTTCTGAAGGTCCCATGAACGACCCACCACCATTATACGATGTCATCGTGCGTGTCGGCAGACAACTGTAAATGAGTCGTTAGACAAGGTTTTCAATGCTAATTTGAACATCAAACTCCCAAACCCAGCTGAACTTTGTCGAAAATGAATTAAGCCCCCATTCCAGTATCCCGAAATTGCAGAACATTCATCTCCATCCCGTTTCTTAGACTCATTAAGGCAATCATAGCAACGTAAAAAATTTTTTTACTCGTTACGTGTGATGTTTAAGCGGCTTGTGGTAGGTGTTTATTTTTGATAAGACCGGGACGTCAGCGCTTGTTGGTCGGTACGGGTCATTTGAGCACTTATCTGATGTGTCTTGACACGATAATATTACTAAATATGGGTGTGATTTCTGATTTTACAGGTTAGTTTAGGCCATGGAAACCTAGAGAAATCTAGGCCACGTTGCAAAATCCGGCCGTGATTTTGAAACGAGCTTTTTTCTTGGATCGAGGTATATTTATAGCACTACGTTTCTGCGGGTATCTGTGTCAGTAAACTGGCTAATTTTTGTAATTTATTAGGGTATCTAGAAGTCGATTCTGTTTGGCAAGCCTGAAAGCCGAGATTTCGTGTCGAAAGGATCCCGATACCTGATCCTCTGATCTCATTGCGCCTCTACCCTTATCTTTATGACACTGTTATTCCTATAAGCCAATCGGAAACACCCGGTTCGTTAAAAAAATTGCTATCATATCTTTGTTCCACAAGAAAACCCAGAACCAGGGTGTGGGAACTGAAACGTTTTTGCTTCGAGAAATCTCATCAGAGTTTCTTCAAATCTCAGAGTGCAAGAGAATTGCTGGGCAGAAATCGCCGTTTTGCATGTATTCTTGGATCTGGGACGGATTGACGGGTTCCGGCAATCAAAGCTGCAACCCGGAAGAAACCCGCTGCAAAGTTTCTGTTTTGCATGAGAGCTGGGTGGGAATTGTTGCGGTTTGCTTGGTCCGGAACTATTTGTAAAATATGAGATTCGGAAAACAAAAACAGGATATAAGATAGATAGGTTGAATATTTTACGATAAGAAGGATGCAAGATAACAAGATGCGGTTGGGAATGGAATCCATCACATACTGACCAGCCACGACCCGCAGAAGCGGATATTAGGAAAGGAGATGACCCGCCGTACCACAAAACATGGGCCACCACGTAAAAGCGCCGGAAATTAGGAAATGAATCCGGCGTCGACGTTTTTCTGGAATAACAGGTATAAGTTTTTATTCAGCAGGTTAGCGGAAATTAAAGGTGGAGTTTTCAAGCGCAAAAACGGCGTTTTTTTGCTAGCTTCTCGTCTCTCTTGCCAGTCGGTTTCGAGAAATGATTGTATTGAATATGATAATAAATATGATAGAAATTGAATCGAGGTCACACCGCAAAATAATGTCGTCTCTCTTATGAGCATGAAAGAGAGAGAGAGAGAGAGAGAGATGACGAGTGAAAGATATTTAACTACGGCTGACTCACAGAAACACGAACATCCATCCGTTCGATATTCACGACCAAAATCCGGGCGCCCAACCAAAATTGTAGATTTGCCTTAAACTTTGCGAAAAGAGGCCCTACATAGCTGCGGGGGTTTTTGGCTTATCCCTGAACTCGACCCTTTTTTTGGTGAAGCCTTTGAAAAAATGGTGATTGTTAAGCCGGTCGTACGAGGAGCAGTTTCATTTCACCCCGTAAAAAAATACGCATGGCGTGAAAAATTAATTAGTTTCGTTGCGGTTGAACTCGGTTTTTCCGGGATTCTGGTTTTGGGGACGAAGCCATTTTAGGACGGATCAGATATGTGGTGTATGCTAAATAGCAGGGAATTTTTGGGCTGAAAAGCTTTGTTTTGCGCTTAGTTAGTTGGTGAACTTTAGTGCAACTGGGAAAGTTTCCCGCGGTTGGATTTTAAATCATCGGATTGTGAGATTAGATTTTGTTAGAGATTAGGATCGTTGTGTGGAAACATGTCCAGGTGGGCCCTGTTATTTCTTACGCGTAAGCGTGCGTCACGACACCTTGCCATTTATTTATTTATTTATTTATTTATCATGCGCGTGGAGCGCCGTTGGCAAGCAACGTAAAAGAAACAGTAAAAAGAATCACAGAATGGAGATCAGATTTTCAGATAGAAATCCCTTACCACATGATTTTGCGGGCGACGGCCCTAAATAATGCGACGAGCGAAGCCAGCTTTGCGGCCTCAGCGACGATTTCCGAATGTTTTTGCGGCTGCGCGCGGATTGTAAGCGTTTTTCCCCCCACCGCCCCATAATCGATGCTGACGGTCCATCCTGGTGGATTTTCAGGATTGTAGCAGTGATTTTTCGCAGTGCCTGGCAGCCTTGAGGCTGATCCGGATTATTGGTGGTTAATCTAGGGATATAGTTCAGGGGTCTACGCATTGGGCTCTTGTGAAAAGTCATTATCGGAGTGACCTGGTGGGCAGAAAAGCTTACCGTATCTTCAGGGTTTGGCCGAGTAGAGAGACCAGGTTTGTCGGTAGACCGGGGCCCGACATTGGTATGGTCGATTAAGGTCTAAGTTGCACAGTAAGAAATCAGAAGGGCTTAACACGGACGTTACGGAACGAAATTCTTGGTCCGTGGCGCATGTAGAAACAGAGAGAACGTCAAATTCTTTTTCAAAACAATTTAAACCCCCTGAGTCATCCAATTAAGAACATAGTTACCAAAACAGGATCACCGATCTCAGCCAAAATAAAAAGTGAGACGAGTCGAATGCTGCGGCAACCACCCATCGGGCAAAGCCGGAAATTAACGAAATGAATTCCGAGGCAACGATCCAGCACAGATTAGTAACGCCTACATGCAAGCTGTTGCCCAGTGACATTCCGAGAATTAGTTGAATACCGGAAACCGATCCGGATTTACTGTACGATATGACAATGTAGCAAGGTCTACAGATTCTCAGATATAATTTGTAGCGTTTTACAGGGATAATCGAGTTGGGCTTTGATGCGCGGAATACAGGTTTACATAACTATATATTGTTTTAAAGTTGCCATCTAGAATAAGCTCCGCCTTTTTATAAATAAAAACGAATGGTATGGTGACAACCCTGTATACGTATAATTATAAACCCATAAGTTTGCATAGTTTGCGGGCCAATTGCCAGGGGGATGACGTTTGCATTGTTAGTGGTTGGGTGTCGCCCCGTTGTGTCTGTTTTGAACGGAGACCTCCCGATGCTGTGAGGGGTGCTATTCACAAAGGTTACCGGTGGAATGAATCACTAGCCGATGGTGGTGCCCATCGCCTGAGGCTGGCTGGCTGGCTGGCCCGTCTCACGCGCCAACCGACAAATTGGCACACACCATTTTTGTGCACCCATTAGGACGAGGAGAAGTGCTTTACAAATCTTCTGTTATTTTTTTTCCGTAAAGGCTACTGGATGTCGAAAAAGGCGTCCCCTCTAGCGTTCCAGAGAAAGTTCGGATTGGAACAATTCTCACATCATCCAACAGCTCTGGAAAATGCGAGAAAAGACGCGGTTTTATTCCCAAAAAATTTTTGCAGCTCGTTCAATTTTTAAAGTTTTTCTTAAAAAAGGGGTTTTCCCAAAGGCAGCAATTGGCATGTGGATCGTCCATAAAGCCGGTGATTTCCATGCGTAAAATTCATAAATCGAGACGCTTGATTTCAAACCGAAAAGCGCCTCTTTTCTCGCCTTTTCGAGAGATTTCGTTGGATAACTGAATCGTCAAAATCAAAAACGTCTGGGGCCGCTGGTGGGGGACGCTTCCTGCGAATTAATTTTTCAAGTCTCGTTTTCGTTATCTTTTGAATACCCTACTCTATATGTCTCTAAATAACGGAGCATGACCCATCCGCCGTATCAATTATCGTCTGGAGGCCATGTTAGTGCAAGTGATGCTCCACCTGCCATTGATCGATCCCATCGGCGCTCTACCCCATTGAGCACCAACTCCTCCTCCCACTCCTCTTCCGCCTCCACATTCTCCAAACGGCTGCTCGTCGGAAAGCTTGGGCGGGGGGTGTTTCTCGAGGTGTGCCCGGTGGGCTGTGGCAGCCGTGTGACCTTGAAGCGTTGAAGGAGGAGCACGAGGAGGAGGAGGAGGAGATGAGGGAGAGTGGTGGTGAAAGTGGGCCTGCCAGGCCGGTTGACGGTTGACGATACAGTCCTTCTCCAGCTCCCTCCACCCCCAAAACTCTTTTCACGTTCACTCTCTTTCACTGCTCATCCTCCCAGTCTCTCTATTTCTCTCTTCAGTAGTTCTGTATCTTCTCAGATCTCGTCCTTTCCTGTCCCCCCAGCTCAAGCCACTTTTCCAGAGGCTTTTCCCTTTCCGATCTGCTAGTATGCCCTGCGGGCTTTCGGCAGCCAGACTTGCGTATGCCTTTCGAAAGTTCAGTTCAGGCTTTTTCCTGCGTCACTATTCGATATTCATTATTTTGTGTAATCACGAGTTCAGAACAAGTTCAGTAGAATTGTCGGTCCAGTCCTTTTGCTCCGCAATTCTTATAACGTTTTTAATTTAGCATAATTGGTCGGCTTTACCGTGCTGTTTCGGCTTTCGGCTTCTTTATTTTTGCTTTTACAAGTTAAACCGGGCAAGCTTGATTTCTGCATAGAATTTTATTTAGACTTTATATATCTAATCCAATCGAAGAAGATCCAGGCACGTTGATAATCTCAAAGACTGTTGAATAATAATAGGTAGAAGCTTTCAAGGTGCCCCCGGACACCCGGCTTTCATAATGCCGCCGTTCCCACAACACTTCACGCGGATCCGTTGCTATCTCTCTGTATTGATCATGCATTTGTTGACACCACAAAAATTTGTAATATGTAGAAGTAAATTAAATTTATCTTTGGATTTCGACCTGTTTTGGATATCATTGCGATTGAGGCCTTTTAATCCTAACGCCGGCCTTTCCATCTTTCAGCTTCAGCAGCAGTTCTAAGAGCTGAGTCTATTCTCACCTAGTGAGAAAAACAACTGAGTTAGTCTAGCGTTGCTGAACTTGGTCGACGGAAAGATTAGAATCTGCCGTGCCATCACGCCTTTCGCGCAGTTAGTCCCATTTGCCACCCCCCGTCGGCCTAGACAATTTCTTTTCCATTTTTTGCCGTGATTCTTGGTTTACCACAATCTAAAGCAAAATTTTATTCACGGCTGATGATGCGGCTCATATTATTTTTTTCATTTCGCCTTCATTTCGGACATTCTCTCTTCTTTCTTCATGAATACACGATAGCCTATACCATTTCTATATCAGCTTCTGTCGTTATACTTAATTTACCATATCTTAACACCAAATTTTAGACTTTTTTTGAAAGATAAGCGACGCCTGCAAATTTTTAAAATCTGGCGCACCGACGTGGCTATTCGATGAGCACGGCGACGATCAGCTATCACGATTTACCACCGACCAATTCGAAATGGCCGCCACCAGGTTGGTGACATTGCCTGGAGCCATTTGCTTGCCAAGTCTAGCCAGCCTATGACGTCATCGATCCAAAATCCGTGACTCACACCACCATTCTAGTCCATTCAAAAGCCTTTTATAGGCTTCTTCCCCTCCCCCATCAGGTTTATGTGGGTATACGGTACCAGTTATATCTTTCTGCTTACAGTGAAAAAGAGAGGGAAACATTCTCGAGGGGGGAAAGCACATGAGGGTAGAGGCTATAGCTCCCCACGGCACCGGAGAACCGGTCTGCCGTCCCTGTAGGGCTGAGGGGGTGAGGAAAAACATCTCTCACGTCTCACGGAAACGTACCTATTAAAAATAGAGTTTGAATGGAGCAGGGGAAATATTGATTTATGCATTGTTTTTTTAGATTCGGAGCTGGAGGAGGTGAAGTGGAGTAATGCGAGCCAACCGGGAAAGATTGGGGTGAGCAAAATCCAGGCATGGAAATCCCGGCCGGCCGGCCCGCGCGGCTCGGCCGCATGCTAATTTTTCCGGCCGAAAAAAGCCGGCGGCCTGGCGGTTTGCCATGTCTGGTATCTTATGCGCCGTAGGGTAGAAAATTGTTTTTTTTCGGTGCGCGTGAATTTGCACGCAGCTTTCGGTAATAACCCGGTGATATCGGGTTGGAGGTAGGCCGTTACGGCATGGATGATTTGTAAATAGGCGCGTAATGGACACGAGATGCGTATGAACACACCAAATTGCTCAAAAAGGGTTATTTTCTATATTAAATTTGAGTTTTGTAAAAACATAGGGCTCCCCACTTAGTTAGGAACGTGGTTTTACCTGTATAAAAGATCAGGTAGTGCGCTTTTCCTATTTTCTCATTCGTGTTTTGGAAAAACTCTCAAAAATGCAGGCATTCATTAAATTTACTTTTGAAAGCGTGTTCTTTGAATCGACATCCCCCATAACCACCAAACCACAAAAAGTCATGTTCCCATGCAGACAAGATGTGCTTTGCGGGTTTGGTAGATGATGGGGGTGTCCCATTCCTTCTTCCCACCGATCGTCCTTCCCTTCACCCATCCCGAAATTGCAAGTTCGGCCGGCAGACCCCCGGCAGGCCTGCGCGGACTTGGGCTGCAATTTATGGCCCGGCATCGAAATGTCTTTCTTGGCTGAGATATTGCCGGAATCCGTTTTTTTTACCTACATTAATCTTAGAGTTGAAAACTTGGCTCGGGGGTAGATCGTGATTATAGATAACTCAGTGAGATTAATCAAGACAAGCGTGAGCAGCTTCACAAACGCCCTGAAAGTATAATATCAAGTATATTAAACAGCTTCAGATGGAAAAAACCTCTCGACGAAGCCGAAATGCGCGGGCGACATCAAGCGGCAACGGTGAAGAGCTATGTCTAGTTTGTGGAGACAAAGCCAGTGGATATCATTATAATGCGCTTACCTGTGAGGGTTGCAAAGGTAATCTCATTCTTCTCTCGATAGTTATCCTATTTTTAGGATTTTTCCGAAGATCAATCACCCGGAAAGCTACCTATTTCTGTAAACATTCTCAAAGTTGTGATATTGATATGTAAGCGTTTTCGCATTAGATGTAAATTTCTATTTTTAGGTATATGAGAAGGAAATGTCAACACTGTCGTTTGAAAAAATGTGTTCAAATTGGAATGAGACCTGAATGTATGGGCCTCACTAGTAAAATTTGATCATAATTATTTCAGTGGTAATTCCGGAAGAACAGTGCAGATTGAAAAGGGAGGCAAAGGAGCGGGCAAAATTCCGGGAGGATGGTGTGCATGTTATAAATAAGAGGGCCGGAAATGGAAGGGATGAACGGCGAGCAACGCATCAAAGTATGCCACCACCGATAAAGGTACGGTCTTTATAGCATTTGTTATATATTAACGACTCGTTTTTAGCTACTAACTGAAGCGGAAGTACTCGATGGCGCTCGTTTGTTGCCTGGTTCCCCCTCCCAAGTCAATGCCTTGAGCGCTGAAACCAATGAACTCATCCAACGAACAGTATCCCTTTCGAAAACCTTCCAAAGGCCAACGTCAAGGGCTACACAACAGCTGACGGTAGTTTTCATACTTTCGGCAATTGCCGATTACCGAATTAGATCCTATCCAACCATCATATCAGCCCGAATTCTTTCACACATCTGGCAGAGCTTACTGTCTTGGAAGCCCAGCTTACCCACGAATTCGTGCGGCAATTACCTGGGTTTACTAGGTTTGTGGAGGTACGTTTTTAACCTCCCTCCTCAAACTAGGCATCCAAAATTACAGGAAGACCGGAAGCTGCTTCAAAAAGCTAGCAAGGTATCATTGATGAAGCTGCGGGCCGCGCGAACTTATGATGGAACGGATGGGACGGTGTGTCTTGGGAGTGATGCTCATCATTGGAGGTAAGTAACGCCGTAAAACAAGTACCATCACTGAGTTTCAGATTCAATCAATCTTCCTTTATCCACGGACTATGCGCCCCACTCGGTGATGCCATTTTCATGACGGCCTACAGACTCACCGATATGAATCTAGACGATCCGGAATTTGCCCTAGTCCAAGCCATTAGCGCGTTTGCTGGTAAGGGGGTATTAAGCTCTTCTTATATACGAATTTTAGCTACCGAGGGTCTAGTCGATCCAAATTTGGTAGATGAGGTCCGCGAAGTTTATCAGTCCGCGCTGGTAGCTTATAGGTAAGCCCTTAATTTTTAAAGAATGTAACAGTTTTCAGAAAAATTCATCGGAGCAGCACGAACACGTCCGATGTGATGCATTTGTTGGAATTCGTTCGCTCTTCTAACGAGGTAAAGAAGACAATTTGGAATCAATTAACATGAGTTTTTAGGAAGTCCCACAATCGATGCTGCCACGATCCCGGCCTATTGACCATTCGGCGTTTTCGTTTTCAATGCTACACAATGTTCCTTTTTACAGTCCCCTTCATTAAAATCAATTCCTGAAAAAATGATTTTTATGTAAAAATTGGAAGCAAAGTAGCGTATTTGAAAGTACCACAAGATTTTAGAAAAGCCGAAATTTAAACTTATTGCTATTTAAGAGCTTCTAGCGACCATATCGCGACCTCGTACCCGTCCTTTCATAATATTATTATCCTCTTATCTCAACCTACTTTGATAGTTACGGTCGTAGTCGATACGTTTAATAAGATATCCGAATAGTGATTATTCTATTACGTGTAGAAAAAAACTTTCAGCATCCCCGTTTTCTTCCATTTACCTACCCGGTTCACTTATATATCCCAAATGCTTTATTTCGCAGTCACACGGACTTAGTGGATAGATTGTGAAATTAATAAAGTATTGTATGATTTAATAAACGATACATTTGCAACGATAAATGCACTGAAAATTCACTGGAAAATTTTTACACAGGTGTTTGGATTATAATCTAAACCGGAGAAACTTCAGGTAGATAAAAACGAACAAACGACGCCATTGCATTTAGAAACAAAATACATCGATAAATGCACAAAAATTCAAAATGGAAACTTTTCGCGGGCTTTCGATTATAATTTTAAGTCGAAAGGATTAACGTGGTACTTATGAATTAGGGTTCCTGTTTCACACTACTCAGATAAAAATCAAACCCAGGAGTCAACCCTCCACAATCAGATGTTGTAGAAGCATTGTGACGCAATACGCTCAGCGCAATACAGTACCCGGCCACCTGATGCTAATTGGGATGAGATGATCAGGGAGAGAATAGGGACGGGGTGGGTGGAGGTGCTATAATTATCCCAACGCCATATCCTCCGGGCCCATCCTACTGACAGACGGTATGGTAGCTGGGGCTATCAAATTTCGAAGCGTGGTAAGTTCATTAAAAAAAATGGAATATGTATTATTGGGGCGATTTAAAGCTAGCTGCGTTAGATTTTTGGGTAGCTTGTGAAGCATTTAAAGCCATGCGTGATTACTGGGCTTGGAAACAGATCGACATGATTTACATACTCGATTGAACGCAAAGGCAGTGGTAAAAAGAAAAATTACCGTAATCCTATCTGAACTGAAATTTTAATTAGTTGGCGTGGAAAACACTAAAACGCTCAACAGGTTAGTCTGAACCCCTAATTTCGAATTTATACCAGGGTTCAAAAATTTTTAAACTTGTGTTGGTGTCTGGTACTACTTAAACAGACCAGGTGTCTATTAATCTTCCTGGAAAAAAATAGGAAAGGGTAGGCCCTTTCTCCCTTTTTGATGTCCCTCCGCGCCACGCTAATTTACCTAAAAAGAAAGCTGATATTTAGGCAGCGAAGTTAGAAATACAAGTTGTTCAAAACCTCGAAAAGTCGGCAATGATCTGAAGCTTATTGAGTAGATCCCATTCAGATAATCGTCAACATTCACTCCTACCTTAAAATGGGTTTCTAAGACTCTGGTTGCTGAATGTTCGCAAGGGAGATCTTTATTCCAGCGCTAACGCAAAAATATGTTTGCCTAAAAAATATGCCTAAGCCTAAGCCTAAACTCCTAAGCCTAAGCCTAAGCCTAAGCCTAAGCCTAAGCCTAAGCCTAAGCCTAAGCCTAAGCCTAAGCCTAAGCCTAAGCTTAAGTCTAAGTCTAAGCCTAAGCCTAAGCCTAAGCCTAAGCCTAAGCCTAAGCCTAAGCCTAAGCCTAAGCCTAAGCCTAAGCCTAAGCCTAAGCCTAAGCCTAAGCCTAAGCCTAAGCCTAAGCCTAAGCCTAAGCCTAAGCCTAAGCCTAAGCCCTAAGCCTAAGTAAAGTCCCTACCCCGAAAGCCACTACTCCGAAAAGTCACTACCCCGAAATAATTTGCATGATTTTCATAGGAAATCCGCATGAAAACTTGATTTTTCCCGGGAAAAACAATGCTATCATTTTTCGGGGTAAACGATTTCGGGATAGTGACTTTTCGGGGTGGTGACTTTCGGGGTAGTGACTTTTCGCGGTAGTGACCGGACGCCTAGTTTTGATTGGAGCTGAATAATACCTTTCGACTAACTACATCTAAAAAACCATTGTGTGGATCGATTCGGTAGCAAACTCCAAAGAGAGCCTCAACTTATTCCGTACAACACAAACCCCGACTGGTGAAATAGACCTTCAGACAAGAATTTAAAGAGAGCAAAGAGCATCCCTATTCTTCTTATCCCCATCTTTCCTCCGTTGAAATCTCTTGTTTTGGACAACGGGTGGGAAGGAGGCAACGGGAGGGAAGGGCCGTAATTGGCCAATAGTCCCGTTCCATGGCCATCCCCCGCCCCTTCCCTATTCCCCGCCCTCTTCTACCGTATCTCAGCCTCACTCGCTCTACCTCAAACATAGAGACTTTCGTGGGTAGTCATCCATTCCATTAGGGGGTTATTGTAGGGCCTTAGTCTTTTAGTTTAGTAAAAAATTAGGGATATTATGCTAAGTTTTAGATGGCTGTCGATGAATCAACGCTAAACCAGCAGGCGCAAATGCAGAGTGGTAATCGGATGCCGTTTGGAATACACGAAATTTTGGGATTATCAGGTGAATCTTTGATTACTTTATTACTTGATGTCTCTAGATTCTGGCGTGATAATTCTCATAAAATTCCACTTTCAGTTCCCGGAATGTCGCCGAACAGCTATTTAAACCCAGGAGCCTATTGTCCTCAAGGATTCTTTCAACAACCAAATTTTCCTATGGACCTTCAGTGCCATCAGTTTTCTGAGGCAATGGCTCCAAGTACGCAAGGTAGTTATTAGTTTCTATCGCATCATTAGTTCCATTTCAGAAAACCTTGCAGCTGGAAATCGAATGGATTATTTGCTACATAGCACTCAAAACATGTCAGGGGAATCAGCTACTAGCTCAGGTTAGTAACTCTCCAAATTTTGATGTTATTAATTATCTACATTTAAATTTGAAGCATCATGATCATTGTTAAATCACCAGTTTCCAGGTGAAGGCGGCGGAAAACCGATGAAGCGGAAGAAGCGACGCCATAGGACTATATTTACCCAGTATCAAATTGACGAACTCGAGAAGGCGTTTCAGGTGGAGAGAACAATCGTATTAAGATAATTTGATGTTTAGGACGCTCATTATCCCGATGTATATGCTAGAGAAGTTCTGGCGACTAAGACTGAACTGCCAGAGGATCGGATTCAGGTTAGTACAGAAGCGAAAACTCAAGTTCTGTTTGTACGCTATCACACTAATTTTATTTTTTGTAGGGATGTGTAGGGATATCTAGGGTACAGGCTTTTTTTTAAGGGCATTAAGTATTCATCGTAGAAACGAAATAAAGTAACTTCCCAGGCCGCGACCCTTCAAGAATTTCAATTTTCCTTCAAGAATTGGCCGACTAGAGAAAAGCTGTGAAGCCGGAAATTTGGTTTAGACGATTTCACGGAGCCCGGGAACGGCCGCTCTAGCTTTTAGCATCGAACTGAGGCTACCTAGAAGCTGTGAAAGTGAATCAACTTTTTTTAGAAAAAGCCATAAAATGCTTTTTAGCATAAGATACGTGAAGCCATCTAGACTTCAGCTCAAAACAAAATTTTTTGATCTTTTCAAATCCCCCGCCTTTTCCTAGATTCAATCCGATCCAAAAAAACTACGAAATTCATATATAAAGTAGAGTACCCCCTGTCAGCCTTAGGTGGCTCCCATTGAGCCCCTAGAAGACGTTAGAAGCGGCTGAAAGTTGGTGATGGTGGTGGTGGAGCCCCGGGTTCCCAAGGGGGATGGGTGGCCCCTTAATTGGTCGTTGTCGCAGATGGACGGCCTTCCTCACGTTTTGGGGGACCTATGGAGGGTAGAAGAAGGCGCGCTGTGGCCCGTGGGCCCTTTGCGTAGATTGGCCCAATTGGGGCAATGCCTTTCCTAGGATGGGGGCCACAACGACACACCCCGCATACCACTACCTAGCACTTACAAACAATATTTCGAGTGACGAGGCTGTAAAGAGGGTAGTAGGGAAATAAGGGTCAAATGGATAAAAATCGTCTACTCTTCCTAGAGTTATTTTGAGCAAGGATTCCGGAGAGCCGCGCGAGAGATGTTGCTATTGTAATAAATACTCAGCTGCTCATTTTTGCAAGGTGGTTATACCAAATTTTTCGAAAATTAAATTAAGTTAAACACAGCTAAGGGAGGCGCCCGATGCAAGGATACAAAACTATGTTTTCCAATTTCTAAAACTTTCTACCTTCTTGTAATCATAAAATAACGATTACTAATCAGAATTAAGCGTTGCCGGATCTGATAGAAAATTATCCCGATCTGTTTAAGCAATCTATTTGAAATCCATTTTTTCAGGTCTGGTTCCAAAACCGTCGTGCCAAGTGGAGAAAAACGGAGAAGACGTGGGGCAAGAGCACGATTATGGCTGAATACGGGTTATATGGCGCTATGGTATTGGACATTCTACAGAAAAGTAATAGGAAAATTAGGTGCGTCATTCTCTGCCCCTCCCGGATACTATCACGAAAGCCGCCGATCCCGCCGATCCGAATCAATCACCAGCACCTTGGTTGTTAGGTAGGTTTTTAATGATTAAGTCCTTTGCATCAAAAAAACTAGGAATTTTAAAATTTAAAAATAAGCTATAAAAACTGACGAGATTCAAGTTAACGCTGATTCGTTACGCCCTTCAAATAATCGGTTTTGAAATCGTTTTAAAAATTATTTTGTTTACTGGCTTATTAAAATAGCTTGCTCCACTATAGAAAAATTTGAATTACGTTAGGAAATGTGCCTTTTTAAGCGCTACAAGCCCTACTAGCTGACTTGGTTACAAACGCAATCGTCCCTCTTCAATTCTCGAATACCAATACAACTGTCAATTGCCATTCCTTATTGTTAGCGCCTTACTAATCTCATAATCGTTCTCCTCCCCCCCCCCCCCCATTGAATAGCCCAATTGCGGTAATGAGCCGCGGAAGGTGGTGGGCCATTTTTCGTGGGCCTCAAGGCCAATTGGTGGGGTTGGCCCATTTAATCGGCCGTAGCTAGCCGTGCCTCCGAGGGGGGCTACAAATTGATACAATTGACACCCGACACATCCGGTGCTAGGGGGGGGGGGTCTTGTTTGGGCATTTGAGGGCCGTGGGGTTGGCTTTGTTGTGAAGAGGGGGGACTCTAGAGGGAGGCAGAAACATTAGCCACTGATTCATCTACTAATGGAATGCTAGGGAGATGCCTTATAGACAGCATTTGGCTCGGCACATACGGTCACTTAATATGGGTAGTGAATGCAAATGGGTCCGGTTTGGGGAAAACTAGAGTTTTTAAACTCTAAAGCTGTCTAGTTTGTAACTAATTTTCGATCAGCGATTGTCCCTACACCATTAGAAAGCTTTAGAAAAGGTCAGGCAAGCTAGTTTCGTTTTATTAAATTATTTAGCGTTTTCCTAAAAAATGCGCGTTTTTTCAACGTGAAAATAGCAAGTAACATAGGAACTTGCATGAATACGCTTATTTCTCAGTTGTGAAAAAATTTATAATACTTTAACTAGATAACGGCGAGTATTTCTCGCAGTTTAAAGGACTTTTGGTAGATACCTAAATCCTAAAGAACGGACACTTCTACGGAACTCTGGAGACAGAATATTTAACGATAAAATACATCTTCAAAATATCGTTAATTGATTTTAGGCATGCACAAAAAGTCAATGGAAGCAGCCGCCCATCTTGATGCTGTCGAAAAAGTCTGCGAAGCCTCCGATTCCGAATCCGACGAAGGAACGATGCCTCATATTATCCCCAAACTCGAGCATGCGGTAGGCCCCTTGATCCAATATATCATTTGCTTTTTCAGAGAGAAGGCCAGCTGGAAATGAACCGCATGAACGCCTCACTTTTCAACGCCACCCAACACAACCTTGAACACTACCAAGCCATGGTCGCCTCGCAAATGGGTTTGTTTTTGCAGGTTGCAATTAAAATTAAATTAAATTAATTAGAATTATCTAAACATGTCAGCGTGAGACTAATAATTTTTCTCTTTTAGGTATCGATCCAAACTTCTCGACTAACTTCACGCTGCCTACAAACCCGAAGCTCTATCATTAATGATCAAATTCAGTGTAAAAATTTTTGTGTGAATAAATGTATTGGTACAGTCATTTGAATTAGTACAACGCCACTGCAAAAAAACCTCATCCAAAAAATTGAGAACTTCACGTCAAATTTCTTTTTTGCTTGATTCTCGGGTGCTTGGACATTTTTGACACCTAGTAGATACAGATACATGAATCCCATTCAAAAGGCTTTTAAACTGTAATAAAGCAGCACTTCCTGGTACGTTCAACGACCTGCTACAGCTACAGTATCTCCGAAGAAAAGAAGAAGGCACAACCCCCCCCCCCCCAGCCCCCGTCCGATCGGCCTTCTCTTGGAGAGATAGAAAGGCTGGCGATAACTGGGCCAATTAGATGCGACAACCGGCCACTCGACAACCACCTCCTCAACCACCACCACCTATTCCGACCTCATCCCCTTCCTTCTCTTCCCTCTTTTCCAGACAACCCCCCCGCCATAGCCACCCACAGCGCTTAAGGGTCTGGCAGGCAATAGCCGCTTTTGGTTTGCCGACAATTAACCGCTTCCGCCTTTTTGAGTGTGGTAAGCATGAGATGATGGCATAATCTAAGAAAAAAGGATCTGATTTTTTTATTTATCATCAGAACTAAAAATGTTTTGCGGTCTTCCTCATTTCGACTCTGACATAGGACAATAATTCATTTGCATGGCTGATTTGCATGCAAAGAAGTTTCTCTATGCTTTGCCGAAGGAGTGGGAACTGCTGAATTTTCTAGGAAGGAGATCCACTTTCCAAGAAAAGCTGAATTTTATTATCGAAAATAACGTGTCAATTCGATACAAAATTAAACAAAAAGTACAACTATGAAAGTACAAAATTTGATACGCTTAAAATCGCCTCCTGTCACTTACTGCTTCTGCATATTTGCATATTTGAAATCTGCATATTTCACACCTACTGACAAATCCATCTTACCTTAAAAATAGTTCTTAATTCGGCTGTACCGTAACCCCTACATCTTTTTATCTAGCCATCTTATGCCATTATCACTATGCCAAATTTTTAAAAATACCCAAACTGGAAAAAACCCTTTAATTTGAACCACGGTTTGAAATTCAGGTTACTAAAACTAACTGAGATACAATTCGCTGAAAACAACGTAGATTTTTACCTAATTTGTCGTTGCCGTCTGTCAACTGGCCTAAACAGCACTATGCATAATTACCGCACCTCCTCAATTATACTTCCCCCGTCTCGCGCCCAGCAAGTTGCGCCACAATGGGAACACCAAATTGGATTAGCAACCTAGCAACACGTAAGCTATGATGTGCCCAAAAAACCTAAAAAAATACAAAAACCATTTATTAATAATCCCAACGCACGCAAATGCACAACCATATGTTTATATGAATTATTGAGAGTGGCAATTCCCAGAATTGTCCACCAGGCACGATAAAAAATCGGAATGATTACGAAAGGTATGACTAGTTTTCTGAAATTGGAGCGCCCTAGATGGCTGGAGCACCTGTGAAGACATCGATCAATATCTAGATGGTATGCTAATTTGAGAATCAGATGGAGAGTTGAGGGGATGTGAGGTGTAGAAAGAGAAAATCTATTCAGCCTTGTTCCGCAGGGTGATGTAGGGAAGTGACCAGATTGGGCCGTGTTTGGCAGGGAAGTATTTCACCGCAGCAGTGAATCTAAATAAATATTTAATATTGAAGTGATTCGCAATATAATGCTTAAATGGGTTTAATTATCGTTTCAATGGAACCAGGATAGCACAGTTTTGGTGTTCTTAAGCCTTTAAAGTAGCCCATCCGGTCAAAAGATTCCCCAGCACTTCTTTTAATAGAAATTAAATTCCAAAGATTACTTATGCTCGTTGCTCCTCTTCGAAATATCAATGTAATTAAACATAATAAAGACATTGTAGGCAGCGACCGAAGAAAGGAGATGGAAGATGGCGTGGAGGTAGGGGAAGCCTAGAAATTCCGACTTATTCTTGTTTCCAGCAAATTTTGCTGAAGCTAGAAAAACGGTAACATCTGTACGGTCAAATCAAAAACGTACTGATCCACAACCACACGTCGCACATCAAACGATCAGAAAACCAGAAAGTGATTGCCGCGCCCCAAAGGACGAAGACGCGCCTCGGGAAATTGGCGATTTCTGGCAAACCGGCGCTGGAAATTATGGGTTAGGAAATGCTGGTATATTGCTGATAGCTTATCCGGCCTCTGAAAAAGCCCCCTTTGGACGAGCCAGCCCTGCCCCTACTACAATTCTCTTCTTGAGGGTTGTAAAAAAAATGAAAACAGAAATCACTGACTTCTTTCCCTCATAGTTGATCACCAATGTGCCGGGAATCGTGTACGTCATTAATGCGAGAGCATTCAGATTTGGCTCAAAGAAACACATGCCGGAGATGATGGTGGCAAAGATGACGACCATCCATCGAAAAACTGGCCTAAAATCGATGTTTCAAGAGCTACTCGGTAAAGCGTACATCTTTGAGTTGAACTTTTCTGGATACCACTTCATTACGGGGACATAGACGACCAGGAATACATTAATAATCCAGAGAATGGCAAGCTCGTCAACTAGTTGACCTTAAAAATTCAAATTAATTAACGTTTAGAATAGCTTTTTAAAAGCAATGCTGTCAAGTTACTTACCAAAAAGGTTAAGTGTCGCATGGTAATAAGTGGAAGCAAGACCGTTGAGGACGAGAAGCACATTGGGCCAGATAACGCCAAAATTTACCTAATTATTTTTTGATTTTATTGTCTACTTGGAACCAACTTTGCGAATATAGGCCCTCATCATCATTGCATTGATCAACGGTAAAATAATGATTGGAAGGTTGGTGACCTGAATTTCGGATTTATATAATTTAAATTAATATTTTATGATTTATATGAGAAAATCAACCTACCGTATTGGCAAATTCCGCGACCAAGTAGTGGATCTGGTATTTGTAGGCACTCTCACACCAAGCATGGCCACTCTCGTATTCTAGCCATCCCTTTCCGGTAGACATTTTCACCCTGCAAATCGGTTAAGGGTCATTTTAAATAGTAAAAAACGAGTAATAGAAAACAAAATTGATGAAATTCTGGCATACTTCGGTCAAACTGATGGCGCCTGGATTAGTGAGGGGTAACCTCTTTATTTTATAACGGGGCTTCAACCGGATTAGGACACGACAAAGGCAATTGATCGGTACGCTAATGGGATTTCGTATCGAAGTTAAATATCGAAAATGGTTAGCAAAGATAGAGTAGTGTTGATATAGTTAGCCCTAGAGATCTCATTAAATAATCATTAATTATAAACAATTCAATTAAAATTCGGTATACTTTTCGCCAGGATGCCACCACTGCTTTAAAATAGAAACTTCTGGAAAAGAACTTATACTGGGTGTCCCAAAAAAAAAGCACCCCCCCTCTAGCGGTCCGTGGGAAGCTCAGATCAGGATGATTTTTATACCATTCGAACGCCCGCGAAAAGGCGAGAAAACAAGCAGGCTTCATTTTCTAAGATTTATTCTGATTCGTCCGATATTCAGCGTTTTTCTAAAAAAACAGGTATCTTTTCAATAGGAATTTCGCGATTAGCATGCAGATCTCGCGTAAATCTGCCGTTTTCATGGTTTTTGGACGTAAAATTTGCTAATAAAAATAGATACTAAAGAAAATGAACCCTCCTTGTTTTCTCGCCTTTTCAAGAGCTTTCGAAAGATACCTAAACGATAAAAATCGGACACGACTGCGCGCCGCTAGAGGGGGGTGCTTTTTTTTTGGGACACCCTGTAGTGGCATGCAAGCGCGAAAAATCCACTGGTCAAATAGGCAAGGGCACTATTTGCTTGGACACACTTCTTCCACACTCCCCCCGAGACCAACCACAAAATACATTCAACGACATGGGCCGACGGCCACCTTCTGGAGCCAAACAGAAAAGAGCACAAATTCTTGATTGCTCTTACCGCAGAAATCAGAACAAGCCCCGGGCTTACAGCCTAAAATCAACAAAGCCTCTCAAGTGGGGTTTCGTCTAGGTGGTTAAAAGATCTCGAACAAGAATTTAGGATCGAAATCTATTTTTAGTAGGCTTTGCTTGATCTAAAACCAAAAATCATCGCGCGAAGGACTGTAGAACTACCCAAAAAGCGGGGCCAACCGAGGCGCTAGGCAAATATTTGCGAAAGGCAACTGTTTGAGGCCAAACTTGGTGGAAATCGGGAATTTTCGGAGTTTCTGGTCGGGGCCTATTAAAATGGAATCGGGTATAGGCTTCGACTAATTTTCGGGAGGGGGATTTTGGAGAGGCGCAGGTAATAATCGGACGCCGTATACAGTTGGTTTCATACGGTGTTCATTGAAGTCTGTACCTTTTGAATTAAGAGCTTAAATCATGGATTTTATTAATACAAAGTAGGTGTAGAGACAATAATGCATAAAGCGCACAAAAATGTTGAAAAATTATTGATGCGAAATGCAGGCAATACTTCCAAATCGATAAAAACACCATAGAACTTGCCAAAGCCATATCATTTTGCTAAAAATTATGCAATATTCAACGAAATTTCAATTGAAATCAGCACGAAATGGAGACGAATGAAATGAAGCCCGCCCCCCCCCCAAAAAAAATGTGCATTACACTGTACAATGTTATGTCTAGGATAAATCTGGTAAGCCAGACTATCCCTCCCAGACACCTCAACCTCCCCTCACTCCCCATTCCTCCACACCCATTCCTCAACCCCTCAAATCCCGCGGCACATTTTCACTTTTGCAGACCACTCGCAACCGCTTACTCATACCCTCCCAACCGTCATTACGGGCTCGAGTGATAAAAACGATTCCTGTGGCTCTCGATTCGACCCCTATTTCTTTCCGTTTGCCATTGAAACTTGGCAATAGAAAAAGGGGGAAAGTGACGAAATGGGGGACAGATCATACAATCGTTCACTAGGGGATGACACCGCGGTTTAGGGTTTGATTGAGGGTGAATTGTCTTCTTCTCGGGTTTAAGGGTTTGTCAAAGAAGTTCTGAAACACGGAAAAAAGGATAATTACGGTAAATCAATTTAAGATACTTTAGTAATTTGAAGCAGATTAAATTAGTGTTAATCAAATTTCAGCTGAAGCTGCGAATTAAGAAAAACGGTATTAGCTGCATAGAAAAAGGAGGTTCTTTTTGCATTAAAGACATGGGACCGCGCATCACGATTGTACAGAAAGCCAAGAATGAGCTCTAGCTCCTTTTAATTTCCACCCCTTGCGACCGTTCTTTGTCACATCAAGGAACCTGATGAGCAGAATGACTCATCGTCAAAGTCCCGTGCACTAGGTCCGTGACGCCAAATTCAACCCCAGAAATAACGCCGGATTATTGATTAAAATAAACATAGAACCCTGGCAAACCATGACAATGCCGTGATGTGGGATCACGAATGGTTGCGTGTGGCTTCGAGTGGTTGGTGGGCGTTGACAAGGCTCGCATCATGCCACATGTATCTGGGGTGGGAAGGGAAGGTGTACACCGGAAAGTGATCGTCCTCCCGAGGACATCATACCCTTTCTCTTTTCTGTATACTCTGCCTGAGAGGCAGCTTTCCTCATTCCAGCAATTGTCATCGTGGTTCTTGGAATGCAAATGTTGGGAGTTACAGGGAAATAGTATGCACATTCTCGAAAAAGGCAAACATAGCGCGGTAAATGGACCGTTTGAGAATCTCTGAAAACGTGATCAAAAAGTTATATTGCTTAAAATCCCGAGGTTATCCCCTGATCGTATTTTTTACTATTTTAAAAATGCCATTCAAAAGCACAAACAACACCAATACTAAAACCGCCATGGCCACAATGGCAAGTCTTTTATTCAAAGAAATTTTGACCCACATCGGTTGCCTAATCCTATTTAAAATTCTCTTTCGGATACCTTAGCGAGCAAGCGTTAACTTTTATTTTTCGATTTTAACATTAACCGACAGCAAATATCCCAAAAAACGAGTTCAAAATTGAAAATTCTCGCTTTCCTAGGCAACACTTTTATCTCCATCACCGCCTCCCCTCTGCCCGTCAAAGTAATTTGCACATTTCGCAGAGTACGAGGCTTCCCGGCAGCCGCCTCTCCTTGCACCCTGACACAAAAATCATGAGAGCCTGATGTCGAAGACAGTCCCGAGGGCATGCCACTCGACCAGCCCCCCCCCCTCTTTTTCCCGTTCAGTAAACAAAAAAGACACTGCCCAAGTTACAAGTTGTGAATGTGCGAGCCCTACAAAAAGCATCCCCAATTTTGTGGTCTCTATTTTTTAGCAAAAGACGGAGTAACGAGTAGCCCTCCACCCCCTCAGGCGGACTCGGGCAGTCTCGACCAAGAAAAATTGAGAGATGGCCGAACTTCTTTGGGGGGGGAGAAATTGAACAACACAAAGAAACAGCGCGTGTGCACGCTTGCGGGATTGATCTATGGAGCGAGGGGAGAAGCTGAAACAGTGTGGAACAATTCTAAACAAGTAATGGTAGAAGGGTGATTTCGGGGTAAAAATTGGTCCAGAAAACTAAAGCCGGAAAGTAACCCACTTTGAGGTTGGGAACACTGACTTGAGGCCTAAACAGCATGATACAGTTAAATTTATTGCCAATTTTCCGGCAGGCCGGGTGGCACCAATAACGGCTGGACGTGGTGGTCGCGGCGCGTTGCTAGGGTTTGGGCACCATGGCCCTGTTATTGTCCTGGGTTTAGGGAGGATAAACATGCGAAAATAGGCTTTTCGTTGAAAACACGGCCAGATATCTCCAGCCAGGATCTTCGGGGTATCGGGGCCAAAAATTGCGAAACAACTCTGAATCATAGAGGGCGGAAATTTGACGTATTAGCCCTAGTAGAAGCCCAGGGTTTTATTATTTATTAGAGGTTTGGCTTATATTTTTTGCTCAACCTTAATGTTGAAATGCAAGGTTAAAATTGTTCGATTTTGACGAATTAGGATGTCTTAAGACTCCGAATTGCCTTAATCTGCTCGTCTTCTTAAGGCAAGGCATATACAGAAATAGTCTCTACATTTAAGTTCTAAATACAATTTATATCCATACGTATAGTTAGATTTTAGCATGGGATTTGCTGATATTAGAAGACCGATTATTTTTGGGGAGGGCTAAAATCAAGGCGTTATAATGGGGCAAGTATCTTATACCAATTTTTGCTAGAGTATAGCCGGGCATTCAACCTAGATCAACGGCGCCTGAAAAAGATAAATAGATAAAAGGAGTGAGAGAGCAAAACACAACGGCCAACAAACCCCCATTTCACAACCAAACCATCCCACAGAAAGCTCAATAAAAAGAGCAACACTAAATTCAAAGCATCACCACCTGCAATTACAAAGAAAGCCCAACTTTTCGTAGCGCTAAGAGGGCAAATGAAAATGGTGGCGGTGGGTTCTCGTTCATCTCTGTGTGTGTGTCTGTGTATGCTTGCGCACGCGACAGTGGTCGGCTTTTGTCAGGCTTCTCCTGTGAGTGACCGCCGCCCGGTGGCAGCAGCTGGGAAGTGAAAAGAACGACGGAGGAGGAGAAGAAGAAGAAGAAACACGGCCCGGCAGCCCTGAAGGCAATTTTTCGAGTCTCGTCTGTGCACAACTGGTTGTAGCTTGCATCCATCCACCCACCCATCCTCCCTACCTCGCCCTTGCCCCATTTGAGTGCACGTTTTGCATTTGCATAGGGCTCCTCAGGGGGGAGATATCCGTGGTAAGGGAAGTGCGCGGGATTTGTACAGATGGGCAGTCAACACTTGAGTGCATTGCTTATCTTTAAAATTGAGTAAATCGCATCTAAGGGTCTTTAGAGACATGATGCAGACATTTTCAGCGAAAAATCTACCGTATTCCCGAGCATTGAATTTTTTAACACCGGATGATTGGAGCTCCAGCCTATAATTGAGGACCTAGATTTCCGACCAAAATACCGAAAACACGAGGCAAATTGATTGATTTTGACTAAGTCTATCCATTTTGATACCGTAAATACTTGAAATACCTAAAATCTGCCTCAACAATCTTTGCGGGAATAGGTTTTTTCAACTACCGGTACTCTAATTATGCTACTTACAATCCACTCGAAATTTTAAAGACACTTGGGAGACTCAAATAACACAAGACTCCAAAACTCCTTTCTTTTATCCTCCTCTCTCCTCCCGAACACTGCCTCAGTTATTAATCCCAATGAACTCACCCGGCTAATGCCCCTTCAAGCCTTTTTATTTGTTTTTTTTGTGGATGTGGAGAGGATCGAGACGGCGAGAGACAGACAGAGAAAGAGAGCGAAGAAGCATGGGCCCCCGGCTCAAGAGGCCTTTACAACGCAGGGTGCCCAGCCCCGGCCCCTCCGCCTTTGAACCGCCAAAAAGTGAATACTCTCCTCATCAATTTCAATCAATATTTGGCAGAATTATGGCTGATGAAGATGCGACTATATCGGGGCTTGAGGCCTGTATGAGTCATGTCGATTTTGCGGACCAGGTAAGCGGCTTTATGATCTGATTTTATTTAATTTCGGCGTTTTCCGGCTCCTTTCGTAAAGTTTTGTTTAGCCACAAAAATTTCCTATCGATAAACTCCCGCAGGCGCTTGTTGACCTTGTGCTAGAACGGACCACAATACACCAAAGGTAAGCGCAATTCTGTTGATTTTAACTAGGAATTCAATAAACCGGACTGTTTTTAGATTCACAATCAGCCGTGCTAACCGAAAACTCCGGGAGCGCGTTCGTGAATTTGGCGTCGTGCCAAAACGCGTGAAATATGTTGGTGTGGAACAGCTGGCCTTGGATGCGGTAAAGAATTCGGTTTTTCCACAAAACATCGATTTAGATGGCCATCACAATTGATACGGCTACAGGGGACTCTATTTGCATTGGATGCTGTGAGGAGGGAGCGCTAATTCAGAATACACGTACTGATCGGGAGTAAGTTTTCCAGATTATGAAAATTGGCCGGTTACCTTCTTTCAAAAACTACGAGTTTTCAGACCTGATGCAAGCGGAACCGAAGAAACATTAAATAACAGCCAAATGGACCACCTACTCCGAAAATCTTTTGATAAAATGCGCCCAAGAACGGCTGAACTCTGGGATGTGAGTTATCTAGGTCGAAAAAGATCAACCATCCAAATTTTAGACAGCCATCCGCATCATCCCCAAACCGCAAGCCCTGAAATTCGGTCATAATCTTATTATCCGATTTATGGACGCAGATACAGTTCAGCCATGCTTGAAACTGGCCGAGACCACGCCACCTCAAAATGTAACCATCCTTATAACCAAACCAACCATCAAAACTGTAATTTTTTTTAGCTCTGCCTACGCCCGGCTCTTTTCTGGGCTTCACAAGCTTGCGATCGACGATGTTTTGCTGTTGGTGCACAGTTGCATCAATATAATTATGTGAGCTAATCATGAACAATTATTGTTTTGATGTTTTCAGTTAAAGGATGTCGACACCGTACATTTAATGGGCCTTCACTACCCTCCATTTTTCACATGTCTGCCCACAAAAAATGTTTTCGTCTGGCAAGCAGCAGATATTCCTATTGTGTACATCTTAAAGGTATGAAAATATTTTGAGCTTTTGAGAGGACAACATGCAGGACCTACTAGAGAAGCGAAAATGGGAATATCGTCCGAAGACGATTGGATTTTTGGATGCAAAGCGTAGCGAGAAGACCACCGCTATTAGAGATTTATTAGATCAATATAGATTGTCGGTACGTTATACTAACTGAATTGGTTTTATAAGATACGAGCCTTGAAAAACGCATTTTAGGGCGGTTGTGAGGGCGACTATGCAATCTACAAAATCCCAATTCAAAGGGGAAAAGCCAGCGTCGTCTTTTGCGAAAAGCACGTTATCATCAGTAGAAAATACGATGCAGAAAATGTTAAGGAAGCTATTCGACGTTTTTATGAAATGAAGCCGTTGCTTGCCAAAGAATAATCCGATGTATAAATGATTTATTATCTGTACATAAGGTTTCGAATAAGTACATAGAGTTGATCCAGAAATCCAGCAAAAGACAAATTCTTGTTTAGAGGGTGTATTCATCAAGAATTCTCAAAACCAACTGATTTTCGTGAGCGTCTAACTTGCGATCAACTTCGCTCAATGCTGATTGTAAAAGTAAAGTTGAGCCAATTTTCCGAATAGAAAGTCTGTTGTATTTCGTCGCTTCGGATTGTAGCTTCTCCATGTTTTCAACATTTTCACTGACCATCTCCAAAGCCCCCGTTCGCCGTGATTGTACCAACCTCTAAAAATAAATTTCCATAAAAATAGCAAGCAAACCATGTTGAAGTTAGAAGCAGTTTCCATGCTGGGATTCATCAATTTCAGGTTTAGCCCATCCAGTTCCAAGCTTGACAAAAGTCGGATCGTTTGGCAATCCAGAATAAAGGATGGTATTTGAGAAGCCTTACAAAGATACGTTTTGATTGAATTTGAACCTTACCTTGGTAATTTCCATAATATCCAAAGAATATTGGCGATGATCAGCCGAGCAACCAGATTCGCGGATTTCAGACGAACAATGACAGCGAATATAATATTGCTGACGCGTCAGTGCAATCTGATCATTTAGATAAATATTTAGAAGAATGAGAAGGATCGATTACCTTTTGGATGCCTAGTATGCGAATTAACGCAACCGTTTCTTTCAAACACGTCACACATTCAAAAGGTACTACGCAGACGGGGTCCGAATGATTTCGCTTTAGAAATGATAGAACCTCAGTTTGTAGTTGGACCTGAAAAATTGAAATATTTTTAGCATTTTCAGTAGGCTTTAAAGTTAGCATGTATTCCTAACCTGTTTCCTGAAATCCTCATCTCGATACTCTCTCCTGGCTGGCAAAACCAAAGTTCGAATCTGCATCTTTGATAGCTCTTGGGACATTTGCTGCCAAATATCACGAACCCGAGTAATTGTCTCAATTTTATAGCCGCTGCTAAAGAGTTTTTGGATGTATGGATTTTTAGACCCACAATCCGCAGCTTTCCTTCGAGCGAACGGATACTGTCAACATGGCCTCCAAGTCGGTTTTGATAGTTATTTCTTCCTTGCCGTAAAGTTCAAGGATCTAAGCGAATACATTGATTGAATAAAAAGAAACATTAAGTTACCATGAACCTTCCCGAAAACTCTATTTTCAGCTTTTCGATGCATTTAGGCAAAAGTCGAATAAAACCACCAAGCTGTGCGTTGGACTTGAAAGCTGAAATCAAACTTAATATCTTTGCCAAATCATTGCCTACCGGTAACTTTATCTGCTAAATTGTGTTTTGATAAAATGTCTTCTTGGATGTCTATAGGTAATCCGGTAATAGGGAATCGTTGAATCACCTGAAACGAGGTTTGAGCACTGAGTATAAAAACACATGCTAGAGACAGAGAAAGTTAACACGAAACCGTTGAAAATGCGAATTACGTGCCCTGGATTTATGCCAAAAATAGACATAAGCACTCGGTAATATACAATATAGAAAATGATTAAAAATTTTCAAAACTGTGCTGATGGCAAGAGTTCAACAATTCTGAAAAGTGTCCGAAAATCGAAAATATAAGAAACCTATTTTAGTCGAATTATGCACTTGACGACCTCCTGAAGGAAGAAAAAACCCTGAAGAAAATGCAAATTCCGTAACCCTACACCATATTTTTTGATTTTTTGACCCCGTCCTCATATTTTTCAGAGTTCATTCAACCTGAACTTCAATTAAATATGCACGCGGAAATTTGATTAAATGTGCTGTTCGGCATACCGCAATAACTTCCTTGGCTTTCGGTGAGCCAAACACTTTCTAGCCCTTCAAATTCTCTAAAAATAGATTGTTTTGGAATATATCGAAATTATCTCAATGGCATACTACGATAGTAGTAATAAATTGTCAAGCTGCTGTATTCTAAACTTTATTGTTCATTGTTTGTACTTGTCGTTCGGTTTTCCATCTGATCCCCGATAATGTCCGACCCATTTAAAAACTATCACTAAAACTCTGAGCTTTTTAGCTGTTTGCCAAGCTTTGTAGATGATTACTTCACACCTGGATGGCCAGGTGTTTGTAAGGATTGCCTCCGCTTCCTCCCAATTAGATTAGATGCAATTAGATCCCAATTTGTTGCTCGTTCGTTTGCTAATCGGAGCGTACTGTAGTCGGTGTTCATAGATGACATAATGTTAGTTTTGGTTCGATAATGGCCAGAACTTTGCTCATTAATAGCGGGAGTAGACAATGAATGAATGTCCTTATGCCTGATCAACGTCCAGCAACAGAGTGCTATATTATGTGATTTCAATTGTGTGTTGTAAAGTTAACCACGTGTAAAGTGCTTCCGTAATATTTTACCTAATGAGTTCTTCCAAATTTTCTCATCTTTTCCGGTACGTTGGTGAAGCGAACGGGATTAGACCTGGGTGGGAAGGAGAGTCATTGGATATTAGCGTAGCGGTTCGCGATATTTCAGACATATCGAGAACCGCTACGCTAATATCCAATGACATCCCTGATCGAGCAATTTTTAAGGTGACGCGGAAGTCAGACGATTGATTTCCTTGTTTCTTTGAAGCCCAGCCGCTTACAGCTGGACTTCCGGCTAGCCCCTCCGCTCCCTTCCCTCGCCGAAACGCGCGCGACCTGGCTCACTATGCCCAAAATCGTGCAAACATATGTTCCCTACTCGTTTTATTAAGGCGCCACTTTCAAAGCTAAATTGAAATATAATTTAAACGAAAACTTTTACATAATTTGTTATAATTGTGGAGTTTCTGACCGCGCTCTATCCGAATCCGAAGAGACCGAAACTCTAGCTTCTTTCTCCTTGAAGTTATGGTTGCTTCTGACGGACACACAGACACACCAATACTGAATCCTTATATTTCTTTGAAATATCATTGAAATGTACATGTTACGCATAGGATATATGCGTAAGGTCGCAATAAGAGGCTAATTAGGAAATTAAAAGGAAGTTTTAAAGGGCAAAGGACACAAACTTGTCTTTTGTAAAATTACTTTTTCATATTGCATCTGATTAGCCTATTATTCCATATCTATGCGTGACATCTGTAGTTTCTAAACACCCTTTGATTAAGGTGCTCTTGACGTTTTTTAAGCTTCCGGTAGCAAATCTAGTCTTGACACCTCAAAACACACCTTCCCCGAGGTTGGGGGTATTAATTGAAACTCCCCTAGACTCAACGCAAAAAATACTGGATTCAGAAACTTCTCGACCTCTCATCACCCAGACCCCAATTCACCCATAATCATTTTACGCCGACAAACATCTGGCGCATACGGGGTTCTCCAGACTATTCGAGCATTCAGCGTGGGCCCGTGGCCGTAGGAATAATTGACGGAGGAACCCAGGCGGACAGCCTTCGCATGTCTAATTAAAAAGATTGGGCCCAAGCTGTATTCGGCCCTTGGTGTCCGGCCGAAATTTTCGGGTCAAGCCTCAAAATTTCATTCTAATTAGCTGGGGGCTATTATTTGCCACTGGGATCTTACTTGTCAACAAGTGTGGTTGATTAGGGTTGCAGGGGGTTTGAACTCCAGTTTATTCACTAGGTCCTAAAATTGGAAGAGGTGAAATTGTTAGTATCTAATTAAGGAGGTTTACACGTGCGAATCCGCTATCGCGAAAACAGATCGCATAGGATGGAAAGAATAAACTTCCAGAAAAAGATGGTTTTTCTCGTAGCTTTATATCCTAATTAACATTTCTATTCGATCTTGGATTCACTCTCTGCCATTTTTCGATTGAAATTTTTGGAAGATTTACATGGTTTTCAAAATTTGAACAGCACGATTTTACCGCTTTTTAAATTTTTTTTACGAACTGCTTTTTTAAGCATTCCTTCCTGATTTCCAGTCTATTTATGTTGGTAGAGCACTTTAAACAGACTCCAAATTTTTTTCCCCGCCTACCTACATATTTAGGCGAGATGCAGCCGGATGTTTAGAGAACCTCCTTCCCTCCACCTCCTACACAGAATCCCTGACACATAATTGCCCAGGGGGATTCGGGTTCTGACGCGTTTCCTGTATTCTTAATTTCAGTATAACGTGATGCTATTAGTCTGAAAATTCGTGAAAAGAGTTCATTAAAATGCCGTACAAATTTACGGAGCTGATTTTTTGCCTTTGAACCTTGCCCCGGTTTTCAATTGACTTTGGTTACTCAGCTCTGATTTTCCATTTTCCCATGCAGACTTAGAAATCATTTTCGAAAGTGCGAGATTCGTTAATGAAAAAAACCCGGGCAAAAAACAAACTTGGCGGTGCTGAAAAAGTAAATTTAGAAGCCGGCCTTGGGGAGTCGTGGGTGGGTGGGTAGCGCCTCATGCGTGAAATTCTACTACCACCACGCAAACAGCATAACTGAATGCCGTTACCGGATGGATTTCAATATGCAGTGACTTGTGGTTTCTTGTTTTATTCATTATTCAAAATTTCTTGCAATTGAGTATGATGTTAGGGGCTCACGGGGGAGGTTTCCCGGAAACTAGGCTAATCAAGCTTTTATCGTAAAGTTCTTTGCTCTAGAAAGGAGGTAATAGTACTTCAGAAATATCACCTTTCTAATAAAGTTTCTCCTTCCAAGATTTTTGAGAAAATAAGAGCCCCCTACTAATATAAGCGGACCAGTGGTAAAAACTATTAAATTCTATCCCAAATTAAAGAATGGCATTCATGTATTTAACCATAAAATAAGATTTATGCATTGCAATTGGCCGTTTTAGCGAATTAATGCTGGGAAAACCGTTCGAATTGACCAGGGTCAAAAAATTTTCCACATATTTTTTTGGAATTCTGGTCGATTGAAAAATGAAACCCCTTCATTCTAATTTTTTTGAAATAGAGATTACGATCTTACAATTTTTCCTTGACAGGGAATCAATATGAATTCTCGAATACAGCCCCTCCATAACGTTTTCTCACTTACTCGTGTTACTCATCAAACGTTGCGTGATTTGCGCTCTTCCCAATTCCCCGTTACCTTTCCGCTTCTCGCCTTTCCAAGTGCTAGAGGATCATAATGAGGATGTTCGTCGCGGGATGGCCCACCCAAATTGCGTGTGCCACGGTCATCCAATCCCTTCACCCCTCAACTCATTTTTGCTCACTCCCAGAATATGAGAACCACCTTCATTACGCATCGTCATTGCCGAACAGATTCCGAACTTTGGCGTTGTACCTACCCCTCATCCAACTCCACTTATACCGTTAATTGCATTTTCGAAAACTCCCTGGCGATCTTCCAAGCCTAGGGTTTCACTAGTGATGGCCTTAATCCTGTTATTTTTTTCATTGAATTTGTTTCGAATTTATTTACCTCGCTATTTTTATCCAAATCTAAAAAAAATATAAATATTGGTTTCAGTGTGTTAATGGATTGGTTAGATATAATGAGTATATTGCTGGATGTTCCAATCCCCATCGCAATAATGTTGGATATCTATCTACTAAGGACATTTATCATCGATAGGAAGTTATGCCCAGTTTTTGCGTGGTGTCTGAAACATATCTGTAAGTTTTGAGGAAATTATTGAAATTCGTTGTTTAGTTTTGACTCACATGGTGATATATTTTTGTGAATTATTTATTCGGCTGCCAGCAATGCACGGGATTTTGTTGAATTTTTATAAAGATAATGCATCTGTTATCGGGAAGGTATGCCTAATTAATAAGTCTAATCGAAAATATTTATTTAAGGGCTTGAAATAAATATTTCAGATCTTCTTCCAAATCACAATCGCTTGGCAGGGCCAATCTACTCATTGGAATGCTGTAATGGCTGTATCACGAGTATGGTGTATTATGGGACGAGTATCTTATCAACATGTATGTATTTTATATAATAAAATACTGATTACGAGTTATTTTCAGACATGGACTCCTCGTGTTCAATGGGTAATTACCGCCGTATTGTGGGGCACCAATTTTGCCCTTACCGCGCATATCTATTTTAATGTTGACTGCCGCTACTGGGAAATGGTTGGGCCATAATTGTATTGTTTTAGTACGAGTTTAGGGCAATGAATCGATCTCCTTCGGTACGGTAACCCCGGATTTCATATCGACGTTTTATTCTTTGTATATACCGAATATGGCATTAATTATTACAGGTATCACATTCCTATATCTATTAAATGTTCTTTATATTTAGTGATATGCTATGGGTATCTGACGTTGGCGTTAACAAGAACGCGCGCCGTTTCCAAGCTGGCAAAACAGACTCTGTTTGCTCAATTTCTCATTAATATTCGTAAGTTACACTATTAGCATAATTCAAATTCTTTAAAAGTTGGAGTTTTATTTTATATACTTTAATTTCAGCGAAAATGAGCTACGTGTTTGTCTTAACGTACAGCCATCTTCAAACAACCCTATTTACGCAACTTCCGGAAATCAACCTCAAGCTCTTTTGGCTCTTACTGTAAGTCTTCATCAGGGTTGCTTGGAACTTGGTTTAGACAGATCGGTAGTGTGTTTTATGGCATAAACGCAACGATCGTCGTGTTTGTTTGTTTCCCAGAGGTAGCCAGCTGATTTTATTGTATTTTTGACCCCTTATTTAGACCGGTAAACGCCTATCAAGATGGATACGCGGAATACAAAGTGAACGCACCAGCAGTTTATTAGTGAAAAACGAGATAGTAGCTGTATAATCCGAATGCTACACTTCCCTCCGAAATACGTGTCGAATAAATATGTGATATCATCTTTGTGCTCCTATTAACGAGCATGAACTTTAATGCAACTCGAATTAAGCTAGCCACCAAAAAAACAAGCCATATACCTATTTTGGTTCTACGGTCATCAGCAAAGGCCCCTGGAATTTTATTTTCAATAGACCCTAAAGTAATGAACCCGCAAACCCCCCAGCAATTTCGATTCTCGCGCCATTTTCTCGGCCGAGGATAAACAAACCGGAAAACAAGCTGCACGAATATTTCAGGCGGGTCTCTGGAATAATTGACGCTTGGACCAGCGGCCCGACCAGCGCATTCCTAATTAAAAAGATTGGGTTGGGTAGAATTCTTAGCGGCCCTAGGGTTCGCCACGCCTCATTTTGCCTACGCGAGTTGCTTACGGGGGATGTGTCTCCGTTTTTTTGCAAAGTCTGGAGTCTAGACTGCATTGCGAATTATGCAATACCTCTGGGATTAAAAAAAACACACGTATTAAACGCTAAATTAAATTGCGGTGTAATTGAATTGGCGTATTATTGCCTTGATCCACACGAATTTTCCATCTGCTAGCTGTGACTAGATTAATTTTTGATCAGCAAAACACCATTCACGGACACGTAGACTTATTTTGCGCACAACAAATTACCACGCGGCAGACGAAAGGTGGTATAGGAGGGGGAGTCTAGTGCTTCATATCTTGGGCACAGGTCCATTCCCATTTGCCAAAGGACATTCCATTTCTAAAAGTTGAAGCTATTCCAAGACGTTCCAATCTATTTTCAGCAGACGCCAATTCAATTTAAGCTCTTCCTGTTTGCATGGCTTCCTGCAATAGTGTCTGACTAGAAAAATTGTCTTCCGAAGTGGCTTCCAAAATTGTCTGGACAAGTCCCCCTGTTGGGCGGTGGGCTTAAGGAAAAGCCAAATGGAATGGAAAACGAAATTAGCAATGCTAAAAGTACGGTGGTGGGGCGGCCAGACATCAGCCAAACATTCATCCAGTTTCTTCGCGATTACCATTTCCTGTTTTTGTCCCGTAAAATAAGCCAAAAATAAACGGATTAGTCTTTGTATTGGATTGGCTTTAGAGGCGGAAATAGGTTGTTATGATACTGCAATCCCTGAAGGACAGGAAAAATGAATTTTTTTGGAAATGGTGTTATATTCGACCAGACTCTTTATTTTCATTTTTCAACCGTCTAATCTTTTTTAGATCTGGATTTCATTAAGCTTAAATTTCAGAAAATGGAATGGCTAGATATCTTCAGCATTATCTTGGATATTCCCATCCCAATCGCCATCTTCTTTGACTTATATCTCCTACGAACCTTCCTAAACGACAAAAAGTTATGCCCGGTGTTTGCCTGGTGTCTCAAAAATATATGTAAGTTATCTGTAAGCATCTTCTCAAAGTTTTTAGTTTTTACCCATATGGTGATCTATGGGTCTGAATTGTTTATTAGGTTGCCGGCACAGATTGGATTATTCCAGGAATTTTATAAAAGCCATGCTGCCGTCATCGGGAAGGTAAAAATATATTTCTATATCCTACTGGATAGCAGGCATTTTGAATACTATGGACCGAAAAAATAATGTATAAAGAAACGTTTGTAAAGAATGGGTAGCTAATATAGATATTTTGCGCCTCTAACTTCTTGAATTCCCAATTCCAGGTGTTCTTCGGAATTACAATAGCTTGGCAAGGCCAATCAACCCATTGGAATGCTGTTCTAGCGCTTACGCGCTTATGGTGTGTCATCGGCAGTGTGTCATTTCAACATGTAAATTTTTTCGAAAAATTGAGAATAGGTTCTTAAGATGTGGACAAATCGCGTGCAATGGATTATCGCAGCCGCGCTGTGGGGCCAAAACGTGCTCCTAACCCTTCATATTTTCCTCAACGTGGATTATCGATACTGGGAAATGGTATGAAGATAAAAATGTGCATTTAAGTCTAATTTAGGGAAATAATTCAATATCTTTTGGGTCTGTTACACCGGATAGTACATCGATCGCATATTCCATGTATTTTCCGAGTACAACTTTAGTGATTACGGGTAACCAAATAAAAATCGATTAAAAGATGTTATAACTTCACTTTAGTTGTTTGTTATTGCTGGTTGGCATGGGCTTTGCTTAAAACTCGCGCTTCCGCCACATTGGCTAAACAAACAATGCTTGCCCAATTTCTTATTAATCTTCGTAAGTTATTTTTCATATGTTGGTTTAAATAGCGCACATTTTTTAGCAAAATTCAGCAGCGTATTGGTATTAATCTACAATAATCTACAAGCTTCCCATTGGGTCGATCTACCCGAAATGAATTTAAAATTGTATTGGATTGCCCTGTAAGTTAAAGTTTCGTAACAAGAACTTTTATATAGACAAATTGGAAGTGTATTCTATGGAGTGAATGGGACAATTGTCGTGTTTATTTGCTTCCCAGAGGTATCAAGTCCTCGTTAAAATGAATTACTTTAACGAATCTAGACACGCAAACGCTTTTCGGGATGGATTCGAAATCTACCTAGCGTATACACCGAACGAACCGCTGAGGAACAAATTGCTATTTAAAAACACGTCACGAAGCTGTATTGATGCCACGACTTTTAATAAATTGTGAAGTAGCAAATGTGATTACATTGAATTGTAAAAAGACAATGATAACCCGGCATTTTACTGTTCTACAAAAAAGTGTTTGCTATCAACTTTATATCAACGTTGCAATATGTACATGCTGCGGACCGAATAAAGACGTTTCGTTTAAATGTAATTTTTTGCAAATACGAAGTTTTAGAATTGGCATATTCATTACCACACCAACTTATGGCTAAGCCCAAAGGTCCTCAAAAAGATGATCGACAGTTATAAAATCCGCATTCAGCCTCACGTAGCCATCAAAAATTTCCACTCGTGATGTTTCTAAAAGCATCTAAACCTGCAAATCTAATCTTTTACCTGCAAGGGTAACATTGTCGTATATTGGCACTGGGATCCCTTTTTTCAAGATTAAATTTGCCAATAGTTGATCAGTAAGCACAAACACTTTTTGGAACATTGAAAGGAACCTAGAGGGAGTTGTTGCTGATAGTTCTGCCACTTACGTTGTGGATATATCTCCAATTTTGGAGAACACTTCTTTCACCTCTGCTGTTGTTCCATTCAAAGTTCCATAAATACGATTTGATTCAATGTATGGTACCACTGATGATACGGTATTTAGGGCTGAAATCGGCACATTAAGAGATACACAATACCGCACCTAATCTAGCCAATGATTCGCTTTGATTTCCCTTCGGATTTATGTAAAAATCGACCGCAAATGTCACATTCAGCGTCGCCAACCCATTTTTGAAAAACATCTAAATAATGTCTTTGTTGTATTTTTTCTCGGAACTTGCCTTTGGTGGAAGCATCGAATGGAAATGTAGATCGACGTATTGATTTGGGTAATCTTTTTTTAATTTTTGGAAAAATTTTCCAATGCAGATTGATAGGAACGAGCAGCTGAAGGTAGAATAATTCTGAATACCATTGGTTTTTGGTGATTTTACGTGGTTTGTAGATAGTTGGCGACTTGGGGTGTATCTTTCGTGACGAGGAGTTGGATTAGACCACCAGCATGAGCACTAAATTGGCGCAAAATTGGAGTTGTTAAATACTATACCTGGTCAATAGACAATTAGGAACTTTTGCTGAGACCCAAATCGTTAACATACCAGGATCGGGGCCCGTATCCAAACAAATGGTTAGTAACGGCTGTGGCTCTAAATCTTACCATTCCCAACTTTTCCTGATGGTAAGAGACACTCTTCTTTTTATAGACAACATCAGCGGAAAGATCGGCTTGAATATAATCGCTTAATGGGAAAAGTTTCTTGATTTTAGGGCTGGGATACGTTGTAAATGTTGGATCTCCCACTAATGAATAATCAACATAAAAATCAGATCCAATGGGGAAATGGAGCGGCAGATCGTGAAGGAATTCATTAGCATCTTCTAGTAATACGTTTCTAGCCACTTGACAGGCCTAAATCACTTCAATACAGCTATATGATTTGTACCTGCGCATTAATGACGTTTCTCAGAACCGAGGACAGTGGTCCTTTAAAAAGATTTACGAGCCATGGCAGAACACTGCCGCCAATTCTGGGAATCTTTTGTATTTTTTTTCAGAAATATTGATGTTGGAAAGACCCTTAATACTTACTCAATGCTAAATCGACGCACAGTTGCTTCGCAGCTTTTCACTTCGACCTAGATTTTTTTTGAAAAGTCCATTCAAAAATCCTCCCACCTGTGGACGTCCATCCAATGCGCTGGCCGAAGCCGTGACATTCATTATGATCCTTGATACATTAGCCTGTAGCCATCCGCTAGCTTTTATGGGGATAAGAACGGTATATTCGGCTCTCCACTCTCCACTTAATACAGCCATACCACCAGTGGATTGCCATGAGATCCCTTTGGGTGATAGTTGGTATTCAAACCTAAACAAGTGAAGAGAGCAAAAATCCTGTCAGGAGGCGGACCTACTGTGGCATTCTGAAGGTTTTAATTTTCAGGTCGTCCACCTTCAAATCGCCAGTGCCTGGCCCGCCGGTAATTGGAATGTCAATTTCGGGGATCCAGATTTTTGGTACTTCCTTGTCGACCTAACAAATTATTTAGAGTTTATTTGCAGAAAACTGCTAAGCTCTACTCGCATTAAATTGCATATTGAAAAAACCCACAAAGGTATGGCCAGCTTTCTTAAAAAAATCCAAGCCGGACGGGTTGATCCTTGAACGTAGATTCGGCGAAACCGCATGACTCCCGTGAAATAATAGCAATACAAGACAAGGCACGTGGAACATTTTGAAAGCGAAAATGTGTCGAAAATGGCGAGGGCAATCGATTCGTGCGCCCGGTGGTGTTGTGGCTGTACGGAGAATGACCCGCAGGCCATCTGGCGTCTAAATGGATAGTTTTTCTGTCTGTTTCTCATGCTCTCTTCGGCGGTTGGCGTCTCGATAAAGAGATCGAGTTGCCCCTTAATAAACAGCCAAAAAGTGGGCGGCGAAATGTGTGCGTATGTTGCGGGATTGAAATCGAACGGCGGAAAAGGAGAGGAGAGGGGTTGGCTGTGTTTGCATTTGGATGGCGTTCGGTTCTGATGTTCATCTTTGGCCAGGTGAATTTCCGTAAAAAAATCTGCATGTTTCTGCATAGATTTGGTATTTAAATTCTTAGTGCATTTTTCCGGCTCATGCAGTAGTGGTCAAATTTCAAGCAATATTTATTACAAATCATAAGCTCGTATACAATTTTTATTAGTGCAAATCAATTCCCAATCAATTATTGCCACCCGATCGCTTCTTCTTGTTGAGAATCTTTGCCATCTAGGGACGAAATTAATGGTGATTTTTCAAAAAATCCCGACCATCACTCCATTCTGACAGAAACCACAAGTCTTCGGGCATTTCACAACCATTTCAAAACGAGTCTCCTGGTCGCTGCTCTAAAAAGGCCGTGATTTTGTTTTCTAGGCCTTCCCTTACCGTACAATTAGCTGTATTGCTGCAATCCGCCGTCGCGTCGTCAGCGCAACCCCGATAGCTGCCTAAAAGAGCTCGAAAAATCAATTGAGCATACTGTCGCAGGTATATCCGCACGAATTAAAGCAGAACACCTTCATGAAGCCGCCAAATTTGGCGGAGGTGCATACCTATAATAATGAATGTTCTAAAATGTACTATTATTCAACGTTTTTATTATTCGCACACATCGTAGCAAGGTCGGGGCATGTCGATGTGGCAAGGGTCTGGAATGGTAATCAGTAAAAACGGTAAGATTTTGCTCCAAAGTTTTAAAGTTTTTTAAATAAAGAAAAGAAATAAAAGCCATGGGTTTTTTAAGTCTAACAGCGAGTAGCACTAGCGTTGTAAAAAACATGGATTAAAAGACTAAAGAATAGCGAAAGCTTGACGCATCCAATTCATTTTGTTACACAAAATAATGAAATTTTCAGGAAGTATGTTAATGTAGAGCCAGCCTAAAACCTCTAACTTACCGTTGTAAACACACATAGTAGACCGAAGTACAAGGAATTCGGCGCCATCACCGAGTGGGCAACGAAACTTCGGCGATTTTGCAAATGCCCCCTCCTCGCCCATCCACTCCTCGTGATTTGCTTATAGCCCAGCTGGGCCAACAGTCAATGCCGGGGGTATCGAACCGGCGAACACGCATTCCATTTTCGGCCCACAACCCAAGCTGCCGTGGAATTCAGGCGCTTTTCCTAGGAGTTTGGACCGTAGTTTTCTGAATGGTTTTGCACCCACGTGCGCGGATCGGGTTGGGCCAACCAATTTCATAAAAATAACCTTACATCTAGGAAAAATCGCTGACGCTTTGAGTGTTTTGAAAGTCAAAGTTCTCTATCTCTGAACCATTTTTTTCTGAAAACGTCAAAACAAACTGGTGTTCGACTTCTCATCCATAAAGTTATTTGGTGTTACCGCGAGAAATGGAGCAAGGTAATTTCCTGGCCCGGCTTAAAATTGGCCATGAAACGGAGTGTATATTTATTCGAAATTAATATTGATCCTGGACAATCGGCGAAAAAAAGCGAAGTAATGATATGGAATAAATTAAGAAAATGCCTAAAACGAGAATGCCAGCAGCAATTAAGCGTTAAATTGCACTTTGATGATTAGGATATAGGACCGTAAAATAGCTGTGAAGGCACAAATAGAGTATGATGAATATTTTGAAAGGCAAGAAAGAATTCCATAAATTATTATAGGATTGTGGATTAAAATTTTAATGTCCTTCCGACATTCAAGAAATAATTGTTGGAGCTAGCAATTGTCAAAGTCACCAGGTTGAGGCCGTATCTTGCACCACATTCCATTCGTCGTCATCGTCGCTGTAAATATGATTGAAACGAAATTATGTTTAGCTGTAATGTGCTAATGCAAAATAAGATATTTTATTTTCTTAGATTATTTATGGTTTTTTGCCGTTAAACTTTTCATTGAAAACACGCGTTCCTTCAGCATCAAAATGACAACTAACATGCAGATTTCTCAAAAAGACAGCGAACGTGGAGTTTTTCTTTTTCCGAGCACTCGTGCTGACCGCTAGAAGGGTGCTTTTTCGACAATCGGATACTATGTCCTTTCGAAGATCTCTAGTTTTATACGGTCGACGAAACGAACGTTCAGAGGAGGACGCACTTGGGCTCTTTGCGCCTGTCTGACATATCGCTCTGGGCGTCGTCGGGAAGGTGTAGGTTGTCCCTGCATGGTACGATGTTCTCCACGTCCTGTAAAAAGCTTATGGAGAATTCACAGCTCCTACTCCCGATTTTGATTAAAGGACCTTCTTAAGTACCTTAAAATATGGGTGTTGCAGAGTCTGCAGGGCGGAGGGCCTCTTCTGGAAATCGAAAATCAGCAACGACTCGACGAATGAAGCCTGCACCGGTTTTAGCTAAACGATATTCCTTAGATTTAAATATTTCTCAAGACTCTAGCATCAAAAAATTTCTTACGATTGTGCGGAAATAGTTGGCGCGATGGTACAATGTGAAGAGACGGGTGTATCCCTCGGTGGAGATCTAAAAATACTAATCAATATACTATCTCTCGTCACGCTTCGACAATTCAGAACTTTTCTTGATTTTTCAAAATATTGTACTTCACTGAAGAATTATCTTAGCAGTGAAAAATACAATATTGAGAACTTTTCTTAGGTTTCCATTACCTGATATTTCTCCACGAATCTACGCAAATTCGCCGAACCAAGGATTTTCGTCAGGTTGAACAGCTGCAAAAAGTTTATTACGTGGTAAATTCCATTTTTTCCACCCACCATTTCCTCGGGTTTGTAATGGAAGAAGCTTGGCTCGTGCCGAGAGCAAAGCACGGCAAACGCCACACATCCAGCCGACCACATGTCGATAGCGTAGTTGTAGTAGGGGTACCGGAGGGCCACTTCCGGGGCCTGGAACTGTGAAATATGTTTAAATATTGACGAATTAATAGGATTTATTTCATCGCGAATTTCAAAATATATTCATATTCAGAGAAAACAGTTATCTTAATAGAGCCGTCCCTGCAAATTGTTAGCTCGTGACAGACCGTATTTCTTGATTTCCATAAACTACCAACCATCATATGAATGCTGCCTACAACGTTATACTTCCTGCCCGGAATATACATTTGAGCCATCCCGTAGTCGATGATTTTCAACTAAAGAGTTTCGATGAAGGCCAATTTCAGCTGTTGCTCACCTGAAGCCATTCGGGGACGATGATCAAATTCTCAAGTTTGATGTCGCGATGCATAAGGCCTTTGGAGTGGATATAGTCCAGGCCCAGGAACATTTGGCGCAGATAGAACTTTCTTCCGTTGACAGTCAGATTCCCGACGGTTTGGGCCAGATCAGCCACAGGCATGTACCTAGAATTATGTATTATATGAGGAAATTCAAGTGTAGGCATGAACAAACAGTAAGTTGTAAAGAACTACCTTAGTTTTTCTGACTTAAACAGTAAGTAAACATAATCGGCTGTAAAAAGTACCTTTAGGCTTGCTTCTTCCGAGGTTTCTACAGAATCGGGTATGCTAGTCTGCTTCCCCCTCCCCTTTCCCCTACCCGGAAAACAGGCTCAGCCGAATACAGCACCAAGGCATAAATTAACGGCCGCCGAAGGCATTGGGCCGAATGCTAACTAGCGCCAAAAGACCAGCCGCAAAAAACTTACTGCATCGCGATCAGATAGGCGCCATTCTCATGAACGGCCTGGTAGAATTGTGGAATTGCCGGATGATTGGTCAGAACCGCGAACGCCTTCAGCTCCTTGTGCGTCGACATCGCCGTTTTCACCCTTTTCACCGCGATGATTTCGCCCGTCTCGCGGTCCCGGCACTTTGCTACCTGTAAAGCGTATCAGGAATGGAAAAAAAAATGGAGGTGTTAGGTTAGTGTTAAAAACGTAAGCGTTAGGGTTAGGAAGTAGGTGTTATTGACAATAGTAATCGAAAAGCTCAAGGAAACATTTGTATTCGTTTAATTATATTATTATTCGATTGATTTAATTTTCCCTCATTTTGGAAAAGGAAAATTGGTCAAAAATGAGTCGAGCATATAAGAGAAACCAGTGGAAAAAGTCCGCTTCGCGGCCCTTTTCCACTGGACCCCGTCCAGGACCCATGAATTCTCTTTCCTTCGTTTGAAGTCTGCGGCGCAAGAGCCTGACTCAAGTAACCATTAATTGGCCTGCGGCGCAAGAGCCAGCGTTCGGCTCCAATCTTTGAGCCTGCGGCGCCACCTACTACTTTTCCCCTCGGATTTGGCCCGCAGCCCGAGAGTCTGGGGCAAGGAACCATCCATGACCTGCGGCGCCAGAGCCAACGTTGTTCTAGAATCTTTGAGCCAGCGGCGCTAGTTACTGGTTTTTCTCCAGGATTTGGACTGCGGCGCTAGAGCGGGGGCCAGGCCTAAGCCTAAGCCTAAGCCCTAAGCCTAAGCCTAAGCCTAAGCCTAAGCCTAAGCCTAAGCCTAAGCCTAAGCCTAAGCCTAAGCCTAAGCCTAAGCCTAAGCCTAAGCCTAAGCCTAAGCCTAAGCCTAAGCCTAAGCCTATGCCTAAGCCTAAGCCTAAGCCGAAGCCAAGCAATATGTTTGCTTGATGAACTATCAAAAAGCAAAAAGTTGTCATCGCAGCGGATCCGAACCCTCGATCCTAGTACCGTGGGCGTGGTGCGAATCCATGACACCACAGGGAGTTGGTGGCGTGATGCGGGACAGGACTTTTCCTACCCTTGGGGACCTGGCCGGGCGCCGTCGAGTCACTTTACAAAAGTAGATTTTTGAGGTGCAAGGTGATCGAATTTGTAAAATCTAATAAGCTGCGCCTAAGAAGCACCATCGATTACATAAGTGGTCCAAATTTCAGCCCGAATGGCATCAGGGCGTCGGGTTATACCGCGGACACCACGGCTCATGGCTCATTTTGTTAAAGAGTTTTTAGAAAAACGCTCATAAAAATTACAATTTAAGGTATTTGGCAAAATCAAAAAAATAGTATCGGGACAGCGTTTACCATTCACCCTCCAAAAATCAGAGCCAAACTATTTTCGTCGTAAAATCGTTAAATGAAGAAATTTCGCAAAACAAAAAAATGCATCACTGACAAATGTGTTTCTCCACGTCCATACCAAAAATCAGCCGGAAATTCGGCAAGACGGCCGAAAAACCTTGATTACAGAAAACAGACATACTTTTCTCGCTTATAGGATAGGATGTTTCTCGATTTCGATCTTTTGAAATGCCAATCAATGCTAAGGCAAGGAATTTCGAGAGAACGAGACCGAGAAGGAAAGATGTAATTAAAAATTATTATTGCATAAATTTTCGTGTTTTATTTCCTCTTCTCTTCTTTGATTCAAACACATATTAAACTTTAAAACCTGTTAAACAAACGCACATTGAAAGTCTGACATACCCTCCCGAAGGTACCGTGCTCGATCAGATCCAGCACCTCGAAATACCCGTCACTAGTGCTGGCCTTCCGGACCGGTTGCTTGTCCGAGATTCTTGTCGTGCCTTCGGTCGTTGCTTTCTAAAAAGAAATCATGAATCGATCGAGGCAACAAGAACCCACGTTGCGATAATATGCTGCAACGGCAATACCGTACTCAGCAAGGATAACGTTGTGGCACTCGTTTTCTAAATTTAATGTAAACTTTTTTACGTTTGCTGATTTTATAATTATTTTTCCCCTGATTCGCTACAGTTTCAAGACATTTTTGGGCGCTGACCCCCCTCCCCCCCCCCCACCCCCAAAAAAAAAAAAACTTGGGTCAACTACTCCTCTAATGCCCTTCAAGCCTACCCAGTACATGCTTCGGCGGCCGGGCATGATCCAGCTCTTCAGAAACATACTCGTCGCCGTCTGACATCCTGTTGAAACAAAAGATCGTTAGGTTGTGCACTGAGATTCGTCTTATGAAATTGTAGATATAACCAAGCGGAAACATCGACCTGTGGTTCAAGTGGTTAGTCAGCTACTAGCCTATGTGAGTGCCCCCTAAAGCTTTTTACTTGTAAGGAAGCCTAAAAAACTAAATCAGTCATCCAGAAGCCAACCGGCAACGCCTGTGCAGAAAAACAGATGACAGAAGGGAGCAGGCAGGAGCGAGCAAAGGCAACGACTTTCAAATTCAAGATCTATTTAAGCCCGTTAAAGCGATCAGGAAGGCACAGGTGAATTAGCATAAAACAAGTTTGAGTTCTAAAATTAACATAGATCGTTCTGCCCCCAGCTGCCTCGCCCCAATCTCAGCGCATTTTTTGCATTAGCATTTGCAGATGAGCCCTGATCTATAGGGTTTTCCTTTTCTACCTAGACCCCCCTCCCCCCAAATGCAATAATATTGATCTAGAAATCCAAGTAATTCAAAATCCAGAAAAACCCCTTCAACAAAAAATGCCCAAAAAAACAAGAGATGGCAAAAAATTATTGTAAAATGACGCCGTGATGAACTGAGGCCGGCCCCTACCGCATATGTTGATACCGGCAGCGTCCCGCCCCTGACGATGACCAATCGTCTCGTGATCATCAAAAAAAATCTGTCGAAGACAAACGGGTGGAGCGAGAAAGCGGAGAAAATGACGAGGAAGGGGTTGAGGTTATTTTTGCCGATGGGGAGGGCGCCAACCCAGCCATCTATCGGCAGCGATGACTCGTACAGTCCCATAGTGGGGGTGCACCCGATCGGGGAGGCTTTGAAGCTGCACAATCAGCCAATGAGATTCTACGATGGCGGGGCCGGCTTTTTCCAGCATTTCCCCGGGAAACATAGTGTCATTTTGTGCTTCGGGCTGTTTAAAGGGACCACGAAGGGTCGGATTTTAGGCAGCAGATCGATGTTGTGGTTTGAGTGGCTCCTTCGGTAGAGCTTCAAAAGTTGCTGAACGTTAGCGAGCCCCGAAAAAAAGTTCCCCAAGCTTCACATTTGCTTCGCGGGATCAAAAATGGGACACATAGCCTTACAGCCTTACATTTTCTCCGAGATTGCTATCGTTTAGCAACTTCTGAAAGCTGGGAAATGTGCAGTATTTGAAGCTTTATCGATCTCACAGCGCAAAATCCCAAGATCGCCGAAATGGGCCTTTTGGCGGGTAGCAGTGCGTTATCCGCAACTACCGAAGCGTGACCAAAGCGGCGTAACTCTGGCTAATTTTGATTGCGAAGCGTAGCCTTAAAAATTGAAGCTGTGTGAGTAGCAAAGCGCTACTTTCGAAGACCCCAGGTCTGCCATCCGGTAAAGGCGGGGAGGCCTGATTTGGTTGGGCCAGCTCGGTCGCAATATGTGACAATCGGCTCGCTAAAACCTCTGACCCTTTGCCACCCGGATAAACTACCAAAAATAACCCAAATGTAAAAATTAAGCTCGCTCTCTCAAAACGGAAAAGTCATGGATCAAAACTCACAAAAGCTCGGAAAATATCGGATTGGCGTCTCTACTGAGGAAAACCTAGCATGCGTAAATTTTTGCGCTAATTCTGAGGCTTTCTTTCGATTTTTTTAATTAGATCTAGAAGAAGTTATATTATTTTATTTATAATTTATTTTTATTGAGTTATATTTTTTGAAGGCCATTACAGGGGCTCTGACAAATGGTTTTTTTCACCGGGGCTTTAAAGCGTTGCGGTCAGCGGTGTCGTAGTGTACGAGAGTGGGTGTATGAGGAAAGAGTGCGATCCGAGGAGAGGGCAGACTGCCTGCCATAGGTCTCTGTCAGGTTCCCACACGCTGTCAAAGGCAGTGCTGACCGAGTCCCTTTAAAGGGCTCCTGCCGACCGTTCTCGACCGCGACGCAACCGGGGGAAAGAACTATTGACGACCTAATCTACCTACTGTCTTAGAGGCGGTTAATGCGCTTTTCATTGCGTAATCGGTTGGCCAATCGTCAGCGACGCTTGATCGACTCAAGCCAGTGCTTGTCGCTTCAAAAAAAACCAATTTCCTAATAATGACTCAGATCGAAAAATTCATATTGGAAAATTATCTGCTATTCGAAACCGGAAACTGAAAACCTAATCGGTAATGTGGATCTGGGCCCTGTCCGGCCTCGCGGGTATAGGGATGTTTTGTCTAGAATTGAGAGACAGAGGGGTGGGTAGAATCGGACGAAGGTGGAGCGTGAGAGAGGGGATGATTTGTCATACAGTTCCCGGGCGCCTATCGCCAGAGGGAGAGAACGTCAGTGGCAGAGGGGTCTTTTTTGAATAAATTTAAAACGATCGGTTGCTAAGACCAGCTTAAGCAACACGTTGCATTAATGTGGTTTTGGGAACTAGGTACAGCAGCAACAATAATCCCGGGAATTCTTTTCAGCCAGTGTATCCCATCTTATGAAATTTTCACGTGCCTCTGTTCCTGGCCCGCCGTCGACTTTGAAGCTCGATTTAGGGGCCTTATAACATGAAATCCTTCGATTCTCCGTCCTCTGGCGGAATAGACTCTCATTTTTCCGATAGAGAGCCTAAAATATTTATAAAAGGCAAATTTAAAAAGCCAATTATGCCTAGTTTTGGGGTACATAGGGCATAATTTGCATGGTACGATAACGCCGTGATTTCGCCGATCTGACTGGCCACACTTTCCCCTGGATTGCTGTGCTAAAATTCCCATCATTTGCGAAATGATCGCGGGAGGAGAATGCCCTTAAGCTCTCGTTAGTAGCCAGAATAAGAAAAAAATTTGGAATGTTTCGCTCTAAAACCGCGGGGAGCTGGAGCGGCATTCATTCCTGTTTTGGGGCATCCAATGGCACTGCTTTCTTGTTTTAGCGGGAATTGTGAGAGGATGGTTTATCATACTGCCGAATTTACAACGAAAATCGCACAAAATAACGGTACAATTTAAAGATTGTGAGAATGAATGAATGGCCGGTGAAATGAAATGTAGCAGCTCACAAGTTCACACCAAATCATAAGCAGAAGCGGGTAGGACAATTCGATGGATTGCATGAGATCGAGGCCCTTTCCGGAAGTACCTGGGCACCTTTTTCACCACCTGCAAACGAGCGCATTGTCTCTTCAGATTGGTATGGATTTTCGGTGTTAGACGATGTCCATGCACTTGGTTCAGACGACAAAGAAGTTCGGTAGCGTTCCATTTTGACACGAAGACGGCTCCTGAGCTCAACTTGCGCCAAATCAGGATCTCACTACTGAAAACTTATTTTTTTTTTGAATAGTTTGCTGGCTCAGAAACTTACCAAGGCACAAATTCCTCAGCTATTTGTTCGATCTCACAGCCAACAATTTGTCTCGACTTGGTCCAGTTCTCCCATTCGGCGTTCCAGCTGAAGGTGTATCAATTTTATCGATACAAGCGCGTAAATTGGTTTCCAAAGTGATTCCTGAAACTTACTCAAAATGTAGGGAATGATAGAGAAACGCGTCTAGTGAAACCAGAAAGTATAATTTCAGGAATGCACCCATCTCGGGGAGTCAATCAGGGTGGTTGAGGGGTGAGTAAATGGTTCGGGGATCCGAGAAATGAGCTGCAGATTGGTTAACGGGGTAGTTTTTGGCGCGAAAGATGGTAAAGGGCAAAAGCGGGTGTAAATGGCCGGGCTATGACATATGACCGATGAGAAAACTCGGATCTAATGTTTACATTGGCTGTGGTCACCGTATAGGTTTTGGTAGAGCCCCATGTCTTCCGAGTGCCTATTTTTCTGCATCGTTGGCTGCGTTGACATGATTTTTTTATTTTGGTTCTTTTTTTAGAACAGCAAATTTTCCTAGGCCGGGGTGGGTCGATTCATCCATTTACCGGCGATTTTTGTCGGTTAATTTTTGTAATCGTATTAATATTTATATTATAATTTTTTGTAGAGCAACGCCATCTTAGAAATTTCCAGCGACCCAAGGGAAATTGACCCGCAACTTTTTCCTCCGAGAAACTACGCCCCGAAGCAATTTGGTCAATTGCAACCCCCGCAAAACAAAAATGAAAAGATGAATTTTGCTTTCACCTCCGTTCCTTTTTACCCCTCATCCACGCGATTCCGTCCCTTTCAGTGGTACCCATTTTTTACGGGTTTTTGTTCTTATTCACAGCTGAAATGGAGGAAATGGTGGTGGTCCTGGGTTTTCGGGGGTCTCCACTGAAAAGGACTAGGGAAATCGATGTGGAGTCCCGAGGCTAGTGAAATAGAACGAGAAGAGCAGAGGGGGCCCATATAAGGGGGGACACACACAACAGAGAAACGAGGGAGTGAGCTGGGACCCAGAAATGGAAGGAAAGGGCGCAGTCTTCCAAAAGCTTTTCCTTTCCCATCCCCCGTCTTTCCATAATTTTTCTTCCGGTCAGCCATCCTCATTGCAGGATGCTAACCACCATATTGATTTGCATATGTTACAGGCTACGGTTTTCAGAGTTTTTAGCTATTTTATTGTTCTTTTAATTACGAAATACTTTTTTACGGGACCTAAGACGCACGCTATTTGCTCATTGCAACTTTGAAAGTCAAAACTTTGACGCCTAGCATTCAGCTAGCCAAACTTCCCCAGTCCGTCGCGCCCCGTTTTCCCTTTTTACAACTCCGGCTGTCTCTCGATCCGATTTTAATTGTACTTTTTGCAGAAACCCCAAGCCTAGATGTGAAAGAGAACAAGATAAATCGATGGGAGACAAAGCTATATTGACGGAGGTGAGTTATGTCTGGCCAGAAATCGAACCCAGCCTTTTTAGCCGTCGTCTTTGTTAAATTACCCTCCAAATTTTCATTTTAAGGTCCTAGAGGCCTCCCGTCTCACCGAAGCCTATGCAGACCTTACGGCCAAGCAAATTATCAATGAGTAAGCCTATTTGAAAGTTTCCAGAAACAAAAATTACCTAGACTACGCCATGTGACAACTGACGAACCATCGGTCAGGTATGCCGCTATGGAAAATGATCGGGCCGAGTTGGGGGAGCCGGAAGATGCGCGGTAGGGCTTTGTAAAATTCAAAGAAAACATTTTAATTTGTAGAAGACATTCAGCCGACGATGGACGAAAGACATATACTGTAGATGACGCTGTTGAACATCTTGGCTTCGGGAAATTCCAGTTGAAACTATCGGTTTTGACGGGAATTGCATGGGTAAGTATTTCGAGCGGCATTAAGGATCATTTCTAAACCAGAATGGCTGCTTAAATTTGCATATTTAGATGGCTGACGCGATGGAAATGATGCTTCTATCGTTGTTATCTCCAGCATTGGCGTGTGAATGGGGCGTCTCACCGGTTCAACAGGTAATTTAAACATTTTTCGCGAAAACGACTATATTCTACTGCTCCAGGCGCTCGTAACCACCTGCGTCTTTTGCGGAATGATGTTATCGTCAACATTTTGGGGCAAAATCTGCGACACTTTTGGTAGAAAAACGGTTTGTTTTACTCTTAAAGGTTGCTACTTTATATACAAAATTAGGCTACAATATTAATAACGCTATTAATTGCATGAAAATTCAATATAGGGCTTGACCGCCTCAGCAATTGTGGCTGGCTCCATGGGAGCTCTATCCGGAATGTCACCCCATTTCTACGTTTTGCTCTTCCTCAGAGGACTAACCGGATTCGGAATCGGCGGTGTCCCGCAATCGTAAGCGCTAAGAATCCGATTTACACTCTTTTTATAAGTGTAACGCTGTATGCCGAATTCCTGCCCACTGCCCAACGTGCCAAATGTGTCGTTTTGATCGAATCGTTTTGGGCTATCGGTAAATGAGTAGTTCGATTGAACTTTTGGCCATTTTAGGCGCTGTGTTCGAAGCCCTGCTGGCTTTCGCTGTAATGGGAACTTATGGGTGGAGAGTGCTAATCCTGCTATCCAGTTTCCCGCTTATCTTTTTTGCCATCTGCAGTATGGTAGGTGACCTTTCAGACCGTTTGATCCTGACTTTTGGTTTTAGTGGTTACCCGAGTCGGCTCGCTACGATATGGCCTCTGGACATACCGAAAAAGCGTTGGCAACTCTGATGAAAGTAAATTTTATTTAAAAATTTCATTAAAAGTTCGGCAGGTGGCAAAAGAAAATGGAAAATCTCTACCACCCGGAGAGCTTGTCGCCTCAAAGGACGGATCGATGTTGCAGGTTGGTTTCTCGAATTTATTTCATTTCCAAAACTCGGCACAAATTATGTATGACAAACATTTAATTATGGCAAAATATGAAACAGGCATTTTCTATCAATCACAGCAATCCCGAAAATTTGGTCATGGAACTTGTCATCAATAGGGCTGTGGTGGCAACAATTTCGAAAAACGTCGAGACAAATTGGGGGATAGCGAAGCCAAGTTGGCCGCCCTGAGATTCCTTATCGTTATATTCAAGCACGGCAAAAAGTATCAAAAAGACGGCGCCTACCAACTAAAAATCCGATTTTTAAAAACACTTCGTTATATTGACTTACCAGAATGAACAAATGAAAATAGAGTGGTATGGTCGTTTTGTTGAAAAGGCCAATGATGCACATGAGAAATAGTGGCACACGAAGTAATAGATGGAGCTAAACGCATAACCACCGGCTTTTTGGTAATACTTACCATAACAATTACCCGGGTAATATTTCCGACGCTAGAGTGAGGCCCGTTATGGGGCCAGACAATTGTCAACAAAGATATCAGAATTCCGATGATACCAATGATGACGAATGCAAGTGCCATTCCCTAAGAAATAACAAATAGCCTGCTTGTTTTTTACCTTGATGAGTTTCGGCAAAGGCCGGTAAAACTCCTGATCTTCATAATAAGCCGGATTGAGGTGATGCTCAAGCCGGATTTGAGGAGGAGAATAATAGTAGTTTTGATACTGATAGGGCTCATGTGGAGGCTGGATTGGTTTCGATTGAATTCTATTTTTTCGAACCTGCATCGCTATGGTTGACGAGATATCTTCAGCATTTCGTTGCAATTGTTGAAAGGAGATTGGTCTATCCAAATTTAAAGAATGGAATGATGCCGATCGGAGTATCTAAAAGATTTTATTGTTAATAAATAAACGACATCGACCGTTTCCGGCTTGTTCTCCGTATCAGCTTCTGCGCTATGATCAATAATTTCTTCCTTGTCATCTTGCTGAAAGCGGACTGCGGTTTTTCATGACTAAACATACCAAATCGGGCAACGATTCAATACTTGATGTAATAATTGGTTCCATGCTTTTTCCATGAAGCTAAAAAGGGTATTTAATATAAGCAGAGGCGCACCGGTTTGGCAGGTGGAACAGTTGGTCTTTCATTTTCTGTGTTCTCCAAGTCTGCCTCGACATTTTCCAAAGTCGTTACGGGAGACTCTTGCTAGAGGGAAAGATGTAAAACATTGATTTTTACCGTATCAGAAAGCGGCTCGGCTTCTGCACCCTCTTCCTGCGAAACAGCATTTTCCATCCGGATTGGCTGCGCAGGGAAACCATTTGATTGGCTAGATACCTCATTTTCGACAATAACGTCCAATTTTTGGGGAGATTCGTTGGATGCCATTTGGAAAAACCAGAATGCGTCAGGGTCTCGGCGCCCCACTGCTTTTCTTGTTTTGGTCAATCATTGTTGGGGCGACACGTCGCGGTTGATCACCCTATTCGATTTTAGACAATGTCACTTTGATTCACGGATCCTAAGAAAACATCCAAAAAATTGGGGAATCGAATTCAATTTGGTGGTTTTGTGTTCGAATTCCAGCGCCACGTTTGCTTTTTGGACAGAAAAGCAAGCAATTATTTAAAGTGTATCGTGCCACTTTCATAGCCCAAGGACAATCTTTCAACAATATTTATCGCACCCAATTTGCCGGGAATTACAAGATTTCTTCTTGTTCCAGATCAAAATAGATGATTGTCCCGCCGAGCGCCGCATTTACAAGCAAAACACCACAATTCGCGACCGCCACAAGGCCGTCGCCTCCTTCCACGATTCTGGCCATCCATATCATTTGGAGGAATAGCTACATAATGAATTCGCACGATAAAAAGCCTAATATACCAAAATGCAAAGATGGAAATACAGTGGCACCGGCGTTTTCTTGACGATTCCGAGAATCGAAATCAGGAGCGTCGGTAAAGCGGCGAAGTTGTAGATCTGAAATTTTTGAAATTATTTTATCCCGAGGAGTAGTAAAAATACCAAATCATCAGCCATCAGTCCGGTCCATTGACCGTTCGCAAACATTTTCCACACGACCATTACCATTCGCACGACTGCCTCGAAAATCCCAAGACAGATGAAAACCCAAACCACAATCTAAATTAGACAACTCCAATTCGTTTATCACAAATCACGGCGGCGTATCGATGTCGTGGATCTCGTGGAGCGAGCATGTAACCTTGAGAATAATAAGTATTCTCAGCATTCTCTCCGTGTTCAGCATCGCCGGTGTAGCCATGGTTTGGATAGGCCGCTGGATCGCGCTTCAACTACAAGTTTATGAAAATATAATATTAAAAATAATGATATTCATTATCCACGAATACCGCTTCTTGTGTTTGTCCATTCGAACATTCGGTCAGTTCAATTTCGTTCATTTCTGGAGTTGCCTCTTTCATTTTCCAGTTAATCAATAATCTCTGGAAAGCCGATGGTTATTTTTTTTATATTTTTAGATTGAAGTACCAAGAATTTAATAAAATTTTATTTGGGTGAGTTACGACTGAAACTGGCCGGACTCTTCAAACTTTTATAGCGGATCCAGGCGGGTGATGCGACGAATACTAATCCGAGAAAAAAAGTTATTCTTAGCCAAACGCTTCCTTACAAAATCTCATTTCATTTCCATTTTACCTCGGTTTGCCGCGTTTAAATGCATTGCACAGATGCTTTTGGATAAGCCAAGGCTTGAATTTATTTTTCAAGGAAGAACAACAAGAAATACGAAACCAAAACACATTCAATTAATAAAAACAATAGGTGAAAAGGCTTCAGAAACGGTGCCGCAACTGTATTGTCAAATCCGCCGTTGAAAGAGTCCCCGAGATGAATCAGTGTGCAGATTAGCTAAGATTTAATATTTTTCTTTAGTATGATCAGTTGCGTTACCACAAAGTACAAATGCACGTAAATTGGAAGCGTGGTTCTCTTGAGATAGGCGATAACCGAGGTGAATATTAGTGGGATGCGGCAAAGGTAGAGCATCTGAATGCTTGAGAGTAAGGTAACGATAAGATTCTTACCTTCATGTTGACGGACAGTGCGAGAACATATTCTGATGTATAATAATCTTTGTCCTCGATTTGGGAAAAGACCATAGCATTTGAGAATACGATTTCTAGGAGGCTCATAGCAAAGAAAATGATGGGGAGAGCCTAAATGTAGTTATGTTCAGAAATAGACTAAACTCTCGTGCCTGATTCCACTGCGAAAAGGGTAGTGTCCGAGTTGGTGGGTCTTGGTAAATGATAGTATCTTCGAGTAGGATAGCTGAGGTTCGCTGGAAATTGGATCAGTTTTTGCAAATTAGGATTTTTACTTTTGCTACAAGACCTTCTATCGGTATTTCATTTGGTCTAGTTTCAGTTGCTTCTAGAGACGTATTCAGGTCGGAGCTGCTATTTGTATTGCATAGTTGCTAAAATATACAATAATAGTAAAAGAATTATGACAACCTCGATTTCGCATCTAGGCACTTCTAGTCCAATTTCAGTCGTAGCTTCATTTTCTTCTTTGTTCGATTCCGATTCCCAATTTAACTAAATCCCTCTGTTAGATATACATGAATAGATCCGACCTGTTCATGTTGCAAGTCAATCACAAATTCAGCTTCTGCCTGCTCGGCGGCTTTAACAACGGTTGAATGAATCTCGGACACACTTTGTCGGGGTTTATAGACGCATCCATCTTTCCCACAGACGATCGGCTAATATGGATATTTTCGGGTAATAAAAACTTACAATGAAGTCGTCAAGAGCCATTTCAACGTCTTCTTGTAACAAATTTGCCATAGAAAACTTTGGAAATCAGCCTAGGCTGGAGGGAGTGTTCGCATTTCTCCTCGCTCTTCCTTTTATATTGTGGAAAGTCATTGTGATGGCTGCCAATGTTATTAGGACATCAGCCGCCTCTCCTCGAAAACTTCACCAATTCATTCGATGTATTTTTTGGGAGAGCGTGTTTAGCTTCAAAAATTTATTTACAATTTCATCGCCACCCTATTGTCCAGTAGCCATATCGTAGCAAGGTGGCCGCAAGGACAATTTGCGAAATAAGAAGTAGACATTGCACAGTCGATGGGATTAGGAAAACATAATTTGGAAAATCGTCATAAAATACGACACGAAGCCCAGAGGAGATACTGAAGGCGATCTAAATTAAAAAAAAAAAACGTGAAACCCTGCCATAATAAAAAAGCTCACCAAAAAGGTCAAATACAGATAAAGCCAAGCCGGAGCTTTTCGTTTGATACCGTGGGAACAGAAAGCTAGGGCTAGAGGTCGCAAGAACAACAAAAACTAAAAAAAGTGTTTGAAAAAGATTGAACCAACCAAATCCGCCCAAATCATAATTTGGGCCTGTATAGAGTCGGGCAGTTGATTTCGATGCCAAAAAATCAAACCCAGAACCACGATTCCTATCGTAACCATAACTTCGGTGGCTCCAACCGCATAAAATCCGCATTGGAATTTCTGAAAAATCCAAAATAAAATTCACAAAAGCCAAGTATGCGAATACCTTCAATTGCCCCGATGATAAATAATCTCTAATAGGCATACGGTAGGGTGGCTTGATCTCATAAACATTTCGAAAAGATAGAGGCCCATGACGACTAGGGCGATAGGCGTAGATGACACTGGGCGGCTAAAAATAATCGAAAGAAAAAGCATCCAAAAGGACGAAAATACGACTTAAAAGTGAGGTGATACCCTTTCCAATACATATTCTCTTGAAGCTTCACGAGAACGGAGCATTTATGAAAATTTACCCATAAATAGAGCTTCCAAATGGGAAGGGGGTATTGAACGGAAAGACAAGCACAACGCCCCCGTATTTGGCTTTATTATGTCTATGGATTAGCCAACTCATTTATTTGGCTCATTCGTGGAACGAGGCATTTTCTATTTTCTATTTTAGGGTGACAATCGTGGTCATCTATCCAATCTGCTGAGTCCTGACTTGCGAAAGACGACGTTGTTACTATGGGTGATCTGGTAATTTAAATTACCTCTAAAATAATAATGCTGTAGGATGGTGAACGCATTCTCCTACTACGGTATGGTGCTGTTTACGACTGTATTGTTCCAATCACACGATGAATGCCATGGTGGACTCTTTTCGAATGGAACGACATTGAGGTCAGAACATAAGGAAAATGATCAAGCTATATTTTTAGTGAATGTCAGCCACTGACTCAAAAAGATTACTTGGATCTACTGTGCGCCACGTTGGCAGAATTCCCAGGTAAAATTAGATCGCAAATTGTATTTTGTTGAAAATCCCAGGCTTAATCATCACGGTATTTATTATCGAGTGGCTAGGCAGAAAACGTACGATGGCCGTGGAATTCGCCGTGTTTTCGATCTTCACTTATCTATTGTATTTCTGTCTAGATCGGTATGATTTTAATAAATTTTTAGTAGTCTTTCCTTTAGCTTTACCGTCACGACGTTTATCTTCATCGCGCGTGCGTTCATATCTGGCGCATTCCAATGTGCTTACGTCTACACCCCAGAGGTAAGACCGAATCTAGTGGTATATTTTTTTTAGGTTTATCCAACCACTTTGCGAGCTGTCGGTTTGGGAGCTTCTTCGGGGATGGCAAGAGTTGGGGCGATTTTGACACCATTTGTGGCCCAGGTAAGTTTCAGAAGATCCCAAACCAAGCTAATAAAATTTCAAACTCTTTGATTTTAGGTAGCATCAGAACGTAGCTTGGCGCTACCAATCGGAATCTACGGTACCGCAGCACTTTGCGGGCTAATAGCTGCCATTTCATTGCCAATCGAAACGAAAGGACGCCAAATGACGGTTGGTTTTGGCCTCTAGCTAGCATTTCTCGCTCCAGATCCCAGATGATTCAATATCGAATTACAATTTCAGGATAACCACTAGCGACAGTCTGCCCTACCCATCATTTCCTAAAGCCTTCTCCCACCCTGCTGCATATCTATCTATCTGTAAATAGTGCAATATCCTTCACTCTTTTTCTCCTCTTCATCTAGTCAAAAACTCCAATTTTATTTCGGTGTCTCTGCCGTGTTGTGATAAAACGCCATAGCATCTCGGTCGACATATGTTTCGTTGTGCTTTTTCGGTTGCTGCATACACCTTCATTTTCGTACTCACTTCTCTGTTTTTGGCCAAGCTGTCATTACTAGTCAGTAGAATTTTGTGTAATAAATTGTTAATGAATAACGATGGCAACATACAGACAAATTTTTGGCAGCAGGGCTGGCCTTTGACCTTCTCGTTATCAATTCTCTCACGCAAACCGCCACAGCGGTCAGTTCTCCCAAGTTTCTTCCTAAAATGCATCCACTCGAGTATTGGGGAATTCTCAAAGCTACTTTTATTTTATTACTATCGCAATTTATCACAGCTGTTTGGAGAACTGGCCTTTTTCTGATTTATCTCCGCCATGATCGAAAAGTTGGCTCTCGTTTCTATTTTTCTTAATGCTTTTTAGATAGTTTCCCCAATTACAAATCCCATTCTGCTAAGGAGTGCTACACAATTGGTACAAGATATTCGATCTGGCCAGGCAATTAACAAATAAAAATAAAACAACGCTTTTAGTTAAAATGCCATAAGCTAATGTTGGCGTACGTTTCCCGACTGCGGGAGGTTTTTAATGAAATTTGTATAATTATTCAAATCATTTAGGTCAATCCAATTTTGAATGCGGTAGCTGAGGACTATGGCGAAAAAGCTTTAAACCGTGCTCAAGAAATCGACGTAATTCTGCAAAAATCCTCTGAGGACGAGCGTCAGGAAGTAATTTTCGATTTTGCGAACTTGAATGGTTTTAAGATTTACAAAAAGCAACCGCTTCTTGGCATTCCCTTTACCTGCAAGGATCTATATGACATTGAAGGTAAGCGAGTTCATTGAAACAGACCTACCCTATTTTCAAGGTACAAAGACAACTTGGGGAACATGGAACCGCCGTGATAATGTTTCGAATCATACCCATGTGGTAATCCAAACGTAAGCTAGTGGCAAGGAAGCCAATTTTCTTGCAGGATGATCGATGCTGGGGCGATACCTCTGGCAAAAACGACGGTACCAGAAGGATGTGTATTTATCGAGTCGGTCAATCCAATTCAAGGGACTACGAATAATCCGTATGATACAAGGTCAGTCTCGAAAGGTTTAGCAAATAATTCGTATGATTATTTTGAGAAGGAACGCTGGTGGGTCCAGCGGTGGTGAAGGTGCTCTTCTAGCTGCTGGAGCTTCAATAGTAATATTTTGTTTTGCATTTAAACAACCAAATTTTTACGATCGGTCTTGGTAGTGATTTGGCTGGCAGTATTCGGGTACCAGCCGCTTTGAATGGGGTCTACGGCTTTAAGCCGAGCGTTGGTAATTTTTTTGAGTTAGAGTGCAGTTTACCCGCCCCCCCCCCCCCCCCCCAGCCGGCGCCCAACTTTTGTATCTCGACTCCCTGTTCCTCTACAGGCGTGTGGCGTGTAAAGTATACCAAAATACTCGCCAGAGCAAGACGAGCATTTTGGTATTTTTTACACACCTGTAGATAACCAGGGAGCCGAGAAACGGTACGTGGGGGTCGGCTGGGGGCAGGGAGGAGGGCGGTAAACTGCACTCAAACCATTTTTGATTTTTGGCTAAACACGGTTTTAGGCGCTTTTCCTAAAGCTGATTTGGTTGGAAATCCGGTTGAGCCCCTGTGGAACTGTTTTGGGCCATTATGTCGGTATGCAGAGGATGTGGAGCTGATGCTCAAGGTCCTTCCAAATCTAAATACAGCGCACTTTTTGTTCTAGCTGTTCTGTACTGGTGAACGGTCTTCGCATGTTAAATCAGCTGAACATTTTGTGATCAAAGACTTTTTGGTGCCGATTGACATCCCAACCCCGTGGATAGCCAAGAATACTGCGGAAAATCAGAAAATAGCCGGCGAGGTTCAGTGTTTCGCGGATTGTTTTCGGATCTTCCGTTAGGTAGCTAAAGTTCTATCAGCCGAATATGACGTTCCCGTGGGGACGATCGACGTTTCACCGATGAAATCCGATTACATTGATGTTTATATTGCAAATTATGATGCTTATCCGACAAAGCAAAATCTACCGGAAGCGCTGAAATCTCGAATGTTGGCCGCCGGGAAAGTAAACTTTTGCAGTAACTTTACGAAATGTCATTTCAGAAAAATTTCCATGCCATCACCGAGATACCTAAATGGCTCCTAGGAAAATCAAAGCACTACCTAGCTGCGATTCTCCTATTCCATTTTTTCAAACGAAAATATACAGATACTGAACGCGATCTGGTAAGATTGGTTACACTTTGAAACCTGTTTCAGTATGTCCTAAAACTCGAAAAGCAAATAGTACATTTTCGAAAGCTGTTATCTAATAATAAATTTATTATTCAACCGAGCTGGCCGAACCTAGCCGGATTTCACCATGCGGAATTATCAACGCCAAGCCTGGGACACACCGGTAGCTTCAACTTTTCGATTCAGATTTTTTTCTCAGCAATCTACAACCTCCTGGATTTGCCAGCCATTGCTTGCCCTGTTGGTTTAAATGATGGTGGTCTACCACTTTCCGTTACGGTAGGCAATTATATTGAAGGCCAATACGCTACGCTAACAATTTTTAGGTTATTGGGCCCTACGGCAGCGAGTGGAAGCTTCTAGAAATCGCGAAAAAATTGGAAGAACTGTACAGCGGATGGAAAGAGCCGGGAAGCAAGAAACATCATTGAATAAAGGTTGATACCCTTAATTTGCATTAGTGGATTGGCAGGAGGGTTCGATTACGAAAATTGATTAGAGGGGGGTGGGTGGCCATTATGAGATATCCTGCATCGGGGGTGAGTACCCTCAAGGGACAGATGTCTCACTGGCTCTTGAGTCCGTTCCGAATGCATCCAAAGCAGGACATCCTTTCTGGCGCTGTCTCTTGCATCTTGTAATTTCCTTATTGCCGTATTGGTTCTACCATGTTTGTTAAGATCGCCTCTCCAATAAACTCTGCCTTACCTCTATTATCGGAAAGACAGATCTTAGCCTGGGAAAAATAGCTATTAATCCGAACAGGAAATGTTCAAGACAGAATTTTCGGTAAACACCGGAAATAGATCGAACGCCGGTAAGATGGACGTGCTAAAATTTCTCACTAAAATTCGAACATCTGTTTTCCCAGCCTATTCAAATCCATCAGCTTCACCCCACCACTATACCGACTTTTTCTAATCGGTAAGGGCAATCGGTTAACACACTGGGCAATTTGTACGGCCCCTGGGCGTGTGAGTGTGCGGGGCCATAACTCTATTGGCCACCGGGGGCTATATAGGAGGAAGGGCCCCCACAGTGGATGGTGGTGAATAATGGGAAGTGTAAGGTGAGAGTCAGTTGGTCGGGCCTAGTCTGGATGGCTAGTCCTTACTATTGCGCGTACTCTTCCGCATCACAACCCGTACACTCTGTGCCGGCACGCATTTATGAGCTGCCAACATCATTTACACCCCCGAATTCCGAGGACTCTGTTATGTTTATTGCCATTTTTATGTTTCTTAAGAGGTATGAGCCAGATGTGGGGTTTGTAGGAGCTAGCTTGGTCTTTCAGAGGTTTGCCTTGAGAAGCTATGTACTGCCTTTCATTCGGAAATGCCCAAGGCCTATTTCACGACCCCATTTCCTTTGTTCGAGCCCGTCTCATCAACAGCCACTGACAAAGCAGTTCCGCACTTTACTTTAATTTCCTTTGCCATTCCTATTTCCGCTGTTTTTCGTACACAATCAAAGCAGCAGACCTCAGAAGTGAGCCTGCGACATTAGTTTCCTTTTTATCGATAGAGCACTACACATTTTTGGATCTCTAGAATTGCAAAGCGCACATTTTCAAGCGCTGATTGATAGCCAGATTTATGCATTGCCCGCAAAAATATACTATACAGCCATCATTCAAAGTGTCCATCGCCAATTCGTGTCGGTCCCACACGTTCGTGCCCGGCGCTATTTGATATTCACAGCGTTTGGAAGGCAATGGAAGGCGGCAGGTCGGAGCAGTTACACAGCCATACACCAAACGATTGCCCGGGGAAAGGATGCGAACGGTTTAGTTTGGCCCTAAAGGGGGCAAGGCACCGATTCCGCGCCCTTTTTTTGTCATCTGGGAACCTGGGCCGGGGGGATCCGGATTTGCACTTTTCCGTGTGTTTTTAGTCAAACATTGAGCCGACGTGTGGGGGTGCGCGTTCGGTCCTGTCCAAACACAAGGCTTTCTGTCGAACTCTGTAGGTAATCTTATCAGATGGCTGGCACTGTATTTTCCCTCGATCGTTGTTCATCAATATCTGGCCTCTACAATATTATTTTCTTGATTGAACCGGGAAGCCAAACATTCTAATTTTACCCCACCCTTTTTCTCATCTCAACCCCCACTTGTAATTTGATCCGCAAACCGGATCCTTTGAATCCGTCTGACTATGGAAGGGCTGCCATTGTTTCCTGGAAACCGCTTCAATTTTGTGCACATCCCGATTCACAAATTTAAAGGGGATGTAGAATACCATTCCTGGAAATAGGCAGACTGCCGCAACGCACGCTAGTTTGTCCCTGGTTGAACGTGAAAACGCTCAGCTACCAAAATTCTGACCTTAATTCTGGAATCCTTGGGCTTATTTACACATTCTAGCCATTTTAATGGCGATTTCAGCAATTTTAGGTGCTCTAGAGGCCTTACGACATCTAATCCACGGGCCCCCAAAAAGTGTATTTTGCCCCCAAAACCGCTTCATCTTTTATAAAATATTGGCAGCTTTTTGACGCTGCTTTTCGCATTACCCGATTCGTTTTTGACAAATAAAAATCCGCGGCTTTTCGCCTGCCAGTCGCTAGAAATTTTCTGAAGTTAATTCCTTATCCTATGCTCTACCCGCGAAATTCCCTCGACCCAAATCGCCCTGGGAAGAGCCAATTTGTCGAGAAGCCAGGCAGCGGGAGCAATCAACCCCCCTTCGACATCCATCTCTCGCGTATGCAAATTTTCCATCCCGAAATGGCGGGCAAGGGGTGGGTGGGTGGTAGCTTCCCCCAATAGAGCCATTCCATTCTTGCTATTCGCAGCTACAATTATTATAAAGGGCTTTGTTTGTACATATGGCCACGGTTTGTCGAGATGATCCTCCGAGGGGTCTCGATTGAGATTAGGGCGCCAGCCGGCTAGGAAATTGGTCTTGTGAGTGTCCTTTAAGCTCTTTTCTTTCTTCTCTTCTTTCAGTGAGACCCGAATCTGCAATATTCTTTTCGGCTCTATTTTTTAGCTTTCAGACGTTCAGACTATTTTTTTAGATAGTTCGTGCCGCAAAAAAATAAGTTAGAAATGATTTTTATGCCATTGGAAAGCTCTCGAAAACATGAGCCTACTGTTTTATTTTTAACAACTTATTCCGTTTCGGGGGTTTCGTTAGGTACCTAAGGCGTAAAAATACGAGACCCTTCGAGTCGGTTCGAAGGGTTAGCTTTTGGCACAATCTCTATCGATGCTTAAATTTTTTAAGTGAATCTACTTTGCCTTTTTTAAACCAGCTTTTCGAGAAAATGTTGCCGTCTGATGTTTATCTGGTCATGTGCTTTCGGGTTACCCTTTAAGCATTTGAGGGTTCCGGGATGTGATTGCGAGCAAGAAGGGGATGCCCCCCCTGCTTTCCCCCAAATTGGGCCTTTGGCCCAGTGCCAGCGGGGCCTTTGTGTTGAAACCGGGCTGATGATGAGATGTGGGGGCCGCACACTCTCCAACCCACCCCCCGCACTCACTGATCTTATCCATCACAACGTTCGGGTTGATTTGATATTAGCTTTCGTCCCATTTCCAAGGTCTCCGTTTTTTTCAACGGACCGCGAAAAGCAAAGCCGTTACGCGAGCGCCATGAATAAAAAATCCCGGTGGGAGTCTGGTGGAAAAATGGACCATGGAGGCCTTCTGGTTCATTCGGGCTTCAGAACCACACACGCTGGGCGGTACGTTTGTCGAATTTTAACAACCCGTCGGGGGTGATAAGCTTTCGACAGAAGACAAGGTGACTCACCCGGCGTCATTCGGTTTGTCTCGACACTTTCTCGCGCTAATGGATTTTTTTTTACGTGGGAGGGATTGTCCAACGGCAGTTTGGTACAGAATTGCTATACATATCTTACATGGAATTTAATACCGTATCTCCTCTAGTAATTTCTTTTTCCTCTTATCTTTGAAAAAATAGAAATAGAGACTCCGCTTCAGGTGATTCGAAAAAAATTCGACGCCCTAACCTTATATTAGACAAAACAGGGTCAGTATCATATTTTATTGATGAACGTTCACCAGTCCATGTTTTCCATCGGTTTTCAACAATTGAATCGACTGTCAATTCCATCAAATGCCCCCATTCATCTAGCCGCCAATCAAAACCAGTTCATTTGTGCGCTGTGCAAAAGGAGGTTGAATGTGCCATTACCAATCCATCATCGAGCGAGCCCTCCTCCTCCACCTCCTCATCCTCCTCATTCCTTTTCCATCTCCGGTTTCTATGGGCTGCAAGAAACCCCTCCGTTCGGAGGGCTTCTCTGACCGTCATAACAAAGGAATTTACGGGGGCCCCCTGGGTTGCAGGGCGTTCCAGTTCTTTCTGTTTTTTCAAGGGTGTTTTGGGTCGGTCTTGGGGCTAGTTTTGGGATATATTCGGCAAATTCATGTTTTTATTAAGCAGATAGTGAGTGTCATCAAACGCACAACATTTGGCCCGGTAGTGACTAATTCATTGCAAAGTATCCTATTTCTAAACCTACACAATAGGCGTTTCTAAGCTGTCGCCAGTCCTCCCCATAAGCTGCTAATTGTAGGGCCATAAATATGCGAGTGACCACCACCCCTGTTCTCTTGCTCTCTTTCTTCTAGTGACTGGTCCCAAACAGCCATTGACCCTTAGGGTCAGCCTTTTGGCCGGTCCCGGATGGCCAGGTGGACCCTTCCACCCCGTCCTTTCCTCTATGCCCTCCTCCGATCATCCTTTCTCTCATCATTCGTCTTCCCGTTCGACCGTAAAAGCCTCTGCAAAGCCCCTCTCACACCCGCACACTAACGGTCGCGCCTCGCCCTTTGACTAGCCCTCCGGCGTTTCGATTTTTACTGTTGCCCTTAAATCACTGCCAAAGCGCGCCTGCAATCCCGCCTGTCGGATTGTCACACTTTCGCTTTGTCTCCTGCGAGAGATACGGTCTGGCGGATTACCGGCGGATTTTTTTTTGTACAGTGAAACAGGGGGATTCCAAAACACGCCAATGGCCTAGGGTAAAACCAGGGAAGGCCAGCTCAAAATTGGTACAAATACAGAACCGCGGGACAATTTTGGTGGTACAATTTGTGTCAATTCTATGCGAAAATATGGCTTGACTGGCTACCCACATAAACCATCTCTAATTTGAAGCTAACCCTGGAACACCTCGCTTTTTGAACACTCCACCCTGAAAACGTTGCAGAGAATTTTTCCGATAAGAAATAATCCGCAAGCCAGATTTCAGCAAAAATGAACAATGATGGGAAATCGGCGTTCGCCTCGTACGATTTCAAGCAAACGCCAAAAAAATTAATTTAATAAATAATTATCTTAATGGAATCTATTCTGGGCTCTAGAAAAATCCTCAAAGTTTTCCCCCTTAAGGCTTCGCCACTTTTCGCCTCAAGAACAGGTGCGTGCGACAAAAAGGCAACCGCTAAATTCCTCACCGCGCGTTTTTTTGCAGTCTCACCGCGCCCCCGGGAATCCGGTCCAATCCGTGTGTTTTTGTTATGGAATTCGCAGGGCGGTGTTCATTTCGTTGCTCGATCCCGACATCGTGGGATCGAACTATGGCCTACTTGTTTACCCTGCAGACAGTTTTGTTTGTAGTTTGTCGGCCTGTGCCCCCAACTGGGTCTGCCTTTTCCCCCTGACACACACCGACATATGGGCCACATTTGAATATGCATGCATTTATGGCCGCCCGTCCATGGGCTTTACGACATGATTCGTTAGCGTAAGGGTCTGATTTTGCTCTTGATACTAGCCGGGTGGGGTTGGCCAGGCAGATGGTTACGTAAAAAGTAGTAGTACGGTATTACATGGCCTAAGGTTGGGAATTAGGATTCAGCTTTTTTAAGTTAGAAGTCCTTCACTACCTCTCAAATCTGCCATAAAAATGCATAATTTCTTCGTGCTTTCTGCTTTCTTGTTTTGGTCTCTCGTGATTCTTTCAATTTATTTGCTTACAGGTACCTCTTACATACGCGCTCGGTACCTCTACCACTAAAATGGAAATTGACGCAAAACAATTAAAACCTAAGGTACGTTTAGAAGCATAAATTCTCATACAAATTCTCTAGCCCTCACACCTGAACCGCTTCTTTGACAGACTTCGTGGAAGTAAAGTGGCAAAATCAATCCCGCAGGTAACTTTTCTAGCAAAAACCGAAAACCTAATATTGCATTTTAGGACAAAGACTGCGATGTAAACAAGGAGAATTTTGTAATCGGTAATGGAATCAGCAAAGAGGAAAGTTTTCAAAAACAGCCGCTAGAAAATAGAAGGTAAATTAATATAAAGGCAAGTAATTTAAATTTAGTCCACGCGATAAATCACGTTCCCCCTTCAACCGGCTAAAGCAGCGTCTATCGCTAAGAAGAAAAGTAAGCATTTACCCGAAAAATTAACGATTTTTGTAGCAATACTCCAGTAAATAAAAATTACCTTGATCTTAGGCTGGGGATCGGGTGGACGATGTCAAACATAACCCAGAAACAATTGCAAGAATGTCGAGAGAAGAGCCGGACAACTTCAGCCAAGTGAGTGCGCAAAGCAAACAATTTGCAAACAAAAAAATTAGCAGACCCCGCTCTCTGCCCCTAGATCGGCGATGAGCGAAAACGATGTCCGCTTTTTGAGCTTATCACTGGAACCGGTTTGTTGCCAAAATAAATCTTAAAAACATTTTTTAGAACCCATCCAATGGAGAGCTTGCTTATAAATCTACCTACACCGGATTCTGCTCAAATCAGAGTACCTCGAACCATGTGAGTTATATGATACTAACAGGGAAGATAAGCTATCCCGCCCATATCCATCCTCATCTTCAAAAGCCGCTTCCGAAAAACAACGGCCCCCGTTTTGGAAGTTCCATATCCGGGGGGCTCGCAAAATGCTGGCTAGCAATATCTCCCTGGGGATAAATTCCCCTGTCTGCAAATGGCGTCTTCTCAAAAAACGAACAAGCCCGCTCTTTTAAGCAACTTTTCCAAACACATAAATATCATCTGGAACCTTGTGCATATTTTCGACACTGGCGCCATCTTGTAAGAACCATTCCGCGACCATCAAAAGCTGCGAAAAACTGCCTTGGCAAATTTTTTCGGGCTTCCTAGCCCATTCAGAGTTTTGTGAACTTATCAACCTCGATTCGAACATTTTGAAGAAGTTTCAGGTGGGTCTTCAATCAATGAGCCTGGATGACGTATCGATGGCAAAAGAAAATGGACCCCCAGCCCGGATCCCGTCATATTTACGCATCTCTGTTGGAGCACATGGATACAATTCAAAGTAAGTGCCCGAATCTAAAGCTTTCCACGACAATGTGAAATTTGTCAGGCTCAATTTATAACTAGAATATTTAAAGAACGACTTAAAAAAACTAGTACCAAAAAATGAATGCCCAGGGTTTGATGGGAACATCAGCTGTGAGATGTGAGAGAACACAGAAAACAAAGAAAGAATACGTGTGAACGAAAACGCCCACCTTTCAGGGCAAAGCCAACCGGAATGATCAGCCTTCACTCTCCCCACATTGCCACACTCTCAAATGTGGAACGACTGAAGCTTTTCCACGAGAAAAGTATCGACACAACCAGCCCGACAAAGTAAGTAGGACTTTCTAATGCTTAATTTCATTTTTATTATTACTAACAGATTTTTTACACTGCTTGACTTTAATTTCTAAAACATCAACTCCGCTTTTGAAAACTCTAGCTAATTCGTAAATACTAGATTCCCCTGGAAACGAACGAAATTAAGTACCCCACTACCAAATTCCCATTCGCAAAAATACGCCCTCAATATCTTGGAAAATTGCTCCCGCCGCCACGTCCTTTCAACCGCATAAAATACACGTCGTAATAGCTTTAGCTCCTTCTCCGGCCAACTGAAATATTTCAATTTTGGTGCGACTCCTTTTCTCGTGTTAGAAATACGGCGCGTAAGTGGCCGGCAACTAATCCCTTGGCGCTCGAAAGCTTTGTCCCCGCCGCGTCCTCACAATTAGATGTGTGGCAGCGCTAATTGGCGCTGAGCTCGAGGGTATTGCTTGGAGATGAGATTTGTTACTCTCGATTTTCACTAGTTATTTATTTTAGTCTCTTTTCGGTCCATTCGGATTTTGAACATTTGCTATGCTAATAAGGAACGTTTTTTTTCAGTCACCCGGACGACCCAAAAAAAAAGTATTATTATTAGTACGAAGCACCAGTAATTACGACTGCCCGCCGGTTGTCATTCCTTGTCGCAGCACGCGAAAATTTCACAACAAGATCTGCCACTCCAGCTGCCTCTTTAACCATCCATTTCAAATGAACAAAGCAGCCTCCACCGCACTTTTTCCATAATTTCCATACTCCATTTGGGACCAAAATTCCGCAGCTGGCCCTCCCCACATACTATCTCGACCTCCAAACATGGCATTTCTGTCATCGCTGAAAGATTTTCTGCCGGGCTTGCCTCTGTTTTTGCGTTGCAGCTGGCCCACCCGGTCGGTCGATGTGGGGGGATGGGTTGACGCTGTCCATGCATGAATCCTTTCAATAATTACCCTTATTTCTAGCTGAATAGCCCAGATAGCCTAGACCGACAAACGAGGTTGGTCCCTTTCACAAAGAAAAGGCCCCTGATTTTTGTCCTTACTAGGGGGACGGCACGTGGGCTTTTGTTATTAGATGTTTGATTCATTAGGGAGCTTATGGGAAGAGACAGCAGATTCGGTGGTGCACAAAATCTTACAAAGAATACCTTACTCTAGGATGAAGCGTAGCGCATGCATTCTTGTAAACATAGGCATATGCTGCATTTTTCTTTGCATTCAACCCGCATTTCGAAATGAGCTATGCAAAGGGCACATCGTTTTTTCTTTTCGTCATCTAATGGCTGTTGCCTGCCGTAGGAAGGGTTGTGGCCGTATTGGCTGTTTATTCCTCGGGTTTTCACGCTTCAGACCCCCTCCCGTTCATTCTACACCCGCCACACGCAGGGCTATGATTCAGGAATGGCCTTCTATAGTCGTCAGCCCCGACTCCTACCATTATACTGGGGATAGGATCCGTATATTCGTGACCTGAGAGAATAGGATCTATACGTTGCTATTCCGATGTCTGTTATACTCTATATAGTAATGAGTGAATTACTCTATATCCGAGACGTGCTGAACACGCCAGCTGTCGGATACTGCGGCACGAAGCGGCGGGCGCACCAAAAAATAGGCCACTTTATGCCCCAGGGCTGCGCACTGATCCTATCGTTTATCGTCGGCCTTGGACTCGTCATTATCGCATGTTCCGGCGCCCATTCTCAATACCAGCCCCCTACTACTGGACACAATTTATTAAGCCTCTACGCCAAAACAGGCTATTTCAAAAACTTTCCATGCAATAGATTTTCGGAACGCGCTCCAGACTTCGAGAACTAATCTGTAGTCTTATTTTACTGGCATGCTTTCACCCCGAATCCCCCGCAAAACCAGTAGCACTCTGCAAAATGCAAGGGGACGCCCGGCTTTCCCCCTTCTAGCCCTCCCCACCCCGTTTCAACCGCCGCGCGCGCCGATTTTATGCCTTCTGGCTTCGTGTTTATGTGCGGCTTTCGATCACTGGAACTCTCTAGCTACTATATTCCATGAAAAAAGTTGTCTTTGTAGTCATAAACCACTAACAATCCCCCTAAACGAGTCATTGTCAAGAACCAGGGCTCTAGAAAGTCTTTATACCTGACCTTTCTTTCGTCATAAAGATAACTAAACTTAGGAAAACTCCCACTTTCTCACAAATTCGAAATATCAAAATGGAACTGATATCTCCATGGATCCCGCCTACCAACCCGCTCATTTCACAATCAATCATCATTTATCAGCTTTCCGGTCTCAACACGGCCATTCATCCCGTTTTGGAACATAGACAGGCGGCTTTGCTTCCATAAATCTCGGCTGCCTTGTCTCTCGTGCATAGATCAACCGGGGCGGGTGGTTGAGGCGGTGGATGGAAAAGCATACCCCGGGGATTTCACCCCCTCTATTCAACCCCCCATAAAGCCCTCCGGGAATCCCAACACAGTTCTTCGAAGCGGCCGTTTTTAAGAGTGTCTATGGTGTTTTGCTCGTGCTTTTCCGTTTTTTTCGTCGAATTCGCTTGAAATAATTGTTTAGATCACTACCACAATCTATTTTATCTAATCTTGACTCGTGACGAGTGGTAATGCCTAGATACATCCGTTTTTAGGATCCTATTACGGCTACAAAAGAGAACAGTCGCGCGCATGGTACCCGATACCACACCGTACATTCACCCTAGATAACTTAGATAGAACCTATAAAAAGTCGTAAAAATGTTTGCAACTGTTAGATATATTTAGAAGGATGCAATAATATTAGTAAAGCTATTGACCATCCCCAAGGCCAGGTAACCCCTGTGTTTTCTAGATTATTTGCACTCGTATTTCCATTTTCCAAATTCATATCGCTTATAACATAATAGATACCAAGCGCGGCATCCCCTTCCCCGATCAGCTGTCTTGAACAAATCAACACCAACTGTTCGCACCCCCACCCCCCTCCTCGTTCAAGTGCGCTTTTCGCGCACCCAGTGGTATCGGCCGTCTAGAAGCTTTGAAGGCAGTGACTAGAAGGGTGTTTGCTGCATGAGGGAACGGTGGGAAAGAAGAAGAAGAAGCAGTCGGGTCCTGTCCTCAATCTCTCCTTCTCTCCCCTACCCCCAATCTTTTGCCTCCTTGCACAAACCAGCGGATCGCCGCCAACCATCTCCATCCGCGCGCCGAATCCCCCCTTCCCGAGGCCACCCTTTTACGCCTCATTTATAGCCTAGTATAGTGGTTGCCCGCCGGGTTTTGACAGATCGCACCTTTGGGATGAGGAGGACAATTCGCATAAGAAGTATAAGCTTAGAACTAAGTGGCGAAAAATGGTACACCGCAAAGCAAGGCGCATTTAGACGAACTAGGCATTGGTGGAAAACGTGCAAATATTTTTCCCTTGTTATCGGAAATGAGCGTGCTAAACTACGCAAGAATACTAGGATTTAGAGGGAAAATAGGAATGCATTTAGCTGTTTGAGTCCGAAGTAGCGCCTCAAAAATTCCGCCCCTCATCCGCTCCGTAGCTTTTTCAATTCTGATCCGAATCTAGCCACTTTTTCATCGCTCTATAGGATTATAAAATTATGTTTCAACTAAAAAGACCAAATTTAAACCTTTAAAACTGAAACTGAACCATTCTGAGCACTTTTTCCGCGCCGCTACAATAGACGGTATAGCGGAATTTGGAATCACTGTACATTGCGGATCCGCGCGCTCCCGACTTTTTTATTTCTCGCTGAGTAACTTTTTCCGTCACTTTCACCCAACAAAGTTTTTTCGATGTTGATATTTTATGACGATCCCGAATGCTATACGTTGTGCAACTAGTTTTAAATGGCGTCCTGAAAACAGTTATTCTTCCCCACGTGCATTTTACCGCCATTCAAGCTAGCTATTTCTCAAGCCTTCCCAAGGCCAGACCGATCGCTACCCCTGCTGAGCCTCATTCAATGGCCCAATCGCCTTTCCAAGACAAAAAGTCTAGCGCAGACACATTGATTCCTGGTGCAATAGCATGATTGTGCGCGAAAGGTCTTGATTTAATCTCATTTTTACCGCCGCGATAGCTGTATCGTTTGTTAGTTTTGACCGTTTTGATTTGCAAAAGAACCTTTGGTCCGGTGTATCCCAAATTTCGGATATCTTTCAGTTGCTTAGAGCGCCTATCCTGACGAGCTCTTGAAAGAATTTGCTCACACCCTTTCTTCGTTATTTCTATTTTTCCGATTGATTATCGCTATTTACAGGAATCAACCTCTTGATAACGCAAACGGAAAGATGGGCAACGCGGTGGTAAAGCCGGCAAAGGTAGATCCCAGTTTGTTTGTTAATTTTTCCTTGTTTTCTAGGCCGGATTCGACCGTCTCAGCGGTTGTTGGAAGAAGAACAAGGTGGAGGCCGACGAATCGGAGCTCAAGGTCAAGCCGCAACTCGTCATCGGACAACCGATGGGGCATGAGGTAAGAGGCTTGATTTCGGGTGGACATTAGCGTTTGCGTTCTTTTACCTTGTTATTAAAGAAAATTGAGAACTATTGATGTTGGGGAGATCTTTTTTTGTCAGCTCTAGGCTTAGCATTAACTTGGCTTAGACTTAGCTTAGGAGTAGGTTAGGCTTAGTTTTAGGCTTAGCCTGGACTTAGCTGAGGCTTGGGCTTAAGCCTAGGCTTGGCTTAGGTTGGGCTTAGGCTAGGCTTGGCTTGGTTTGCTTAGGCTTTGAGCCCAGCTTAGGCCGGAAAGACCTCAAAAAAAGATGCCCTCCAGCATCAATAGCTCCGAAAATTGTATTTTTTTTTCAGATTAACGTGTCCTGCTGCCATTTCGACAGTACGGGCGCTCTCATTCCTGGTTCACTGAATGCCTTGCTCAGGGTACCCTTAGATTGCCCGTTTTTAACAGTTTTATAGGCTGAAGAAGCTAAGGAAGTGGCGGTGGCGACGCAAGAAATTCCACCGACCCAGGACAGAGCAGAAACGGTTCGTTTTCGATTCCGCCAATTATATCACATCGTGCGGGATTCTCGAAACTTTATACAGCGAGGCTTTTCGAATTTTCAATGCGCTCAGTACTTCTCATTGGTATTCCGTTTAGTAAAATGCTTTAATTAGGTACACGTCGCACGTGAGGAGAAAGAACCGGCCGGCAGCAAGGGAGTTGCGACCCGATCTATGGCACTGGTAAGCACATTTATCGTGCTTTCATGATTTATTTGTAAACACTATTGTTTTGGTTATGATCCTTTGATTCCAGGTTACGCACGACATCGACTTTTACCAAAAAACTTATAACGAAAGAAAAGAAGAGATGCGGGACCGGCTGAGCTGGATTGAAAAGAACGGTGCAGGATCTGAGGTAATTTTCCTACACTTTTCTTATCTTTTTTTTAGAACACCGAAGGGGAAGAGCTCATCCGACAAGTACAATTTGGCATCAGCATGCTTGAGAAGCGCAAGGGCAAGATGAGCGAGTTCGAGGCCCTGCTGGCCAAATATTTGGTTGGTTTTGGGTGCATATGCTGCCACTTTGCTGCGAATTTTTATTTATAAACCAGTTTAGAAACCGGTTGAGGGTGATCCACAGATCGTTACACTCAACGACCTGGCAGGTTGGATGGATCTACTGGATATGGAGGTAACATTCACCCCGTGGCAATATGTTGTTGTTTGACTTTAGTGGCGGAAAATCGACATCGCATACGCCAAACTTGTCGAATGCCATGCCAACAACTGGACTTCTCCAATCGTTGCGCAGGAGTCACCGGTATGCTTTCGATAATATTATAAAGGTTGATAGGTAATTGCGGGATAGGCGTTTTAGTAAGGATCGAAACGCCGGGTGTTAACACACTCTTACTAACATGTTCGGCCCTAATTGTCTAGAGCAGTCTTTTTTAGAATGTTTTTTTTTTGGAGAAGATTCCAAATTTTCCAAAGTAGTTAATTTCTCATTCCAGGTTCCGCCCACTGATAGCACGCCTGCGGCAGGGCGTTCCACCCGCCGGCTCACGCCCGAACAGCTGGAGAAACGCCGGGAAGCTGATGAAAAACGCCGCCAGGTACCTTTTGATGAGCGATGGTTTTGGCGAGCCATTCGAGGCCTGGTTTCTAGTTATGGTTAAGATCGGTTAAGTGGGTGTACATAGCTTTTTGGAAGATACCTTCGAATAACCCCTCTGTCAAATTTAGCCGAACTCAGACGGTCCAATGCTAAACCCGGTTTTGGCAAGTTCTGAGATTCACGCTTTTTGTCCAATGTGATCGCTCAGAACTCTACTAATCATTGAATAGCCCTTTCAGACATAGTTAATTTCCAATTTTCAGTTTATCCAAAAACTCCGAGCAAATAAGGTGCTTCCGCAAGCCGACACGACTCGCTCTGAGGTGACGGGCACATCTACTGATCAATGAATGCGGGTTTCTATGTCTCAATAATTCTTGTTGTTTTCCGTTTTATGTGTATTCATCCCTAAAAAAAGAAAAATTTTGGATAACTTTTGTTTTCCCCACCTTGTTGCCCTAAAACATTTCGTCTACAGCTTTAAGGTTGTTTGTTTATATGGTGCTCTAATTCAAATCGAATAAATTTGTTCGTTGCGTTTGGGCTGCGTATGTAGGCGAGAAAAAAGACAAATGACGATTTCGAGAGTCGATTGCATGCGTTCCCGCTTCCACCTCATCGCTGATCGAGCCATTGAAATGGGCCGTGGTTACTCATCGTGTGCCAGTATTTTTTCGGCCCGATAGCCTCCCTTCTCCGACGAAATGGGGGGTAAACAAGTGAGAGCAGGCAAATCGAAGAGCACCCAGACAGCCCTGGCACCGCCCTGAAGTAAAATAAAAAAGCTGCCCGGCTCCCCCAGCACCCTCAATCTACCCCCAAACGGCTCATTTCACCGCTGCTCATCCTCGATTTCCAACCGCAACATGGTAGGTGTTGTGTTTTATTTTATCAAGATTAATTATCTTGAATGCGTAATTGGGTTTTACGCGTTCCTTTCAGTTTTGCATTATAATTAATGGATTACTGTAGATGTAAGCTAGATATTTTTATACAGCTCGGATTTCAAGTACTCTTTAGTATATTAGCGCGAATAAATAAAATTGCTGATTTAATAACGCGTTACGATCAACAGATTGTAGGAATGTGCTCCTAGTCCCCTAGTTGAACCCATTAGAAATATTCTCACATTTTACCCTCCTTGAGGCTTTTACTACACCCTCCCCCCATACGACGTAAATTTAGCTTTTCTCAGGTTGGAACTTTGGCAAACATTACAAATCCATCGCCACCCACCCACGGAATGTTTTTAGCTGTCCCCCCAGATGTTCACTGTCATATTTTCCGCATTTATCCCCGTCCATCAAATTCCGTGTTGGTGACCTTGACTGAATCGGAAAACAACCCTGGTCGTTCTTTCGCCCATACCATTGATTTTATTTTTCGACTCGCGGGCGCCGAGGGCCAGGGCCGAATCTTGCCTGCCCCGTAAAAAACGAGGCTATTTGTTTGCGGAAACTGCCCGAGCAGGCGGCACAGCCCTCACCTTGTGGCTATTTCGCTGTGGATCGCTTTTTTTGAGCCCGGGGTTCCCTGTCAGATACGGAGGAGGCGGAGTGGGGTGGAATGGGGATAGCTGGGAACATTCAGAGATTTTGTGAGCGCTAAAAGAAAAGAAAGACAACAAGATAAGAAGTGTCAATGAATAAGCCGCGTAACCGGGTCGCAGAAAATCTACCTAGCTCAGCAAACTTCGGGGAAACTTGTAAACAGCCAGATAAGAATATTTACGCGAGGCACATTGGTTAAAGATATGCCTCCCATTTAAAACTTAAACATAGGCTGCCCCACCGCATGATGGCCCATACCCGGTGCCGTACACCACCAAGATGACGTCGCCTTACCAGGAAGGCCAAACCATCCAGCTGCGCGGAAAAATCAACCCCGATGCGAAGAGGTAACAGAAAACCCGGGAGCGCTTTTCAAGGTCTACTTCAGCGTTGAGTTCAACTTGCTCCGCGGCCATTCTGATCTGCCGGCTGCCGAGGCGATCCTTCACCTGAAATTCAAGTTTGATGATGGAAAGATCGTGCTCAACAGCTACCAGGTGATTCTCGATTTTGGAAAGAGTGATCGTTGACGTTCAGGCATTGATATTGGCCTAATTTAATACGCCGTTTTTCAGGGTGGTACCTGGGGTAAAGAAGAAAAGGAGTCACTACATCTGAAGGCTGGTGATGACTATGATTTGCGAGTCCGGTGAGATTTCCCAAGTTTTTTTCTATAATATCTAACAACCTATAGCGCGCTGGCTGATCACTTCGAAGTTCGTCTCAACGGCGTGAAAGTTCACGACTATAAGCACCGCGTCCCGTTCACGATGTCGGAGTACTTCCAGGTATTTTTTCTAGATTTTTTCGTAATAACAGGCTTTTACTGCCGGCTTACCAGTTATCAAACGAACTCATATTTTAGGTGAAAGGTGATTGCACGTTGACCCATGTGAACTGGGGTGGACGTGTCTATACCCTGCCATGGGAGACTGGTTTCGCCAACCAGGCTAGCATGCCTGCTGGTAAATTTATCGACCATTCCTTCAATCTCAACCTTTCTAGGACAAAAAATCAATTTGTATGCCGTGCCGAAGGGAGACCGCTGGAACCTGGATTTCATCGCCCGCAACGGCGATATTCTTTTCCACTGGAACCCGAGGTTCAACGAAAAAGCCGTGGGTGAAGAAACACGGTGAAGAAATTGCATTTAGATTGTGCGCAACTCGCAGAAGGCTGGAACTTGGGGAAATGAGGAGCGCGAGGGACCATTCCCCTTCAAGAAGGAGCACGGCAATGAGATTACGATCATCAATGAGCCGTATTCGATCCAGGTAGCTAACCAATAAAAAGAGAAGAAATCTATTTATTTCAGGTGATCGTCGACGGTCATCAGATCGGCACCTTCCAACATCGTACTGCAGACCCTGCTCAGGATTACATCGGGTTCCGCATTGACGGCGAGGTAAGGATCCTTCAAGACGTTTCAACGTGCTTTTTTTCTAGGTTGACATCGTCAACATCGACTACCGCCACCCACAATGACAATAACAAAACCATAACGGGCATACGCCGGCATTTTAATTGTGTTTTTATTTGTCCTTTATACGTGTGTATGAATAAACATCATCGGCATAGGGAATGTTGCAAAACACCCTCGAAAAAGCACAGACATAACAAAAAAACTTGCGATGGAAGCTACAAGGATAAACTATTTTTGCTTTCTTGACAGAATTATGCCCCGGTGTGTCTTTTTCTTACTGATAGCTATACTAGCCACTAATGGCGTATCCATTACTTCAGATAGCATGTCCTTTGAGGTATGTCTATCGTGGGTTGGTTGATGTACTATTTTAATAGGACAAATTGCCCTTCTGGCTGGTCGAGGGCGGTTGCGTGGCGCTGGCTGAAAATATGATGGCGGATACGGATTTTCTAGCAAAGGAATTTTGCTCAGGCATCGAAGGAAAAGCTGAATGTTAGGCTACCTAAGCACTAAAAATCTTTTCAGACGTTGGGGTCCTCAGATGCACAAAAACTGGGGTCCAAAAGCATTATTTGAGCATCAAAGCGGAGTTGGAGAAGACTGAGCAAGCTTGCAAGTAGGAGGAGGGGAATTTGTCTTTAAACCTTGAATTTTATAGTGATGTGATTGGGGCTTACGAAGAGTTGATTCGGAAGGCAGCTGAAGATTGTGGAAACCCTGCGGAAGCTATTCGCCTAGCAGCTCGTTCTTTTGTGTTTTACGTAAATCCGTTTGGATGGTGACTGGAGGACTGATTATTTAGCTATCCGAATTGATCTTGGAAACCCCGGCACCGGCTGTTGGGCTTTGTCAATGGCAATTGAGGCAATTCATGAAGCAGTTGGAGCAAGATCCAACCCACTTTATTGAAAAAGTCTAGTCGATTTTGATAAATGCCATATTGATAGTTTATCCGGTAGACACTTGCCAACGCCTGGTTATATCTCTCTGTACCCTATTCTCGGAGTAAACATACGTACATACATCCGTACCAAAATAAAGCCATGTTTTAACGTGCCTTTAACAAACAAAAAAAAAATAAGCTTATCCTATCCTCAAAACACTTTGAACCCTGAAAATCTTTGCGCCAATCCCCAGACAATCGCCGACCCACTTCTCCTTAGGGCCCATTGTGACCAAGGCTGACATCTTCAGGTTTGGAGATCAAAAGAAACCCCCCGGGTGGTGCACCGACCGTGGTAGGTCCGATTCGTAGAGCCCCAGGGCTTCGCGACGAAGCGTGGGGCACGTGTCAGGACCCTAGGGTTGGACCCTCCACCCCCTGAAGCTATGGAGGAGCCTGTCAGCGACCTGTCAACCGCCCATTTCGGGCCCTGGACCAACCTCCCTTCCCCCTCCCTCCAATTCATACTCCGGAGCAGCCATCCAGAAGCTATTCCGTCACCTTGAACCTTTTGTAGCTCCGGTGTTCTGTTAAATATTAATGAGCCACTAATTCACGGAAGCTTCACAACACGATGCAACTGTTTGCGCTTGCGGCTGCGGTTTTGGTAAATGGTAAGTCTAGTGGCTTCAGAAATCCGCTGGTTTGAACGATTTTGGTTTTACTTCACAGTTTGTCCTGCTTGAGTCAGACCTTATTGATTTGCATTCTTGCTTAACGGCTCGAATTCTGTAGTGTAGTCTTCATTTAATCCTCAAGCCTCCCTGTAGCGCCATGCCTATTTTCCCTTTACCATCCTTTTCAAAAACCCACTTTACCCGACAGTCGGAAAACTATGTGGATTCTGCTCGATTGTTTCTATTATTTCTATCCTATATTATCCTATTGGCTTTACTCTTCCTCAGTAAATTTGATAGAAATCTTAATTTTTTTTGCGCATTACTTTTTGCTCACTCTAAAAATGTTCAGAAATTCAACCCATTTGGGTATTGTAAATAAACTATCGGAAATTTGCTAGAGAAAATGAAGCAATATTTTCTGACTACTATGTCCAAATTTCCAGTCGCATCATCAACTCAAAACCGAATAAACCGACAAACGGGTAGTGGCCGCGTCGGGGATGCGTGTGCATTCAACACTGATTGCTTGACGGTAATCTATACATTACATGCCATTAAATTCCTTTGCTAGGGTATGTTTTGTAATGGAGGTCTCTGCTCCTGCCTCTCCACATATATTGCTGCTGAATCGTACTGCTATCAAAGTAAGAGAATTCCACTTTTGGAGGTTACTCTTGAAAATTAGAAATTGAGCCTGGGCAGCCGGGATGTGTTTACAATGAACAATGCAGTGCCGTGTGGCCAGGTAAAAATTTTAAAGGGAAAGCAAGTATCGAGCTCAATTTAGAAGCCTTTTGCGACACATCAGCCGGGGTTGGAACTTGCCGCTGTGGTGAAAATAAGGTTGAGCGTGCCACTAGGGATGGACATGTTTGTCTGGACATCCATGATGCAAATGATAACACGTTGGCTATTACATGTCCATTGCCGGAGGGAGCTGGGTAAGCAGGCTTGGCTTATATTTTTACTGTTAATAGATACACTTCTGCGCTTTCCGATCCAAAGCACCCGAGACAGAACGATGGTCCTGGTCCAGTTTTGTGCAACACCGAAAGTACTTTGACGCAACAATCAGCTGAAGACGTATGTATTTTTCTTTACAACTTTTGGAAGTGGCTTTTCTCCAGATGGGTGATGGAAACGCCGCTTGTCTGTTCCCATCTGATAGTTCGTATATGGCTGATTTATACGACTGTGTCGAGTTTGTCTCCGTCATGGATCTATCTTCGGCTGGTTATTCTGAGAAGGCCAATGGCATTTGCTGTCCGAATCGAGGTAAGGCAAAATTTGGTAATGTTGGGGTCGGAATTTCCTTTAAAACTCACATTTCGCAAATCCTGTTGATCGCTGGACTCAATTATTTTGAATTTTGATTATCTAAAACACGATATTTTCGGCAATGCGGATAGAAAAGACATTTTCTTCCAGCCTTTACCTGCGTCCAACCAACAGCCACTGGTCCAAATCCAACGGAACCCCGCTGGTGGTAAGGACAACGAGCTTGGAAGCCGATAAAGAAGCCACATTTAGGTACAACGCGATCACCGGGATGTGTCAACAGTTCCTCTGGGATCCGACAGCTAGCGGCCCCGGGGAGCATTCGCCAAACAATTTCCGCACGCTCGCCCACTGCGAGAGCTTCTGTCGAGATTGTATGTGAAAGTTGTGGGGGAATTGTCTAGAATCGCATAGAGTATTTAAATGAAAGAGAGACCACTAGAATATTGTGGAAATTCAGCGTGTTCACGTGGAGCTCCAGAATATGAGCAGAGGTCGTCGTACCTGGAGGAAGTACCAGTCACAGGTAAGTTTCGGTGGAACTAAAAATCACGTTGTCGTCTAGGATGTTCTCAATCCACGGCTTGCACGTCAAGCTTCGAATGCAAGACGGTTGGAAGTACACAATGGTGTTGTCCGACAGTCGGTGAGAATCGATTTTATCTCTTTTTGAATACTAATTTCTAGCGTCAATTTGCGGTTCCGTTGGCGGTAGACCGCTCGACCCAACTGCGCACCTACGTGGAACCGGCTATCATTCTGGAGTTGAGAAACAGGTGTGAAAAATTAGCTAGCTATTAGAACTTCCCAGGGTACCGCTCCATCCACTCGCTTCTACTACGATACAACTAGCGGGAAGTGCTCTCCATTCACCTACTTGGGAGCGGGCGGCAACTACAACAACTTCCTCTCCAGGATTGATTGTGAACTCTTCTGTGCTAGATGTAAGCTCCAGTTTTCAACATTGACACCGCTGTTTAGTGCAATGCGACCGAGGAAATCCACTCCGAATTGGAGATGTAACCCAACAATGCCAATCGAACTCCGATTGCCCGTCATCTCACGAATGCAAGATTGACCAGGGTGTATGCTGTCCGAGAATGCGTAAGAATATCGTGATGAATCCAGAAAAATGTGTTTAGAAACGATTTGTACTCAACCACTACGAGTCGGAAATTGTGATCGATCTGTTAGGAGATATTGGTTTGTATCTAACAATCAACTTAAACTAGAACATTTAAGGTACTCGGCAGCCACTCGCGAATGCCAGTCTTTTGAATACACTGGATGCCAAGGAAATGACAACAATTTTGAGACCCTTGTTGATTGTCAGACGTTCTGCCGGAATGCAGCACGTAGGTGCTTCTTTAGATAATGAAAACGTCCACGTTTCTAGCGGAACCAAGATGCCTCCAAGGTCAATCGTATAAGGATTCATCGGCCAAATTCGTGACCTGCTCAACGACTCGCTCAAAATCGACGTGCCCGGCCAATTATGAGTGCTACTTTGATGGAAATATGTTTGGGTGCTGCCCAACTAAAGGTGAGAATGAAACTCAGCTCACAATTTTGTATTTAGCATATACTTGCTCATTATCGTTCAACGCTGGCAAACAATGCGGCCCTGGAGTATCGTTTAAGTATTATTACAATGCTCAGACACAGGTACACCGTCGGCTTCCACTTATGACCAAAACTTTAGGAATGCGAAACATTCGAGTACCTTGGTTGTGACGGAAATTCAAATAATTTTGCGACGAGACAAGAATGCGAGGGATACTGTGGTGTTGGAGGTAGATAGTTGTGAAATGGAACATCCTGGAACCTTTGAATTTAGGATGCTCAAATGGTGGGACTCCATTGCGAGACTCTTCCGGAGCACTTCATACTTGTTCGGAACGAGATGGAGGTTGTCCATCCACACACGAGTGCCAATCGGTATCACTTGGTGGTGATGTCATTTCGAATCGTTGTTGTCCAAGCAAGAGTAAGCTTACAAAGTTTCCTGTTAATTTTTAATAGGTTATATTTGTGGTCTCCCACCGCAACAAGGTTCCTCAATGTGCTCTGGTGGTCTTACGGTTGTCACACGGTAGTGCAAAACAGAAAAGTTAGTATACATAATTTTACAGCTATTACTTCAACATTGTGACCAAAAAGTGTTCCCCATTTGTCTACAATGGATGCGACGGAAATCCAAATAACTTCGCCTCCATGCAACAATGCAATAATTTCTGCTTGGCGGCTGGTAAGGATTTAACATTATAATATTTATCTTGAAATAGCGTGCGCTGCTGGAGACGTCGTTTACCTAAATCCAAATTCACAGATGCCAATCACATGCAATGACGAGATGCAGGTCAGCATCATTAACATAAAGCCTCTATAGTCTCCATCGACTTACCAAAATCACAGAAATATCTTAAGAACAATTGCCCGAAGAATTTCAACTGCATCTTCGATCATCTCACTGAACAATCGGTCTGTTGTGGAGCCACCGACATGGCGGTGTGCCCCGATGGTGAAAAGGTACTGTACAATAAGATAAAAATAACCAAGAAACAGGCCTACATCAACAGCGTGGACATGACGGTGAAAGAGTGCTTGATCAACGAGCACTCGTCATGCCCAAGGGACTATCTGTGTCGATTTAACGCCCAGAAAAATCGATATTTCTGTTGTGGATCGATCAAGAAAAGTAAGAACCTAATAGAAAATTAGAGAGGATCTTTAATAGGCTATTGCCCGCCTGGAAGAGCACCATATAAAGACCAACAATCGCTGCAGCCTCTGCGATGCACCATGCATGCCGCAACGAGTTCGTGTCCAGATGGGTGAGTGCAAACTTCAAAGTGCTCAATAATATTAATTATTTTAAGCTTTGCCTGCCAAAGCGATCTACAAGATGCCCTTCAAGGATATTGTTGCTCAGTTGCTGGTATGCTTGCTAATGCACATAAATCACTGAAAAAAATTTAGATATCTGTCCGAACCGGGAGGAATATTTCTTGGACGAATCAACCGGAATGCCGCGTTCTTGTACCGTTGGCCACTTTGTCACATGCCCGACCGGATTCAGCTGTATGACTCAATATGATGGAATGATCGGATATTGCTGTCGGTTGGTATTTTAGTATTTTCTAAAATATGTCCTTGAAATATTTCTACAGAACAGAAGAAATACAACACCGAAAAATAACGCAATTCTAGTTTTAGCTCGCGAGGTATGCCCCAGCTCGCCGCCACGGATGGCTGTCCGCCTGGCGAAATCGTCTACATGGAGAGGAATGAAGTGACTTTAATTCATCAACAATAATTCAAAAAAAATAGGTCGTTGCCTGCGATCCGTTCAACCCTGTGAATCAAGGATGTCCAAATGGCTTCTCTTGCCAATGGTCGATCCGCACCCAACGATACCAATGCTGTGGCGCCGATCCTTTGCCACCACCTATTGAAAGTAGAATATAACTTTTTAATGAAGATATCTTTCTTAGACGATGGATGCCCGGCTCGCCAAATCGCATTCACGGATCCGGATACCAGGAAACCAAAGGTAAATTTTTCACATTCAAAGATTCGAAGTATCTATAGATCTGCACTTCTGCCTCCCTCTCCTGCCCTACTGGATACTTCTGCCAATTTTCTACCACCAACAAACAATTCCAATGCTGTGGGATCCCTTCCGATTGCCCAGCTGTGATGGTAACATTATAGTAACTAAAAATTTAAAAACATCATTTAGGTGGCTTTTATTGGAATTTCGGGGGACCCCCAAGGATGCTCGATGAATGGGGGTAAGTGGAGCCCAAAATTTGCATATACGAATTTTAGGAACGCCATGCCCGGATGGGTTCAGCTGTGTGAAGGGGAAAAGCGGAGGCGAGCTGTGTTGCGCCGGTGGAGAAAGTCAGAATTTTAGAATATGGCTGAAACATTTTGGTTTAGCTTGCGACTCGTCTCAGGTGCAAATCAATGGTCTTTGCCATCCAAGGCAGCCCGTCGGAGGAACGTGTATGCATCCGGAGCAATGCTTAGGTAAGGAGTTTGATATGGTCCTGTGGATTATGGTTCTTTCTAGGAGGAGCCACATGCCAAGACGAGAAATGCCTCTGTGGAAACGGAGAAGTGGAAAAAGCCGGTATTTGCAGGAGACCGGAAGCCCCACAAGAACGGAGTGGGTTTAATCTTTTTATGCTAACATATATGAAAAGTCGCTAGAATATTGCATAATGATATTATAAATATTTCAGAATGCACCGCATTGCAAGTAATGATCGCCGACGAGTGCCTGCCACTGGTTACCCTAGGAAGAGCATGCGTCCACACAGCACAGTGCCCTGGCAGCGGCCGATGCGTCGAGGGAGTTTGCGATTGCCCGCCCAGGACAGTACGAAAGGTATAGGAAATTCGACATTAAACTAAACATTTTCTAGAATGATGAATGCATCGTAAAGGTCGATGAGAGACCAAAGGGTCGCTCCCTGACCGAGCTGAATAAAGTAGCTGCGATCGTAACGGAACCCAAGAAGTCTCCTGCTATGACTACAGTAAATAAGGATCTTTGCCCATCACAACGTGAAGCATTCCTGGTTAATGGAGAGCCGAAGAAGTTAGTGTAATTTCTGGGGTTTTACCTCTTTGTAGGTGTATTAATGGCCAAGTGTGTCCCTCGCAATACGCTTGTACCTATTCGAAGCCGGCTCGGTCGTATCTATGCTGTAGTAGAGCAACCACCGCTTTGGCCAATGCCGGTTTGAAACAAATCTTCATAAAAATTCTAGTTAAATTTTAGCCACGATGGACTGGTGTCCAACTGGTGAGCCATTGCTGTTTCCGGTCAGCCGTCAGCCCGTTGTTTGCACGAGGTTTGTTGCAACTTCCAAATACTAGCAACCATCATTTTAGATACCAAAAATGCCCAGCCAACTACGCATGCCTACGCAATGCCAGCAATCGTCAATTCTACTGCTGTGCGGTAACAGAGGAGAATTTGAAGACGATCGCCGGAGCCAAGCGGAAACCCGGGCAGCAGCTTACCATGAAGGAATATTTGTTAAAGGTGGGTCTACCGCCCAAAAACAGTACGGTTGGATACTTAAGATATCCGCGAACTCGATGAACGCTTTGAATCAAGCATATAAAATGCAGCGAGCACCGCCGAGGAGGAGACCAAAGGTTGTAAATTGGTGCACAAATAAGATTAAATGATTTAGGGCAAAGCGAAGCCTGGACCATGCCCCTCATATCTGGTCATGCTAGAGGTGGAAATCAAGGGTAAAGTGGTCAAAAGATGCCGTAAGTTGAAAGATGTTTTTCGGAATCCAACGTTTTCAGAATCCTCCTGCCCCTCTACAATGTCTTCGGTGAACGGTATCTGCAAATTGGTACGAAAAGCCGCCTCCCCAAAACGGCCTTAAAGCCGTGATCCTGCTCATTCAAATCCGTCGTAAATCTCGCATTTCTGGAGCAGCAGAAATGGTGCTACGATATTGTGCGCACCAAACAAAAATTGGTCTCGAATTGCATGGTCTTTCATTGTCTGGTCAAAGATGTCTTTCTTTATTTTTAATCGAATGCTGAGCGCCTGATTCTTAAAGGTGGAATAAATATATTAATTTATAAAGGCTTATTTTACAGAGAAAGAGTCACGCGAAATCGCGATCCCCAACTCTCTAATGGTCATGTTCAGAAATCATCGCTCAAAACTGCCGAAAAGCCCGCGTGACTCCATGCCATTGTTTCAAAATAACCGGCAGTTTTGTGCAAACACAAACTTCCCACCTATTCATTAGCACCGGCTATGCAAATTACGAGGGCCGCGTGCCAAAGCCTCATCGAAAATATGGACCAGCTGTGACAGCAGATTCCAACAGTATAAAAGCCTTGATGGAGATCAAAGGACATCACTGTTTCGCAGTTGTTCATATTTTTTCATATCATTCCCGAATACCTTTATAGAAATGGCTCGCTTCCAACTTGTCCTCTTGATCGTCATCGCTATCATCGCTGTTATTCTTGCGGATTCGTGCGCCGACACTGGTAAGTATAACTAAAATTGTTTGGCAAAAAAACTTAAAATTTGGTATTGCTAAATTCCACTTGAAAAGAGAGAAAACAACTAATTAAGGCTACTACCAATCAAACAGGCAATTCCAGGGGTAAAAGAGCCCCTAGCTGGATTTGGAAACCAAAAAGCAAAAGGTTCGCAGCGAGCAGGATTCGAACCTACGCGGGCAGAGCCCAATTGATTTCTAGTCAATCTCCTTAACCGCTCGGACATCGCTGCACGTGGGTAGGGGCGTGGGGATCGGGATAAGAGGCAAGGGTGCGCCCTGGGCCGCGAGCCTGGAGGCTTCCTAGACCAGGAAGAATTGCAACAATTGTCAAAAAATACTATAAGTTTAGGTAATTTTAATTTAGCAACCACCAGACGGAGCTGAAGCCTTGGTTCGGTGTTTAACATCTATATATAAATATAGCTATAAAAATTGTTATAAAATGTGCCTAGTTTGAGCCAAAAGCACCAAGCTGCTTTTCCCGTTCAGATTTTCTAAAAAATATATCTAAAACATTATAAAAACAAACCTTTTTCAAAGCCCTTAAACGAGAGCAAGGGCCACCGGCTCGGTAAACCCGTGAAATTGGAAGTGAATCAGTTTGAAAGTTTGGCGCCTGGAATTAACGTGTGAAATGTTTGCTTAGGCGATTTTATAAACACTATTTAGGGTTTCCCCGCAGCATTCTGACCCAAGGTATTTTAGTTTTGGGCTTAATAAGCTTGCAAACAACCGATGTAAATGTTGAAAAACAGCTTTTTGCGCAATTCGCGTTCGGATAACGAAAACGGACGAGTTGCCTGGCAACTCGTCGTACTTTTCGTTAATTCCACGGAAGAATCGTCATCACTCTCCTCGCTGTTACTTTTTCGGACTCATGGGCCGGGATGCAAAAAATGGCGGCCAGGATGGGTACGATCTTGTTCCGGGAAACATCTAGAACTTGGTGCTGTTAAATTCCACTTGAAAAGAGGGAAAACAACTAATTAAGGCTTTTTTCAATACAACAAACAATTCCAGGGGTAAAAGAGCCCCTAGCTGGATTTGGAAACCAAAAAGCAAAAAGTTCGCAGCGAGCAGGATTCGAACCTACGCGGGCAGAGCCCAATTGATTTCTAGTCAATCTCCTTAACCGCTCGGACATCGCTGCACGTGGACAGGGGCCTCGGGGAGAGAAGATGGGCGGGGCGCGGCCAAAAGGGGGACTGGCTAAAGGGCAAAGGGCTTGAGCCCAAAACGGGTATTGCGCGAAGCATACATACAGGGGTACAGGGGTATCATTTAAGATCGAAAACTCGCATCAAAGGTCTTAAAAATTTGCTTGCACAAAGAATATTGGTTATTGGTGTGCTGCGTTATTAAATTGCTTTCATAATCTGTTTAGCGAGCTGTTTTGATCCGTTTGAAAAATGGGCTTAAAATTCCTCTGATATTGTTTAGGAAAATAAAAATAAGAGCATCAAATTAATTTACTGCGCCTTTTAGGCAAATACTGCGATGTCCTCTCGAAGTTCTGCCACGAGACAAAGTACGCTCACTTGACCTCGAAGTGCGCCAAGTCGTGCGGATTCTGCTGAACCAGCAAGCCGCCGTACAATTCACCAAAACCCCTTGGCTTCAGGGATAACGCTTATCCTCAGGACTCTTCTATCTACTCATTAAGCCCTGGCTGGTCACCAGGGTTTCTGTATAATTCTTGGAAATTTCCCTCCCCTGGCAGTTGGCGGCAGGAATAAATATATTCATGCATCAAAGACATTGTCATATATAATTGCGGGTATTATTTCTTCAGTAATTTGTGGAGAACCTTTGGGTCGATGTCGGTGCCTTGGACGATGTGGGTTTCCAAGTGTTTTTCAACCTAAATTGAATCGGGGTTCGGTTTTTTGGCGAAAATTACCTTTGCCGTTCGAAGACGAGCTGATGTTCGATTGCAGACGTAGACCATAATGGCTAATGGAATTACGAGAAGCACTCCTAATGGGCCGATGGAAGTGAAGAAGCTGTTATAGCTGTAGATGACATCACCGGATTCGAGGTTTGTGCAGAAAGCTCCTAAAATACTGCTTTCAGGCCCGTACGAGGGGGGGAGGGGCACCGGGGGCACGGTGCCCCCCCCCTCCCCCAAAATCGGGCAAGGTCTGAAAAGTTCATAAAAGGGGACCCTTCTGAATTTTTTCTCAAAAATTTTTCTGCCTGCGGCGCCATTCATTACTATTTTTAAGACGGTTTTTACTTCTATGAAACCTATTTTCCAAAAATGGGGGGAAGGTCGCCAAAAATTTTTGGGTTGGGTGCCCCCCCCCCCCCCGAAATCTCGGTTCCCCCGTACGGGCCTGACTGCTTTGATGGCTATTAATTACTCTATTAGAAATCCACTGCCAATTGGTTTCCGTTTTACAATTGAGTACGTTGTTAGTATCTGTTTTCAGACTTCTGTAAACCGGAGGGTTTCGGCGGGTAGCCTCACCAACGTTCCGCCACTTTTCTCTTATTCGTTCCAGATCTCCCTTCCGCGAAACGGACCACAAAACTCACCGGAATAGGGAGGCTCACAGTTGCACCGCGTACTGTCCCCATTCGGCTTTCCATGTTGTCCGCAATCTATCCGATCACAGTCAGTTCCCGCCCACCCTTTTTGACATGGTGAACAGCTAAAGGAGAAAGTTTGACGGTGGCTAGGATCACAACACAGCCACCCTGTGTTAAGATCGTAAAATCGAGAGCGTGGAGAAAAGTATAAGAAATTTGGTCGTGACTAGAGCATGAAAAGCTAATCGATCTAGAGAATTCAGGAGTCCGGTGGAAGTCTTGAAAATTTATGCTCACCTGCCGTTGGGTAACCGTTCTCTGGTATCACAATGCATTTCTCGATGACACATGGTACCCGTGAAGCCATAGTCACATATACAAATACCGTTCGACAGTTGACCTGAGAGGATAAAAGTTTAGCTTCGACTTACATTATTGGAGAGAGAGAGATTAGTGTTATTAGAGAGAGAGAGCGAGAGAGAGAGAGAGAGAGAGAGAGAGAGGGAGAGGGAGAGAGACGTTCTTGTGTTACATACAATTACTTACTTATATGAATAATCAAGAATGTATCGATATCGAGATTTAATAACATGATCTGATTACTTTTTCATTTGGAAACTAACCGTTAACACATCGCTTAATTCCGGGCGGCGCAGCAAAAGCCGTCGACAACGAAAGGACGACAAGAATGAATATTAGCAAATTCATTTGGTGTCGTCTAGGGCGATTCGCGGTCAGAGCCACACCACCCCTTTCCCCCGGTAAACGGCGAGAGCAAATTGGTCCTCGGGTGTCCCCAATTGACCTTCAAATCACGGTCCGCAATCCAGAAAGCCATGTTCTGCGAACCCTCCCACTTCCTATCCCGGCTATCTCTGACTCTCTCTCTCTCTCTCTCTCTCTCTCTCTCTCTCTCTCTCTCTCTCCTCTACCCCTAACACGGCCATCACATCTCTTTAGATCAACCACAGTGAGGGACAACTCTTTCTCGAGGTGCTGTCCCCCGAATGCACCCTCAATTTAGTCGCCGATTGACAGTTTAGTTTGGCACGTAGCGAGGTGCGCCTAATAGGTTGTACTTGTTGGGTAAAAAGGTCAGGATTTCCGGTCAGGGTCGCAGTTTAGAGGCTAATTTCGCTAAAAACTTTGGTTTCCAGAAAAGGAGGTTGCATGTTTTTTGAAACTGCCAGTTTTGGCTAGTTTCGCGCCAAAGCCCTGATCAGCTCCCCGATGCATTAACGATAAGACGCGAGACGAGACCTCGTGATAACATGTGCTTGGGCTTCACCTTCATATTGTTATATTCTCTATTCCAAAAAAATTCGAACACCTATCAATACCTAAAAAGTATTCTTAGAAGCGTTTACGACACAAGTCTTCCTTCTACAGCTTTCAATCTTCAGCTGCCGAGGTTGTTAGAGCGCAGTTTGAACCCACAACATTCCCAGTAAAATCGGACCTCTCGAACAATTTCACTCTCAATTTGCACGCTAGCGACCCGAAAAAATTCGCGTGCATCAAAGTTCCGGCTCGGACGCATTTTTGAGAGAGAGCCTAACAAAAAGCGTTCCATATTTGCGGTGGAACGGGGAGAAAGGGGGCGAAAATTCGCGCGGTTCTTTCGGATGATAGCTGTCTTCTCGGGATGAGTGATTTATTTCATGTTGCCTGCAATTGTCGGGTATTGATTTCGTGGAAACGCTGTTGGTTCCGTATTTTTGGGAAAATTTACTTACGACAAATACATAAGCATGGTAAATTCTTGTGGAAAGAAATCAGATGAGCACTCGAATTATGATTGAGAGAATTATTGGGAATTGGAAATAAGATGAGAGTATCGGGCTCAGATTTCCTACGGTAGTTGTGGCCACAATTTCTTCCCTTTCCAGGGTGGCAGCATCCTGGCTGAAATAAAAGGGTTATATAAATTATTGGCCCTCAAAAATCATTGAATAAGGCTTACTCTTCAATATCTTCTTTGGCTGGGCTCATCTGGGCTTCACTAACGGCCGGTCTTGTATTGAAACCCCACAGTACCTGTCAAATATTCCTTTTTCCGAGCCTTACTTTACTACTCACAGTAGCGATTGAGCTTGGTGGTAAGGTGACCGGAAGAAGCCCGGAAGAACGTGAATCATCGATTACTAAAATCTTCTCAAAACAGCAACTTAAATACTACCTGAAATGTTGCATTCCTGTTCCGAATCACTATTATAGAGAACTAGCACTCGACTACCATCTTTATTTACAAACGCGGCATGATGGATTTGAGGTAAATCTAAAGGAACTATTTAATTTTTTGCTATTTTGCTACCCTGATTTGGGGAGAAACGTGAAGCCATATAATCAGCCCCAGGCCGCACAAATTTACTAAGACAATCTTTTAACAATATTTTGAGATTCTACCTAAAATGCCCAACGGCATAGAGCATCGGTTGTTTGAGGAAGCTACGATTTTGTTTGTCGACAACGATTGCAGCATCCATATTATTCCCAATCTATACAAGTCTAGTTCAAAAATATTTTGGACAAACCCAAGATGGACCCCCATTCATATCAACGCATAGATTGTAGTCAATCCAGCCAGCACCTCCATTATTTACCACCTATTAAGTGCAATACGAAATGAACATATCAAAACGAGTAAAAATAGAAAAAACTGTTACCTCCATGATAGACTTTACATAATTTTCGGCTCTATCCCAGGAACCCAATATAACATCATTTGTCAGCCATCCGTTAGCCGACTAAAAAATTCAATATCTAAGAAATATATTTAAAAAACTTACTTCAGTATAAATAACATATCGTCCACCCCATTCTGTGACAGTTTTCCGAAGGATCGAGGCGTCGATTTTGTCATCAGCATACCTAAACGACAAAAAAAAATTTTTACATCATTCTATTGGCACCAACCAATGCAAACCGATTCCAGAACTAAAGTTTTTGGCACGATCATCGGCCAATAAAGCCTAAAACAATTTTTGTCTTTTCGTCGGCTGCCCTACCTTCGAGTATTCCTCCAACTGTTCGCGACTCATTTCCAAAGATAAAAGTTCGAGGTTTTTTGTAGCGTTGTTGGTTCTTAGATTAATATTTTAATGTAGACTGGTTTGCCTACCGTAATGCCGGTCCTAAATACTTCTGAACCCATTCCACAAGCATATTCGGCGTGAAAAACATAGCTTGCCACGGGAAATTAGGTGACTTCGATAGGTTCGGCTCGTTCTTAGCACCCAGAAAGTATTAATTTTTATTGAAATAAACCTGCGAGGAGACCATCGTAAAGTTAATCCCATGTTTTGAATATTCTTCGAAATATCTGAATTCGAATATACTATAAGTGTTTAACTGAAAACCTTAGCATATAATTTGCATAGATTTTCCAATAATCCGTCCTATTTAACTCGTGCAGTAAGGCACCGGCACCCTAAAAAATGTACGATTAAACCCTTTGACTTATTAGCCTGTGTTTTTCCATTTGTCTTCATCCAATATGGGGCAGTCCAAGGCGTAGCTAATAAATAAAAAGAGCCATTCGTCAAAGAAACCACTTCTTTGATGATTGGAATCTGAATCGGGACTCATCTCGAATTAGGGGACTACTCTATGCGATATATCCTCATCCATCAATGTAAAATTGAGCAGTTGTACATCATCATCCCAATCATCATATGTATAAGGTCTCGTCGAGAAATCGTTACTACCAATGGGTACCCGCCCAAGCGAATACTGCATACCTAGATGTCGTGGCGCTTCCAAGGCTGTTATTAAGAACACATACCGGATGGCCCAAACAAGCTCTCCAATAAATTCTTTCTGGCTTTTGAGGGAAGATTGTCAATATTTAGCATTGCACCGTCGGTGAATGTGCCACCTGTAATTTGACAATCACGAGGAATTCCAATTAGCTCGGGATGTCAGGGACGATGCAAAAACACGAATTTATGAACATTTTAACTGACCAAATCCTTTCATTTGCTGTTTGAGTTCAGTTGGGTAAACGGTGAGTATAGGTGTCGAACGTTCATTCCCTATACACTCAGTAAAATAACTATAAAGGCAGTGGTTTTTGTCGAATATCTCGGCGGTGTTGGCACTTATCGCGATGCAATTTTGAGAATAGGCTTCTGAAGAGCCACTTGATATCCTATACAAATCCGAATCAAATCCGTTCGTGGAAAGTCCGATTTTTGGCAAATGACGTTTTCGAAACTGTAAAAAAACTATAAAGGCAGTCGAAAGAAATTCATTCAAAAATCCCCAAATTGGTTTCTTTGCAAATTTACAATACAATCATGGTTGCTAGACCGTTTTCTATTAAAAATTGTTTTCTAGCATTAATGGCAGCCCATTTTTTGTGATTCGACCCGCCATGGTCAGGCCAGCTGATGCCTCCCATCTTGTAAAGTTCTTTAAAAAATTTCCTTTGTCGGAGCACTATTCTGGCCGGGTCTTTAGCTTGGTCTGGGGCTTTAGTATTGTGGGCCAATTGGAAACGGCACCGAAAGCAGCCCAGGCGCTCGCGTGGACAAATATGTAATGATATTTGTGACGGCGAAATTCGAACTCGAGGCTTAATTTCGCAACGGCTTCAAGAAGCGGACTATATTTTTGTTTTTAGGGAAATTATATGATGCTCTATACCTGCCTGCTACTATATTTGTTCTTTAAAACACGTGGCGGTGGCGAAAATTAACGTCCAAGGCGCCTGAAACTCAACATTATCGGGGGTGGCATTAGCGAAAGCTCGGATTAACCTTAAGTTTTGTCGCCATGCTTCCTGGCTTAAATAAAAGCCATGTCAAGATTAAGAAACACGTAAACCACGATTGAATCGTAACTAGGACCGTAGGTTCGGACGATCGGTGGATCCGTGGAACGCCTTCGAAATCCCCGATGCAAGCTCGACTCTCTTGGGTCTTTAATTTCTGTCTCAGACGAGATGTCAGCTTAGAAACATTGCGTTTAGCTGCACAATTACATGGAGCAGTCGTGTCCACGCAGCCTAAGTTACGCTGCACGAAAATTAAGAGTTCAGCTGGGATTTAAGCAACTTCTAGTCGCTTCCGCACCTGTGAGAGATTACATTATAGGATTGCCTCCGCTTTCTTGATGTTTCAAATTGCGTTTCCAATTGGCCCACAATACTAAAGCCCCAGACCAAGCTAAAGACGCGGCCAAAATAGTGCTCCGACAAAGGAAATTTTTTAAAGAACTTTACAAGATGGGAGGCATCAGCTGGCCTGACCATGGCGGGTCGAATCACAAAAAATGGGCTGCCATTAATGCTAGAAAACAATTTTTAATAGAAAACGGTCTAGCAACCATGATTGTATTGTAAATTTGCAAAGAAACCAATTTGGGGATTTTTGAATGAATTTCTTTCGACTGCCTTTATAGTTTTTTTACAGTTTCGAAAACGTCATTTGCCAAAAATCGGACTTTCCACGAACGGATTTGATTCGGATTTGTATAGGATATCAAGTGGCTCTTCAGAAGCCTATTCTCAAAATTGCATCGCGATAAGTGCCAACACCGCCGAGATATTCGACAAAAACCACTGCCTTTATAGTTATTTTACTGAGTGTATACCGTAAGCTGAGAGAAATAAGTGTCAAAACCTGTACGAAATTTAGCTATCGTCCTATTCATCCGCTTTCCAGCTTTAGAGGTGATGTAAATATACGCCTAAACAATGAATTTTCCGTTCATAAATCCTAACCTGGTCATCTGGCAAAGGTGCTACCGTATCCAAACTATCACAGTAATCTTCATTGCATAGACAAGTGATTTGCTTGGTACCGTACCTAGATCAAAGTGGTTTTTGGATGTTCGATCGGGTGTTTAAAGCCCAGGGATCACCCTACCGATCAGTATGAAAATGTTGTAAACATTCCTTCGCACCACGCGCTAAAATTGCAGGTCCCTTAAAAATAGTCCATAAGCATACCAATCTGTAGTAGGATCAGCAAATACAGCAACCATCCCATTCTAGCCAACCGACTACATGCGGGAAGATACTGAAAATCGGATCCCACCTCGGAGATACCAGAAAAAAATTGAGCAAAAAAAAAAGGTGCGAAGGAGAGAGACGGTGGGACACAATCGTTTCCTTGGGACCCAGGCCTCCCGGCCAGTCCCAGTCCACCCTTCTCACAAGCTATGGGCTGACAGAATTGTGCAATTAGGCCCCGAGCCCCGTTTTCTCTGTCCACGACTCCAATAACCATAAAAGTGTCGGAGAGTGTTTTGATTTTGGCCGGAAATGGATTGAACTTTTCGATTTGCAAAGGCCTTCTAGCATGGTGTTAATTCCAGGGATTTCGGAACTCATTCGGGCTTAAAAAGGAAAGTTCCCACGAACAGGCGCCTTTAAAAACGAAACGAAGATATGTTTCAGTTTTGTTCGGAAGTTCCATGCTTAAAACTAATACCAGAAATTGTCTTAAAAGAAAGCTCAGAAAGTTCACATTCGAGCTAGACTTGCTCTCTTCCTCGTTAGTTAGCCAATTTAGCTGCCATTCAAAATCAACCCCTCATTGTTCCAATCTAACGAGCAAAAAGGGCAAACGTATCCGTCCTACGTAGATAAAATCAAATCGGAAAATCGTACTGGCAAAGCGAGGTACTGAAACAGCCTCGGAGAAACTAGTCGGCAAAACGAGAAAAAACAACTAGGTTGTAAGTAGCAAAAAATAGTGTTAGGAATATGCAAAATTGCCAAAACCAGCAAGAAAAAGCAAAGGCCAACACCCGAAAATAATTTGAACAAATCGAGTAGAGTTGGAAACCATAGCCAGGAAAATCTCCATTTGAGAAATGTGAGTAGAAGCCACCTCCGGATTTGTCCTAATCTGCGATTAGCTCTCGCTGCCCGGGATATTGCCCTACACGCAGCCAAAACGAATAAAGGGGATTGGCCACCGCTCTATCGAGGGCAAAAACCCTTAAACGCAACAAGGTGTGCAAAGAAACATAAATTAAAATTGTTCCAATTTTTTACAAGAAAGCCGGTACGAAAATATGATGGCATGTATCAACGTACAGGAGGAAAAGAATTTGGAAAAATTCAAATAAAAAATGTGCAACCTGCAATTTGCAAATTCCAGAGAATATTCGCCGACCTGGAGTCCTTTTAGGGCCGCGCAGCCCTCTTCTATCCTCCGTCCAACCCCTATCCCCGTGCGGCGGTGTCCGAGTGGTTAAGGAGATTGACTTGAAATCAATTGGGCTTTGCCCTCGTAGGTTCGAATCCTGCCCGCCGCGAACTTTTTGCTTTTTGGCCTCCGGTGCCCGCTGTGGAATCTTTTACCCCTGGAATTGCCTGTCTGATTGGTAGTAGCCTTAATTAGTTGTTTTCCCTCTTTTCAAGTGGAATTTAACAGCACCAAGTTCTAGATGTTTCCCGGAACAAGATCGTACACATCCTGGCCGCCATTTTTTGCATCCCGGCCCATGAGTCCGAAAAAGTAACAGCGAGGAGAGTGATGACGATTCTTCCGTGGAATTAACGAAAAAGTACGACGAGTTGCCAGACAACTCGTCCGTTTTCGTTATCCGAACGTGAATTGCGCAAAAAAAGCTGTTTTTCAACATTTACATCGGTTGTTTGCAAGCTTATTAAGCCCAAAACTAAAATACCTTGGGTCAGAATGCTGCGGGGAAACCGTAAATAATGTTTGTAAAATCGCCTAAGCAAACATTTCACACGTTAATTCCAGGCGCCAAACTTTCAAACTGATTCACTTCCAATTTCACGGGTTTACCGAGCCGGTGGCCCTTGCTCTCGTTTAAGGGCTTTGAAAAAGGTTTGTTTTTATAATGTTTTAGATATATTTTTTAGAAAATCTGAACGGGAAAAGCAGCTTGGTGCTTTTGGCTCAAACTAGGCACATTTTATAACAATTTTTATAGATATGTCAAACACCGAGCCAAGGCTCTAGCTCTTTCTGGTGGTTACTAAAACGTTACCTTAACTTTTAATAGTATTTTTTGGCAATTGTTGCAATTCTTCCTCTTCTAGGAAGCCTCCAGGCTCGCGGCCCAAGGGCGCACCCTTGCCTCTTATCCCAATTCCCACGGCCCTGTCCCCGTGCAGCGATGTCCGAGCGGTTAAGGAGATTGACTAGAAATCAATTGGGCTCTGCCCGCGTAGGTTCGAATCCTGCTCGCTGCGAACTTTTTGCTTTTTGGCACCCAGTTCCGGTCATGGATTCTTTTACCGTTGGGAGGTTTCTGCGCATTCGAAAATTATGATTTTAGTTAAAATTTAGCAAAGAAAGGGTGGTTTGGTGTCATTTATAGCTAGTGTCTCGAATACTCGTTTCCGGTTTTCTTTGAACGGCGGATGCGTATCGATGAAATTTTGGACCTGCCTTTAACTCGATGCTAGCTGGCGATTTTTCTGAAAACTCGAAAGGGTGCAAAATGGCTTATGTGTTTTGTTTTCTGCGCCATACGGGTTGTATGGCGTTAGTTATACTGTTATACTGCTATACTGTTCTTGGATTCCTTTAGAAAGCACATCTTGTTATTTTTTGCTTGAGCCATATAAGATACAGAAAAAAATATCATTTACAGTTTCAAAAACCAGAATTACCCGCCGTCAAGGACCTATGGATCGGCAATCGTCTCTGCTGAATTTCCGATCGTGTTCGTTTCGCAATATATGATCTAGGCGGGCAGGCAGACACCTTCGTTCAACATATACCAGCTGAGTGGCTGGACGTGAGGCGACGATATTGGTCGCGCGCGGCTGCCGCGCCGCGGCTGCTGACGCGTCGGCCCTTCGATTTTCCTCCACATCGCCTCCAGGCCTTTTCGGGACCTCGACCCCCCACATCCACATCACTCCGCTAACCCTAATTTTGGAATTTTATGCAAGCTCTTTGAAAAAGTGGGGCGAATCGATATTTCTATAAAATAAGGCAAAAAGCTTAATTTGGAAACTCCTTCTCTCTAGATCTTAAAGACGTTTTTCGAGACATTTTATTATCGATGGACCCATATTGTTATCAAAGATGGCCAATGGGGTCGTCGGTTGCCTCTCACGAGATAGCACTAGAGGCCTGTTTTCCGCCTCTATTTCTCTAACCTTTCTTTTGCCTCTTCCACTCACTTGCCACCAGACGCCTTTGAATAGGCCTCGCGTTTTTTGTGTCCTCATTGGTGTCTGACCTAGTTTCATAACAAGGGGTGGGGGCCAGGTAGTCATAAACAACGATGAGTGTCTTTGTTTAGGGTTATGAATTGATTTTATAATGTGACTGACTGGTTTTGGCGTTTCATCAAAGGGCATTTGGCCTATTATAGCGTTATTCTAATTTTAGGATTGAATTCTGGGCTTAAAACGCTCCAAATTTGTGTAAAAGCAAGTTCATTAGTTTAATTTTCGCCACTCCAATTCAATATGCCATGTCTCCATTTCAAGTTCGACAATTTACTCGAAGAGCTGTAATTTTGCCTCAATTTACGTATGATTCACTTTAATTATGGGAGGACTTTACATTAAATCCATAATTTCAGCGATGGACCAGTACGGGACAGCTCCGTCCCCAGCGGAGCACCCGGGCATTTTTCGCTCTGAAGAAATGTGCCTCGCCCAACTTTACATCCAGAGCGAGGCTGCATATGGCTGTGTTGCTGAATTGGGAGAGCTCGGACTTGTCCAATTCCGTGATGTAAGTGAATTTATCTAAAGTCATGTGTTGAAAATTGTTCTCTAAGCTTAACCGCAATGTATTGTAAGTTCATACACTATTTAACGGCCCGAAACAAGCATTGAAAACCAAAGATGAGTGAAACCCTTTTCAGCTCAACCCTGACATCTCTGCCTTCCAAAGAAAATATGTGAAAGAAGTCCGGCGTTGCGATGAAATGGAACGAAAACTTCGTAAGACCCAGATCTCGACTGCCCCCAATAATTCACTTTGTAGGCTTCCTCGAACGAGAAATTAAAAAGGATCAAGTGCCAATGCTGGACACCGGCGAGAATCCCGATGTCCCACAACCTAGGGAAATGATTGACTTAGAGGTTCGTATATTTCTCTGGATTTTAACAACACATTTCAGGCTACCTTCGAGAAGCTAGAAAACGAGCTACGTGAGGTGAACCAGAACGAGGAGACGCTGAAGAAAAATTTCAAGTATAAAATTTTAGTTTGCATCTAGAGATAAATTACAGCGAGCTGACCGAGCTGAAACACATCCTCCGCAAGACGCAGACCTTCTTTGAAGAGGTATGTGAATATTTTGATCGCCAGTTCTCTCACCCTTGATCCCGATAAATACTGGGGGTAGTTTAGAATAGGCGGAAGACATTATAAAAATATTCAATACCGACTCCCCCTTGCATGGATTCCTTGGCTGGTGGTGGGCCTTGCTTTTTCTATTGCGTAGGCACCTAGCGCATGCTGTATGGTGGCTTAGTGACTTATAGATTGCCAAATTTATACCGAAATAGTCCATAGATCTGGAAATGTTAAATGTGGCATTTGTACCAGATTTTTTTTCTCAAAATGTGGACTCCAAACGACTTTTTTGCATTTTCCAGCCACACTTTTCATATCCCAGGAAATCCCCCTAGTAATTCGGTTAGTATGGGTGTTGTCTGTTGTAATTCGGAAGAACACGGTCGATGGCGCTGATTTTGGGTGGAGCACGACCGGTGGAGGATAGATGGAGGAAGAAGACCGTCACTCACAAACGATCAAGCACCATTGCTTCAAATTGATGATGATGAGCCGCCCGCACAGAGTTCAATGCTGTCATATCTGCGGTTAGGGTAGGTACCCCGTGAGAACCTTTAATTGGCCACCCATCAAGTACCGTACCACACGAATACTGAGGCATTTCCCGACTAACTGCTGACTTTGTTTGGCTTGTAATCTGCTAAGCTTGGAACTGACCCTAGGTTGCCCATTTTTAATACATTGTGGCGGTTTCCGGCACTAAATATCATATTTGAAAATGGGTAACTTTTTGTTGAAGGAGTGCTTGGAGCTAACTGACTCTCTTACTGATTTAACCCTTTTCCCTTCCCCTATGTCGTGATTGTCCATCCCCCAATACTTCGGATTCCTGGCCGCTTCAAGGGATTGGGTTAATTTCCGGATTTAAAAGGAACTTGGTTTTTGTTTGGAAATTTATTGGGTTATTTGAACAGGCGGGAACGGAGGGCATGGCCCCACCGGAAACGGCTCACGATGCCGAAACCCTCGAACTGACCTCGGTCCCAACCGGATCGATGTTCGCCAATTTTGGGTGAGAGACACCGTCGTGTTGTCTCGGAATGTTTATATAGTGGCGTAAAGCTGTAGTGCTGGTCTTTTCCTTCAAGCAAAGTAAAATTGGATATCGTAAGCCTATCGTAACCCCGTCATCTTTCGGCTTGCATCAAATCGAGCTTGAGACTACCCATCGTGTTTTGTTGTGCATCCACCCCCAATGTGAACTGTTTTTGCTTTCTACAGCATGAGGAGCTGCAAGTGGAAGCGTTACTACCACTCGAAGTTACTCGGGATCTCCACGCTCCGGATACACCAGCGCTCATCATGCAGCTCAGGTAGCTATTGTCTAGTGATTTATTGATTTTTGCAAATTGGTGTTGTACGCTGGCTGCAAAAGGAAAAAGAACTTTTGAAAAAATCTTAAAAACCAGTTTCATTATTCAGCCAATGTATACCCACAGCTTTTTTTACGGATCTTTCTTTGTGTTCGTGGTAATGCACCAGTAATCGTGCGGTATAACCTGAGCCACAGCTTGTGTTTGTCCCCCTTCTATTCTTTGGCAGCCCTAAACCCGAAATTCCGGTTCAGGTTCGTGGCTGGTGTTATTCAGCGTGAGCGTCTGCCCGCCTTTGAACGTCTGTTGTGGCGTGTCTGCAGAGGCAACGTCTTTCTGCGACAATCTGATATTGATGATGTCATCCAGGATGCTGTTACGGTAAAATTATCCTTTTTGTGGTATACATTATCTTAGGGAGAATCCGTGAACAAGACCGTGTTCATCATCTTTTTCCAAGGAGACCAGCTGAAGACGAAGGTTAAGAAGATTTGCGAGGGGTTCGTTTGCTATGTAATCAATTCAAGAAAATATAATTTTTAGCTTCCGCGCTACTCTATATCCATGCCCTGATACACCACAAGAGCGTCGTGAGATGTCGATCGGAGTTATGACTCGGATTGAAGATTTGAAGACGGTTTTGGGACAGACTCAGGACCATCGTCATCGAGTTCTGGTAGGTTTTCCTGCCCTTTCTCAATCTTAAACATTATTTTTTTAATAACGAACCAATTATACAAAATTTTTAGGTTGCCGCCAGCAAGAACGTGCGCATGTGGCTGACGAAGGTCCGCAAGATAAAATCCATCTACCACACCCTGAACCTGTTCAACATTGACGTCACACAAAAGTGTTTGATCGCCGAGTGCTGGTGTCCTGTCAACGAACTTGAGCGGATTAAGATGTCGCTAAAACGAGGAACCGTAGGTTTTAGCAATTTCGAAACCCTGAGAAACTAAAAATCTATAGAAACAAACGCTTTTCAGGAAGATTCCGGTTCCCAGGTCCCCTCAATCCTCCACCGGATGGAGACTTCTGAAAACCCGCCAACCTACCACAAGACCAACAAGTTCACCCGCGGCTTCCAAGAGATCGTTGATGCTTATGGAATGGCCACCTACAGGGAAATTAACCCGGCGCCATACACGATGATCACATTCCCGTTCCTATTCGCCGTGATGTTCGGTGATATGGGTCATGGAACGGTGATGCTTCTGGCTGGGCTGTTCTTTATTCTAAAGGAGAAGCAATTGGAGGCCGCTCGAATCCGTGACGAGGTCAGTTTTGATTTGATCTAAAAGGATTCCGAATTGAAGTAACTTTCTGAGAAAGAATTCCGAATTATCGATCAATTACCAATTTTTCAGATCTTCAACACCTTCTTCAACGGTCGTTATGTGATCTTCTTGATGGGAGCGTTCTCGATCTACACCGGCTTCATTTACAACGACATTTTCAGGTACTGTAGCTACAATTATATTTTTACGCTGTACACTTGAAACCAGAATGGACCCCAATTCTGGCAAAAAATAAATTTATTACAGCAAGTCCATCAATCTGTTCGGATCGTCGTGGAGAAACACCTATGGCGCCGACTTTTTCCAAGAACATCTTACATATGAAGAGCAAGAAAAGCCATTTATGCTTGTACCAGAGAAAGGATTCGATGTGGGCTTTTTCTTTTTAGATTATCCCTTGTTTTTAGTCGCCCGGCGGACCATACCCATTCGGATTGGACCCTGTTTGGAATTTGGCCGAATCGAACAAAGTTAGCTTATTTTTGACTACTTATAACCTCAAAATTTTCTAGCTGTCATTCCTAAACTCAATGAAGATGAAAGCTTCCGTTATCCTTGGAATCACTCAAATGGCATTCGGACTGATGCTCTCCCTCTACAATCATAGGTTAGGGTCCTGTTTCAGATTCGAAAAATGTTTTAGATACTTCAAATCCGATTTGGATATCAAATGGATGTTTATTCCGCAAGCCCTCTTCCTTGGCTGTATCTTTGTTTATTTGTGCTTGCAAATTATTGCAAAATGGCTCTTCTTCACGGCAGAAGTAAGTTGAAGCCGAAAAACTTAATTCGTGCTTTTTGAGGCGAACACCGTTTTCGGCTACGATTACCCTGGATCGAACTGCGCGCCGTCTCTTCTCATCGGTCTGATTAATATGTTTATGCAAAAGGTGGTTCAAACGATTTTCGTCTAAAAATTTTTTTAGTCTCGCGACAAGGGCTTTGAGGGTCCGACTTGTTACCTGAACTTCTGGTATCCCGGACAGGTTTGTGCAAACCTTAATGGTTTATTTAATTAAAGCTAGCTGGGTTTCAAAGTCTTTAAAAAAGATTTCGTAGCTTTTTCCAAAACCAATTTGGCCAAGCAGAAGCCCGGCAAGCTGCCATCTTTCAGGAACTCCAAAAAGATCAGGAAAATACAAAATAGACCCAAAATGCGCTTTAAAAATGGCTGCGAATTTCAGTCATTCTTCGAGTTTATCTTTCTGGCGGTAGCAATCTGCTGCGTGCCGGTGATGTTGTTCGCCAAGCCGTACCTGATGTGGAAAGAGGATCAACTGAGAAGGGGCCGTGGCCATGCTCATTTGGTACTGAGCCTGAATGGAGGCGGATGAGCACTCTGTGGTGGCACCCTTCGCGCGCTTAGCAAATTTTTTTCAAAGAAACGGCTTGGTTTTGGTGGCTTCTGGCCGTTGTGTTTTGGGCGTGTAGGCGTGGTGGAAGAATTTTATGGGATATTTTATTAAGACACCCTGTACAACCTGGAAAAAACTTAAAACAGAAGCTATCATACCGTAGCCAGCATGTCCCCAATACCCCACCCCCAGACCACAACCGCAACAACGTGTCGTGTTTTCCAGGCCCCAGTCGAATTGATTTTGTTGGTGGTGGCCCTCGTCCAAGTACCCTTGATGCTTTTTGCAAAGCCATACCTGCTCTGGCGTCGCCAAAAGGGGTACCAACCCCAAATTGATCAGCCCGGGACGTCCGGCGGCTTCCAGCAGGCAAGCCCCTTTTTCTCTCATTTATCCCCCACTTCTTTTTGGGTACACATAACCCGAATCGTTTAATAGTAGTTGCCAAAACAGTCTTGGATTTTGCTAAGAGCATCTTGAGGCCGGAAAACTAACCGCGTCTGTCTCTCTCACTATATAGGTTGGATAGATGCATGCATGGGAGCACTTTGCTGTTGTAAAAGTAAAGTTATTATTTGTTGGCGGGGTGGGGTTTATAGGAGAAAAGTGTGAAGAACAACTGTAACCAATTTTCTAAACCAGTTCTGATCACCATTTTCTCCTATAGACGCTTGAATACTTCTATTCTTTTGCATGAACTGTCTGTGGGTGTCTGGCGATTGCTCTTTTTCATGATAGAAAATAATTATATTTTTTTTGTAGAGCGTTCGAGCGGATATGAATGGAGAAGATGTTGAGGTCGTTCAGCATGCGGATGAGCCACCAAAGGAAAATGGCGCCAGTCATGGTGGCGGACACGGACATGGAGATGGGCCGGTATGCAATCGATATCAATAATTCTAATTCCTAAATTTTAGCTTGATATGGGAGACGTCATGGTTTACCAAGCCATCCATACCATCGAGTTCGTCCTCGGATGCGTCTCGCACACCGCCTCATATCTTCGACTCTGGGCTTTGTCATTGGCTCATGCTCGTAAGTTCAAATATTTTAACAGATTAAATTTTATAGTAGCATTATAAACTCGGAACAATTTCAGAGCTCTCGGATGTTCTATGGACAATGGTGTTCCGCCACGCCTTCGGATTTGACGGATACCTGGGCGCTTTCATCACCTATGCCCTATTTTTCGTCTTCTTCTTCCTCTCCGTTGGAATCCTCGTCTTGATGGAAGGCCTATCCGCCTTCCTCCACGCACTCCGTCTTCATTGGTAAGTCTTGGTCCACTAACCCAATGTATTAGAACCTTCAAAATCTGTACCATTACCAACGTCCCCTTTCAGGGTCGAATTCCAATCGAAATTCTATGGAGGTCACGGCTACCCGTTCGCACCGTTCTCTTTCGAGAAGATCCTACAGGAAGAGCGTGAAGCTGAAGAGCAAGCCTAAATTATATATTTACCAGAGCTTATTTCACTTTACTAGTCCCCTTTTCGTACGATCAGATAAGTGGAGAAAACGATGCTAGGCCTAGGGCGGCGTCTCCCCTGCGAATCATAACAAAACCCAAGGACCGGGGTCTCCGCATATATTTTTCATTTTGAAATCATCCTCCCCGCGCAGACGCCTCTGCCCGAATCATGAATCATACCGGTTCATTTTCTCCATTTATCGATCTGAGATTCATTTTTTCTCATTTCTGATAGTTCTTTCTATCCTTTCCCTTCCTGGCCATGAGTGCAACCCTCGCCAACCATTTCTGTATATCAGATTGTGAGCCATTGGCATTTAATATTTATTCCATCCAAGTGATGCCCAAACAACCTTCCAAAATTCCCCGTTTTCAAAGCCATCCCAGCCTTTTGGTAGTCCCGCTTAGCCACTGCGTTTATAATGGCATTTCACAAGGGATAGGCTGTCGTGAAGCTTGAAAATAATCGCGTAGCTTAGTTATAACCATAACTTCAAGCTTCCCCAGTATCCCAATAGTCTCTTACCATCTTTCATTGCGAGTAGTCACTGATTTCGGTGTTGTGCGGTCCCTTTAATTTATCGTCTAAATTTCTATCAACATTCTCTCTCCACCCAACTTCATTGCCAGTTTTTACTCTATTCTCTATGCGGTCGCCATATAATAAAGTGTTGTAGAGGAGCGTGGTGACAGTGTTAACAGGGTTTTTAGGGGCAACTCGGTTCGTAACTCAACAAAATGCATGAACCGTTGAAGTTCTTGTACCAACATGGCAGTAAGAATTTTATATTTTCCGGCAAAAGATTGCGTTTGCCTGGATGTTGAGTTATAGTCGAATTTTACAGAGCTCGATTGGCACATCTGCCTTCTTGGAGCGTTAAAGCACAATGATGTGGTCAAGTACATTTGGGAGAATTCGGCGCGCCGCTATTGCACCGACGAATCGGCGATCAATGTCGTTAAGGCCGTTGTTGCGTAGCTGTTAGGACGCACTTCCAGTCAATTTGTTTAGAAAAAAGCTGGCTCCTTACCCGGAAGCGGTTATCATGAAGGATGAGCATCGCGAGGAACATCCCACTGGGTTTGAGAAGGTTCGAAGTTTTTTTTGAGAAGGATGGGCGCGGGCAAGGTGACATGGAATGCTGTAAAACCGATTTATAGCGCGCCCACTTAACCCAAAACTGTAAACAAGTTAACCCAAGTCGAAAGTACAGCTGATTGCCGTTTTGCAACAGGAAAATTACGGTTTTAGGTCGAGGATGTGGTTCCGAGTTTCTTCTACATGAATCGCCGTGATGTGCTCGAAATTATAAGAGCGTTTGAAGGAATGCAGAAGGAAGAAGAAAGAAAAGTAGAGACTTTAAAAACAGACTTTACAATACCGACTTCTAGCCATCGATGTATCTGGCAGTTGGTGTTTATTCTCACTGCTGGTTTCTTGAATACTGTCAGTGGGCTGTGCAGGCGACAATTTCTGATGGAGTTATGCGCTGCTTGATGGATGGTCAAACTATGATTTTTGTTCTCCCGTCGGTTAGTTTATGCCATCATTTTTTTAAAGGACACTTCTCCATAAATCCGAAATTCCAGGGGAACCACGAGTTCGACCTTGGAGAAGAGTGGCGATACACACTTACCCGCGCCATTCGCTTGGTTGTCGTTAACGAAGAACATGCGGACATTACTACGTCTGGATTAACGCGTGACTTATGTATATATCAATTACGGCAGTATTAAAATACGTAATTTCAGTGGACGTGCGAGCCAGACGCAACTCAATGGCGTACGTCTGCAATTTGGTAGGTCTAATAAAATTAACCATGTGATTAGTAATACTATCCGGTTACTATCATGTTTCAGCTCAAGGGCCGTTATCTCCGTATCCAAACCTCTGCTCCAGTCGCCTTCTGTGTGGATTTGAAGTCGAAGCTGCTTATGAAGAAGACCTATCTGACGGATGAAAAACTCTACTAAACCCTATGCTTAGCTATCTTATCAGTAGACGTAACTTTAAACTCGCTCATCATAGGCGCATTAAAGTCAAGATACCCGCGAAAAAAACATCTGGCGATAGCCTACGAGTTCTTTATGGTCCTCCTTTTATCGCCTTTTGGCCCCTCGATAACCCTGTCTTCCTCAATTCTCAAACCGCTTGCAAAAACCGTAGCTTTCACAACGCCTCCACTGATCAACTTGAGGCCCCTTTGTCATATGTGTCGATAGCCGTGTTGCAATAAAACTTTTGTTAGTATCCCTGTTCGATATACATCTTTTTATGGCCGTTCTTGTCACGCTCACGGTTTTTAAAACTTTTAATTTTACGGTTTCCTTGAATTGCGTTTCCAGTCGTTCGAAAAGCAAGTTCAGTGATGTTGGAACCACTCGCATTTTGCTATCGAAGAGGTAAGTAGGATCCATTTTGAATATTAACTAGTACGAATAGACTTTTTTAAGCATTCAACTGATTTTAGCCGTCGATGCCGGTGTGATATGGCTAAATGGAACCAAATTCTTTCCTATCTACGGGAAGCTCTGGCACAATGCGCAGCTACGTTATGCAGCCGATGGAGGAACTAATTTTGTTTATGATAATTTGAAGCAGTAAGTGGTTTTTTGTTAGACTGAGCGTTCGTTCTAGGCAAAATTTAACGGTTCCTCCCGATCGGATCGTTGGAGATATGGATTCGATTAGGCCCGAATTGTATGAGGCATTGAAGGTGCTGGAAATGAAGTGGCTGTCAATTTACTACTTACTTCTAGGCTAGTATCCCAATCGAAAAAATAGAAGAACAGGAAACGACTGATATGACAAAAACCTTCCGAGCGCTTATCCGGGATGCCAAGAAAAATAAAAAACCGGTATGTTTTTTGATAACTATACGGGTTCTTTTAAGATCAATATCGTCTACGCCCTTGGCGGATTAGCTGGACGGTTTGATCACGTAATGGCGGCCTTAAATACTTTGGTGACAGAATCGGTAGGCTGGCAAAAAAAAAATATAAAATATATTATTTTCAATTTAGACTGACGATGTCTTACGTTGCATTATCCACGATACAAATGTGGTACTGGCACTAAAGAAAGGAATTCACGACATCGACCTTGGTGAAAAGTATGAAACCTACACGGCCGGTAAATGTGGTTTGATCCCGATTTGCCAAGAAGAGACAATCGTTACTAGCAGTGGCTTCAAATGGAATTTAGGTATTCCCATAAAATTTACAAAAGTATTCTTGTAGTAAACGACGTGCTAAAATTTGGAGGCATGGTTTCGACGTCAAACGAGGTAATTCTTGTAGCCATTTGTATTTTTTTTGTATTCGAAAGCTTTCAGATTGTTGCCCGCTTTCTCCAGATCGAGACTTCAGCACCGTTGATATTCACATTGGAATTGAAGAAGGAATTCGTTGAAAACGATGGCGACTGATTGTTTTAGCTGACCCGTTTTAATACCTAGGAGTTTTTGTAGAAGCTAGTTATTTTTTGTTTTCTTTGTTACACGTGCCGTTTCTTGCCGGCTCAAACTATAGCTTCGGGTTTTCTTGTGAGAGCAATTACTGTTATAAAATCTTTTTGCCATAAAAAATGGCCTTATCAATCAGATCGCGAATGATAAAGTATTTGTTAATACTTGCCCTAGTATGCACAACAAGAAACAGGGTATAAAAATTCACAAATATGCAAACCATGGGCAGTTAATGAAGGCAAAAGATAAAAATGGATGAATAGGTACTACATTGTGTTTTGTCATCAAAAGCTGAGTTATAGTGGGAAAATCATTGTCTGCAGTCTCATCCAATCAAATCTGGCCCAGGGGCTTATCTTTACGATCCCCTGGAAACAGAGGAAAAGGAGGAGAAAAGGCCAAGTTATCTGACATCATTAGCCATTGGTTAGTCAAGCTACATTATCCTAGCTACAATGCTAAATTTATGGTTTACTTTAATAGTCGCAGTTGTGGCTGATTATAATATAAAGGTATGTAACTATCCTTTTAGGTGATTATCTCGAATTCCCGAATTTTTAGACGCTTGATGTCGACGGCGCCGGTGAAATTTACTCACACGGGTACCCAAATCAGGATACGACTTATGGAGGCGTCAATAACTAGTAGTGCATAATTTAGCATAAATTGCCGAAGTTAAGCTACGACTGGATGATCGCCTCGAAAAACTGGAAGAAGCTTCGCCTTTTCTTTGACCGTTATGATACCCTGGAGCAAGATACCTTACAATTTTGCACGGCCGAACAGTATTGGAGGTTTGTTTGGTGGCGTTGGCCTTCATAGAGCTCGGAAATATAAAAATACGGATTTTTAGTTGCATTGACCGTACAACAGCCTGCCCTGGGTGTTCAAAACACGTTGAGCCATTTTGGTACCCCGAGTTCGGGCCGCTTTTCGCGTATTATCGACCGTATATTCCGGATAATGGTACGATGGTAACGAGGAATGGTTTCCACGCGGTGCTAATGGAAGTTGGTCCGTTTAAATAGAACATTTTATTGAATTCTCAATGTACTTTTAGATTCAAATATGGAGAGCTATTTCACATGCGGATCTTCCTATAATTTGGCTGCTACAGGCAAACAGTTCTTTGTTTCACAAGGCAACCATCCCATTTAATAAACTCTCAAATTGCCTTCAGCCTACCCAATGACAACCACATTACTGCGCAGATGTCTAACGGATATTGTGGCTTCCCAGGGTATACGCCTACGCTTCACTTCCTATTCTGTACTACCCAATGACTATTTTTTCATCTACGGAAATGGGCCGGATGGAGCAAAGCAAAACATTTCGATCAGGTGCCTTACAAATTCATTCACAAACAAAAATGTTAATTTTTTTAGCAGTTTGGAAGTAGGTACGGTTCTGACTCTATATTTCGACCAAAAAGCTACAATCGACTTCAAATTTTCACAAGGAACACACGAAGAGCCAAACTATTTTGCGTTTCATGCGGAGTCTTACAATTGTGAGCGTGACAAGGCAGACCTTTTTGATTTAGATTTAGATACAAAACCTTCATGTCCCATTGGTGGCGGCACATTTGTCGATCAACAATTCGATATTTATTCACCAAATTTTTACATGGATGAAATTCAAGTAAGCCGTCTCAAGGTTGTATTTGACCATGGCACCCAGAACTACCCGAATAATCTCGCTTGCACATGGAATCTCAGTGGTGTCACCGGCAATTCACAAATCTATCTTGAAAATACACTTGTGAACTTGGAGCCAGACGCCGATTTCTTTTCGTCACCGGAATTTATGTTCAAGGTTAGTTGCAGTGCATGGTCCTCTAAAAAATCTGCCATTTAGTTCTCAAGTTTGGAGGATATTGAACAGAAATACATGGCACTGCCAATTGGGCAGAACAACGCGACGTTCCTATTGACTTCTGATGCCCTCGAGACGAGCCTGGGGCTTATCGCTTCAGCTCGGATTTTGGGTACGATATGTACGACTTTAGGTCAAAGCTGTTTACAGATTGTACTTGTACGGGTGGTAATTATTCTTTCCAAGACCAAAGCACCTATCGTTTCCAAATGCCGATCGACGTTAGTGGACGGGATCGATATCCCACTTATTGCCAGTAGATTACATTTTTCTTTGAATCTGTTTGCCAGGGGGTTAGATTGCGATTGGACGTTCCAAAATGATCCAACCAACAATGTAACCCTGCAATTCACCGATTTTGATTGTGCATATGGAGAATTCCCTACAATCTATGTCAATCACGACTTTTATACGGTCGTCTACGAGTAAGTTTGTAAGGCAAAGCTTTCTAACTAACTATTTTTAGTAACAACAAGACGTATACAATCAGTAATGCTCAAATAATAGAGCTTGAGTGGAGCTCCTCCTTTGGGGAAATTTCGCCTGAGAATCCCTACCCGAAGGGATTTAAATTTGTGATTTATACAGGTGGGTAAAAAATGCCAATCTAAGGCATTTGGTTAAATGCTTTTAAAGCAATTCTACGAATTTTTAGGGGTCACTCCGACACCAGAAACCACTACAACCACCACACCTACCACGGCTACCCAAACTACGCCCGGTCAAACCGTTGCAACCGGATCAGCGGCAACTGTTACTGTTTCTCAAGGGCCAGCAACTACTAGCCAAGCTGTAGGCACCTCAAAAGATACTGTAGCCCCAGGCTCAGCAGGAACTACATCACTTCCAGGTATGCAAATTTCACATAAATTCACGTTATTTTTTTAGCCACTACTACAACTACCAGCAGCCGTTGTTCTCAACTTATTGGATTTTTAATTGCCCTTGCGATCTGGATATCTAGGATTTCTTAAATAAATCTTCAATTTAGGTCTGTTTTACGTGACGATATGTGAATACAAACCAAACTCACCCCACATGCCAACTAGACCTTGACTTTTCGGGCCTCATAAAAACCCGATCCATTCCCAAACCCTTTCCCCCGATACTCCGTCCTCCACCCGGTGCCTCCGAGCTAAAAAAAACCATAATTGGTATGGTTTGAGAGGGCAGGAGGATGCGAACTGAACGAGGCAGCAGTGTGAGGTCCTTGAAGGTTGCCAGTCTCCCGGAGGGCATCGATTTAGCTACACACTTACGCTATAACTGAAGGGTCTTTGAAAAGGGTATGAAAGGGAGGAGGGAGGGGGCGGTTGAGGAGGATGGGCTTGAATTTCTTTGCTCTATTGGTCTAGCTCAGGCTTTGATCATTATTCGCTTGTATCAACTGGTTTCCCTTGAGCCGGAGGGGGAATGATAGCCGAGGACTAGTTTTCTTCTCTACTTTTGCCTTCTTCTGCAATCTTTCTTGGTGGAATCCTGCACGATCTAAAAGCTTGTTTCTGGTCTAAATCTTCGCCTGTATTGTAAGCAAAAATCTACTTTTTATAGTGTGTTAAAGTAGTTTCCGATTTCCTATTGATAAAAACTTATAAACACGTTTATAAATAATATCTCTAAAAAGCCGTCAACTTACTTGGTTAATATCGCATATTGGTAATCTACGGAAACTTAGAAAAAGATTTGGTTCCCTCGTTGCTAAATGCTCGCCTCCGCTAAAGGATCAGAACCAAAAGTTTTACCACTTGGAAACTTGAGCGACCGGCTCAATCGAAACACAGCATTTTTTACAACTTGAGAGTTCGTAACCGGAGTGTTGAAAAGGTTTCAAGGGTCCTCACTTTCCCTCACTTACTTTCTGCTCTTTGGAACCCAAATTGAACCGGTCATCCGGTGGCTCCTCAGTCCATATACCCCTAGGGCAATTTGCCCACACCAACAGACTAAAAGGGTAAGACTTCGCCGTATTCCAATTGCGTAGAAAAGTAATCTATGGTCAATTACACATTGTTAGAACTTTCCCAAGACATTTTTGTTTTTCGAGCTGACCAATTTCCGGGGTTCGGGGGTATAATTAGATGAATGGTAGCGTAAGAGATAGCCGAAGGGCTCGAAAGGTTCTCTCTATTGCCCGCAATCTATCCCTTTTTTGCCTATTGATTGATCCGTTGACACCCTCTCTCCCCTTGGAGGGCCCTTATTTGCCTTGCACCTACTTCCCTGCGGTTCTTGAGAATGTGACGACTCCACACCCCTAGTTTCTGGTTCTGCTTATGCGCAAAGACACGCGGTGGTTATGCCGTTCTTGGAAATATAGGTCCGGCTATTTACCACTAAATTCTTTTTTTTGTCTCTAGTAAAAGTGTGTTAATACATAATTCTTACCTGTGAACGGCTAATTTTAAACGTACTTCTTGTACCCTATTATCTTCTGCCGATTACCGGATCGATTTTCTGCCTCGGGTCCATTTATGTGCTTTTCTTATGATCGTACCATTTGTTTTCTATATTTCGTTCTCGACAAAAAACCTCATATTCATTTAGAAAAACGACAATGCGAATAAAGCTACTAATAACTGCCGATTCGTCTGCGAAATGATAATCAGACCCCCAGCCCTCCGTCGCTCGCCAGCAATTTGGATTGCCGCACATTTACTTTTAGGTTCGAAACTGTCGATTTATAGTTATTTATACAAAATTAAAAAAATACGTCCGCGTCTTTTCCAGGCTGCATCGTTGGGTATTTTATCGGGTCTGCATTTAACGGGTATGAAGAAGATGTCGAGTCGCATCACCAACCGTTTGATGTTCGGAATTTAGGCAAGTTTTTGTAAACAAGCTTATACCCAGCTTTTCAGACCCATCAAACGCGACGCTGCGTTGTATTATTTTGCTAGATTATACGACACCAAAGAAGAATCTATTTATTGAAGCGATTTTGTGAGTTAGCCAGACTTCAAGCCAAATATTTGGACTTTTCAGGGACACATGGGGTTCTGAATGCAACGAAACTATTTTCTATTCATCAGACCCAGCCGAACTTCAGGGACAAGTCCCGAGTATGCTAATTTTTAGAATCCTAACGCCAAATTCTCAGAAGCAACCATCAAAGGGCTATACTCCGGATTTGGTGCTTATCTATGGAGCCACTATTTGGGCGTCTTAGAAAATCTGGACTTGGTTAGTCGTAATATTCTGATCGAGTTACCCTAGCTTAGAACCCATATGATTGGACTTTGGTCGCTGATGAGCGCTTATTCACCGTTATCCCAAATCTGCGGAAGATTATCGGGCAAATGGACCCCGCGAATCCAATTATGATTGGAAAGATGACCCGCAGCATGCAAGTTTTTTTTTGTACTTAAATCATCGAAAAATGTTAATTCAGGGCATTTCTACCTTTTCCATCATTTTTTGCAAAGCGTATCGCCACCTCGGCTGGGATTGTCTTCAGCGCAAGGGGGCTTCGTTCGATGAAGCATTGTAAAAAGTAACTGTTTTTGCAAGTTCTAAATTTTTGTAGTTTCTGGTTACCCCGAGCGACTGAAAAAGCGCTCGCTGAATGTGCTCGGGCTTATGGATTGACTGTGATTGATCCAGTAGATCAGGTAAGAGATTAAGAACAAAAATCCCAAAATTATTCAATTTCAGGATGGGATGCACATGTTCAATGAACGAAATATTTTGGATATGATCCAGAGTCTTGACGGCTCAATGGTGAAAGATCAGGTAGGCCCTCAAAGACACTTCAACAAGATTTTAAGGATCATGCCAAATCATCCAAACGGGAATGCTGTTCGGATCATGCAATCACTTTTGGCCAAATGTCATTTAAGGAAGTGAGAATGGCCCATTTTGCCTCATCGAGAATGCGTGTATTTTGAGCTTCTAAATATAAACTTTATTCCGGGTCGCCAGCATGGCTCGCTATAAAATAAATATATAAAAATGAGCCACTAAAGGCATTTACATTTGAATAAACTACAACCATTTTCGTTTCGTTTACTTATTGAGCAAACCGAAAAGAGTAACACAGAGGGATGGATTGAGATTGGATATGTCTAGAAAATGCTTGCATAAAAAAAAACGTAATAGATACAATCATCTATTTGAATTCTGGAAAATTTCTCTTTTTCTACGCCTAACAAAATTGCCATAATGATCGACACAAGATTCGTCGACTGGCCCTGCACATCTTGGGTGTTGCAGTTTGATGGGTTTTTGGAGGACTTTGAACGCGGAGAGATTGTGTTGTTTGATGATTTGATCTCGGATCTCCAGAAATTGTTGGGACGGTTTCCTAAAATACTTTCTTCGTAAAATTTCCAAAAACTTGAACTTACTCTCCCTTCAAATAATTAGTCGATCCGTTGATGTATTGCCGGCGAACCGTTTGCAACATTTGTAACAAAGTAGAAGTGTCATCCGAATCAGGTTCTAATAAAAATTCTCGTGCAGTTGGTTTACAACTTACGCGATTGGTGCACAAAGAAGATTCGCCCAATCCCAGCTGCAAAGAGGGTGTGAGCCATTAGCTCATATAATATTGATTCCTCCTAAAAATTTCAAAATAGGGAATCGATCGAACTCTTGCCTTTGGAAAGTTGGAAGCTTCCGTACCAAAGATCATAATTCCTTTAGGACGCTTTTCTAGTATAGCTGGCAAGCAAATCTGTATTTATTTAGATCTGGGGTACTACCGAACTTCCCCCACCTGCTGCCAGAGTAGACATCTATCAGCGGTCGTGAGACCGGGCAGTGATAACCAATGAATCGGTCCAAACGAGGCAATAGCTTCATCCGTTTTTACATTAATTTTCTAAATTATACTCTAGAAGTTGGCGACAAAATACCGAATTCAAAGAAATCGGAAATAGCAGGTCCCGGGCCGTGTTTTTCTTAAGATGAGCGTGACTGTGTGAAATAGAAGCCTACCTTTTCCCAAGAACTCGAAGCAGCAGCATAGAGGTGTCGGGACACTGTAAGCCTCTTGTAAACTTAAATTTTTAGAGCCTACAATCGGTACGTGGCGTCACCAGAAATGTCGCACAAATCGGACTATTGGCACTGAGTTCGAGCAACTAAATTTTAGGTAGTGTTCGTTTAGACAGGTTACCTTATCCAAGACCGATTCAAAAAGTTCAGCGATAGATTTAGACAAAGGTTTGTCGCCTTCAGAAATCGAAGAAGATAGCTGAAGCAGTTTGAGAGCAGCGAATTGTTCTTACATCGGTATTGTCAAAATGCTCTATACTATCGCGTATATCAGCCCAATTGATGTCTGCCTCATCAGTGCTCAACTATAAAACGAAAGTTTGGATAATTTTGCATTGAGCATACCTTGCGCTCAATTTGATTGAGCATAGGGCTGCCCGCAAATTTTCGTTGGTGGAGCAGGGCAAAAATGGGCTGACGAGGTTCGTGAGGTCGCATTGTTTGATCGGCTTGCCGGACACGGACGTTATCTGGAGGTCGATTATTGGGTCCTGGAGGGCGGAAGAGCACTTTGTAGTAGCCTCTAAATTAATGTATACATCGTAGTTACCAAGGAGCTTGATGTCCCCTAATCCTCTGCAAATGTCTTAATGTACCCACTCTTCATCCTCTCTTTCTGTGTCCGAATCATCGGTTTGATCAGGACGTACAGCTTCTTCAGGATCAACACCACTAGCAGAAGCCCCGGCGTTTTCTGGTATACTAAAAACATAACACTAGGCATATAACAATCGAAAGATCTACCGGGGCCGTGTAGGTCCAAGCCCCTGAATTGTGACTTGCTTCTTTGGTGCAACTCCCATTTCCGTAGCCTCTTGCTCCTTATGCTCAGACTCTAGATTCGGATCCGGAATACCATTCGAATTTTGATGTTGTGATGCAGGAGACTTTTCCACTATCATTTTCATAGTTTCCTCTTCATCTTTTAGCAACATGTCCACATCGTGTGTTTCCTTTCGTGGCGAAGTTGGCATGGAAACTTCTGTATCATCTTTAGGCATTTTCACATTTTCGTCACCCTCCCGCTCATCGATCTCCTGTTCCTGTTCAAGTTCCAGGTTGGCATCGACAGGACGTACTTGTACAGTTTCCCGACCATTGTTTTCAACTGGATGAGGCACTTTCTGCACTGCTTTTAGTTCAGCTGGAGGTCGAACTTTGATCGGGGGCTGGAGGTCATTTTGCAAGCAAGTCCAATATTTGGATAAATAGGCCTTTGCTGGGAGGAGACATTCGATGGGACTAGAAATAGAGGTAGTAGATAGCGTCCGGTAACTTACGGATATTCATGCCAGAATTTGAGCTTTTCCTCGAAAGTAGGGAGCAAGCGGGGGCGAAAGCTGCCGAGTAGTGCGTGAATGCATTCAACAATGGCATCAGCGGTTCCGCTCCAATTGTAGCCACCCTGTAAAAGAGATGGTCGTAATGAAGCCTTGTCATTAAGGCAAAGGCATGATAGGCGATTTTGTTTGATTACCAACTTCTAAAACGGCCAAACATTTTCCGCCAGCCAATCCAGCAAGTTGTTGAACCATCCAAGAATAGGTTGATGCTGTCACGTTAAGCTGTCCAAGCGGATCGGCGTGTACTAAATACCGATAACGTTTTACCAAAAATGAAACCCACAGCAATCAAAGCCAGCCGAAATGAACACGAGCTCGGGGTCGAATTGACAAGCGATCGGAAAGACGATCTCGTTAAATAGGGTCTGATAGGTTGAGTCGACATCGTCACGCTGCAAGTGATTTTATTTTAGTTACGCTATCCTCACCCTTAATGGAAGATTGATGTTGAACCCCTTGCCTGGCCCAGCACCAATATGATCAACGGCCGATTCGCGGAGATGAGGCCAGAAGAAACCGTCGTCATAACGATGCAGGGATATAAAGAGGACCCTGAAAGGTGATTAAAAGCAAAGTTCTTCTAACCGATCATCTTCGTAGAACATCTCCTGCGTCCCGTTACCATGATGGACATCAAGATCGACGATTAATATTCTAACCATGGGTCATTTTAGGTGATAGGGGGGCTCGTAGGGTTTGAAAGTTGGGAGGTATTTGAAAGTTTCCAGAATTCTTGAATGCTTACTTTTTAAGACCATGATCCAGCGCGCGCTTTACTCCGATTGCTACATTGTTGATGAATGAGAAGCCACAGGGCGTTTTAAAGGTGGCGTGATGGCCTGGTGGGCGGACGATGGCAAACCCATTGCGATACTGTAGAACAAAAATTAATAGCATGCCAAGGTGCCATTACAGATTTTTTGAACGTTATTTTACACCAACCTGTCCATCCAAGATCTGTCCGGTCAGCTCTGAGACGACTTGAGCAGCGGCTAACGCTGCTGTCAGTGTACCCTAAAACGTTGCATAATTCGGCTTATATTTATATATTTTATGTTCAGCTAAATTCCTTAAAAATACCTTATTGAAATACACCGAATCATAATCAGCAGCTAGATTGATCAGTGTCTCTTGACTACAGTCCGATGTTTCAGAAAGAATTCTCAAATAATGTGGGTCCAGCAGACTCAAGAGATCTTCCGAAAATTTGAATCGATGCTGAATGGTTCAATTTTTTAGATATGAGAGGCTTGCCGGTTTAAGAAATTCCAATTTGTTGGGAAAAGATTGTTTCAAATGCCGGATGGCATAATCTACTCTATCCGGGCATTCAGGATGTGAGTCCAATGTTGGATGATGGTGGAACTCGTGGCCGATGTTGTAAGCCACAACGGTTCGTGGCATTGCAAAACTATAAAGTACATAAATGGAACCGCGTATAAATATTAGAACGCGTCATGGTTCAAAAAGGAATTTTCGCAAATTTAATAACACTATTACTTGTAGTGTCGCTAAAAAATTTAAAAAGTTGTAAAATACAAGCGCTATCTTTTAAAATCGATAAAAGTTGTCAGCAAAAAGTGAAATCGAAACGGCAGGAGAAAGCTGCGTTTCAAAATTCTTTGCAGACAGTCGTCGCGAGGGTGAATCACGACAAAAACAATTTTGCAGAAAACCCATTAAGTCCACCCGGACTTTTATCAATAATCAATATTTGAATCCTGATTTCTGAAGGACAGCCCGCACTTTGGCGCTCTCCTTTTCAGAAAAAAAATTGAATCGATAGCTCATGGAAAAATAAATTCCTCATAACGTAATTAAAAAATACAGCAGTATGTATTTTTAAAAACCCCGTTGCTTTTAGAAGATGAATCCAATATGCAAGTTTCCGGGGGAATTTTTGAAAGGGCTCCCTACGCGGGATATGTAAAATAGCGGTTGGGCGTGACCGGCTGCCCCCCGCGGGGTAGTGTTCCCACGCTTCGACCTTGTCCCTGGCCGCCCCGAGGGTATGCAAAAAATCCTGCAGGAATTTTTCATAAGTCTACTCTTTGGGGGAAGGATAGATTAAAATTATTGAGTAGGTTGCATACCTGTAGTAAGGAGATGAACAATAATTAGGAAAATCCGTTGGAAATCGCAAAGTTTTGGAAAAGTGATAACGAAATTTGGCCAAAAGCCAAAGTTCGAAGCAAAATATCTTAGTCATTACTTAAAATTGCTAAAAAACGTCGGAATGTGGGGAAACTAGTTGCAACTCAAAAAGTCAGAAAGGAAAGTGATCGCGACCCTTTGACTGATACACAATTCACGTGCTAAAAAGTGTGCAGGTCAACCGCAACCAAACTCTACCCCCATCCCCCAACAGATAATGATGACTTGTGAGATAATCGCATCTCTCGCACCTGGGTCTCCTCCATGTCCTTCTCATCCTCCGCGATTTTATGCCCTCAATCCACTGGGAGCAGAAAAAGAAACGTATCGCGGCAGTGCCCGTCCTTTGCTGTCAATTCGTAGAGAAAAGCATCAGCCCCCCAATGAAAAGAAAAATTTTAAGCGATAAAAAGATGTGCGAACTGGTGGATATTGATTTTTGAAAGCTTCTTTGGAAAATAAGGCCATAAGTTTCTTCTTTGGCCCTTTAAAGGCCGATGGCAAGGCCTTCGGCCTAAAGTTAGCACGAAAATACATAGCTGCCTTCCTCTGGGAGTTCCTGTGTTGAGTTCAACCCAGATTTAAGTGTATGTGGGAAAACGAAGAGATCTAAGCCGGCTGATAAATTGTTTTACAGTAGTTCTTCAAGTCAACACTAGGCGCTACTAGACACCTTTCTCAACGCGTAGCGGCCGCGTTGCGTTGAACGAGGAAACCCTCTAAGCAGGATCTAAGAGACAAGGAATTTTTTAACATTTTCAAACGCCGCTTCCGGGGCAACATCTAAAACTATAACTCCAACTCAGCTGTGGCTCAAATCATGATGGCAAAAAAAGGATCTATATCAAATAATACCACCCAATGGCAAATTGCCCTTGCAAAAGTGAATCCTCAATACGTAACAAACACCAACGTCAATTGGCAAAGGGATATTCCTGAGTAGTTAGGTGCAAAATGAGAGAGTACAAAGAAATAAGCCGTTTCCCCCTCTGGGCGGGCCGCCTTCATCCCTTCTCTCACTGCCGGAAGCCGTTTAGGAACAAATCTCCCCTGGGGCGGACCATCAGCGGTATATTATAGTACGAACAATTCATGCCCCCATGTACATTGTATTGCTAGGGAATCTCTAGATTTCGATTCAAGAAATGGCTCCAAAAATAATCGCGGCAGACGAGAACAGAAAATTAGGTACTCAACTCGACAGGTGAAATATCCACCTAATAGCAGTAAAAATAAAGGTTTCAAATGTGGGCTAATCAGGCATGAAAGGCAAGTCATGGATTTATTAATACGGACTCATATTGACGCAACCAGTTATTGAAAGCCTCTCAAAATCAAAAATGTCCGTTATTACCGGAAGAGCCAACTGACTACACAACCAGTGAGAACGTTTGGGGGAATACGTTCCATGCAATGCCCCTAATGCTAATTACACCCCAGAGCAATTACCCCTTTCTAACAGACCAAGTGCATTTTAATTAGAAAACTCGGGCTCTCATCCGCATCAACGGACCACTAGGTTTTGAAGCGTTGGTGGCCGATTTCAAGAGAATTTAACGATGATTTGCTGGTTCGCACGTTTCAAAGAATTTTGAGCTTATAAGTCTTGCCTCTCTTTTTATCTTAACCTTTTCTGCTCAAAAAATGCTTGTGTGGTGGGCTGATGGCAGTGGTGGATAATAATGCCCATAATTTGATGATTTTGGCCAACTGGCGGTCGGGGCATCTCATTTGAGTAGTCGTTTCCGTCCTGCGGAAAATTGAAATTCAACTTTCTACCACTGAGCATATATTTAACTTAAACTCATTTTTGGAAGCTCAAAAATTCTACGTCTTAAAAATCTTTCCATAGAACACCCTTTTAAAATAGCCCGTCAGAAGCAGACATTTTCCCAACCATTTTCGCTGTTTACAGTTGACTCAAAGACCCCTAACAAAAATTCTCGAGCGAATCGTTGCTCAGTACAAGGGTGGTCAAGCTTTTCCCCCACTTCATCTCCTTCGCATTTCGAAACGCATCCGGAAAATAATCCCCTACCGTAATCTTCCCTGTTTGCTCCAGCCGTACCCCTAATCGGATATTTTTCAAATGATTTTACCCTACTCGTCATTGCCGTTCGCTATAAATTTAGGGTCGACTCTTAGAATTTTGGCATGCGCCTGATCAGCCTAGGAATTCCACAAGGAAGAAGAGACTCCACGTGGGGGATTCCCGTTGTTCCTCGTCTGCTCCGACGAATAATTTAATTTAGGCCCCGCTTTTTCTCCATCTCCATAGTCCGTTAACTCGCGCCAACGAATATTTTATTTTGGTACTTTCAGCTGAATCTAGTCTACTTTTTATCTAGAGCAAAAGAGTACGATTAAAATTTTGTAGGCTTTTAGAATTTTCTACGCACATATTTAAGGATCATTTTTGTTTTTGTAATTAACACATTCATCTATCAATTAAATATTCGAAGATTTCTGATTCGCCTGCTGACAGCTAGCACCGTTCCACATGCCATTTACCGGCGCTGGGATTGCCAAAGGGTGGTTGGCTGTGGGTAGGCGGGGCCAAGGGTCATCAGCCCCTCTCGCCGCACGTTCACCATGGCCGCGTGGCGCAATGGATAACGCGTCTGCCTACGGAGCAGAAGATTGAAGGTTCGAATCCTTCCGTGGTCGAAACTTTTCCATTTTTGTGGTAAATCAGCGCAAACATTGTGTTCTATCGTTTTGCACTACGGTAGCATATGGACTGGGTTTTAGGAAATCGAGAAGGTTTTCTTGATGGACTGATACCGGGTTAGATTTCGGCCGACACGCAAGCATTCTGCCCAAAATAGCATTTCTTTTCTTTCTTTTTCTTAGCTGAATATCGCACGCAAGGCGCATCTTCTTACCAAGTCCAGCCATCTCCCAACAAGGCGGTGCTTCCCTATAATGAGTTTGTCAGCCGTAAAGATGGTCGTCTGGAGGTTCATTGTCCGTCGGGCTGTCTCGTGGATCTTCGCGTACTTCTCGGCTCATGGCCCATTTGTTTGTGGGGCCCAACAGACTGGTGTGTCGAGTCCTTCTCCCAGTCCTTCGTCGCCTCGGTGCATCACCTCACACCCTCCCTCCAAGTGGCCCATTCCCCCCTCATTCTCTTCCAGTCTATCCCCCCACCGATCACCTGCCTTGATTGCCTCTTCAAAAGTCCACATTTCCGATTTGTGGCCTCAACTTGATGACAATTCCAACAAAACAACCGAATTTTTGCGTTTTTTTTAGTAAATTTCCGGATACAGGTTTGCGGATGTCGCATAAATCAGCCCTCTTCACCGTCTTTACTCAGAAAAATGCACATTTAGGTCATTTAATTCAGAAAAATAAAAGCGCTTGTTTTTTCGCCTTTTCGAGAGCTTCCAATAGATATTTAAATTGTAAAAATCGGGCACGACGGCGGATCGCTACAGTGGCGTTTGTTGGGCCATCCTGTAGTATAAACTCAACTAGCTGTAGAGCGAAGCGATTTTATTAATCTGCATAGAACAATTATGCCAAAAACGCAACCCGCGCTGACTAATGCCCAGGTTCGCACCACCTTTGCTCATAAGGCACCATGCGAGCCCACGCTTGTTAGAAACCGGAAACCGCGGCAACATCTAGGCGCTACATCTGGTTAGTTTGCCCGTCTCAGTGTTCCATAATTCTTATATATTTATTACCATAGTTGGGGCCCATTGGAAACCTCGGCGCAGGTGGAATCGGCGAAAAAACTTGCCAGCGGTTTCAGCTGTCGCTAGAGTTTCTACGCGGAGTGAGGGAAATGTTGTGGCCAATCTGTTCCGATTCTATTCTCAAGACTTACCGTTTTCTTTATCGGCGAGGATGATTGACTTAGTCTTGCGAGGCGATCTTTTTCATTTGATAGAGCTTGAAATTCTGAACAAATCCGATTTCTCAAAATTGTCGTCTGGGGCGGGCTTTCGTGGAAAGTTTCTCAACGCTTAGGCTTTGTCAAGCGAAGTCAAAATTGGGCAAAATCGCGTTCCTGAGCGTGTTTTCGTGAATAACGTTATCATTAGGCAGTCCTTGAAAAATAGGACTTATTCCCAGTTTAAAGCTCTATCAAATGAGCTGGCCTCAAGCTATCAAAATCCCTTATTATCCCTAACGACGATACATTATTACCTTATAGATTATCAAGCCATCACTTTCAAATCCCGAGTAAATCTTTGCCCCTTCTGATTCCCCTCCAAATGGGCTGAATAGTGGCGATTGAGACGCAAGGGCAAGTCCTGAGCAACGAGGGCCAAGTGAGGATCAAAACTCGGGAGATGTCCGCGCGGAGGGGGGGGAATGGGATTTCTGCTGATTCCCAGGTTGAAGGGGGCACACCACGGGTCCCAAACGGAAGGACCGAGGGGGGAGAAGAAGGGCTCGAAACTCGACACCTCTCCCTCCTCACACACACAATCTCTGCTGCAAACATCTCCTCAACCCCATCCACGTACACCACACACTCACACATCAACCTGTACCCAACCACACAAATGTTTTCGCGTCTCATATTCGATTGCGCGTTCGGTTGAGTGGGTCAAAGAATGCGCAAAATAGAATTTTAGTCAGTTATAAAACGGCGCTGCTTATTTATAGTGATTTCTGGCTTTAAAGGGAGAGTGACAGCACTCTGTATTTCACTGCAAATATCACCGGAAACGATACTAATTTGCTCGTCGCGTTAGATAATTCAAAACCAGATGCTGATAGCTTTCGGCCAAAATTTTTTTGACACCTACCAAAACAACTTTATAGAGTCCGACCGATGTTCCGGGTTAAAACTTATTGAACCCCACTTAAAATTCTCCTAAATGACTTCTGATTTTTGCGCCAAGTCCTAAAACGATTTGGAAACCGAATAATAACGCGCGACGGGCTGTGCGGCAAAACGCAAAACGTAAGAAGCTAAAAATTTTAAGCTCCTCGCGGCGCACACGCGCGCTGCTTGGCTCAATATTTACAACTGGCACTAATAAGACTCGCCACTTCACCTTTTAATGGCATGTAAACGGACGGACACCACACGGTAATTGTTTTAATTGATGATGATAGCCGCTGATTTAGTATAGTTAAGATTCCTTCCCGCACCACCCCCACCCCAAAGCCACACCGCCGCCCAATTTAGTTTTCAGCTTATACCCTCCGTTCGTAACTCGATTAAAGGGTTTCTCTCCACCCCACGCTCCCCCCTCATTGCAGCTCTAATTCCGCAGACGGTAATCCTGGTGACAAATACAGCCTACACCCACTCCCCCAATTCTTTCGGCTCCCCGTGTCGTTTTTTTTTTGAGTTTTTATGTACGTAAGTGATCTTTTTATGCTCCCAGAAATAGCGGTTCTTATTGCGATACGGATATGGATCAGCTTTGAATAATTTAAATATGGGCGAACGGAAATAGAGTTATCTTATTCGAACAAAAATTTTCTTATTTAAAGCATCTGACTGCTTTCAACTTTTCGGATCTTTTCTAAGAAATCAAATTTGTGAATTTTCGATTCAGTTTTTTCTTTTTCTTTTCGAGTTTGCAAACCGGAAATTGATGCTGAGCTATGCTTGTCTAAACAACCTCACCCGTGACTTATTTGAAACGGTCTATCTAGCATCTCAAAACATCAGGGTTTAAAAATTAGGCACAGCATACTGTGTTTTTATAAATCTGCCTATTAAATTTTTCCAGAAAATCCGCTAAAATACAAGTTGCATCCTGCGCAACCATCACCCTCAAATGCCCTTCTCTACCGTGCAACTCTCCCAGGCAAATTTTAGCCCTGAAACCCCTGTTTGCTGGGCGCCCCCATTCTGGGTAGATGTATAAACCCGGTTGATGACGAATTTGGGCACGGGGGTCCGTTGACGGGCCGCGAACACAGCTCCCAGCTAAAAGCCATTTTTTGCTGTTCTTCCCCTTCTTCGTCTCCATCTTGCTCTCCCTTTTCCGGCTCACCTCGACGCCATTTCCGAATTCGGTGCAATTCAAATGAGGGTCTAGAGGACTGGCTCTGCGGGCTCCTTCTTATCCTTTTACCTAATTTTGGCTTACGATGTGGGTGGTTGTTTTGGATTTTTGGATGTAAAAACAAGCGTGATTCCTAGATTTAAAGGGCGGTAGGGGTTTACTTTAGCCCCCTCCCCCACAGCCAAAGGGTCTCAAAGTTTTCGGTATTTTTGCCAGTTTTGTCGGGGTTTTCTCAACGCCATTCGATAGAGCGTCGAATAATATACTAAGAGTTTAATTTGAGCGTACAATCATGTAAAATGAAAAAGTTATAGCCAAAAACTTCCGGTTGGGGGTAGAGTAAACCGTAGCCTAGAGTATTTATGCGAATATACTTCAAAAACTACTGTAGGTGTTTATCAGCATTTGCCTGAACACTTTCGTAGGGTTGCTCCGCACCTAGTGCCGCAGGGGAAGGAATTTAAGGTTTAAAAATAATGAGGTCAGGTGGATCAGGGCGACACCAGTCCTGCGATCACTGCAAACAAATTAAATCTGCCAAAACCGGTTGTGTTCTATAAATTACATTTAAGTTTTACCGAGAATCTCAGCAGTGCTCGTTAACAAAACGATTAGCATCGGCGTCACAAACTTAGAGCCAAAAATCTTAAACTTTGTCGCTGGCCCCATTCTTTTTGTCGGTCATCAAGACCAACTACCCGTTTGACTGATTTTACTTCCGTACTACATCCCCCGCTGCGTCGTTTTTAAGCTTTCAAAATCGGGGTGGTGAGATGCGCGAGGGGTGAGACAATGAGGCTATGCACAGATCCCCTTGGCTCAAATCAAATTTGGCATCCGAAGACCTCCCCCTCCCCCTCCTAGTCAACGGGCCATGTAGGCATTGCAAAGGCCCCTTCTGACGAGTATCCTCCATATTCTTGCTCTAAAAAGAGGAACCAACCCAGCCACAGACAGGCCATTATGTTTTTGGAAAGCAGCTGATAGGATTGAGGAGAATGTCTAGGTTCCGGTTTTGTCTAGTTTTAGCCGAACAAGAAGCTATTTCTCCTCCCTGCTTAAAGTACTTCTATAATTTTTAATTTTTATGTTCTCCTTGAATTTGTTAGATGGATGAGACGTTTGAACTGAAATCGATTGACACAGATCTCCCCTCCGACCGCACCATGTCGCAAGGATATGTGAATGGCAAAAATAAATCTGGTAAGAATTAATTTACCGATCAACTTTCAATTAGCTTGATATTGAACTATTCTAGCAAACAACTCTTTTTTCTAGGTGGTCACATCACCTACAGCAACGTTATGGAAAAAGTAGACGGTATGATTAAACACGGTTTATACGTAAAAAAGCTATTTTCAGCGGCGAGAGCCGGCACCTCATACGCGGGCAATGGGGATGAAAGGTAGGGGAGTAATAATACTTGGGGATGATAATACCCCCCGGAAGACGGTTTTAACCACGGCAAGTAGAGCGGAAATGTCATTGGGGCCCTACTGAAACAATACTTTCAAATCATCGATTTTCCAGAAACTATTTCCCCAACATATTCCTATTAGATATGAGAATTTTTCATGTGTAAGTTTATATGACAAAGTATAAAAAGCATTAGGATGTTTATTTGATGATTGAAATTTTTGATTTTAGGATTCAAATGCTCAATCCGCCACGCAATAATTTACCTCCAGAAAGTCCCACAATCATCGTAAGGTAAGAAGACTACATTAAAGGTGTCAAATCCTACTTATTTTAGTCCGCCAGAAGAGGAGATGGAAAATGGAAAACTACCAATCTATGATCCACATTTAAACGTGAGTATAAAAATCACCGAGATAATTATATCACGAATATTCAGCCACAACTCGAGGGCAACCACCCAGCCGTACACTATCGAAAGCAGAAATCGCTTTGTCGTTGCATTCTGTGCATCCTTGGCCTCGGTGCCACATTTTTCGTAATTGTTGTATTCATTGCGCTTATGGTCAAATATCTTTAACGAGCACCGTTAGGAACGCAACGCTAAACGCGAGACCATTTGAAAGCGCTGTGCCTCTCAGCAACTTTAAAATTTTCGTGATACAAAAAGCGGTTCAATTTTGCTGCGCACTTGATATACTTGATTCCCGGTTGTGTACGTATGTTTAAATTCCCATGGCAAGCTGCCGCTTTCAAAGCAAATTTCATGATGGTAAGTTTTGAAAATGCGACGGATCAACCGCCCAGCTGTGATCCATTCCTTAACAACGAATTGACAGTTCGTGTCAATCGCCGGTGATGTGTAATATTGGTTGTTTATTTTTGTATTGAACATAGTACGCGTCAACATTTCGTATTCCAGGACTATAAATTTATTCATCACCACTAACAAGGTATATTTAGCACATTTAAAATGAGCTATATAAAGTGAAAAAATTTAGTGATATATGTGATTTCCCAATGTATTTTTTTGTCGCAACGGGTTCAATAAATCTTTCAAAAAAAAAAAGCTTTTTAGAGCTAGTTTTCATAATCTGGCGTTAGAAAAACGAACTTGCGTTGGATGCTGATTACGCAACGCCGCATACAATAACAGCAGGCAATCGCCGGGCAAATGCCCGACAATATCCAGATTCCAAGGGCAAGTCCCCAGTGAGTGTGGAACCGAGGCAAAGCCAGCAGCCCCATAAAGGCTACGAACGGTAAGAGGCAACAACAACAACTTTTTTTCCATGAGGTTTCATCAGCTTCCCACATACCACGGGGCCGCCAGAACTGCTTCATCAAGAGAGGCATTTTACAACGGTAATGCTTGTCTCGTTCTTCAATATCTATAACATCTGACTGATTTAAACTGGTCCAGGTACCTTTTGCATAGATACAAACGTTAAGTTAGGAAAACCACGGGTAACTTACCGACTGTTTCCAAATCGAACTTGTTATTCGTCATCTGACAAACCAAAGCCTCAAGCAAAACAGATCTTTTTTCTTGGGGTCTGAATCGTTTAGACAACTCCTCAAGCATGACTTTCAACTCGGAAAAATCCACCTTAGTCGCGCCTATCCAGGCGGAAACTATAAAGAAAAAGTTGAAAGAATTTCAGAAGGCTAACCTTGCCCGGTTTCCACACGATTCTTTAGCATTTTCATGACACGATCATTGCCTTCTCGATTCAAGGTACGACCACCAAGAAAGCTGCGTTGATTCTCGCGGCCGATCAAATGAGTTTGAATTTGGCCGGAGTTATTTATTGGAATATAATAGGTCGCAATATTCTTTGTTTTTCGGCTTTCGACCAGCAGTACGTCAAGCAACAAGTTGTATATCGGACTTCTCGGAATCTCTTGCCAATAGGCCAAGTATCGGAAGGCCCTTTCGTATAAAAAATGAGAGTGTAAAAATTCTTTTTCCTCAAGCGTGGTGCATTCATGAACTTGATATGGCGGCTGTCCTAGCCATGAAATTGAGGTCGTTTCACATTGAGGTACGCATCTGCAAGTCACACTTGGCGGATGGTCGGCAAGAAAGTAATAATCTGGGATTACTTGCTTTATAGCAAGGCCTTCCATCTTGGGTACACCCTGAGGTATTCGGGTGGCAAGCAAAGCTTTTTCTTCACGTATATGTTGTTCGACACATCCAGTTCGATAGACCAGCTCTCGACGGAGTGCTTCTATATTTAAACCAACTCTGGGTTCTTTCTCAAAGCGACATGGCGCCGAATTCTTCCAATGAAACTCTTCGAAATCTTTTCGAAACAAAATGTCGTTGAACTCCAGCCACTCCCATCGCGAATCCGTAACAAACAATGTTGGTAGCATTATCAGCTGAGTATAAATGTTCGCCATTTCTTCAATATTATGCTGAGCCCTATTGAGAAGCCAAAGCGCTTCATAGTTTGATAGACGTGAACTATTGGATTCGCGTGCTATTTGGATGGCAAAATGAACGCAGCTTAGTTGAATATGGTTATCTATCTCAAGCAGTGCGTCAAATTTTTCATGGAGGAATGTTGAAGGCTGCTCCTGCTGGGACTCTGCTGTTTCTGATGAAAAAGAAAAGTCGCTTTCTTTTGGACGAGCCGTGGTTTTTAGAATAATACCACGCGCTAACGCCTCTTCAGCGTATCTCGCAAAATTCATGCGTTCGCCGGCTGTTTGAATGCTATTATAACTATCCCAAAACTCGGCAATTTTCTTATTTCGCGCCGTTTTCAGTGCGCCGCCGTTACGTGCTTGAAACTTTTCAAAATTTTTGTTACAACTGAAAACGAGCGTAATAATTGGATCAAAGCAGATTTCTCTGGTTATCCTTTGTTTCCAATCGTGAAAATATGGGAACGCATCTTCGTCAATATCGTTAAGCTGGCTTGGATTACTGGACTGAACGAATTGTTCAGGTTCTGATGATTCACCAGCTGTCCAGCTGCTTGGTTCAAAACGTATCGTGGTTGCTTTCACTGGCAATTCCGCGGCAGTACCGTCCAATCCGATAGGTTTTAATAACCGTTTCTGACTCCGGCGCATCACCGGATCCAACGGATATGCGTATCTCTGTAAAGGCGATTATCTGGTGTTACAGCCCTGTTACCACTCTACCCTTAAAATAAACGTACCAGGGTTGCCAAGTCAGTCAAGATCTGCTTCGCTGTAGGTCTCATTGTGCAATCCTCAACGAGACACCTAGTTAAATCTTGTTTCTGAATGGCATTGATTAAAACCATTGCACGAGTTGCTGAAGGCGTGCTTCTGGTTTTTCGGATTTTACCACCGTGCCGATTGGTTTTCGTGACGGAATTCTACAAATATACGCACGATTTCGGCCGCAACGCACCTTCTCTTCATTATTTCCCAAACGACCACCCCCGCACTGTAGGTATCGCATTTGTAAATATCCTGAAATATCTCCAATATATCGAATTCATTCCAAAATTGGAAATTAGAAAAATCCAAACCTCGGCTCGCATCTGTTTTGCCGGTGTGTCATTCCGATTCCCAATTGCCTCGAGAATTTCTGGTGCCATATACCCATGTGTACCGGCTCCTTCATGCCGCACCAAATTGTCAACTGGCCGCGAAATGCCAAAATCAGATAATTTTAGGCGAAATAGGTCCGCTACGAGGATGCTGCAAAAAGATCCAGCACATCGAAAACGCTTACTTTGGTGGCTTGATATCTCTGTGAATTATTTGATTCTTATGTAGATACACCAAGGCTCCGAACATTTCCATAGCCCAACTGACGATCGTAGCTGCGGTATAGATAATTTTTGGATCAATGATTACTGAAAGAAAAAGAGGCTAAAGAGTAATTTGGAATTCATACCTTTCTCCAAAGACCCATAGTCACAATAATCCATGAAGATGAGATAGCAATAAGGGTCATCAGGTACATAATCAGGGGTGGCATCGAGGAAATTGACAATATTCGGATGTGCAAGCTCTTTTAGTGCGGATAACTCCCGTTCATGCTCTTCTCGGCTGCCACGAAGTTCCTTCACAGCAACACTAATACAATGTTTCCAAAGGCATCTACAAGATCCCGCCCTACCGACTTTTGGCGTGCAGACGATATACAAGGCCAAAAGCTCCTTGACCAAGTAGCACCTTCTCTTGCAGGGCCATTTGAGACGCCATCTTCAAACCGTGAACCGAATTACAGATGCAAGCTATGAATCATTAAATAAGAATGATCAGGAAGCACGAAGTTAGGCGAATAGTGGCGTCGTTAATTCGAAAAATCGATGGGTCGCGTCGACTGGAGGGAGGGTTAGTGCTCAAGAGGCGATTCGCCTTTTTCTTGCAGCATTTTTTGCCGATTTGTTCGGCAAGAAATTATATCGATTGCTCGGTGGGGATCGTCGTCATACTCTGATCATTTTGTGTGGCATTAACGAAAGCTCTAAATCTATGCGCGACATCTGTTATACCTGAGCCATTTACCTTGCCGTCATTATCATTAATCATTATAATATGCTTATAATTTAACTGCATCTCTCGCGATTCGAAAATCTTATTTGCTCAATGTTGTGATTTGACGTGTTAGCTTTTCCATCCTTTCTCTCATAAGCTTCATCTTTCCTTTTCCTCTCACGCCATCAAGATAACAGCCAGCGCACGAACCGATTAGCGTACGGAAATCGCAACGCATCGGCCCGCGTGCAGCCCTAAAAGAACCCGTTCCATGGGGACAAGTGGATCCTCGTAGATCCCTGCCAAGCCGAAAAAGCAGCCCTGGAGGACTACTACGAGGTAACATTCTCATCGATCAACTTAGATCCGCAAGCCAGGCCTATGATTTTTGCCGTAAAATAACGCTCCGCAAATCTAAATTAAATACATCATAATAGCATATTTTTTCAGCTCCTCAGTCAAAACTTTCCGGAGCCACAAATGGCACCTAGGTCTCAACAAGCGGCTGTGATTACTCATGGTAATTTTACAATTAATTTGGGGGTGATTGTGTTTATTTCAGAGCCTCATCCATCGGATCCACACCCCCTGGAGGGGAAAATACTGGAAAAAGATCTGAAGAAGAAGAAATTTGTTCCATGGGAACCGTTTAAGGTTTGTTGAAGTATATAAAAGACTGTTAGCAGCTTTACGTTGCATTGAAGGAGCTAGAAATTTAATTCACATCTAAATAAAATAAAATTAATGCAAAATCCTGATTATTCAAACTTTTAGGCAGCACCCTCAGCCGATCGTAAAGGCGAACAACCGGTGGATATGCCGAGTCAGTTAATCCGATATCGAACTGGAGAAAAAGAAGAACCGCTTCCTGAAATGCCGAGTAGAGTATTTGTCGATCAACGCAAGGAACGACTTCAAAAGGATGGTCGGCAAATTGAAAACGAAGAGATAAATCGGCTAGCCAAGGAGTTGCAGGCTGCTGAGACACAGGTTAGTTTTTATTATCCATCTCCAACGTGAGAGTTTTAGTTAAATGTAGAACGGGAGCAAAATGCTGAGTTAAAACGTTTGTTAATGGCCACAATCGATGATGATTTGCAATGTCATGTTAGTGCCTTGTCGGAAGATAAAGTTCGGTTGGCGAACCGGATTGATCAGTATGCTAATAAGGTACGTTAGTGGTCCAAGTCATGTATTTTGGATCTATTACAGATGAAGAATGAAGACGATGAACTCGATGCGCTAACAATCGAAAAGGAAGTTTGGAAATGCAAATTTTTGGCAATGAGCATACGAGCTGATGAATTGAAGGCCAGGAATGAAGCTTTACTAAAAGTTTTAAGGTAGACTTAAAAGCACTCAATTTGAATTAGACCCAATTTTAGATGTGCGCAACATACGATTAGTGAATCGGGCCCATCGGTCCGTGCACATTTGACTGATGAATTGAAGCAAAGATTTGATTCCCTCACGGCTATCGATCTGACTCGTCTAATCGAAAGATCACCGGCTGAAGAACGCTACACTGGTCCTACCGTCAACTTCCATAATCTCACAATATCATGCTGCAAAAACTGTTCGGGTCGGGAGATCAAGCTACTCTGAGCTTAAGCATTACTAATACTTTCACTTTCTCCCTGCCTCCGTTCTGCCTTTTATTTTTTCAAAAACTGGTATATCGATGATGAACTGTGATTTTCTTGTAATTGGGTTGTGAACTGGGATGGATTGCTGTACATAAAAATTGCTTATATAATAGAATTCTCAAACATACAATGGTTATCACATATTAGTTGAGATTTGGCACGTTGGTAACTAGTTTGAGTGACCCGCAATGAAAAAATGACTGGCAAGCTGGAAGGGATTAAATGTTTTTCTTGGCGTGAAATGTCGAGATTGCATTTCGGCGTTTGAGTGTGATAATTAGGAACACAAAATTGACTACGTAGATGGAGTAGCAGACGATACATACAACACCTGAAAATTATCGAAAAATCATTTAGAAACCAAAGCTTACCCAAATGTAGTTGCGCTATAAATAGATAGACAGTTGACATATTCATAACAATAGCAGCTAACAAGCTGACATATGCCGAGGCCAAAGACGGCGAGAGTTGCAGAAAAGCGAGAAATGTATACCCAAATACACCATAAATCGCATTTGGCTAAACATAAACATTAATTTTCATTAGGATTGGCTTCCATACCTGGTTCAAAATATTATCAGCTCCCAAATATTGCTCGACCAACCCGAAACCTCGTGAATACGCCGAGTTTAGCGCCCGTGTACAGGAAATCCAGGCCGTAAAATCGCAAGCAGCCCGATAGTCTGGATCGGCCGATGCGCTAAATGTTATTAGAATTTTAGTCTGGCCTATTGAGTACTTGATTTCCACGTAGACCCCATATAAAGAGACAAGTAGACCAGGAAGGAGGACCGCCAAGGCTTTTCTTGATGTGTTCATTACCCGTTCTGAGGCGCCCATCTTAAAAAAAACAATTCAAAAACACGATATGTCCACAAATAAGGTAACCGAAAAGCTGTGGAATTCACCCTGAACCAGCTTTGGGGGAAGGAGATAAAGAGGCAACGGGCCCGGCGCAAAGGACAACAACACAAAAAGGCAGACAATCCAAACACCAAAGTACAGAAATAACCTATCAGAGTCAACATAAATAAACAGCATCCAGAGTTCCGGATGCCAAGGACTTTATTTATGAACAGAAGCCCCCAGGAAACATCAGCAGACAACGAATGGGTCCAAAAGCTCAGACTGCAAGTCTTTATCAGTGCGTCTGCCTGCAATCGGCTGTCGCTCAAAAAAGCTGCGGGGAGTCGGGTAATAGTGATTTCTGGCATGCTATGTTTACCAAAACACCGCAAACGAATTTACCCGAAAAAAAAATCAAAATCGGTAGGGAAACTTGCGTTAGACACAGTTCTAAGTTGTAGTTCGTACAATAACTACAATTGTCTTCATAAACTGGCAAAACAAATAAAGCTAAACAAAATCAAAAAGCCACGGCGGCGCCCGGAAGTTCTATAATCCTCACGAAATGTCTGTGCTTACAGCCAAACTAAAGAAAAGGTCGCGTAACAGAGATTTGAAAAAGCGGGTCAGGATTGGGAGGTCATTAGGTGCGGTGTATTGGAGAGTGGTTCGGCAAACAGCAAGGTGGAAATTCCTAGCCTTAAAATATTATGGAAAAATTTTGGGGAACGTGCCGCGGTGTGGCGAGTATCTCACGTTATAGATTTCAGATTTAGTCCGTTTGGAAGAGTCTCCTTGTCCAGACACCAATTAAATCGAAATATCGGTATGTAATTTTGTTGAAGTTTATTGGCATCTAGTAGTAGTTATATCAAAACGGATTTATTTGCATACGACGCGGCAGCGATACTAATCTTCTAGATCGGGCTTCAATCGTCATCATCTCAATCCTGTGGTTTCTAAAATACACGGTTGCAGAAGATTTGTGACAATTTTGCCGCAATCAAAAAGTTAGGCCCAACCTTTGCCTTAAGAGTAGCCAGAGTCTCCATGAACTGCACGACTTCCGTCTTGTAGCACATTGAATAGTTGGTCCATCCTTGTTCACTAGTACCAATTTCGGTCCCATCCCTACCCACCCATTTTCCTGTAGGCCCACAGTTTTTGGTGAGAACTTCTGCAACATAAAAATCTTATTCGCATTGCTTCTAATAGAATAAAGGCGTGGAAAGAGTAGCTTTGACTTGGTCAAACAAATTCGTTGACAAACTTCTTATTACTTACTCGTGGTGTCAAGGCTCTGGACTGGAGGGCATTGCTGTGAAGCGGAAGTGTTGGCTCGGGCTGGTGGCCAGCACAATATATAATCCCAGACTGCGTTACACCAGGGTCCATCATCTAAGAATGTTTTTGATCTGACAGTCACTTGGATACGAAAAACGAACCCCGCTGCGGAAAGGGGTTGATTCCGCTTGCTCGCAGCTTTGCTCGGCATTCTTCTTGCTCTTCTTCATGGCTTTGCTGACTATAGACTGGAGTTGAGTGGGTTGTCCTTTAATATACAAAAAATAAGCCTACCTATGAGAGCTATAACTACTAGAGCTCGAATCCAACGCCCCATCGTCAGTTGACCCTACTCTGAAGTTAAAGTATTTTATTCATATTAATATTCTAAACTATTTGCAAGCAAACTTATAAAAAGACTGAACTCTTGGTAAACCGGTAAACTTGTGATTTCAGACCGGGATTGAATCACATCCGGCGATCTTCAACCTCTGCGACAACTGACTCTGTTCTTCCAGCTAGAAAAAACGGTGATTGATTTCCTGTGGATCTTTATGTGTTCTTTCTGTACTCTGCTATAAAACGACAAAACGCAAAATATTATGAAGTTGATCATTGATAGCCACGAGATTTTATATGCATTCTACACACAATTAAAAAATGTGGCTTTGACTTTGCTTTCTCGAGCCAGCAACACCCGATAGAGCAGCTTCTTAAACCGTGCTTAGTCTACAAAATGTGAGATTTTAGAAACGTTCGAAACAAATTTTTGCGAAAGCAAAGCCACTTCATACCGCATTCTTGCGTTTTGAGGCTTCGATGAATTGCATAATTTACGTCTTGTGGCACATTGAGTAGTTGGTCCATCCTTTTGCATTTGTGGCAATTTCACTTCCATTCCGGCCCAACCATATCCCACTGGGGCCGCACGCATTGGTGACGTTATCTTCAAAACATGATTATTACTCATATCGATATACTTTTGGTATCGAAGCCTTTGGCGGGTGGGCATTGGATGGTGACGGAAGTGTCGGCTGCTGTTGGAGGCCAACATAACATAACATCGAAGATTGCGTGGCACCATATTCCATGTTCTAAATTTCGGCGGCATTCTTTTTAACTGAAAACCAACTCTTTGAGGGGGCCCGGTTTGTTCTCATTGCTTCCAACTGCTTCCGGCATTTTTCCTTCATTGCCTCTTCGTTTGGTTGGCTACGCACTAGAAGAAAAAGCATATTGTCATTTCCCCTTGCATTGCATCAAAAATGTTCACCGATAAAAACTTTAGCCAAAACGGCTGGAATCCAAATCCCCATCGTCCGTTTGCGAGAATAAATAGGCAAATCTACTGGAAATGGTTACATCTCGCAGCACAATAGGCATAAGTAGTATAATTTTATTTGCGATTCCGACGCTGGACTGGCTGAATGGCATCCTGTGATCTTCAACCCTTCCACCAACTGTCTCTGAGTCACAAAGCCGGTAAAAAAACTACTGTGCTTGATTTGCTGTTGACCTTGAGGTGTTTTGCTCTAGACTTCACAAAGATTATCAGCGTGTAATATATTTACAGATCCTTCACCAAATAAAGAAGCAATAAATTTAATTGGTTATAACATCAAACAAATGAAGCATCCTGTTAATTTACAGCTGGCTTTGGATCTGCTTTCAGAGGGATTGTTTCAATGGAGCCAGTTCCTCCAACAGTTGTAATTTGTCAACAGCTTAATCTTGTGGATTCTGAAAATAGTAAGTCATCATTTTCATTAACTACAGCCCTATACCTTGTTCGTGATTGTAGCGAGGTTATCAATAATTTGCATAACTTCCGTGGCAAAGCACATGGTGAAGTTTGTATAGCCATACTCATTCGCAATAATTTCGGTCTCATTACGACCCGTCCATTTTCCGGCGGGGTCACAGCGTTTGGTGACGAATTCTGAATATCATGATTTCAGAATTTAAGAAGTAAGCCAAGTATGACTTACTCGTTGGATCTAGGCCCTTTAGGTCAGGGCATTGTTGTATAGCGGAAGCGTTGGCCCGAGTTGGCGGCCAGCACAAAACGGTATCCCAGGTTGCGTTGCACCAGGTTCCGCCATCTAATGAAACTAGCAGGTAAGAGCATTTCATGTCGAAATACCAACCCAGTGGCGGAGATGGGCTTATTCCTTTTGTCCTCATTTCCTCGCGACATTCCTCCATCATTTTGCCTTCTATCTGCTGAGCATAGGCTAAATGTATCATATGCATAAGACCCCTAAATAATCGAAGATTTGTGTCCACCAAATTTTATTAAAAAGTCGCCTACCGATGAAGGCAACGGCCAAAAGGGTCTCGAACCAAATCGCCATCGTCATTGACCGGCCCTATAGTCGTAGCTAGGGTATGTAACGTATAAGAAAACGGGCAACGTCTGAGGAAAATTTGATCCATGGCCGAATCGAAAGACCACCAGGATTTTCGACTCTCCGCCAGCTGACTCCTATCCTCAAGCACAGAAAAAACCCAAAGATTGATTTGTTGCGATAGCTTGAGGTGTGACTCTTTCAAAGCGTTCCGACCGAGTATAGGATTAAAAATATCAAATTTATTGGTAACTTGAAGGGCCGTGCGCGTGCGAAATTCCCTAAATAATCCATGATGACGTTTGATTGACATATTGAGATTTGATGAAATGGAGAAAATATAGATCGTTATTACACGCTATGTTTCTTACATTTATTTGATATTATTTTATTAGAGACCGTGTAACACGAAGGGTGCTTACCAGAAAGATCGGGTAATATTTGTTCGTGGTAGGGATCGTGCCGAGATCAATGGTCCGCCGCCCAAATAAGGTGTGATGTCCTAGGGCGTAACCGTGGGGTACATCACACACTGGACATTGCCAAAACATTTCCGGTCAGTCTTTTTAAACCTACCATACCTGGCATCTTCTCTCTCTCTCTCTCTGTCTCTCTCTCAGCAGAGAAACTTATGTTAATTTTAAAACTAAAGACCGTTTTATGCTAATTTTTCCTGAGCCTTCCTGATCACTTTAATAACTGGGGGAATTTTTGATTTTCTTTTTTTTGGTCGGCTGGAAGGCTTCGGAGTCGACGAGATGGTCTGTCTGTACAGACAGGCCATCGCGGGACCCTGGAGATGCGCAAAAGTCTGCGACACGGGGTTTGCAACATGCTCACCCCTGGGCAAGTTCTCGAGGAATGGTGCGGCACGTTACCCTATATGTCTTTTGAAATGTCTCGGTATACCATATGATGGACGACAGGCCGACGCTTGGTCCATCGGGGCCTCGATTTATGCGACGATAACTAGTGATGTGCTCTTCAAGGAGCCGGCCAGGTTTGACATACGTTTTTTCCGCACGGATTTTTCGCTTTTTTTAGCAACGAAGTCAGTTCCGACTATTCACGGAACAAGTATTTTTCCCGCCAAGCGATTGACGAGAATCGCCCAAAATCGTCCAAAAATCACCTAACAAATTGTGAGTCGCACTCGCCTCTCCTTTTCTCTCTCGCCCTTTCTCCCTCGCCCTTTCTCTCTCTCTCGCCCTTTATCTCACTCACTCTCTCTCTCCTCTCTCTCTCTCTCTCTCTCTCTCTCTCTCTCACCCGGTCTTACTCCCTGAATCTGTCGCTAGCATACACGGTTCCTCATCTTTTTTCATTTAAGTGTCTGATAAGATTAACCTAAGGTAATTTATTTTCTGTATGATGTGGTGTTTTCAGTGACCTCATTTTTAAACAATAAATTATTTATATACATTCCTCATATTTCACACATATGTGGCACACCGTACTTTCTTTTTATTTATTAGTCGTCCGTTGGAGAGAGGCGATGTCGCAAAGTGAGTCAGAATGATAATTTGAGCCATCGGATGTGGGGCCTCTAGGGATTGAGGTTGGGGAATGCATCTGCCGGTTTACTCCGTACTGACTACTCCATTCTCAGCAACCCTTTAGTAGATGTGTTTATTCAAAAATATTTGTTTGTTACCATCAAAAACTATTAGGAAGCTATATAAAGGGTTTGTTCATTTTCCTAAAAGATTTGCGATCTATTCCTTTATTTTAGCAATGTAAACCACCAGGAGCCATCTGCAAATGATGATTTATTTGCTTCGTTGGGCTGCATTAATGAGACAAACCTGCAGATGATTGTTTTGTAATAATTCATACTTGAATCCTAATTTATGGTTTAGGTCCCCCGAAGATGAACAAGCTCTTCTGAACTCTCTTACACTTTCTAACGACGAATTTATCGAATTGCTACATGAACTCCAGAATCTCACCTACAAAGCCCTACATGTAGATATCCAAGAAGACATTGATCTAGCTTTTGTTCTTTCCTCACTAAGACCAACTTCGAAAAGGCATTACTTTTTCGGAATTCGTTTCCCACGGAAGTTCTCAGTATTTGCTTTAAATTTTCCTCAATTTGGCTTCTTTAAATAGATCCCTTTGGCAAATTGCTTGTGGTTTTCGGATAGAGAACTCTAGACAACCGTATCATTTTCGATTTTCGGAGGAAAACGGATTTGTGAATTTTTGGGGGAGCTGTGATAGGGGACCACCGTACAACTAGCAATCCCTAGGGGAAATAATCAGATTGATTCGGCAGCAAATCGTTTTTTCTTGAAGTATACGAGGTGTTCTTCCCGATGTATCATACAATGATTTTTCAAATTTACTTTTGACTTCGTATAAATAAAAGTTGACTTAAAATTTTCTGGAATCGAAAAGATATGACGCTTTATTATGCACCTGCCAAAGGAGGGGCTCAATGTTAACAAAAAGACATCGAAATAAATATAACAATTTTGAGAGTGGCAATTAATAGCACTTTTTGTGAGATGGCACTTGTTTTGATTAGAATGGCAAGGAGGGGGGAAGGGAATAGGTACAAATATAGGGCGCTTAAAAATAACAAAAAAAGTGTAAGGAAAGAAAAGATCACCGAATGATGAGCACAATAATGGTGCGGAGATAGAGGGTAGGAAAATGGCTTCGAAGAAATACGTAATTCCAAAATTATGGAAAGGAAAGACAGGGTTTTATTTTTTAATTTCTAGCCGGTTAGACTAATATGGTTATATAACTCTGAGGGGTGCCGAAAAAGTGGTTATTACAGTATCATAGATATAGTTAATGTGGCTAATGAAGGGATTTTTCAGAAGAAACCCCAGAAATTTTTATACGTTTAGCTGCTAACGTTTAATAATTATTTACTGGGCACTCTTCACTTTTTGAAAAATTACAAAAATCGCAACAATACCAAAAGTATTACGGTGAATTGAATATTTCTATAATTTGCCGCGGATTCCGAGTCTCGTTTTGTCATCATCCACTGATCTGCTTCCATATCATGCTGTTGTGGGTCATCAAGAGCGTTTGATTCTAAAGTGGTGTTTTCATTTGAACTTCGTTGCATACCTTCGGTCAATTTTTCGACTTCCGCTTCGTCGTCCGACATGCGACGCGGTTCCTCATCCTTAAAAAATGTGTTGTGAATAGGGTCAAACTATTCATTTATTTATTTAAAACTTATTTTTGAGCATATCACAAACCTCGTTGAATGATCTGTCTTTTTCTTGGTTTGCTAGTTGATCTTGATAGTCTTGATGGTCTCTGGCTTCCTGAATTCCAAAATCATCACATCTACTGGTTGTTACCAACCTCAGACGCAACCCTCCTTTCCTCTTCACGTCGTCGCTCCTCATCTTCTATTCTCTTCATTTTCTCATCTTCGGTTTCTTCTTGGCGGTAGTCGCCTTCTTCTTTGCTTGCTTGTTCATATTCTTCAAGGTGTGTATCATCGTAGGTGTGTTCTAAAATAAAGTTTGGTTGATTTACGAGCTTAATTTCAATTAACTTACTTCCAAGTCCAGCATCACCACGATCTGCCTCACCATCTTCATGATATTCCTCCCAAACCGGCTCTGTTGGGGCAGAAGTCGTTTTCTAAAGCAAAAATCTGCTTTAATTACCAATCTACTCCCGATACAACTTTTGCCTGAAAACCTACACTATCCTGCTCATCCATATTTCTCTCTTCCTGGCTGGTCAGTTCCGGTCTTCGATTAGCATTCAGCTCATCTTCCTGACGCCTTCTCTCCGCCCTCTGTCTCTCCTCTTCTTCACGGACTCGTCGAGCTTCTTCCTCTCGCCTTTGATTTTCCAAACGCTCCTAAAATGATTGTATGTCGGTTTGTCTCGGTGGTACCTCTTGCTTCCTGCGTCTCTCAATTTCTTGTCTATCACGCTCTTCTGCAGCTTTTCGTCGGTCTTCGGCCTAAAATTTTCATGTTAGTTTGGTGGCGGAGAACTAGCCTGTGCATTTGCCCCGCTGTACTGTTCCGCTTCTCTCCTCTCTTCGTCGGCTCGCTTTCTTGCCTCTTCGTCTTCTTTATGTTTTCTGACTTTTTCTTCCCATTCCAGTCGCCTTCTTTCTCTTTCTTCTTCTTGTTTTCGTCGCTCTTCATCGCGTCTTCGGGTTTCTTCAGCGCGCGCTGCTTCCTGAAATTGGTAGCGGGAGATTACTTAGTTATTATACAACAAACCGCTTTCTCTCGATCCATTTCCCATTGACGACGATGCGCTTCACGTTCTTTTTCAATCTGTTGTCTCCTCTCTTCCTCGGCCTTCACCTAAATAACCGTTTAGTATTTGTATGCCATCCAAGCGCCTCGTAAGCCCTACAAAACGAACGCACCCTTCGTTCCTCTTCCATTCTCTTCTTCTCCTGAGCGGCAGTTTCCTGTTCCTTTAACCATTCAGTATGGGCACTACCATCGTCTTCAGGTATCTTTGGTTGTTCTTCCGTTTTTGTTGCTTCCTCGGCTCGTCTTTCTTCTTCCAAGTAATCATCAGTGTGCGGTTCACCCACTAAAATAATTTTATTTGAGGCAAATCGGCACCTGTGCGCTTTATGGATTTTAACGATTAGAGTGCAAAACAGACCTTTCCATTGACACCGATCTCCTTCCCAGACGCCAATAAGGCATTCACATCGGTGTTGAGAAGAGTCATCATAATTAAATGTGCAAACGCCACCATTTAGGCATCTAGGAATGAACCGAATAAATTTATTAAAAGGTTTTTTACTTGATGCGGCATGCTGTTTGTGGCCAGACAAAGCCCCAGCCAGCCGAAGCGAAGCCGATTAAGCTTATGGCCACTAGAGCCTGGACCCAGGTCCTCATCGAGAGTTTTCTTGCAGCACGTCTTCTTGTAATCTAGAAAAATTTTAAATTATCGCTTCTTTTTTTGAGGCCGCGAAGGAAAATAGAAAAAAAATACAATGTGGAGAAAAACAAGTTAAGAAGAGGTTTTGTCCATCCCGAAAGCCGGTAATTTCATTTAATGGCCCCCAATACAGCAACATTTCACGTTCCACCTCTACCGCCGAATTTCTATCAAGTCTCAAATGACAGTTGATGCGTAAAAGTGTTTCCGCATCCTTTGACCATACATTTAAAGCTTTGGCTCACATTTCATAGACACGGAAAAATAAGCAAAGAGGGCAACCATCTGCTTGACTTTGATACTGGTTCTCTAGTTCGCTACCCGGGGAACCCCTGACTTTTTTGCCGGGGGTTCTAACTGAATTTATCGTGTATGCGCGCGCTAGTAATTAGGCATAGTTTTTTTATAAAATGGTGACTTATGAACTTTTTTATGACAGGGTGAAAAGTGCTCTAGAAATGGATTCTTTCTCGTCATAGACGTCATCATAAGGAAACATTGAAAAAGTTAGTCCCGCGGCTAAACCACCCCCGGCTAACGTAGCAGCAACCACCTTTTTTTTTTAATTTCCACAACCTTAATTTCCCATTCGCGCACGCATCAATTTCTCAGCCGATTTCATAAATCACTTTCACACCCCAAGGGGGACGCGAGATCGAGATTTGGGGGGATTTGATGGGAGGAGAAGCCATTGGGGAAGCGAACGGGGGAAGGGGGTAATGGATTGGGGCAGTTGACCCCCCGGGTGCTTGGTTGGGCCATTGAATGGACAGACGCACCAGGGACATCAATAACAGTCAACAACTTTATCCTAGAGCAGATCGTATCGATATACTCACAAATATATAGGTATTCTATTTCTCCGCTTGGCGGAATTTTTTTTGGATTGTGTAGAAATCGAAAAACAAGCCGAAATCTGTTTTCTAAAAAGCCGAAGCAAAAAAATTAGAATTACAGCTGAGTTCAAATCAAATTCGGAACAAATTGCAAAAGAGTATCAACCAAAAATAATTTGGCACTGTATTATAATGGTTTAACTCTAAAGGTCCTGGGAAGGCAAGAATTGGCTATAGTTATAAACAGCAACGTTACAAAAATAGGCTATGAAGGGTAAGGAGGTTGTAATTGTATAAAAAATTGACCATAAACTATGTAGCTCTAACATTGTCTTATTAAAAAATTAACGGCTTTAATAAAATGATTGATCATCCAATAGGCCAAAACGTCTACGGTCTAAAGACCATGCGACCGAAGTTTCGACGTCAGAGCTGCAATGCAAAAAAGGTGATGAGTGGGGAACAATGATTGAGTATAGGGCCACCCGGGATGGCAGGTGGATATGTTGAAAGGAAGAAGAAGAGCCTGAAAGACGATCGGATTCTTCGACCGACTGACCAGTGTAACTGCTGCAACCCTCTGAGATGAATGAGGAGGAGAACGAAAAAGGGGGAAGCAGAGAGTGAGATGGGCCCTAAGGGGAGAAAAAGCCACCGCAAATACGATGCGAGTCATTAATCTGGTTTGAGGGGGAGTCAGTGCTGAGTGTTCGTTCCGTTCCGGCCCGTCAACAGGTTGTAATGGGCCGTATTGTTGAGTAGCTATAGTCGTTTCGCAGTTTGTGAAATTTTGTTGATGGTTTGTGGAGTTTAAGGTAATTCAGATTGTGATGAAAATTTAAGGATTAATACATAACTTTGAACTAAGCAGCTGAAGCCAGGATATTTATGTTTTAATTGGCTTGTGTGAAAATATCTCATTTCCAAGCTTTGCGGTGAAATATACATTTGGTCGGAGAGAGAAAGCGCGAGATAGATAGGGAGAAAGAGTGAGAGACAGAGAGAGACAGAGAAAGTGAGAGGAGAAATCTATGACACTATCGGTGCTAGAGATTTAAGGTAACAAACTAATTAACAGTTAAACGAATAAGGACAATAAACTAATTAACATCTAAACTAAGTAATTATGTTTTAGTGCCTGGCAACTTCTAAAAAATCATGATCTTCCCGAAAATTCCAAAACAATCACAATTGTCGCTTTTCATAAACTAAAAACTAAAAATCCAAAGCCCTCAGCTTCCTGGCTGGGTGGGCGTAGTCCCCAAAAAGTGGTTCCCGTGATTACTCATTCTGAGGTGCAGGCCCTCCAAGGGTTGTGAAAGCAAAAATGGGGCCCACCAACTGGAGAAGCCCCCGGGAGCTGACTCACAGCTTTCGGTCCTTAGGCCCCCCGCACCCTAATGAGGGATTTCGTATGCAAATGCCGGGAGATGGGGCGGCCCAGTTTTGGGGGGGACTTATAGCCCTCAACCCATCTCGTTAGCTGCCAACCCCAGTCGGTGCCGTCATGCGAAAAGGGAATGGAACAATGGGTGTCGATGCAATAATAATTTAATCATATTGTGTGCATGGAGGTGGGCTGTGGGGGGATGCTTGGATGGAGATTGGGAATTTTTGGTGGTGAAAATCAAAAGCAAAAGACCTGCTCGTAGAATGCCGAAGCCGAAAATTAATGGGCTCTCAGGATTGACAAGCCGCTTGGCTACTATGCAACCCGGGAAACGGTCAATTTCGATCAAAAATTGACATAAAAATTGCACTGTAAGTAAGCTGTTACTTTACCCGTTTAGAGCCAGCTCCATTTCCGCTAGATGCTAAAAATTCTTAACAAAAAAGGGTGAGCTTAAATATCGAAAATAGTTTTTTCAAAAATCTGATGAACTTCTCGAATTCTTCTTCAAGACCATCTAGCTTGTAATGGCGTACCATCCGTAGCTCCCGACGTAATTTGCATACAAAGTGGCACAATTATTTTTTACATAGCAAGTTGTGGATAACGCAGATAATAGTTCATGTCAACTTTGAAGGGAGTAAGTTATCCAGTAACGTTCATGCCCAAATTTCAAAACTACTACTACCCTAAGCCTAAGCCTAAGCCTAAGCCTAAGCAAACTACTACTACCCTAAGCCTAAGCCTAAGCCTAAGCCTAAGCCTAAGCCTAAGCCTAAGCCTTAGCCTTAGCCTAACAAGGAGTCGTTTTTGGGTGATATTGGAGTTTTTGAACGAGACCTAGCTAGTTCGATAGAGAAAAAAATTCTGAACAAGATGTCGTTTTCCAAATCTGCTAACCGTGTACGCTGTTCAATAAAAATTAATTTGAAAATCATTAATCTAATTAACATTTTCCGCCTGATCCGCAGATTCTGCGCTCTGGGTGCGCGTCAACATAGCCCCCTTTAGGCCTCCCTCCAGCCATGACCAGCTGGCCTATTGGTAGTGCGCTTGCTTCATAAGTTTTTGTCTTTTTTTGCCAGCGGGTTCGACTCCTCGCTAGTAAAACTCTTTTGCTTTTTGCTCGATAATGCCAATTTCGATTTCAATGGCATGAAAAACCAAAAAGCAAAACAATAAATCACAATAAGTTCCGAACCCTGGGCATAATTTTGCAAAAGTTTGATAGGCGCTGGCACTATCCACTAGGCCACGATCTCATGCGGATGCTGGTTCGCGCTGTGGGCTATGTCCCGGGCCTGATCCATGGGTCGCAGCCTGACTTCCAGGAATTTTTTCATTAAAATTAATTTTTATTGAATACAGTACACGGTTAGCAGATTTGGAAAACGACATCTTGTTCAGAATTTTTTTCTCTATCGAACTAGCTAGGCCTCGTTCAAAAACTCCAATATCACCTAAAAACGACTCCTTGTAAGCCTAAGCCTAAGCCTAAGCCTAAGCCTAAGCCTAAGCCTAAGCCTAAGCCTAAGCCTAAGCCTAACCTAAGCCTAAGCCTAAGCCTAAGCCTAAGCCTAAGCCTAAGCCTAAGCCTAAGCCTAAGCCTAAGCCTAAGCCTAAGCCTAAGACTAAGCCTAAGCCCCCACTCGCTACAACACACATCCCCCCGGGTGGTCCCTAGTCCCAATGAGATGGCGGATGCATTTTAACAAGCTCACACAAAAACAGACCCATCCTGACAAGCTGAAAGAGAAGCCAGGGACTATTGATGAATAGTAGGATCAGAGAAGGGGTGGGGTAGATCCCCGTTGTCTAATAGACAACCCAACGAGTGGCCAGAGTGTGTAATTTGGGTCGACCACGCCGATTTTTCTCCCCTCCCTGCCGGTCGTTTCCTTGGCCTTTCAACACCCGGAGCAAGAGCAAAAGGCAGGCCCAGCAGCCGGAAAAACCACTTGGCATAGTGTTATGGCATCGGGTGGTGCTAGGGGAGGGGAGGCCAATACTCCATGTGTCGGTGTATGAGTCGGGAGGAGATTGACGCTCAAATAGTAGCACCGTTTAGGGTTTTATTGCCTAAATGGCGCAAAATCTTTTGGTTAATGAATTTTTGGAAGGATTTTTCTTATATGATAGCCAACTCCGAATTCAGCGCTAGAAAAATCTTTATTATTTTTTAAAGCTAGCTAGACTTAATGGGCTAGCGAAGAAAAAACGGCCGATCGCTTTAGAGTATCATAAAAACAGGCATACGGAGTTAAAAATACATCGAAATGCTTCTTTGGCTCTGAGCCAACAAATCTATGCATGGCTAATCTTGCTTCTGTCTTTTCTCGGCTCATTAATCTTCCCAAAAAAGGAACGGCAACGGACGAAAGACGACGGAGTTTGTACTAAAAGGCCCATAAAAAGAAAAAAAAAATGGTAGTTTTTTTAGAAAAAGACTTTTACTAATGCATCCAAATGGGACGTTCGGATGCTAATGGTCGTCTATAACCGGTTCTCTCCAAAGGTTGTCAAGCCGTGCCGACCGGGCAGACAGCCCTGATTTGGTCAAATCTAATCAGGAGAACGCCGGAAACATGGGAGGTTTAGAAAAAGTTGTCTAGGTTGGTTGTTCTGAACATGAGAAAACCTTAAGAGACGATTAGTTTTGAGCAAAGCACAGTAAAGTAATAAAAAGTTTAATGATTAAAAAAATTCTCACGGGAAGTCAGATTGGAAAAAATTTCAGCCATAACCCCGACATGCTAAATCCCGACAGATCAAAAGCCCTGCATATTCTCGACGCTAGTTTTAATGATTTGAATGACGCCCAGGGCCCCCGAAGCAGGCTCTCACAGCCCGTTGCCCGGTTGGCACCATGGTACATTGCCAAAGTATTCGACTGGCAAGCGCAGGGCGGCGGTTAGAACCCCTGGCCTGCCACAACGTTTTGCTTTTTGCATTTTTTTGCAAAATCTTGTTTTGACCTTTAAGATGCTGGTCTAGCCAATGTCTATCCAATTTTGACGTTGAAATTGATCAAGACATTCGAAAACGATAACGGTACCTTGTTTTTGGTGAAAAACTCTACCATAATTGCCGTATAACTTTCAAAATAAATGACGGTAGCAAATTTGGAAAGAGGATTCGGAATCAGCGAAAAATTCTGCACACGGTGCACTTCGTCCCGTATCGAAACTCCAAGTCAAGTAGGCAAAAAATGTCAGAAAAAGGCAATGTAGCTCTACAAATGGCAGTAAAAACGTGAAAAAATAGCGCCGCAGGCAGCAAAATTTTTGAGAAAATAAAACTCATAAGGGTCCCGGACGATTTCGGGGGGGGGGGGGCACCTTACGCTACGTCCCTGCATCCAGGTAAGGTATACGCTGCAGTGGCATACGGTAGTGAACGGACCCGGCCACAGTGACCAATCAAATTGAAAATAATAATGTTTATTCTAATAACCCCCCATATTGCGGGGTGTTAGATTGGTTGATTGGAAAGAAAGGGAGAGGGGATATGTGTGTGGTGGTTTGAAGGGTGCTGAAAGGATGGCTAGATGTGTCCGGGAGGGCCCTGGGGTGGTGGTGGTGGTGGCCCAGGGTGCGTAGTAACGTGAGGGAGACCCACCGGTCGAGGCGGGTTTTTGGCGAAGGCCACACGATGTGTGGAAGAAGGGCACCGACAAAGGAGGCGAGGAAGAGCCTGTGGTCACACACTAGCTCCCAAACACACCAACTGGCCTCTAGAGGAAGCGAGGGCTGTACAGTGAAGGGCCATTCCCTCCCCTAGTGGCCTCAGATACCTTTCTAGCCACTCTTTCTCTCTCTCAGGTGCCACTAGCCTAGAGGTGTTTCGGGGGGCTAAAGGTGTTGCCACATCGCTCATTTTAGCGGCGGCGGCGCCCCCGATTGGTGGAGGGTTATGATAATTGACACGGGTTGGGGAAGGGACGCGTTAAAGTGACTACGAAGGCTTGAGTCTAATACAGAAATTTGGCAACGTGCAAATCGTGGCCCCTAGCGAGTGTAACAGCTGTTTTCCGAGTTGTTTTGAATCTCAAGTCAAGCGAAATGGCCACAACAGGTCGCATATAATTGATGAGCTGAGTAAATATCAACTTCGGATCGACTTCAGTCCTTATTTAAAGGGACAAGGACAGCTAGGGGTCAGCAGTTGTTGGAAGTTCAAAACGTTGCGTCAGAATTAGATAGAAAGCGTGAAAATCTGTACTCGGGACGACCTAGGCATCCACAACCCTCAAGTGCAAAATGATGCCTTTAAATCGGCCAATTATGAGAAATGCAGTCGCAGATAAGCGTCGTACGTCACGCAGCATTGGTGCCAAACCGAGTATCGAAGAATAAAGTAATATCTATTTGATTTTATGATATGACAATAGGCATAACAAAATTGCAACGGAAAGTAAGGTTGTAAATACCAAAATCATATGCCACTAGGTTCTAAATAAATTTGAGGGGCGAGGTGCTGTCAATGAGATGTGATATGTCTTAAAAAGCATCTGAATAGATGTGAGATCGTCAGGTAATTAAATAAACTATAAGATTTTGTAATCATCACATAGTGACAGTATTAGAAGCAGTCGCAAATTTAGTGAACAAGAAAATAAAAATCAAGGAAAGGCTACGACAGAAGCTTCTGCTGGCATTCAACCTTTTATTCAAGTGTGCAAGGTGAAGTGTGTGAGAGCAGTAAAACTATTGGCCGAGGTCCAGTGGCGATGTGGTGGGTGCGTGGCTATATTGTGGGTATGGGCAGCTGCTGCGAGTCGTTGGTAAGTCGCGCGCGTCTATCGAGTAGTGTCCTTCTTTCACCCAGCCACACAGACACATACAACTTTACAATGGTCTCAATATCGGAGGGGGAGCCTCACCTCATTCCAATCTGATGGCGACCACAAAGAGGGCACACCGCGCCCTTTTGTTCTTACCGGCACACACCTGTAAAGCTCAGGTCAGCTGGGATGTAAGGCGGGGGACAGGGTGGCAAGGTAGATGTACAACTGTTTCTTTGACAATTTGAGTAACTATTCATGATAATTTTTCGCGCAACAGGGGGAGCGGCTTGCACAAAAGCTGCATTTTAATGGTGAAAACTATATTTTTTTTTAAATGTACCATTCGGCTGTCGCTTCCGCCCTTCCTTCACCAAATGTTCTTCCTTCCCGAGTCAAAATAGGCTTACCTGAATCTCCAGATGATTAGGCTTCCAAATTCGGAACAATGTTACGCAAGTGTTGATGAAGATATGCAAATACAGGAACAAACTTTATTATATCTAATAGGTTTCACTCCATACATTACATATCACATCTTCAGCCGCGTAGATCCAACTTACGCTTTTTTAGTATTTGCCTCATTAGCTGCGGATCGTTTCCGGTCTGCCCCACCTGCCAGCTGGTCGAAGGCACCAGTCTTCGATTCTTCCCATGGAGCGGAAGGGGGTATAGCTCAGTGGTAGAGCGCTCGCTTAGCATGCGAGAGGTCTGGGGTTCAATTCCCCATACCTCCAAGACCTTTTGCTTTTTCGGAATTTCGTTGCCATCGTGATTTAGAACTATTTCCAGATGTCAGCGTTCTTTCATTTGATTTTGTCGCACAATGTTTTTCGTAAGATCATCAATTTATTCACATCATTTTTGTGTGGCGGGGGAGAGAATGTATTATCCCGGAGATTTGTTGCGATTGGGAGGAGAATTACGGGGGGAATTTGCGCAACTTTGAACATGGCGTTAAAAACGGGCAATGGGGCGGAACGAAAAAATAACGAACAACGCGAGGCCAACAAGATAGCAGAATCGGATTTAGGATTGCGCAGGGGAAATGGTGATACCTTGTAGGGTGAAGGTTGCAGAGGGCGGGTTTTCACAACTTTTCGAATTGGCTTTGGGTTTATTTATCAGAAAGAAGGACAAGAAAAAGACCAATCTTTTTTGGAGACTTGAATCACGAATTCGATGAGCATTTTGCCGGGGAATAAAGTTTAGTACTCTTTTAGTTCGGGAGGATGTTAGAATCAAGGTAGGGTGTTATGAAAATACATTGGTTGGTATACACAGCAGCGGGTTTTCAAAAAAATACTTTGAAAATTTCAGCGGGGTTGTTAGAGCTTCGAGGCTTTAGCGAACAAATTTTCGTTTCGATTGTTAAATTGATGACTAATCCATGCCTAGCAAATTAAAAGTTGTTTGCTAACGCTTCATATTTGATCAATTTCTCATTGGTGGGGGATCTTTTTAATATTCGAGCCGGGAAGACAGCTGCGAAATCGTTGATATGGGGTCAGATCAGCCGGATGTGTATGAAGCATTGTGATGGATCGAGAGTGGTAAGCAACTTAGGGTAGAAAACTAGAAGGAAATCGCATTTAAATACCTTTAGCTTCGCCACTAATCGATCCGGAAATAAATCAAACAAAAAAAACTGTGCAACAGGATGAAATGAGAAAATTGGAAATTATACAAAAATGTGGTATATAGTATCGAGTGGTTATTAAAGGGGCGTGGCTAAACAAGATGAAGACCCGTACGGGGGGAATGAAAACGAATGTTCAGGAGTCAAATTCATGGTTTTTACAAATGGTGAAATGTGATGTGTCGATGGGGGGCACGGCTCGGCCGGCGACTTGGTCCTCGTCAAGATCGCTACTAGAATGGTTTGTTACTCTTGTTTTTTGGGTATTCTTAATTTTTTTTTGTATTTTTACCAACCCCGTTTCTACATTCTTGAAGCGAAGACATTAATCCCGGTCGAGAAAACCGCGACCATCATTCAAATCCGGGTATTCCTTGGCGGCACGATTTTTGCGGCTCACGGGCGCTGATTCGACTTGGAATGGCTGGAATGATTCAGTTAATCTTGTTCAGGATATCATTTCTTGTGGGCGCCGTCCCCTTAAAATAGTTAGAAAATTACCAATTCACGGCTGTCATCATCATCGTCCGGTCCAGCCGTGATATAATCGTGCTGTCGAAGCGGCACGTCATCCTCCATATCGAGCTCATCGTCCGATTCATCCATCGGGAGCTTGTCCATTTCCAGCATCACCTAAAATCAATATCTATAAACGTTTTAACCGGCTTTCTTTTAGCGTTTTGAAGGATACTTACGGATCCATCCGGTCGATATTTCCTTGGTTCCGGCGCGTACGGTGGTTCTTCCCGTGAAGCATCAATTGTGGAATGGTTGAGTACGTGTGATTTCTATAGACAGACTGATAGAATCATTTGTATGCTTACCTCTCGGAAGTCCTCAGATGCAAAATCCTTGAGGTGATGGACGAGTTGGTGGAATGACGGTCGATCCCTCGGGTCATAACGCCAGCAAGATGTCATTAGATCGTACCTGGAATTAGGAATCTTTATAATAAATATGAACTTTGCAGGCTCATCAATAATTTTTTAAACTTACCAGAAATCAGGACAATCCATCGGCTTCTCCAACGTCTTCCGTGACAAACCAATATAGTTGAACACCTAACATTTTTATTTCAGGTATTCTAACAACAATTTACCTCATCGTTTGCGAGACCCTGATACGGTTGTTGGGCCAAGGTCAGCATCTCGTAAAGCACAATACCGTATGACCTAAGATACGTGATTTTCGACAAAATAAGTAATCACTCACCAAACGTCACTCTTCAGCGTGAATTTGCCGTCCTTCAGGGATTCCGGTGCCATCCATCTTACAGGCATCAAACGCTTTCCGGTTGGTTTGTAATACTCGTGATAGTAGACATCCCGAGCCATTCCAAAATCGCCGATCTTCACGGTTTCATCAGCTTGTACCTAAAATTCGGGTTGGAATGAGGTTTTTTTCTTGATTCTCCTTACCATGCAATTCCTGGCCGCCAAATCACGATGGCAGAATTTCAGCCCTTCCAAGTAGGCCATACCGTCAGCAATTTGTGATGCCCATTCAAAGTATTGAGCTTCGGTGGGAACTGGTAGGCCATCAAGATTTTCTTCAGCATCTGGACGTCGCGAGCGTAAATAATCTCTCAGATTGCCCTTGGCCATCATTTCCATAACCACAAGCACTGGCTGTCCATCCGAGACAACACCATAGAGCTTGACGATGAACGACGTGTTGAATTGTTTCATCACTGACGCCTCTGAAATATTATTTGTGATTACAGCTTTCTTTTTAAGATTTACCGAGCAAGAAGTGTAGCTTATCAGAGCTGGTAGCTGTTTCCATGACGGTCTTGATGGCACAATCCCCGAACACGATACCGCACAAGGATTGGATCTTGTTTCCGGTTCCACGGAATACCTGAAAAGAATATTACAAAAATTAGTTGGGGCTTACCTTTCCAAAAGTTCCTCTTCCGATCTCTTCATCAAGCTTCAAGTCCTCGCGCTTCAGCTCCCAAGCGTCCTAAATGACGAAACGTATCCGTCGTCGCAAAATTCCTTACCTGTTTATAGACTTCTAATTGAGAGAGATACTCTGGATTGGCTGATATTTGGCGGACGAATTCGCCGAGCTGAATAGAAGAGCTTGACATTTTTTTAACTAAACATACTTGTTTGCCATAGTATCGTTTGACGATCAACCAGATGATGACGGCACCAGCAGCAATCAGAACAATGAGACTCAAGAGACCTATGAAAAATGTATCCAAAATTGGCAAATATATTTACCAATCAATATACGCTGTATAGTAAACCATGATGGCGCCGACACCGTCACCTTTTCCAAGTATTTCGAAAGAGCAGACGGCCCTTCCAAAGTGACGGTTTGGATCAAGATCTAAATATTTTCCTTATAATTGTAATACAGTCAATTCCATACCTCATAGGTGCCATCCGGCAGATTCTTGAAAATCATTCCACCCGTCGTATTGTAGAACGTGCGGTTGATACAGCGATCGAACACTTGCTAAAAAAAGAAAATATGTATCTATCTTAATTCTTTGGATACCGAAGGTGTGTCGACGTCGACAATACGAAGTTTGTAACCGAGAATTGCTCCGTTCGGATCTTCTGGCTCATCCCATTGAATCTTGATGTCATTTGTCGTGCCGTTTAGCAGCGTGACGCCGATTGTCTTGTTGTCAACGATATCATTCTCGGCTAGAAATAATTTTTAGATGTCGAAGGAGTGTTTTCATACCGATAGGCCAGGTTCGAACATTCCTCCAGTTAGGCCGCTGAGTGCAGTAATTTTCCGGGGCGCTGCGATTCTGGCAAGCCGAGATGGAAATCTGAATTAATTCGGAATTGTCGGATTTTAGAGCGCCTACGAACCCGATAATTTCCAAAATGTGTCAAATTCTTGATGATAAATTTTGTGCCAGTGACGTTGATGGTCTTCGAAACGTAGTCTTCGCCCAAATTCTCCGCTGGAACGCTTGAAGTGGTGACGGTGTTAGCACGCTAAAATTTGTTATTAACAAAGTATAACCTGTTATTATATCATGGGGAAAATGAGTTACCCTGCTTACCGAATTTGGCTTCTTCTCAGTTTTCCTGTCATCTTGCTTCATCGGCTTTTTGACTTTGGTCTTATTCTTGGCTTCAATCTGTGCATCCTTATCAGCTTCTCCATCGGTGATCGACCTCTTTCGGCGTGTCGCTCTGAAAGTTCATAGGTATATTTTGTTGTAAATTCTGGTCCAGATCAGAAAGGTTTACGGATAGCCACGGGAATGTTAGCCTCTGAAAATGCTGATAAATTTGTGGAATTGCAAGAGCATGCTTTTGGGGGGGATTTGTGGGTTGGTGTTGGGTTAGGCTGGTTAGGGAGAAGTTCAGGAGCTTAAAAAATCTTGACAAAAGTTTCATTTTCAACTTTCAATTTCTAGCGTAAGTTGCTTCAAAAGCCATACCTCAAAAGAGTATAGCTAGGAATTAAAGCAAATTTTTACGGAAGGTAATATTATCTGAAAATGAGCCTAAATTCGTCTGCAGCAAAGCACAACTGGAATTTTTTACATTCGTGCGTTGTTGGTGATCGGGTATACGGTCATGTGAGCCCTTTGAAAGAGCAGGGTGCTACAAATAGCAGGCAACACTCATAAAAGCCTCCAGTAGGGGCATTCTCGCACTTTCGCTCGTGCCGCCGATGGGGATGTTTCGGAGCGTCGACTTCTCGGCGTACCCTCCGTTCTTGACGACATCCCTCCCGATTCGGATTTGCCGCACAGCTGCACACGGATCGTAGATTTACTTGTTTGCTTTTGCTTCGACACCCTAGCACCGCAAGCCAAACCGCTACAAATGGTTCGAGGACAAACAGATGGGGGGTGGTACTGCTTCGGAATTAGCTTTTTTGGAAGAAAATTATGAAGGTTAGAGTTGAAAATTGTCCTTCCGAAACAAACCAAACCCCCCATCCTAACATAGCAGTGTCCGCTACAAAGCCGGAACGTTAATCTGCTTCAGCAAAACGGCAAACACCCCTGCACCCCTTTTTGAAGGAAAACAACGTACGATTGAACGAAAACAACGTTCTGAATCTCGTCCTCAAAGTGCGCATTCTGGGACACTTCTTCTGCATCGTCCTCAAATCGATCGACCGCTTGTAGGGTGGGTGGTGGGGTTGAAACGGCAGCACATTGGCAGCAGCCAGGTGTCTGTAAATTGCAAGTTAACAATATTCAGAAACATTTTATGGAATTCCGTGCTATGGAGTTGTGCAATTTTCTGATGAAAGCTGAAAACACAACGACAAACCTTGCTGCACGTTTCCTCATCCTTCTTCATAAAGCGAGAAATTGCTGATGTTGTTCCGGGAGGTTCGGGTTTGTTCCCCTTTCCAGCATGGCTAATACGTAGCCGATCAACACCACATGGATGTTCATGAGCCACTTCATCGACTTCTCGTGCCCAGCTAACGATATAATGTGTGATCTCGCCGTTTGGTTGCGTAGGTGGTGACCATTCAATTTCAATCTAAAAATTCAAGATTAGCTACTTCCACAAAAATATTAGTCTACCTCCGACGAACTCAAGCTCTTGCTGATCAGGAATTTGGGCTCATTTGGATGATGATATTTGGTGGTTATGAACAGAATCTTGGACACAGCGTTACGAGCGCCAGCATGCTTGACGATACGAGTTTGCACGTAGAGAGCATATCTATAAACATCATATGCAAATATTGACCGTGTACTTACATGCTATTTGCATTAATGTGGCTGGAGGCAATTAGAGCACCACGAACTTTCGAGTTATCATCCTTTTCGGCCTGCAAATATACAATTTCTGATATCCGGAAAAATCATACCTCAAAATGCATCATCCACGAATCGGAGCAAGCTGATCGATCATCATCGACCGACATGTTATAATCGATTTTCGGGACTTTCTTGTAGAAGACTTGATAGCCGAGGAACTTTCGGTGATCGCTGTCAGTCGTATTAAACGGGGCCCATTGAATTATGAAGCCGTTGTGTAGCACCTCCGTCACATTCACCTCCAAGCTTGATTCTTCGCCTAAAAATATCGAATTACAAATATGTTACAACGCCTGTATTTGCATGAAAACCTTTTTAGTTTTAAAAACTTACAGACGGCCCTCTCTCCGTTTGTTTCTGGGCTTTGATCCTCAATGTCCATTTCCGACTCCTTCCCGACCAGCTTCATAAAGTCGTGAATCCGGTTGAAACAGAGCATGCGGTTGTTTTGAATCTGAATCCAATTGCTTTTCAATAGACCTTTTGATACCTGGAATTTTCCGTCTTCAGCCAGAACTTTTTGGCCGGGAGCAAACAGTTGACGCAGATTCTGGTTGTCGAAAATGATCAGGGAATATCTAGAAATAGTGTATTTTTATTTTCTAAGCCTACTTGTTGCGGAAGAGTTCCTTGCCGCGGATCGTATGCAAACTTTTGAACATATACAAGCTGATGAACGTGGGCGAGAAGCGGACAATCAGATAGCTAAATACATCTATTTAAAGAGATTATCAACTGTTAATACCCTTCGATAATTTCAATTTTCCCAAAGGCTTCGACCAGCTTCTCGGGTGGAACGGAATCCATTCCCATTCGCATCTCAATTTCCAGATTTCCAGTGATTATTGAGCAATCGTGAAGCTGCATCGCAATGCTCAACGCATCCACCGTCTAAAATAAAAATAGTTGATTATTTGTGGAACATTCAACCCACCTTTCCTTCACATTTCCTCGGGCATTTTTCCTTACATTTCTCGCATTTATGGGAATCCTTTGGATCTTCTTGATATCCCTCTGGACATTGCAGTTGGCAATGACCATTGATCGGCTTGTGACGCGTGCTACTTAAAATGTTTCTGAGGCGGTTTCAAGCCCCACTTACATATTTCTGCAATCCTGGTAGCTAATGCAACGGCGATCCAAGAATGTGTAGAGGTGATCGGGGCATTGGCGTTGGCAAGTATGGTTGTGGATGACATGTCTGCAGGCATGGCAGGCAGTAGCATCATTGCCCACATCACATCCGCCTAGGTACGATACTTAAGAGTGTACTTTAAAAATACCAATGCATTCATCGTGACATTTGGCCATATCGCCGTCGGCACATCCAGGTCCGGGTCCTGTTCCATTTTCAAGACGATTGTAGGGGCAGTCTGGAAAAACGCTTTTTTTTGTTACAGTCTATCTGCCGGATTGTTTTCGGTAGAGGATTTTTAGGCTTCCGTTTCGGAAGCAGGCTTCATATTTAATCTTCAGCTAAATGTCGAAATGACAATTGAGTTCTATGACGTGTGTTGGTTTTCCGTATGATCCCGGGCTGCGTTTTTTAACAATATTAGATCTAGCTTCCCGTGCACACCCGAGTAGCACATCGTAACTTATTCAAAGGCTTCAAAAGGACTAGAAATAAAGAAAGAAACAGGGAGCGAGGGATGGAGAGAGAGAGAGAGAGAGCAAGAGCGATATAGAGAGGTAGTGTGAGAGCGAGGAAATCAGAGCGAGAGTGAGAGAGCGGGAGAGAGTGAGAGAGTGCGAGAGGGATAGAGAGATATTTCACTTGGATCCACAAAACTGTTAGAGTTCTTTTTGGAGGCCTTTTTTTCTTCTAAGCCTTTCTTCATTCGTCGATTTTTCCGTTCTTCAATTTTACTATCACTTTACATTCGTTAATTAATGAAAATTAAAGGCTCCCGCATTGGAGAAGCGCATCTGAACCCTGTTCTCACCATTGGTCCAATCGAGAAAAACAAGTCCTCTCCCTTTTTTTCGACTCTCGCTTCCTATTCTGCGGACCCACGTGATCCTCGTGGACCTGCCCACCCGAGAATCGGTCGACGGCATATAGATGCGGTCAAATGGGGAGAGGCCCAGCCGTCGGGGCCTCAGAAAGAAAAAACGCAAACGGCACAAACAACCGATGGGGAAGGGGGAGGGCCTCGTCGACCTTTGTCCCATTCTGTTTGCGCCGTTCTTGATGACGGTTTGCTATTCCGAGGATGTGAATTTATGGAAGGGGGGAAAGGGGGATAAGCGAGCTAGGGATTTATTTATCCCGTCAGATTATAATGAGTGGAATTCAGAGCGATGGTCTGTGGTGGTTATTCAAAAAAAACACTTGAATGTCTAATGCACCTGTCTGGGTATCATTTTACTGGAATTTTCTTAAAAGTACTGACGGGCTGACTAGCAGGGGGGATATAGCATGGGCTAACTTTAGTATGTTGCCGACCCGTCGGGTCCAATTTCACGATTTACATAATCTTTACACCGTTTTTAAGTGTAAAAAGTGCATTAAAAAATTACTACAGCTTTCGAAAATGTTGGTTCTACGGCAAAGATGCGCACAATAAATGTATAGCGTATAAATCGATGAATGACAGTAGTATCGACTAAAAAAACTTTGCTAGGCAGGCATAGGATAGATGGCATACCCCCCGTTAACACCCCAGCTCCTCATTGGCAAAAGTTTTTGCACGGATACAGCAAGGATATCCTGATCTCACAAAACTTATTCATTCCCCCCAATAATTTATTACACCTCGCATCTCCCAGATCTTCGCCAAGAATCAGGTGATGCATTTTTTGGGAGCCACCTTCTCCCGCAGAACCCGATGAAATTAGCCATTCCCTTGTGATTTCCACCCCTTCTCTTTCCCCCCGCAGGCTTCGTGGACTTTGAGCTTGGTGAGCCGATAAGAGGAGTGTTGTGTAATGGGGGAATAGGAGAGGGTGTAGAGATAGAAACAGTTCCCCCACTGCTGCCCATAAATTCTCGTTGGCTTTTCGCCAGGTCCCGTTGCCCCCCATGACGCCGGGGAGAGCCACCGATTTTTTTTGTACTATTTTCGAACGTTCATAAGGTTTTGAGTTTTAGAGCCTGCAAGGTGCCAAAAGTTTACTCACCCATCTGACACGTCGAGCTGTTCCAACACGAAATTTCTCCATTTTTCAGCTTTCGGCATTGGGAGCCGTCGCCTTCGATAGTGCAAAATTCATCACACGGGGCTTCCCCTAAAATTGCTGTAAAATCGAGAGCAAAAAATGTAAATAAGTCACTTCTTCTGGAAGCTATCGCCTACCTTCTTTGATTGTCGTCGGCATCGAGCTGTGATCTTCTACCAGAATGTCATTCACCGGCCCGGTCACCATATAACTCCAATCAACGGTTTGCGCAAAGCATAAATGCGGATTCTCCGAAATCCGCACCCCTCCATTGCGAATTGTCTGCAGCTTCGGGAGATTGACCTCCTATAATTGAGGCATAAAACGCTACTATTTTCAACTCACGATCAGATCGTCATTCTGGAAAACAATCAACGAATACATCATGATCATCTCGTTACCACCAATCACCCGAAGATTTGGAAATATCCGGCTGAGCGTTCGTAGGGAGCTGAAGGAAAAGAAGTCGTGTTGACAAGGTCCTACTTACCCGACTTGGAAGATCATCAAATATCCGGTGATTTCACGCAAATTCTTGAAGACGATAAAATCGCTGGCTGACGTATTGGAGGGCATCATTGTGATGGAAAGTGAACCCTCGATAATTGTGCAGTTTTGTCTGGAATATATTACAATATATCTACTGAGATATGAACTTACAGGTTTGGGAAATCATAGACTCGATCACCCCTTCGGTCGAACACTCGCTTTGGTTGATTGCGAATGTCGATTTTTGGGCATCGGAATTCTTCGATGGGGGATACCTAATAGAAAATTATTTTAGATCATTAATAGGTAATCAAGATCCGCTGGGAATATTAAAATTTGAATTCACCTCGCTGAAGAGCTGGCAGAAGATAAATAAGAAAGTTGCATAAGTGGAAAGGCGCCGGCGCCGTTTTGGGCGATGGCCCACGAGTCTGTCCAAAACAATCATCGTCTCATAGCAGAAGGGCGGACAGCTGGAAAATTGCAAATTCTAACAATATATCTCAGGAATTCGCACAAAAATGTAATCGTTGAAACAAACGGTTCCTTTAAAATCGCGGCTTCATACCGTATTCCGAAAAAACACAGGGTCTAGGGGTCACGAGAAATGGGCCGGAAAGCCATTTCCTTTTCCCTCTTCAAAAACATCCATCATCTCCGGCAAAAACATCAAAACGGCTCGAAATCAGAAAAATCGATTTGACGATGCGAGCAGGTCACAGGGGCACCGACTGGTCAATGTGAAAAATGTTAAAAATAAGCGTGACTTGCGAAATGGGAAGATGATGGGGTCAGGCTATAAATTGTTGGGAAGGAAAGGGAATGAAGGAAAGACGAGCAGGAAAGAGGGGGGGGAGAATGCTCCCTGGATGGCGGTGGATATGTTTTCTTAGGTTTTTAGACCCAAGCTGTCGATGTGTTGGCGATCCAAAGGAGGAGGGCGGGGATCGGGAGGGGGGGGGGCATAATCTGGTGTGAAAATCTGCCTTTTTCGGAACAACGCCTCAACTAAAGGTGGGTAAACACGAGGCCTCCATCGTATTGAGGAATAGGGGAGAAACATTTAATTAAGGGAACGGCGGCGCTAAGGTAGAAAAAGTCCGCAACGCAACATTGGAAGGGGGTCTCGAAGAATCAAAATGGAAACGTGAAAATAGGCTTTTAAGTTTATTTTAAGAAGTGTAGAAATCGACCCTTCAATTAAAGCCCCCGCTCCTTCCTCCCTATCATTCTCCAAGTCCAATTCGGACCGAAACTATTTCAAGCCAAGTGGCACCGAAAATAACAGGAAAAGGTAGTTTTTGTAAAAGCTTGATCTCTCACTAATAAACCCTTCCAGATATCCAACCAAAAGCCGCGCGATTTTTTGCCCCTTCCCCACCCCGTGAACATCGTGGTAAACAAGGTCGGAAGGCGAGTGCCGGTGAGGTGGGCAAAAAGAGGGGCCCCTATGGGCCACTCCTCTCCTACACGCATTTCCAATTAAGGGGATGGGTCCGAGACGGATAGGTTGGGTCGGTGAGACGGGACCCCCAGCAAAAAGGCGGCCTGATAAAATTTGAATGACAGCTGTTTTTCTTCCCGGAGTCAAGGCTTATCGGGTGCAAGAAGAATTCCTGTTGGCCTTGTCTCCAGGGTCTCGCAACGTTTGATTTGACAGCAGGAACATGAAAGTTAAAAATGAGGCCCTGATTGAGATTAGTTTAATGTGTTCTGGTCGGTAATCGAATAAAAATCTTGAATAGAAAAAAATTTGCAATTATTCCCTGCCCCGGAGAAACTAGCCGTTCCATACTACATATCAATTTATTTTTTCCCCCAGAAAATAACAAGAGCGCAAATAGCCCCCAGATACCCAAACCAATTTGAGAACCCCTGCGAAAACCGGCAAAAAGTCTGGATTTTCAGGGGAATGAACAGAGCTCAAGTACCATCCGCGTCATCCGGAAGGGAACGGGCTACTCGCCGTTCCAAATAACGCAAAAAGCAGAAAAAGAAACCCCGGACCGCCACGTGACTGTAGAGGAACGAGAAAGAAATGTCGCGAAATAATTTGGAGGAACAGGTCGGCAACAACGATCGCTCGATCCAACGACGAAAATAGATAAATCCCCGAACGGTTTTATAGCTTTTTCATGGCGACTCGAAAAGGTTTCTATCGATGGAAGAAGCGGGGGAGGTTAGAGAGAAACCGTCGGATTGATTTTTGCTTTAAAAGCCCTTTGAAAATTTCAGAACTTTTTAGCACAAAAGACGGCTACGGTAGCTTTGTATTGACATTCCCCTGAAAGTGCTTAAAGCCTTTAAAAAATCGATAAACACTCCATTTTTGAAAATTGAAATTTGCAATAACAAGTGGTGGGAGGGCTTTCCGGTCGGGAGGCCGGCCTAGAGTGGCGGAAATTGGTGGCGGGATTAGAGGGCCTCCCCCCAATATCTGGATAACCCGGTGAGGTGAATACAAATGAAATTCTCCGGATTCGTTGCCCCGCCAACCCAATGTCTGACCGTTCGTATCGAGAAGAAGAAGAAGAAGAAGAAAGTGAATATCCAGTGCTCGGCCCCATGGATTAAGGAGATTTTTTGGGTCGTGCGGATAGGGATAAGCCAGGCGAATGTTCCCTCGAAAACAGTCATCTCTTCAAGCTGACAATTTTCTGGTGATGATGACCACGTTGAGATTAGAAAATCAGATTTGTAGGCAGGCAACCGGGACTCGATATGGCCCGGCAAGGAAGGGTCCAGCTACCGTAATTTTTCGCCCAAAAAGTGACAAAAGTAGGGGCGAAGGAAGGGAGTGGCTTTGATTCAGAATGAAAAGCAATTATGTTTGTATTGGGTCAGTCATAGAGTATAACACAATTTTATAGAGAGTGGTAAATCGAGCCAAGAGAGAATGGGCACAAAATAAACGTATAGTCACTTTAAAGTATGACACTACATAATCCTATCCTAATTTTCTAGAAAAGTCATCGTGTAACATATCATTAGCTATTTTTTTAATTAAAGAGGTGCGCAGGCAGCTGTGCGACGCCGCGCCAATGCAATATCGATTACCACTTATGATCATCGTAAAAGGGGGGTGATCTGCTGATCACCTATTGGTAGGAAGTAACTGGCAACAAAATGGTGTTAATTTCTGTATAATGCCTTAATAAATATTAATCCTTAATAAGGAAGCAGACGCCATTTAATATGGTCAATGTCGAAACGGACATGAGAAGGTAGGGTGAAAGAAACGTCGCCTCATGACTGTAAAATATGAGGCAGTCTAGTCATCACAAGAGGGTCTCTCCTGCCTGAATTCGAAAAACGGGAGGGGAGAATAACAAAATGGAGGCCATGGCCGTGGCTAATCGCTGTGAGGATCTTGGAACAAGAAGGAGGCGAATTCTCGAATCCGAAAAGAGGTGTGTCAACGACATAAATTTAACGTAAGGAAAATCCTATAACTGCCAATTGAATCTAAATGCCGTCTAGTAATAATATTCCATGTGAATCTCGACGAAGAACAACCATAATTCTCTAGATCTAAATTCCATACCTCGCCACACTAATAAGAGCAGATCGCCATGACCGGAAACCCCAAAATCTTGCCCGCCCACCGTAACCAAAACTTTTTCGATATTTGCGCGGAGGAACGGTTAATCCGGCTCCGGGGACAAATCCCAATCTAGACCTTGTCTTGACGTGTGCAAGGGATTAACAGGGTTTTCTACATAAAAAGAGGGGGAGAAGATGTAGAGGAGGGACGGGATATGGATGAGATATGAATAATGGGAGGGTAGAGGGTCCATGGCTCTTGGGAACAACAGGTCTCTTCTCCTTCTTTCTGTGGGTTATGTGACTACGATCTCGGGATTAATCCGAGGGGCCGAAAAATTGTATTAATTAGGAGTTGGCCGGGAAGGGGGTTGGGTGGCTGCGGGATTATCGCGGTTCAGCGGTAGCAAATGGAGATTCAGATATTTGGGATAGAATCTTGCAGCCAGGGGAGATTTTATAGTTAAGGCTTGAAGGGTTTTATGAAATTTATGTTGATAAAAATGGGCAATGAAGTCAGGTTTAGTTTTTGACGTTAGAGAGTTTCAAATACATAAAACACATGCAAAATGCATCAAAAATTTCAGAAATAGCGAGACACGATGCTAATAACATCTCGCCTGGACTACAGCCGTTTGTGAGGCCACGTGCCTAACTCGGCACACAGTTTATGCGATCCGTCATCGCCCCAAACAGGAGGCTGGCAATAATTGCGGCTCAATCCGAAACATCTGTCCCACCCGGGTACCAGTCGATTAGGCCATGCAAAAACAGATGGTTAACTTTAAATAGAAATGCCGTGAGGAAAGAGCCGGGAAATTCGGAACACGGATAAACGATGGAAGGTTGGATCATTCCGAGGCTCGGGAAAAGCTAATTTGCAACTGTTTTGATAAACATTTTAATAGAAATGGCATAAAATAGAGCAATCCAAAATTTGAAGTTTTTTCAACATTCTAAGTACTGGTTTGAGTCTATAGAATCCTCAAGATGTTATAATCGGATCGCTCAACAAAGCAAGCATATCATATTCAAATTCATGTAATTCTTCTTGCAAAGTCTCCGAAAGACATTTCTTCAGAAGATACAGAGTTACTATATCCACTTGCGTAAAGCAGACATCGAAATAGCAGGTTGTTATTGAGCACCGAGCAATGAATATCCCAAAAAGATAGCTAAGATATTCTCAAAAGCCTCCTCCAAAAACTGGAAATTGATGGCAGCTGATCACTCAATTTGCGCCGCACCCCCCAAGATGATAAGCTTATAGCCTGAGGGCTGAAAAGGCTAGTCTCGAGTCGAAATAGGTTGCACTAGAATAACGGGCCGCTGACGCGACCGCAACGCAGGGAGACTCTCCACGGACCACACACACCCTCCCCCAACCCATCGCAGCCTCGGCCCAGCACAAACAAACAACAACATGTGGATGGGAAAAGGGGCACATCCCCCGTATGTCTCTCTCTCTCACTTCTCTTGCTCTCTTTTTCTCTAGCTTGACCCAGTCTCTCCCTTTGTGCCATCTTCTCAAAAGCCCACTTGGCACGTTTGGAAAAAGTGGAGACAGTTGCGATTTGGCCCACAGCAACAAGGTAAGAGCAAAGGGTGCCGCATGGTTAACACAAAAAAAAACTGAGAACAGAAACGGTGTGTTTTGATGATCTTGGTCATAGATCGGTTAAAAGGGACTGAGGCGCGCAGCGGACTCGCCGGAAATTAAGGTAATTCGCAGGAAATCTCTACTGAAATATGATCTAAGTAATGCTGCATTCTCTAAAACCAAAGAATCATAAAGCAATCAATCACGGCAACACGAAAGACTGTTTCTTTTAACAAATTTTCAGCGTTCTCCCCACGAAAAAAAATTGAAATCGCTTGTCCTTCCCCGGTTTTATTGGCTACCGCGACACTCGTTGGATGCTTCTTTTCCTAACAAAGAGGGTGATCGGAATGTTTATAGAAATTATTTTAATTTTGTCAACATCTACTTCTAACCAGGAGACGTTTTTTAACGTCTACGGTTCAAAACGGGATAAAGTCTTTTTGTGCGGAATTTTCCGCTGAACTAAACCCCATTTTTAGAATCGGCGAAACCACGGAAATCAGAAAGTTATGACGTTTTAAATGGCGAAAAACGCGGAAAGTTCGCCATTTTGGCATTTTTCACGCTTTAACCAATCTGTGCAGTGATCGACGACGAAAAATAGCCGTTTAAGCACTACTACACTGTACATATCGTCTCCACCATCATCACATTCGTAGTCGGATCGGATGGAATGTAGTAACCTTGGAACAATCACGAGTGTTGCAAACAATCAGTTATAAAAATTGCGCACAGCTCTTTCTTGCCGAAATGGGAAAGAAACCCTTTGTCCCTTTTATCATTTGACTTCCGTTGAATCCTAATTACTCCCCTGCAACCGGGCCCAGCCGATTTCCACAGCGAAAATTTTGTGTTTTTGTACAAATAGCCATCTCGGGGCCATTCCCCCACCTAATGCCGTATCTTTTAGATGAAAATACATTTCCTGAGCTTCTATGAGTGGAGCGGTTGCATGCAAATACACATACACTCTTCAAGCAGGACTGACTATTTACATCTCGTAGTACAGCTTCGACCGAAAAATATTTTGGGCGATGATTGGGTTTTGGGCTTACTAAGACTACTACTAAATTTAGTATCTTTTGGACCTCTCACAATTGTTATAGAGCGTTGCTAAAGGTATGCGGCGGCCAGGATAGCCTTGATCACGCTTTGGCGTATATTCCTGCCGACAGCCACCGGCGTAGTATGACAATTGTCACTAGCTACAAATTTCGATGGGCGCTAATGCAGTTAGGGTGGGGGGTCCGAAATTGGTAGTAAGGGGTTACGAGGCGCTCCGCTTAAGCTACTTAGTTTTCAGCTTAAGTCTATGCTTGACTTAGCTTTAACTATGCCTGGCTTATGCTTAGGCTTAAGCTTAAGCTCAAGCTTAGCTTAGCTTGAGCTTCACATTGCCTTACGAGGTCAAAATGGGGTCATTTAAGCTGAGGCTTCGTTTGTATGAAGCTAAGCCTAGGCTTCGGCTTAGCTTAGTTTTCTAGAGGCTTCGAGTTTTAAAAACGGCATTTGGAGCGTCTTGTTGTCAACATCTGGACAGCCCCCCCTAACTGCACCTCCGATTTTATCAAAATATTTGGATTGACATGACTAAATATCGAAACATACATTCATCACCTGGTGCCCTATGTAGCTATCGGGATCTCAGAGATGCTGGAAATTAAATAATTAATTTTCAGCTTTTTCGCAAATGTGGCTTTTTGCATGATCCCCATCCCAAATTAGGTATTGACCCGATTTTCAGGGCATTCTATTGAGTAGTTCTTTAGAGCAATTTCCCAGGTCTTCAGCTTCAAAGCCCATTTAAACCGCAAAAAATTAAACTTTTAAACTTTCAAAAGTATACCGCTCTACTAATTCTAAGGCCCGACTTTTAAAAACTGCTTCAAAAACCCAGGGTCGAAAAACTGGGCCAAGCCATAGTGGGGACTGTTCGGATCCCTCAAAAACGGCCTTTTAACATTTCTTCCTCGTAACTTCCGAACTTAAAGACTACCAGAACGATGGAACGCACACTGTCACCCCGAGGGTGCTGCCCCCAAGAACGCGCGGAGAGATGCGTCATTAGTGGTGCCCCGTACTGGGCAAAGGCCCTCTGGGGTTTGGGGCGTCTCTGACTCCCTTCCCCACTTGGCCCTGTGGTGTAGTGGCTAGCGCGTCGGACTGTGGAGCGAACCGTCGTGGGTTCGACTCCCGCCCGGTGCGCAACTTTCTTGCTCTCAACGGAATTTCATCGTTCTGACGGTCTTTAAAGTCTAAGTTCTTTCTCTGACTTCCACGGGCCCAAATTTAAATGCTGATGCGGAAATGGGTGGTCAGAATCCCGCTCTCGACAATGGGCCAAAGTACAGTGGCCGGACTGGAGGGGGAGGACTGTAAGGGGGGGCAAATGTATCTCACGCCACTCTGCTCAATGCCCGCTTGTCCTTATCAATTTGTCCATTCTCTACTCCTTGCTTCGCCCGCCCCCCCCGCCCATTGCAATTTAGACTGACAAATTTTTTTTGGCAAAAAATGGGACGGCTGCCATGTCGGGAACGGCCGGTCGGCAGTCTTTTTGGGGGTAGACGGACGAGCTGGCTTCGTTTGGTATTAGATGGGGGTATTTTATGTGTAGTTGGATAGTTAAGCTTCCAGATTTTCTAGATGGTCAACTATCGGTAACTGAAATTTCTGGAATAGGTGCTTTGGATTTATTTCATGCTCCAGTCATCAGAATTAAGTTATTATAAAGTTGAAAGTTTTATAAAACTCGTTTTCACGTGTTTAAAAGCTACGGTAGTTTCCCGTACGTTTCCGTACTTGTAGCTGTTTTGTATGTGAATCGCTTCATTTATAGGCGGGCAAAAACTTATGTTACTAGTACAGTAGTTCCTTATTATAAAAATTAACAAAACCCGCAAAGGCAAAGATTAAAACGGTCTACACAAAAGTCACAAACCTGTAAGTCTCAATTCTCTTGTTGAAAACTCATATTACTTAATTAAATCACACCTTTAATTTTTATACCTTGTACTTCAACCCCCTCTACCTCGTGAGACTTATCAGAAAAAAATTGCTGATTCAAACCCATATTTCATATCCGCCTCCGACCGTCCCGAGGATCCGGTAACCCGCGAAAATATCATCCCCGCTCCCAAACCTCGCCATAAATTCCACCCAGCCATAAAAAGTATGTTGGCCACTGCTCCGTCGCCTCCGCCTCCCCCCCTCCCAGAATTCTGATTAGATGGCAACCCGACTTTTACAGTCTCCATGTTATTTCATAAAAAAAACTTTACGAGGCTATGGCACCTTCCCGGGGTCAATGGGCAAACCCCTACTGAATTTTTCAAAACTAAAAATATTCCTGGTGTTCGAACCTCGTCCAGCCACTATCCCACGGCAAATTAAGAAATATGCAATATTCATCAACCCGTTCCTTCAGACATCTTTCAGTTTTGCATCGTCTGTTTCTTGTCGATTTTTGAGGATAAGAATAGATACAGATTTTTGCAGCCCATTGAGTGATACCAAGTTCTTATCAGTCGTTCAAGTCCTAGCACTTTCTGTGGTACTCAAACGTATTAGTTTACGATGCCCTGGATTTCCACCTTGCCTGCAAATTTTTACTGTTTATCCGATCAAGGTTTTAAATTTAAAACTTCGAGGGACATTTAACATTGTATATTAATCCTCTTAAATGTATCATAGATCTGTTTGAACTTAAACCACCAAGATCGTGCTTGCTAGGCGATTCATCCGAATTCAACGAATTTTCTAGAAAAATGATGTTTTCGTAAAATAGCATAAAGACAAAATATTATTTCTTTGCCTCAGCCCATCGGAGCAGTGCTAGCTTGAATTTAGAACAAATCCGGCTCAGTCTTTATTTATCCCTCTAATAAATATTTTCGAGCTAATCCCATTAATTAGATTATTATCTTCTAAAGCTTTTTGAGCCAATCCCACTATTTAAACGTTAGCTTCCCAAATTAATCTAAATTATCTTAACTAACATCAGATATTTTAATTTCTTTTCCTGAGAGTCGTTGAACTATGCTATTGTAAGATTTGCTTTTACGATTAAAAGATTCAGTTAACAGTTAAAAGGTTCCCTTTATAAAAATTTTCTAGTTTGCCCCTATACTGTGCAAAACTCAGGAGATTAACACGAATGAGGGTATTCTTTGCTTTTTGAGTTGAGGGGGCTAAAGGGGTCGGGCCGAACCCCGGCGATTCTTTGGCTGATGAGAGGGCGGATATGATAAGAAACGGAAAGTCTTTTGGAAAGCGGGTGGTTGGGGGAAGGAAGGAGGAGACGAAGGAAGAAGAGTTGTGATAGGGCTGCCATTCCACCAACATTCATTTGGACCCTCGCTCCTTTTTGGGTGGGGGGTTGGGTATGACAAATGGGTCGAACAGTCTCGGCGGCTTGGGCGGTCCGAATTCTTGGCGCCGTTTTTAGGGATTTGCCAATTTGATTCACAGTTTACACAGTTTGCGTGGTGGTGCCATTTTTGTGTAGATGATCATCTAAATTTTTTTGCTAGTCTGTTCTTCGAGGTTTCATTTTAAAGGAGCTTGTAAGTCGGACCATATAGACCATGTTTTAACGATCCGGTTTTCTATATTTTTAATATGTCGTGACTGTGTTTAATAATATTAATATAATGACTTGTTTTTGGGTAAACATGTGGAACCAATTCGGACCGGTAGAAGGGACTGTCTACGCCGTCATGGGAGCGACACTCGTCGTTTTCTATACGATGTGGAGGAAGAAGAAGGCAATCGAGGCACCAAAAGGAGCGTCTCGAAACCATCAATCACTGGAGTTAAAGGTATCATTTGGCCCTCTACGATTTCTTACAATATTCTTAATCTTTGCGTTTACTGTCAAAATAATACTTTATCGAAAAATTTACAAGTCCTTTTCTCCAGTTGAACTGGGACCAACAGTCCATCGAATTGGCGGTGAGTTTCAAATTTCACGCCTCGTTTTTTATTTGGAAGTGTGTGATGAAGTGGCCCGATATTTTCTGGATCGCTAATCGCTTGCTTCGGTTTTTCACTTCCATTTTGGCCTCTCTACTATCGCTCCTACTGATCCCTAAAAAACAAAATATGTTATTTAGAAGCAACCCGGAGTGTTCAAATGCGGCTATCTTCTTGATGACAATGTTGATACCGTCGAGACGGCTTATCCGGAAGTGAAGACACTTTATGATGTCTTCCTCAGGGGCATTGATGTAAGTCGAATATTTTGGGGGCTTGAACATGGAAATACATACTTATGAGTTTTCAAAAAAGCCCAGTTTCCTTTGCCATAAAAAATCTAAAAAATTAATTGGGTCAAAGTCCACGACCCTGAGCCACCCCACCCGCGCAAAAAGAAACAAGAGCGTATCTTTTTTGTGGATAGCCAACGTCTCGGCTCACCAGGGCGGGCAACGGATGATCACCGCGCAAATTACCCCACACCCGTATCGTTTTCTAATTGCATACTTTTGGAAAAAAGGAGAGATGGCTAGTGGGAACTATTTGGAAGGGTTAGGGATATGGATTGAGTGGCGATTTCGAAACAGAGATGCTCTTATAATGCGTCCAAAAAACTAAATTAACATGGTCAGCTTGCGTAAAATTGCCTTTTTGATGAGGTTTTAGCGTAAAAAAGCAAAGCTAAACTATTTAGCCTAAAAAAAACACAAAAAACTGGAGTTTTTTGGATTTTCCAGAGCATGCTATTGATACCAAAATCGTCCAAATCAGACGGTTCTCCGGATACTTTTTTATAACACTCAGCAGTTTTCTTTTAATTTAGAAATCCGAAAATGGTGACTGCTTGGGTCGTCGTAACGGCGAAGACCCTTACGACTGGGTCTCGTATTCTGATGTCTTCCGTCAATCTCGTGACATCGGTGCGGCCCTGATCACGCGACTTGGCCTAAAACCTGGTTAGTTCTCCTTCCCTGCTCCAACAAGAAAAAACCAAAATACGCAACATAGCGATCACCACCATGGCCCCTTCTCCCAAAGACTAATCCATTGAGGCAACGCCACTTCGTAATAGCTTTCCATCAACATTCCACAGTTTTTGCGTAGTTTTCGCGGGCGTTGCGATAAGCCGTGCGCTTCACAGCTCAGTTTGTGAAAGCCGGCTTATAAGCCTGAAGGGACTGATTGACAGCCCCCCGTTTTTATCGCCAAATTTGCTCTACCCCGTCAGCGGCTTCTCGTGTCCGGGTGAACCACGTGCTTAGTTTTAGCGAAAAGCAGGCAGGACGACGCAAATTAGGGGCGAACAAAATAAATCATGTGTTTTCAGGAAATACGACAAACGTCGGTGTTTATGCGAGGAACAGTCCGGAATGGTTTGTGACGGCTCTTGGATGTATTCAGCATTCTCTCGTCGTCGTGCCATTGTACGATACACTTGGGGCTGAAGCGGCTGATTATATCATTCAACAAGCTGATATCGAGTGAGTACACTACCATTGAAGCATGCGGCATTATTGTGGAGCAAGATGGTTTTATTAAAGTTAAATCAAAACCGTTAAAACATCTGTAAAATTGAATAATTCTTGTGTTTTATTCAAACCTCCCAATTCTTGCATGCAAACATCAAAATCTGCATATTTATTATGTTTCTGTGCTGTCGAAAAAACTCTTTTCCCTAATTTGCATGAGAAAACTGGTCATGTAAATTAGCCCCGGAAGTTTAATCAACTAATAAGCTTTAAAGATGATTTTATTCGACTAAAAGTTGAATAACACCAGCTATCATCGAAAATAACGAAATTGATAATTAGTTTAATTGCAGCATTTTAGAGTAATCTTTGTCGACAATCTCGACAAGGTGAAGAAGCTTGGAGGTACCAGCGACAAGATCCCGACATTGAAGCACGTTATCGTTATCGATAACATCAGCCCCGATGATCTACCCAAGGTAAGAAAATTTTCACAACCTATTAATTCCTTAAATTCATATGCAAATTAGGAAATTATGCGTCTGATTTTAGGACACCGGCTTCGAAATCCACACCTTTGCTGAGGTGCTCAACTACGGCCAGCAGAACCCGCAAAAAATGCATCTCCCAACCAAGGAGGATACCTATATCATCTGGTAAGTATCATTTTCCAATTCAAATATAAACCTTACCCCACTTCAGCTACACTTCCGGAACGACTGGAACGCCGAAGGGTGTCGTCCTGTCCCACAAAAATGTCGTCGCCAACTTGGCTGCGTTTGAGCTGCTCGTCGCCAACTTCTTGGATCAGAAGATCGGAAAGGGAGATGTAAGTTAAAAATCAAAAAATTTAAAAATGTTTTTTGGTGTGATAACAATTCTTTTCAGACGATCATTTCCTACTTACCTCTTTCGCATATGTTCGAACAGATGTGCCATTGGTCAATGATCCAGGCTGGAGCCCGCATTGGATATTTCAGGTTTGTTAATAATAATAAGAATAACATCTAAAGGATAAAAGAAAATCATAATAAATAAAGTTTTATGGCAATCTCTGTTCAGGGGAAATATTTTGGGCCTCAATCAAGATCTTCAAGCCCTCCGCCCCACCGTATTCCCGGTTGTCCCACGTCTATTGAATAGATTCTACGATGCTATCCAGGTAAAAGGATCTCTTTGATTCTTCTTATCAAAATTTAGGGTCAACTTCGGAAAGCCGGCCCTGTTCAACGTGCCGTCTTCAACTTTGCATATGCCAGAAAGCTGGCTATGCTGAAGAAGGGTATCTGCACCACTGAAACCGTCTGGGATACGCTTGTCTTCAAGAAGATCCAAGTATTGCTGAAAGTCCAAATTTAACCAATACTTTTAGGACCAAATGGGAGGTCAAGTTCGTCTGATGGCCACCGGATCTGCGCCAATCTCGGCTGAGGTTTTGGAGACTTGCCGTGTCGCTCTTGGAGCCACGATTTTCGAGGGTAATTTGTAAATATTGGTTTGAAAGCCCGATCTTGTTAGGTTACGGCCAAACAGAATGCACAGCGTTGGCCACGAATACCTGGCCTGGAGAATTCGAGGGCGGACATACCGGAGGCCCCGCACCATGCACACTCATTAAACTCGAAGATGTCCCAGAATTGAATTATTTTGCTGCCGAAAGGAAGGGAGAGGTACGGTCGCCATTAAAATAGAATTGCCGCTTTTTAGATTCTGATCAAGGGCCCTCATGTTACCTCTGGATATTACAAAGAACCCGAAAAGACGGCCGAAATTATTGATGCTGATGGTAAATTTTAGTCGTCGAGTGAAATATTTGTTAATCAGGTTTCTTGCACACTGGTGATATTGGATACCTCCAGCCAAATGGTACCCTAAAAATTATCGACCGCAAGAAGCATATCTTCAAGCTTGCCCAGGTTGGGATTATATTCAGAAAGAAAGAGCTTTTATATTCAAATAACAGCTAATTTTAATTGATGGCGATTAAATGTCGTTTAGGGAGAATACGTGGCTCCTGAGAAAATCGAAAATATCTACACTCGAGCGCCGAGCGTACAGCAGGTGTTTGTCGATGGTGACAGCTTGGAGCGGTTTGGCATCATATAAAAAATTGAGCTTTTTAATGTAGTTATTTGATCGCTGTTGTCGTTCCGGAGACGAAGCCGCTGGTGGAATGGGACGGAAAGAAAAGGTCGATCCAGGAGATCTGCAAAGACCCGAAAGCCGCCGAATATGTGCTCCAGGAGCTTGTGCGGATCGGAAAGGAAAACAAGTTAAACTCGATTGAGCAGGTAAGGCATATGATTTAATTTAACGAAAACCAGAAAACGCTATAAGCTAATTCTTGTCTTAATTAATTGATTTTCCTAGGTGAAACACGTCATCTTGGAAGCCGATCCATTCTCTGTGGAAAATGGTCTTCTCACCCCCACCCTCAAAGCAAAACGACCCCAACTCCGGCTCAAATATTTCGACACAATGAAAGAGATCTACAAGAACAACCCCAATTAAGATATCATTATTTATTCCTATCTTCCATTCCTGTTAGTTCAAACCTTTAGCCCACTTAAACCCAAATTTCTATATATCTCTCTGACCCCTCAACTCACTACAGAATTTTATGGCTTTAGCAGCTCACGCTAGGAAATGAGTGCTGATTTGCAGACACGGTACCAACAAAAAAGTGACTTTCCATTTCTTTCCACTTTATTGCAAGATAATGAACACCATCAGCATATGCTAATGTTTTTGCCAGCTTTTCTAAAATACGACCGGTTGTTGGCTTTTCTCTTTGTTATTCGATGCGAGGTAATGCTAGTCGCTTTGCACGAGTTGTTTCCCATTTCTAAAATACGCTCCCTTCTTCCCATACAATCCCAAATGATAATGATGTTATTGCCCGTCAGTTCTCCACACATTATCTCTGTGAGTATGTATTTTGATATCGTTTCTTGAAAATAAATATATTGCCATTGAACAAATGGGAAGTTTTAGGGGAATACTAAATTTATTTTTTTTTCGTAAAATCAATAACAAATCTTACGCGGCTATTTACTTAATGACTCAATTAATACACACGAATCAAAACCGTCCGACAATTTCTTATCACAGGCTTTCGCTCCTATCCCTTTTACTTGGCCTCCCGAAAAACAAAAAGTTATTTGGCATAAACTCTTGCCCTCCAAAATTGGGCTATCTAATTTATACTGATTCGACGATTTCATTTCCACACAATTTCTAAATTTTTTTCAGTGAAGATGGTCTTGTGTTTGGAGCAACGGAATAAGGTATGAAATTTAAGCTGAAATAATCACTAGGAATATATAAGTATACCCATTGAGTATCCACAAAATTCATATTAGATTTCAGTACCAAACACCAACTAAATAAATCATCAAATTTGTTTAGCCAAAAGTATGGATGAACCTTCAAGCCCTTGTCTATATGCTTTGCCTTGTCTTCCACGTAACCTGTATTTTTGCTGATTTTGTGGTTAGTTGTTGCAGGTAGTGTAATCATTAAGTTTCGAAAGAACACGTCACGGCGCTCGGAATTTTATGGGGTTTATTAGCGCCCTCTTGGATGGCTTTTAATTTTTGGATCAGCGGGAAGCCCGATTATCGTTATTATATTACGGCGGTATGTTTTTATTGGATATTTACTTGCTGAATTCAGTTGATTTCAAAGGGTATTACTAGCTGTTCTAATCCTATGGTATGCTATTATAGGGACTCACTACCTGCGGGATCGCAACTCTCGAATTACGGGTCATAGGCGAATTATGGGAGCATTGCACAGAGCCAAATCACAATTCTTCGACAAAATGTTCGAATAATCATGGCCCAAGTAAGATTATCGACCACAAAAACTATCAATATTTAGGTACCCATTTCCGGGTACATATCGCTGATGTGCTGACTTTAATTTTCGGGGTCGCCGTTTGTTATTTTGTATGGAAATGGAATCAAAATACGAGAACTAATGACGCACCGGCTGAAGTACCTTTGAGAAATAATCGAGTTGCCGAAGAGGATACTTACGGCCGGAGACCTAGTGCTCCTCCCGACTACTACTCAGATTGCCGTGTTTAGTCGTGGTTTCTTTTCTAGTCAGTTACTATTGCCATTAATCTGCTGATAAAAAGCTATAAACTACAAACATAGCTACAACGGTAGCTAGCTGAAAAACATCGCAAAAAACAAAGCTATTACAAACATATATTTCCGGTTCTAAATTTTTGCCGGTGCTGAGATTGTTAATTAAATATATTAGAGTAAAATTAATTTTAAATTTTACATTGTAGCGCTGCCGAGTTTTACATTTACATTTAATGCTTTTTTTATAAAGCGCACATCTGATGTTTATTTTCGGGCGTATTTAGACGCTGCCGGACTTTTCCGGGAAATGGAGGGCTGTGGTAAATGTGGGGAGAAAGCATTCCTCGCGGGGACCTACACTTGCGCTCCGTTGGTGGTCTTGACTAGGTGGTCCTCGTTTCGGTGTCTATACCACATTACCCATGGGCATACCCCAAGAAAAATCCAACATTTTCTTTCCTCAGCCTTTTCACCCGTCTTACGGCTTTCTATCTCTGCTAAATCAAATTTCTGAACGTCATAACGTGTGTTTGGCGGCTTCAGGGTGTTAATCCTTACGAAACCCGTTTTATTTCTAAACTTCGTTCATATTCTAGCCGCCGCACCAAATCCAAATGTCATAAACATCTCATCGACAATATCGGCCGCTGAAAATGTGCTTTTTCAAAATCCATAATATTTTTACCTTCAGACCCTGCTAACTGCACGACGCTCCGAATTACCGTATCCGTCATTAGCGATAAAAATCTGAATTTCTGATCTTAATGAGAATTTATGGGTAAATTATACCTTAAATTTTGTTCATTAATCATGTACAGCCCATCACAATACGTACAGTATTGTTTCACACCACGATGGCTCACTAAAAATTGTTTTTCAATGGCTGCCTATGTTTTCTATTCTAAAGTCACGAAGCCATAGAAGACTTCTTTCGTCTAGGTCTTTTGAAAATATACTCACACGTATCCGTAATGTACAACGTTGGAATTTTGAGATAGCGCTGATCGTGGAAATAGAACGATGAATGGTCAGCATACAAAAATGGGTGAAGGGCCTGGAGTCCCTCCATTGAACGGACCTCGTGAAGCGGAATCTATATTCCTATTTTGGTGGGCCAGGCTTGCAAGTAAGTACCTTTAATGGGAGTAGCCACGGTCGGAAGGCCCAGTCCGGGGCTATCATGGATGCAGCTCTAGTAAATGCCGCCACAAAGCTAAAAATCTTGCTGTAATCTGACCGTAAATAGGGCATGAGTAATAAAAAAGTGAAGATGTATTAGAATAGCTCACTTTTGCATCAATCCATCGTCCAACCCAGCCCTCCCAGTTACTTGCACAAAATCTCCCATATGCTTATGCAGCGACAGTTCACGAGCGGCGCCAGGGAAAAACTAAGCAAAGTTAACAGTGAAAGAACTAAAAAACCGTTTCAAATGATTGGGGCATCGATTGGGATGTAGGGAATGGATCAAAATGGGCAAGCCCATCCAAAATTAGTACAGCACTAATAGTTCCATTTGTCCGTCTCAACAATGGGATAACAATGTCGGAGACAAAAGCATGACTTCCGGCCAACCCCTGGAATGCGAAATTTGACTTTCTGTTTCTCCTTTTCTACCTGATATTTCATATCGAAAAGTGCATAAATAATTGTATATTGTCGTTGATATAATCGATCCAATGTTGCCAAGGTCCGTGCTGTTTCCAGAACAGCTGCCACTCCACTTCCATTATCATCAACACCTGTAGACCCATTTCGAAAGTTAGATGTTTTTTACCCACCTGGTGCCCCTTCGATAGTATCATAATTTGCGGCCACAATAACCGTTTGATCCTCTGGTGATCCATAAAAGGGACCGGCTTGAATCGAGATCACATTGTGACCAAGGGAAAGCTAGAGTCTCGTTATGCATGGTTACGATACAACAAATTATACCTTATCCTCAGCTGATACATAGCTATGTGTCATTGCCGCCAAGCCCATCCCAGAAAAAGCTTGTGTAATTTCTTCTCTTGTTCGCTTCTTTTCAAGCTCGGTAAATCTGAAAATTATGAGGGTTAATTAGTTTAGGGAAACGAATTTTGCTTTTCGGAAGTTAGAAAAGCTAAACAGGTTTTTTGCCGCCTACCTCGGCATGGACAAAAATCGTGATAGATCGTGTCTCATCCTGTCGACATCGGAAAGTTGTGCCAACGCGCTGATTGGTAATAGAAAAATTAGAAGCCGCATTGCGATGTTTTGTAGGCTTTAATTGACGCCTGGTATGAAATTCAGATTACAGTATTCCTTTTCGGCTTCGCAAAGGTAATTGCCTTGAAATGATGGTAGTTTCCGCTAGAATAATCCCCTAAGGCGGTCCGGGTCTAGTGTTTCGCTTCGGAATTGCCGAGGGATATGGCTTTGGCGCGGAATTGCGGCTTTCACGGTGCTGTTCTACCGCGGAAGGCATCCCCCCTCCGGGCGTGTCAACGCGCCGTCATCGGCGTCTTCCGCCCCCCCCCCCCTTTTCCAGCGAGACGAAGAAGGCCTATAGACAGATTGTTTGGCCCCGTGTCTTTTCACGCGTTGAGAAGAATGTCCAATGTCTATTTGAAAACAGTGTTTGCACCTTTCCTCCCACCCTCGGCCACTTGTTAGTGTCCACCCCCTAAGGGGGGTGAAGGGGCATCCAAGATGGTTTTTGTTGTGTGGCTGCAAGCTTTGCTGGCTTTGAGAGGGGATGTTGGCTAAAGGGTAGGCTTGGTCAAGCATCACAAAAGTGCGGGGAACATTGGAGGAGGGCTGAAAATAGGACTACCGTATTTTCGGGGTAACAGTGCAGTGCAAGCCTAAATTCTACCCCGAAATTTTGTACCATAGTACGTCGATAGGTGTATACGTACCAACTCTTTATAGATTTCTCACGCTCATGAAACTAAATGCGCCAGACCGTTGCTTAATTCTTTATAGGATGGGCGTACAGTAGTCAAGCGACATGCGCGTTGCGTGTCTGTGCATGCAGCGAGTCCAAGAGAGTCCAGACTTGCCCACTCCTTTAATGGAAGCGAGGATCCCTTTTCCGTCCAAAGAATACGGGCATTAACGACGCCTACGGATTCAAAAATACCTCTCAATTTCCCGTTGTATTTATATGTTAGGGTTGAATTTTAAATGCTTTTATTGACTAGGTTACAATTTAATGGTACAAGCGCGATGATTCTTTTGTCAGCTTAGCGGCGAGCATGGTATTCCTGATGCTCATCATAGTGGGGCTGGTGCTGCTCATAGTGGTTATCTGAAAGCAGAGGCTTATTCAAGATCCATTTTTTTAATCCCCAATTTTGGCGTAAATCTTGGACAAACCATGGCCATAATGGGGCTGATAGTGGCTTTTATGATGAGGCTCATAGTGAGGCTGGTAGTGAGGCTGGTAGTGAGGCTGGTAGTGAGGCTGATAATGTTGTTGATAGTGGGGCTGGTAGTGGGACTGGTAGTAGGGCTGGTAGTGAGGCTCGTAGTACTTATGCTCGTATCCACCCCACACGTGTTTAGCCCCCGGGTATCCCTGAATTATTATCATTTCGTGGAAATTTAATGGGATGTATACCTCAGATTTATAGGCGCCTCGAGTTCCCTCATAGCCCGGATACTTCTCGTAGCCGTAACCTGGAAGATTGAGAAGATTCACTTTGCTTATTCTGTTTGCTTGGAGTCTGGTTGATTATTTTGCTTAAAGATTCGGTAGATAATTAAATTCCAAACAATGTTTCTATCGATTTTGCGCCTTTCGGGTTACTTAAAACCTGCTGCACCTACCGTAATGTTGGGCCAGGGCAACGCCGAAGACAGCGGAGAGAAGGAGAATGGAGTTGATGCGATTCATTTCTGATGCCACTCCTCCCACCGGCAGCTCTCTTATACTCACCGCTGACCCATTTTATGAATGGACGACCGCAGCTTGTCGAAAAAACACAATGGCACGAGGTGCGGCTCTCTTTAGCGCACTGGTGAGAAGATGGTTGGAATTCCGTGCGATGACCCTCACAACGTCCGAGTTCATTATCCTACAGGATGCTATTGTGCACCTGGCCCTTCTGAACTATGAGTGCTAAGTGAAAAACACGAAGAGGACGAAGATTGTGGTATACGTTCCAGCCTTATCGCTCGAAGACTTTTCCTTAATTTCGTTTACCCGTAACCATCTTTATCAAAAACCTGAACCAGATTTATGAAGTATTGCCTCACATCTGCCGCTTCCCAAACTATGTACCTTCTTTTTCCGCGCCCCTCCCCCCTCTCACCCACCCTTATCTCGCATTTCTACTTTTTGTAGTTTATCCATCTCTCTTCCCTCTCTCGAAATATCTCTTGACAACCCAGTTTCACCCGGGGTTGCACAATGAACCGATTAAACAAAAAAGCTGGCCATCGCACTCCGCGCACACCGCATTTTAAGGTATAAATCGTTAGCATAATTGCTCCTTTAGCCGTTTATGTCTAAGTTATTGTTACTTTCATCTAAATGAATATTTGGCCAGGAAGCAGTGTTGCACCAAGAAGTCATATATTAATTTTAGAGTCCTGAAACGAACAATGGATGCACAACATCCCCTAAATTTATGGGCCGGTCAAGGAATTGGTGATCATTACAGTGGCCTTACTCTGACTACACAGGTTATTACAACACCCCATGTATTCTTGTATACCTTAGGAATTTGACAATGCATCGATCATTGATTTTAAAACGCTGCTACCAAAAATGATAGAAGCCTGGCAAAGTCGGGAGCTGAGGACCATTTGGATAAAAGTTCTAAAAGAGGTTTTCTCTTAGCTTCTAAATATTATATCCTTTTAAAGCATACACAATTGATCCCGATTCTAATCGAGCAGAATTTCGAAATTCACCATGCACAGCCGTCCCACGTAATGTTGACGAAATACGTTGCGACGGAGGGGACAGCGAATCTGCCGAGGTGGTTGGGTTCAAATATAAAAGAAGTCCGTAAAACTGGAATTCTTTCGGCCTTGCTCAACGTTTAGGATCTATTTTTTTTCATCAATTTATGCTTTATAGCTACCCTTATACGCAAGTTGGCGTAGGCGGAATTGTTGTTGACGATGAAGGTCGATTCTTGATGATGCGTGAGCGGGAAGGTCCTTATCTGGGGTGGAAAATCCCTGGCGGATTGGCCGACCCGGGTGAAAGCCCCTTCATGGCTGCTGTACGAGAAGTGAACGAAGAAACATCAGTTGATGCTGAGCCCGTTTGCATTCTCGGCTTTCGGTAAGTTTGGAGATAATTAGCGATGCATCAACAGCATGTGACAGCAATCACTTCAGAAATAATAACGAAACATTCCAGGAATACGCAAAAGATCAAATTTGATATGGTCTCTGACATTTATTTTGTGGTTGCAATGCGCCCAAAATCTGGCGGCAATCACGACCCGAAAGCATGTCCTAAGGAAGCAAGCGCCGCCGCTTGGCTGACCAGGTCTTAGTTTGAATACTACCAATCCAAATTTTAGAGAAGAAATATGGGCATTAAAAGGGCCGACACATGCATCAGGTTTTCTTCGCGGTCTCATCACCGATTATGAAGCGTGGAAAGCAAGTGGGCATCCTGGAATAATTGGTACGTGCTAAAAATTGTATTGTTGAAAGCCATCGCAATCCTGTTTCATTTCTTAGGCTTAATTTAGAGACGAAAGGATCAAATCGACAGGGAAACGTCAGCTACACCTACAATTATGCCTATAGCAAGCCAGTCGATTGCAAAACTAAAGCATCCGCCGCCTCAAAAACTCGGCCAACACCAGGAGATGCAAACGAGAAAAAAGCCCCGGGTGTCGATATGAATAAGGCCAATTTGTAGGTCGCTTCCCATCCAGAAATCTGAACGGACACTCTGCCTACCATGTTGTTGAATAAATTGCACTGTTTACTTGATTCAAAAAACTTTATCGATCATGCAACGGAGCGTAGATTGGTTAAATATTCCCTGGAAGCGGGCAGTACGCGCCAACCTAACCAACATGTATGGAAAACGCACTGCCGGCACTGATAGACGTCGATTCTAAATGTAAAGCGCCGTTAGCATACTTTACTACTTACTTTTCAATTGTGCTCCTTCGTTCAATTTGGTCTGCCAAGCGTTGGAAGCACCACTTTTCCTTGATCGAAACTGACCCCGGCAATAACTTCTCCGCTGAATGAATGCCGAAACCGCTGAAACGTTGGGTTGTTATTAACGTATCCGAGGTTCCTACATCCTATAGGAAAATATTGTACTGGCGACTGGCATTCATTTCTCGCAGAAAACTACATCGATGCCCACCCCGCACAGTTGCGTTCCGGAATATTTGTGTAGAAATCCCAATAGCCGGTGCCGGATTGGCGTCTTTTATACAGATTAAACCAGGAACCGTCACGACGCGTTTGCTGGACCCCAATACGATACCTGAAAAACAAATCTCGACCGCCGTTGTCCACCAACTAACCATCCGAGGGGGAGCTTCATATCAATGCCGTCACTCGCATATTCGGTGGCATTTTCAATTTCATGTGTTTTACAGGTTATATGCCTGCATTTAAGCAGCAATTGGAAAAAACTGGCACTGGGAGAGCTTACCCGCAGGTAATCTCGTTCGCATCACGGTAATATGTGCAAAACACATTTTCACCAATAACAGTGCTGAAAGTGGCTAATGATATGGCTAGTAGAGCGTAGAAAACCATATGAATCGATTTTCCTCCAGTTTGGGCTGTTTGGGGGGACCAGGGTAGCTGCGGTGGCGAGGCTCCAAGGTCGACCCTCAGCTAGGCATCAAACAAGTTGCCCCTAGAGGCACTATCATATATGGAACAGTTCATATAACCACGCAATCCGGAGTCAGAATCAAACTTACATACCGCCTATTGCCCCGAATAGGAAACCAGATATACCGCGAGGTCCATCAACGGCTTACGTCAAAGCTTCTAGCAACAGCTACGTAAAGACCTAATCAAAAGACAGTAAAGCTCCGCTGAATAGAAAACGTTAAATACAACAAAAGAATTTATTCAAACGAGGCGTTAACAGTAAAATGAGATCGATTCATCACAATCTAACGTTAATAGTAATAACAATGGTAAACTGGAGGCGCGGGCGACTTTATTCAGATTCGGATGCCGAGCAGCCCTCAGATTCTGCGGCCTCGTCTTCGCGAGAAGTCTTAGCGCTCAGCACCCTCCTGCCCCCGCGGCGTTCAGGATCCTGGAACAAAATTATTTTTGAAACCCACTACAAGCAAGAAAATTAGATCATAAAATCCAATTTATAAACATAGCATACAGAAAGTCTCACCTCAGCGCCGAAGGAATTGTTCTGGGAAGAGATGGGCTCGACCTTGACCTTCTTCAAATCAAAGTCGCTCGCGACGTCGGCATTTTTCTTCTTTTGAGCCGAAGTCTGAAAGAAACGAGGTATGGACGACGCAAGAAAAAACGAATTCCGAGGGTGCCGCAGAAATCCGGGGTTTTTAGCATAGGCAAAAAGTACAAAGGGCTTTCCGAATAGGTGGATAGCTTCACAAGGCCGTACCTCAGAGTCTTGCGACGAAAGAGGCTCGAGCTTCACCTTGTCAAGGTCGACTTCCCAGTTTTGGCCATCGGTGTCGGTTTTGGCCCTGTCCTTCTGCAAAAAAACGAGTTATGACAGCAGATGCACAAATATAGTGCCGTCAAAATCAAGTTTCTAACAAATAGCGCAATGGGTTTTCCAAATGATACCTCAGAGTGGATAGAGCCATCTTGCGAAGAGATCGGCTCTGGCTTCACGCGCGCTGGGTCGAATTTCACCTCGTCATGTTGCTTGTCTTGCGAGGAATGAATCCCCGACTTCGATTTCTTCTGAGCAGGCTTGCCATCGCCCTCGTCAGAGTCGTTTTCGGAAAGCATGTCGTTGTCAGAAGCGATTTGTTTTCGGTTCAACTCCTGAAAATTAGAATATTGAACAGCTTGAGAGACCAATTCAATAATTCAACCAATAGAAAAATACATACCTCTACGATTTCCTTTTGCACTTGTTCGGCTTGGGCCACAAACTCGGGACCTAGGTCCTCCGGCTTGAAGATGTGGGCAGCGAGATGCTTCATCATGCCGAAGCCGAGGAAGGAGTTCTTTTTGAAGACCTTCCTCAGCTTGTCATCACAGAGCACCATCCTGAAAATATATCATCAGCCATTAAAACAGGGCCTTACTTCTTGTTCTTTGGGTTCTTCAAATTGTTGTCGGTGATATATTTCCACATGCTTTTCACAACATCACAGCGGCGCATGAACGGCTTTTGAGTGATTTCTTGCAAATCCTCCGAGATTGCACACACAGCGCTAAAGCGCGAAGTGCCCCTGCTGCGGGTGCGAGCGCCCTAAAAGCTTGTTGAGGACAGGTTCATAGAATACGCCCGGATTGAAATAATCAAAAAAGTACCTTTTTCTTGTGACTCGTGGAAGCGTTGCCAGATGCCGAGCGGCGCAATTTGGCGCGTGGCAGGAGGTCGTCGACTCCGTCGTCGCTGGACTCTTCGGGCGCACTCTATGTGTGGAATATATGTAAAGAACCATATTTCTTACCGGCGGCTGCTTCTTCTCCTGATTTATGGTAGCGACGGGGCTTGTTTTGGACGACGACGATGAGTTTTGCATCTGCGTGATGGATTCACGGATCAGCTCATCCACGGCCGTCGAACATTCGGTAAAATCCTAAACTAACGTTGCGATGGTGGAAAACATTGTACTTTTCCAAACTCGGCAGCGAGATGATGGCGGACTTTGGATGAGGTCAGCTCAGTGAGAGAAATTTCCTGAAAATTAACAATGAAAATAAGAATAGCACGCTACTTTCAGGAACTTCTGCACCGCGAGGAGAGCATCCGCTCGTTGAACAGGTAGCTCGGCCATCTTAGACTGAAATTGGAAGAAAATCGTTAATTAATACCAAGAATTGAGAAGAAACTAGACGAAATAATCAAAGCGAAGCTTTCCAGGGACCAGAAAAACTGCGTGCTGTATCTCAACTATTCAGGATGAAAAGCGGAAAAGATAATACTAAGAAAAATACGAAAATCCAGAAAAAAATAATCCAATAGAAAAAGGAATCAAAATTTTTGAAAAAAAAGAAAATCGGAATCCATCCATCGCAAAAAATCTTTTGAAAGGCGCGCAGGGGAGTAGCAACGTGACGATACTATCGACCACAGTGAACCGTGGGAAGTTTACGACTGCTTTCCATCTCCACCAGACGGTTAATAGGAGCCCTTCGGAAAGGCAAAAGGTTCAAAGCTCGAAGTTTCTAAACGGTTTTTTGAATAGCGGTAGCTTTGTATAGGCTTGCAATATCTTGGTTTCGGGTACTTTGCACAGTTAGAGCCAATTTGTGATGTTTGAGCTTCTCTTACTAGAATAGTTCAGACTACTAAAAGACTGGAACGAGACTATTGGTTCTTTTCATAATTTTTTTTGCTTTTCGAGGTTAGGAACAAGTTTATTGTTTTGCGAGATTTGATATTTACCTACAAAACCATTACAGTTGACTGTTACCAACTGCCTACGCCCGAAAAGCACCTGTTAACTCAAACTTCGTGCCGTCACGCTTGATGTATCAAGGTTGGTGTTTGATACTTGGAGATACTCATACACATACTCCGAAGCGACCTAACATAAATAATGGCATACACGCGAACTACACCACTTTTAGGACTCGTCCCCCCTGACACTTGGGCACAAAAGGATATTTGGCAGACGACGGTGAGATGGTTTACGTTAATTTTATTACACGTAGAAGCGTTGTAGGCCAAATGTGTGGGTTTACTGGGACTAGTTGGTGCCCTTTTATACATAGCTGCCCGGATCACGAAGATGCGTGGCCTAAGCTACCGTATCTACTTCGTGGAGACCATTTCTTTCCCGGCTCTCCGGCGCACCCAGGTGAGTTCTGCGTTTTTGGGTTTATTTAGGTTTCAAGGTTACTGAAATCGATCTCTCCGATTCCAATCAATTCGATGGTCAACTTCTACCCCGTCTTCGCTCTTATTACCCGTTTGTAGTCTGCATTTGCCTGCAATTTCATTTAGTGATTTTGCGCATGGGGCCGAGCCAGCCGAAATGTCACCTCCGAGCCTTATTATATTAGAGCCCGAAACCGTGAATGATGGGAACGACAAGTAAGTGTTAGTTTTCCATTCGACCACAGCTAGGCCGCGTTTGCCATTTAAACAACGGAAGGATAAACGAATTTTTGTAGCATAATCGACGCAAGCGACATTGGACATACATTCCGCGTGGAGGCGGCGGCCAGATCTTTAAATCACGACGATGCTTATCATGCTGCCCTTGCCGCTGCCTCTGTGATAACACGCCGTCGGACGAATGCTACTACTGTTTCTACTGGGCTCAGATTTGGCTTCCAAATCAGCCTGGTAAGCAATCACAGATCTTTAAAAGAGGGGTACTGGCTGGATCAAGCAAATAAAAATCTAATCCTGCAATCCGTTCAAAGCTTCTAAGGTCCGAATTTACACATCCTAGGCTCGGGAAACGATGCCCAACTTTGCCCATGTCGAGGCTGAACGTGGACTGCCGATGAACGACCCATTGGCGTTCGAAGATTCAGATGTGGAGGATGAGGAGGTCGATGAAGATGAGGATCAAGGCGACCATGTTTCTTCGAATATCCCATCCTCAAGCGGTACACCAAGCTGCTCATTGTGCGGCCCCGATCCACCGACGGATGATGGTCAAACGCCAAACAATGAGGAAAATCAACTGTCTAGGTCAGTGCTTCCATTAGATATCTCATAACTCTGGCTCCCGAACGCCTTTCAGGGGCTTCCCATTTAGCGGGCTGGGGCGGAGGGGCTAATTTTGATTTTTCCGCCTAACTGAAGCCCGCCTGTTAGTAATAGTATATTTTTACAGGAGGTTTTCGTAGTTTTTCATTGACATTTCATTAAGGGGAATCATAAAAGGTGCTTTAAAATGTTGTCCTTTTTGGTAATTTCCAAACATTTTTACGAAAAAGTCAAAACATTTCAAAATTTTGGTAAGATGTTTGAGCTGCTTATCTAATAACGGTCTAGTTAGTTAGCATACCATAAAAATGGTCTATGTTTCGTTATAGGGCCGTCCGAGATTCCTGGAGAAAATTGGTCTCTGTTAACATCCCCCTCCCCGCTAAAAGCAAAGTACTATATTAGCGGGCTACGCCCGCTAACCCCGACTCTATCATGGCTTTGATGAATAATTTTTAACGATTTTTTATGTCACCTTTAATTTCATATAGGGAGCAGCCTGATGTACCGCCAACATCAGTTACTATCAAGTTTTTGGACGATCGAATTCTGATTGCTCCTACTCACCTCGACGACACTGTCGGAGATTTCAAAAGAAAATTCTTCTCGGATGCAATTAGTTCCGGCAACGTTGTGCGGTTGATCTACAAAGTACGATGGTTTAGCTAAAGGCGCTTTGCATGCATATGTAAATCAATAAACTGCAATTTAGGGCCAACTTCTACGTGATGATAGTCGAAGCCTGGCATCATATGCTGTTGAAGACGGCTGCGTCGTACATTGTAGCATCTCTGATGTGCCGTATTCAGTTCCCGTTCCCACAGAAGCCCCAAATGCTGCCGCTACTTTGCCTGTATGGGTTTTGTTGTATTCTTAGGAGTACTGTATACCTTTTAGGGGCGCGAAAACGTGCACCAAAACGGAGCCGCACAACATAGAGGCCGTCGCGTCCGTCGTTATCCTCGTTGGCCTCCACGGCGACGCAGTTAGTTTTCTGGGTTCTGCTAACTTTGTCTTTCAGACCCAACACCGGAGCATATCCGCAATGGAGTCGATCGTTTTATGTGGCATTTCGCGGATTCACTTCCATCACGTTGGTTCTTTCGCGATTCCTGAATTTGCACACATTGACTCGTATGCGCATTTTTCCAGCAGACGAGTATTCGCCGTCGTTCGGACAACTGTATGAAATGCTGCTTGATTTATTCGACTATTTTTGGGAAGGTATGTCCAAACACACCGTAGATAAACGGTCCTAAACACTTACCGGGGGTAGGGAACTTTTAGCAGGGATGAAGCTAATTTGGATCTTATTTTTATTTTATCTTCCACCGATAGCTACCCCTTGATAATATACATTTAATGTATTTTTAATTTGTGTAATAGTTTTTGATTTTTAGAATATAAAAAAAACGATTTTTTTTAATTCGAAAATTTTAACCTTTTTGGTCGTTTCCATTTTTTGACCAAAAAATCAAAAAATCTTTGATTCTTTTGTGAGTTTTTTATATCTAAAACTGCATAAAATACCATAAAAATGAAATATTTCGTTATGAGCCCTTACGGGATTACCCGGAAAAATTTGGGGTGCGCCCTGCTACCTCCCCCCCCCCGCTAACAAACCAGTACCAGAAAAACATGCGAAAACATGTGGTGTCCGATTTGCAATTTATTTGCAGGTTTGATGCATGAGGATTCGGTCGCCCAGGCTTTCTACCGCGGGCTGATGCAGCCGCTTCCGGAACGACCACATATGAATGTTGTACAGCAAGTCTCATTCAACATCTATAATAGGTTGGGGTAGAGGTTTCCTGTCAGCATTCTTAGGGTGCATAATTCGCTCGCTTCGGTGAATCATCTCTTCGATCAGCGTAGTTTAAGTGCTCAGGGTAGGACCGAAACCCTCCGATACGCCATCGACTCCATGATATTTTTGATACTAGGTAGGGGTTTTGTATAGAAGGTTTTCATGGTAATGAATTGTAGCTCGAGCTTTGGACGCGCTCGTCCTGCTGACGACACAACGTTCCGTGTTCTGCACGTATTTCTACCAGTACACCGGCTGTTTCGAGTGGTTGCTGTTAGGATTGCTCATTATTTGGCGTCCAAGCGTGGACGAAGATCATGAAGCATGAGTAGGCGGGTTTAAATAATTCCCTGCTTTCAAAAAAAGCATTTATCTACCCCATTTTACCGAATCGTCGAATGTCATTACTAACCCTGCGTAATGGGAACGTTGCTTCAGCAGTATTTACCTGTTCCTAGAAATTCCGTACACATGTCATTATGGGTATGCTTTGTCGGTTCTTTTACATTATCGGGGGGGGGGGGAGAAAGTTACCCCATCAGTCTAACAATGCCATTAGCTAGTCAATAGCCGGTTCCTTGATTTGTAGCCGTTATCAATTTCATATCCTTTATCCACCGTTGTGATAATGAGAACATTGTGATCACATTACGGGCCTGCATTTCTCGATTTTTTCAATAAAAATAGCTCCGTTCCCCAAAAATTAAAAGCATGTAAGAGCCAATATTAAGCGTTAATTTTACAGGCGATAACGGCCGAACTGCTTTTCGGCATGGACTTTGATCTCGTTGAAGAAGCAGCGCTTCATATTTTCAAAACGGTCGTAGCACGGGACGTAGGAGTAGTCAAGGCGAGTGATTCTAAATGATGCATAGTATGATTTACGACGTACTCTAATTCTGAGGCAAGTGAAACTAGTGGTGATATAACTCACTTATCTGGTGTTTGATCGCAGAAGGTCAAACATTTTTCGCCAGCCAGCGTCGTTGTGACTCCGTTTCGGGTGCAGCATTCGCGATGGTCACGGCCCTGATTGATTGGGGTATGTTAAAAATATTGATTAGTAAAATAAAATCGAATTAATTGATGAGGCGTCATAAAATAATTAATACCTGCGCAGCACAAAAATGCATGTCGGCGGCTGCTTCAAGTGGACAGCCATCAGTCTTGAAGTACATGGATTGCAGCTGAAAAAAAAATGTGGATTAAAAGTATTTGGTTGTTTTTTTTAGAAATCTGCCATTCATTGTCATTTTCCTAACTGGAACCTGGTTTTGCCGGATGTTGATAGAGAACGCTACACATTACTGCGCGACTTGTTTTAGAATTCTGCCATTGTAAACCTTGAACCGGCTATTGAGCAAAAACCGGAATTACGTCTAGTACTTTTAGCCCAATTGTCGGGCGGATCAAGGGGGTTCAAAAGAGCGAGCTCTTCTACGGATAATTGTTGGTCTATGAGGGTACCCTAGCCAAAGAGAGAGGGAGAGAGGGGTGGGGGGGGGGGTGGAGAACCATCTATTTCTCCCATTCTTTTTGCCATTGAGTGGGTGGCTGGGTGACTGCGGCTCCTAGGCGGATCCGGTCCTGATCCTGATCCGGATGAGCGACGCGGCGACCCCGAGTAAAATGTCGGGGGCGCAGAGGGCCGGTCTCGGTGGCCCCCACCAAAAACACCACGAAATCTATTTTGGACATTCGTCACAATGACAAGATATAATATACTCCCCAAATCCAACGCAACTACCCTGTTTATAATTAGTTAAAATTTAGAGAGCCGATTAATTGTAAGGAAATTGTTTATGAACACTGCTTCCCCTACCACATCCTTCGTGTACGAATTGTAGTTGCACTTGGTTATACACGCGTCCGGGAGATGACGCTGTTCGCAGCATTGCCGGAACAAGTAGTTCGGGTTCTAAAATGGATCAATCGTTGCAATATACCAAAGCATACCACCAAGAGGTCAATCGTCTGGTTGTCAAACTTTTGCGAGGGCGCTGCTGGGGCAGCGGTCGTTCGCACGGTAGCGATTTCCAGCTCTTCATCGTCCTTTAGCTTGTTGTTTCTACGCTCAGTTCGAAGGTAGTCGGGAAAACAACTGTACCTCTTCATACCGAAGACATTCCTATTAACGACTTTTGCCTCAGAGGTTTCTTCCGATGGCTCCTCGTGCCTTGCCGGCAAATGGGCAAGACTAGGAGATTCTTCCTTGGAGTTGTCCAGGAAGATACCTTCCTGAAACGGGCGAATTGGCGCATTTTGTGGTATTTGGTGGTAGCATTTGTGTGTTAAATTCGGGGTGAAATCTCTGGGAGGAATCTAATTTGGTTTCTAAGAGTTTCCGTTCTGGGTAAGATAAGGAACAACGCACGAATTTTTTCGTCAGCGCGGAACGCGCTCGATTCCTAGCACATCCATACGGGCCACAAGAATATCCCGGCTGGCAGGACGATGGCGCGCATGTTGCTGCTGGGGCTGGCGCACACGATGATCCGCAGACACCCGCAGAAAGGCACTGAATCAAGTAAAAAAAAGTAGATTGTCTAAGGCATTGCCTCACCGCATCCGTCGTCCGTGGAAGCAAAAAGATGGATAGTCCACCTAACAGTAGCCACATTTAGAAAAGCTTCTGAAAAAGCTAGATATCTGGAAATTGACAGCAATGCTATATCTGAAAAGCTCTCGAAGATAAGTAGGCCGATGTCAATGTCGGCGCTTTTCAGCACTATAGAGGGTTTCTTTAAACTTGTGTTAGTTTTTAGATGAGCCGGAACGTCAAAGCTACGGAAACTCGTAAACTGCCAAGGTCTAAAAGGTGCACTTGGTGAGGGGTAAAATCCCATCGAGTTTCCGAGAGTTGCGTTGAGCATATCCAGTTTTATAGAGATGAAGGGGCGGGGAGGGATCCGAGCTGGCGCTAGCTCGGGACTGTACTATATACCAGTTGGCACACGCGGTAGGGCCGACCTTGGCTCGAAGAAGCCTCCAATTACCCGGGCCTTCCTACCAGCCGCACGATGCCTCAAGCACTTTGGCATCGAAAGTGCTAGATGAGCCAGCTACTTTCACTCCCGCTCTGCCCCAAAGACTAAAAAAAGAGATTCTAGTTTTTCGCTACTGCGATCGTCGGCAAAGCTTTTCCTAGGGACTGGCTCCTAGTCTCCTTCTCAATTTCGGGAACAAATAAGGTGTATCGAGTGGCGATTTAAGAGTTGAGTTGATTGAAGGTCTCGATTTGGCGCCATGCTACTTTACGGTTCGACCGTTATGTTTTTGCGGGTTCACCGCGGCACATAGTTGACTAAAAGAACGCTTGGCGCCATCCCACATCCAATTCATCATCAATTTCGCTATGATCTGCCATCCTGAAAAAAATTTTCTTGCAAACTTTAAAGAATTTATGTAAAGAAAACAAGTAATTATATTCAGAGTAACAACATAAAAACGGAAGCCAAAGCCAAGCTGGAAAGATTTCAAACAAGTCAGGCTAAAAAAAATTTGCAAGGAGAGGGGAAAAGACTACCAAAGTATACCCGCAAGAGTGATAAGTGAGGGAAGCTGTAGGAGCTAATGGGGTTGTAGCAAGAATTTCAAAGCTGCTGGGTAATGGAAGAAGAGAAATGTCAAATTGAAATTGGAAATTGCAAGAAATGGGTCAAACACCGACAAAGCCGATGTCCACAACCCCGAAATCCTCCAAGAAATTAAACGGCGAGCTTCTAAGACATAGCCAGCAGAGCGTTGACAATAAATACACGATGCATAAAAGTAATGAGCGTAAAAAAAGAGCGTTGTAGATGGGCTTGGAATTACTTGCAGCCCCAGGTTTTTATCTCTCCGCCGCTGCTGCCAGTGACCACCATCGGCATCTGCTGATGGAAATCTGGAAAAAAGACCTATATAAGAGAAGAGCTAACAAAGCCAACCTATGCTGTTTATAAAATGGCTATGCGCATTCTCAATCGTGACGATACAGCGCTGGTTCTCGATATCCCAGACACGAATTGAGAAGTCATCACATGCCGAGATAAGGTATTTTCCATGGGGATGGCACCTGAAAATTATTTCATTATTGTTTATCATATATGGAAAAAATTAATACATATCCAATTCTTTTATGAAAATTAAAGGGACAAGGACGGCATCGATGACGCGCGGGAAAGAAACGTTGGTCCAACAGATGTCGTCCTTATCCCTTTACATTAAGACCGGACGGCCAACAAGAAAAATTACTTTAAAGACCGGATCCAATTATTGTGCCCAAGGAAGGTGTAGAGCATTTCGCCAGTAGTGGCTGCCCAGAGGATGATCTTCTTGTCGCGTCCGGCCGAGGCCACTATCATCTGCGATTCAGGTTTCTTGCCTAGAGCAGTTCATAAGGCCAAAAAATAATTACGATACCATTCTTGGTGGTGTCAAACGTTTCCGAAACCCAGTCGACAACTTCTACGACATGCTCGTGTCCGTGAAGCGTATGCGTTGGCTCTTTGGTGGCCATGGACCAGATCGTCAACTTCTAAAAAAAATTATCTTGTTGCATTACGTCAAGTGCTGATGATGAAGACATCAAGCCAGAAGAAGCCTCACATGATCGTTGCCTCCGGATGCCAGCAATGTCCCACACGGAGACGGACGAACACTTCGAATCCAGGTGTCGTCACAACGAAGTACCGCGACGCAATATCCATTCGACGGCTAAACAGGGTCTGTAAATAAGCGCCAATAAGCGGCACATGGGCCATCGAAAGCAGAGATTCCAATGGCGTTAAGTAACCATTCCCCATAGAGAATCCCCAGAAGTGAGTCCGAGACAATTTTAAAAAATAGAAGCTGCTTACATCCCACAATCTTATCGAGCCATCACGAGACGATGACACCAAGTGTTTGTCGTCCGGCATGAACGCCACACCCGAGACGGTGTGATCATGACCTTGTAAGGTAAAAATAGGAAGTTCCGGCATTACGCCATCCCACAGCTTCACAGTCGCATCGATCGAGGCAGAGGCTAAAAAAAAAATGCAACAGTAAACCGAAAACTAACCCAATCTTTCGCCATTGTGGGAATAAGCCAGTGCAATGACTCCCTGCTGATGACCTCGCAAATAAGCCGTCTGCAGGCCCGTGTCACAGTCCCAGATCTAGACAAGGATATAGGGTCCAATGAATTAATGCATGGCGAAATTAGAAGAGGTCTCCCTCATGACACACGAATTCAAAACGCAATGATAAAATACCTTGACAGCTGTATCATCGGATCCGGAAGCGACTATCGGCAATTGGGGGTGGAATGCGACGGCATGCACAGGCTGTGTGGAAACTAGCATCGTCTTCTCGGCCAATGTGGAACGGGGCACCCATTTCTTCGGATCCAAGCCAGTTCTATAAAGAAAACCATTATCCAAGGCTTTCAAGGTTAGTAAAGCTTGGATACGATTCTACACACTTATAATCTCTCGCCGGCTAACCAAACCCTACACAAAACGTCAATGTAAAACATTACTTACGCAGCTCTGGTGTACGTGTTCCTTTGGAGAACGGCAACCGTCGCCTCCAGCTCGGTGTTCTTCTTTGTTAGGCGCAACAGAGCGTTCCACCTTTGGACGAACAACGGGGCCTTTTTGCTGAGTTGAACTCCCTCCTAAAAGCGTTGAGCTACACCGAAAAAACAATCGTACCAGGTGGGACTCTCTCATAAATGCCTCGTAGCTCTCCTCGAGTCCTCGGTCCTTCAAGTAGGCAGCAATGCCAGAATTACTAAATTAAAACTTAATATGCAGCATAAATCAAACACTTACAGGTCATGTTTCTGCGAGTCGGACAAAAAATCATAGCCATCCATTGTTTCCAAGGAAGGTCAGCTGGAAAAAAAAGTGATAAAGGAAGGGCACACACCAAACACGGACAAAGGAAGGAAAATGATGGTAAGAAGTGAACGAAGAAACGGCGAAAAGGAAGAAACTTGATTCGCACGGCCTTGCTGGGACCAAACGAGTATGATACGAGTAAATGCGCGCCGGCGAGCTCATTTCCAGACAGGAATTGAGAATGAAAGATATTTCAGGTCAAAAACAGAGAAGCTGAATAAACGGTAACGTTCGATGATTGTCGCGCTTCGATTTTCCTGCACTCATCCCCCTGCCGGTGTCCAAGGGTGTAGCTTGTAGGCGTAGCTCGGCGTCAAGCCCTCGGCATACAATAAAGCTTACTTCTCATAAGCTTACTTATTTATAAGCGATAATATATCTTTTACAGCCCTCCCTTCTTACCGTTTGCTTTTGTCGGAATCCCCTTATTTGTACCATTCCAAAAATTTCGTTGCGACGCCTGCAGGTTTTCGCGCCCGAAGCTGTAATAGATGGCAAAAGTCAATCAAACGGAGGTTTTGCCAGGTTTAATATTAAGATTTGTAATGTAAGAAAATAAACCTCGGTACTCAGGATGTGAAACCGAAGAGAATGTGAAAAAGAAACCGAAATTTGAGCTCATGTCTTTGCTGCGTTTTTGCTATTTGCCGGCTTGCGAAATCTTTCTTAAAATCACCATTTTGTGACTGACTTTATAGGTAGTTTTGGAATAAGGCTACGGTTCAAGTTAGGAAGGGGCACTTCAATTCGAGAGCCTATGATGTTATGGTCCGGACAATGTGTTGGGGATTACTGGAGGACCTCTAAAGATAAGTTTAGCATGAAACTAAGCTTCTAGCCAAATCAGGTCGCGACTAAACAAGGCTAAATTTAAAAACGAGAGCAAGCACCCCCCCCGCGCTAATTCCGAGAGTCTAAACCTATACTACTTTTCCGCTCAGTTTTTCTAGTCAGTCGCCATCGCTATGCAGCACTTTCTTTCTCATATACGGCAAGATACCTAGAACATTAATTTGCTAGGTTACTAACTCAAGTTTATAGGATGAACCTCGGCAGGGAACTTCGGCTCGTGGCTCAAGTAAGCCGCCGTCTTGCCCAATCAGCAGCCCCAAAGACGTCGACGGGCATCGAACATGCCGAGAGCTACAAGAAGAGCGGACACGCCAGCCCCGCAGCCCCGAAACTCTATAAGTGAGTCGATACAGCATCCATTTACACATATAGCGCCATTCAAGCTATTTGGTCAGCAAGATCAAACCAGCTGATTTCGAAAGACAAGCCGACGGCAGGAATTAACGAGAAGTTTCAGATGCGGTGAAGACTACCTACACTTCAACGTCTATTCCTACTACGATTTAGAAACAAAGATGTCGACAAACCGGGTTCCTCAGCCCACGAACAAGAAGCCTGACGTCAAACCAAGCGTTAAAGTCTAATGCTGCTCAGTATTAGTGTTGCTTTTAGGTCTTAACACAGTCCTCTGGTATCAGCTTTTTGACAATAAACAGTCTATAGACCAATGAAAGGAACGCAGAACGCACAATTTACAGAAGCGGACCTTGGTTTATCCCATAGAACAAGCTCCCAGAAGCTTCGCGGCAGGCTTTGTACAATCCGTAAAATGCCCCCATAACTGGCTAAGCGGAAAATTTTATTGACAATGATATCACCGCAGAATATAATGGAGGGACTCGATAGGGTAGAATACACGGGAAGGACCAAGTGCTGCACAATAAAGGAGGATCAACCGTTTAGAGAAGGGCGCACAAACAGGGATCAGAAGGAAACCCGTTCTACCATGAAACAGAAGAACTTCTCATACAAAGGTATAAATTAAGAAAATGAGAAATGACGGGGTGAGAACTTTCCATGACAAAAAAACGGTGTCGGTGGTTAACGTAGAACGCTCGCACGCTGATAAAGAGCATCAAGGACGCCTCCGAATGCGTGAATCGAGTTGAGGGCGGTTTCGTACCTGAAAATGTCAAATACGTGAAGATAAAAGACCAACTTACGTGGTGTCTGGCTTTTCCGGGGAATAAACGATCAGCATCCCCTCTTGTTGATATAAAGAGCCGTGGAATTTTTGGTCCAGGATCATCTGGGCCAGCTTCTTTTCGACCTGGAAAAATGAAAATGGTAAGATGCACAAAATATCGTGGAGCTGTCAGATTCTGAAAACTACCATAATTCGGTCCAGCTGAATGATTTTGGCTATGTGGTCGATCTGTACGCAGGAATATGGCTCGATTAATCGACACAGTTCCTTCTCCAACATGCGCTCGGACAGCTCGTAGAAATGCTTCTTGATCACTGGGTCCATTTGAAGCTCGGTCCTGTAAATAAGATCGAGTCACAATTAAAATTAATGCCAACCAGTTTGCAGAAAAACAAACCTATAGTGACCAAAGGTGGAGTTGAAATCTTTCAGAGACCGATCCTTTGAAGCATTCGCAATGGCCTTCATCGCTTGCACAGCTTCGGAATTCGTGTAATTACGGGCCACCTTGCCTTGGGTAAGAGAAATGGCTTCTTCCGGAAGATCGAGCATGACCTTAAAATAAGGATTTTTGATTACGGTAAATATCACCTTGCATAGTAGCATATACTTTAGCGCTTGTAGAGCCAGTTTCTTCTGATTCGTCGAGTCGTACGCCTCAAAAGCCTCGTAGAAGTAGGAGTATGCTGTTTTGAAGTCACGCTTGTCGGCGGCGTGCAAAATCCCGGCCTGTACGTCCAGAGCAGCCTAAAAGCAAAAATATATATAGAGCGAAAAAAATCTTTGAAATTAGGGCTAGAATAGGGGGTAAAAACTCATGGCGAAAATTATACCTGCATCTGAGGTCGCACGTAAACAGCATTTGCGGTAGTTCTAGCGCCGGTAAGTGAAGAACGGGCACGGCCAATGTTCCCGAGGTGATAGAAGGCCTTGCTTTCTTCCAGCTCGACTTCGATGAGCAAGTCCTTATCATCGACCTTCTTTAGCTCTCGCACCAATTCGTTCGCTAAATTCATCAATATAGACATAATTCTTGGATATCACTCACCAAGAGTCAATGCCAAGTTATAGCGATCCAGGTCGTTGTACAAACGAATCAGTCTGGCCTGGAGCGTTTGGCGCAAGAAGATGCGATTTTGCTGTTCAGCCCACAGGATGCACTCCTTGCATAACTCGACCTGAAAAGAAAGACTTCCATTCAGCAATAAACAACAAACATTAAAAAAACCAATACAACAGCATAATTTGCAGCATGTTCATATTCATAACTGAGCTTACCTTAATGTCGCCATCTTGGCCTTCAATCATCAGGCATAGATCGACAAGATCACGGACGAGTTTGGCTGCCTTGGCTTTACCAAGTGTAAGAAGAAACGGACGCGTATTCTCGATCATCTAAAGTACACATATGATGAGCGCCAACGTAATCAATCAAAAAAAGCCAACCACAGCCTAAAGCCAAAATGAACTCACCATCCGCAGTTCGTGCGTCTGCTTATTCGCTGCCAATTTATTGCCCAATTCCATTATGGAGTCCTCTTTCCGCTTGATATCTGCTTCTGAGTTGTTCACTTGACCGAAGAGTTTGCTCACTAAAACCAGGGTTAATTTCGATATATAAAACTTACGATCATGCGGAAGTGAACCCATCTGTTCCATGACGGTCCCACCTGACATCTGAAAATTAGACCAGTCCTCAAGGAAAATGGTTAGTAAAAATAAATCACGGTGAGCGAAAGAGAACGGAAATGTAATCAAATAGGAGCCAGAAAATGGCTAAAACAGAAGCTTTAACTGGGTAACGATCTATACTGGGGAATTCCCTAAAATAAGTAAGCTTCACGTGTCGGGTGATCAAGAGCGGGTCGCCGAAATCTTGTCAAGTTTTGAGTAAGGGCTTTCTGTGGTGGGTGTCTAGCCATGGCTGACAAACAACGAGGATGGAATAGAGAGCAGTGAAACGGAGAGGCACAGAGATGCGAGAAGGGGCAGCCGCTGAGGAGCCGTGGAGTGGTGAAAGGGCTATATTTGATGTGCAGGTTCCCCCTGGATGACGCTCTACCAGCAGTTGGCTCTTTGCCAGATGTCAGACGAATAGAGCCAAACAAAGTGCGCGACTAGACGGCTGCGTCGATCAATAAGGGTACCTAGTTCAGAGCGACAGTTTTTGAATGTACGTTGGCGGCTAATTACGTCATCAACATTACACATGGACGATTAGCAGATGCCACATTTAGCAAGTTCGCGGCCGCAAGCGGTATCAAGAACTCGCAACCCCCATTCACCTTCGAAATATGCAGGAAAATCATATTTTTGCAAACACCTGGATTGACAATACTTCCTGTATTATGAATTTCCATGAAAATGGACTATAGCTACGAGCGAACGCGCGACGGACCCGCACCGCAAGTCTTTTTAAATTATCGACGGAGCTTCGGCTTTTTTCATTCTTTTCTTATGTGCGCAAACTGCCTTTACTGCTATATCACGCGCATTTTCTCGCCTTTGCGTTGTAGGTAAACAATAACGTTGCACTAACTCGCATTTTCCTCACTTGGAATTGGCCAACTTATCTTTGTGTATCATTTTTTGTTTGTGCGACGTGTCCGCGGATATTGAGTGCGTTCTTTTCGAATTTGATCCATATCTCGACTTCGAAATTTCGATTCTACATGCCGGATCTCGTTTCCTATTACTAGTAGCGTGGTCCATCGCTAGTAGCTCTTCCCCGAAAAACAATCTTTTCTTTAATGTTTGAAAAAGGTTTCCGTTCCCAGCGTTCACCGCTATCTCCTTGACCCTAAGGAAGTACATGGCTATTTTTCAGTGCAAAAGAGATCACAGGCGCTGTCGGAGTCTTCGAATGAAGAACGATGGCGTGAGGAGTTCGTCAGCCTCCGGGCAAGGGCGAACCCCTTACGGAGCACCTGGCGGTTATGGCCTACCTGGGCCGCCAGGCCAACAACCACCGCACATGGTACCACCACCACCCGGCCACCAAGAACTTCGAGGCGGTTTCCCGAATCTCGGGCCCGGCCTCGGTCAGCTTTTCCCCCAGTGTAAGTTCGCTTCTTGCTCTGAAGAATATTTTTCTTTAGCTAACAGCCCTTACTCCAACCCCAACGGCCAGTTCCGGCCTCCTGATCGACCGGACAACCTACAAGGACTGGGAACAAGCGGACTTGGAATGCAGGTATAACGAGTTTCTTCAAAGACGAAAATAGAGTCTCTAGCACGTCGCTTTTTTGAATAAACTCGTATTTTTTTCAGAATAACCCGTTTGCCTCTCGTCAAATGTCGATGTCCCCATCAACGCAAATGATGAGAAGTGGCATGCCAGGCGGACCACCCGGGCAACCACTGGCTCAGCGGCAAAACTCGTCATCCGGTGAGGATTTTGGCTAACTATTCGTCTCAATTAAGGCCTGCGCGTGAGGTTATTGCTTTGCTCGCTCCCCATTGGACCTTAGACGTTTATGGACTCTATTTTTAGGTTCGTGGGGTAATCTACCACCACCGGGCGCAATGCGAAATGTAACGGGAGCGACAACACCGCAGGGACAAATCGACTTTCGCCCGCAACTTCCACCTACTGGAGCGAATTCGGATTTGCAGGTAAAATTTCATGCCGCCGTTTATTTAACGCCATTTTCCGGATTAAAACTTTACCTTTCAGATCCCGACTCGCAACAACTATGCCCCACCAAACGTGTCAAGCGAACAAGACGTTACACAGACGCAATTCTCCGATGAAGTGCAGGATGAAGCCAACACATATTTCATGCAAATATACTCCCCGACCAAGCTGCTCACCGTGGAGAACTTTCTGGCGAAACTGCGACAATTCCAGACGTCGCAAAACCAGCGTGACCGTGATGTGAGCATATTTTATTTTCTAGTTATAAATGACGCGTTCTCTCATTTGAGCATCATGATTGCTAGTTTCTCCAATCTTTTTTTTGCTACATTCTTCTGATCAAAAAAGCTGCAGGGGAATTCTTCTTGCTGTTTAGGTTCTGAATCTAAATGAGGTTGGTATGTGTTACATTAACGCTGTTCCAGGTGCTGGCTTGCGTGATCAAGAACTTGTTCGAGGAATATCAGTTTTTCCAAGAATATCCGGAAAGGGAATTGCTGACTACGGCTGAAGTCTATGGCGGGATCATACGCGACACCATCATAACGTGCGTTTTCTTCCCTACATGCTTACAACGCAGTTTTTAGGAATCTCCAATTCGCAACGGCTGTTAGGAAGGTCATTGAGAGTCTACAAACGGATACGAACTCGAGGCTGTATCAGTTTGGTCTGGCAGCATTGAATGTATGCAAGAACAAACTATGTTGTTACCCGAAGGTATGTTTCTATGGATTGTTGCTAAACCAAAAACGCCTTTCCAGGTTTGCGCGATGATCATGCAACATGAGAATTTCGCGAAGTTTCCGCCGCAACTCGTCTCCTATGTCAAAGCTGGAATCACTGAAAAGCAACCGCAAGCCAACGGCCGGGAAACGCCTCAGATGCTGCATTCTCCGCAGTCTACAGGCTCTGGACCCCTCCAACAATCCAGCCCACAGCGGAGTGATTCGATGTCGGCCCTGAATCCAGGCTTGAATGCGAGGCAGACTGGGTCCAGCTCACGTGCCGGTCCTGGTGCCCTTTCGTTGACGAACGCTGAAACGTTGATCTTGGCGACTGAAAAAGAGGGAGCTGAATGTGCCAAGCCACCCGAGACCGTCGTTGACAAGGTATTACCTTCGTCTCGTAGCTATCAAAAATAATTTTTTAGGTTTCATTCCTTTTCAACAACTTGTCGCAGTCCAACTTGACGGCTAAGACAGACGAAATGCGTGAGATCATTGAAGAGCACGGAGAAACCTTCACGGCCTGGCTTTCACAATACATCGTCATCAAGCGGGTTGGTTACTTTTCTTTTGCAACGCTACGGTCTTACAAGACATTTTTAATGTGTTTTTCGTATCGTGACATAGCGTCTTTGCAGGTTTCGACCGAGCCCAACTTCCAACCGTTGTATAACAGCTTCTTGGTGGCGATCGAAGACAGAAGCTTAGACAACTTTGTAAAAGAAGAAACTTTGCGCAATATCAAGGTATTTTTTTCATTAAAGGCCCAAACGTTGTTTAGGTGCTTTTGCGCTCGGATAAGCGAATGGCTGCTTCGAACTACAGTGACCGTACTTTGCTGAAGAACCTGGGCATATGGTTGGGAACAATCACGATCGCGAGAAACCGTGCTTTCACACTGGAGGTAAACCTATATATCGCTATCGTAAGCCAGATGTTTTAGGAGCTCGATCTGAAGTCCCTGCTGATGGAGGCATACTATAAAGGACAAGCCGAACTTTTGTTCGTAGTGCCATTCGTTGCCAAGGTCATCCACGCTTCCGGAAAACCCGCGGTGAGAAATTATTTCGCAACTAGCCGTGGATCTACGCACGCGTGTCCTCTTCGTTTTATTATCTTTTCGTTGCAGTCGCTCGTCTTCACCGCTAATTCGTCATGGATCCGCGGGATCATGAAGATCATGGCCGAGCTGCACGATGAGCCAGATTTGCGGATCAACTTGAAATTCGAGATCGAAGTTCTCTGCAAAGACCTTGGCGTTAGCCTCGAAAACTTGCTGACAATGGTGGACGGCGAGCTAAAGGTTGTTCAGATAACAATTATCATCGTAATTGTCTATTCAGGACACTGACAAGCTGTTGGGACTGAAGCAGCAACTATCAGATGTACGCGAGCTGCAGCAGCCCTCTAACCTAGGCACTTCGCCGATTCCTGCCCAGATGCGTATGGCGATGGGCACTGGAGCCGACCTTCAAAACAGTGAGTAAACAATAATCACAGTTATCGGCGCCAATTCCCAGCTTATGGTAGGAGACTATTTTGCAAGCTCTTGCTCCTGGCGGCACGCCGGCGCACCGGAAAAATCTTTGCCGATGCGTTGCGCATTTCCGCAGAAAATTTGTGTGTTTTTCGCTATACTTTGAATTTTAGTTATGCTGACGGGCAGCGAAGGCAGAAACACGCCGCTACCAGATGCTGCCGGTGAAGGACCAGGCCTAGAACCTGCTGCGCCTCGATTTCACTTCCATGAGCTCGCATCCTACTCACAAGAAACAATTGCACAATACATTACGGTTGGTGTTTTGACCGTGCAGCGGATTTCAATCTAGTTTCTTGGCAGCGGCTCCAAAAATGATTTTCAGGTTCCCGCTGACCACTTCCTCTTCCACCTTCACGCGCCCCTGAAGCAATTCATTCGCCCGGCTTTGGTCCAGGCTATCAAGGAACTTCTGGCAGACTTACCTGGCCCGGTAGCAGACCGTTCATTGAAAGTCGGCACCAATGCCACTGAATGTCTGGCCCGCAAAGACTTTGGGTTTGCTTCGGACGAACAGCAGCTCCGGCATAATGCCCATTTCATCGCCGCTGGTGTCACTGGAGGCAAGTTTTTATAGCTTTATTTTATTGACATTTTTTAGCTATGGCCTACATCACGGTGCGTGAGGCGATCCACACCACGGTGTTCAATTATTTGACACAAACATTCACCCATCAGCTCCGAGGTGTCCCTCACATCGATCCAGTGAGAAATAAACGTTCTGCAAATAAACGGTTTTTTTTAGAAAATGATCGAAGATTGCGCGATGCGCTGTATGCTCGATAACTTGGAGCTGATCGTTAACTTCGTGACGAAGGCTACGTGTGAAAAGGTAACAATACTGCCTCTTCTATGGAAATCTCAGATTGACTGCGCTCCTTGGGGTAACCGATTACTATCCAATTTTTAGGCTGCCCTCGAAGCGGAGCGTCGCCTGGAGCCGGACTTCCATTCGCGTATGCTTGCCAGAAGAGAACAGAAGGAATGGGTTCCGTCGGCCGAGTATTTGGAGAGTCAAGAAATGCTGCCCGAAAAACTGCGCACTCCTGCCGGTCCACTCCAGCCCGAGCTGTTGGCGGTCTACGAAGAATTTCTTTCCAAAATCTGCGGCTTCAAGGCCAGCACTCCGGATGAATTCATGCGTTCGATTTCTCACTGCATAAGCTCAACTGCATCCAACTTTGAAATGGATATGCGTGATCCACAAGAACTGGAAAAGTATAGCCAGGTAAGCTTTTGTGGAGGCCATTTTTCGCCCATTTGCGTCCTACTAAAACTGGTCGGAGGGTTGTTTTCATTCCGGAAGCATTAATTTTCAGCTGTTTCGCAACCTCGCGGAAGAGTGTGGGCGTCTCTACCAGCGTACAAACGGGAATCCGGCGTTGGTGAAAGTTGCACGGGCATTCTCACTGCTTCGCGAGAAGACTTTGGCCCTTTCTGCAGAACCAAGCAATCCAGCCCTTCTCAAAGACACCTTCACCAACACAATGGAACAATTCCTCAACTCGTACATCCCTTCTGCAATCGCTCCACAAGCCAAAGAAGGTATGTAGCTACCTTTTATCTTTTGGTCGCATAAACGGCGATATTTTTTTTTCTTTCAGAAGCTGAGCTCGTCAGCCGGGTGGCCGACACAGCCTTGTACGTTCTGCAGGCGCTAGTACAAAAGAATAGCCACCAGATGGTCGCTCAGAAAATCACGGAACTATTGATTACATCACAGATGGATTTCCGTTTCAATATTGAAGCCGTTGAGGTGTGATTTATTCCAGACTAACCAGATTTTTTAGATGCTCATTTCGCAAAAGCTCATCATCACTGACCAATACGATCGCTGGCTTGGTGAGATGATTGAGCATGGTCAGCACTCATTTGCCGCTGTTTTTGCTCAGAAATTACTTCGGGTATGCCTTTTTGTCCTTCTGTATTTTACCGATCCTGTCAGTTGATCTACCACGGCAGCGGCTCTGACAGTGATATCCGGGCTCGCTTTCCCCTGACGTTTGAGCAACTACAGAAGCTACAGACCTTGAACAACATGAGGTAATAATAATCTGTTTAGATTTACGCTTCTTTTAGACCGTTGGAGACCGGAATAGCACAATCGCCAATCGGCGGAGCAACCGGCAACTACTTCCAGGGTCAGGAGCGCCTCGGCCATAATATGGGCGAGGACAATTTTGATCTTCAGGGCAAGGTAAATACGATTTTCTAATTAGGCGTTTCTAATGTAATACGTTTTTAGGCGGAACAGATCTTGCGCGAATGGATCTCCCTCTGCTACACGCCTCTCACACAGCGTGAACCGCAGCAGGCCTTGGCAAACATGATCCACATGGTATCCATAACGGGAAATACCAAAATGTTGTTTAGATGCACGAGCACGGTGTTCTTGCTACAGATCAAATGATTACGAAGTTCTTCCGCCTGTGTATCGATATGTGCGTCGACGTTTCTTATCGCTTGCTCAAAGAAGAACAAGGAAGCCCGAATTCTGTCATCCGTCAGCGTTGCTATTACACATTGGATGCTTTTGTCAAGCTCACATGGTCAGTTATTTCTCAAGCTCACTTGATTGATTTAATGGTTTCCTCATCAAAATTGATTTATATTTTTAGTTTGATGGTCAAATACTCGGATGGGAATCAGACTCACACCAAGATCAACCTGTTCAAAAAGGTTCTGAACCTTCTGACGAATGTCCTGATGAGCGATCACGAGACCCGTCGCCAAGAATTCAATCCGATGCCCTATCATCGCATTTTGATCAGCCTCTTCAACGAACTCTCACATGCCGATCCGGCTCTTGAGAACATTGGCTGGCCCATTATGGAGGCATTCGGACAGGTCGGCAGACTTTTTTTATCCTCATTCCCCGGTTTTAGGCTTTGTTTTCTCTCCAGCCACGTCGTGCTCCACGCTTCGCTACTGCTTGGCTGGATATCGTTGGGCATAGGAACGTGATCGGACGGCTGGTCGCTACTCACTATCATTCTCGTCAGTTTTGAATAATGTAGTGGGACATCTTGTTCCAATGCGCTATTGATCGGATTCATCGGACTTTTTTTAGAGGGAGAACCAACGGTCGAAAACCTCAAAGCGGTCGCCATCTACGTGCAGTTTCTAATCTGCCAGCTGAAATTCCTCGCGCCATACCTCCGCAATCTCGACCTTCCGAAGAGCATCACTCTTATTTACCGGGTAAGCGAATTTGCAAAGTTCTGTTGACTTTTTTTTAAGGGTACACTACGCATTTTCCTGGTGCTCCTTCACGATTTCCCGGAGATGCTCTGCGAATATCACTTCATCCTATGCGACAACATTCCGCCAAACTGCATTCAGTTCCGCAACCTGGTTCTCTCCGCGTTCCCACGCCAAATGAGGCTTCCAGACCCATTCGGAATTGATTTCAAGGCAATTTTACCTTAGTTATGTTCATTTTTATTCTAGCAAGTGGATTCCATCCCGGAAATGGCGATCGAGCCTAAGATGAAGTTGGAGATGCCGCAATTACTGCCGGCAGAAATGCGTAGCCAGATTGACAATTACCTGAGCAACCGGCTTGACGTTGAACTTCTCTCGTCACTCCCAACTTTGCTAACGGTACGGGTTGCCACGACTTCGTTGTATTTATGTTCTTTTGCAGGTATCCCAGGTGGCTGGTTCCAAATACAACACCACGGTGCTGCATGCTCTGGTCCTCTACGTCGGAATGCGAGCTGTTGAATCGCTTCATGCTAAAGGTCAACGTATCTCGATGACGACGATTGCTCACACGGCCTTCATGGATATCTTCCAGAACCTAGCTGTCAGGCTCTGCACCGAAGGTGTTTAGCTTTTTTGAGTGTCTATTTATTTTTCACTTTTAGGACGCTACAGTCTCTTCAACGCCATTGCCAATCAACTGCGCTACCCCAACGCGCATACCCACTACTTCAGCTGCACCCTACTCTACCTATTCCAGCAGGCCGACATGAATGTCATGAAGGTTTGTTTTTCGTGTTAAAATACGTTCGATGTCTCGCTCCCCGTATATTCTGGCATTTTCAGGAGCAAATCACGCGCATTTTGTTCGAACGCCTCGTCGCTCTTCGTCCACATCCATGGGGACTGCTCGTCACATTCATCGAGCTGATCCGCAACCCGAACTATTGTTTCTGGGACCACGACTTCACCAAGTGCACTCCTGAGATCGAGAAGTTGTTCATGAGCGTTGCTACCACCTGTAATTCGGTCGGTGGGCATCAAGCGGTGGGTCGTCCTGAGGAGCCGGATGATCCCGAGCGAAGCTGATCCGATCGGTTTGTTGCTTTACCGCTCTTCTTCCGATGTCACTGAAACGCGCCTTCAAATCTCTCGATATCGGGCATTGGCAAGCTGTGGCGGTTGGCAGCGAAGCTATCGTATGGCGATGTGATGGTCTCACGCATTTTTTCTCTCGTGTAGCTTTGCGTATAGTTGGGAATCCGTTAAGCTAGCGGGGTCTGTATTTTCCTAGATTAATCTGTTCCGATTTTCAAACGTTCATTTCAGGCTGTCGCCGACACCACTCAAGGCGCTGCTCCACTAGAAGTTGCCGCCGCTGCCGCCAGCTAATCTACTAAAAACCGTTCTTTATTACTATTTTATTACTTTGTACTCTTTTGTTGAAACGGGTTATTTACGAACTGCGGGCTGCTACCCCCTATTTGTACCATAGTCCTGGCCTCGCCGTCCACGCAATCCAGTCATAGGGGAATGTTCTCATTCCTTCCATTCAGCACGCCTCATTACCTCGTCACTCTGGGTATCCTGATTTCCCCCCGATCGTTGTCTGGTGTCAAATTCGTGTACCCGTGATCTGCAAAATGGTGTGTATCCCCGCGCCCTCGTATATCCACTCTTTCGAGTGTCCCCGTAGCCTTATTCATTTTGTTTGTATGCGTCATTTTTCTTCTGAATAAAATTGAATGTTGGAGATATCAGAAATCACAAGTTTGCGCTCATGACAATCTGGGTCCTTGGTTTTTGTCGCTGTCACCAAGCGGTGTAGCTCAACCTGCACAATCCGACAAGGCATGTTTCCGTTTCGCCCTAGCTGACCAGTGCGGTGAACCTGTGTAATCCATTGTCAGAAGTTTTCTTTTCTTGTAGCCCCGGGCGAAACGGAGATTGAGTTGCATTGAGCATGGAGCAATCGGCTATTTGGAGGTGGGGCAGCTGACGGTTGAGGGCCCATCCCATTCATCGATTGCTAAAAAGACAGTGGAGGGTATAGATGGGGCGAGAGGAGGAGCAATGAAATGAGCCCGAATTGATCTTATCGTCACTTTGTTCTAAATATAAACACGCCCGTGGCGCTCGAGTTGAGCAGGGTGCTTGTGGACAAAAAGAAGAAAGAAAGAGTGCCCCTTGAGGGCCCGCCAAATGATAAACCCGCTGAGGGCATTTGGGCCACTACTGCAACGCATGCACTACCTATATTCTTAATGAAGAATGATTCGCGGGACGGATTGTTAGATGTACCACCTTCTGCTTCTACAAGTGCCTACGGTTGGTTATTGTTTTTACTCTATTAGCCCGAGTTCGTATGTCTGTTAGTCCTAGTAAAAGAAAATTTACCTTCTTTAAAACACCTTTGTCTTTATTTGATCTTAATTAAATATAACTAATAAATCGATCGGGAAATTAGCTTATGAATACTCAAACCGGTTTACCTTGGGTGGAAAAAAAATTACCTTATCAAGGCTTCTTTCGAAGCACCTATCAAAAGTGCGTGCATCTCATGGCTTGGCGGATTGTTGACGATGTTTTGGTAGTGGCGGGTAGAAGGCGGGGTGTTAAGTTTCAGGTAGGTTCCATTCGAAAACACTGGCTTCCCCCCCCCCCCCCCCCCCAATAATTCCAACTATAGACCACTTTCTTTCCTGTTTCCTACATGATGGCCCACTTTTCATAGCTTTTGCCTTGGGGTGGATGAGGCGGTGATGATTGACGGGTTGAATGCGCCGGGTCAGTTGCCCTCACACTTTGTGGTTAGGAGAACTGAAGGAAGGTGAAAGATAAATAAGAGAATTGAGGTATTTTTAAGGCTTTTTTTTTGGAGAAGCGCCCTCATTTCTAACAAGGAATCAATTTCAAGTGATTTTGGAGTTTTGTACGGGCTCTAACCAGTACGATAAAGACAAGAAAAGGAAAATGAAGAGGGACCTTGATAAGAACTTTTCATTCTATCGAATTAGGGAATTATGGATACCGTCCCGAAAAGAAACAAAATGAAATAAGAAAAATAAGAATAACATTATTTTGTTCAATTAAAATTTTGCTTCGTGTATTGTAAGCCACGCTTGTCGGGCAGTTTTTCTCAATTTTTGCTTGCGACTGATGTTCTCTGTGACCGCCCCAACTAACTGAAGCTCAACCGACCCATGAGGGGCACATAGATTGGCGTGCCGCCGCCCCGAGTTGCCCGTCGGCTGGTTTCAGAGTTGGAAGCGCCACTGATGAGCTCGTTTTGGGGAGGGCGGTTTCTTGTGGCGAGTGGGCCCATTTGGCCCTTCCGACCCCCTTCGGTTCTACATCGAGAGCTGTCCCTCCGTGTGTGAGAGTCCCTTCTGGTCTGTCCATCCCTTCCACCCCCCTTTTTCGATCTGCTGGCCACTCTTATAATGAAATTTTTCTCGCCACCTCGGTCGCTCCACCCAACTTTGCAACCGTGGACGACCAATTGAGAAGGGGGGTGTTGCTGTTTCCGGGTGGCTACCCACCCCGGTTCTGCACATTTTTAAGTCCTTTCGCATCTTTTATGGGACGTTTCAATTGCAGAATAACTCTTTCTAGCACTTTTTCTTATTTTGTCAGTCTGTGCACCGAATTTTTGTAAAATATGACCCTGGCGTCGGTCGTTGGCATGAGATAATCTCATAGCACACCTGAATAGGCGTTGATTTCATACACTAGCGACAAAGGTACAGGAAAAACCATACCTAGAAAATGTCTACTATCGGCTTCTGAATTTCCGTTTCTGTTTTCCCATTCTGCGGCGGGCAAATGGTTTCTCGGGTAGCTATACATCATGGTTCATTTTTGCGGACGGTAGTGACGTTGGCGTGCCGGTCGTACTTTGTAACAATTTCTTCCAGCGTCTTTGCTTTTTGGGGCTCGTGGCAAGCTATATTTTTCATATCAAACACCGCCCCAAAAATTCACATTGGAGGGGTAAACCTCTAGCCTTCCCCGATGGCATACGGTAGCATCAATTTGACACGGAAATTCGGGTCTTTTCCTCCCCGAAAATGACCTTGCATGGCTTATCCCCAATCTTCGGGTCGGCTAATCCGTTCGAATTCGGGTATAGGCTGAGAATGGCAAGAGAGAGACCTTACCCTCCTTTCTTCATTCCCATAGAAACGGTTGTGGGCGTCTTTCTCGCTCTGTGTGGTGTGTATTTTTTTTTGTGTGTCGTCAACTGGCCGCGAAGAGAAAGGGCTACTGCTCTCTTTGGTATCAATAAGCGGATCCGGCTGGGCTGAGCCCCGGCTTTGTCCTCTCGGGCCCTCCAATCCCCCCTCTCTTCCCCAACTTCTTTTTTCATCTAATTATGGATGTCTGTAATACCAGGGATTTTAGAAGCTTTAGAAGTTGCACCGTGGTTCCTTGAACTTTTACGCTAGAATGAAGGTATTTGAGAGGCAGGCAGGAATTCCAGTCATTTTTCCTAAAAATATTTTTCCTAAATTCATTTTTCCTAAATTCATTTTTCCTAAAAATCATTTTTCCTAAAAATCATTTTTCCTAAAAGTCATTTTTCCTAAAAATCATTTTTCCTAAAAATCATTTTTCCTAAAAGTCATTTTTCCTAAAGTTCATTTTTCCTAAAACCGGTTAAATACCGTAAAGGCCTAGTTCTTTAGTACTATGCATGAGAAAATCGAAAATTTTTTAGAATAAGGTCAGATCTGCCTAGAGTGATCATAGGAAGTATTTTATTTGCGCGTTTAGCCTAGATTTGGGTGATTGGAAGTGAAAAGGATCAATGATAATAAGAAAGATTTTCGATAAAAGCCTATGATTAACCAAACCAAACAAATACTGCTAAAAAATGATAGCATTTGGAATTTCTTGATATTTTTACGCATCCCTATTGAATGAAAAATTTTAGGAAAAATGAACTTTAGGAAAAATCAGTTTTAGGAAAAATGACTTTTAGGAAAAATGATTTTTAGGAAAAATGACTTTTAGGAAAAATGATTTTTAGGAAAAATGATTTTTAGGAAAAATGAATTTAGGAAAAATGAATTTAGGAAAAATGATTTTTAGGAAAAATGAACATAACCCGGCAGGCAGGTATTTTACTGTAGCTGTGATCCTAAATTTTTTGCCCATACTACGGTTCTTCTTTTTTTCTGCCGACTGGATGGCTGTAATCGTCCAAATAGTATGATTTTATAAACTTTAGAAGTTCTACAGCCCTTTTCGAATCCTTTAAGTTACGAAAACTCTGGGTGTAACCTATTTTATTAGATCTTTTACCCGAATTTTGCACCCATACTTTAAGAACGTTGTGAACTTTCAACTACTTCCCCCTCTCTCGCCGAAAGAATAGCGTATTGAACGTGTAGCCCTTTCGCCGTCAATTTTCGCTCATTATGCCCACCGGGGTACCCAAACACCCCGCCAAGAGAGACACTTTCTCGCACCCGCTTCACTACGATCAACTCCAATTTTCAACTCGCGACCCTGAAAATTGGACTCGCCATCCTTCAGCACCAATTTCCACGTTAGCATCCTCGCGGGTTTCGTTATCGCAACTACTACGTTATACTATGCTAGCATCATTGAAATGTATCTATTATTTTTGCACCTGCGGAGAGTGGGCAAGCAAAAACGAACAGCACCTGTTGTTTGTTTGACTGTTTATTTATTTATTTTGTCCTATCTTCTTTTTCGGCACCGAAAACAGAAGCTTTTACGTTTTCAAGGATCCTGTGTGACTATACAAATCGCAAAAATGACTTGTAGTGATGGGCCTAATTCCCGACAACTGACTAACGGGGCAATATGGCCACCTTACGGATGGCTAAACTTAGTCCCCAGGGGCCCCGACCGGGTGCCCTAATTGAGAGGCTTGAACGTGCCGGAGACTACGGTAGAATTGATGATGAGCCGGCCCCCCCCCCGTATTTGCCTCCTTCTGAATATTCCATTCTATCCCCAGCCCCATCCACTTTCCGATAGTTCTTGGCCCCTGGTCGCACCACATTTTGGCATCATTTTCGGGGCAGGTGTGGTCAATGGCCCTTTTTGGATTTTTTTTTGGGCTCCCCACGTTCACGCCTATTTGTGGCCACGTATCGTTTGGTTGCCAACTCTTTCCACCTAGCTATTCCACGGCTCTTTGAGCCCGTTCATAGTTAAAAGGGTTTTATGACTTTTTAGAGCGAAATTTCGTTATTACATGAAAAATTGTAGCTTTTCCTTTTGCCCCACGCGGATGACTCCAATTTCGTTAGATAAATGGCCAAATATCTATAGCATTGTCTGGCTATTTCCATAAAATTCGGCGCTGATTTAGTGCTTCTTTGTGAAATTTGTATGTTTTTTTTAGAATTGTC